TGAATTAGTAAAACTATTTATATATTATATTATTAAAGACTTTAGTATACTTATAGGTATAATTTCTAATAAAGAATTTGTTTTTATAAATAAGTTCTAGTTAAGTCTATACTTTTACTTAAAGGTTTAATAATAGCTAAATATAGTATTTTACTTATAAACTAATAAATAAATAAAGAATTTAAACCAAACTCTAGAATAGTACTTAAGATACTATACTAGTTACTAGTAAAATAACTAGGTAATAAAGCTTGCTTTTATAGAATTCATATATAATAACTTTATATATTTAATAATAGAAATTCTCTCATTTTATATATTATATGAATTTTATTTTAGTATTAAACTATATATTAAGAATAATATTCCAGAAAAAGAAGTATTAGTAATATAGAAAAGAATATAGAGAATTTAAGTAAAATAAGAAATACTAGAGAAGTAATAATAAGAAGTAATAAATATATAAAAAAAGTACTATAATAAGAAATATATTAATAAGAAGTTTAATATATATAATAAAGTTATATTTTATATAAAGAATATTTAATAGCTATAACCTAGTATAAAGCTAGTAAATAGATATCTTAGCTTCTTTAAAGTTCTAGAAATTATAAGAATATATAAATAAATATATTACTTGAAATTACTATTATTATATTAAATCTATAATATTTTCTATATTTCTTTCTTAGAACTATAATACCTGCAAGCTAGTACTATAGTAGAACTAGAACTAGTTAAGATTAAGAATAAAGAAGAATTCGAGGTAAAATCTATTATAGCTTATAAGAAAAATAAAAAATAAAAGAAATATCTTATTTATTAGAAAGGCTATTTACTAGTAAATAATATATGGGAATTACTAAGTAATCTAGAGAATATAGCTCAAGAATTATAAGAATACTTAGAAAAAAGTAATATTATAATACTATTAGCTAAATAAAAACATAAAAAATAAATGCTTTTATTAGGAAACTATTAAAAACCATATATTTATTCTTAGAAAAACTATATAAAAATTATTAAGAACTCTAAAAACTTTAATTTCTATATTCTATAAATATCTTACTTTTATAATTACTTTCTATTATTTTTATTATTATTCTTATTAGGATTCTCTCGAGAAATAAGTAATAAATTAGTTTATAAAACTATTAGTTATTAGTAAGAAATAAGAAAAAAATAAGTTTACTTAATACTAAAGAATATTAATTATACTATTAAGAATACTTTATACTTATACTAAGCTAATAAGAATTACTTAATCTATTTCTTGAATTATTAGAGAAATCTATTAGCCTTAAATAATAGCTTTAATATAAGAAGTATATACTATTTAATATAAAAGAAAGATAGTAATAGCTTTTTTTCTTTTAGGCAAAAGATAAGAAAGATACTTATATATATTAATAACTTAAAAAAGGTAATTTAATTATATTATATATATTTAAGGAACCTTAGATAATATTAGAATAAGAAATAAATAAAGAAAATTATAACTTATAGGATTATATTTCTTATTTTTAAAGTAATAATAATTATATATTAAGTAATTATTACTCTTAATATAAATAAGATTAGGAAACTTAGTAATATTCTTGAAATATTAAAGATAGTAAAGGTAAATTAAGAATATAAGAGTATTAGCTAAATAAGTAATAATAGACTAATAAGTACTAAGAGAAGTATTTATTTTAATAAATAAAGAAGTAAAAAAGGAAATTAGAAGAAAACTTAAATAAAGCTTAAATAAAGCTTAAAGAAGCTTAAAGAAGGCTTAAAGAAAGAAGGCAAGAAATAAGAAAAAACTAGATATAGTATTATAATTAAGGAAAAAGAAGATTAATTAGTAGAAAAAGAAAGATCTTTTTATAATATCTTTTCCCTAAATAGTAATTATAAATTCGGAACTAGCTTTATATTAGAAATACCTAGAAAATTCTAAAAAAGGAATTTATAAATAAACCAGAAAATCGAATTAACTTTTCTAAGCTCTTAAGCCTATAAAGTAATAATTTATTTATAAATAAAGAATAAGTTAGAATTTATAAACTAATTAAAAGACCGGAAAAGCTTTCTATCTAATAGTATATACTATACCTATATTACCTTTATAAAAGAAAATTACTAGAAGTAATTTGCGGTTAGCTAGGTAGAATTAGTAAACTATATTCTCAAGTCTATTATCTAGTATAATAATAAAGTAATTATAAGAAGTTTTTAAAAAGAACTAGTAGCCAGAAAAGTTTTAGAGAATTATTTATAAAGCTATTTATAGTTCTCTTAGGCTTCTTAGAAATAAGGGCCCAGAAAAGAAGTTAATATAATAGATATATATAATAATATATAAATAAGTATTAGATATTATAAATCTAGTTTCCTATTTTAGGTAAAGCTTATAATTAGAATTATATAAGTAATTGGAATTATATAAATTATATAAGATCGTGTTTTTTAGTTAAGTAAAGTATTTTATAAGCTTAGCTAAATACTAGAAAATATATAGAGAAATGCTTCTAGCTTTAGAAAGAGATATTAATTAGTTTTTTATTAGAATTAATTCTTAGAATTAGTTATACTTATAAGTATTACTTTATTATTTACTTACCTTAATTATTTATATATTATTCTATTATTATATATCTTATAATTATTACTATTTATTATAATAAAATATTAATATATATAAAAGTTAATTAATTAATAGCCTTTATAAGCAAGAACTAATTATAAAAATAGTTATATTAATTAGCTATATTAAATAATATAATAAATAGGCTAAAATATAGAATTTAGTAAATTAGTTAAGATAAAGATCTAGTATAATATCTAGCTTTAGTACTAAATAATAGCTCTCTAGTTTTATAGAGTTTTTATAATAATAATATTAATATACTAGAATCTTTATAAAACTTATAATATTAACTAGATTATATAAAAAATAATACTTATTTAGAATTATATAAAAATAATAATAAATTCTTCTAGATTATATAATAAAAGTACTAGCCTTTTATATATAATATCTATATTCGAGATACTAGATTTATTTTAGAAAGAAATATAATATAAAATTAAATAAATTAATAGCTTTTATAAAGCTCGGAAATAAGCTTATTATAAAAAAAAAAAGTAATATTATAATTTCTAGATATCTAATATCTAAAATATCTTATTAGATACTAGATACTTTCTAAATATATATAATATAGCTACCTTATTAGAGATATTTAGAAGACTAAGCCCTTTTAGGACTAGTATATTATAGGATATATATATTTCCTTATAGTTTCTTATATTCTAGTTTTCTTTTCCTTAGCTTTAAATTATTTTTATAAAAGATCTTTTATTTTGCTTTCTAAGCCCTAAATACTATATCTATAATAAATATATTCTTTAATAATTAAACCCATATTTATACTTATCTAGTCTAATTATTAGGCTAATATTTATATTTAGGTATTTCTATATTAGGAAAAAGCTAATAGCCTATAATATATTATTTATAATCTTTTTTTTCTTTCTTAAAATATCTTTTTATTTATATCTAAATATATTTCTTATAATATATATTTATATTAGAGATAATAGTAAAAGAGCCTATATTTTCTTTTATAAATTTCTAATAAAAAGAGAATTCTTTCTAGTTACTTTTATAGCCTCTAAAATTATTTTTAATATCTTATATATACTTAATTATAATAGTATTATTAACTAGAATAATAAGTAGCTTTAAGCTAAGAAAAAAGTATTAGATAATATATTTATAATTATTTTAGATCTATATAAGAACCTCTTAATTAATAGCTAATATACTAATTATCTCAAAGAATTAAGGTCTCCCGATTTATTTATTACTTCTAGTATACTAGTTAAACTTCTTATTATTATAAAAGTTTAGATACTTGAGATATAAAATATCCTAATTATATTAAATTTATTCCGAACTAATAATATTACTTATAATATTATAAGCTTTTAAGAATTTATATCGGGACTCGGTATAAATAAATAAAAATAATAATAAATTAGTATTCTTATATTACTAGTAATTATTAAAAATAATTTTAATAATTCTTGAAATAAATATTATAAAACGCTATATCTTAATATAAATCTTAGATAATAGTTTAGGAAATAATATAAATAAGCAGGTATTAGGTTACTTACTATAATAAAAGGCTAGTAGTATATTATTAACTAGTATTCTAAAATAACTTTTAGGAAAAAAAGCTTTAATTTCTTTTTTATTAAATATTATTATAAATATTAGTATATTAAAATAATAATAAAAGTTTAAATAAAAACTCAAGATTACTTGAATTTAGTAATATAACTCTTTATTATATTATCTATTATATAATATAATTTATATAAATATTAGTAAAACCCGGAATCTAATAATAACTAGTACTAAAAAAAGCCTTTTTCTAAAATAGATTTCTAGAAGCTTCTAAGGTTTAGTAAAATTATACTATAATTTAGTTTTAGATAAGGTTTACTTTAATAATCTATTTAGTATTACTTTATAAATTAAAGCTATAGTAGTACTATTAAAGATTAATCTAGCTATAGCTATTCTTAATAAGTTTAAATATTCGAAAAGTAATACTTATATATTTCTATTCGGGACTAATAAAATTCCTATATTTATATTAGGCTATTATAATAATAAATAAATATTAATCTAATAAAAGGCTATTAAGTAATAATACCTTAGCCCTTAGGAAAAGAAAGTACTTATTACTTATTTCCTATAAATAGCCGAGAATAGCTTTCTATTACTTATTAAGTTCTTAAAAAACTTAGTACTTATTATTATATATTAATAAATATTAATTTTCTAGATTCCTATAACTAATAATAATAATATTTAATTACTAGGAAAAAATTAGCTATAAGCCTTCTATAAATACTACCTAGAATTCAAAGTTATATAAATAAAAATACTAGATTAGAAAAGATATAAGTATAATATTTACGAGAAAACAGTAAACTAGTTTATAATAATTAGGAAAAAGTTAGTAAATCCCGTAATACTTATAGAAAATATTTATAATATAAATAAAACAGATATTTTTTTAAGTATTCTAAACTCTTTAAAGGTTCTAGTAAATAAGAATAAGCTCAGAGATTATAAAAAAGTAAAAGTAAAGTATACTTTAATTATTATAATTAAATATATCTCTATAAATAATTAGTATCTCTATTCCTTAATTATTTAGCTAGCTATTATTTACTAAAGTACTTGAACTATTTATCTTATTTCTAGATAGTATTTTAGTTATTTAGAATTAGGATATATAGATATAATAATTAGCCTATATTAGATTCAATATATCTTTAATCTATAAACTAAAGCTCGAGTAAAGAATAATTCAAGGATCTTAATTAATAATAGATTTAGTATATATAAATTCCTTGAAATTATAAAGTTCTACTAGGAAAATAATATTATTCTTTATTAGCTTTCGTTATATATATCCCATATACTTTAATTATATAATATTAGGATTTTTGGGCTACTAAAAATAGTATATTAGGAGAAGGTTAAATACTTATACTAAGAAGGATCTAATATAATTAGAAAATAGTACTTTCTTTTTCTCTATAATTATATATAATATAAAGTACTTAACCCTCGAAATATTATATTAGGCTAGTTTAAAACCGGACTATAACTATTTAATCCAGAAAGAATACTTAAAGATATCCAGAAACCGGATATAAATATTAACTTAATTATAACTAAGATCGAGAAACCTTATAATTTTCTCTACCCGTAGCTTGAAACTCTAATAATAGTAGAAAATTTGCTATCCTTATATAAGCGGATCGAGGAGAGTATTATATATAGTAGAGAAATTAATGGCCCTTATAAATATAATATCTAGAAATTAGCTAATATAGCGGAGAATGCCTTTGCTAACCGAGCCATTCTCTTAGATAAGAATTTGCTTCTCTTTAAGCAAAATAATGAAAAGGCTACTCGCAAGTCTATTAGAGCGATAGTAGTAGGTAGTACAAGAGTCATGAGTTATGAGGATATCGTTGAGGCGCAAAAACAGCGTGATATTAAGGAAACGGCGGCCGAAGCAGCTCGGGGTCGACGATCAAAGCGTGGCCCCTCAACTCAAGTACTCGGGAAGAGGTCACGCGATCAAGAATTGGAGGAGGCGGAGCATGAGATTAGAGGGTCAGGAATGGCGGAATATTGTTCTGTGTTAGATTTCAAGTGATTTAGATCAAAATTACGCTATTCTTCTTGCTTTTTGAGGCTCTAATGGCCAAACGCAGCCTCGCATGCAGGTATGACGTGGCTCATACAATCATGCTTAGAATCCCATGACAACATCAACCTTCCTTTTAACCTTCACAGACTGAGCACTGTGAGCATATCAATGCAAAGCTCCAAATGGAGACTGAACGCGACTGCCTCCTTGCTACTAGCATAAGCACCTTTGCTGAAGCAATAAACAAGCAGGTGGATGCTATTGGAAGCTTGACGGAGGCAATACAACAGCTCTCGAACGTTGTCACCGCTTATGAATCAAGTCGATTAGCCAAGCCATTACTTTCGAATTCACAACTGCGAAAGTGGTGGTATAGGGCCTGGAATGACAAGTCACGCGGGAAAATCGACGAGCATGGCAATATGCTCTCCGGGAATCCCAAATGGGCTCTTAGCTCCAAAACGGATATTGCGTTGCACTTTGCGGAGTTCCATTCGGACGATTGCAACAAAAAGGATACAGCCTTGATATCTGCTACCAATGACCCCATTCGAGCGTTGAAAAAGGCCTTCACGGAGTGGTATAAAGGGAACTTTACGACTCGGGACCCGGGGAAAATCTTCATATCTATTTTCTACAGTTCCGAGTATTACGATGCACGAGAGTTGGTTGAGATGGCACGGAAGCCTCCACTCTGTTTCCGCTTGAGCAAGGAAACATGCGATCGACTAAATTCGCCCAAGCATGAGCATCTCCACGACTCAGAAGCAGTCTTCCTACACGTCATACCAAAAGAAGACTTGGTCATAAACCTCAGCCTACAAGACCTATTCGCTAGAGGACTTGAAGATATACTCCCCGAACTCTGTAACAAGGACACTACTTGGAACAAATTCCTTTCGCCTAAAGGAATCCGGGCAAAGATCGGTACCAATAACGAATCGGATTTCCAAAGGATCACCGCCCAACTTAAGAGAATGTATTGCATGTTTACCCAGAATGGGCCTGAAAATACATTTAGATCTCTGACAAATGCACAAGAACTTCTCTTGGGGGATCCGTTTTCATCGGGGGCCGTAAAGGAAGAGGGATTCCGAATCCTTCAGGACGAGATAGACATGATGGTGAGACCCAAACCAAGACGAGTTATACTGAAACCCACGATGCTCGACGAGGATCAGAGCAAAGATGAGCCTTGATCTTCAGTATTAGGTGGTACGGGGACCGAGGTACGAATGTCATTAATGTACTAATTCGTCTACGTATTTTAAATCTTAGGAGAAGGAAAACTCGTTCAACTAATGTGATTGAACTCAATGCTTTACCATATTTGGTTAGTTAACGGGTAATGGTCCGGAATTCTTGCGACGAGACCAATACGGCGTTACAGACAAGACATTACTACTCATATTGGCAAAGATCATTCAGCTCTTGCAAGACCTCACTTACGATTCCAAGTAGTGGTAAGGTACCCTTTTAATGGACACAGCGTAGGGCTAGTAGTAACGTACAAGCATTCCTGTCGAGATTGAAAAATGATTTGCCCTATACAACAACTATTTGGCCCGCGCATCGGTAGGTGTGGCCTCATTATGCCCCTCGCCCTTTCCCTGAGTGTCAGGCCACCAGCCATCCCAACTCTACCCTTTATGGCCAAAAACACTCGCCGAATCTCCTATCACGCTCGTCCGCTAGCCCTACCCAAGATATCGTATTCCAATTGGTTTGGTGCTCATTCCTCAAGCTTGATCTTATCGAGCTGGTAGTCATGGCGATCGTTGAGGTGATCCCATATAGCTTTATCAGATTGAAAGCTTCTATGATCTTTGCCCCGTTTGGTTTCGTAATGGAAGCAATACCAAACGTGTCCGTGACTGTCCGATATCCCCAGGCTCTGCGGTCGTCGTATGAATGATAGCTTATGCTTCGTACGAAGGTGTTTAATTATTTCACCAAGACTGTGAAGATCCTGATAGTCTTCGCAAAGCTGGTCTTTACAAGCGTATAACTGTGACATGAGTGCTTCTCCAAATGAATGAGACTAGACAATCGTACTATATGTTACATTCGTTTGGAGGCAGAAAATTGCGCAGGGTCAGAGGTTCACTATCGCCTGAGGCATCTATCTTCATTTAAGGTTACTCTAGCCACAGTCGATCTTGATGCCTTAGGCTCTAAAATTAAAAAAACAGCAAATTTAGCCGAGCAGGTGTTTCGCACCTTCATAGATCGCCTGACTCCTTTGCGTAAAACTTTCTCTCCTTTCTAATATAAATACAAATAATTATTATAACTAAAGTAAAGTTGTTTTCCTCAAATCTCTCGCGAGTTTTAAGCAATGAGAACGTTGCTAAGGCGTAGAAAAAGCTACTTTAACATATAAAGGTCCGAAACAAGAAATAATTAACTAAGAATGAATTAACCTCTATATATGTTATTTAGAAGAAAATATAGATATAGGAATTGGAGACAGTTAGAAATGAGAATATAGCGTTGTAAATAAAATAAAATAAAATAATTTTAGACTAAGATATTTGTGATTTAGTAACAAGAGTCAAATATAACAGGGATTCTCGCCTCGCAGGGATGTCGGTTATATACCCTCGGGTCTCCAAACTGGATAACACGCCTTGTACAGAACAACATCAGCAATAATGGCGGACTTTGAGGCAGCCATCCATCAGCTCGAGAAGGACCTAAATATAACACCGGAGGATCATTTAAGTCGGGCGGGTCGACTTCACAGCCTTGCAGCCGCATACAAAGAACGATTTAGAAGAACAAATAATAAAACAGATCTGGATCAGTCTATTCAACTCTACCAAGGCGCCCTGGATATAATACCGGAAGATTATCCAGGCCGAAGCGACATACTTCAAAATCTTGGAGCCGTATACGAAACGCGATCTCGAAGAATAGATGACAAGGCGGATCTAGATCAGGCTATTCGACTCTACCAAGAAGCCCTGGACATAATAACACCAGAAAGTTATCTAAGTCGAAGTGATATACTTCAAAGTCTTGGAGCCGCATACGAAACGCGATCCCAAAGAACAGATAGTAAAGCAGATCTGGATCAGTCTGTTCAACTCTACCAAGATGCCCTAGATATAACGCCAGAAGATCATCCAGATCAAAGCGATATACTTCAAAGTCTTGGAGAGTTATATAAAAGACGAGCCAGAAGAACACACAATAAGGCAGATATAGAAAAGTCTATTCAACTCTATCAGGAAGCTGTGGATAAAACACCAAAAGATCATCCAGACCGAGGTTATCGATTTTGCTTTTTTGGAGCCGCATATAAAAGACGATTCGAAATAACAGGCAATAAGGCAGATCTGGATCAGTCTATTCAACTCTACCAAGAAGCCCTAGACAAAACGCCAGAAGATTATCCAAGCCGAGGCAATATACTTTCAGGGCTTGGAGTTGCATACCAAGTACAATTCCAAAGAACAAACAATATAGCAGATCTGGAACAGTCTATTCGACTTCACCAAGAAGCCCTAGATATAATGCCAAAAGATGATCTAAGTCGAAATTATTTCCTTCAACTTCTTGGAGATATATATACACAGCATTTCAAAAAAACAAATACTAGGGTATATCTGGAACAGTCTATTCGACTTTATCAAGAAGCCCTAGATATAACACCAGAAGATCATCCAGATCGAAGCAATATACTTGTTAATCTTGGAGACGTATATGAAAAACGATCCCAAAGAACAAATGATAATGCAGATCTCAAACAATGTATTCAGTTTTATCGAGAGGCTTTGGATAGAACACCAAAAGATCATCCAGACCGGGCTAGTCGACTTCAATATCTTGGAGCTGTATATGGAACCCGGTTTCGAAAAACAAATGCTAAGGCACATCTGGAACAGTCTATTCGATTTCGCCAAGAAGCTCTAGATATAACACCAGAAGATGATTCAAGTCGAGCCCTTCAAATTCAAGGACTTGGAAATGCATATAGACAACGATTTCGAAAAACAAATAGAAAGGCAGATCTCGAACAAGCTATACGACTTTGCCAAGAAGCTTTGAATATAACACCAAAAGATTATCCATCTCGAGCAAATCGACTTCAAATTCTTGGAGCCGTATTCGAAGAACAATTTTGGAAAACAGATGCTATGGCAGATATAGACCAGTCTATTACACTTTATCAAGAAGCTTTAGATATAACGCCAGAAGGTCATTCACATCGGGCCTTTCAACTTCAATGTCTTGGAAACGCGTATAGAAAACGATTTCGAAGGACAAATGCCATAATAGATCTAGAACGATCGATCCAACTTCACCAGAAACTTCTCAATGAATCTTCATTCCCAGTCAGCACTCGTATACGGGCTGGCAAGTGTTTGATTAAGATACATGCCGCATCTAATAATTGGTCACAAGCCTATCAAGCTGCATCTCAGACCTTATCACTGATTCCTCTACTCACGCCTTACTCCCTCGAGAATTCGGACAAGCAACATTTGCTCACCAAAACTGTCGGCCTGGCTTCTGGGGCGACAGCAGTCGCTTTATTGGCGGACAAGACACCTTATGAAGCAATCCGACTCCTTGAACTTGGCCGTGGGGTGATTGCCGGGGCTCTGGACGAAATGCGCGCCGATATACCCGAGCTTCAGCAAAAGCATCCCCAGCTTGCAGCAGAATACATTAACCTTCGAGATCAACTCGATGCTCCGAAAACGTTGACACAACCTCAGGTTGACCAACGCTATAATGCTGGGCGAAAGTTAGAAGAGATGATTCAGACAATTCGGACATTGAGCGGATTTGATCGATTTCTTCTTGCCCCATCGGAGGACGAATTAAAGAGCGCTGCAAAGGATGGTCCGATCGTTGTTATCAATATCAGCAAATACCGCTGTGACGCCCTAATTATTGAGAACAGTCGACTCCGGTCTCTAGAGCTTCCTCGCCTTCATTTTCGTAATATCCAAGATCATACGCTAGAAAGTTTAGCAGCTCCAGAAATGCTTGAACGGCTATGGGAAGCTGTAGCACAGCCAGTGCTCGATACACTAGGGTTCACACAATCACCTTCCGATGGTTGCTGGCCTCGTATATGGTGGATTCCTACTGGTCCACTAAACAAATTCCCACTCCATGCAGCAGGACGTCACACGGACGGCTGTGGTGAAACAGTGCTCGATAGGGTCATGTCATCATACAGCTCGTCTGTCAAAGCAATCATACATGGCCGCCGCCAACAGCGTAATCTAGGAGGTACACTCTCGGCCCCAGCGCCAGCGCTCCTTGTCGCCATGAAGCATACGCCAGGAAGTTCCAAGCTCCCTTTTGCAACGGAAGAGGTTGAGATGCTGCACGACTTGTGCCGATCAATGACAATAGAGTCTGTTGAACCTAGGCGATGCAAGCAAGATATTATGTCGCATTTGCCGCATTGCAATATATTCCATTTTGCTGGCCATGGTTATACAGACAATGACGATCCATTAAAAAGCTATTTACTTCTAGAAGATGGAAAGAGTAATGCGTTAACGGTTGCCAATCTTCTAGAATTGAACCTCCGCAAACACGCACCCTTTCTTGCCTACCTCTCAGCGTGCGGGACTGGTCGAATCAATGGCGAGAAGTTTATCGACGAGAACATCCATCTGATCAGTGCGTGCCAACTGGCGGGCTATCGCCACGTCATTGGCACGCTGTGGGAGGTAAAGGACGAAATATGTGTGGAAATGGCAAGAATAACGTACGAGGGAATAAGAGACAGAGGCATGACAGATGAATCGGTAGCCTGGGGACTTCATAATGCGGCCAGGGAACTTCGCGATCGTTGGCTAAGCATGCCAGGAAAGGCTAAACGGGGAAGCAAATTGGCTAGAGAGGAAGATGCAAGCTTAGGAGTGGATGAGGTGGGTGCTGATTGTGCAAATGATGGAGATCAGAGAGATGCCAAGCTGCCGAGAGATATTGTTTCATGCGACGATGATGATAAAGAAGTGGGACTATGGGTACCTTATGTTCATTTCGGCGTGCGATTCTCATCCCTTTAGACCAGGTTTTACAAGATACGATATGTAAAGAGATTACTGACTAAAGGTATGGATATGGAAATTGAATTCTGCTAGTCTTGATCAATACTACCTTATCAATTAACTGGTTTTAGGCCGTACAGATGCCGTTCAACAGCCCCGTCGGTCTCAAGCTGAGCGTATGCGAAAGATAGCTCGCATTCAAGAACTAGCCTGGACTTATAGACAAACGGCAGAGAACTATACTACGTTAGCTAGATTATATAATGAAGAAGTTAATATGTTGGAGAATAATACAGAGCAAGACAATAATGAGTGGGTTATTCCGGCGCTTCTCCCACGTGCCAGAGAGCATCTGGCCCATATTAGGACCGATATACTCGAGTAGCATATATGCAGTAGAAAGTCGTTGGCTTGTTGAATGGGTGGTATAGAGCAAGAGAGTATGGCATCGAAGAAGATTGCAGAGACGGCGTTGGAACCTGTGCCAAAGGCAGATGTAGAAAGGTTTTTGTTGCTCATGGACAAATTATATACCAGCAGCATGGTTAGTACGGAAGCTATCAAGCGGTAGGTAGAGTAGCTTACATGGTGGTGGCGAATGTCGGGGTATTAATGTTGCATCCACAGATGGTGTTTGGTCAGCATGCCATCTTGTCCTCCCTGGGCCTATCAATTTTGCACAGAATAAGCACTCACAACCAACATATACTTCTGGCAAAAGAAAAGACCACATTTATCAATTTTTTCTTCCTCATGCCATCGCTAAGCCTGTAGCACTTCACTGGTTGACGAATCGATCCCTGAAGTGGCGAAACCCTGAATTTCTACTTACGAGTCTGGACGGTCTTCATGTTTCTTGTAAGATTACTCTCAAGCAAGATTTCAACAACTTCTTAGTTGAAAATATCAATTAAATTTATATGTCCGACCTCCTTTCTGAAGTAAGTCGAATTAAGAGCATCACCAAGAAATCACACGTGCGGTTACCCCGCCTTCCTCATGTGATCACTGCAAGCACCTTCTGTCAAGATTCTGTTCTCCAAATCCATACATTTGAAAAGTACCCAGAATGGAAACCAAAGAGCAACAACTCTCTGCACCCATGCCTCAAAAACACATCACCATACTCGGCGCAGGCATCACAGGCCTCACCACAGCACTCAAGCTCAACAGCGACCCCTCAGCCCAATACCACATCACCTTGATCGCCTCCCACTATCCCGGCGACGAGTCTATAGACTATACCTCTCCAAAGGCAGGAGCAGACTGGTCACCGCAAGCCACGTCCTCTCCAGCCGATGCCGAGATGCGAGAATATGACAAAAGTACCTATAACACGTGGACACAGATCCTTGAAACAAATCAGGCTGAAGCAGATCATCTCGGACTGGGATTCAGAGAATGCAGGACTTATTGGGGAAAGGAAGGGCCGGAGACAGAGGGGTTTGATGGAAGGGGTCTATGGTGGAGAGATGTGGTTAAGGATTTTGCAGTCCTGGATCTTGAGAAGGAGGACGCTGCTCCTGAAGGTGCGGTCATGGGCGTTAGGTGCCAGACTATCTGTCTCGATGTCCCGCAGCACCTTCAATATCTGTTGGAGAAGGTTCGCGAGGCTGGTGTCAACGTCATTCGATCCGTGGTGGATGTCTCCCATGGTCTTGAAGGGGTAGTCCAGGATGCGAAACGGATTGCCATGGAGAGCACTTATGCAGTTCAAGATTCCGATGTTTTTGCGTTGGTAAATTGCACTGGTCTCGGAGCAAGGCATTTTGTTGGGGAAGAAGAAGCAGCGAAACTGTTTCCTATCCGTGGACAAACGATCACAGTGAAAGGAGAAGCCGCGATGGATCGCACGTACGATGATTTCCCCCCTATATCCTCATCCATCGACGATGAAAATGAACTCACGTACGTCATTCCACGTCCAGGATCTGGCACGACGATTTTCGGTGGTTGCAAGCAAGTAGGGAATTGGGATCCTAAAGTCGACGAGGAGTTAAACGGGAGAATGGTGGAGAGGATCAAGAAGTGGAGATTGGCAGAGGAGCTGAGGACGGGCAAGGAAGGGGATTTCGAAGTTGTGAGTTCTCAGGTGGGTCTGAGACCGGGGAGGAAAGGGGGTCCGAGAGTGGAAATTGAGGGGAAGGAGAAGGTCGATGGAGTTTGGGTTGTTCATTCTTATGGACATGCTGGGGCAGGATATCAAAGCAGTGTTGGCTGTTCTGAGAAGGTTGCTAAGATTGTGAACGAACTTGCAAGATTGTGAAATTGTTGATCAGACCTATGTTCAGGAGCACTTTTGGAAAAGTTTGGATGTTCGGAAGTCATGAAATGCGTGACAAGTCTTCGACATCAAGGAGCATTTACCCAGCTTCGAGATCATTGCTTCTTGTTCTACTTAAACGCAGTATAATCAAGTTAAGTCACGAGAGTCTGCTCCCTGAATCCTCTGAGCCCAAGGTATGGTCACGGGAGTCGAATCAATAGAACTGATAGAGAGAAGAACGCTGATCCCCACATTCTAGATTGGCGACTCACCGTCAAATGTTCATTAACTAATATCTCTATCTCATCCAAACACCACTACACTAAGGGTATTAACTCGACTCATCTCATCTATCCAAAGGGCGTGGAATGTCGTGTCCTGCTTTACTTCCCTGCCTTCTTGACCTACTATCAAATTAGCAACGTATTTCTTTAGGGAGGAGAGAGCGAGGAGCGAGCCGGGTGCATTAAACATCTTCCCGACTAGTGAGGTAAGGAGCTCGGGATATAGGAAAAAGAAATAGATTGTTTACCTTAATTCCCCCAAGAACCCCCACACTCTTCCAAACACTATCACTAACCTTAATCGGCAGCTTCCTCCCCTTCAATCGCTGATCAATCAACCACAATCCCACAACAAACTCCTCCCTCTCCAGCCTCCCATTTTGGCTCCTATCAACCAACGTATACACCTCTTCCAAAACATCAACATGCAATCTCGACCGCGAGAAGATGTCTCTCACGACAAGACTGCACACCGTATATTCCTCTCCCTCATCAGAACCGGACATAAATAGTCCTTTATTGGAAGCCCACACAGCTTCATACCGTTTCCGTTCTCTTTCTGTGATGGAATCTCGCCAGCGTTTTCTGTCCCCTTCGTGATGTTTGTGGGGATGCTTTTTCATGAGGTTTCTCCTTCCCCTCTTACGTTCTCCATCGTCTAATTCCTCTTTTGATTTTGGTTTCCGCATCGTAGTACGTAACCCGACTTGTTTAGCCGGGGATGGGGTACGGGAGAGTTCCTTAATTATGGGCTGGAAGAGGTAGCCGCGGCCACTGTGATTATTCCGTCGGCTGGGTGGGGGAGGGGGAGGGTAAAGTAATTGCTGGTGGGCAAGATTTCTTGAAGGAGAGGCTGCCCGGGAGGAGGCAATAGAAGAAGCTACGATTGCATTAGCAAGGGAATCGATTGTTGCGACTTCTGAGTCGACAGATGCTTTCGAGGTAGAGGTAAGACGGCGATTCTGCTGGTTAAGGGAAGCACGAAATGAGGGCTTGTAGTCGGAGGCTGACACGAAAGAGTCATCTGAGGAGGCATCGTCTTCGTCGTTTGCGGTTTTGGTTGAGATTGGGATTGGGATTGGTTTTGAGGCAGGTAACGTGGGTTTTGCGGCTACTGGAGGAGTCCCAGGAGGGTCGGATTGGACGGGTTGTCTTGATACTTGTGTTAAAGTAGGTTTGGGCGACTTAATCTCTGGCTTTCGAGGCTTAGCTGGCATTGGTGATGGTGTAAGGGTCCTCGCAGGCAGAGGGGAAGCGGCACGGGGTGGGCCAGGAGGCCGCCTGGAAGTCGATGTTGCTGATCTTCTCCCAGGTGGCCGTTTGAAGCTCGGTGGGGACGTAGCAGTTTGCTCAAACATTCCAATCAACGAAGTAGTTGGAGGAATTGGTGTGGTATCCAGCGGCTGATCAATGCTCTCCCTCGAAGAGCTTCCACCACTTCTCGCAGACGGAGATCTCGGCCCAAGGCCGGAAGACCTCTCCCAGTGAGGTTGCCGCTGCCCAGTAGGATTCGGACTAACCGAAGCTGACCTCGAGGCCGCCAGAGTTGCAGCTATAAAGGAGGGAGACTTCGAGTGGTCTGCAGTGCCTCCTGGAGGTTGCAAGAAGCCGGTCCCTCCAAGTTGACTTATCCGTTGCTGGATATTAGGTCGCTCCGAGCCTCCCATGTATGATTGTCCTCCAACGCTCGACCCCGTATTTTGATATGACAAGCTCTGGCCATCTCCCGGGGCGTCTTGTCTCGTATCAGAGGCGTATCTGCCTTGTTGATGTGGACTCGCTCCTCCAACCTTTGTCGCCGCAGCCAATGCCCAACCATCCCCACTGTAATTATTGATTTGCGGTTTGAGCTTCACAGGAGGTTTGCCAAAAGCCAACGATGCCCCTCTCAGGGCCGCGTTCTGTGTTGTGGACGACACATCCTTTCCAAGCCGGGGATTTTGGGAGAGATGTGAATCGGCAGTCATCGGGCCACGACGAGATCGCGACTGCGACTTCGATCGTAATCGTGGCGTTAAGGAGGGTCGAGCATCTATGCCGTGGCACTCATAAGGTGCTTCTTGTCGAGCAGGGCGGAAGTATTGGCATAGTGTTGTTGATCCAGCCTCGAGGTCGTCCGGAGGGATGTTGCTTGCTAGGAATGTACAGTACAGTAAGCTGCCAGCCTAAAATAGCCGGCCGCGAGGCTGAGACAACCTTAACACATCACTTCACTTGGGTCAACCTATTCTTGACTTTCTTCTCAAAATATCTCCGATCTGGTTATAAGATATACCACTTTGGCTTCTAATGTCTGAATCCGTGTTCAACACAAGAATGCGAAGGCCGATGTGAGAGTTTTGACCACTAGTGTCCCGGTTTCTTGTGGCTGCGCTACTGGTAAGGCTGCATCTGTTAGCACACTCAAGTTCGACACTATTCTCTATTATAATTAGGCAAGAGAAATTGATCTCTGGCTGACGGAGAAGTTACGAGGCTTGCAAAGAGCCCAATAATTACAATTGTTATACATTAAATGTTGTGACCTGTATTTCTGTTAAGCACTGAGATTAGATTTTCACATTGGACGAAAAGCGTTGGTCTCTATTTCATTTATCGGCTTCTCATTGTCATCTTTAATCCTCAACTTATCATCATCATCTTCTAATCATCTCTTATAAAGCCGTATCGTCGTCTGAGGTCTCTTGTCTGGGAGCCTCTGGTCTCTTCCCTATTCAATGAAAACGTTAAAATAAAGGCGAACTCCGTTTGGTATCGCACCAGGGCAGGTCTTGGACCATCTCATGCAAAATCCCCATTTCTGTAGTAAATGCACCTTGCGCCAAATGTAAACTCCGTCAATTCAAATGCAGCGCTATGCATGCCAACTCATTCGGACGAAAATGTTCCACCCACACCCCACCGTTACACAACCCAACTTTGGCGAAAAGAGGCTGCGCGGAAGAAGCCAAAATCTAATACCATCGGAAAGCCATTGGACCCTCCGTGCATTCTGTGGGACCCGAAAGACACTTCGGAACCGATGGCTTGGAGTCGGAGTGACGCCTCCGATGACGGATGCCCTCGACGGCTGTGAACAGTGAACCTCTATGCATCCATCACACGACAACCGCGGCGCAAAACGACCTTTCACCATATGTTTCTAGAGGTTTCCACCCCAATTATCCTTTCAACGATACGTGGAAGGAATTAGCCCGGATTTGTTCCGCTTGTCAGTTAAGCACGGTTTCTCAAGCCCTCAACCTGGCCCCCTTGCAGAGATCCGAGGCGAGCGTTCTCCGCTGCAAACGAAAAGTCGTATTCGACGACGCGCAGCACGACAATTTCCAAGTCCAAATGCTCTCCTGTTTCCAGGTATAGATTAACGTATGCAACGGACCGAACCTGCCTCGCCAGCGAATTTAGGCTATGTTGGTCCCCCTGTCAAACGAACCCCTGGCGATCCGCAGGATGCATGTCCCCTTGGGAGCGTGGATCTCCGCATCTCCGGAGACCCCTGACGTTATCTTGGCGACCGAAACCAAACGGCTTCCGATTTGGCTCGTGACTGGATTCAACGGAGCTCGGTGCTGAACCTGAGCTTCCAGTTGCGGCATTCTAAAGTGGTCCTCCTGTGTTTCCATGTGTCACAAATAACGGGGGGTTCTTCTTCAAGCGGAGGGTGGGGTACATTTGTGAACATTTTCACGGGATTCGCTAACGATGATGTGGGTCGACATGCTTCTAGAAGCTCGGCAGTGACGAAGGTGGATTTCCAAGGCGTGGTTGGCGGTCACTCCAGGTGACGAAAAGAAGGGACTATCGCGATGCGTATAGCCCACGAATGCATGTGCCCCTGGATGCATGTTTGTGTCGAGTAATCGAAGCTGATGGTTAGTGACAAGCACTGTTCAACGTGTAATAGCAATCCATCTTGCTGGAACACCGTTCTCGGCGATTTCGTAAGGCTTGGTCGGCGGTTTCCTTGGTGGCAAGGCCCATTTGGCCCTCCCAGGCTTGTGGTCATCCAGCTTGCCTTTCTTCCGCATGAGCATTTCCATGACTGCAACCCTGATGAAGTCGCTGTTTTCCCGCATATCCCTCTGTCGTGCCAAAGGCCCAGCTGCGACTTCCGCAAAAGCGTCTTCAGGTGTAGGTTGTGTGCGCCTACTGATCACACTGGGCGAAGTGCTTTTGGCTGAGCGTGAGATCTTGTACGTTTGCATCTGGATAGATGCTGTGCATTTTGTTGCGCTCATGGTCTGAGCTAGTGACGGTGGCACGTGAGCTTCAATCGGAGCATTCGTTGTAGGATTTAGATAGCGTCGCAGTGATGGAGTTGGTGTATCTTCGAGTCGTGGAGGCATGCGCTCATCAGTAAATGGTACTTGAGGATCGATGGAAATGATAGATCTCGTAAGGAAATCGTCTGGCGTAATCATTGGGGTCGTGAGAGTTGAGAATGACTTTGCAGCGTGTCTCAAGGCTCGTAGAGATGCTGTCAGATTTGACTTGAAGGCTGACTTCCGGGGGGGCGATTCAATCCCAGTACTATGCTTTGCCTCGCCTTTCTCTCCAGATTTGTGAAAAACTCTGAAGTCTAGCTGATCGACATCTATTTCTGAGATAGACAACGGGTGGTCTTCAGAGGCAGGCTCGCCAGGTGGTGAAAGTGGTTGCAATCTTCGCGATGGCAAGGACTTTCTGCCACGAGGTATCGAACCAGAATGAGGTGTTGATAGTGAGCTAACAGAGGGTGAAGCTTCGTTGATTGACCCGTCATCCAGTGACGGCATCGATTCACTAGACATCGTCCTTGTAGACAAAATCGACTCGCGGCCGTTGTCACTGCCAACAGGATCATCCTCCTCTTCCGGTGGGCTGAGAAGGAAGTCGAGTGGACTCCTCCCCAAAGATATTGATAGCTCCTTCTCCGTTACACCAGTATGTTGTAAGATGTTGTCCACCGTCAACCTTTGCCCAGCACCGTTCCTATTCCGTGCACTATAATTCTTCTGCAGAGGTATCGATGTGATGGCAAGAAGTGCGGCCACTGATGGAGGTAAAGCGTCTGGAGAGTGAATGGTGCGCGCTCGACGTTCTGATTTTTCTGAATGTCTCCTTCCACTTTGTCGTTCCTTACGTTTTTGAGATCTCGGTCCTTCGTGAGGGAAATCGCGGTGTCCACGCATGGGGATTACGACAGGAGAGGTAGGTGTAGTCGGCCTTGAAATAGTTTCCGTTGAGGAAGCGCTGGACATGTCCTTCCTGTCTTTCTTTGACGGAGAATTGTTCCTCCTTTCATTTCGAGTCCGCTCATAGTTGGGTTCTTTGGGCGCAGGAGAACTCGGACGAGTAAACAGAAAGCTCCTTGGTTGGAGCATTGTCACATAAGAGCTCGTCGCGTGCCGAGGGAGGCTACGGCGGGGGCCGTTTACCAGCCAGTAGTGCCAGTACCTATTACTTGAGAGAAACCGGCGTACCAAACTTCCCAGAATCAGGAACTCGGGACTTGACCAGGTGATTAATCCAGACGAATTCTTGCAGCACACGCCAAACTGACTCGTGGTAGCCTTATCGGAAGGTGACTCGGGAAGTCAACAACAGTTCTAAGCATATATCGGTTTGGTGTGAGTTGGGGTGATACATGACAGGCTGGCAGCTTTAGTCAGTGGAAGGACATGAGTGTTCTGAATGCCGTAGATATCCTCGAGAGTTGTTGATGCTGAAGGAGAGATGATGGCCTGATGAATGTTGAGAAGTGAAGTATAGAAACAGCTGGTGTGTAAGCTGCTCGGGTTGACGTGGAGTTGTTGGACCAGGAGGGGGGCGGTGGCAGCCTTACATACGACGGGGCGCACTGATAAGGGTCCTGTCGGCATCCGGAGGCACACGAGCGAGCACACGAGCGGAGAGCCCGATAATACTGTATCGCCAGTTCGCAAGGTCCTCGTCCACGTCCTTCCTTTCACCCGATGCGCCGGAAGACGATGACTCTTTTTATTCAGTCAAATTCCCATGCTCTGTGCCCCCATTGCGGGACTTTTCTGGTCTGCGCTTCACTTTGGAAAAAATCAAGGAAAAAGGAAAGGAACCCCCCCAATCTCTGCTGAGTCTGCCCTCGTCTCAGGATTCGGCCCAGCACTCGGCAGCCGTGAATCTTGTCCTTCCCGCGCCTTGTCTGGTCGTCCGGAGCCGTCGTCTACCGTCTCACCGAGTCACCCACCCTCAGATATCAGATCGTACTGCCTCTTGCGCCCATCGGAAGCCCCATGGCCGTGGGGGACCTGGCTTTCACGTCCCTGATTCCCCAAGTGTCACTTCATGTGTCTTCCCAAGGCAAGGAGGTGGGCGAGCAAGCATCACTCGATGCGCTAGTCCTGTCCGTGGCCCGATTCTTCGTGTATCATCCCGCTTAGTTGGCTTGTTGCATCGTGCTTCGTCCACTCAAGGAAGGATAAGAGGAATTGAGATCCTTTATCGCCGAAGATGGGAAGAGAATTGGCGTGGCATGCACTCCACATCATGACGGACCCCCCACAACAGAGACATTAAATACTCAGAGATCATCTGAAGGCGACTGCTTCGGGACTCAGCGGTACCTGCACCTGCTGGTGTGCGCGCAAAATTCATCCCAGATTTTCTCCTTCCGCCGTACAGTACACGTCGACTCGCATGCCTCACCGCTGACTTGTGAGCCCGTGGCACGCTCGATCCCCTTGTAGCATGGAAGAATAGACCGTCAAGAAAAATCCGCAATTGTTGTCCAAGAAGAGGAAGGTCGTTAATTTTCACCTCCGGGATCGGGAAAATATCTGGAGAAGAGCGCTATGAAGTCGCTGCTTTTGACTCTGTCATGGACTTATGGCCTTGGCAGATGATCGAACAGTGGGAGAACGCTGGCAGTGTAAATAGCGATTCAGAGGTTGCAAACAATACAATTAAAACGAAGAGACGCTTGGAACTTGGAACTAGGTTTTGGTATTTCGCTCTGGACAAAGCCAAGAACAGTCAGTATAAGACAACACTGAGAAGCTAGTTCCACGATGAAAGGCTCCTCCTCTGTTGTCATCGGTACCTGACCAGATCACGTGTTCTCGTAACACCTTCCAGATTGACGGAACGAGATCGATCACATTTGACAGACCTTATCACGCAGGCCGCCCATTTCATGCAGCTCTTATCAATGACATGTCAGATCGTTTGTTGCCCAATAGGAGATTTTGACTTCCACAGCCAATTGTTCCTTGGCGTTTCCAGAATGAAGCTCATGGGGGGACATCAGCAGTCCAACTCGAACGCCACTGCTCAGTGCGAGCATGTGAACTGAACCCAACTGAACCAACTGAACCACAGTATCACTTTACTCGAGACACGGACTATTTTCTCTCAGTGAGGATGTGGCTGCCTGGTGCGCTCAGAGAAAACGAAATGGATGCCTGGCCGTCTGATAATCTTACCCTCGCCGATCCAAATTAAGCGAGTGAGCTTAAATCATCTCACGGGGTTTCGCTCCTCTGACGTGCTCTCCTCGCGTCCACCCATTTTGAGAACGCGAGATCCCGAGCCGCCTTTCTCCTTGTCTCGAAGCCAAACCAACTCCAACTTCCCAGTTTGTTTCCCCTTCAATTGTATGCCGGTTCTCACCTTCGAAGATGGCTTCGAGTCAGAGGGAGCCTGATGCTGAGGCTATCGAGGACGACGAACGTCAGTATGCCCACCTGAGAGCGAGCAATGATGCCGATGACCTGTAAGTAGAACGCATCCTTTGCTGTTTCCATACTGACCACCAAGGAATCTGCTTCGCCCACAGAATCATTCGAAGACCCTTCCTTTCCATGAACTCTTTACCTCGCTGTTCAACCCCCTCAACGACAACAAGAAACGTCCCACAGGTCCGACTGTGGCGCGGGCAAAGCAAGGTCCCCATGGACCAAGTAATCAGCCTCCGCACGAGATACGTCGCAATATCATCTCGCGATTTATCTCCAGGTGGCGAAGAGACGTCGGCAATGACATCTACCCCGCTCTCCGCCTGATATTACCCGAGAAGGACCGTGACAGAGCCATGTATGGTCTGAAAGAGAAAGCCATCGGCAAATTGCTTGTCAAATTGTTGAAGATCAATCCAAATTCAGAGGATGGCTTCAACCTCCTCAACTGGAAGTTACCAGGTCAGACGACGTCAAGCCGAATGGCGGGAGATTTCGCAGGTAGATGCTATGAAGTATTGTCCAAGAGAGCTATGCGATCAACGGTTGGTGATATGAGAATTGCGGAGGTCAACGAATTGCTGGACCGTCTCTCCGTGGTTTCTAAGGAAGAAGACCAATTGGCTCTTTTTCAAATTTTTTACAATAGGATGAATGCGGAGGAGCTAATGTGGCTCATACGTATCATTCTACGGCAGATGAAGATAGGAGCCTCGGAGAAAACACTATTTGACGTGAGAAGCCTTCCAGCTCTTGAGCTATCGCTAACTAGAGTCTCAGCTGTGGCACCCCAATGGAGAAGCCCTCTTCAACGTAACATCCAGTCTCCGACGCGTCTGTTGGGAACTGAAAGACCCCTCGGTGGTCCTCAATGAAGAGAAGACTGGAATTACTCTTATGGAATGCTTTCAGCCACAACTCGCACAGTTCCAGATGCATTCGTTTGAGACGATGATCGCGAAAATGGGCTGTACACCAAGCGAGCCCAACTTCTGGATCGAAGAAAAGTTGGATGGTGAAAGAATGCAAATGCACATGACGAAGGACCCCAACAGTAAAGGAGGGTTTCGATTTTCATTCTGGTCGCGAAAGGGAAAAGACTACACATACCTATATGGCAACAGCTTCGAAGATGAACGCTCCGCACTCACTCGACACCTCAAGGACGCCTTTGAGGATCGAGTGAATAATGTTATCTTGGACGGCGAAATGATCACCTGGGATCCAGAGCTGGATGTGATGGTAGGGTTTGGCACATTGAAGACTGCAGCACTATCTGAGCAGAGAGATCCTTTCAATGGTACCGGCCATCGACCTTTGTTCCGGGTTTTCGACTGCCTGTATCTGAATGACAAAGTCCTTACGCAATATAAGTTGGAGGAGAGACGAATTGCGTTAGAGGGCTCAATCAGGAACGTCCATCGTCGGCTTGAAATTCATCAATACCAAGAAGCTCATCAGGCATCACAAGTTGAGGCCGCCTTACGCAAAGTAGTAGCCGAAGCCTCTGAAGGGCTTGTGTTGAAGAATCCAAGATCAATCTATCGATTGAACTCTCGAAATGATGACTGGATGAAGGTCAAGCCTGAGTATATGACAGAATTCGGAGAATCGCTAGATTGCGTTATCATTGGTGGCTATTACGGCTCCGGTCATAAAGGTGGACGTTTGTCGTCGTTCTTGTGCGGACTTCGGGTAGGCCAGAATGACATTCAGAAGGGTATGTGCTTCTTCGGATATGCGGGTTCCAGCTAACGATGGAATAGGTGCAAATCCGATGAAATGCATTTCATTTTTCAAGGTTGGTGGAGGTTTCAGAGCCCAGGATTACCGCAGTATCGATGAGAAGACAAGTGGGAAGTGGACCAAGTGGGATCGAGCTCATCCGCCTACAGAACTCATCACGCTTGGCGGCGGTGATAAGCAATATGAACGGCCAGATGTATGGATCAAACCAAGCGATTCGGTCGTCCTAGAAGTCAAGGCCGCATCAGTCGGAGGTTCTGATCAGTTCGGTTTCCAATACACCTTACGTTTCCCTCGGTTCAAGAAGCTGCGAGACGACAAAGCTTGGGACACTGCACTTTCCGTTGATGAATTCATTCAGCTCAAACTTCGTGTCGAGGCAGAATCAAAGGAGAAGAAATTCGAGGTCGACACACGCAGGAAAAGTACAAAGAAACTGAAGAAAGAAGTGGTCATCGCTGGTAATGATACTAAAGTCAAGACCCCATACGCCGGTCCGAAAACTGCGGTCTTTGAGGGCCTGAATTTCTGCGTTCTGAGTGAGATGCTTTTTCCTCAAAAGAAGTCTAAAGCGGAGATAGAGCAGATCATTAAGAGCAACGGAGGTGCGATCTCCCAAAGCCCCACCGCCAAAGAAGACATGATTTGCATTGGAGACAAGAAGGTGGTCAAGGTCGCGAGTTTGATCAAAAGCGGACAAACGAACATTGTCAAGCCATGCTGGGTTCTTGATGCTCTGAGGCAAGCCGAGATTGATGGTCCACAGCGACAGCGGCTCTTGGTTCCGTGGGAGCCAAAGCACATGTATCATATGCTGGATCTGATGCGCGAGCAGATTGAAGGGAATGTGGATGAGTATGGAGACAGTTATGCTCGAGATGTCTCGGTCGAGGATCTCAAGAAGATCATGGACGATATGATACACCCAAAGAACTCGGCGTTCAATTCCAACAAGTTTCTTACCGAGCTTGACGAGCGCGGAAAAGGTCTTGGCGAGGTACCTGGATCGATGTTCAGGAGATGTGTTGTTCGTTTTGTGTCGGAAGATGAATTGGAGGACTGTGGACCGAACGTTGATCTCCTGATTGCGAAGAGCCAGTTCTCGTTTTCTGGAGGCAGAATTGTTGAAGATGACAAGGATGAAGATATCACTCATTATGTGATCGTTAGTCAAAATCCAGAAGTGGTGCGGTCTTTGAGGGAGAAGATGTCACAAAGAAATGGAGTTGTGCCGAGAATTGTCGGATTGAAGTGGTTGCTGGAGAGCTGGCACGAGAAAACATTGCTGGACGAGGAGAGGTATGCGGTCCGGATCTGACGATTGCATATGGTTATGGGCAGGTTTTTGGTGTCAGAGGTTGTGATCCATTTCTGATGATTGCTTTGCATATGGGCCGGAGTTTGATATCAGGGGCAATGATTCCCAAAAAGCTTAGCATCATTGGTTAGCATAGCAAAGATTCACTCAGCCGTTCTCTCTTTCAATGTCCTTCAGGCCCATGGAACATTTATGAACCCTTTTTTCATTGTCCAAAAACTTGTGCCCGGAACTCCAGCTGATGCAATTTTAATGCACTCTTATAATGGGGGCAAATTCTCCCTACAAATCGGGCACTGCAGCCGAAACCTCATCCACCCCTCAAGGCAAGCACTATGAAAAACGTGCCTGCAAGGGGTAACCATATACAGCCTCCTAGCCAACATGCCCGTCACTCCTCCCGCATTCGCGTTGGAATCCTCTCCTGCACCAACAACAGGCACCTCAAGCACCTGCATACAGATCGCACAATCCACACTCCTAACCCCACCATCCCTCTTCTTCCTCCCCAGCTCCTCACTCGTTCTCGTCCTCTCCAAAGTTGGAGAACCTGGGATTTGGACAAGGCCGATAGGCAGCCCGCCAGCCTCAACATTATCTTCCCGAAGAATGGGATGATAATCCCATCCTTCTTCATACCAATTCTTGGGTAGTCCCCATCTCGGGCCCATAATCTCTTGCGCAACGAGAACCCAGATCTGCACCCATACCCAGCCAGCCAATACGCAGAACGCCTTCCAATCCGTCTCTGCAAACAAGATGTTACCTTCTTTTAGATAGAAGTAGGCGAAGGGTAAGAGGCGGAGAATCGATTGACCGATGATGAATTTCCAGAGCAGGGCTTTGCGGCAGTTGCGGATGACGTTCCGCCGGATTTGCGGGAGCCAGATAGAGAGGTAGATGAAGGAGAGCGTGTTTACGTAGAAAGTGCGGAGGGGGATGGGCCAGGATGTTGAGGAGAGGGAGATGAAGAGGAGGAGGGTGAGGCCAAGGATGAATTTCACATAGATAGCGCCGAAAGAGGAAGAGCTTCGTGGTGGGGTTTGAGTGGTAGTCGCAGGCGTATTCGTCGTGGGGAGTAATGGTGCTACGACTGTGGTGGTGTTTTCGGCGATCTCAGCATCAGTGTCTTGGTCAGAAGGGATAATGATGGGTATGTTGGTTGGACGAGGGGATGTATCGGCACCAGCTGCTGTGATAATAGGTGCTGGCGTAGAATTGGCATTCGGCCTTGCTGGAGGGGCTGTAGGAGGCTGGTGTGTTCGTATTCTCTCTCGCCGCTCCGGCTCTTGAACCTGATAAATTGCTCCCACAAATCGTACGCCAAGAGCCACGGACATCAGCGCAGTGAAGGATGTCAACAACGCGGCAGGAAAGAGATTTGGAGCAGTTGCACTCAGAAGAGACAGGCTCGAAAATAGTAGGGCATCAGCCATGAGCATGATGGCCACAGTATATAGACTGACTCGTCCAATTGTGGACGGTGTTGAAGCCTCTTTTGACTGGATCTTCAGGAGCATAATCTGTGCAAATATCACAAGAGCAAATATATGTAACCAACTCCGGATATCATGTAAGAATAACTCTTGTTTCATTCCAAAGAGATGCTCCCCATCTCCGGGCGAAAAGTCTGGAGGTCCTTTCGACTCGATCACAAATCCACAATCAGGGGAGAACATGACCGTAGACATTTGAAGTTTAGGGGCATCGGGAATAGGAGCGCCGTTTGGAAATCGAATCTCTTGCTCAATCTGGTGAACAATGTTTGCCGGGTCAAGACGTCCAGCACCGCTAGCCAAGTCGACCTTCAGTGGATAGACTTGAACATATACCACCAACTCGCAATGCGGAACCGGCATTGTTGCATCTCCTTGATTGTCCGGACTTGAGGTGAAAGGGTTGCCTGGGTCAGCCCAGATTGCATTTTCCATGCCTTCGATGGCCTTTTCCAGTGTCCTATTAAGGAGTTTCTGACTGGAAAGATAGTGCTCCCGGCTAGGAGTTAGATGGGGCAATCCATAAATTCCATGGAATTTGTCACTCGTTGTTGTGAAAAGCATCACTCCCTGCTTTGGCCAGTGAAGTCCATGGACCCTCATTTCCCATCCATCGCCATAACTGGTTTCGTCTTGAATTGTAATAGTGGCGACAGCTGATCTGACTGCATTGACAGGTGAAAGCGGGAGGTCTTCAACAGAGCCTATTTCCTCTGCCTGCTTCTCATCCAATTTCAGCATCAGCTTGCCTTCATTTCCAGTGATGTTCCTGATCCAGTACTCCTCTCCTCTAAAAGCCCAATCGGTCTCTGGTGCGATTTCCGTGAGGTTCATGACCCGTTTCCTTGGTTCGCCGTTGATGTCTGCTGTATGCCGAACCCACCTCCCTGCCACAATGCCGGTCACATTCTCATAGACATCCGGCATCAGCCCATTCTCACCACCATCAACTGCCCGCCACTTTCCTCTGGCTTCATCACTGTACTCTGAACTCCTCTTCTTGAACGCCTCTAGCCTTTCCCACGCATAATCATCGTCCTCTCTAAACCCGGTCAAGTTCAAATATCTCGGTGCCTCATGCTTCGAGCTATCCGGCCCCTTCGGAGAGAAATCCTGCCATTTCGTGATATTCAGAATGTCGAGCGAACGTCGTGACACAGCAATTCGTTCCGCAGCGTAATCGCGAGCTGTAGGGAAGCCGGGAGGTGGCCCTTGGTCCGGAGAGGCGTAGAGGAAGAATAGAAGGACAATGATTAGGACAACGCGCGCATATTCCTGTTGAGGAACTGGCTGCGGTGGCATTATGTGTGCACGAGTAGGGGTAGGAGCTTCATCGTAGGAAGAATGATGAAGTCCAGCAGTGGTGGTGATTCACGGGAGTTCGCGTGATGTGATTGACGTTGGCAAGGCTTGGAAGATCCACACGCACACCTCACTCAGCCCTGCATGCGGCCACGCGATTTTTTGCTATGTCGAGCCTTGTCCTCCCTCGAGACTCGACATCAACAATTTACAATATACAGAGCAAAAGGCCTACGGTGGGACCACTCTGGCGATTCGGATTGCGATTGCGCACACCATAATGGCATCTAATCCAGAATCAAGTTCCCCAAACGCCAACCGCCAGTCGGTCAACTCCGTAGAGCTCCAAAGCCTCTTTTCTTAGCCACGACCCGCTAACAACAAGTTGCAGACAACGACGGATGCTTCCGCATCTGCTGAATTATCTGCTGTCGTCGATGAGCTACTAAACTCTCTGTCAAATAAGTTTGCGGGTGTGTCGAGCGAGATCTTCGCGAAGAGTAAGCACTGGATTGACCGCGGGATCTCTCCTCCAAGGGGAAGCTAACTTATGCAATACAGTGGACGAGATGTCGAGACGGCTGGATAATCTGGAGGCTACATTACAAAGCGGTGCTGAAGGCAAGGATGGGAGAGGCAGTCCTACGAAGCAGTAGCCTACAAAGCGGCAGGAAAGTAGCTAGAGGTTGGTAATTCGGGATTATAGGCGTTGGGGAGTTGGTTGAAGGCATCACAGGCTTTATCGATTCAAGGATAAATTAGGCCCGGAATCTGCTCTGATACTATTGGAGGTTACAAGATCATACACTAAGGCACAATACACATAAGATTGCAAAGAAACGTCATAGCAGCCAACTCCAAGTCCCGTTTCAATTTTCCTAATAAGTGCAACCAACGACCCATATCGAGTACATATCTATAGCTCAGACTTGCCTCCGGTGACCTTCTCGACGAATTTCCTCAAGATGTTGGTCTTGCTGGTGAACTCATCAAGCTTCGCTGGAGCAAGACCACCCTTCTTGAGGATGTTGTCCAATCGAGTCAGCTCCTTGGCGGCATATCCGTCACTCTTCGACATTTTGTCGAAGACTTTGACGTAGTAATCAGCATACTTGTACTGAGCACCCTCCTTCAAGTCCTTTGCAGCCTTGGTAGCTTCAGCAGCGATCTCAGCAATGCTGGAGCCACCAGTGAACTTCTGAACAAGGGTATCCAAAGCCTCAATAGTACCGGCAGTAGCATCAAGCCCACCACCTGGGGTACGGTGTGTTCCAGCCTTCTCATTGACGTACTTCACGATATCAACCTCCGTACGTCCAGCATTGAATTCCACAGGCTCCTTGGAACCCTTGGGGAAGAACTTGATTGTTGGGTATGAGGAGACGCCTTGGTCTTTGGCTGTGGCTTTCGAGTTCTCTGCCTCGGCATCCACCTTCGCAATAACGACGTTAGGCTCGTTGGCAAAGTCCTGGGCAACCTTCTCCCAGATTGGTGCAAGGCTCTTGCAGTCTAGACACAAGTTAGCGCAGCTCGTGATGGGGGATTGTGGTAGACATACGGCCACACCATGGTGCTGTGAAAGCAACCAAAACATCCTTATCACTACCAATTTCCGTCTTGAATGACGAGTCGGTCAACATGTCAACCGCACTAGCAGGAGCCTTCGCCTTCTTGGGCTTGACGCCTGTCTTCTTTGTAAGGAACTCCGTCAAGCTCTCCAAGTCTCTGCCGCCATTGTAGTCCTCGGGCTTGTTGCTCTTTCCATCGAAGTATTTGATTGTAGGGAAGCCCTGAACACCAAATCGCTTTCCTAATGATTTCTCACTATCGGCATCGACCTTCGCAATAACAACCTTGTCCTTGGCAAAGGCGAAGTCTTGTGCCAGTTGCTCGTACACAGGAGCAAGTGTCTTGCAGTGTCCGCACCACGGGGCAAAGAACTCAACAAGGGCAGGCTTGCCAGAGATCGCGATCTTGTCAAAGTTGTCTGGGATAAGGTCAAGGACGGCGGAGTTGTCGTAGGTTGGTGGGGGAGAGCCTGGCCCTTTGGCAAAGGATAAGGTGGCCAGCCCAGCAAATAGAAGACTCTTGATGAGAACCATTGTGAATAGTAGTGTATTTGGTCGGACTGCTCAGAGTGTGTGGAATTAACTCTGAAGGTGGGCGAGCAATTCGCCTTTTTGTAGTGGGAAGGGTTGGATTTCTAATCCTTGGTTATGGACAGAGTTTCTAGTTCGAGCTCTCAGCAAAGCGGTGGCGTTTTAGAGGCTGAGCTTTCAATCAACCGGCCCCGCTTAAATATGACGCTTAAAGGGGGTGTCACGTGATAACGATAGCGTGTTCTTATGTCGAGAGGTATTCGAGTTCTAGAAGGAATACTTAACTTGGATATAAGATGGACTGCAAATGCAAAATAAGCTTGACGCCGCGCATAAATATTTGTACTATGTTCCACAAAAATTTGGCGATGAGTGTATATAAGTAACAATTCATCCTGAGGGACGACCATGAGTGATCACTGTAGTAGAGTCATTCTAAGCAGACCCAAAATCTCTTTGATGGATGGTCTCACAATATCAGGTATATCGAGTTCTCCCATAATTCAAGCACCTATACCCTCCTCTAATATCGAATAAAAGCACAACACTCTGCTTTGATGCCACCCAGTAACTCAGTCTAGCCGAATTTTTCCCTATACGCAACCACCAAAATCGGCCACGGCCATTTTCTCCTCCTGGTAAAGAGATACCTCTGTCGCGACGAACTTTTGGCGATCTTCGAATAGCTCCCAGATGTACTATATTCGTACGCAGCTTCACTCCTTTACCAATTGCCATTATATCCGTCCATTCCATCCGCCCATCCATCCTTCAACCAACTGATCAATTCATTCTCTAATCTCCTTATCCTTCTTCTCTTCCCATCACAACTCTCAGGGTTTCGATCGCTACAAATGATGGCTGACAGCATGTTTAAGTTCAACGTCTGCACCGAGCCTGGCCTCGTTTTACAACGGAATGACACTTCGACTCGGGTACAAGTTCTGCGTCGAGCATATAAACGAGTTGGCGATAAAGGAGAGGCTCGAGACCGACAGTATGACTAGCAACACATTGTTCATCTTCTATAAAGTTGCAAGAACGTCTAGTAACGAGATAGAGCAACTGGCTGCATGGACGTCCACGAGGGAGCACTTTAGCACTTTTGCCAATGCCCCGACGGAGGTAGCCCGCACCAGTCCGATCTTGAGAAAATTCTCGCCGCCTGCAATCTATACCTTGGCTTCCCGAATCATAGCCTCGCTGAGCTCCCCCAACTTCTTTTCCGCCGCAACCATTTCTTCTGGTACAGTAGTGCCCTTTGATATCCCTCTACCGCACCTTCGATAGAAGCATTATATTAGCCAGCGACGAACAGCGTGACAACTGCCGTACAAGCTGTGTGGGTCGCATTAGCTAGGTGTTGCCTTCCCGTAGATGCTCAAAGTTCTGCCTTCTAAAGGTATATTGGGACAGCGATTAGGAGAAAATGACTTATTTAGATCGATCTCCTGCGTAGTTCGATGATTCGCTGGTCTGAACTTGGATTAGAAAGCTGAACTGCTCCAGAACCTGGCCTCCCTAAGCTCGCTATGACATGGATTTCCTCTTGCGTAGTGCAAAATGACCTTCGGGTCTCTGTCACTGCATCGAATACACTAAAGAGAAACGTAATACCGCCGCCGGCTAGTGCAACCAACTGATCAAGACTTCGCGTGCTCGTATTCGTTTTTGGAATAAAGAATGGCTGATATTTCAGAGTAAATCCTTCATCTGTCAGCACGCCAGTGGACATAAGAATCGCTACTCCAAAGGCGATTGGTGTCGAAAGTCCAGTTATAAAAGCCGTGCTCTTCATCCATGCCTTTTTGATGCCTCTACTGAAGACGGTGCCTACTTTTCTACGCACTAGAAGGACTGGAAGGGCAGAAAGCAGGAGGACAAAAATGCCTGCGCTGAGACCAATTCCCAATGCAAATTTGTCCGACTGTGTCATTTCAAGGTTCCTTTGCTGATGTGCATCGGTCCGGTGCACTACAGAGATGACTGTGGGATAAGAATCCTGGTTTCCGAGAACTATGCTGAGGTGGGCTGGCCTGGCTCGCTAGAAAGACAGCATTCACCGTAGCCCAGCTGAAAACTCTAGCGACAAAGATTCAGAGCCGCTCTTTTGACCTGCAGCCGCCAAGCCGAAATCGCGAACAGTGCGAGAGCGAACATACTAAAGGTCTAGCAGATGTTAAGGGGGGCTACAATTGCCGCAGCCCGTTGGACCATTTCAGGAGCGAGGGATGTGAAAACCTCTAGAGGCGTCGCTGGAAGTCGGAGTAGTTGGAAAATTACGTGCGCGGACGCAATAACAGGAACTGTCAGGGTCGCTATGAAATCGTTCGTAATATGATCGAATTTTCTCAGCCGAGGATTGAACAGGCTTGGCGATATTCCGGACCAATCGGTTTCTGCCGATTCGTTCCAGGGGTCTGGAACGGGCGGTAATGGAACGTTCCAATCGTTCCTAAGCGAGCTAATCCCTGTAGATTCTCGTTATTTTGTAAAGAACTTCTATTAATTATGCTATTGAGAGGCTAAAAACCATTATATAATCTCAGAAAGGCCTTTATTAAGCCGTAGTACTACTGCGAGTAACTCTACCGCTACGAGGAGTCTTTCTTACTACACCACGTTATATAATTCGTCCTTGCTTCGTACAGCTACCCCCACTACTTCTACCACGTCCACTACGTCCACTATGTCCTCCACGACCTCCTATACTAATCTCTCTATTACTATTATTACTACTATTATTCCCTCCCCAGTAATAGCTTATAGCATGATCTGGCCACTTGTAATTACTATAGTAACTACCCCACATACCTATAATCCGGATATACTCAGGGAAAATAGTATTATTAAGTCCCGTACGAGTATACGTAGTATAAGGAATAGCCGTTATATTAACCCCTTCTTATTAAATAAGAAGAGCATTAATATAAGACTATTACTATATAAGAACTTGACTAATTATAATATGATTTGGATTAATAATTATATTCTGGCCAGGAAAAGTAAAGGCTTATTATTATTAATTATTATGGTACTATACTCTAGTTAGCTTTATTATATAGTAAAGGGTAAGGTATTATATAAAGAGAGTAAGTTATTAGCCTGTAATACCTATTATCTATTAGCCTTAAGGAAGAGGCTGGTTTGTACTAAGATTAGAAGTACTACTAGTACTAAAAGCAATAAAAGGAATAAGCCTTTAAAGATATTAGCTATTATATAATAAATAGGATTAAGGATTAAAAACTTATTACTAGTTTGGGTTTATAGGGCCAGGACCAGGAGCAGGAGGCTATATAAGGGAACTACTACCAGGAGTAAGAGACTATATAAGAGAATTACTACCAGGGGCTGGATTATTTAATATATTACTATTATATAATTAATATAATTACGAGAAGTAAAGAGAAGCAAGAGGTTCTTATATAAGTAGTAGTAATATTAATAAAGAAAGGAGGAAGTTAAAGCGGGAAAAATAGCCTTTAAATAAGAGTTATAGCTTAGAAATTTAGAAAATTTAGATAATATCCAGAAGATTCTCTAATTATATAAGAATCTTAAAGGGTATATATCTCTTTTAAACTAGCTAGTCTTAAAGAAGATTTATAAGATCCTAGTTCTTTTCTAATACTTTAAGTACTCTCTAATCTCTATTATTTCTGCTTCTATTTACCTTCTATCCCAGCTTATTATATAGCATGCCCCTGAAAAGACTTTCTCTAGCTTATTACTTATTAGAGGAATTAAGAGAATATTAATAGCTATAAATAAGAGCCTTAGCTAGTATTCTCTTTATATATCCTGGCTTTACTAAGCTAAGGCCCCTTACTTACTAATATTATATAATTCCTGGAAGTTATAATTCTTATACTTATTCTTACTTGCGGGTTATATAACTAAGTAAAGAGATCAAGTAATCTAATTAAAAAAGTCAAGTACTAATAGCTCTTAAGATAGCTCTTTATTATACGAGAAAGAAGTAATATTATTTAATAGTAAAGAAATAATTTAATTTCTATAGTACTCCCAAAATTTCTTTATATTTATAAGAGCTAGAGTTATATATTTCTTTGGCTAATTAGCCTTAATATATCTCATATAGAAGCCTGAATTAAGAATTAAGGCCATAGTATAAAAGGAAGAGAGATTAGTTCTAGTATAGTACTTATTAAGTATAGTATATGTAATATTAAGCTATATAAGGAACTCTTTACTTTTATTATTTTTTTTCTTCTTAAACTTAGCCTATATTATATTTAGCTAAGCTTATATAAGAAGAAAAAAGGAAAGTAAGAGACTTATAATTATTTCTTAAAAGTACTTAATTAAAATATCTATTATAAAAAGCATATAATTAATAGAAATAATATCTTTTTCTATAAAGAGAATTACTCGTATAAAAGTAGTAAGAAAGTCCCTAGTTATATAAAGCTTTTTCTAGTTTTTATAAGATAGGAAATCCTCTATAAGATTATTCTTATAATTCCGGTAATATTTATTTATATACTCTATTTTCTTAATAAGAATAAGAAGCATTTCATACTAGCTATTCTATCTTATATAATTATCTATTAGAATTATTCTCTTTATAAGTCCTATTCATTTAGCTATATAAGTAAGTAATTTGCAAATATAAGCCATAATATTATATGCTTTACTAAGTAGACCTAAGAGCCTAAACTTGACTCTCTTTTTCTTATTATTACTAATCTCTTAAGTCTATTTCTATTACTTATATAACTCAAGTTTCTCTATTTTAACTAATCCAGAAAATAAGAAAGCTTATACTATAAGATTAATAATATAGCTAATATAGCAAATTTGCATTTGCTATATATTCCACTTAATATTAAGCTCTTGTTTCTAGTATACTTGAATTACCTTATAAAGAGTCCCATTAGTTCTAGTATTATTACTTATAATAGCTCCAAGCTTTCATATAATACTATAGTCTTCCAGAACTAGAAAAAGAACTGAGAATTACTCTTTTCCTAAGTGGCCACGGACTGGTTTGAGAGCGAGAAGGACCTTTTAATACTTAAACTCATATAAGGTAAAATAGATACAAATAGCCAAAAGAAGAAAGCAATTTGGGAAAGTCCAAATATCTAAGAAAATATAAATATATAAGATTACTAATTAGAGAACTCGTTATATAGTATCCTTATACTAAACCCAGAATTCTTTAACCTTAATAGAAGTAGTAAAATAAGATATAGGAATTATGCCTTTATAAGCTTTATTTAAGAGCTAGTAAAGTATATGGAACTCTGGCCATTTTACTATATTATATAAGAGGTTTCATATAATAATAAGAGTAATTAAGGCTTCTATAAGAACTCTTTAATTAATTTGCTATTCAAGAACTTGTAAATCAAACTTCTTTATATCTCTAAGTTCTTAAGCTTAATAATAAAGCCCTTGGATTTATTAAGTAACTTTCTCCTAGTTCTTGGAGTTAGTAGGCTCAAGGGTAACAAGTAGATAATGCCTTAGAATATGCTTTCTGAGATTCCCTATAGTAGTAGTACTATATGGTAGTAGGAAAGAGTCTAATTAATAATATAAATAATAAAGTAAAGCTTTATTTTTATTAGGTAATATATAACGAGAATGCTTCCAAATCGGGGAAGTCCTCTTTAAATAGTCCGCAGAAGACGTTACTATCTCGGATAGTATAAGAGAATAGTCTGGTTTAATTAAAGAAGATATTTTGAGGATATACTCAAGGTAAATTAATTATACGGATAGATAAAAAGTAAGGAAGGGAGTATAGTGGGGGAAGTAGCGGTGGATTCGCCTACCCCTGTCATTATCGCCCTACCCCTGCCATTTTGGAACGTTTGGAACGTTCCATTACCAATATTACCTAATACCAGTCGATACCGGCCGGAACGTTCCGTGGAACGTTCCAGGGTGGAATATCGCCAAGCCTGGGATTGAATAGCCACGAGACAAGAATGGAGCATATCGTCAGAAGCCAGCCTGCTGCAGTGCCAGGGCCGTAGAGCGACTCCACGAGCTGGTATCTTGATTCACTCATCATAGACCTGGTTTGTTTAGATTGAGATGATTGCAGTCCATTCAGAATATCGGGTGCTCTCTCGGGCTAGAGCAGGTCGGTGGAGTAGGACGAAGTCGACGGAGTAGCGTCGCCAGAGTAGGAGCAATGAGCTTTCTTCGTGTGAAGGCCACAGATTCCTTGCTTTGGGTAGTGTTGGTAGAGGAAGGTCTTCATCCAGTGGGTTATGAGTCTTGGCAGTGTGGCTGAGTTTACTCTTTCGAAGAGTTCAAGGCAGAAGCCGATTTCGCTAGCGACTGTAACATACTGTAATATCACTAGCATGCTGAGCCCATTTTACAATGTGCTTTTCCTTTAAGGTAGTCCCAATTATCGTATACTGACATTACATTATCATCTCTATCTTTACTTCTCGCCAGGCCACTCCGCAACCCACTTTACGATCTGAGAAACCTCATTATCGATGACCTTCTGGACTCCAGCATTGACCAGCCCATTCCTCAACCTCAGATCGGAGCAGTGGAAACCACCGGGAATGATCTGCAGTGGCGCCTCTTTCGTTGACTCCAGCGGTCCCCCTGGACGGAATTCAGAAGACACTCCGGATGTTCGCCAGGGATCGAATTCGCCGTTTGTCCAAATGAGACGGGTGGTGTTTTCCAGTCTCCAGCCTTGGGTGTGCTTGTTCACTTGGTGTTCGTTGTTGTCGGGGCTGACAGCGCTGGCATATGTGTAGCCGTTCGTGGTTGGGAAGAAGATGGGGCATTGACGCTTCCAGTATGGGGAATTAATGAGGCGGGAAGCTAGGGTAGGCTTGCCTCGAGGAGCTCCGTTTTGCCAGTAGTAAAACGGCTGAGCAGCGAATCAGCGCATTGAGGTAGTGAAAAATCCGAAGGTGCCAAGAGCTTTGCATGTGTTTCAACTCCCAAGATACAAAGAGAAATGAGTCGACAAGGTTCCTGAAACTGCTCCTGGCTCTGTCCGGATTCTCATAGAGAAAGATACGGAAGCAGGATGAGAAACAGCTTACCTCGTTGCAAAGCATCCAGTTCCACTGTCTATCCGCGCCATTTCCGACGGTTCTGTTCGCGAAGTAAAGGTTAGATGCATTGTACGTGTCGAAGCATTCCAAAGTGGTGTTGCTCTTATAACCGAATTGTCTGCAGTCTGTGCAAAGCCTTCGTCAGTCTTCTGGTCAACTTCATGGTTCGGAAAGGCTTACAGCCGTAGACAAATGTTGGGGTCCACTTTGCATAGCCGTCCAGAGCTTTCTCGAGACCGACACCATTCTCATCTGGTGTCACTTTGGCCCCAGGAAGTACATTCTGTGGATCGTTTTAGCTTTAGCCCCGGTACACATTCTGATATGCACAACTGACCTCAATGTAATCGCAAAATCTATAGAAGTCGGAATAATTGGTGTAGAAGCTGTTTGACTGCCACAACCATGGACCGTTCTCAATAACACTGTCACGAGGATTAGTTGGATTTGATGATCAAGTCCTTCAGTTGAGGACTAACCCCATAACATCATCTCCATGCTTGAGATACTCCAGTCCGAATTTTTTCTTCAATGCCAATTGGTCGGACTCGTTTCTGTGTGTGAAAATATAATCCATATACTCAATAACGAGGTTGACGTCCTTGCTGCAGTTCTTCGGCATCCCCTGCTGAATGGGAACAAAATATTGCCACTAGAGAAGATTAGCAAAAGCAAGACAGCACCCGTCTCCCCAAAACCGACGTAGTCATCAATGGCCTCCACAGGAGCACTGGATGAATGATATGCCCAGAAGGTGCCAGGAGAAATATGCTCTGTCCATGCTGTCAATGCACCTGAATAAGATCCTCCCGTGAAAACCCAAGGCGCCTTATCTGCGTTGCTGCTATGATTCTTATCAAACGGTAAGTCGACAGTCTTCGCAAAGTATACGAAGTCATGAATGGCCTGGTGCAGGTTCAAGAGTTGCAAGGTCTCGGCAGTCAGATCGGCATAAGGAGATGATTCACCCCAATATCGATCTTCACATAATTAGCACTCGCATTACCGAGGGAAGGTAAGTTGCTCACGCTCAACCATAACTACGGCTCCATTGAGTTCCTGGCCGAGCAAACCCGTAAGGGTCACGTTGGTCAAATAGGCACCGTATGGTCCAGCAGCACTTTCACCTGGCGTGAACAAGACAACCTATTCGGGCAATTGGCATTGACTTCGAGTGAGTATACGGCCAAACTTACTGGAGAACCTGGTCCTTTCCAGTACTGGAAATTATACCAGTACTTTTGCTTGAAGGTTCCTTTGTTGGGGTTATCATGGTCGAGTAGTTGAGTGAAGAAGGCGTCTCCGGTGAAATTGGTCGCACCCGTTGCTTCAATGGCCGTCTCGTCTCCTTCTCCCAACGGCGGAGCCAACATTCCCGGAGGGCGTATACCAGCAACCAAACCGATACACGCCAACAGCGAGAGGGCGGGAACGAAAGGCACCTTCATGACGAGTGGAAGAAAAGCGGATGATTGAAAGAGCAGACTGTTCTCTGAACCGGGAACGTCCCAGGTAATAAAAAGGAACGAAACAGAACGAAAGCCAACAGAGGGAACGTCGTCCTTATCATGAACCCTGGTGCAGTTAATATGGAGTATCACCGACGCGACCTGGGATGGCGAGCTCGTGCAGGCTCTGTTCATCCGGAGAAAGAAGACGAGAGGAAGATGCAGATCCACGGCTCGGGAAGAAGGCGATAAGCCAACAGGATCAAGACCCCAAGGAGCCTTGCATTCCATTCTCAGATGGTCAATGTTGCAAAGGAACAACTCGGCCCGTAATTGGCGGGATACATCGATCGATCATCGGTACTTGGGTTTAAAGCAGCTGCAGCTGCAGCCCGCAGACAGGAGGGGTTTGGATCTTGGTGTCGAGGCAGCGAGTCAGCGTGGCAGCGTGGCCGTCCGCATGCATACATGCTTTTTGTTACATCTTTGGACAGGACAGCGAGGTCCGAATGAGGATGTAGAAGCGTGGATGGCTTAGGCTTACCTTTGACCTCCTAAGGTTTTATCTAAATTGAAGCTCGTGGATGCAGCAGGAGCGAGTGGGTGGGTATTTCGCGGACTTGTGGGGTAGCTGCAGTATGCACCAGATGCATGCAATGCGGTCTTGGCCAGCGCCGCCAGGGCCGCTCACTGGTTCGCTCAGCAACTGCCGTGCCTGGAACTCTGCGCCATTTCCTCTAAATCGACTAGCTGTCTCATGCGGATAGCCTCGCGATAACCACGATGGGCTGCGCCGTCGTGGTCCGTTTTTGTCTCGTGAATCGAGAAAGATTTCCGCAGGCCGTTTCTGTCCTACGTGTCAAGGCACTGCCAAGACGGGAGGCGGATTCGCATTGTCCTAACGCTTCTTGTGCTTCTCGTAAAATCCTCTTTCCGAATCGCAGCTTCGATCAGCCTTTGGGATGTGTGTAGAGAGGGGGCTGACCCTTCGTCATTATGGCACATCGAAAGAACTTATGTGAGACGGCAACACGGAACGGAACCTTGGCGAGTGAGATTTTTATTTCAACCATCTATCTTGTCCCCGAACCGACATGAATCACGAGGCCGGAACTCGCAGAACAACTGGAAGATTCGGTGTCGGATCGTGAGCACCATCGGTATTTCCAATATGTCCGATTGCGATGGGAGAGAACTCTTCTCACCACTGTAACCTGCCATGCCAGCAGAATATGGCATCTACTACGGCTCCTTGCAGTTCCTCGCTTTAGTCTCAAGTCCAATGAGAAATCACGACATCAGCGGCTCCTTACATTGTCACTTCATATCAAGTCTAATCGAGAAGACACAACATCTGCAACCCTTCTAGGTCTTTGCTTTCATCCCAAGTTAGACTGAGAAAACATTGCATGGAGGGTTGGAGAAGTGAAGGTGACCATGCGACGAAGTGACGAAATGCAAGCATTTATCCTATTCCGATAGTCCTCTAATGTGTACACTGCAGCGCCGAAAACCCTCTACTCCACTGAAGACTTCCCATGATCACGATCAAGAAGCACAACGCAATGATCACACTTGCCGCACCGTAGCGATAGGCGTTCCTCCTTCTCAAGGAACTCAGCTCACTGACCCAGGTACTGACTGTTGTCAAACATCCGCAAAAGCCGTCTTCTATCCCTTGAAGAACCTGACAGCCGACTGCACCCCCAAGGGGAACATGCTGCAGGTCATAGCTCATGCCTATGATTGCAGTGCCAAAGATGTTGACCACAAATGTTCCCAGTGGGAACGAGGCAAACTTGCTGTTCAAGTAAATGGAGACATAGAAACGTCCGAGGCATCCCAGAGGCGAGAAGACCAAGGCAAAGACTGTGCGGCCACGCCAGATCTCTGGTGGACCCTCGTTACGGTCTGGGGGGAATATAGCGAGGAATATAGCTCCCAGCCAACAGCCCCATGCTAGGACAACCGCCAGGCGGTCTAGGACTTTCCGACAGAAGCTGAACGGCAGACTTGGAGTATATGGCTCCAAAGCGATGGCGAGATGCGCTCCGATGTGTAAGCTTGAAATGCACAATGCTACCGTAGTGATGATGACAGCCACCAAGGCCATAAACGAATACCCTCCATTTCGGTCAACCGTAGAGGTGGAACTAGCACGAACTGGGTTGTAGTCTTCAGGATGGTTGAGAGGTGAAGGAAGGTCGTTAGATAATGCAAAGAAGACATCCCGAATGAAAGACGAAAATGAGGTGAAGCATCCGCAGAACCCAGTGGTGAGCCCAATGTACAATGGGATGGTCTTTTTCGTCGCGGCGTGTGCCTTCTTTGCGGCTTGTAAATCCACAGCCTGCTCTGAATCTGAACCACTCTCTTCGTCTTGCTCCTGTTGCCTCGCCTCCTCAACTTGATTGTCGTACGTAGGCGTGCCCCATTCCTCCTTGAACAACATCCGGTCCTCGCTCAGAAATCCCATAAAAAGGCTTCCACCAAAGTTCGCCCACAGCTCACTGAAAACCACAGGAGCTCCCGGATAGAATGTGATGGCCTGTAGGCCAAGTCGAGCGAGTGTGCCAAAGAAGGAAAACAAGATCAGATAAGAAATTACGTATAACTGTGTTGCAAATCTGGAAACCTTGATCACATCCTGCTCTTCTTCCTCTTTCGGGGGTTCGTCCCCTCTAGCAATTGAAGCCCTTCTCTCTCTTTCCTGATTCCTCTGGTATTCCTGTTCCCGACTCTTTGCCTCCTCTAACGATTTATGTAGATATATTGGTTCTTCGCCTGGATTCTCGACTGGTGAGGGTGTAGCCAATTCATCCAATTGAACGTAATTGTCCGGAAAATTGTAACTTGTCCCGCCCTGTGAAGGTCGACGTTTTCCGGAAGATATTCGCGATGAATGGGATAGCGTGCGATTAAAGCTCCTTCGTCTCGCAGTCTCCTCTCTCGAGTGATGGCTCCTCTCATCTTCCAATGTTCGAACCCTGGTTATTGGATCTTCATCGGGATTTTGAATTGGCGACGGTGTAGCCAACTCGTCGAGATTCCTGTAGGACTCTGGGATATCGTATCCAGCATCATGAGACCGCCGTCTTGCAGAGCTTTCTCGTCGTCTGGAGATGGACCGATGAGAGACAATGCTCTGCAGCTCGGCGGGATGCTCCTTGGTCTCTGTCGAATTCGTGTTCGAGGCTGGCATCATGAATCGAGGCACCTGAAGGCCGCCCGCCTGGCCGTGCTCCTCTCGATCATGGGATGAAAAGCAGCATCCCGACTTCAACTTTCGTCCGATCGAGAAAAGGTGGAGATTCTCTGCCTTGCCCGTCCCGACGTCAACAACCACACTAGAAAGCAAGCACCTAGCTAATCATGGCTCATATCTCGATAAGGAAAATACGTAGCTTATCGGCCCGCTTTCGGAAGGCGTGGCTGCATGCGGGCAGGGGAAGCCTCCTGTTTTTGGTCACAAACAACGAACTTCTCTCACCGTTCTATTCCAAGGAAAGAAGCCTCATGATTTCGTAACGTCCCTCCTTCTTCACTTTTCAAAATCCTTCTCTCGCAACAAAACTGTTGTATCTCTCTCCACAAGCATTCACAATGACGCATTCTCTTCCCCCAAACGTTCACCTCTCAACACATCCATGTCTTCAAGCCAAGCTCTCTCAATTACGAGCAAGCACAGCAAACGCCCGCGAAACAAAGGCATTGGTGCACGAAATATCTCTGATTGTTGGCTGTGAAGCCACAGCAGCTGGATTGAGCACCAAGAAAGGACCAACAGTCTGCTACCCCACGTCCCCTCCCTCTGCTATGACTAACTAACCCCACCACAGGCCAAGACTCCTTTGGGATATGAATACACAACGCAGGTCCTCTCACCCAGCTCTATCTCTCTCATTCCGATTCTTCGTTCGGGTTTAGGAATGCTCGATGGTAAGCCCGGACCCCTTTACTGCCTATAACCCCTCCAAACAAAGGAAACAAAAAGACTGATCAAAGGCAATAGCAATACAAACCCTCCTCCCGAACCCAGTCCCAGTCCACCACCTCGGTCTCTTCCGCGAGCCCGTCACCTTACAGCCAGTAGAATACTACAACAACCTCCCTTACCACGTCCCTGACCACGGCACCCCTTCCAACAGCCCGAATACTTCCGCCTCTGAAATAGCCTTCCTGCTCGATCCCGTAATTGCCACAGGCGGTACCTGTTCCGCCGCTATTCAAACCTTGAGGGAATGGGGCGTTAAAAAAGTTATTGTTGTTGCGGTTCTAGGGGCGGTGAGCGGTGTTGTGAAAGCGGCGTCGGAGTGGGAGGGGGGAGTTGAAATCTGGATTGCGGGCATTGATGAGACTCTTAATGATAGGGGAATGATCGCGCCAGGTCTTGGAGATGTGGGTGATAGGCTGTTTTTGACAATTGGGAAGTGAGTGGTTGAGCGGGTGACAAACTGGGATCCAAATGATTTGCAGCTGGTGTTGGGGAGCTTTTGCATAGAATGTGCCAGGAGATGAAAGCTCGAGGTTTACATCTTAATAATTCAGATGAAAATGAAGATAAGGTTCCAACGCCACAATGCTTCACAGTGAAGCGTAGAACACCGAAACTTGACATCATAACATAAAATCATTCATTCATGAAAATGTAATCTTACAAGAATTAGGGTATCCTCGCTTTGCCGGTTCCATTTTCCATCCTATCCCTTCTAAAATACCCCATACCGATCCCTAGAACACAATCGCTAATTAAACTCAAAGGTATCGCGGTTCATCGTCATCCCACGGAATGAACTGAACCAAAATGCACGAAAGTTGCCAAAAGGCTGCGTAATACTGTGACAGGAGTAACGCAAAGCCCAGGTATATGGTTGCTGATGCTACTAGGTAAGGTGTGGGCTCGATTAGGAAGTCATTCCACAACTCGGTGATCCATAGTTCGTAGTCTGGTATTTCGAGAGCGAGGCTTGGAAGACTCGGAGGTGTTGCTGGTGGATTATTCCGGAAGCTTGCTGGACAGTAATTTGATATGTCTGGTTCCTCTGCAGGGTTTGGATACGGCCGCCTTCTGGCTCGTCGACCTGGAAATCGGATACCAGCAAGCCTGCTCTTAACATATATCTTCATGCCCTTCCTAACAAGCCTGCCTCCACCTCGGCGAAGCGCACGAACGCAAGTCATGTTCTTCATCCGGTCTTCAGATTCAGCTTCCCGGCGCAAGCAGTCCCCTAACCCTCTCAATCCTCTGTACCGCGCCTTCAAGCCTCTCCAACCGCTTCCTCTTCTCCGTATCCCTCTTCTCCAAAACCTCCACTCTTTCCTCCAGCTTCGCTCTGGCTTTCCGTTCCGTGGCCACCATCTCATTGGCCTGCATAAACAGCTGCGCGCTCAGCTCCTCTAGCTCTCCGCTCCCTTCATCCAGCTTCTTCTCCGCCGCCTGCCGCAGCGCCTGCTCTCTCGTCAGCGCCGCAACCAACTCCGTCTCCGTAGGCGTGCTTGGAGGTTGCCCAGGCCTTAAGTTCGGCGTCGATTTTCGCGCAGTCAGGAAAGAAGAAAGGCGGTTCTGGATAGGTAAATACGAGGGTCGTCCAGGACTAGTAGGTCCCCTCTCCCTCTCTTCATCCGCTTGGTCGTTATGCTGCTGCTGTTGCGCTTTAAGCTGCTGGATCTCGTCTTCGTAGTCTGCCCATCGGTCGACTGTTGTTTGTTAGCTGTGTTGTCCCGGCTGGGCTTGGTGATGTGGGAGGGGAGGGGAGTAAACGTACCGGCTGCCGTGGCCTTCGCGTTCAAGAGTCGCACTTGGGCTTCCAGGTCTTCGATCCTCTTCTGCGCGTCGGATGCGAGGTCGGTGTGATCAGGCAGCCCGACGCCGCAGTTGGGACAGGCGTGCATGCCTGGTGCCTCTGCCATGGTGAGAGTCATCGTCGTGGACATTGGAGCGTGTGCGATGATCATGAGACTGGCTCGAGGCTGCTGTTGGTGTTCTTACTCCTTCACAAGCAAGTTGGTTTCACTCTCTATACAGAGTCTGAGTTCGAACGAGTATCACGTTTATTGTGCGAGGTTAGAGTGGAAAATTTAAACAAGAGGGAGGAGCAAGGAGCGAGGCGTCGTGGTATTTCTCTTGGCCCGCTCTCGTTTTGGGGCGTGCCTCGCAAGCAAACTTCGAGTCCGCTGTGCTCCGCCTCCCAAAATACCCCGACGCCAGAATGATCGCCCGCGCCGTCACTGCACAAAGACCCCTGACACAAATCACACTGGCTAGTTTATGCGTAACATAAGATCTCGGATTCTCGCCGTTTTGAGATAATTTCTCGGAGTTCATATTTAATTGAAATTATGCTATGAATGGAAAGAAATTAACTCGTACCTAAGTGAAGTTTGTACAGTACGACGTTTTTATTGAGATGAGAATTGACCTCATTTTGAGTTTGAGTCTTCAACAGGTGAGACGCCACCAGCCACCGAAAATCTAACCAAATCCTGCAGCATAGTCCCGAAGGAGTACAGTGAAAAGTGCCACCAAATTTAAGCAGGATGGAAAGAGTGTTCTGGCAATTTCTTGACGGCTGGAATTTTGAAATGAATCTTCATAAGTGAGTGAGAACATTGACGCGTGTATTCAGTGGCTTTCTGGTGATCAAAATCCTCTCAGCGTGTTTCTTGGTACAAGTCCCTGTTCCATCATGCGAGGCTGAGTTCAAGTTGCTCAAAAATCGCCATCGCAGGCTAAGTGGCCTGAGCAAGAAAGAGCTTCACGGTTGTGCTTTTTTCGAATTGTATATGGGATAATTTCATTTGTCTTACATCTTATCAATTCTCTATTCCTCATGCTCCTTCTCATGCCATGCTTTCAATCTCGACAACTTCTCCAACCTCCATTTCCGCAGCTTGAGCTTCCCGAACCTCCACATTCCAAACCCTAACGAACCTCATTACGAGCTTCTCTTCCTGGAGCGCCATTTTCTCAGCCCATTCTTCCTCGAGTCTTTCCTCTTCCAATTTCCCAAATTCAAGCTTAGCGAGCTCAGCCCTCTTTCTCTCCAAATACACTCCCCCATTCTTCACATCACATTTCTCTTTCTGACAATATCTCACAAGCGACATATAATCTGCCTCCTCGCTATCTTCCAAGAATCGTTCCTTTTCTCTCTCTAAATACCATTCGCTCACTCTCACCTCCTCCTTCGACTGTCGTCTCATACACTCCGTCTCATCATCAACTCTGAACAATCCATTCCCCTTTCTCCTTCCCAGCCTCCCAACCTCAACCCACGAATACCCGTCGTCCAAAGCAAACATCTTCCTCCAGATTTCCCTCTCACAACCCTCATGACTTCTCCTCATACACGTGATATCCTCACACATAAGAACCTCCTCAGTCCTGATCTTGATCTCAGAACTGAACATCCATCTCCTGGCGAGCGAACAGAACTTGATCCTCAGCGGGATCCTCAGTTTCCTGAAGCCATTCATGTCCGCTTCTTGGAGACTGCTTTCTCCACGGTAGCCAAGGAAGTCGAGAAGTTGTGAAAGTCGGTTGTCTTGCTTCTTGCTTAGGTAGTTTCGAAATGGCGATTTTTGGTGTGGGCCATGTCCTCCTGTGCCGAAAAGGATGTACTTCTTCGAGTGGGTGGGTTTATCTTGTTCCAGCACCTTGACGTATTCGGGATGAGGGAAGCGGTAGCCGAAGAAACAGTCTTTCTTGTCGTCGATGTCGCCGTTGAGAGTTGTCCGCGTGCTTGAGAATGATAACTTTCTTGAGAGGTTGTTGCTAATTATCTGGTTGGCTTTGTCTGCATTCGAGCGGATGGTCGGGTCATGGCAGCTTTTCTTCGCGGGTTCGAAGATTTTTTCGGCGTCATTTTTTCCTTTGATTGGTTTGATGGCGATGAGGTAGTGGCGTCTATTGGCCGTGATGGCGTAGATTCCTGGAATCGGTACGGTCGAGAAGTAGAGTTTTTGGATGCTATGGAGATCGCGTTGCTTATAGCATTCGTACCAGTGGAGTGGAGAGACTTTTCTGATGGCCAAGTAGAGGTTTGGAATCGCCATCTTGTCTCGTAAATGAAGAATTAAGTATCGAAATGGAGTTTATAATGATTTCTGTGGATACCGGTGATTTTGATTGAGCGAGAGGATGCTGTTGAAAACTTGGTATCTCAAAAATATTCGAATGTGAGTGCAATAGAAGGAGAATAGAAAATAGGACGCCATGTTTAAATTTATACTGAAGAATCATAAGTCAAAAACAGTCCATATTCTGATGTTCCAAGATACCCAGAGCATGAAGGAAACGGGAAGGCTGTAATAGTGCGCCAGGGTTCAGTTTCAGCATTCCAAGATTTAAATTATCTGGGAGAGCAAATGTAGTCTGGATTATGTAAGAAAATTCCAGAGGGGAGGATATACTTTGGTACTATGAGCTACCATTGGCGGGAGCAGACACGAGTCTGCCATTTTTGGATGGTCTCAACTTACTAAGGAACGGCCCGTAGCTTAGCGTTCCCTGTTAATAAGTAAACTCGTGTTTATTTTTTAACGATATGATTGGGTTCCCATTGAAGATTTGTGTGGTTGAGAATCTGACTGACTTCTCTGACCTTCTTCCTTCTGCAGAAGGTTTTGCTCAAGCTCTAACGAGTAAGCGAGCCCCTGATTCGGTTAGGGCCGGGGCACACGGCCGCCAAAAAAGCGCACGAAGTATGCCGGCGAATTGTCAAGGCGGTGTTGAAAAGGAGAGAAGGGAGGAGTAAAACAAAGCTTAATATCTGAATTGAAATAGGTAGTGTTGCATGGCACGTGCCCCCCCTTCCCCCGAGTGCCCTCTGCATGCCGTTCTCACGAGATTCAGGGGCTTACCACGTCTCAACATATATAAGCTCTCCAGAGCACCCAATTTATGCTCCTCAGAGAGCGAATTCTGCACTTGCGATAGATAGTAAATGAGTTTTCGGATGCCCTGATTGAAATATTGATGACAGATGTTGAGATGGAACGTAATTCACGGATGTTTGCCTTCTGCCTCAACGACTGCAGCAAAGGAGGAGGATAATCCTCGACTTCGACGTATTTCAAATCTCCTTTCAACCTCTACATCAACTTAAGACATAGTCTATACACCCTCTTCTCTTCTCGAAGTAACTCCATCAGTGCCTGGTTTTCTGCACTGCGCTTTTGTTCAAAGATTGCCATGATCTTTTCACGTCCTTCGTCAGGTAGACTGCGAAACGGGCAGGGTATGATCATTAACTCCCTCGTGCAGAGGAAGAAGAAGTCGTTCGGTTGTAGCTTCAAGCTTTGCGGCCACGGAGCGCTTAAATCTATTCCAAAAGCGCCACGAGTCGTGATCTCCCCCTTCCAAAGGTTTATGTGATTGTTGATCGGATCAAATCTTCCAAACAGGTTCTGCTCAACCATGTACTTGTAGGAGACCAAGATACGAACTTGACACAAGTCCTCGTTGACTTCCATTTCAGTTGAAACTTCGAGAACTAGCTCGTTCATGATAATAGTCATGATTCCCAACGATTTCGTAAAGCATGTGTAAAGGTGTATCCATTGGTGGCATTGTTCTCGCAGCGCCTGGTACAAGCTGCCGATCAGGAGATATAATGAACAATTTGAAGAATAAGTGTGCCTTTACTGGACGAGAAAGAGAGTCGGGATGAAAATTCGCATGCACAACAAATAAGTAGCGCGGGGAAAAGGGAACTTAAAGTCAATATGATGCTGTTTTGAAATGGACTGAATGCCCCCCCACTCGCTGACCAATTATGGTACTTTAACGGGCACTCAACTATTATAGCCTACCATGAGTCCTCATTCAAGACATGCTGGCGAAATCACGAAGAAAATGTATGTATGCCATTGCTTGGATTTACCTATGATGCTTACTCAACGGTGTCATTCTTAGCTCCTCTTCGGGTTTTCTCTTTGCCGACAAGAGATCGCGCAAATGGACAAATCCATATGTTCGGTCCCTTGGTGTCTTGTGCAGTGGCCTGCCCCTTGAGTCTCTTGGAAGATAAATTTTGCTCCTCGATTGCCATCTCAATATCTCTCGCGGCTGCGGCGTTGCTACTGATAGTTGTTAAGTCGGCAGACCAACCAAACAGAAATACAGATCGATTGATGCCTGTTGGGAGAAAGATCTCTGACACCTTCTTTGCGGCAGATGGAAGACTTGCCATAATAGAAGCCATGTCGACATCGACCACTTCGATTGGAAGATTCCATTCCGGAGGAATTGGATAGTCCGAGAACTTTTGAAACTCTTCAAGAGCCTGTTCTCTTGACAAGCAGGAATCCCTGCCAAGTAGCAAGGCAGCTCGTCTCTTCTCTGTTTCGGTCCCCATTGTGTCCACAATCTCCTGCATTTTTTCAGCAGCTTCACGCGTGCAGACCAATTTTCTAGCACCGCACGCTGGCCATATGCTACTCGGCAAAACATTATCCTCACTTTCCATTTCTATTTGCCTTGAGATGATTTTATTATGCCAGTGCTCGGGCTCAACTCTTCCATGTGACACGTCACTTGCAAACGCAAGCAGGATGCTGCAGTCCACGTTCAGAGTTCCAGAAAAGGCTTCGAATGGATCAGTATCAAGGCGACTTAGCACTTCGGTTACAGATGGAAATGTAGATGGCATATCCTCAGCAGTCTGCACATTAACACCTAGATTTCTGATTTGCCGCAGGACGTTGGCTACCACTTTGGCGTCTGGCTGGGCTTTGATGTTGGGAAGAACAAGGCGAATTTTGGGATGTTGGTATCTAAATCCAGAGTCTCAGATTAGCATTACCTTCGAAGGTACAATTGGGTGCTGAAACAGTGCCCCATGAGTAGTCTGCTCCCAAATCTAGCTGGGGAGTAAACAGATCGCAAGACTTATGAAGTAGAATATAAACTCCCAGAAAATGAAGACTTACCGAACTCTGGTAGCCTGGCTTGCTTTGACAAGAGCTTCAGCCTGCTTCAGGAGTCCTTCCAGATTCAGACCATCATCTGCTTGAACTTCTTCGCTTTCTTCGCTTGATGAATCTGCAGCCCAGCCAGCTCTCGTCAAGTCCCAGATAATTCTTTTTTCTGTAACCGAGGAAACTTTGACCCACTCCAAGCCACCCCGGGAAACAATATCAACCACAGTGCTGTATGTCCGATCTCTTGTTACAGGAGGTGCAACTTGTCCATTAACGTAGGCGGGGTGTGGTCCTGGAAGCCAGTAGAATCTTTGCTTCAGAGCAGTCAGGTCGGTACAGGTCTTTGCAGTTGACCACACAGCCTCAAAGAATGAGAGATTAGACGTTCGCAAGCCTTGTACGGTTCTCGGGAGGTTTGGATCTGCGGCTACTAGCTGTTGTGGAGTATTAGCAGAGAGACGTATTCTGGAGGAGGACAACCAATACTGACTCTGTCAATGGCTCTCATTTCCGATTGCAAGCTAGCTTTGAAGGTCCTCAATTCAACTTGTCTTTCCTTCTTCTGGTCCTTCAGATATGCCTGAAACTGTTCCAATTCGTCCAGAAACAGTCGGCAACGCTGCTGCATATCGGCTGCAAGTTTGGCAACCTTGGCTGGATCGATGCTGTCCACGGCAGCCATGTCTCCATTGAGTGTAGTTGACACATTCTCATCAGCCTTGTCGACCTTTTCAATCTCAACAGCCTCAGGGTTGTCGAGCACGACAAGGTGACTTTCGGGAGCCATCGTGATTTTGAGGAGTATAAACAAAGGGGTGTGTCCCAGGAGCTCTCCTCGAGCTTTAAGTATCAATTGGAGAAGGTGATCGAAACTAAAGGAAGCCGTTGTGGTCGAGTCATAATTTCAGTGTGACGAACAGCCTTTTGGGCAACCGTGCACGCGAGGCCCCAGTGAGGTTGACGACAAAAGCGGCACTGATCTTTCAATGTCCCAACTCAGAGTGAAGGTCCACAAATCCCCTCTAAATTTCTGCCTTCTTTTTGGACATTTCGAAGTCTATCCCTTTGAATATATTGCGATCATTGAAGATTAACCTCCTATCCTGTTCTACTTTAGATGAATATTTAGCGCTGGTTTGGGCAATGAATGTGAGCGTTGCTTCTGATGTCAAACGAAAACTGTTCTTAGAGACGCTGGAACACTGAAGGAGATGTTGATCTGCAACGGAATCGCTCATAAGAAGAGATTCACTCTAGACTTGAAGGGGTAAGGTCTCAATGTACCAGAAAATTTGGAACATTAAAACAATGTGCAACAAAAGTGGAGAAGTTTACATTTACTCGCATACTCTCGACTTTCTGATGCCGCTTTGGAAGCCAACTTGAATTGCTGGATAGCACGATCAGGATGAATGGAAAGACATTCGGTGATGAGAAGATTTTGGTTGAAGCCGAAGCAATTTATACATACTCTCAAACGACTAAAAAGGAAAAATAACAATATTGCAATAAGTGTGGCACAATGTTCAGAAAAAGGTTAGAAGTGATTTTCGGGTTCGCTAGCTTGGCATCCCGCACTCAAATCTCAGCCTTGTATTTCCCCACCAAGCAAGCAACTTCCCCTCATCAACACAGCTCAAGCATCCTCGAGTCTCCCAACATAGGGCAATCTTTGCGCATCCTACCCAAGATGCCTTACCTCGAAACCGCTCAACAATGGCTCACGCAATCAACCCTCCTCCTGCAAGCACGTCCCGCAACAGTCCGTCCTCTTCCCTCTTCCTCTCCTCCCCTTTACCAACCCACTAACAACACCACAGACAAGAATAACTTCAAAATACACCATCTCCCCACCGGCCTCTTCCAAAGCCTCCAAACCCAGGAAATCAAAACCCGCTAAAGAGACAACTGAGCCAGCAACACACGCACCCGCACCCGACGCACCCCGCGCAACACTCACCCTCAAAACCTACGATCCAGCCTCAGGCGCAACGCTGAAATACAGCACGAACAAGGCAGCGGAGGTGTCGCGTTTAATACAGATATTAGGGAGGCTGGCGCGGCCGATGTGTGCGCTGCCGGAGGTGAAGGATGATGTGCCTGTGTTAGGGGCGGGAGTTGGGGGAGAAGGGGAGGGCAGTGGTGTCCGGACGCCGACTGTGGAGAGTGTGCCGGCTTTGGCGGGGGGCGGGAAGCCTGGGCAGCAGGCGCAGGGTGGTGGTGGTGGAAAGAAGAAGGGGAAGAAGGGGAAGAAGTGACTTGTGCTCGAAGATTTCATTGAGATGAGCCAGAGCTTCGTGGACTTTGTGATCAGAAGGACCTCGGAGTTCAAAGGATGCATGGACGGAGTTCAGGGAGTGGCATGGCCTTTTGCTAAGAACGAATAGCTTTAGAGGATGGGCTTGCATTACGTTGCACCAAGTCACAATACCGAAAAAATATTCGAATCTTTTTTCATTCCTGCTGCTTCTTTATCCTATCAGCTCATCTCATCTCATCACCATCGCCCATGATTCGTGTCCAGACTCCCGTAACGCCCAAGGTGTATGTCCAGAACAAACAAGAGTACCACGTCTGCACCCGGCGACCTCGCCATCTATGCAAAGAAGCGTAAGAAAAGAAGAAATATGCAATGCAAAATATACAGAGGCGAGATACCAACGCCGACAGACCCAAATATTAGAGACGAAGACATCTAGAAGTCCTCATCGAAGTTGAAGTCACCACCGTTTTCTGCCTTGGCCTCAGTCTGGGCAGCGGTGTCCTCATGCTTCTTTTGTGTGCCAGCCATGACGCCTGCCTTTTGATAATCAGCGACACGCTTCTCGAAGAAGTTGGTCTTGCCGGCAAGGGAGATATTCTCCATGAAGTCGAACGGGTTGGAAACCTTGTAGACCTTCTCGTTGCCGAGAGACAAAAGGAGACGATCAGCAACGAACTCGATGTACTGCTTCATGAGAGCCGAGTTCATGCCGAGAAGAGCGCAAGGAAGAGCTTCAGTCAAGAATTCCTGCTCAATCTCGACGGCCTCGGTGATGACATCTTGGACGGCTTGTTTGCTTGGGCGGTGCTTCAGGTGGGAGAAGAGAAGGCAGGCAAAGTCGGTGTGGAGACCCTCGTCACGGGAGATGAGCTCGTTGGAGAATGTAAGACCAGCCATGAGACCACGCTTCTTCAGCCAGAAGATGGAGGCGAATGAACCACTGAAGAAGATGCCCTCAACAGCTGCGAAGGCCACAAGACGCTGAGCGAAGGTAGAGGACTTGTCTTGGATCCAGCGGACTGCCCAGTCGGCCTTCTTTTTGATGCAAGGGACTGATATGACGCGTTAGAAAATGGAGACATGTAGATTTACGCGTCAAAACTCACTGGTCTCAATGGCGTTAAAGAGATATGTGCGTTGAGCCTGCTCCTTTATGTATGTGTCGATGAGAAGAGAATATGTCTCAGAGTGGATGTTCTCCATCATGATCTGGAATCCGTAGAAGCATCGAGCCTCGGGAATCTGAACCTCTCCGCTAAAACGCTCAACCAAGTTCTCGTTGACAATTCCATCCGATGCTGCGAAGAATGCAAGGACGTGTGAAATGAAGTATCGCTCGTCGTCATTGAGCCTGTTGTTCCAGTCGTGGAGATCCTTTGAGAGATCAATCTCTTCGGCGGTCCAGAAAGAAGCCTCAGCCTTCTTGTACATCTGCCAGATCTGTAGCAGAAGAATGTCAGCCATTGCTTAGTAGTTTACGCGTTAACGCGTCGACGCGACTAACCTCATGGTATTTGATCGGGAAGAGAACGAAGCGTTGAGGGTTCTCTTGGAGAAGTGGCTCATCAGCTTCCTCTGGCTTGATCGTTGGTGCAACTGCTACCACTGTCTTCTCGGTCTTGACCTCTTCGACGATGGGCTTCTTGATCTCGATGTCGTCAACAACCGGCGCGTCGGCATTGAAGGGTATGTTCTCCTTGCCGACGGCCTCGAAGTTGAGCTTCTTAGCAGGCGAGTCACCCATCTTCAGGCCCTCAATGGCAGATGCAGCCTATGTTTGGATTAGCAAATGAACTTGGGACGACGCGAAGGTGAGGGTAGTCGCGGTGGCAATTAAGAACGTACCGCCTTGGAAGGAGTTACTTGAGAAGTCATGCTGATTGATTGATTAAGTAGAGGAAGGATCGTGTCAGGTGGAGGGGTAGGAAGGGTTCGGAGTTGTCGAAGCTGTTGGTGTTGACAAAAAGTAAAGCAAAAGAAGGGCAGGTTGAAGGCTTAAGTGCTCCAACTCACGTGAGGAAAACACGACTAGCAGGGGTTTTCAACGCGTCGGACCTGAGACCGCGAAATGGGCGAGGCTGGGCACAAATTGACCACTCAGAATGCCTGCAAGAATTCACCTTGCAGCCGCCCGCCTTATCAGATCTTTTGGACGAACCGTTGCTGATGGTCTTGTTTTGAAGTGGAGACTCCCAGTCTTGATGATTCAGGTTTCACTAAGCAACTGGATACCAGCTGGTGCAGGCTCGCTGTGGACAAGGGACATTCATCTCTGGGGGATAGCAATGCTCCATGGCTATTGAGGACAGTCGAAGGGACTTACTTGACTTTGAATGTCCCGTAACTCCAGGGAACAATCAGAGTTGAAGCATTTGAAATATCTAGCTTGGAAGATAGAAACCATAGTACTGCTTCCTTTCTCCACCGCGACCTAGACAAGTCACTGCGGAAAGAGTTATGGTGGATCAAATTCCGATTCAGAATTATCTTTATTATGGGTATCTACTCCAAATCTTTACAGGACTCGAATCTCAAATATGGAAAACGCCTCGGAAACGTCATATGGAAAGGAACGCGCCATTTTGCAAGCAAAATATGCTGCCACTGAATCCAAATCCAGCGCCATTAATATTGGTTCTTCTGGAGCGTGGACGGGTTCCGTTGGGTATCATTCTTTGGAAGGCTTGGTAGAGGTGCATCTTGGCGTCTCATCATTTCGTCACCACGTTCAACGTCGGGCTGCTTCTTCTTACTTCCGAAACCACTGAAAAGGCCGCCGCTTCTCTGTTCTGGTACATCATCCTGGTGAGAAGGTCCTGGCCGTCCACTGTCGTTCTGCGTTTGTGTGCCTTGTCTGTTCGGAGGCTGTGTGCCTTGTCTAGTTGGAGGTGCTGTCGTGTATTGCGGTGGTGGTCCATGTTCTACTCTCATTTGGCGATCAAATTCGTCGGGGTCTGAAGGGTCGACCTGCGGTAGAGGCTGTCCCTGAGCCTTGAGGTTTCGTTCACCCTTTGCGCGAAGAAACTTCTCAAGTTCGACGGCATTCCTGGTATTTGCGCGGAATAAAGCTATTCAACTGTTAGTGTGATTACAGTGCAAAAAGCCATTTATAGGGGCAAGCCCCCAAACCCCCGGCCTCGCTGCGCTCGAAGCATGGCCATAAACAAAGGATGGAGAGGATGGAGATCAGTAAAATACTCGAGCGCAGCGAGACTGGGGGAGTTTGGGGTTACGGACCATCTGCAATATCTCCTAGGAAAGGAACAAGTCCAATGCCAAAGTCCAGTACAATATTGAACAACATTTTCACCCTGACCGGATTTGGGAGGCCGCCCTCGACCTGCTGGCACGTTCTCAAAACCATCATAGCCATGAATGCGTCGATAACATCACCGATACTGGAGGAGACAGTCAGCAAATCGTATGATCAAACGCAAAGTTTCAACTTACCCTGGAATAATACCGATGACAGAGGACCAGCCAAACCTGATTCCACAGCAATTGAACAGACTCATATCAAGACGATATGCTCGCCGTTTGACCTTGGTCAGAATTTTGGCATCATGTTCAGAGATACCGGCGGGTAAGGCCTTGCGTCTCTTCTTCCCCTTCTTGCTGGATGGCCGGCCATCTAAACGGGTCGCAGGAACGGTCTCGAAGTATGGGTCCTAAATCAAGGGTTAGCTTTGCCGTAAAAACCTGTAGGTACGTCTGAATTACCTCCTTGCCAAAGTTATTCTGCATGGTCTCTCCCAACACCTTCTTGCTGATGTACTTTGCGATCATGGACGTCATGATTGCAGTATTGTTGGAAGAATTGTAATTGAGGAGTGTGTTGATGGGGAATGCCCTTTAATAGTTGGAACGGTGGTAGTAGCTCAGAATCAGAGTTCTAGAGGTGGCGGCAATGGTGCGCTTGCTTCGTCTGCTTGTCTCTCGTGATGGCAAGACTTCAGCTTCGACTGGTAGGCGTTGTCTGGATTGTGAGACAGTCTCGCGCGTACTATTCTTGGCTTCAAAGTGGTAGACGCGGAAATTGGAGAAGAAACTTGAAGGGGTAGCATGGCTTTTTATGGAAATAGAATGATTCGTTTCCCGTTTAAGCTTGATTGTGAGTTTGAGACTATCGTAGACGATAGGCGTGGTGCATTTGTTATCCAAGTTTCACGGCATTCACTGCTGATTGCCCCTGTCCAGCTACGTCAGCCAGCCTGCGAGCTGTGGCACTTGTGGCTCCCAAACAAGATCAGCTCACCGCCCTCGAATTACTCGGCGGCTAAGCTGTTTTCAGAAGGCACGTTGAAGCCACAGCCCCCGCCACCCAAATCTGGAACGTGCACAGCCACGCGTTGTGCGCTCGCAAGATCATCGAAAGAACACCTCCCATATGTCTCGCAACCAACCACCTTCTCGCAGCTTCATCCCATCGAACGCACATCTATCACCCTTGGACGAGCCTCGTAATCCCCTATCGAGTCCCCAACTTTTGCCACTGTTTGGCATCAACAGATCATCAAGTTGCAGCTTCATCCGGCAAGGACCTGATCTGGCTGCGCGTTCTCCGCGCCTTAACCCTCGAGTCGTGGACATGCTCGTCAAGGCAAGACAACATGACAGAAAGAAAAATGCAGCTAGAAGACTGTAAGTAATTCATGGCTGAGATTTTCAGAGCTTGGGCTTGCTGGAGCTCATGATCTCGCCCGCCCGGCCTCCTCCAGCCTTGTCCAGTCTAGTCGTAGCTAATTCATTCTCAGGGCTGGACGACCTGAGCACGCGGTTTATACTGAACCTTCCCCTAGCAGACCTGTCTGAAGCCCAGCGGATATGCTTCCATCTTGAAGAGGCACAATGGTTCTACGAAGATTTTATCCGTCCCCTCGATCCTTCTTTGCCGTCCATGAACCTCCGCCGCTTCTGTGAACGAATGTTTGCCCATTGTCCCACACTCTCGACTTACACTCCAGAGGAACACATGAATGCCTTTGAGAACTTTCTTCAATACAAGAGCCGCGTTCCTGTGAGAGGAGCCATTATGCTGAACGAAGCGATGGATTCAGCCATACTGGTGAAGGGGTGGAAGAAAGGAGCCAACTGGAGTTTTCCGAGAGGCAAGATCAATCTCGACGAAGATGACCTGACATGCGCTATACGAGAGGTTTATGAGGAGACGGGATATAATCTTGAAACTTCCGGTTTAGTGCCAGCAGACCGGAATGTCAAATACATCGAGATTACCATGCGGGAGCAACAGATACGGCTCTACGTCTTCAGAAATGTTCCTATGGACACATATTTTGAGCCACGGACAAGAAAAGAGATTAGCAAGATCGAGTGGTGGCCCCTTTCTGAGCTGCCGGCGTATAGAAAGAAGGGTCGGCCAGAGCAACAGGAGAATGTTGTGAGGGACAACAAGTTCTATAATGTTGCTCCATTTCTCGTTCAACTTCGGAAATGGATTATCGAGCAAAAGAAGCAAGACGCAAAGCGAAATTCGAGAAATCAGTATCTGTCAGCCGCCGTCAGTCATGACGAGCTTCAAACAGAGGAGGACCAAGGAACAGAGCCGACTGGCGCTGCTGGCCTCTACACAACCTCACCGCTCCCTACATCGGATCTCGAGCTAGACGAGAGGTCTTTGAGACTCCAACAGCAAGTTTTGCAAATGCAACAGACCAAAGAGCCAGCAGGAAGAGGAGATGCATTGTTGGCTTTGCTGAAAAGCCCACCTATGAATTCGGACCAAGGCCCACCTCAAAATTTTACACCCCAGACCCCTCTTGAACACACTCTAGACCAAGCTCCTATGCCTCGAACTCCACATCATCAACACCCTCGCCCTCCCCAATTCTCAACCATGCAACCGCCGCCGACGTTTCCAATCCAGACACAAAATGAAACTTTCTCCTATCAGCAACCCAGCTTTCAAAATGACAGGCAGCCAGCTTACTCGAACCACGCGTACAACCAAAGTCGACAGCAGATCCAGAATTCCCATGAAAATCCACATTCTTATCAATCGCAACACCTAGTCCATCCACAACCTCTCCCACCTCACGTTCAGCCAGCTGTCTTTACAGGCGGACCTGTGCACAGTCCAATGATGCCTCCACCGGTTCCACAGCAGCCGCCACCCCAACTTACATCTACACTCTCTGTGACATTAAACAACCCCCAGTTTCCAGGCCTCCACGCACCCATGATTCCGCCAATTCAGAGACAAACACCACCAAAGCTCACAGGACATCACCTAAGTCTTCTCAATGCTTTCAAGGGTAAAAAGGATGACGCAAACGCAAACGGTAATCCTTCGACATCGAATGACCTCCCACTACGACGGTATGTGCAGGAACCAATGCATCCACCACATTCACCACATCCTCCACTGCAAGAATTGCCTGGAGATGCTTCCCGGACGCCTCCAGCGGCTAACCTGCCTCGCGTTGATGATCGGTTTTCAACCAATGCGAGTTCAGGTCTTATACCGAGCATGATTACACCAAGGCAGCCCCCCAGTGATGAGCAGAGGTCAGCGTTACTTAGTATATTCAAAAGTCCTGCGATTCCAGCGGCTGTCCCTGCTATCCCTGTTGCTGCGACTGCCTTGCCCATTAGCGCAACGCCATCAGCAGTAGAATTGTCTGCAGTGGAGCCACTTTCTCAAAACGCTGCGTCGACCTCTGCTCTTCTGAATGACAAGAGGACACCAGGCCATTCGACCAAGAACAGAAGCATACCAGAATCAAACCCAGAAGCCAATCTACCTTTCAGAGCATTATCTATTCCCCCTAGGCCTTCGGAATTGAGCGATAATGAAGCACCTTTACGAAATGGGTCCAGTCATAAGGCACACACAAAAGCAAATGGAGGGCATCATGCACGCAATACCACAAGCCAGGCACCGGCCGCGAAGTCTCCAGAAAAGCCATTCCAGCCGCAGATTTTGAAGCGTCCACAGGCAGGGCCTTCGAAGGCTGTTGAGCCTTCTCCTCTTCCTCAATCTGCATTCCCAGCACTCTCACCACCATCGACGGCTGTGCATCCTGCTCAAACGGCCGAGCATAGGCAGACGCTTCTTTCGCTCTTTGGAAAAGCTTCGACTCAACAAAATCCTGTACCGAGGATTCCAACCAGCAATCCGACACCGCAGCAGCCGATGGCTCCAGCAGCAAGTGTTTCAGTAAGGTCCCGTGTGGGAAGTCTTGCATCAGGAGAGGCTCCATCTCGTCGTGGAAGCCAGGCTCCAATATCACCTGCAGACAAAAGCTTTTTACTCAATTATTTGGGAGCTGTAACTAAGTAGGTGCTGCAGTCGCTTTGAGGCGCACATTGATTTATCTATGATGGTTGCATCAGAGAGGAAAAGTATGTTGAATGATTTCTTAAATTATAGGGACATGTTGAGATACCATGGGGCGGGAATTGGCATTGAAAGGGCATTTTGCAGCGGCTAGCTTGGTATTTCGCGGGCTTTGGGGAGGAAGAGGACATGAGTCAATGAATTGGGACAACCTAGCATACATGGAATAGTGCCCGACATGACAATGACTTAAAGAAATTTCACCTCCAATGCATTCGTAAATTACTATTCCATTCTTTGGGCTTCAAAGTCTTTCTCCAACCAACCATAAATAATGAGCCAGGCGCCACTACGAGGCTGAGAAATCAAGCTTCACAAGCGAAACTTCCGCAAGCCACTCCATCACAGACTTCACTTCCCATCACCGCACTCATAGCACTCTCATTGCCTCACTAGAAGCTCAAAATGAAACCCCGACTCACGACTCCATTACTCCGGACTTTTGACCGACTATACATCTGCACCAATTGCCTCACCCGCTCCCTCCGCAGCTCTCTCGCCACCACTTCTTCTCGACCCTACTTCTCAAGCCAAAACCCTCCTCCACCCCCAAGCGCAGCATACGCACAACTGTCCTCCCGCCGCCTGATCTCCCTCTCCGGCCCAGACTCAACACACTACCTACAAGGCGTCATAACCGCCAATCTCTTCCCTTCCACCCCCCGCAGATCCGGGTTCTACACTGCGTTCCTGAATGCGCAGGGACGCTTGCTGAATGATGTTTTTATTTATCCTGATTTGAGGGAGGGAAAGGGGGAAGGGAGCTGGTTGATTGAAGTTGATGGGAAGGAGGTTGAGAGGCTGGCGAAGCATATTAAACGCTACAAGCTCCGGGCGAAGTTTGAGGTCAAGGTTCTTGACGTGGGAGAGAGGAAGGTTTGGAGTGTTTGGGAGGAAGGGACGGGAGAGTGGACTGCGCATTCGCTGGGAGGTCAATCGGTTGAAACAAGGGAAGCGGGTGAAGAGGTGGGAGGTGAGGACACAAGAGCGCCGGGAATGGGGAGACGGTTGATCTTACCTGGGGACCAGAAGCCGGAGGTTGAGATGGAGGAGACGGACGAGGAGAGTTATAGGATTAGGAGGTACCTGAAGGGTGTCCCGGAGGGTCAGGATGAGTTGGTCAGGGAGAGTGCGTTGCCGCAGGAGAGCAATATTGATTTTATGGGAGGGATTGACTACAGGAAAGGGTGCTATGTTGGACAGGAGTTGACGATTAGGACGCATCATACGGGCGTGGTGAGGAAGAGGGTACTGCCGGTTATGCTTTATGGGATTGGTGAGAGCTTGCCAGAAATCTTGGAGTATCTGCCAGAGAAACAGTTGGGTGTCGAGAAAATTCCTAGGGAGACGAGTATTGGAAGGGTCAAGAAGAGGGGACGCAGCGCCGGCAAATGGTTGGGTGGTGTTGGTAACATTGGGTTGGGTCTTTGTCGACTAGAGATTATGACTGATGTTCAGGTATCAGGAGAAGGTGGAGGCTACAAGGAAAGCGATGAGTTCAAGCTGGAATTGGATGGTGAGGATGGCCAGGAGATAGTAAAAGTTAAGGCATTCGTGCCTCCATGGCATCTCACAAAGCAGTAGAGATATGCCTTCAAGGTGAATGACGGGGACATGGAACTTCAGATACGGGCACTATGGCTGCAATTGTATTTTGTAAATCTACAATCAGGGTATAGCAAATCAACTGAGGATCCCCAACGCCATGCTAAAATTATCATGAGCCTCAATATCCCAAAAGTACACAATTACTTCACAGTCTCTGCGGCTTCCTTCTGCAAGATGTCTTCCTCTATTCTCTGTTTCTCAGCAGCCCTTAATCTAGCCATCGTAGCTGCAAAGTCATTCTTCTTGGGTGTACTTGGAGAGAAGGAGAATTTCGGTGATGCTGAAGGCTTCTCGTCAGCTTTCGGTCCTTTGAAGATATCGGGGCGTTTGATGGGTGTAAATGTGTCTCGGTCTGCCATCTTTAGCCCAGCTTCTGGAACAGCTGGAGAGTCAGAAGGGACAAAGATTCCACTCTTCCGGGCTTTCTTCTCTGCTTTTCGCTTTGCTTTGGCCTGCTCAGCTTCCCGTATCCTTCGTTCTAGTCGCTCGATTTCGTCTTCTTCGGGTTGATCTTCAGTTATGGCTGCTGATCCTTCTTTCGTTGGTTCTTCGACTGGTTCTTTGACTGGTTCTTGTGTGGCTTCCTTGCGCGGGACTGGCGCTGGGGAGGAAGCGGTCTCTGCCATCATAGATGCCCTTGCGGCTCTCCTCTTCCTTCCCTCCTCAGCTAACTTCCTCAGCTCTTGTTGCATCTCATCATCTTCCCTCGACCTCTTGACACCAGCTGTGGCTCCGCCTCGCTCACGCGCCTCAAGATCCTCCTTCATTTGCCGCCTCTTGCCCTCAAACAGCTCATTAGCCCTCTGTCTTTGGAGCTTGGCTTGTCGGTGACCATCGTACTTCGCCTTCAATTCTGGATCACTGAGTACATCGTTCGCAGCCTGGAACAGTTCGTATTTCTCTGGGTCGAAATTTTTGCCCACCTTATCGGGATGGTATTTCAGCGCTGTCTTGCGATATGCGCGACGGAGTTCTGATTCAGAACAGTTCTCAAACGCGATACCAAGGAGCTCGTAGAAGTCGACATCGCTGGTGACCCATTTGAGCAGATCGTTGTTAGCCATGCCGACTGTTGATGTGGTCTTAGAGAAAAGTGAAGTGGTGTTGCAGTTCAGTTGATTTTCTAGTCGCGAAGCACCAATTCAGTCTAGTGCAGTTGCTGACTCATTCCACCAACTTCATGATCACTCCTTCCTTCACTGCCTGTCTATGGGAATCATGAATATAACTCACCTTTACCTTTGCATCATGCGATGGTACGGGCTGGGGGGTACCGCTGATGCCTAACTTTTACTAAGCCTCAAGCCTCCCGGTGATACCTTCTCTGAAATGGAAGAATCCAAGTCGGTGCCCGTTTGTCGAATGAACTGAATTCTGCTGCAGCTGGTACCAACTTCCAAATGAGCGTTGATCTGGCCTTCGCTGTCGGCCTCCGTGAGAATTTGCAAGTACCTGCTTATATAGCTACTTAAATGGTGTCCGAAGACACCACCCTTGAGCCGGATCTGAGATGGTTCTTCCGCGTTGGAGTAATTCCAATTCAAGACATGGGACTCTCAGTACGACACGACCCTGTGAGTTCCCTGGCGGTCTCTGATGCTAGATATTTTACTTTTTGATTGCCATTATTTTGTCCGCCCGGTCGTAACACTCATGGCTAGGCTTTGAAGAAACAGATCGGATCGGAGCTCTATCATGTAATATCATAGCTATCCGATCCCGTATCGCTGTCATAGAGTTGCTTTAATGATGCCACTCGTGCTTCGACCTCCTCTGGTCTTCGTTCAATCTTTCAAAAACTCCGTTGTGAGGCTTCTCAAGGCATGATCCAAAGCGTGTGATCTTGTCTTGCAGCTCGAATATTCATTGTCTAGCAATATCATTTTCAATCGCCTCACGCGCTAGAAAGAAGCAAGTGAGAGGTCGCTAAAGAATTGATTTCAAGAAACACAGCAAAAAAACCAGCAAAAAAAGTTGTTTGTGTAGTATATTTGGCTGAGTAGTTAGCATATTCTAGAGGGGTGGTTCTCACATTGTTTGTAGCACATAGGAGACTGCAACCATTTTCATCTCACGAGCAACCACCTCGACCGCCTAAGACGGGATTTGTGGCCGTTCTTCCAGTGGCTCCTCTACATCCCACCTTAGCAGGTTACAACGAGGCGTTAGACGCGCCACCTTGCAACGGAGATTACGGAGCACCCCATGCACTCTCTCCAATGCGTCACTAACTATTATACCTGCAACATGTTTACTAAGGATGCCAGAGCGCAAAGTTTCGAATCGGACGGAGCAGAAGCGTATGGCTACCAGTGGCTCTTTCCGTACGAAGTCGTTAGTGACGTTAAAAGCGTTGTTGTCAATGCTGTCAAACGAACTTACGTAGGTCCAAGACCACCGTTTGTTTTGCGAAATTTCTCTTATTCAATTGTATAAAGCTGAGCGAAATCAGGCTCGGTCAAAAGATTTCCCCATCCGCCGATGAGCCTGGTTGGCGCCCAGCCGGTAGCGTGTTTACTTCGATCCAACCCTCCTTCCTCCTCCTTTATCCAGTCAATGCGCCCTTCGAGCATGATATAAATTTGCGGAAATGGCAGACCAGAATTCTTTGGTCGTCAAGCTGCCTTACACATCCTCATCAACATCTGCTATCAACAGAAAAAACCAAGCCGCGATCTCCAGGGCTCCACCAGCAACAGCATCCGCATCATCATCGCAGGAGGCCGCACCTGCCAAGATCGCAACTCATTTCTCCCAAAGCCAGTTAGCACTTGCTCTTGCCATCCAAAAGGCGAAGCCGGAAGCACTTTCCACACATGGTAAGTCGAGATGCTCTGCTGGCGCTTCCCTCGCTGATGCTGCTATAGAGTATTGCCAACAACTACGCAAATGCATAAAGACTGGAAGACCTGTTTCGATTGATGGATTGCGCTTCGTTGATACTTGTGATTTCTGGAAGGAGCAATATACCAAGATTCATCTTGAGAACAAAGCACTGCAAGACAAGGTTCATAGGCTGGAACAGGCTGGGCTAAAGCTTCCCGAAACTCCACACGGCCAGTACACTCATCATATGCTGCATATTTCGAGCGGTCAATTCCTTCCAGAGCCTGGAGACGTCGGTCGTATGGACACTGAAGGGTCGAGGAAGCGGTGTGCTCCAGTTGCGGAGGACAGAGAAGAATATCAGGAGCAACGTTACATGGATTTCTCGTCTTCAGAAGATATTTGCATTAGCATGAGTAACTTTGGTAAGCCCGGAACTCGGTCAAGCACTTCCCTCAGCTAATTAATCCAGTTCTCCGCATCGGACGCCAACGCAGCAATATGGAAAGGGCCGCCCAAGACTCCTCCACCTTGGGTGATGTCAATATTCTTGCCAGAAACATCTTCCAGACTTTAGCTCTTCTCGAAACCACTCTGTTCAGTACCTGTCTACCCTTGAAGCTGCTGAGAACCGATAGTGAAGATCATCGAACATCATTATTGATTCAGCATATGATGCATCAAGTCAAAACTTCGTTCCTCTCTTGCTTCAAAGCTATGAACGAGCTGTGCGTTACGATTCCCGGAAGAGCGAGGATGCCAGAAACTGTCTATCGAATGGTCATGTTTTACAAGAAAGCGTTGGGTCTCCTTCATAGCCTGGCAAACGCGCAGGCGGAGTTTGAAACTGTTCAAGAGCGCCAAAGACCAAGAAACAAGCGTAGCAGGATGGAAGAGCGAGAATACATTGCGACAAAGTCTTTGGCGAACTCCCTCACTTCTATTGCCTTAGGTATTGAGTGGATATTCGGACAACCTGGGCATGCCGATTTACTGGAAGGAATTCTCTTTTGCGTTCTGGAACAAACTGGACGTCTGGTCTCGGAGGTCATATTTGCTGAGCACGTCGCTACATCAGATAATCCCGGAAATATCTCAAAAGTCGATGATCAAATACCCTGTGGAAATATCCATCATGACTCTCGGTACATGGTCCAGATCCTGCAGGCTGCGGTGGGAGGGTCGAAAAGGAGGGAACTGATTGCCCAGGTGCTGGCTGCAGGAAATTCCAATTCAAGTATGAAAACACCTCCCGTTAGTTCCACTCTGTCATTAGCCCTTTCTAGCGACTTGCTTTCCAAAGCCAAGAAGCTGTTGCAGAGTACATTGGTGAATTGTGCTGTAGGAGGACCCGGTTTGGAGAGTTTGAGATTACCCACGCCACCGATAGAGGAGGTAGACGTACAATTTGAGGTGGATGATCAAGCAGAGAAGTATGGATCGGAATGGCTGGTACAATCTGTATGGGGCATAATTGGCTGGGATATGATTGCTTAAAATGGGGTGTCTCTTTGCATATTTCGCAAAGGACGAGAGAGAATTGCTTCGATTTAGCTTAAAGCAGAAATTTTAGACAGTTAACTATAACTTGTCTGAGATTCATCATTTTGTCTCGCCTTAAAATCTAATAGTCATTTCAAAAGAGCATTCTGTAATTTGATTTCCCAAATCAACCTCGACCTGAAACTTAAACAACTGACTTCATCACTTCGTCGCTTTCGCCAATGCCGATCATTCGAAGTTGAATTCACATCAACAAGTTCAGATCAACCTCAACCACAACATCCGACTTCCCATTTACAACAACATATTTCCCCTACAAGTCGACTGGATCTCGGCCGTCATATTGCTGACGTCCACGGGCGTCAGAAATCTCCCAAGCGGTTGATGTCCGACTTGATCTCATTGTTCCATGCATCCAAGGAAATTCCAGTATCTTGGAATGAACTCATAGCCATTCTGACCACTCAAGGGTCACCATCGGTCAATGTCCCATGTAGCTTAGGACATTCGAAATTTCCAAATCCACCCATGAAACTGTTGAACTACAGAAAAGATGGCGCGAACTGTTTCACCATACCCCTCAATTTCGACTGGATATTGTCTTTGTTCCGAAGTGCGTGTCGTTCGAGGAGCATTACCATGAGTATACAGATTGGTTTAGGCGTGCCAAAAGAGTCGCACTCGGCCGTACTTGGCATTAAGATCCCCAAAGCATACAGTATTGGGACCGGAACGAGATAAAAAAGTATCTGAGCAAGTTCCCCAGTTTGGGGGACTTTGATGTTTGTTGGCGGATATCCTCCTTTACAGAGGAAAGTTTCACAATACGGAGACTTGATTGAGATTGGAGTGAGATTTGCTCATCGGAAGAATCAGTCTCAAGGCAGCCCGCCACAACGGCAATTGAAGGCGAAGGTCATGAATCTCAATAAAACGTAAAGTGGTGAGCGAGAGAACATAGATCAAATATTGTAGTAAGTACCAAAACAAAAGGGACATTCCGGATTACTAACTTCAGTAGGCTTTCGATAAGATCGCTTCAATCACAACAGAGCAGGCCATGTTGGATATATTGGGTGTATATGGAGTTCTGGGTCTTTCCTTCCCACGAACTGGCCAGGTCCTGGGTATCGGAAATGATGGCATTGGTCATACTCTTAGGTTCAGCACCCTAATGGCATTTCCTCCCAAAGCACCCTTTGCTTCTTCACTCCCACTTCCCAGTGCTGACTTGATTGCTTCATAGTTGGTCTCAACGCTCAACCATTTCCCTCCCTCTTCGTCCAGTGGCGGGAAAAACGGATGGTCTGTCCCAAACATGACTCTGTCCTCCCCACTTGCTTGTATCGCAGCCTTCAGTCCAATCTCGCCGTAGATCACTGCATCTAAGTAGATGTTCTTCTTTAAGATATCCCATACTGTCTTTCTCCTTTTGCCCAGTTTCCCCTCTGCCTTCAAATGAGCATCGTGCTCGATGCAAGACTCGATCCTTCCAGCCAAGAAAGGTAGAGTTCCTCCAGAATGAGCCAAGATCATCTGCAAATCTGGAACCTTCTCAAAAACACCAGACAGTATCATTCTAGTGACCCCAATCGAAGTCTCGAGTGGGAATCCCAGAGCAAGTGGTAGCACATGCCCATAATCACTCGCCCTCTCTCCCCATACCGACCCGGGCAACCCATAATGCGGATGCAAGAAAATCGGTAGCTCCGCATCCTGTAGAGCTTGGAAAATGGGAAGCAGTTCTGGATCATCCAGCCCCTTCCCAAGCCCTGTAGTTCCGAGAATAATTCCCCTCATATATTTCAGCTCCTTCAATCTTGCAATCTCCGTGACAATGATATCCTTCCCACCACTCAATGGCAAAGTCCCAAACGCAAATAACCTTCCCGGAAACTTTCCACATTCTTCATTGACCTCACTGTTAATCCTTCCTGCTGCTTTTGCCGCCTCGGCTGCTGGGACCCAGTCTAACCATGGATTTGCAAGAGAGATGACGGAGATGTCGATGGAGTGCGTGTCCATGAACTCGATTTTCTTGTTGATGTCGTAATACTCCGGCCCCACTGGACGTCCTCGCGAAGTGCTCTCTGTGTCTTCAGCCGGTAGAATGACAAGGCGGAGAGCGGGAGATGGAGGGAAGGAGCGGATATAGGGGATGCTGGAGCGGGATTTTAGGAGCTTGATGTAGGAGGGTGGGTAGACATGGGTGTGAATGTCCACGACGGGGGATTTAGCGGACGCCATCTCGTTCCAACTTAGTCGCCAGATGCCGGAGTAAAGAGAGGAAGAAGATGTTATATTGAAGCTCGTGATGTCGGTAGGACAGGCACGGTTAGCTTTTCCTAATTGGTAATTTTGTTGCCCCGCGGCGCTTATCGTGCCCCGCTTTGTTATCTCACCCCCTGGCCAAGCCCCAGCCGCCTGCCTTTTTCAACGACGACCCGCTTGGCTCGAGGCTGAACAGCCGGAGAGCGGCTGTATCCGCATATCAGATCATAAGATCTTGATCGATATTTCAAGGACAGCTTCCCAAAACTTCCTCAGACTACAAGAATCGCCATAGCGTTGGCAGTGAAGCTTGTAGAACAGGATGGCACCACAGGCGAGCGCTGTTGAAAAAGACAACTTGTTCATCCCAGTAAGCATATTCCCTGATATGACAACGAAGATAATAACACCGCTGTCACAGCTCGTTGATTTCTCTCTCTTCCTCAACGGCACTACAGCCGAACGGACACAAGCCGCTGAATTCATACTCAAAGGCTTCCAAAATGCAGGCTTCATCTACCTAACCAACCACTCGATCCCCCTCCCCACAGTCTCACACGTCTTCTCCACCTCCGCCAAATTCTTCGACAGGCCTCAACTCGAAAAGGAAGCCGTAGGCTGGACAACCCCTGAATCAAACAGGGGCTATGTCTCCCACGGCCGCGAAAAGGTCTCCATTCTCACCGATAAAGATGCTGTCGAGGCAATTCGAGGCCAAGCCCCAGATTTGAAAGAGAGTTTTGAAATTGGGAGAGAAGGGGCAGAAGGAACGCCTAACAACTGGCCCAGCGGGGATGAAGCAGCAAAGGAGTTCAAAGAAACAATGCTGAAGTTCCATGACCAGTGCAAGGTGCTGCATATCGAGGTTATGCGGGCCATAGCTGTGGGGATGGGACTAGAAGAAGGCTATTTTGATGGGTATACGGATGTTGGAGATAATACGTTGCGGCTGCTGCATTATCCGGAAGTGAAGAAGGATGTGTTTAAGAACAATAAGCTGCAGGTAAGGGCGGGCGAGCATACGGATTATGGATCGATTACCTTGTTATTTCAGGATAATAGGGGTGGGCTGCAGGTTAAGAGTCCGGATGGGACATTCGTTGATGCTATTCCTATTCCGGGGACGGTGGTGATTAATGCGGGGGATTTGTTGGCCAGATGGAGTAATGATACAATTAAGAGCACGTTGCATAGAGTAGTGGAACCTCCTGCGCCGGAGGTTGGGGATGTCCATCCGGCAAGGTACAGTTGTGCCTACTTTTGTAACCCGAATTTCGATCGGATGATTGAGGCAATTCAGGGAACCTACGGAGGGGAGAAGGGTCCGAAGAAGTATGAGCCGATTAACTCGGGGGACTACTTGGTGCAGAGACTTGCTGCTACTTATTGAGTAGTCGAATCGTAGTGTATTTATGTTTGCATGCGAGCATTGTTGCATTGTTGCATTGTCTTTGTGTATTCTCGTTTTTCTGCTTGGTCTCGGTGCAATGCTTCAGGAATTGGGGTACTAGTACAGAATGATTGTATTCTGCCCAAGTCATACAGTCTACTATTTAGAAAAGCCAACGAGGTCTTGAAGTCAAAGCTGACCTTGCTCTTCTCGACATATTATGTGCGTTCACCCCGATGTCTGCCTCACTGCCCAGAACCAGCAGCCGCAGGAAGGCTTGCTTTACTTACCCAACGCATCGGAACGTGAGCGATGCCGTAAGAATCATAAACCCCCTGGCCATCCTTGTTTCCCTTCTCTCCATCCTTCATGGGCAGCTTCTTCGTTTGGTCAATGCTCACGAGAGCCCTACTCACGCTTTTGCAAAACCCCTTGTCCCCAGCTGTGACCAGACTCGCCATCACATAGCAGAGGTTTTTATGCCTATTGAAGAACTCCGAACGATTGCAATTCGAACTCTGGAGTAGTCGGCGGAACTGAATATTGGTTCTACCCTTCACGGGACCGTCGATGACTAATTTGACCATATTGAGGTTTGGGCAATTCTCATGTAACAACTCCCATAAGTCGCGCTTTCCTCCTCGATATGAAGATGTGAGGTAGTACAGATCCCCAAGATTCATAGCAAGTACCTTCACTTCCTTCATGACACCCTTGTAAAAATGAATAGCGCCGTGGGCAACCGAGGGGTAGCATTCCTTTGCGGGATCCATAAACCACCGGTTTAAGTAGATTGTGTCCTTCGCATAGTTGATGAAGAGCGTAAAAAGGAGAGCCGGCTGGCTGCTCTTGACGATTGAGAACGTTTTCTTGGCTTCTTTACGTGACTCGCGGCTAGCATGAAGAACTCCGGGAACCATGTCCTTAGCGGTCGGTTGGAGACAGACGATGCGGCCGCCAATAGCTACAATGGCGTGCTTCCAGATTCTCAGGCGGAGTTCAGGTGGGAACTTAGGGAAGAGATGGAAGGATCGTTCGACGCTTCGAAGGTTTTCATCCTGGATTAAGGCGACGCTGATGTTCTTGGCAGACTTGGGAGAGAGACTACGAGCTTTTTTGGAGGTATACAATTGAGGACAGAGAGGTGGATGCTCCATGGCGTTGTCTTCGGATCTGGAGATTCTTAGTGTTTGTATTCTTCGACGTGGAGAGATCAATACCTATCGGAAGTGTTGCCTCGATCCGGATGATCAGAAATCGAGTCCGACATGATGTTGCTAAGCCCAGTTGTCCCTTAGGACAACTGTTCAATGTTCCAGACGGTTTCTGCTGATTTAACTCTAGGTCGTTGTCCTGTGTCAAGAAGTTAGTGGAGGCTAGCAGGTTGAGCCTGATAGCGGTCGCGATTGGCTCTTTATCCTCTCGATTGGAGGATAAATTTGGCATTCACCACCACAGCCCAAATAGGAGGAAATTTATCAAATCAATCGATGAGATGGCTCAGATAGAGGTACAGCTCTATATAAGCACTTTAGGGCCAAACGTAAGAAAGTTGATTTTAATATCTACGAACATGAGATATCGATATCTTCTGCCCCATGAGTCAATTTTGACAGACCACAAATTCAGGACTCTATAACATCCTTCCTCCTATGGTATCCCTCTTTATACTCTCTCTCGAAATGCCCTCTTTTGGACATCAGTCTCGTCACCCACCCTATGTTCTGACCCCAAGGTATATACAATTGAACGATTCCCTTCCTTCTTAAACTTCTACTCAAACACTTGAAATTACCAGTATCACCACTTTATTATAAGTAAAATATGGAAATAGATATAAATAAAGGTAGTAAAATACAGTATTAGACTTGGCCAAGAAAAGTCCTACTTTTGATAAAGGGGTTATATTTTGAAGTGGTCCGAGTCAAATCCCGGAAGTAAGAGAAACGTTCAAATTCAATGAACGGGAACTCAATGAATTCGAGCCGAGGACAAAGAGTAGATGAACTAGAGTCTAAACCCGCTTTGCAATACGGGCAGTTATTTTATTTACGTCCTCCATGGACTTACACTTGATGAGCTGTATTATCATTAATTGAAGTAGGACCTGTTGCTTAAACGAAAGTAGAAGTTCAAGTCTATATTGTTCATAACCCTGTCTTTCAAGATATCATCAATCAAGGTTGACAATAAGTCGTTTTCCGTGGAACGCTTTCGAACGAAATTGACCAATTGCTATTCTCTCCAAAAGTCCCCCATTTAACTCCACCAAAAGAGCATTTAAGCACTACCCGTAGTTCCCATAGTAAACTTAATCGAACACCTTAAATGAAGTTGAATATTCATAAGTAAACCTCGGGTTAGTTAGCCGGGACGACGACGATTGTATAAAATGGCAAGAGTTCTCTGGATAGTCATTCAGCCAGTGCTTCTCGAACCCATACAAGGCACCAGACGCAATACCCCACTTATTTAGAATCCGGGTTAATGGCTACCGGTATGATCGCTCGATTGCTTCCCGTTCTGATAGGTGTTTCGGTAGTATGAGATGATAGCGCCTCTCAAGCATATGCTCAAACAGGTATTGATTTATGCTAACTATCACAATGGGAAAGACAAGACACATCCTCAGATCTTCCTTGCCCCTCATGTACCTGCAATATATCCTGAACGGCTTGGGAGAGTTTTCTTTTTGTTTCAAAGGCCCAATTGTGTTGTAATCAGCGGCAGTTGACCACCCTATCCAGCACCAACTGGGTATCATACACCCAAATTTGTTTGTCAATAAGTGCCTGAGAATATTCTCCAGGGAGGCATCTCGTACAAGATAGGTGGAGCTCAGAGCAATCCATACTCGATAAAACTACTGGCAGAGCGCTGTAAAACCAGCCAAAGTGTCCCCCCATGGCTACGAGTATTCCGTAAAATACACTCCAAATGTCAGCGCCGAAAGTGAGACACTTTCGGGTGTGCTCTGCAACTAGATCGGCAGAGCATCCAAATATCTGGGCCTTTTCTACTGCCCCCTGAGTTTGATGATTATCCCCATCTGGCACGACCTCAAAGATATTAAAAAGAGGCACCTGCTCAGAGCCATATGTTAGATGATCCTTTTCACTCAGACTGTTGTCTTAGAGTGAAGGACTTGCTCCTTAGTGAAAATAATGCATCGCCGAGAAAGAAGTCTCTCTTAGCAAGTCCAATCGCGAGTTCCATACGTTGATGACATGATCAGATCTCGAAGCTGTCGCAGTTTCGTCTCATTCGTGTCCTTAGTCGGGCCTAAAGGCTTTTCCACGTCTGGTGACGGAGCAAGAACAAACGTGCGGGAAGTCCATGCAACGGGTTTTCTGCATTCTTTCTCGCTAGAGCAATGATGGTCGCAGTAGCCCCATGGCAAATAGATGCCATCTCCTTGATCTGTTGGTGTTCTCCATGGCATTATCTTACACAATACAAAGAGAATCTAAGGCTCCTGTAAGACATGCACGATAATTGCAAGATCAGTTTAGAGATATTGACAAAATTCACGGTTCTGTAAGTGGGTCACTCTGGATTATTCTCACTGTTCCAAGAGAGTGCTCCTGCTTGAGCTCATATACTAAACGCCGTCCAAGGCTGCTTTATAAGTCACGGCATGCCGCTGGCCCACTGGCAATAGAACTAGAGTCCCAATCGATGCCCGATATTCTGAGCGGGGTTGTGGGGCTGAAGAGGACCCGGATGGCTGTGGCTTACCTTCACGCCAATGGAAATTCACAAGAGATGGTGGTCTAGCCGTTTCAGGCATGCCTGTGGTGAACTGAAGGCAGCGAGGGACGTGCTTGGTTTGAAAGGGGTGAGAAGAACATCACGTGAAAAGGGACCTTGTCTGGGAACCACGTTCCGTCTTCTCAATCCTCATACCTCATCTTCATCATCACTTATTGACTAGAACACGCCAACAAACCTCCTCATCGATCCCCAGCTTTCAGAATAGCTTCGGGATGCGAGCACTGCGATCAATGCGATGAAGAGCCCGATGGCGCGTGTCGTGGCCTCTGCCTGATTTAATTTCTTTTGTTGCCGACACCAAAGCTGGGCGTCGCATTATTTGCATTCTTGCGATCCCTTTTCGTTCACCGAGCTCCCCATGTTCTACACTTTGTTGGGTAATTTTTGCTGGACCAGCAATCTGATTATTCGGTGTGCAAAGCAGGCTTAGCAGAGTTGTGTGTGCCATGCAATCAAGTAACAGGCTTTTGCACTGCCAAGATCACGGAACGAACCAGCATTGGGCCGTGTCTTATATGTACCGTCCTAATATTACTTCGATATCTATTTTTGCAACAGCTTGACTCAAAAGCAAGTCGATTCCCAGCACTGCCCACGTTGAAGGCAAGCTTCACGTCAAAAGTCTGGGATTCAAAGCTGTGGAGTACTTTGACACAAGTTGAGGAAATCTGGGGCTATGCTTCTCTAGTTACACTGCCCCAATGGCTCTTGAATATATGTCAAGCTTGAATCTTTCTCGTCTTCTAAAATATTTTCTTATAGTCAAATAATCCTGTTCAACATCATGAATTCCGCTGCTTTGATTCAGAGTATGAAATGGATGCATGACAGGGAGCCCAGCTGGCAAGCCCTGGCAGACTTTCTGGCAGATTTTGGACCCTAGCTTTTCTCGACCTGTTCCTCACCGAGGCGAACCCCCAAAAATATGTTTAAGGACGAGGTGGTGATACGATATTTCGCACCCTATCGGCACGGAAAGCTTGTCAGCTATCATCGGAAGCCTGATCATGAGCTTCCAAAGAGGCATTTAACCCGTATCGCCAATCAATATGGGTGAAGCTACTGGCCTTACCCCTCCTCGTCCGGCGAGGAAACTATGTCTGTGCGCGTTGGCTGATTTGCAACACACCATAGACTGCTTTTATAGGCCAATCTCACCGCGATAAGCTTGTTGAATGGTGGAAGTCTTCATGCAGTCCTTCATACACTGCAGAAATCCAGCTCACGAACCGACGGGCCACAGTTTCTCCAATAGAATATTTGTCCTTAAGGACGAGTGAAGTCACAATCACGATGATTCAAGCACTCAGGATCCCGCATATTCGGGACAGGGACGAATTTGTGAGCTGGCAGTTCTCGCAAAATATTTTATGCGGTGCCAATTCCTACACTTTGGGCAGAAAAGTCAGGAGCTGGACTTTTTCACATTCTCTGCACCACAACATAACAAACTCGAGACAATGGCGTGCTTTATGAAGCAAAATGAAGGTGGCATGGAGGTACTTCCGGGGAGTGGAGGGGTCCCGCATTTCAGTAATGAGGAAAGTGAAACGGTGATTCCGGATGCGAGAGAACAGAGAGATCCCGGCAGCGAGAGCGGTTCCGGGTACGTTCGATTGGGAAAGTTTTATTTTGCAGGACACTTACTGGTATTCCAGCAACCGTACAGTACCAAAGCACAAGAGTTGTCATCGAAACTTCCTCTTCTGGGTGGCGTATATCCGCAAAAAACCTAAGAATATTGATGAGACTGAGCGGCGAACTTGCCCCTTGAATGACTGCGAGAAGACTCCTTTCGACACTCACGACGCAATGCTTGAGCATCTTTATACTTGCCGACACTTGGCAAAAGGATCTTACAAATGTTGGGATTGCGGGAAATTTGAACGAATCAGCAGAATTCACACCAATGGCTGTCATGAACTACGCCGATTTTCATCGGTAGCAGATTCGCTCAGGCGGGCGAAGCAACTTCTATCATCTCATAGCCACAAGAACCGCAACGGCTCCCAGTGTGCTACGAATAGCCAGGCTACCTCCGAAAAGTTTGCAGAATTGCCTACTCCACAAGATAACAGACACGTGGGTACTTTCCTAGACCCCACCGGATCCGCATCAGAGCTGGACGCGCGCTGGATTCCGGAGATCCATGAGCTAGATATACCAGCAGAGTGCGCCGCCTACGACAATTACATGCCCTATCACCAGTATGTCAGAGCTCAATCGCAAAATACGTGCCCTGAGTTGAGTGCTAGCCATGGTTCTGCGCATGTTTCCAACCATCAGCTGTACAACGAGCATGCTCCTGCTGAGCTCAGTAGTGCCTATAATTCAACGTGGACGCCTGCAGAGGACAGACGCCAACCAAATTCCCAACACTTCCAGTCATTGACCTATTCCTTTTCTGAACGCACACATGGTGACCTTCAACACTTCCTTCAAGACCAGTTCGAAAATGCTGGCCATAGCTACACATCATATGATGAAGCTCGCGTTTCCAAAGTCCAATCGCCTGTGTCTCCGATTTCCGCGCATGATTATCCAACATCCTTGCTGTCAAGTTCAGCAAGCCGAACAAATACAGATGTATCGGGAGTGTCCTTGGGGTCCTTTTACCCCTCAAGAGACACCTCGATGTCCAGCTTCTCGTCGCTCAGTTCGCGACCCGAGTACTACGAAAAGCTTCCGTTCCGTTTCTTGGCAGACGGAGGAGAAAACTTGATATTTTCGGAGCCAGAGTCAATGGAAGAGCATGTACACCCAGCTGAATTACCTACATCAGTTAATGCCATCCCTCTCAACTGGCTTGGGGATGAGTCAGGTTTGATTGTCTCGGAGCCAGAGGCCATGGAAGAGCTTATCCAGCCAGTGGAGTTGCCGACATCATCCAATGCCTCTTCTTTGGCCCACTTCGAAGGAGGCCCGAATTGGATGTTTATGCCAGAGTTGGTTGGAGACTCCGTCACTCCAGTTGAGATGCCGACGTATTCCAACAAATATTCTCCCCATTTCAACTCGGCCGCTTCGATCCCGAAATGCTTCCCCGCCCAACATGGGATTTCAGAAGCGATTCAATCGCAGGATATTGAAGCTCAAATCCCTCCAAAACGCTCCCCTCCGCATTCAACAGGGCTATGTGACCCTTCATCTCCCCCAGTCTCAATCGCTCCGCAGTCAAAATACAAATGTTCCTGTGGCTTTGAGTCAAGTGGAAAAGAACTCTACAAATCCTCAAACTTCAAACGTCATCAAAGTACAAAGAGTTGCCAGCGTCAGCGCGTATCTCACTACAAACGCCCTGGAACAACGAAGTCTTGGCCGTGCCCGTATCCTGGCTGTCGCAAGAAATTCACTCGCTCTGATAATCTCCGCGTCCATCAAAAGAAAAAGCGTCATGGCTTGGAGATAGAATTGCTACCGGCAGGCTCTTTTTCTCTGCAGCCAGAGGCTGCTGCACTACAAGAAATGCATGAGCGCCATCGATATCAAGGAATTGTGGACCACGATAGTGGCACAAGTGTTTGGAAATGAGTAAGAGCTGTTGATACGATCTTGGAGGTCGGCTGGTCAGAAAAATTGGAGCTCGCCCTCCGCGTGGACTCGCGTTGACTTGAGCTCCCAATGACCCAACGTGGTCGAGCACTGAAGAATGCTGGAACTTTCTGTTTCGCTCTTATCTCCTTAATCTTACTGTCTAAAATTTTATCGCGAGGCGGTTGATTCAGTAATTTAATGTCCATTTACAATGAAAATCCACGGTTTTCAAGCATAATAAATTCCCCTTTCTGCATCCTTTTTCCAATCCAGCTAGTATCAAATTTCTCTCGCCTTACCTTCTCACGTCCTTACCGCAACTTTTAGGACTGAGGCTCAGCATGCAAAACCCTACAGCAGTATGCGATAGATGCAGGTACCTGCATTCAGTTCTATTTTCGTATCTTGCCTACCCTGTACCAAAGTCTCACATGTCCTCAATCTCGTCCTTAATTTGAGGTTCATAACAGAGGAAGATCTTCCATCCAGAAGGACTCAACCTCCATTTCGGTTTTCAGGCTGCAACTGCAAGACGACATGGTAGGGATCGTCCTATCAGGTTGGACGCAGGCCGTCTATCCGTTTTGGGATCGTGAGTTGTAACTGAAGGCGGGTCAACGCGTGATTTTCCTGAGACACAAGTCTGCCTTAATTATTAGAGCTGCATGATACAACGCTAGGGGCGAGGCCTCCGAGGTGAGGTTTATGAATAAGAGGGAAATCTCCTCACGTTCGGAAGGATCAAAAGTTTGAATCTTCCTGAAGCTTTTTTGATCCGAACTACTTCGTAACTTACTCGCCACTCCCAACTTCTCTCATTCGGACTCACCAACATATTTAAATATAATCGGAAACTGATACAATAATGTCCCGCCTCCCACTTCCACAACAGTAAGCTCCCATCCCCTGCACCTTGCCCCTCTCTAACCCCACCAGCTCCACACAACAAAACGGCACACATCCACCCTCTCCTCCACCTCGAGCAAACCAACACCCCTCACACTCGGTAGCCTACGCCAACTACAAAGCGCTCCCTCGAATCTACATACATATTTAAGAAGAGACCAAAACTTCGAACGAGTTCCGCTGGGATTGGAAATAGAGAGGAGATGTGGGGAGGAGAGGACAAGGGAGTTTGAGGAGCGGTGGAGGGTAGCTGGTGCTGGTTAGGGGAATGTTAGAAGTTCAATGTTCGACAACTTCGAGTACAATGAAGCATCCGTGTTTTATTTTGGATGGATAAGCTCGAATTTTCCAGATGAAAGACCTTGAATTGCCGGTTAAATGAGTCTAAGTCTTAGATGAATAAAACCTAGTTTCTAGGTTAATGACTTCTAATCACTATGAACGTCCTTCAAGTTCTAGATGAATGACCTCTAAATTTTAGTACAATGACCCCACAACTTCGTATCTTAAACAATCAAGCAAGTGAACATGAGGTGAATGTCCTACAACCCCGAGTACAATGTTCCAGTAAATTCGGGTACAAATAAATCCTTGAACCAGACACAAATTTAAAATGTACCTGCCAATTCGAGAGTAATTGTCCTATAATTTCTGGTGCAATTAAGGACTTGAACATAAGTTAAATGTACCGTAACTTTGAGTAAGATTACCATTGAACACTTGAAAATCGCAAAAATAAAGAAGGCAATTTGCGAATACAGTGCATTCAGCTCTCACTATCTTATCTTCTGAAAGGTAAAAGTCCTCTAAAGCACCACAGAACTCCCAGACTATATCAACAAACATCAATACAATTCACTTGTCGCCGTCCCGCTTTCGCTTTCTCGATTGCGCCGTAAAATCAAGTACATCCTCACCCCAACACTCATCACCTTCCTCATCCGCGACCCCCTTCAAAGACCTCACAAGCTCCATGCACTGCATAGCTATCCTCCGCCTCTCACGCGATGTCAAAGACTTAGCGTGCGCCCTTCGGCTGATCTCCGTGCTTCCGAATCCGACGAGAGGGGCCGGGGTAGGTGCGATCCGCTTCTTTCCTCCGCCGCCGCCGCCGCCGCCACGTGCAACTCCCGGGGTGGCTTCTCCGGGACGCGGGACACACTCGAGAAGAGGGCCACAGGATGTGCCGACGATAGCGAATCCGCCGTTCTTGAGCGAGCCGCCTGTGTAATTTGCTGGTGCCATGCCGGAAATGGCTGGCGCTTCGACGTGTTCTGCGATGAGATGCGCTTCTGCGTTTTGCTGGGCTTGATAGAAACTGCAGCGGCTTGCATTACCGCCGTAGTGGCAATTCGCACACGCTCCCTTGAAAAGACCTTGAGACCAGAGAATTTAGCGGTTGTGAGGGGATGGGGTCGCTATATCGAGTACGTACCTTCGACTGTGCAGCACTCAGTGAATGGGTTGTTCCCCCTATTGCACTGGTTGCAGGGTTTCTCGGCGATCTCGCCCCTCTCGGTGCCGACCCAGGCTTCCTCATAGGACATTCTCTTCCTGTCCTTTTTGAAAGTCCTCGTGGCTCGGATGGTGACTATGTTTAGGATCGGCAGCTTTTCCAGTATAGAGAGAGTTTGGGTGGACTTTGAAGGTGGCTCGCCATTGATGAGAATTGGTACAGGTATCAGCGCCGGTTCTGAGAGGGGTTGAACCACAGAGACAGGGACATTGGTGTTATGAGGTGGAGTCGTCGCTGCAATAGTATTTTTTGCTGATGTCTTTTGCTTGGGTGTTGCTCCGGTCCCACCTTTGACTCGAGCCTGCGGCGTCGTGGCTACAAGTGTCTTGGCTTTCTTTGGTGTCTTTGATGCTCCTGTTACTGCCTCTTTACATTGCGCAAGAGTCTTCTCTACAGCCAAGACACCTTCAGTTTGAGGACTCGGGGTTGTAGATTGTGTTGGTGGTTGTGTGCGGACGTTGCTTGCCATCGCCATGATGGCGGTGTTGGGCGTTGATGTGGTTGTCGAAGGAAAGACTGCAGAGATCGTAGATGTCGAGCAATCTAGTATAAGAAAACACGCTAGTGTCGGCAATTAAGGGTCGAATACTGCTCATGACTGTCTTTGTGAGGAAAATTCCGAATGCGGATGAATTTCCGTACCTTTGTTGTGAATACTCCGTCAAAGATGGGACAATGGCTTATTATTTTAGTAAGGTTGCCCCAGCAGCTACCTAGAAACATTATCTAGAGAAAATCGAGAGGCTATTCAACATCTTGTTGGGACATTGTTAAACAAGAGAACGGACATTGATGCACTTGGAACTGTTAACAAGGAAAATATAAATTCATGAAAACGCACCACCCACTTTCACTTTACCACATTATTTCAACGACTGCTCGTATTTTCTGCAATCCTAAGGCAGTTAAGAACATTCTCTTGGTATCAGTTGGTATATTTTCAGATACAAGAAGCAGAATGTACTAAACTGCGGTGGCACAACTCGACCGTGAGAGAAAATATGCCTCTTTGAAGAGGAGCACGGCTTTCTACTTCAACAGATTCTCTCAGCGCGCGCCCGTGCATTCGAACTTCCAGAGCGATGGGTCCTCCTTAATGCAATGCAATTGAGCGGACGTGCCTAGAGGATACTTTGGTCTTGTTTACCCATAAAAGGGGGTGCCAAGAAAATTAGCGAGCTCAAATCCAAGATGTTCCTCAAGCTTGCACGTGACTTTACTTCAATTCCAACCAAAACTTTGTTTTTGATTGATTATTTAATTGATTATATGCTTTGGAATAACCCAAGCTAGGCAGAGCTATGCTACAATGCCTGTATCCCGCTTATGCCATGCTTCCTATCCAATCTGGGTTACTGTTCATCCCGTTGCCTGGAAACCAAATGCTACCAACAACGCCGCGCTGAGAGGAGTGACATCCAAGACAAAACCGTAATGCTTTTCCTCTCCGAAAAATGCCAAGTTCTTCTGATTCGTGGAACCAGGGGTATATCCATTGCTCGTTTTCAAGGTAAAAAATGCGCGCTCATAGCCGCCCAATCGCATCCAATGCCAAAAAGAAAATCTATTTCGTTAAAATTCAGGGTTCCAGAATCAAGTCCTCGATATTGAGAACTCTGGTGGAAGAGCCTTCGCCGTTTGTTCGATGATCTGGAACAGGTGCTGGCATGGGGCTCTCTGCCTCGTCGAGAGGAGTCAGATCCTCGTAATCTGGGATGGGGTCGCCCTCGTACAATTCCGAGTTTCCAGTGAGGTATGCTGGGGGGCTGGCCGGAACATTCTCATAAAGAGGTGGCTGCTCCTCATCCCAGGAAATACCCATACCCGGTCGTTCGGTGACCGTAATGTTGAAATGCATTCTCAAAACTCTCGCAGCACCCGTTGGTGTGACTTGAGTCGGCTTTTTGATGGGGGCAAATTCCTCTGCAACAATCATCTCAACAATCAAGACATGCGAGACCTCAGTTCCGTCCTCGGACTTCATATCGCAGATTGGCCTAGAATCAGATCGGATGCCGAACGGGAATTCCAGCTCAATCATTCCATCAGGAGAATTGTAGTCCGCCTTCCACCCCGACTTCATCTCATCTGTGCCAACTGTGCGCACATCCTGGTGTGCCATTCCCTTCTTGGCATCATCAACATTGCCCAACTTCGCAGCGTGCTTCGCACATGCTGGCGAGATCGTCTTTTGTGTCTCGTCCAATCTCCATGTTAACCGCTTCAACTTCCACTGTGTCTGTGTCTTCGTCTCTGTGTTTCGCTTGACAACCCCGTCTATCCTCATAGAAATATTGGTTGCGCCGATTGGGTGGATGACGGCTGGCAGCTCGCAATTCGCTGTGAGATTCGTGGGAGGGAAAATGCGGATCGAATGGCGGGGCTGATCGGAGGGGTAAATCGCGCGCTTGATGTCGAGAGTCTGCGCCAGCTTAATGGGCTCGCCGAGCTTGGGTGTAACTACTGCTCGCAGAACATAATCGATCGCAGAAAGACCTCCCTTCATTGTCGCAGGAAGGTGGCCAGGGAGAAGGAAGCTGAATGGGAAGTTGTGTTCGCCTGCGGGGGATAATTAGTACAGTCCATTGCAGAGGTTTCGCTCAAACTCACCTCGCTGTAAGGTTGCTGGGCCTGGTAGAAAATTCCAAGTGGTCAAATCCGTACATTGCTTGGAGCACTCCTGGCAATGAGCGTGGAAGGGCTTCTTTCTTGTTACTTCCAAAGCTAACCTCATCTTGAACGAGTCAATGGCCATGAAATCTTCGTGGATATTGAGCACAAGTTGGCCCGAGAGCAATGCGCCAGAACTCGAGGCTGCTGTCCCGAAAAATACTAGAGGCGGAGATTCGATCGTAACATCGAGAGTTGCAGTTTGGGGGATTTTGTTGGAGGAGGACTTTGGGGAATGCAGCCCTACGAGGGACAGTCTCTTGTGCGAATCGGGCATCTTGATGCTGCGGTCGTCAGATGCGAGGGAAGAACCAGATGATGAGGGTGTTCTGTCGGAATAAGCAGGCCGTTTGGTGCTCGAGGAGCGTCGCTTGGCCTTTTTAAGGTCTGTTGAGATGTCGAAGGTGCTGGCGTGACGAAAGAAAGTTGATACTCGGGGCATCACTGCGTGGGGCATTTTGAATGATCGATTCGCGGCCAAATGCGGAGAGCGCGAGCGAGGGAGCGAGCGAGGGCCTTGCGTAGCCGGGATGACGGCACTGGAACTTTTCTCCTTCGGCCTGCTTTCTAGAAGGCCGAGCGAATTCTTGGCAGGAGCAGGCGTAGGCGCAGGCGCAGGCTCAGGCTCGGGGCAATGAGGTCAGTGCCGGCGACGAGTTCGAGGTTCTTCTCGAGCAACACGGAGGAGGGTAAGTAAGTGTTCGTGGTGGTCTGGCTCAACAACACATGATGAAGAGGGCAGAGTTTTCCTTTGTCCACTGTCGGATGCTTTCAACATTTGTTTCCCAACGCCGGACCTCCTCCTCGGCGGGGCTCAATGGATCTTATATTTCATGGGCAGAACCATGAATTTATGTGTCACGGTGCAGCAGTCTGTAACCACGGAACCTATATGGCCCAAGGGCCCAAGCCGCTGGGGCGCGGTGTACCTGAGAGCGTGAGCGTATGTTGACTATCCGGGCTGGGGTGGTTGATGGCTCTCGGTGGTGCTGATGTGAGCTGGGCTCGGCGGTCCCAGTGCCAAGCTGATGCATGAATCTGCGATGCCCCCTCTTGCGTCGGCGATTTTGCTCTTGGGTCACAAACTAAACTACTGTGCGACTAATCCTGTACGGGGCAAGGACTGGAGACGCGCAGAAGGCGTCATGCCAAACGGGGTACGGTCATCTGATGATGGGAGCAATCCAGTCGGCCTGGGTGCGAGACGCGACGGTGCATCCCTGAAAATAAACGTAAGAATACTGTACTAAGAACACGGTCATGGGTCTGAAGCCATGGCGCCCGCTGAGAATCAGGCACAGGGCACCGAGCACAGAGCACCGAGCACCCCGAAAAGAGGAGGGCCAACGGAGGCGAGGGCTTGCACGCGCCACATCTCCCTCTGGGACCTGATGGGCGCCCGAATTTCGAACACTCCGGCTCTTTGGTCTGGATGTTGGCGGTAACGCTGCTCAAAACCAACGTGGCAGCCAAACAGAAGTGCCAGCACTATCGCGGTTCCGCTGCTGTACCACAGTCCTCCGTAAGCGCAGCATGCACAGATGGGCGTTTAGAGGCTCTTCGTGCTGTAGGGCCACAGAGCACAAGGGTGGCTCAGACATTGCAGTCCGGGGACGGCGGCCAGGTCGCAGGTCGAATGTGGCAGTGGAGAACGAGGCTGGGCTGAACACTGCTCAATTGGGAGGGCCGTCTTCTGGGCAAGCCCCTCAAAGGCTCAAAGGCACATGCCAGCAGCGACTGCCAGCAAACCAGCAAGCAGGAGCTTCATATCGGCAACATTGCGAGAGGTTCAGGAGTCAGGGGAAAGATGAGAGCTTCACCGCGACTATGCACATTGGCCCAACCTGTCACCTGCCAGCTCACTTCCAAAAGGGTACTCTGCAAAGCATTGGCAGATGTACCATCTCTAGCCGCCGCAAAGTCAGCTGCTCACCTCATGAGCTGTGGAACTTACGAGAGACATCAAATTTTCCCCTATGGGACCAGAGGATAAATCGTGGCGTGTTGCCCGGCAACGTTCCCGATGGAAACCCGTTGGATGTTTTGCTTTCAATTCCTCAAGCAATCTCTCTCACTGGTGGCGGGCAAAGGGTACAACCCTCGCGCGAGTTTGCAGCTCGAACACATTCAGGCCATGACTAAAGTGTTCGAATGCACTTCATTCGCTGGCTGTGGAACCTTTCTGTCTCATCCTACACTAATTTCCGCATCAAGATCCATTGCAGATCGTTTGGCTGATGGGCAAACACGCATTCGTCGACTTCAAGCCTTCGTGGCTGAGACTTTGAATGCCGGCCTCCCCAGCTTTGAGTTTTGCTGTGGCTGCATGTCGCTCACCTCCGGATTCGGTGAAACATCTCGAGGCTGAGCCTTTTATTTCACATGATCTCAACACCAATCGCCTCTTCCGAGCAAGAACATTCCCAATCAAGCTCGAATGCCATTTCCACAACCCGATTGCGTATGCAACCAATCAAGGTCCGGCACGATGTCGAAAAGATCACGTCAACAACACCCTCAGAATGCGGGGAAAACTACCACACACATCACTGGCGCGAGGTGCGAAACGACAGACGACACGCAGACAGGAAAAACCTGCTCTGTGCACCCCGCGAAATGGCGTGAAACTTTTGATATTCCAAAGTTCACATCTCCTCGGAGAGGGTCATGTGAGCACGCCTTCCCGCAATACCCGTTGCCAGGGGCGCCCAATGCGCTCGTTTGACAGGCAAGGAATTTGCTCCTGTGCTACGCCGATGAAGTAATAGAAATCGCCTACTCGATGCTTTCCCAGCCTGGTGACGAAGAGGCCCTCGCGTTGCCTATTGCACTAGGACTCAGGAGTATCGAAAAATGCGCGCTTTCTTTCTTTCCGTGCCCAGACTTGGAGCCAGAATGGGGAACCCATTACCTAATTCCTCGTCTCGTTTTTCACGAACCCGTGCATCACCTCATCCTCACCAGACTCTGCCCACTCTTTCATACCCTCATACCCTCTCGTTGACCCCATGTGCCCTTAGTGTGTCATTTCCACTTACTCGAAAATTACTCGACGGGATCCACTTGATGCGCAACAAGCATGCGCAGATCTCGTGAAGTCAGAACCTAACTTTGATGCAGAATGCCCCTCTTCTGCCCCGCAGTGAAAATTCCAGGAAGACATGCGCAATTGCGTTCCAGCCTCGCGCCATCCCGAGCCTGTCCCGGCCCACTCCTTCCCTGTCCTGTCTTCCAGGTTCAAGAATAAAACCTCCGATTGGAACATCAGACAGCTCGCGTAACTGTATTACTTGATAAATGGAAAATTATTTCTTCTAGTTCTTCTGGAATAATAATCAAGTGGGACAGCGTACAGTTGACGGCGGCCGATCTGGGTGGTGCAGAGGGGAAGGAAGGGGCATTTCAAGGGGGTGAGAGTTGGCCGGTTTGTTGGAGGCTTGCCCGAAGGATGGCCATTTCGGGCGCCTCCGACGGGGAAAATGAGGCCAGAAGAGCGTGAACTTACGAAAAACAAGCTTCTGAGCTAAGAGTTGACAGACTTACACTTACTCGTAGTTGCCTTTTGGAGGTTTGGTTTGTGATTACGTCCGGCCCCAAGATCTGATGTTCCGTGGTCCAGGTCGCTAAGTAGTGGCGCGTTCTAGAACGGAAACAGCGCTTCATGGACCTGATTCTGGGGAGTTGGAATGGTTGAAGAGAAGAAAGGACTATCGTAACCAATGCTGCCTTCATCGACTTTGAAGGAAACTCTTAGCAAGCCCATCAAATTGCAAGTAGAAATGAATGGGATACAGCAGCAAGAACTCTCACAATTGTCAATCATTTAAGTCTGACTCGTCAAACATAACGCTTCATTCTGACAACGAGAATGTCTGCACCACCACAGAGGTTCTTTCTCATGGCTCCTCACTCGAGAATTGTGAATTAAAGATAATCGTCTGCACAAAGACAAACTAGAGGCTGGCTCCAGGGCACGGTCCCCGCCTGAACCCCCTTTTCACAAGCGATCAGGTGATCGCTTCGTAGTGTGTGCCCGAGCGCCCGAAGGTATGTACGCTATTTCAACGTCCTTCGTCAACAAAAGACTTAAAACGTCTTTTTTCGTGCCTTCTTTGTCCCAGAGACTGTGCGACAACACCACCAAAACATGGAGCTTCGAGCGAAGTTCCTACTCCCAGGGAGTGGTTGTCGGTATTGCTTCGGGTGGAGAGAACGACGAGCTCTAAGTCGAGATTTTTGCGTGTGAAAAGAGTGTTGACATTTTGCTTTTGCAACATTGTGCTGTGCCATGAAAACCTTCTGATGCGGCGGGTGTAATGTGTCCTCCCCGAGGTCGGGACTTCCTCGCTCGGCGGAAGCGAGTTAAAGATTTCCCCCCACTTTCCGTAAACTTCCTTCCTTTCCCAAACACCCCCATACCATGCATGCCAACGCTGCGTGCTCCATCTCAACCTTTGAAGGCACGGGGCTACATAGAACATTCGGTAAGGATCCAGATTGAGGCCAAGCTCTGGAACTTTGCTAACACCTTCCTGGCACTTAAGGACATCAGTCAGTCTAATGGGCAAAAATCACACTGCGTCAACAACACAACGCCTTCTTTCTCCGTTCAGCTTGCATCGTGTACTAGATACAACTGACAAGTGTATCAAAGATAATGCCTAGAACCATACCTCGAGCTGTCGAGCAGCGCATACAAGACCGTAACTACCTCTTTCTTCCTGACCCAGAATTTTCTATATCTTGCATCAAGTTAACGGAAAGATTCTGACAGGGAACATATCTTCCGATCTCCGCCAGAGCTCTAGTGGTTATAATAATGCTCGAACAGGCATGCCCCTCGGAATACCAGAGGGCGCATTGCGCAATTCTCGATGGCTTATTGCACCAAGATCCCAACAGTATCTACTATGGGTGCTTGAGAGGTTGTGATTCTCCCGGGAGTCACCTACTACTCCTGACTGCCAAACCAAAGAGAGAACAGAAACAAACGAGCACTACCAAAGCAAACCGGCAGGGAAGCTGAAACTCGCAAGAAACAAATACTCAAGGTTCGCACCCAAGGCCTCCCTTGACTCATAGCCCACTAACCTCCAAGATCTAAAGATTGTCCACAATGCCGATCTCAGGCCGAACTAGAGAGGGTAAGAAGAGAAGTGATCATACTAGGCAGCGCAACCATCAACAAATCTGCTCTTGCGGCCACTTCTCTTCTGGCCCTACTCAATCCTCCATTTCATTTCTACTCTCAACAACGTAAGCACAACATCCAAACATCGGCTGAGCACACTGTAACTACTAATCACTTCAACAGATCGCGAAATCGGCATTACAGCCCATTTTCTGTATTCCTCAGATGTCAGGGTTGTGTTGGATATTAAACAGGTTTGTGCGACAACTTCTTCGTATAATTCTTGATACTAAAGTCGTAGGGCTGGCGATTGGAGAACAAGCCGCTCGTGGACTTCAAGCCGAGGATTCTATTCTTCGCTGGAACACCATGCTCAATATTGGCGAGTACGATGCCGGGAGGGCAGAAGCCCTATCTTAGTTTCTTCTTCATTGCTAAGAAACAAATAGGAACAAGGCCGAGACGGAAGAAGCAGCAGGAAATGGATCTCTGACTGGGTAGCGTTTTACCCTCTTCACAGAGCTCCTTCGCAACCGATCGTCCTCGGCGATTAGGCCACGGCCGTCAAGTACTACGCCGAATGCATGAGGACTGGGAGTCCAGATCCACCTTCGCAGACGCAATCGGGTATCAATACTTTGGAGCAAGAGGAAATGTCAATGCTTCGGAAATCGACTTTGAAAGCGCAAAAGATGTAAACCAGAAGATGTAGATATAGATGTAGCCATAGAATTTGAATATCAAGCACTTCTAGACACCTACAGAGAACAAAGTACCCCTTCTCTACTGATTCAGATTCACATGATTGAGCAAGTTTGGAGACTTAAAGTAAGTCCTTCATGTGGGCAGGAATCTACCTTCTTTTGCATCATCTCCCTTTGTCATGTACCAGATCAAGCAACTTCATTCAAGCTAGCATCATACGTTAGCTAGCCAAAACATCCTGGAAAGTCTGCATAACACTCTTTGGTTTTCATCTATGCTTTCCACAAGTCATCTTACTTAATTTGGGTGCACTAAACAGGAAATTCTTTTTGGTGGACACTAGAACAACAAGGGCAGTCCTACCTTTCTACTACTTTGGGTGGCAGTATTTGGGATGACAAAGCTGGTCTGTGGAGTCATTGCACGTGCGACAGGAACACCTTTTGGCATGCTCCCTTACTGACCAGACACTACGGGATCTTACATCGACTTTTGTCACGTGGTATAGGCCCTTCGGTAAAGCCTCTTCGTTCAGCAACCCCTGACGCTTGGATCCTCTCGTTGTTTTTTGGATGGACTGTTGTGGGTGTTGTGAACGCCTAGAATGACCCGCCGCATTCGTATATCTATAAAGCTGGGGGTTTTCAACAAGTATGATGTGTATTCTGCTAGACTTCGACAACTAGAGAATTCCTGATCTCTTCCGATAGCATCTCGATATATTTCCTGCCTTGTGGAAGAGCTAAAGAAATCTCGTCAGCATGGCCTCGATACACTCTGCAACCAGGGTTGAGAAGAACATACCAGCATCCATATGCATAAAATGGTGCGGAACGCCCTCGAACCTCTTCATCGTAACCTCGTTCCCAGCCTCCACCAGCCTCCTCCCATACGCCTCCCCCTCATCCCTCAAAGGATCACACCCAGCCGTATAAATAACCGTCTTCCCCAGATTCTTGAAACTATGCGCTATCATCAGATCCGCAAACCATTTCACGTCTTCCGTCTGCTTGTTCCTCTCTTCAGGGTCCTTACTCAGACTGCTCCACTTCAAGTCGTCACACCACTTAACCTTGCCCAGTTTAACGTGGGAGCGAATTCCATCTCCTGCATACTCTTATACGGGCTTCCTTGTGCATTTTCGTATTTGCTTAAATCGTCGACAGTCGGTGTTCCCACAACCACTAATCTCAGCGGAATGTCTGCGTTTCAAGCTAAATGTGCCAGTATCAATGCAATATTCCATCCTGCTGAGACTCCCCCAATTGACATCTTCGTGGGATTGATGTTGAATTGTTCAACTCCATACGGCGAAGTTATGTATTGTAGGGCGGCAAAGGAGTCAAGGATCCCGGTCGGGAAGGGGTTTTCGGGGACAAGCCGATATGCTACGTCGATGACGGCTACGTTGGCGAGGGATACGATGTGCTTGCAGATGTGAGATTCAGTGTTGAGGTCTCCAAGTCCCCATCCTGTTACCTATCAGCAATCTGCCAGATTTCCTGGGTATTCCGAATCTTACCTCCACAGTGGAAATCAACATGTACCGGCCAAGGTCCAGGACTAGCTGGCTCGTGCATCTGTACTGAGATCTCCGCTCCTTGATAGCCCAGGATTCTGGTATCCCATATCTTTGCAGCTTCTGGAGCTGGAGCTGTGCCGTATGAATAGAGGACGGAGTATTTGCTTCGCAGGAGGTTGATGTCGATCGGCTTGTTCGGGATATTCGCTACATGCTCGTTGTAGAACTTGACGAATGTTGGATCAAGGGAGGAGAGGACTGAAGGATGTATCGGATTGAGTGCTTCGTGGTGTTGTGCCATGCTTCTGGTTCAAATGGAGGTAGAAAATTTGAGGTAGAGGAAATGGCAACTGGTTTGATGACATTGAGGGAAGAAGATTGGGAAGACGTCTTCTAGGTTTTGATATTGAGAAAGGTTCCTACCTCAAAAAAGTTCGTCGCTACTGCAATTCCTGTCGCAATTATCTTGTAAACTTTGTCAAAAGTTGAATTTCATACAAGGTCACCAAATCTTGATGAGCTGAGAGCTTGGGTGATGTCCGAAAACCCACCGAGATAGCTGTCCGAAGGGTACATGGGGGGCTCGCTTGCAGCCCCTGATCCTGGTGTCGATCATCTAGCCCGAATAGGGACGACAGCTTTTGCGACGTATCTTCAAAGCTATTTATCAAAATGTCAAGATGAGATAGTGACCTCCATAATGTGGCGGGGTGGCATTCTGTGACCAATTTGCATGGAGAAATATCTCCAGCGGGTAGGCCACACTTCTTCGAAACTTCCAAAGATATGGCTGCACCGAAGTGGCCGGGGCTTTTGCCACCCCCATTCTTACTGCTGTGCGTCGCGATAGAGATATCAACGCGTCCCCCGTGATGGTTGTTCTTTCTCGTAGCCCAATCGGTGTTAGAAAGATCAATGCGGCGTATCTCTCACAGTATTGTAGACAATCGAGAAGATCTCGGGTACCCACAATGTGACTAGACCGCTCGAGCCGCTCCTTCCCGTTAGGGCTGTGACTATTTCACGTGAGACATCGAACATTTGAAGGATTCTAGGAGCACTGACTGAGCCCCCTCAAGAACTCACGCTGTCAAGCACACAATTTGATCCCGAAAAGCAGAAGTAAATAACAAAAGATGTCAGATCTCCCAGTGATCATCGTTGGAGCTGGTGTAGTTGGCCTCGTTCTCGCTCAGTCTCTGAAGATGGTTTGCACAAATTTCCCCTCTATGTCATGTGGCAATACTGAAGAATGCCTAGGATGGGATACCATTCATAATCTTTGATAGAGATGAGCACATTGACGTCCGTGGTCATGGATGGGGAATCACGATCCACTGGGCGCTTGAAGCATTGCAAGCCTGCCTTCCACCACCACTTTTCGAGCGCTTGGGAACCATCCAAGTTGATCCAGAACAAGGGCGAAAAGATACCGGACAATTTCTTTTCTTGAACCTGGCAAATGCAGAAGCTGTCTTCCAAATACCTCCGGCACCACGTCGTCGTATCAATCGAGAAAAGTTCAGGAAGCTCCTTCTTGATGGGATTGATGTCCAATGGAACAAGAATATTGCCAGCGTTGAGACTACGCCATCAGGTGTACAAGTCACATTCCAGGATGGGACAATATCTGAAGGAAGACTTCTCGTTGGTGCTGATGGATCGACCTCGAAAGTACGGAGGACTCTCTGCCCAGAAACAGGATCATTGTGCCAGCTGCCTATACGATTCCTAGGTGCCACAGTCAAGCTATCGCCAAGTGAAATGTCGCCGCTCAGAGCTCTTGATCCTCTGCTTTTCCAAGGTTGTCATCCCGAAACATCAACGTATTTGTGGTTTGCAACGCTGGACACGCCTGAAGTCAACGGATCTCAAGGAGACGACGAGTACTACTCTGCACAACTCAATATCTCCTGGCCTGTACGAAACCAAGCTGATGAAGTCCCTGCCACAAATTCCGAAAAGCTACAAAAGATGAAAGATTTGGCGCATGACTTCGAGCCGAGACTGAAGAAAGCTGTGCAGAATATACCCGAGGGAACGGAGATCTTGGAGATCAAGTTAGCAGACTGGCCATGTCTGGAATGGCCTTTTGATGGAAAAGTTACGCTTATCGGAGATGCTGCACATGCTATGACAATGTGTACGTTTTTTGCTTTCGCGTCGTTTGAGTTGTCCTTGCTGATGAAATTCACTAGATCGAGGAGAAGCAGCAAATCATGGCATCACAGATGCTCGCTTTCTACATGACCGACTGGTTGAGGTCTCGAAGGGTACTATATCTCAAGTTGATGCGATTGAGAAGTTTGAGACTGAGATGAGGGATCGGACTTCATGGGCTGTTCTGATGAGCAGGCAGGCTTGTCTTGATGCTCATGACTTTAAGAATCTGAACGAGGGTAGCGCTATCTTGGCTCGGCGGACGAAATTGAAGTAGACAAACAATAAAATCAGACTCATGCTCTTCTTGAATCTGATTTACTATCTCAGAACCCCTCGCCTCCATTTCCTCGAAGAATAAACACAAAGAAGGCACTCAAATATCTGCTCAAAATCTCTAACACCCGTTTTCCAAGGAGAAATCCCACCGCTGCTTGACTTTCCGGGGCTAAAGTTGTTCTGATACCCGTAACATCAAGATTCGCCTCGCCACGGAGTCGTGTGTCATTGCGCATACCTGCGGCAGTCGGGGCTCCAGCAAATGGATGCCCGAAAATCAATGCGCTTGGGTTTGTTGCTGCGATGTATTGGATTCCCAAGGTGTTGAGCACGAATGAGTGGAGGATTGGAAAGCAAACACGAGGTAAAGTTCTCAGAAATCCCAGTCTTCGCATTTTTTATTTGCAGGAGCAAAGCTATCACACGAGCAAGGCCGGGGAGGTGCATATAGAGTTGCATAGGCTAAAAGTCCTAATGGCAGGGTGCATATTCTGGCACAAAAATCTTAGGTCGAGGCCGCAAATTCGGAATAATTGAACGCCGATTCCTTGAATAGTTTTACAGAATGGAAGATGGCTATCTGCCAACACTCTGGATTGGCCTGGACAGAGAAGGATTGTGAAGTAGTGGAAGTTATCTCCAACTGGGACTCGAGGAAAGCCAAGCTCATGGCTGACCGCCTAATTCTCGAATATGAGCAAGCATATCATATCCACAGACCTCCTCAATTGCCAATTTCCCCGGCTTGCCACTCCTACTGCTCCATCCGATCCTCTCATTCAAGTCCATCCTTTCTCTTGCACTCGCAGCTTGAACTCTGCTCGCTCACTCCTTCCTCACCTTCTCCTATAACTCCAATCCCTTTCTCACATCATTCAACTTCTCACATCATTCAGCCAGATCGAGCTGAACTCATCGCTGAAAATATGACCTAGTGCTCCGGCGTTTTCAATAGCGATGCAGAACCCTTAGCTCAGGATGGGATGTGCCGCGTCGCCGAGGAGACCTATCTTGCCCTTGTGCCAGTACGGATAGGGCTGAAATATATAAAGATGCCACATATTGTGTCTTCTACATTTAAGAACAAGGTTCTGACTTGTTGAACGAGGTCCGGGATGTTTCTGCCAGTCCTTCTGATGTGGCGGATATATTCCAGCCGACTTTATTTAAGTCGTTACATGAAGCACTGTGGCAGGGTCAACAGAGCACAACAAATTTAGAAAGTCCTTGAACCTCACGGAAAGAAACAGTAGCAACTGATGTTCTCCCCACTATGGCAAGCAGACATCACAATTTTGTTGATGCCGAAACCGCCGCAGAATTCGATACCATTATTCAGGACGAATTCTGAGAGGCCGAGCTCATGTAATTTCGAGGACTGACTAATACCTCGATGACAACAAGATGTGCTACTCTCTACGCTAGGCGTTATTCCCAAGTTTTGGGCGACAATGATTAGAAAAAATATCTCTCAGCGTTCATCCAGCGTCCATCTTCAGTTGAAGACTCACGCAAATACCATCTGCAGCAACTATCAGATCCACAGTAGCTGTGTTGCCATTCTCAAATTTGACGAACCCCTTCTCAACATTGACTTCTAATACTTTATGGTTCACAACAATCTTTCTTTGCAGCCCCATTTCTTTGCTTGATTACGCCTTGACGGTATCCAAGAGGACAGTATGGATGTCAATCCGATGGAAATTGAAATATTCCTACGACCTCGTTAACAGATACCCCCACACTTCAGCTCCTTTGTCTAACTCCCAGTTCCAAATCTAGCTTTATAATCGCCCAGTTCATATTCTCCTCTGACGGCTCCGGTTTCCCATTCAGTTAATCTTACAATCAATTTCTGGAGAACCAAGGGCTTCACGGCGGGTATATCTACCTTCCATTGCTCCAGAACCTCCCATCCAATGGAGGCGGCAGACAATGATGCTCCAACCTCATTTGCGAAGTCGTATCTTTCATATACTGTAACTCGGTGTCCCTGCCGTCGGAGAGCAATAGCAGCTGAAGTCTATCAGGCCCGGAGCCGACGATGGCAACATCCAGAGATCTTGGGGGAGTGGTAATGACGCTGGGCATCTTCACGTAATTGAGAGGAGGTACTGAATATCGATTGGCGCAGAAATGGAGATGGTGGTAGCTGGCGATTAGGAACGCTCCTGCCTCTCTGTTGACTCAACCTCGAGGCTTCTTATATCATCTTGGTCAATTGATCTTCTCTAGGAGAATCTATTAGGATCCGGCGTATCACGCATCCAGCCAATACTGATAACATGTTGTACACGGAGATGGAGACTAAGGTCTTAACAGTCTACAAGAAAGCTCCACTTATGCATCCGTCACATCAATTCTGACAAGGACCTTGACTCCAACCACACATTGACCGTCGCTCAATCTTATTTGATTTGATCCCCAGAAAAGATAACGGCTCAGCTGGATGGAGTTCTTTCGCACTTGGCATGTTGGTTTTCTCGGTCCAGAACGCTTTCGTTATCATCGGGGGAAGCTGAGTGAAGCGTTCTGCCTCGAAGCTTATCGTTGGCCATCGGGAAGCTGCAGCTGCGAGACCACTTTCCGTGGAACTTCACTTTTGTATATCCCCTATGGCGTTTCCTCTCATTCTTTCAATAGTTACGGCACTTCCAGCGTCCTTTGAAAAGTAGATTCCAGAACTTGCCACAATAACCTCTAAGATGGCAACTCCGATGAAAACTGAAGCGGCTGGCCATTATTCGACATCAACGAGAGGGCTCTAGTCCGGAGAATCGACTACAGAATCGTTCCTTTGATGTTTTTTTGTTATCTGATGCAATTCCTTGACAAGATTTTGATCAACGTAAGTTTGATCCACCTATAAATTATCCCAGACGAATGAAGCTGACCTACAACAGTATGCCAATGTGATGGGGTTAGCAAAAGATGCACAGTTGAAAGGCAACGAGTTCTCATGAATGGCCACTGCCTTCTTCATCGTGTATGCTCTTGCCGAGTTCCCGCAAGGTAAGCATCAACTCTTCCACTTACTTTTGGATTTAATCTGATCCTCCTGAACAGGTATATTGCTCTAAAAAATTCCTGGCACCAAGACTCCTCGGGTTCAATGTGATCCTATGGGGCACCACCGTTGCTTGCACTGCAGCCTGCAGTTCCTTTCGCTCACTCCTCGCCGTCCGAATCATCCTGGGAGTTCTAGAGGCCGTAATCTCTCCAGCACTCGTCCTGATCACAAGCACTTGGTACCAGCGAAAAGAAGCATCGCCCAGATACGGTATCTGGTACTGCGGCTTAGGGGGTGGCCAAATCTTCGGCGGTCTTCTCTCCTTCGCTTTCCAACACGTAACCAGTACGTCTTTCCAAGGTTGGAGGTTGATGTTCGTCGTAGTAGGCGCAGTCAACATTGTAGTCGGCCTCTTGGTAGTATTCTTCCTCCCGGCAAAGCCACAAGCAGCCACCTTCCTGTCCAATGAAGGAAAGAGCTTCGTGCTCGATAGACTGGCTGTCAACCAAGCTGGAATTGAGAACAGTGATGCGAAGCCACGTCAAATATTCGAGGCTTTCAAGGACGCTCAGATCTTGCTTTTGTGCTTGATCACGATCCTTTGCTCGCTGTCTAGTGGGGTCATCACTACGTTCTCTGCGACTTTGATCAAAGGCTTTGGATACGATGGCAAGCAATCTGCTTTGCTGAATATTCCTAGCGGCGTGATTAGTATCTTGAGCACAATATTTGCGACCATTGCTATTGGAAGAGGGTATGCTAGGTGGGCATCGATCGTTGTCCTCGTCGTTCCAGTGACCATTGGCGGAGCCTTGATGTCATTCTTGAACAAGAAGAATGAAGGAGGCCTTCTGACTGGTATTTATATGATCAACTGCGTAAGAGCTAGCTTCCTGAGGCGGCGGGGCTTTACTGATCCATAGCTAGACCACTGTAATACTGGTTATTGTCTATTCTTGGGTCGGCTCAAATGTCGCAGGATACTCTAAGAAGGTAGGCCTTCTAGCAACTGAACGATGAGATGATACTGACCTCAAACAAGATCACTGCCAACGGAATGGTTGCTGCTTCTTTCGCAATCGCCAATATCATTGGTCCGCAGACCTTCCAAGCGCACGATGCTCCTCAGTATGTTGAAGCTCAAAGGCTTTCCCCTTAAACTCCACCCGACAGGTTCCCTTCGCAGATATATCCCAGCCAGATCACAATACTGGTTGTGGCAGCATTTGCTGGAGTCGCCGCCCTTGCGCTTCGTATGCTGCTCGGCGTCTGGAACAACAAGAGGGATCAAAGCGATGATGGACAAGGTCTTTCAGCCAATGAGCTGATTTCTCTGGACCTTACGGGTTCGGAGAACAAGCACTTTAGATATACATATTGAGAGATACCAGATTAGAAACGTCGCGCTAGTCCAAATAGATCTATTTCGTTCAGCTTAGAGGGTCGCCAATAACAAAGAATGAAAAATATCAACGAGAAAAGGTGTACCATGTGACGATGCATTGTGCATTTCCTCTCAATGAAAACTGCGGGATGATATTGACCTCGTTATCCCCTGTCCCATTCATGACTCTATAAATACAACCAGCATGTAGTAAGATCTAATAATTCCCGTCTCGATCAGGTCAATAGCTCCTTGATGTCCTCAATTCGCTGCAGTTTCTTTTCCTCATCGCTCATCATCCCAAGTGAGCTTGCACTATCACAATATATTAGTAGCCATTGCAGGATGGGGGGACAGCAGACTCACATGAATTTCTTCCTGTCCTGGATCTTCAACATCCTCTGTTCCACACTCTCCTTCACGATGAATCTGCAAACCTTGACCTCGTCTTCCTGGCCCATGCGATGGACACGATCAATAGCCTGTGCCTCAACCGCGAAGCTCCACCACGGATCCATCATATATACTCTCTTCGCCATTGTCAAGTTGAGTCCAACACCACCAGCTCTTAGACTCAAGAGTAGAACAACACCCTTCTTACTTGCAGCAAACTGTTTGAGAACAGCAGCCCGATTTTGCTGTGACATTGAGCCATCAAGTCGAAGGAACGGAATCGATGCTCGAGTGAGTGCCGGTTCGATAAGGGAGAGGAATGAGGTGAACTGGCTAAAGACAACTGATTTCGTGCCTGGAAGCTCCTTCCTCAGCGTCTTGAGATGTGTCAATAATGCACCAATCTTGGCAGAAGAATTAGAGCCTAATCTCTGCAGGCTGATTTTTGGTTTTGCATCAAAACTATCTGGGTGGCCATCATCCTTAACGACCTCGAAAACGTCGCGGGTATTGAGGACTTCTCGACAACTAAAGCAGCGTGGAACTTCGCCTTTGTCAGTCTGGTGAGTAATGTAATCTAGCAGACATTTCTTGCATGCTGAATGCCAACACCCAGTAACCGTCTGCTCGATCATAGGCTCCTCAGAACAGATGGGGCATTCATTGTCTGCTTCATCTCGGATTTGGGCAAGAACATGGGCACCAAAGGCATTCGCATCCGCAGAATCATCTGTCTCGGCCGTGAAGCGCTCGATCAAAGATTGAAGATCCATGTCATCTGCTAGCCCGGTGGCGGCATCAGCCAGCTCCGCAGCCTCTTCTTCATCAGTAACGAGGGTTTGATTCCTCGTCAGGATCGGATGACAGCATGACTGACGAAGGCGAAGAATCTGAGCAAAGATGCTTGTATATGCTTTCATGACCGTGCCTGCTTCAACGTTGGCCGCAAAGGTACGCTTCGCTCTAGTAAATATATGGTCGTAGACTTCTCGTTCCGCTTTAGAGAGCTCGATATCCACAATATCGATGGTCTTCGGAGGGAGAGGGACGAGCGCTTCGCCAGTGGGTGTCTTCATATCTTTTGTCCGACGCAGTACGAGAGGCTCAAGGACAGTCTGAACGACGTCAAGAGCTCGCATAAAGTCTTTTGACTCGAATGGGACCGTAATGAAAGTCTTCCAGAAGGAGAAATTGCTCCAAGGCTCCACCCTCAAGAAACGGACCAGGCTGAAGAGATCCTCCAATCGATTGACGATAGGTGTACCTGTCAAAACCCATCTATGCTCCGCATCAATCTCATAGCAGGCTTTAGCAGTTTTGCTTTGTCGGTTTTTGATGTGGTGAGCTTCGTCAAGAATAACACGGAAGTACTTGAGCGAGAATAAACCCCCATGGCTTCCACGGTCTCCGTTTCTTGCAGCCACCTGATTGAACTCCGAGAGTACAACCCCGTAGCTTGTAATGATGACGTTGGGAGCAGACGCCGCATTCGCTTCACAGCATAACGCTTGCAGATTTGCAGTCTTCTCACTGCCATAGTACACCATGCTTTTCAACGTCCCTTCCTTGGAAGCATTTTCAGCCTCACTTTGCCATTGAGCCAGTAGAGACATAGGTGCAACAACGAGTGTAGTACATGGAGCCCATTCGACCGCGGATGAGTTTGCAGGTAGTCGGGGAAGGCTGTTAACGGACGTTGGAGCCGAATTCGACTGTTCAAGTCTCATCGCCACTTCGGACTTGTGAGAATGGACCAGGCTCATCATCTCAATAGTCTTTCCGAGCCCCATTTCATCCGCAAGAATCCCTCCCAGACAGTTTTGTTCCTGGATAGGGAAATCGAGGGAAAGCTCGCCGGAGTAAGGGTTGACATAGAACCTGTCCTGGTTAAGGACTTGAGGCAGTTTTTTATCATCCATATCCTTGACTGGCCAAAAATACTCTTCCCACAGAGGATGCATAGACACCTCTCTATTCCCGTCCTTCTCATCCTTTTCTTTCGACATCATCCAATGCAGGGCTTGCTTCTGGTAATGACGAAGGTTCATTGCAAAAGTGTCAGCGGGTTCAGCAGCTGGAGCATTAAAATCAAATGACTGCGCCTTTTTGTAAAGTGCATCGAGCTGGTCTTGCTCCAGCTCCTTTCCGTCTTCTGCCTCCTCAGATGGAGGTGAAGGCCCTCCACTTTCCGAGGCATCTCCCTTCTTGGGCTTCTGATTCTCGAATTGCTCTGCTATCTCTGCAGCTTGAAGTAGTCCCTCGCGCTTATGCTTTTCGGTGGTCTCAGATGTCGTCGATGGCAAGAGGTTGACCTCCTCAAATAGCTTTACTAGAGCGACTTGTCTCAGCCGTAGCTCTTTCTCTTCCGAGGTCTCCTTTTCCTCAAAAAGACCAGTTGTACGATTCTCTGCCACCTTAAATCCGGCATTGTCGAAAGCTGTTCTGAGCAATGAACACCGTAGTTGGAGGAAAATTGTGTCGTTCGTCCTGACTCTATCAGGTGCATACACGCAAGTCCCTTCAAACTTGCATACCTTTTGGTCCATCAAGGTAGAAACCCAATTGGCACATTCCCTAGGAAGCCGTCCAACCTCCTCGCCTCTCGAGTTCGTGAATCGAACAATAACATCAACACGCTTTGCTGCGGCGGTGTTAGGCTTCGGAGGCACTTGTACCGCAGGTCGACCTTTGGCCATCCCAATTGGGGGTTTGGGTGGTTGTATCCTCTGCCTCTCGATTCGAACAGGCTCCCCGTGCTTGATCAAAGTATTGCCACTTCTCGTTGCCCATGCTCCAACTCCAAATGCCCCAACATATCGGAATTCGGGCATTGAGTTTCTTAGCGATTGCTTCGGGGTAGGAATGTCGGATTTGGGTGGCGTTCTCGGCTTTCCATGATCACCATTGGATTCAGACCTTGCAAAAGCATTGATGGTCATAGCCCGAGAATTTGAACATCGCGCTGAAGAAGATGTCGATGATGCAGTCTTCCACGATCCGTCGAAAAACATGTTGACAGCCCTCTCCATATTGTCCCCAGAAGCTTCCCTCAGCCGCTTCATTACATCCGGTGGCACTTTGTCCCCAACAAAGCTCTCGAACATTTCCTGGTCGAAACCAAGAGGCACCTGGGATCCAACAGGAGCGGCGTGTCCATCTTGGGTAACTACCTCGTCCGAGTCGGTTGGGTGATGTGATCCATGACCCTCGTCCGGGGCTGCTGCTAATGAAGGGAACGCGTCGAGTTCGTCCGGGAGTGAAGGCTCCTGTGCCAGTGAAGTGTCGAGGATATCCGATTTTTCTGTGAAGAACCTCCTCTTCTTGGCCGGAGGCCCCTCGGACTCTGCGAAACTCATATCGATGTGATTGCGTGGTGGCTTAACATTTGGGAAATTTATGATGTTCTGGAAGACGCGAAGTCACAAGCGGGACGCGATTTTCCACCTTCGCGTAAAGTGGAGCTTTTCATTGGCGCCGTAGAAGCTTGCTTCCTTCGTTTGGTTGCAGGAAGCCTAATCAATGGCAACGAGATGTGTTTATGATATTTAATGTAATGCGTTCTACGAGAGCGAGCGTGCGGCTTCGGAAATGCCCCAGAATTCTGTTGAATTCGAGATGCAAATATGCCACGACTTTATACAGCACTCCAGCTCCGCATGCATCGCGACTAACAGACGCAGACGTGGATGAAGCTCGAAAATACTGTGCCAACCTTCTCCTGTAAGCCTCCCACAGTAATTTGCTCACACGACGTCTGACCATTGCTAGGAAGTTCGATTCGCCGTCCTTTACACTACAAACCTTCATCCCTCCCTCCTCGAGAGATGCCTACCTCTCGATTCGGGCGCTCAACATTGAGCTTGCCAGAATACCGGATCTTGTATCCAACCCGACAGTCGGCGAACTTCGAATGCAATTCTGGCGTGACAACCTGACTAGAACATTTGCGAGCACCCCCCCGAAAGAGCCCGTAGCCATCCTGCTCCATTATGCTCTGGCATCACTACAATCAAGACATCCTGGCATAAGTACGAGTGTAATGAAAGGATGGTTTATGAAAATTGTCAATGCAAGGGAGCAATACATGGACAATCGACCATATACGAGCTTGGACGCATTGGAAACATATGCGGAAAATACCTATTCAACCTTGATGTACTTGACGTTGGCGGTTCTGCCGTTGCAATCAATGGCCGCGGATCATGTTGCAAGTCATATTGGAAAAGCAACAGGAATTGCTGCCGTACTTAGGGGCTTGCCACTGATAGCTTTCCCCCCACCACCAAACCATCACAGCAATAATGCTGTGTTCAACGGAGCTCTTGGTGGAAGTCAAGGGACATGTCAGGGTGCAGTGGTGCTACCATTGGATGTTATGGCTGAAGCTGGGGTGAAAGAGGAGGAGGTGTTGAGACATGGGGCTGAGGCTCTCGGTCTCAAGGATGCCATATTTACGGTGGCAACACGAGCGAACGATCATTTGATCACGGCAAGAGAAATGCTGAAGAATCTACAGCAAGGAAAAGACGTAGGGCACGAGTTTGAGCATGCGGGGGAGGAAGGTCATCAATATTCCGAAACCAGCTACAAAGATCACTCCCAGGCGGATGACATAGAAAGGAGTTTCGGTGTATTTATGCCTGCTGTATCTACAAGACTATGGCTGGAAAAGCTGGAAAAGCTCGATTTCGATGTGTTTCGACCGGAACTGCGAGCTCGGGAGTGGCGACTGCCATGGAAAGCATATTGGGGATACTCCCAGCGAAAATTATAACTCGTCAAACCTTGATAACTTGACAAAATATCACCTCTTATCCAACCAGCCCCTTCATATTTCAAATTTTAGTTATAGAAGCGTGGGCACGTTAGCCACACTTCATAAAGGTCCAACTTTTCCTGAAAATGAATAGAAATAGTAGACTCCATCGCAATCTGTACAGAAAGGGGTAAGTAAATGGCTCGCTTGGTAACGGTGAAATGATCTTCCAGCCGGAAATGGCTCGTGCTCCAAGACACTTCATCTCCAACGTCAATGCAAGAACTTCCAAAGGAAAAACAGTCCAGAAACATCCAATGGGCCTGTATCTATCCACGACTTCATGTAATGGTTGCTGACCAGAGCGGGGTATTGGGGACAGTCTTTTTACTAGCCTTCCACCTTTGCAGGAATGCGCTGTTTGGTCAATGAGCAGGAGAATGCTTCGACTTGCAGGACACATCTTGTGTGGTCCAATTCGCAACTTGTTATTTGATATGGTGTACTGCTATTATTCATTTGGTTCAAAGCCTTTCCTAACTACGGACTATAACTGTTGGCACATCCCAGTTACGGTCTAATTGCCCCGAGAAGAACATTGAAGCACACAGTTGTGAACAGTTCAAACTTCACAGACCATCAAGGCCTAATCCTGCTGTCTGGATTGTATTTGTCTCATTGGGACAATGAGGAGATACCAGTCGAGGACATTCCTTGAAGGCACGAAAGCTTGTGACCTTTGCATTTAAGCCTTCACCAACGACGTTTGCAACCACTCTCGTTTCTTATTCGAAGGCCTAAATGAGAAGTATCTCTCCTGTCTAAGGACCCCTCAGAGCTCGTTATCTTCCCTTTGCAGCTTCTTCTCTTTGCGGTGTTGTTGGAACTCAGATTCATATGTTCTGAAGTAATTGGGATGAATGAATGCGGTGGTCCTTTCGAATGCTCCACATCTTTCGGGCACACTCAGTGAGAGAAGTTGAACGCTCTGAAGTATTTTGGAACAATCTTCGAAAGAACACTTCCAAATTTCCAGAGTTTATGGTAGACGAAGACCATGGCCCTCAATGTATTTGGAGACTTCTGTACAATGGCCTCCAGTTCATGCTGGCTGGTAAGTGAGACTTGGACCTATACGGCGCAATATGTCCAGCATGAACTCTAGAGTCCGGGTGATCCATGATCTATTGAATTGATCGGAAGATTTGTGAGCAGAAGGTCATCAAATTGCTGTTCTTCTTTGTGTGACGGAGACCCCGAAGTTAGATTTATGAGGCGTGAAGAGGAGATTTGGCAAAATATCATCCAGGATCATTTGAAGGAGCCGCACGGGTGCTAACGGAAGCACGGCATGACGAGAGTGACATTGGGAAAAGAGCCCTGCGTGAACACGGCACGAGGAAATTTCCTTCATCCAAGAACGTTTAGTACATCGAAAAACGAGCCCCACCAACACGAGGCTTAGAAAGGGGGCGGAATACAGTACCTCAAGACCTCTCCCGTGGCAAAACTAAACCATGATAGGCTAGAGAACGAGATTCATGTCTTTCTCCAAAGGCAAGGCAAGAAAGGCTCCCCTCTGCATGATATCAGGTCTCACTTTCGTCAGCCTTCTTTCCACAGTGGCGTACCTTTCCCCACACGTCGGTGGGGGTATCCTCGGAATGGTCGGATACATGGAAGCGGGAAATCAACGTCTGTTAGTTAAGGGGAAATAATGCGGCACGTCCTCTGTACAGCCTCTTACCCAAAAGAGACCAGATCAAATCACTCCAATTTCAACTCGTGTCCAAATCCGTTTCCCCGTGTGTGGATTATCTATTTCCCAAAATGTATGGAGCACTACATAAACTTGGCACGGCCGCTAAAAAAGGGGGCAGATGAACCAGCCACTGCCACTGCCACTGCCGCTGCCGCTGCCACGGTAGCCATGAAACCCAGAAACAAACGCGCTCCACAACCTATGAATAAACGACCCACCACTCCCGTTTCAAATGTCGCACCCCCCCAACCGTCCAAACTCAGCCTCCATCTAAGCCCTGACCCTGACCCTGACCCATTTCCTTTGCCCTTCGCGATCGATCGATCTGAATAATTCAAATTCCCCAATCAAGGCTGAGCAAACAAAACAACGCAGGCCCCAGCGGGCCCCAGCAGGCCAATAAATCCCAACGCATGAGCGCATGATCATCCTTAAAACCGCAGTTATGCATCAAGACCCCCCTGTCCCCCTCGCAACGATCCATCTCTGAAACCGGAGATTCATAACCCACCATACCGCCGAACGCTCGCAGGGCTGGCCGTCTGCTCACGATCCAGTCATGGCTGAACACGTCATAGCAGCAAGAAGGTTTGCTGAACAATGGCGGCATTGATCGGTATTGGGTGTGCTACGTCGGCAAGAGAGGCGTCATGCACGTCAAGAGTGTCTAACGGCGAATGGTTTATCCTCCCTCCACCTCTTTCTTGCTGCCGTGCGACAGCTGGCTGGCGCACTCTCGAGACTTCTCACTCCTCGCTCAGTTGAGCCAGCCCACCTCGTGCGTCTGCGAAGCACGGCAAAAGAGGCACATCCGACCACTGCAGCCTGAGAAGAGATTGTTGCTTTGCATGTATAACGGCAGTTAGATGCCTAAAACTAGAGAAATCTATAGTTGTTGCGTATTGCTCTTGCTCCCAGCCTCTCATCTCGTTCTTTGACTTGCGACATTGCCAGCTTCAGTCGGGCCCCCAGAAAGCTTAACCTGAACCATTCGCATTGTGAATCCGAGTCATCCCTCGTAAGAACCCAAGACCCATCTGACCCAACCCCAGGAAAAGAAAGAAGCACAACCCCTTCCCGAAAGTATAGAAGCCCTAGAAAAAAGTATATATTGCCAAAAAAGAAGAGACCGAAAGCGTCGTAGAAGCCTCTGACGCATCCGTTGTAGAGCCCGTATTTTCCAAGAAAAGATTTGACAAGAAAGAAAAAAGATTAGGATTTTATCTGAAGTCGCCAACACGCCCCCCTAAAACCACCCCGTCCCAAAAACGCTCCTAGAAGGTATATGCGAATCGAATATCATATATCGGCCAACCTTGATGTATATCCTCTCAACGATCTACCCCTTCCCCCATTGCGCCTTCTTATGCCTGCCCGTCTTTTTACCTTGCCATTCCGGTAACCGTGCCGTTTCTCGCCCGCCCTAACTTTCCGCCCAGTGAAGAGAGAAAAAAAGTCATTATTCCATGACCATTATTTTCATGAAAATAGGAAACGCGAATGAGTGAACATGAAATCTGCCGCGCCCCAGTCGCGTAAATGAGTGTACTGTGAAGGAAAGGACGTGTGTAATTCGTTAGATTTTGCGCCTGTGATGGGTGTGGGAGAGTGGGCCTCGTCCGTATTGTCTGAGTTGTGACTGAAGTTTAGAAGATGTGGGTAACGGGTTTGAGAGAGTATGTCTGTGCGAGATCTAGACATTAAGGAATGGCTAGTGTTTCCTTGTGGTCGTGCTTTGAGCTTAATATTCTGTGTCCCCAAGATCAGAAGCGGGAGCTTCTGCTGGAGACACTGAATGCTATAACTCTCTGGCTTTTTCCTTGCAAGCAGCAGACGTGAAGCCCGTGCCTACCTTTTGTGCCACAATGCGCCACTTCTCCTGCTCGTAGTCATGGAGCGCCGTCCGAAGTTTTTGGATCTGGGAAAAATATTAGCGCCATCTACCATTGCAAGTGAGGCATAATTTACAGTCTCCTCTGTCCATTGAGTAGTCTTTGCCTTCAACTTTGTACAGTATCGGACTTGCAAAGTGCCGGAGGAACGTCCCGGAAAAAATTCCGCAATTTGCTTCCATGTCAACGACTTGTTCTCCTTCAGGTCGACAAGTAACTGGTCATCCTCTGGAGTAAATTTCAGCTTTGGACCGCGAGGCCTTGCTGCCGGCGCGGGCATTCCTTCCATCCCAACTACACTCGGTGCGCCCCCACTTGGTCCTTCAATCATACTTGAATCGCCTTCACTCATTCTGGGCATCTTCGATCGGTGGCCTTGGTTGGGAAGAGGGTGACTGTGATATGTCTGGACTGGCTGACCACCATATCCCATCTGCGGCGGCATCTGAGGAGGCATACTTTGCATGTCTCCGGGTTGCATTGACGGGCCGGGCATGTCCTCCATTCCCAACTCCAAGTCATCAGGGCGCGACCTCTTGGTTCCGGTGGGTTGTTGCATCTGTCGAGGAGCCCCATACATCATTTGCCCACCACCAAACTGAGGGGACTGGTGGTGGTGGGCCATGGGATGCTCGAACACTTGATGTTGAGGATGGTGCTGCTGCTGCGGTTGATGATGAGCCCCGATATGGTGCTGCTCGTGGAGGGGAGTAAGGCCTTGAGCGGCACCGTGCTGGATATCCTGTACATGAGGAACGAAAACGCGCTCTTCGGGATGGGCTTCTGGATGTGCAGCATAGTCGATATAAGGATCGTGACCCTGCTCTTGGCCTGGTCGATAGCCAGACATGCATGGATTCCGCCACAGCGAGCTGCCACAGCAGCTCCCTGGGGGCAGAGTAACTACGTGCTGGATCACTGCTGGGCCGTAGAGTGTGTCTAAGAGGCTCGTGGATGCTGCTCGCTAAGATTGTTTTTTGGGTGTGGTGCGACTCGCGTTTCGAAAGTTGTCTATATAATGTGTTATATAGGTTGATGATTGAGCAGCCGAGTAAAGCATTTGACGGAGGAATGCGATGAGACTTGAAACAAATGGTTTAATCTTTTTTTGTAAGGCTTTCGTGAGGGGTGCTGTTTCGCGATATAGTGGTATGTGGCGGTATAGGGAGTGAACGAGTAGAGATGCAAAGCTGGTAGGGAGGGGGCATGCCTTTGCATTATATCTGTCGTCTGATCTTTCAGTTATTCAGGCATTGACATTGATGTCGTAGGCCACTAATTAAAGGCGCGGACGCGTCTTGAACATCACTCCAAGCGCACCGGCCATTCGCCATGAATGAGACGGCAACTGTTTAAGCAGGAAAGCCAGAAAAATGCAGAAGGGAGGTCCTTTGGGAACGCATTGCCAGCCCCGCCCGATTGGGACAGTGAGTGCCTGCGAAGCAGAGCAAGGGCATCAAAATCAGTTGGCGGGCAGGCCTAGATGGGACGGAACTGCTGAGAGGTCCGCGGGCCCAGTGGCGGCCCACCAGGGGCTTCTCGAAGAAATTTGGAAGCTTCCACGCCACAGGGGAGGGGTGTGCCGCCCTGGCGTGCTGGAGCGTGGTGGGGTCAGACCAGGCGCCCAGACACACGCTACCGAACCTGCATTAAGGCCCAGGGGTCAAATCATATTAAAATAGAAAAGCAGCAATTCGATAGGGCCGTGGTGGCTCGCGGCGGAGATGACCACAATCATGGTGCCTCATGCGCACCCAAAGTAGAGTGAGAGAGAGAGGGGGAGAGAGAACGAGAGAGGACGAAAAGCAGGACTGATGCGTGGCAGCGAATTGGGTAATATACTGGGGAATTGGACGGGGGCGGTCTCGAGCAGCCAACCATGCTTTCTCCTGGGACTTTCCATGGAGTAACAGCAAGCACTGGACGCCTACGGCCTCAAACCTACCCCCAAAGTGATAAATGCCCTCAGTGTCCGCTTGGAGAAACTGCGACGACTGCTTGGCTACACATCGCTGTCGCATGGCTCGGAGAAGGGCTGAAGAAGCCATCATAGGCAAAGACATCGCCATAAGATCTTCGATCAGCGCAGGCAGCGCATGCAAGATGCTCCATATCCTGGCCCTGGCGCGAGTTAATATTGGAGTGATATTGCCTTTTTATGCTGGCTTTCGTCTGATGGCACTCGCATCTTTAAGGCATAATGAAGATCCTGTCACCACAAACTCGCGAGTTTGGTAAGAACAGGGGGGCGGCGGCAGAGCGGCAGGAGTTGGAGCTGGAGTTGGATCTTGATCTTGAGTTGGAATTGGAGTTGGAGCTGGGGTTGGGGCTGGGGTTGGAGCTGGAGTTGGAGTTGGAGTTGGAGTCGGCAGGTTGCAGTTCGCAGGTGATGTCGTTCGAAGAAGGAAACGAACGGACGGACGGACTGACGGACCGAACGAACGTACGAAGCACGGCGAGGACAATGAAAGAAGCCGAGATTACGTGTAGCTGTAACTCGTACGGCCGGCGGCAGGGTGCAGTACCGGTAAGTACCGGTAAGTACCTGCGTTAGCCTTGCCTAAGCTAAGCCCTGTGTCTGTGTGTGCCTGTGCCTGTGCCTGTGCCTGTGCCTGTGCCTGCATGAGTGCTGAATGGAATGGATCACTGGAGACACTGTGGCGGGGCAGCCCAGTGCGGTGACTTTAAAAGCGGCACTAGCGAGCTTTCAATGTTCAATGCTCAGCGCACCAGGTGTCCCAAGTCAAGTCACAGTTGGACTGTTGGACATTCATTAAGACTAGCGAGGGACGGGAATGGCCATTCTAGGACATGTCGGGATCACCGAAGGGAGTACCGGGAAGTAGACTTTGAATGTAGAGTATCGCATTAGCAATGCCTAGCATTGACGTGGGACATTGAAAATGAATGCTGCTTTTTGCTGTCCACCTCCAGCGCACGTCCCCACAAGAGAAAAAGACAGAGAAAGACACAGATATGCATGCATGCAAGCATGCAGGAACAGATCTTCCGGATCGCAGCTTTTCCTTCTCCTTGCTCACCCCACCAGCGCCGCACTGCACCTGCACACTGCCACCGTCTGACCAAGTTGTACTGGACTGGACTGGAGAAATAGGGTTTGACCCGCATGCAGATCACACAGCCGAAGTGTGCTTACGGAGTACCATCAAGGAGCCCCCGGCTGCAACTCTCCGCAACAGCCGATTCGATTCGATTATGCAGAGAGGTGAAGAAGGGTTGAATGTACCACAAAGGCAGGAACATTCAGGGCTCTTCCTTCGTCATTGTTCCATCACGCCCCTGTATAATCAACTCAAGCCTTTCTCTTGCAACTCGCTCACTCCTGCCGGACGATGCGGCTACAAGTAGTTTGCTTTGTAGTTTGGCATTGTTCTATGCAACTCTATTTCGACAATGCTCCATTCTCACAGCCATCGTGGTAACGATTAAGCTCGCCACATCCCAATGGCGTAGACGGGTAGATTGGGAATTCCACAGTCTCACCATGCTTCCCTCAACCTTCTGGAGCCATACCCAGGAAGCCCCACGTGATAAGACTTACTCTTCTGCAATAACACCCATCATTATCATCATCATCATCATCATCATCGCGCTAGTGTAACGCTGCCAGGTTGGAATCTCACAAGTCAACTAATTCTTTACTCGCCGATCTACCGGAACATTGCGACGATGGAACAGGGAAATTTATGCTTATCCAGATTCTTAATTCATACAGTACGGGACCCTGTCCCCGATCAAACGCCCGACCGAGATCCCGCGATACATACATGGTGACCAGCAACGCAGAAATCAATTTTCCTTCCAATTTCCTATCGAGTCATCGACTCCCCAGACACTCCACTCCCATCCAGCAATTGCAGTCATCCTCTATGCGAAGACATCGTCCTTATCGATCCAGAGGTCTTCGATTTCCGCGAACGATTGAAAGTGGAGAGGTCGGTGTTGGTCGCTGTAGAACGGAAGTGGTGTATCGATCTTCACATGCACGGGCTTCTTCTCGATGCTACCGAACGAGCTACCCATGAAGCTATAGTTCCACGTATTATTCTCCGGTACCAAAAAGTATCCACGTATCTTGTCACTCAGTAGAAGCTGGCACTTCTCTCCCATGCTCGTGCTGAATCCTTGAGGCTGATCGCTTCCCATGTCCTTATTCTCTGCACCCCACTTGTACCCTTGCGGGGTCAGAGCCCATGATGCAAGGGAGACACTCCCAGGAGTGAACGAGACCGTCATACTGATTGTCTTCTTGTCCCATAATTCGTGCGCATTCATGAGGCGCGCATGCTGGGTGACATCCATCGCAGTCATGTACGGTGGCTCGTTCCCGGATACCGTATGAATGATTCCCAGGGGCTCCATCTTGTCTAAGTATTCATGTTGTGGTAGCTGGTGGGGTAGCTGGACGTCGCGTGTGCTTCCTATTTGTGGGATCATGACTATGCACCGGATCTCTTTGACTTGTTCGTTATCTTCGGGGGACGATCCGTAGAGATAGCCGGCGACTTGCACGCGTAGATCAGCGATTGTGATGAAGCGCTTGAGAATGTTCTTAGGCATGATGTAGGTGAAGTGATCATCTTCCTTGATGTCGTCAGATGAGATGTAGATGTTGTTCGCCCGAGTCCGAAGGTTCGATGTCGCAATTGCCCTGGTTCTCCATTCCGTCTTCGAAGCAAAGGTCTGCTGCTCAAACTGTGACGTGGTTGTCACAATGATGTCCTCTCCATGGACGTTCTGGGTCTTGGTGGTCACGGCAGTGAGCTGCTGTGCCTCCTGCTGCTGCTTCTCAATTTCGGCAGCTTGTTGACGTTGCATCGAAGGAGCGCTGATTTCCATGCCCAAAATGATGTCTCGAACTTCGCTGCTGGTCAGACTGGAAGTGTTGACATTGTTCTTCTTGCCGTAGTCGTTCAAAATGAGATCTCGCAATTGAGTTTCCACCTTGATCCAATCCTCGTCTGACAAAGTTGGCCAAATGTGATGCTCTTGAGTGATGACTGTCTTGTCAGGTCTCAGGAGCAATTTGGTCTTGTCCTGATTGACGTGAAGAGCACGAAGAATCAAAATGAGTCGAGAGAAGGCTGTGTACGAAGAGATGGATTTCAGCCATTCGTCGTAAAGATTGAACAGCACCATCTGAGGCTCGGTGGCTCGGAGAATCATGTCACCCAGTTTCTCGACCTTCATTGCGGCTTGGAAAGGAAGTTGAAGCTCGGAAGCTCGGATAGAGATGTTAGGGAAATCTAGTAAGTGAACCTCTAATGGATCGAGAAGACCCTTTCTGGTGACGATAAGCTGCTTTGGCTGTTCCTCAACCGGCAGGGACCGAATCAGCGCTGCGACTTCTTCAGCAGTCTTCCACTTCGCCAATTGGCCAAGACGTTTCTGTCCAGCCCAGACGCTGGTATGGATGATCTTAAGGAAGAGCTGGCCAGTGCGTGGGTTGAAGATGAAGATAGCTCCATTGATAGGTTTCGTAGTCAAGTTACCCTCGAATGTCTTGTGAATTGTGACACGGTAGACATTGGTGTCATCGATGAAGAGCTGGATCTGGTTGCTGAACAGTTCCGAATAATTTTGTGAATTCAAGAACTCTTGATTGCTTTCCGAGGCATATAGTTGAAGGCCCTTACGAATACGCTCACGAAGAACATATAACGCAGGGTTGGCTTTCATGATCTTCGCCATAGCTTGTTGGATAAGAACCTTCAAACCTGGGAAATATTGACCGTAAGCAGAGTAAAGGTTGTACGCGAGATCAATACCAATCATGAGACCAGTAGCGGACGGGTATATGCTCATGCTATCAGTTGTGTAATCCAGGTATTTGGCGCGCACATATCGCTCAATGTCGTGAGAGTCGTAATCTCCGTATCGAAGCTGAACGTCAACCCAGAATTTGTTCGTCGTAGTTGGCTCAATAACATCCTTGGTATCGAAAAGAATCGACGGGCGTGTGACGTTCCATTTGTGACTTGCGAATAGAAGGATGTCGGCGCAAGAGCTGTTCATTTTATACGACTTTCTGGGATGAATAGTCTCCTTCTGGACAGTCTCGATACCTAATTGCTCGAGTTCTTGATCAAAAACTTGACATCTACCAACGAATTAGCACCATAATTTCTTTAGGTAGGAGAGAGACTGGAGCGAGCCGGGAGTATGAAACATCCTCCCATCTTGGTAGGTAAAGAGCTCGGGGTAAGGACAAGAAATAGTTGCTTACAAATCCATGACAACTGACTCGTGGATCTTCTGCCACAAATGTGCTCTGAAAATCTGGATAAGAGAGATTTTCAACGTCGGAATCTTGCCGTGGAGGAAGATGCCAGTCAAATCCAGTTGGACTTGGAAACCAACATACACGTTCGCCCTGTTTATCGAATTAATAAAAGAATAGCAAACTGGTTGGAAGTAGGCTTACCTGTTGATAGTAGGAGACCACCAGAGAGTGAAGCGACGATTAGGGATTTGGTTAAGACCGGATCTTTGTGCGTTTGTGAGTTTTTTGAATTTCATTGATTCCTCAAAGCCGGACGCCTGCCAACAGATTAGCACGTGAATGTTAAACTATGATAAGAATAAGCCTTACCTTCTCCCAGAAGAGGCCCTCCCAGGACGGAAAAGCGGTTGCCTTGAAGAGCGTGTGTTCAAGGATTGTCTCAACCCCTCCGAGCGCTTGTATGACATCTGTACGATACGCGTTCAAATTCCATAACTTTCCGTCATGTCTCTGACTGGTCCACCAGAAAGGATTGCTCTTCATCAATTGGTATGTCTTAAATTCGGTTCTTGCGCGAAATCCTTTATCAAAACTCAATGTGCTTCTGTCTTTCTGGAATAGAGTGTTAATACGAGGTAAACCCCGATCCCAGCTGTCCTCTAAGTCTTCCAGTGTGAGTCGTCGATTTTGCTGGTTGGCCTCCTGTCGTTTCTGGGAGTATTCAGTCCAGACTCGTTGTGAATCTATAAATTCGGCTTCCCAGGGAATAATGTATCTGAAGATGTTCGGAATAAGGGTTTCTTCGTCATGGGTCATACCAGCACGGTAATGTGTGACACCAACATCCGTCTGCTTTGACCAACGCTTATCACTTGTCGGGATGAGGATGTGAGAGCCAGAAATCATACCAAGGCCACCAAGTTCTTTAGGTGTGTAGAATACAGCCGGAGGGAATCGAGATGGCATCTTTGAGTTCAGGCCAATCTTGACTCGGGTCTGGATCTTTGTTTCACACTTGACGATTGTGTCGAGAAGGTTAACAGTTGAGACAGCGGCCTCTCGATAATACGTGAATAAGGCGATGAGACTGGTATTCCACTTATTGGCAATCTTGGTGAAAGTAGTGGAACCCGAAGACATGAGGATTTGACGAATACGGTTGTTGAATTTGGCGATGTCTTCCTCTGTGACTTGAAGGAAAGCATGCGCGGTCCTTTCCTTGCTAGTATTATCCACCAAGGACCAGACACTGTCTTTGACCGGGAACTCATCATTCTGGTTGCGGATCTTTGGTAAGATACGGACCTCGAAACCACACATCGAGAAGAGCAGGTTGGGGTTGTCCCTGCTATAGACACTAGAGAAGGTGTCATCCCACTCAATAGTCGTCACAGATCGTGGCAATCGATTCTTCAAATCCCAGAAGACTGCACGACCAAGATTGACATCGTGTCTCATGAGACGCATACGCGAATCTCTCGGCCAACATTTCTTGTTTCTGTACCCGATCACGTTTTCGAAGTTAGGGTCTGGCTGTTCAGTGAGGAATCGCTGAATGAGATCGCGCGACTCGTCAGCGGTGAACCGGAAGAACACCCAGATACGATCGATATATCTTGTGTACAATCTGATCGGATGTCTGGTCTCGGTCTCCCGATCACGAAACTGCAGGAAGTCGTTGGGGCTTTGAGGTGGGCCAGCAATTTCGCTGGCACGTTGGAGACCAAGCAGAAGGAGGTCAAGAACAAGGCCATAGTATTGGAAGACGAACGCCGAGAATTGGAGGCCACGGATCATACCGTAACTGTTAACGTGGTTCATGTCCTTATATGTGAGTTGAACATTGTTCTTTGATGAGATGTAATCCGCAAGATTGTGATCCATGATGAGTCTCAGCAGTCGGTTGAGGAGCGTTAGATCAATTTTCTCGTAGACTTTCGACAGTTGCGTTTCAATCATGACATTACATTCCCCATCAGCAGTTTCCCAAACCTTGTCGAGGTTGTTGATGCCTTGCGCCCACTTGTAAGTAAGTAGTGGAGGTACCTCGGAATCGGATGGCTTGATCCATGCGGGAAACAAGTGGCGTTGGTCTGCTTGGTACCAAAGATATTGGTCGAGATACGCATCACTAATCTTCTCCACAGGCTCGATATCATAAACTGGGTTAATCGTACTATAGTTGTCGTTCATATCGATACCGACCTCTTTGAACGCTCGCTGGGTAAGGAGAAAGCGCTTGATTCTCTCCAAAGTTGTTCCCGGACTATCGTAAGCTTGTTCAATCAAAGCAAGCTCCTCGCGCTGACTTTGGTTGAGACGCCCTTTGACGGAGTAAGCTTCACGCAAACGTTCGAGAGCTAGAATCAAGATCTTCGTGTCGTGCTTGTAAGAAACACTCGGGAATGGAATAGGTGAGAATTTTCGTGACTCGAGCCAGTGCACAGTCGTTGTGTAGATTGCCACAGCTTCCTCCGAAGAGACATATGGCCCATCCTTCATGTAGTTGTGCTGTCTCTCTTGCTCAGCCTTCAGCCAGAGTCTTGTCAAGCGACCAAGATTCTTCTTCGCAACAGTCTTATCAACGGTAGCACCTCTGCGAATACGCTCTCTGTTGTAGTGAGCTACAGAAATCCACCAATCTGCCTTGCTCTTTACGTAACGCAAAATTATGTTCTCGATAGGCGCAGGTAGGCCGGGCACCTTCCATGGAATATTACTTTTCCAGCATCTCCACGCTTCAGACAAGTGCTGCAAGACTGTGTTGACTTTGTTCTGCTTGATACCTTCTGGCATCATATCCATCAAGTCAGCCATGACTGAAGCACGAAGCTCCAGATCGAAATGCGATTCAACACGCTGTTTTGTGACGGTTTTCGCCACTCCCTTGCTGTGTCGTCCTTCGAATTGTCTGGACAATAGGTTCCCAAGCCATCGTTCCAAAAGAGGAATGATCCCACGCATGAAGAACAGCCAAACTCTCCAAGCTGGTGCCCAGAAGCCGCAACCAGGTCCTTTGCCGACTGGGCCTGAGTTGAATCGATAGTAGATCAAATGCTTCAAATCTTTACATGATCTGATTTGATGCATAAGTTTGTACTTGTATCGATACATCCCAGTCAGTTGGCCCACGTGATTGAAGGCATACAAGATACCATCCGCAAGCTGGAACGCATCGATATTCCCAAGTCGATATTGAACCTGAGCATCGACGATCAACTTCGTCAATTTGAGAATTTCACGCATGAGATGGAAGGCGTTTCCAAAGCGTGACTTCTTTCGCTCCTTAGTAGTCAAGGTCTTGACTGGCTTGAGATTGAAGTTATAATCGAGATGCAAATATGTCAGATTCTTCCGATGAATGAGAAGATTCAGCATATTGAACCCTTGGCGGCAGACTTGAAGTCCAGCCTCAACCCAATCGATTGTGGTCTGTTGGAAGAACTTTGTTTGCTTGAGGGACTTCATCAAACTCTGCTTGTTCTGTGCTTTTGGCTTCTTCTTATGGAGTTCGTTTAAAACGAAAGTTTTGAGGAGCTTTTGATATGATACTCGAACCTTCACAGGCTGGTCTCGAGGACAATGCTCTAAGTACCACTGTTTGACAAGTGGCACATCTTCGGCTCGTACCATCCGGCCTGATCTCCTATCAAATGGAAATGGTGCCCACCAGAGGGCAATAGCGGAAGCAGTCTCGCTTGTATAGAGTTCTTCGTCGGCCAGGAAAGGTTCGACGTCGCCAGGTAGCTCGAAAGCTTCATCCTCCATTTCTTCATTGTTTCCAAACCCGAAAATCTCATCCTCATGGCGAATCGTGATATTCTTCGGGTCAACAGATCTTGATGAAATCGGGTTGATGATAGGATCGAAATAAAATGCCGGTAGGTTCGGGTCCTCTGTTCGCACATACACTATCTGGGGATGCGAGTACCAAGACAGTTTGACGCTTCGTGGCAAAGAGTTGTAAAGGAATGGAAATGCGACTCGGTATTCTGTCCGTATAGGATGGCGGAAGATAATGCGATCAATCGCGTTGAATTCACCAAAATCCTCGTCATTTGGATCAACATCCTTATACAAGGGTTCGAATCGTGGACCTCCAGGGATGGCAACATTGAGTGCTTTTGCTGTGAGGAAACTGTTGAGCTCAAACATGTGAAAGTAGTTCTTGTCAACCAAATCACTCAGGAGCTGGTGACTTAGTCGATAAAGAGTCGTCATCTGCGGCAGAGTCATATTCCAATCCTTGTAACTCGGGCCGTTGACGTGTGATGTGTCGAGGAGTGGACGATGCTCGTAAAACCATTCGAAAACTGCACCATCTTCGGTCTCGTCCAATTCCATCTGAATAGGCTCCAAAGGCTCTACATCTTCTATGTTCTCTGACCAGGACAGCGGTGGTTCTTCGTCGTCGAAAGGAGGAAACCGCATTCGTTTGAAGTGTCTCCTGTCACTCTTCTCTCTTCTCATGCACACCCACATCGTCGCCCATTGCGCGTGGAAGACGGGTTCGATGACTCTCGGAATCTCGTTGACCAAAGTGAGGCAACCGTTGACATGGTACAGCACTTTCACCTCTCGAGCTGACTCCCACGGCATAGGCATATTTTCGAGAAGCTTGAACACGGCATGGGGCATGAACTTGAGGGCTCCGAGATAACTGCGTTTGTCGCTGCTGAACTTCTTCTGGGAGACATCGCCAATATCCTTCACGATCTTTCTGAGATGCTCAGGGGGCATATCGGCCTTTTGAGTCTCGACAAAACCTCCCTTCCGCTTCTCTCCGAATCGATTTCGCTGATGTCGTAACCATTCCTTTTTCTTCTGCGCAAACTTGGCCACTTGAGGGTCTGCTGGTGGCCTGTAGCCAGGTGGAGGGGGAGCTCCTGGGGGCGCGCCCAGAGGGAGCGACGGAGGAGCTGAAGAACTCCATCCTGGAGGAGGTGGAGGGGGTATTGACGACATGCTCGATGTCTGTCGCACAGTCTCCAGACTCCTGTTGATGGATGAGGGGTTTGGAGTGGACTGTTGACTCGGGGCAAGAATTATTTCCAGTCGCGTGTTAGCGTATAATCACTTTTGGTCTCAGCCAATCAACTCCAGTTCTACAAATAATATCACGTGCCTGACTCCTGCACCTTCCTCGCTTAACCGCACATTTCAGATTTGGGGGAATTTTTCGAACTTCAACGACAAGGAACTTCGATCAACCACGAAGCAATCACCGTCACGATGGCCTCCAACAGATTGACATACAGACGCCGAAACCCGTAAGTGGTTGGAAACTCAGAAGAATGAGAAGCAGAGTTCTGATGGAATGTGTAGATACAACACCCGATCGAACAAGGTCCGCGTTGTCAAGACCCCCGGCGGTTCCCTTCGATACCTTCACATCAAGAAAGCTGGTACTGCGCCCAAGTGTGGAGACTGCGGAATTAAGTTGCCAGGAGTAAGTGATTTACAATGCGAATACTTGATTCGGGACTGGTGGGGATTCAACTCTGAGAGGCCGACGCAATTCTGGGCGAGAATCTACCAAAGCACCTCATAAGCCACAATTGCAAAGTTGAATGCTTTATGCCAGGGATTCAAGCTGAAGATTGAAGCAATTTGAGCGTGTGCCGGCGTTTCTCGACCTCGAGTGGATATCTGCAGGGGACTTTTGCCTTTGTGTTGCTTCTTGAAGGATCTGTTCTGACACATGTTATCTACAGATCCCAGCTCTTCGACCTCGTGAATACTCCCAGATCTCCCGACCAAAGAAGACGGTTCAACGCGCCTACGGTGGATCAAGATGTGCCAACTGCGTTCGGGATCGTATCGTTCGAGCATTCTTGATTGAGGAGCAGAAGATTGTGAAGAAGGTTCTCAAAGAGTCTCAGCAAAAGAAGCGCTAAAGGATGATCTCGATATGGTTGCTCTGGGTGTTCATCTGGGCGGACTTGCATCGGCAGCAGGAATAGCTGTACTTATCTCAAGACTTCCATCGAAATCATGAGACTCGATTGCATGGCAGAATTGATACCAGTTTCCTGAACGATATTGTGGCCTGGACGATCCCTGGTACATGTGGTTGCGGGTTCACGTCCTGAAGTGTGATAGAAAATGCTCAACAAGTAATATCCCAAGCAGCTTCCCTTACGATTCATCTCATGGTCTATAACCCTCCCAAAGGACTTTGGCGCCTCCTGGTTCTCAGATCCCTCACTGTACTGCTATAAATCCCTATTTTATTGCCCCTTTTTAGGTTTCATTAGGCAAGATTGACTAAAGCCATTCGCAGCATACTTCAGTTTGAAGAGATCCGCTGTGCCTGGCATGAATCTCCAGTCAAGGCCATAAAAGTCTGTCGGTACCAATAGCATATTTTTTGGGCTTAAACATCTTCCTATCTGGAAGTTGCCTCATAAGACCATGACCAGACCGGAAACGCCTAAAGCTGTAAGAATCTCTTAATGATAAGATGCAGTAGGAGTTCCAAATAAATCACCGATGTCAATCTGCTACTCAGTAGTTCAAGCTAGAGCTGTCAAGAACAGTCCACAGGCATGTACCCCTGTCAAAGCCTATCTCCCCGTGACTGCCTATCTTTGGCGTCAATAGCCGCTCTTGGCCGACTCGTGCAGTTGCCAACTGATTACAATGTCTTAGACACACGACGCGACCCTTCCCTTACTCACTTATCAAAACATCTTCTGTTTAGAAGATGCTCTTCGCTCTCTACTTATTTACATTCTTTTTGCCCTAGAGCATCCTAGAGGTAACAGACGAAACGGTGATGGCGCCCAACGAACCTTTATTTGCCTCTGACCGGAGAGGATCTTCGATACATTCAGAAGAGCAGGCTGCAGACGAAGATACAGCCCTTCTGGGAAGCCAGGGGAAGATCCCTCTCAGCCCTCGACATCACTATGGATTCTGGCGAGAGCTTGGGTTGTTTACTTGGGCACTGCTAGCAACGGCAGCCGTCATTGTGCTTGCTGTGCTATCTCAGCACCACACATCGCAACAAGACCACAAGAAGCCGAAACCTGGGGGAAAGCGGAATCTCATCTTTATGGTGTCTGACGGAATGGGTCCCGCCAGTCTTTCGATGACCCGTAGCTTTCGACAGCTACAAGCCGGTCTACCCATCGATGATATCCTCGTCCTCGATCAACACTTTATTGGGTCTTCTCGAACAAGATCAAGCAGCAGCCTTGTGTAGGTTTTCCAGGAGACTTTTCTTTTCTACTTTACACAGTCTCACAATGTTCCCCTGCAGCAAGTTTTATGGAGCAGTTGCTGACTTCCCCATTAAACAGTACCGATTCAGCTGCTGGAGCTACAGCCTTCTCATGTGGTATGAAGAGTTATAATGGCGCCATATCAATGCTGCCAGACCATACCCCTTGTGGAACCGTGCTCGAAGCCGCAAAAAAAGCGGGCTATATGACAGGCCTGGTTGTGACGACCGATATCACAGATGCTACGCCCGCATGCTTTGCCTCACACGTAAAAATAAGACTGGAGGAGGATCTAATTGCCCAGCAAGAGGTCGGCGAGCATCCACTCGGGAGAGTCGTTGATCTCATGCTTGGTGGTGGTAGATGCCACTTTTTGTCTAACACGACGGATGGGAGCTGTCGAGGAGATGACCGAGATATTACAAAGCTTGCACAAGACAAATATGGCTGGACTTATATCGACAGTAGGGAGGAATTTGATGGACTCGAATTGGGAAAGGCTGTGAAGCTTCCGCTTTTGGGGTTGTTTGCAGGTTCCGATTTCCCTTTCGAGATTGATCGCCGGAATATGGATGATCTATATCCTTCGCTGGATGAGATGACAAGGACTGCTTTGAACGCCCTTGAAGTAGCCACGCAAGATAGTGACAAAGGATTCTTCCTCATGATTGAGGGCAGTCGAATCGATCACGCTGGTCATGGTAATGACCCTGCTGCACAAGTGCATGAGGTTCTGGCCTACAATCGAGCAATGGCAAGCGTTGTGGAATTCTTAGATCGGTCAGAGGTCGAAGGCGTATTTGTCGCGACCTCTGATCACGAAACCGGAGGTCTTTCTATTGCGAAACGTATGTCTCAAATTCTGAGTTGCGTGGAGAAATTAGGACTAACATCCTTAGAACTGCACCCGCAATACCCACAGTACAAGTGGTTTCCGGAAGTGTTGGCTAATGCGACGCATTCCTCTGAGCACCTAGCCCGGCAGCTCAACTCTCATATTAGCCAGGGTGCTCAAGGAGATGACCTTAAGCAATATATCACCGAGCTTGTTCAAAGTGGGCTGGGTATTCAAGACGCTAGCGATGGCGAGATCCAGTTGCTGGTCGACCAGCCGCTACTTAGTGTTTATACGTTCGCTGATATGATCAGTCGAAGAGCAGTAAGTCTTGTTCTCATCCTTGTCCCGTTTACTTCTCCTGCTGGAGCAAAGAGCCTGGAAGCTGTCCTCAGAGCTTTCTCCACTCTCCTGTCCTTCTGCTGAAAGATCCAATACAACTCCGAAGCTCAAAACTCCATTCACACTTACCTTTGAATTTACAGTGCTAACTTGTGCGGCAGCAAATCGGCTGGTCCACTCACGGCCATTCGTAAGTCTCAATTTTCCGGAGCATTGTTTCCCCCTTCCCATGTGTCATAGAGTACAATGCACATAAAACACTGTCCCGACTCTAAATGTTGTATCTGAAAGGGAATACTGACCCGAGACCCCGTAGTGCTGTCGATGTGAATATCTACGGCTCAGTTGGGACAGATTCTTTGAGAGGCAACCACGAAAACACCGAAATTGGGGAATTTCTCAGAGAATACCTTGATGTCGATGTTAAGGCAATTACAGATGAATTGGTCGAGAAATCGAAAACATTCGGTGTTGCCACCACCACCGACCAGAGCTGGACCGGCCGAGAACCTACAGAACAGGAACTGTACATGGTAGAGAGACATTATGAGCACCTCTATGGTGAGGCTCCATGAATGGCTCGCTCCATTTGGAGGATCCTTGAGCTTGTGTTGTGCTTTTCCTCTGTAACCTAGAATACCCTGCCGTTAATCCCTAGTTTGAACCTGGAGCGTGTCACGTGAGACACAAACAACATCTCCGACTGTCACACACGACTGTTGTTCGTTTGCGACAAACCTTCAGCCGCAAAGCTTCTTCCCATTACATTGGAATGGCCACAGGTTGCAGCCATCGTTGTGGCAAATGCAACAGAACTCTGAGCGCCCGTCAATGTTTGCAGATGCGGTAGCAAGAGTTTGCAGAACCGTTGCGCTTGGGCAATTTCAGATTAATGCAGTATGATTTACTCACTATTGCTTGTTTATGATGGATTTTGCAATCAAAAGCTCAACTGCAATCAGCGTTCCCCGTATCAATGTCATTGGCGCCTTTTACCCTGTGCTCTCGGAAGTAACCTGATATGGTCACCTCACTATGTCAGCGTTTGGAACTTTACAGTAGGATCGGATTGAAAGGACGATATGCTTGCTTTCAATACCAACGCAGAAGTACTCATTGCGAAAACTCCAAACAGCCTTGTGCCACGTTTTGTAGCGGGCCACTCTCGCTCTAGGAAGATCTCGTGGGTTGCACTCATATGTACTTGAAGGCCCTCAATCCTAAGTGTAGAGTTCTCAAGATACGCAAAGTCAAGCCTCACCTCAGCTGCCACTGCATAAAACTCCCGTGCATCATACAGCCAAAGCAATTCATACCATGTGCCAGTATTGGAGAATCGAGTCGCTGTGTGGCCACAGCACTCTCCTCGCCGGACCGAGTTGCTACCTTATCTACGAACAACTCCAAAGAATCAATGACCCTACCGAACGGGCCCGGTATGATATTCCATTCGAGATACCAGACCAGTGTCTTCCAAATCGACGAAATATTCATCGGAGATACGTTAACGATTACTGCTCGTGGGAGTGCAGGAACAACGGTCATTACGCGGAGAGGAGATGCGGGACGCATGATGCACAATATGGGCCAGGTTCGGAAAGGATAGGAGTTGGATGGAGGTATTGAAGGAAATTGAGTGCCCCTTGTTGATATGGATGTACGATTTTGTGAGGCTATTCGGAGTTATTGGGGGGTTTTGTTGGTTGTGGCTTGTTGTCGATATCGCTATCCTGGACTTCGGGCTATTGCTTTGGAACTAGGGACTCTGGCACTGGGACTTTCTCAGAAGAAGAAATCTTGCACACTCACGCTCTTCCCCACTGAAACACTCTGCCCAGCCTTCAGTTTCTGAAGTCATCAGTTCAAGCTCGCCAGAAACCAACGCCGGGGAAGAAATGCACTCAGTTCAGTGAAGATGGGAACCATCTCTGCTATTAACGTCCATCCCGAGAAAGATAGACACACCAGAAAAAATCTGAACTTATTGCAACCCTCAGGAGCTGGGTGCATCACGTGAGACGCTAGTGCTTGAAGGAGAGCTCGGCTTTCAAGTCAAAACCACGAGGAATCGTACCATCCCATCTACAACTTCAATTGAGCCCACCATGTTCCTCCAACGCTCTGCCTTCGCTGCTGCGCGCCGAGCGGCAGTATCGCCCATCATCAAGCGCAGCATCACGAATTCTTTCGTGCGCCGTACGCCTGTCCCCTCTCCATCCCCGACCTCAATCTAACTCACTCTCCAGGAGAAGCAGCACCCGCGAGCAGCTCCAATGCTGGAAAGATAAAGAAATTCGAGGGTAAATTCATCGATTCGGAGCTTCGGCGAGCACGGCGAAGCTTTAGGGAGGCTCGGGGCTGACAGGTACACAGAAATCAAGGATGAGACAGACCTCATCGGTCCCGGAGCAGCAGTCGCAACGGTGCCCACGGACTTGGAGCAGGCGACCGGATTGGAGCGATTCGAGATTTTGGGGAAGATGCAGGGCATTGATGTTTTTGATATGAAGCCATTGGATGCTTCTCGCAAAGGTACGAATCCGTCGCCAGGAATAGAAATCAGACCACATTTAGGATTCGGGGAATTAGGGGCTGGGGGGAGAGATTGAAGGCTAATTGGCATGCCAGGCACGCTCGAGAACCCCATTATCGTCAAGTCTGCTGGGGATGAGCAGTATGCTGGTTGTACCGGCTACCCCGCTGATTCCCATGTCACCATTTGGCTCACTGTATGTACTTCTCCAAACCTGGCCCATGTAGGGATAGTTGCTTATGGAGATTCAAACAGATGTCCCGCGATCGCCCAATTGAAAGGTGCCCAGAGTGTGGGAATGTCCTGAAGATGGATTATGTTGGTCCGACTGAAGATCCCCACGCTCATGATTCACACGGTCATGATGCACATGGGGACGGACACCACAACTACGAGGAGCCAAAGAACTTTGCTGATTTCGTTCGTCCTGAATACCGATAGATTGAGCATACTGGTAACCGGGGAACGGGTACTTTGTGACGGAGGGAAGTGGATGTTGTAGAATACTCGTCAATTGAAGAATTTCCCCTTTGCACAACTTTTTGTCAAGCATGCTATAGCTTTTTGTTGATTCAGCATATAACGCTTTCAGGTGCATACGAAATAAGGGTGACTTGCGTCGGATTAATCTAAAGAGCTATGGGTGCTCACAGGTTTGGCCTTTTTCTTTTGTAAATACACACAATGACTGCCCGTCTATGAACAAACAGACCTCAAAAATTAAAGCAATCGCTAACCGCCTGAATGCACCGTTTTAATGCCCCTTTCGTAACTGTCGTGAATCTTCATTATGCACAGTGAAGTCATGAAAAATGAAAATGAAAATGACGACCATTGCAATGTTTTGACGCAACTCCTTGATCTCGAACTGGGTGGGACGAGAGCATTGAGTTCGTCAAGGTTCACATGAAACAGATCGCAAAGTGTAAATCATCTCTAACGGAAGACACTGCCTGGGGGAGCTGGTTCACTTTTTGTCATTGTCGGCTAAATTACCATCATCCTCATCAGCTTGGACTGACTTGGTATTGGTATTTTTGGCTTTTGGTGACTTCCCCTCGCGTTTGGGTCCGGAAGGGCGCTCTCCATCATCCATCTTATCGTCTCCGGAATTCTCGTCGGAATGGGAATCGTCGATCGACGCAGCGGTCCTATAGGTTTCAGCTGCACGAACAAGAGCAATGGAACCGTGGCTAGGAGTAACCAACGTCGAGCCGCTACGATTGTCTCCCTCGGTCTCGCTGACGTCCTCGCTAGGACTGCCTTCGTTTCCTGAACTACCCGGTCGGGCCATGACAGCTTCTTTTAGAGCCTTCGCCTTTGCTGCCATTTGGAATGCTTGCTCAGCAGCGCGTTCAGCACGGATCTGCTTTCGCCACATGTTATAATAGCGACCCTTGCGATCAAGAAGCTCTTGATGAGTTCCGGATTCAGCAACCTTTCCAGCATGGAGGACGAGGATTTGATCAGCGCTTGTGATGGTTGACAATCGATGACTACATTCCATGTCAGTAGTGTTGTTAGAAGAGAGAACAATTGAGCTGCTTACGCAATAACGAGCATAGTTCTGCCCTCAGAAAGAGTTCGCAATGCTTCTTGAATGTTCTGCTCTGTATCGGAATCCAATGCTGCAGTTGCCTCATCAAGCATGATAATGCGGGGATTCTTGATAATAGTTCTTGCGATGGCCACACGCTGCTTTTCACCACCACTGAGACGAAGACCTCGCTCACCGACCTTGGTCTCATAGCCGTCTGGGAAAGCCAGAATCTTATCGTGAATGGAAGCAGCTCTACAGGCGTTATAAATATCTTCATCGGTGGCGTTCTGGTTTGCGTACTTCAAATTATACATTAGGGTTTCGTTGAACAGAATCGTGTCCTGCGGAACAACACCGATGTGGCGTCGGAGAGAATCGATGGTTATGCCCTTGATGTCGCTGCCATCCAACTGGATGCTGCCGTCCTGAGTATTATAAAACCTGAAGAGGAGTCTGAATACAGTTGACTTTCCGCCGCCTGATTCACCGACAAACGCAGTAGTCGTGCCTGGCCGGCAAGTGAAGCTGAGATTCTCGAGAGCCGGTTTTCGCTTATCATAGGAGAACTTGACATCCTTGAAGTCAATTTGCCCTTCGCAGCTTTTCATTTCGACGGCACTTGGATCATCAACAACAGTTGGTTGTTCCTTGAAGAGCTCCAGAAGTCGCTCGCCACTGATCATTGCGCTTTGGACGCTGCGGTAGAAGGATCCGAAGAAATTCAGTGGTTGCTGGAGTTGTCCCATGTAAGTGAGGAGAGTCACGAAGTCACCTACATCACGCTGGCCTGTCGTGACTTGGTATGCAGCGATGAACGACGTTACCAGAAGACCCGTCATGAAAACCATGTTCTGAGAGATGTTCAAGATGTTCAAGGATATAGTGACCTTGTATTCCATCTTCTGAAACGCCGAAACGGCCTTCCGGTAGCGTTCGAATTCGTAGTCCTCAGCATTGAAGTACTTGACGGTTTCGTATGAAGTCAGAGAATCGTTCTTGACAGCATCCTCCTCGCGACTCAAATTCGTCATTTGTCTCCGCTGATCAGAGCGCCATCGGGCCATGCGGATGGTCAGATACAGGTACGAGAAAGTGATGATGGCGACTACAAGAGCGTAGTATGCGTCGAACGCAACGCCAAAGTACACAATAGCTACCCCAAGATCAAAGATCATAGGTAGCATTGAGAATGTGACTTGCTCCAGGAAGTTGTTGATCGCATTGCCTTTGCTCAAGGCAGAGAGCACCTCTCCAGTACGCTTGCCCAGATGGAAGTCCAGACTGAGACTGTGAACATGCTCAAAGGAAGCTGTAGACAATGCCTTGTAGGAGTATTGTGAGATAGGGATCCAGAGGACCGATCTCACAGCTCCAAGGATCCCAGAGGTACCTTGTAAGAATTTGAAGCCAATGAGGAGAGAAATTGAAAGCCAAGGCATTTTGGCGCCCGATTTGCTCAATTCGGTTGTCACTTTGCCGACTTGGAGGGGGACTGCCATGTTCACCATTCTTTGAAGAATGACAATAAAGAAGCAAATGACGACCACAACCTTGAGCCTGAAAGACTTGCTGGGCCACAAGTATGGGAAGAAGAGAGAATATCCTTTAAGGTACTCCCACCATGTCCTGTTGGGGGCAGTAGTAGGCTTGTAGAAGGCAGGGTTCTCATCCATGTTCCGACGGGTATCCCCTGTACCAGTGTCACCATTGGTCAATCGATGAGCAGTGCCATCAGCATGTCCATTTTGCGGAGTTGCATTCTCTGATCCGGATCCATGAGCATGCCCGTTCTGAATAGACCCATTCCCACGGACATATCCATTTCCATTTGCGTGGCCATTGACAAGTAGGGGGGAATTTTCGTCAAGCTCTTCACGTCTACCACTCCTGGCTTTATACAGACGTTCGAGTGAGAAGATGAGGTAGAAGCTAACCAAGAACAGGAGAATGATGGCTCGTAAAGTGTCGGCAATGATTTCTACAACCTCCCACTCGTTGGGTGTATTGGATATACTCTTATTGTCGTGCGTCATGTCTCGTGTTAAAGAGTTGTTGTCTCTATGAGGCTTGGTATAGAGAGCTAGCGTGCCTCCTAGCAGCACCAGTTCTCCGATTGTCGCCATGACCCATGTGATTTGATGGGCAATGTTTGGAGACGGTGTTGTATCAACCATCGAGATGAGGAAGATGCTGTAGAAGAAGACGGAGGCACAAACGTATACCTAAAATTTGCAAATATTAGTCTAGTTCAAAAGCAGACTTGGATTTCATTGCCACTTACAGCAGTGGCTTCACCGCACCACCAACCATCCTCGCTGGCAGTGAGAGCATGGACAATTATATTGATCGCATTGGCCACGAAGGTCGCAAGGAGGCCAATGGAGAGGTAAAGAAAGAGCAACTTTCGACCACGGCTGAAATCCTTAAGCTTCTTGTTCTTTTCTCGTTCCTCCTTGTTCTTTCGAGCAATGGAGGTCGGTAGCGGCTTTCCACCAGGTCCCAATAAAACAGGTCCTTTCGACTCCGACGAACGCTCGGCAGAGAGGATGCTGTTGGTCACGAATGCCGTCAAGAACACAACAAACAGAACCCAGGCATAGTGGAAGTGGACCAGTTCGAGTAGATCCGTGTCCGTGAAAGTGCCATTGAACCCCAAAGGCGAGCTCAGCTCGACTCTCTCACCTGCCATTACACTTTATTATGTATATGCCCAATTTCCTCCGTCCCACTTCAAATTTCCAGGTCGATAGGAAGTTGTGGACAGCTCATGACCCATTCGATTGGGACGAGCTTGATTGAGTAGGGTCCTGGTAACGCGAAGCTGGGTAGCCTCGGTTCGATATTGCCACCTTCAGATCACAAGATGTTGTCAGCGGTGGCTGGCAAAATGTCTCTGAGCTTCTCCGCTCATGTGACAGCGGATTGCTGCAGAACATACTGAGATGTGAGCGATTGGGGAGGGGGCAAGTACCTGAAGAGATGGATGTGGGGAATTATCTTTTGATAGAGAGTGAGGGACGGATTGAAGATCGACGCGAACCCTCGATCTAATCAACGAGAGACACAGACGAAAACGACCGACCGAGTGCAAGGACGAGAGGAGACAGAGACGAGACGAGACGAGTGTCTATGGGACTCCACTGCGACCCTCTGGGTCTGGCAGACAAAGCGTTCTGGATTTGGGAGAGTGAAGTAGTGGTAGAGAGAATTGTAAGTGGCTGTGGTTGTGCTGCAAAAGGGACTCGGATTATTCGACAGAACCGTCACCGCCTTTGCAAGGCCTGGAACTGGGACGGGGACGGGATTGGGACTGGGACTGGGACTAGGACTGGGACTGGGGCTGGGACCTAAATCGGGAGAGGCCTTAGCGAGGAGAGTCAAGATCCTCACCACTTGACATAAGTCGAGGCTGGCCCTGATAATATCCAGACTTTGCTCTCGCTTCCCTGCATTCCCTTCGGCAGTCTGCATCGAATTTATCCTCGCGGTCGCTCGTATATGTAGCGCATATACGTCGAGATATCCGGCCCTCCTTCATCTCATCTCACCAATCCAGCGCGGCTCCCACTGGTCTCCAGCCACGAAAGCCCTCGCAGGTCTACCGCGTATATCAACCCCTCCAACTCCCCTCCATCCCCCACCCCCCCGGTCAAGGCTCAAGGATCACTGGCGAGCGAGTGCATGTGGTGGGACGCAGCGGCCAGCAGCCAGGGTGACACGCAGCACTATCGAACAGCCAGCCAGCCTTTCAGCTTCATGAGCCTTCCACAACCGCTCCCTGCCCCCCCGGCCTCCCATACGCAAAGTACGGGGGCCTAAGTCGGCCGCACTGCTTCTCAGAGGTCCATTCGCCCCAAGAGCAGTCTCTGGCCTGCGTGTCAGACTACATTGACACGTGGTTTTCTGTTCCCAGTTCTGAGCACGTAAGGGCCTAGAAGCTGCCTCCTTAATATTGGCGGAGTAATCTGTATGCCCCCGTGTGCGATTCAAGCGGTACGGGACCTCCAAGTATGACCCGGCCGGATGTTCCCCGAGCTCAGTTCAACCCCAGACTTCTGTGGAGAGCTTTGCTACAGGTCACCTTTTCATCGTGCACACCTGCGTCATGCACTGATGTCCAACGCTATTGTTGCTCTTGCAATCAATGGCCGCTCGAGCTGTATTACTGTCCACCCGGACCATCTCCAACGGGAAAGCCAGGCTCAGATTGGAGAGCATCTGTCAAAGCAAGCCGACCTCGCAGCGCCCTCATGCACATATTTTTCTATGTGACGACGTAGCTGTTTCCCTGTAAGCACGGGTATCATTGGCAAACTGTCTCCGAGATCAGATTTGAAGCATTCAGCGGTGAGAAAGCATCTCCCGCATGGCGCCGCCGTGCCGTCCCTTTCGCTTCCGCAGAAGTATGATGCGATTCTGGTTATGGCTCATCAAATAGTACGGAGTCTTCGAGTGCTTTTTAGTCGAATAATACCTCCCGGATCGCCGCCAATATCTTCGTCAGGTAAGAACGAAATCTCGTAGGTCAAGCCATGCATATTGATGAGCGTTATCAGACTGTCCTTCAAGTGCCGAAATGCCCAACTTCTGCAGACCATGACCAAGTCTTGGTGCTTTTCCAGTGAAAGACCGATGGTAGACCGGCAACCCGGTCCTCGTAATTTGGGCCTTTCTCTCGTCGTTTGCCCAACGTGGTACTGCATATCTACCGCACAAACTGTGGTGTTGGCCAAAAGGAAGTTTCCTTTTAATGGCCACGGCAGAAGGGAAACACAAGGAGACGGGAGCAGCGCAAGACCAAGAACAGAGTCGCAATCTCAGGAAAGGGCCGAGGTGTGGCAGACGAAGTTTGAACCAACCGAGAACCAGCGCCCGTGGAAGTTCCGTCCACCAGCTTCCCCGATATTCATTTTGCCAACTCGGGGAGTTAAAGGAAAGGAACTCTCGCCATTGCCGACCGGGAGAATGGTTGAGCTTGCCCATAATAGGCCAAATATGTCAGCAGCATTCGCGGCGTGATGGGGGCCAATCTGGGTTTGCACTTATCAAGCTTGGAAAGGGTCCAATGCAATGGCTGCGTCAAGCAGCGGGCAGCCTAGAAAGCACCCTAGCAAAACAGTCAATCCACTGTATTATGATACCTCTCGAATCCCGGGTCATTGCATTCATTCCGTCGAGATCCTAAGTCGCGGAGCCGGGGATATGATTTGTGTGTTGAGCTACCGATGCAGACGGTCGAAGATTGGGCAGCTTGCCCGGTGTGGGTTGGAAGTATGGACAGCGGAGATGGAACATGAGCCAGAAGAGAGAGTTGAAAGCCGATTTGTCCGTACTGTCCCGTTCTTGTCTCCGTGCGAGTCGAAGCAATCTTCTCGTTGTGGATCTTTGATCTTCCGCATAACAGACAACACAAGAGACTTTATGCAGTTTGGCGGGAAAAAGAAACCTTTAGATTTGCAGGTGTTGGTAGGAACCAAGGTCTCTGAAGTTGGTTTTCAAGACGAGCTCTGCATTGGCTTCGTTCGTTTGAAATACCCGTATTTGGAAAGGTGGGAAGGAAAGGAGCTGAGACGTGCCACTGCTCGAGATTAGCTTTTGGCCTTCCAAGCAAAAGAGGACTTATCTCAGTTATTTCTGCATCTAGTACATGCGCAGAGGCTAATAGTCGCTGCGATGACATGTTCGGCAGTCCCTCCAGTGGAGAGGTATGCCTTTCCCGTGACTCCAGAAGTGTCATTGTGGATGTTGTCGGTCTGTTTGATCTGAGCTCACTGAACAACTTACCAAACATAATGTCGACAAGAATGAAGACGCGTTCATGCCATATCTCAGCACGCTAAAAGTAGAAGAGGACCTTCTTGTCGAGCTTTCGAAATAACTTGTTCTTCCCATGAAGCGTTGAGTCCATTAGAAGAAAAATGAACACAGCGAGAACTCCCAACCCAAAACCACGTCTTCCTGCTTCAAACTCGCCGCGTGCGGAGCCCATCCTCCAAATACTTGTAAGGATGCACAAACTTGCGGTCAAGAGATTTTCCTCGTGCAGAACAACTCTTACGAAGCTGGGCGTATGGTGATACGAGGCGACCAAGGCAAAGAAACAGACCGCAATTGTCTCGTACCAGGTCCGCATTTATGTGACAAACCTCAACCCTCAACCCTAGCATCCTATCTAAGCGACTGCAATAGATTTTCGTGATCTAGGAGATCGACATGGGTATATGTAAGCCTCTCGAAATGGAAGAAGAGGGGAAGGTCGGGCTTACGCCTTCTACGCACTCTGAAATTTTAGTCGGGAGCAGGGAGTGACTGTGAGGGGAAGTGAGGGGCATGTTGTACTTTAGTGAGTCATTATGATCATATTTTGGAGGTAATAGACGGTTTTGCAAATGTCTCCCATGTTTATAGTTATCCAGCATCCCTTATAGGGATTTTAGTGTATTTACTCGCATTTTTTGTGCTGAAACGGATAAGCAGACAAGGAGACCAGGTGAATTGTCATGAAGTCAAGACTAACGGGAAAAGTTCAACAGGTGCAAATCTAAATCCCTGGATATAGGCCATAGACATGTGATTTATTACAGGTTTTATCTGATAGAATCAATACAAGAAGCGGAACGACAGTGGAGGTTCTAACAGCCTCGTTCCAACTGAGAAATACTCAACACTGAACCAGCTCGAGCTTTGTAACGACCGTCTTGGGCAGTAGAGCCAGTCTTCACACACCCTCGAAGAGGTCTCAGTCTCTGAAGACTTCCCTCGCCTGTTATTGAAACCTCGAAGAGGCTACCACAACCCCCCACCTCGCGGCTCTGAGCCCCCCACGCCACACAAGGATCCATGCTCCAAGTGGTTGAATCAAGGTTTCCGCGCAGATTCCCTCCGATTCGTCGTTCCGTTCACTCGGATCTCTGTCGCCGTTGCCACTCCATTTCCGTTCACTGGCGCGCCGTTTACCAGCACCTTTGGGCCGGGGACTTCGTCAATGCCCTGCCGGGCCAGAGCATCCAATCTTTGCTCTTCCGCCAACTCATTCTCATCGTTGTCGCTTCGGTCGTCCTCCACGATATTAAGGAATACAAATCTGTATGCGATTCGGAATATGTAGTATAGCCAAAAAAGGTTCAGCCCTTGCAAGCTCGCTAGGAGGGCGGTCGAGATATAGTGCGAAAGGTCGCATTTGAACTGCCCGGCCGCCCAGTCAAGCTCGTAAGGGCCGACGGTTTTGAACTCGTTGAATTCAGACCAGAGGATTCGAAGGTTGATGTAATGGCGAAGATAAATCCACATGAAAATAAAGAGGGTAAAATATGGGCCAACAAGGGGGTGGTCGAGGTAATTTAGGGTTTTAGAAGTCTGGTGGTATTAGACTGGGAGATCCAGTTCCCAAAGGACTAGGAGCACTTACAGCGAGGAAGAAGTCACTAATATCATGAGTGATAAAGACTCCCAGACCCATGTAGGTGAAATGGAAGCGGTAGCTCAACCCAATCAGAGCCAGTGACACAATATGATGCCCAATCAACTCCCTAAAGTCTTTTCTCGGCTTCTCCATCCCCAAGCAAAGAACTATAGCTTGCTGCGCCCAATATGCAGCTTGGAAAAGGTAGTAGAACTTGAATATGCTCTCGTGCGTCTTATGCGGGAACCCTTCGTACATACCCCTTGTGTTGAAATACCACACTGGCGTTCGGCTCATGACATATAAACCGCAAGGGCCCAGGACTCCAAAGTAGATGGCGGTATACATCTGTTCCATGAATCGTGACTGTTTCGCCCTACTCTTCAAACCACTTTTTTTTGCCATGGGCCGCAGGAACTTCTGCATTATGAATTCTCTTGTGAAGGAGAGAACAATGATGTAAAATGAGACAAATGCGCAATCCCATAACCCCTTGCCATATTGATGTGGTGTTCCGGCTGCAGCCCCAGCTTCAGCTGGCAGTCGGTAGGAAAGGAAGATGAAGTGATGTATGGGATTCGACTCGGTCGGGTTGATTGCGAATAAGGCGAGGAAGATTAGAATAAGGACCAAGGGAGTGACCCATGTGTGCTTCAACGCATACCTCTTCCATTGCTGAAAGAGGGTTTTTGCTTTCCTCCGTTTCGAGAACGGTTTCTTGCGATCTCTGTCTTTTTGAGCCTGCTGACGGTCAGGGGGGTGAAGCAGTGACGAAAAGAGGGATGCGAACTTTGATTGTGCCGGGAGACGGCGGCCTTATGTCTAGTGTGGCCAACGCTGGTGAACTTGTATCCCCAGCTCTGATCTCACCTCCGAGTCCGCTGGACCGCCTTCGGATTCGTGGTTTGTCGATGCTGGTTGGGCCCCCTAGAGGTGTCAATTTATCGGGGGTAGAGAGAAGCGGGAAAGCCTCTGTGGCAGGCATCGTGGATGATCGAGTAACGAGGCTCCCAAGAAAGAAGTCAGTAGGTGACTGAAGTCATAGAAAGAGCGGTCCAGAGCTAACAGGCGGACAATGAAGCAGGTGAGGGATGCAGACCAAAGTTGAAGTTCAAGCTCGCCCAAGAAAATGTCGGAGCCGACATTGAGATTGCAAGTCGCGGGTTGGGCTATCAGGGAACGCGGAGGATCCCTGCGTACCTTCCTCTCAATGGCTCGTCAAGGGTAGTGGTCGGTTCAAAAGCAACATCAAAATTTCTAATCATGAGAATGCGAATAAGCAGCCACGGCAGCTAGTGCTGACAGCATCAAGCAGCGTCCAGGCGGCGAATATAGTAGTCTTCGACTTCAACCGAATCGAGCTCGGGTGAGGCTTTGCAGTTGCAGTAACGGGGGGGTTATGCTGTGTTTACAGTTTTTCGTGTTTTCACGCAGAGCCAGAGCGAATATTCTCATTATAAAAGGAACGTGCTTGTCAATGTAGCAGAGGCACTTGATGCATTATTCGTAAGTCTAAATACAGACAGCCTGTCGTATCATCATGGCATCTCCCGACGAGAAATGCTCCCTATCACCAACTATATGCTCCCTTTCCCTCGCTATACGCTTCTCAAGTGTCCCTCCCGTCTATACACATATAACTCCATGCAGATTTCCCTAAAACACAATAACCTCCCATATTTTGACGTTGATTATAAGGCTCCAACACAAACGCCACACTCAAAGATAAACCTAGATGCCCTCACTCCGAACCTTCCTCGGATCGCGGGTGCCTTACTGGCGCCGGTATGCTCATAACGGGAAGACCGTCACGCCGCGGAGACGACGGAGTGCGAGATTGAGCAGGACTGCCTCGAGGGCTGATGGGTGGTAATCTTTCCCCAACGTCCTCAAGCGGTGACACTGGTGAGATTGCACTCTCTCCATCTCGCTCCTGCTGAACAGCAGTGAGGAATGATATAGCTCCCCGCTGATGGATAGAGTGACCATTCAGGTCGTCCGGAGTGTAAGGGTCACTCAATCTTTGTGGTTGTGGTACGCGTGTGGGCTCTTGATCTTGTGTCAAGCGTCTCTCCAACGATGGTTCCGCTGATCCAACAAATGTGTTCGAGTCACTGTTCGTTGGTCTCTCTCCTCTCTTAGCATCCTCTAGCTCCTCATAAGTCGTGGCGAGGTTGCGTCTTCTTGGGGGTGCCGGGATGATAGTGACCGGAAGTGGGCCAACACTGACGCTTGGCCTCGCCTTCTCGCGGAGCTTCTCAGCCTGAGTAGCTGCAAAGTCTTCCAGCCTTGCCCGGACGTCCCATTTATTCGGAGGTGGGTGACCATTGGCTGGTTCCGGGACTTTCACTGTGTGCGCAGATACTTCTGGTGGTGGGCCTTGAGGTCCTCTTCGAAACGGGTTGACTTTGGCTAATGTCTGCCATGCATTTGGTCGACGACGTTCAGCTTCATCCTCGTCGCCCTCTTCCATCTGCTCGATGACCACAGACTTTTTGGATATCTCGCTCCTATGATCATCTCGGTTCGGGACGGTAGTGATCTCCAGGCTGTTGCTCCTTGATACCCCCCTCACGTTCTCCTGCTCGTGAATCGGTGTAGGTTCGCTGATCGGATGATATCGGATAGCATATACAGTACTTTCTGCACTTGCAGTGTCTGTTCTACTGATAGGAGTGGCTGCAGGTGGAGGCCGAATTGGCCATAGCGGAGGTCGAGACCCTGGCATTCGCTTTTTCGTTTGCTGCGTTGGTTTATCCCGGCCCGGTCTGCCTTTCTCAACATCATGGGTGGCGCGAGGTCGATACCGGTTTGCTAGACTGGCGACCCTTGGCCACGATATTCCGTTGGACCCAGTTGATGTTCCACTATCTCCTCCCCCCTTACCCTTGCCATTGCGCTCATCTATGCGGTCCTTCAAACGGGACTTCCAGGATGAATCTGAGAGAGGGTTGACCTCTAGCATCTCATCACCATCAAACACCTCTCGTCCAAGCACACCGTCCTTTTTATCCTCTCTCTCAAGAGCCTCAATCCGTTCCACCCATTCCCACACAACGACACTTGCTGCAGCTGCTCCAACCCATCGCACGTAATCTCCCCATCCAGCAAGATCTGGTTTCGATATATCGAGGACGAAGAACACCACAGGTACAAGCACTGATACCAGTGAAAGCAACGCAACAAGACAGATGTTCCGCATCTGGGGATGAAAGAAGGCGAATCGCTTCTTCGTGATGGCATAATAGATTACCCAAGCACCGTAAAGGAGGCTCAGGGCCAATTGAAAAAGGTAGGCCAGTGCAGGAACGGCGTCCACGAAGGTGTGCGGTCGAGAATTTCCATTGTAAACGAAGTTGTTAAGGATACTGAACAACACATCGAGGGAGATGAGTGCGAACGCCGTCCATTTGATGATAATCTTCTCTCTCTGGCGAGGAAACAATCGTATCAGAGTCTGCGCTTGCGCCAACCAGAGGAAGGTATCGGATATAACGCGAATGATCTTAAGTTCCATCCCATTCTCCACTACGTTTTGTAGTCTTTGTGCATCCATATACCCAACCTCGTATTGCTCCTCAGCGACTTTGAATGTATCAGCGGTGGCAATGGTGAGGGATATCGCGACCGTCAATGCTGCGACCTTTTGTAGCCATGGTCGTCCACCAATTCCAATGCCAGCGTCACTCCCCGAAGGGCCATTTGTGAAACCTCGCCGGCCAAGAACAACAGCACCCTCGTGTAGGAAAGTCCGAGGGGTAATCAAGAGCATAATGACGAGCATGTACGCAATCACCGTGGTCGCTGCCAGCGCGTAGCATTCGGGAAGGGTGGAGGCATAAAATGGATCACGAAGATCGAGAATCGTGGGAGAGCTCGAGCCAGTGAGGAGTACGTCGCTCGATCCAGTACATTGCGGTCTGAATATTGCGTCGGATGTGAGGGTGAGGACGTCGTTAAGCCCGAGAGTTAAGACTCCATTCGAAGGAAGTGTGAACGGCGTGCAATGTGCCCTGGTCACCGTCGTCGGGGTCGGGCTCGGCCTCGCGATGTTGATTATCTGTCTCTCTTCCATTATTTCGGAACGTCACGGCCCTGCCGTAAATCTTCAACAATTCATCAACGGGAGTATTGCGACATCGTCCCTCGGATGCAGATTGGGAGTTCGCTCACGGATATTATTGAGTCGACGCGGTCTCTCGACTAGCGATAGAACAAGAGACAATCGACTGGACTGGGAGGTAGCGTTCGTTTGAAGACCGAAGAATTGCTGTCGTGCGTCGCTTTGGTGCAGTGCAGTGTCGAAAACGTGAGGGGAGTCGAGTGAGAGAGTTGAAACGGTGCTCGTTAGATTTAGTGGGCCACCAGTCGGGGCTGGACTCGACTGGACTACCCGCAATGCCTGAATGGCGCTCGATACGAGGTGGGATTTCCAAAGATGATATATTGTGTCAACAATCAAGACTGAATTCATTCCGTTGGGCGCAGTGGCATCAGCGCGAACTTGCGATTGAGGTCGTCCCTGCCGTCTAGATGTCTGCCGTCGCATTCGGCGTCGCACGCCAAGCTCTTGACAGTCTTGGAAAGCTTGTCCTGCGGATAAACTACTTCTGATGCCCAGACAACAAGAAAAGTCGAATGCTTGACTCTCGAGCGAAGGTCAAGTTTGGGGAACTATATGGGCCTCATATCTCGTCCTTCGGGCTCAAATAATTGGACTTAGCTTGTCGCTGTGGAAAGTTCTCACACGGCCATTGTTTCGATTCCGCTTCCCTCGGGCATTGTTGAAAAGTAAAGACGAGAGTTGTCATGCGGACAAGTTCTAGCCTTTCCCTTCCTTTCTAACATGATATCAAAGTCTCAATCTTACGAGCTTTGCGGATGCTACCCGGGGTGGGCCAAAAAAGCGGAAGTGTATCTCAATGCCCCACATCGAGTCAGAACATTTCAGAACTCCCCCTACGAATCTTCCCCCGAGTTATTCTAGGTTCGAAGTCTATCCAATATCTTGGAACTTCTATAATATTCCTAGCCCCTCCATGGTTAGGTACATATATGGCCCTGACTTGGGATAATTGAAAAAGAGTGACGGCTTCTCTCTTCCACCGGAGTTCACGTTGTTCCCAGGAAATTTAGGACAACGGACTTTGTGAGGGCCGGGATCATATGATTGCCATGTACCTGTGAGGAACGGTAAGCATTCCAATACTCCGTATGAAGTGCCATATCCTTTCCCGAAACCACCTGTTCATCAGGTTATGAGGTTTTTCCTCTGAAATCAAGGCGTTTCAAAAAGTTGCGACGATGACAGCTGTTGTCATCCATCAACCCTGGTGGACCAGAAACTCTCAAGCTCCAACAATTCGCCCGTGTCAAGGCATTTGGGTTGGATCGTTCGGAAATGTTTACTCGACAATAAGTCGTCTATTTGACTATAAGCACGCGGCTCTCGCATTGGAGCTTCTTGTCCCTCCTAGATATCGGATGAGAAGCTATCTGTCTGATCCTTTTGCTATTGAGACTTGTAGGGAAGGCTCTGCTTGGGGTTGCTCGATATTTTATATTACTTCTCCCGATTGTCCGAGCCTAGCTGGGACATACACTTCACAAGTCACATTTTCATTGTCCATCGAGGCTCATGGCCCATCTCCGCGTCGAGCGTTGATCTAGTTGGATTACTGACCTAAATACTGTGCAGAAGGCACTCACCGGGCCTCAAATTTCCTCGAATTCTCAGCATTGAAGCCGTGGGGTTCGCTGAAGAGTCACCAGGAGAATTCAAGAATGACCAGGTCGTGGCGACAGCAAGTAACCAACCTATTTCTTTGTACTATATCGCGAGCTCCTTGCCTCACTGATGGGGAGGATGAGATATGCTCCCAGCGCCCTCCCCCCAAAATAAACATCTTGCTAATTCGTTGCAATCGGTGGTATGGGCCGCGATTACGACGGCGGATATGCCGACTTCACCTGCGTACCAGCAAGCCAGGTTCAGGTCATCAAGCCGAAGATCTTATGGGAGCAACTCGGTGCTCTGCCGGAAATGATGCAAACAGCTTGGAGCTCTCTCATCAAGTCACTGTAGCTGACGGAGGACACTCTGCTCATCCGAGGGGGCACGACTTCAGTTGGTCTCGCTGCTGCAGCTCTTGCTAAAAGTCTTTGCTCTGTTGTTGCGGCCACCACTCGTAAACCAGAAAGGAAGGCAATGTTGCTTGCCAATGGCGCCAACGAAGTCTTCGTTGATAATGGAACCATTGCCGAGGAAGTCAGGAAGAGACATCCAGAGGGATTCAGCAAGATTCTCGACCTGGTACGGGTACTCTCAACCTTCTTCCCGTATTTGAAAGTCCCGTAAGGTCTTGGGCACTCAGAGACTCAGGCTCCAAATGTCCTACGCATTTTGGAATATTCAAGTCGGTTCCCTATCAAATGTTCCACGAGATCTTGGACATTCAACTCATAACCCCTCGAATCATCCTGCGAGTTGTTGAACACCTGCTGATTCGAGATTCTTTAGGTAGGCGTGACGGTTTTAGAAGATACTGTACCCTGAAGTGTGCTGAAGAGTACGGAATTATCTGCATGACGGGGATAGCAGGAGGAGAGGTGAGAGATCTACTTCTCCTCACTTACTCTGCGTTGAATAGCATTGGCACCCTTATTCTAGTAGATCATAGATAACTTCGATCCTCACATCCTTCCCAACACGGTGTCTTAAACGTACTCTAGCTCACCACAAAAGTTTACGGAAACTCCATTAAATGAGATTGCGGAACGAGTGGCGGACGGCTCGTTGAATGTTCCGGTCAAGACATTCCGCCTCAATCAGATCGTGGAAGCTCACATAGCTATGATTGAAAGTATCGCGGCGCGAAGATTGTGGTTCTCGTGTGATGCAACATAAAAATGAAATAAAAGCTTTAAGCTGCAGTGGAAGAGACATGGCGCACCGACTCGCGCGAGAGCAATAAATCTAAGACAGTGCAGAATAGCCGTGGAATGGAAAAGCGGCAATCATTTCAATGTCCCAAGTCAGGTTGAACATTGGGGTCAAATATACTCGTGAAGACTTTTAATGTACCAAAGCTTCTAGGGCATTTGAAGGGGTTTAGACCTCGAATGTACGATGAGTCGATAGAATATTCGGAGATTCAGTGCAGCATTTAAATGTCCCAATTTGAGGCGGGACAATGAAAATAACTTCCTTTTCAGTACGAGGCAGAGTCAAGAACGGAGATAATACCTGGACGCGTGACTGTTTAGGGGGCGAAACAGCCTTCACACTGCTTTAGATAGAATGAATTGGCAGCAGCGGAACATGGGAGTTAGTCTTGTGCTTATTATTAGATAAATTGACCAGCTGAAGCGGGCAGGCGGGTCTTCTATTCGTTGAAGATTCTGAAGGAAAAGCGAATCAACTGTCATCATGCAGGGACGCCGAAGACAACCCTTGTGCCCCTTTCGTCCTGCTAGAATTCGGTTGTCTGGCATAATGCGGCCACAACGTGGCTGAGGAGCAAAGCAGGGACTTTAAAATATCGAGGAGGAGAGCAGAGGAGAGCAGAGCAGAAAGCGGTGAAGTAAGTGCACAGGGATCCTTTAAATTCACGGTACTGTAACTTTAGCGTGGCTGAACTTGCGCTTAGGACTTTTTCCCCTGATCCCCCTTGCTCGTTTCTTCGTTTCAGGTTGTTAGGCCTCGACCTGTTGGAAACAAACTTCAAAGAATTCATTCCTTTCGTTCTCACCAGCCTCCCCAAACGACTACGCAGGCCATAGTCGGTCCTTATCGCACTCCCGTGAAATTTCTGGCCGGTGAGAGAGGGCAGCTCCGACGGCCCCAGCAACATCTCTCCCTTCCTGGCTTGGACAACTGCAATTTCGCGGCGACCACAGCTAGTACCACTCCTTTATCGCGACGTTGGAATGCGGCTACGAGTGTAATATCTGTGTAGGATATCCATCGCGTGGGAGACGTGCGGGTTCTTGCACAACAATCGCGCACTCGAATATATTCCTCGACTTCGGGACCTCTATGCTGTTAAGACACGATGACACGACCAGAAATTATACGAGCAGGTAGGGGCAATTCTTCTGTGATTCAACTTGAGAGAGCAATTGCTAATGTTTGCCCATCTAGACTCGATTGATCTGCAGGACCAGAATTCACCCTCTGCACAAGACCACTCACGACAGCCCACTCATCCGTCTCCTCTTGGAGTTGGACCTCCAGCACCACATCAGGCAGAAACATTACGAGAATTGGCAGCAGAGGTGGCAGAGGAGAATCACCGGAGTCCTCGGGTATCGAAAGAATGGACGAGCGGCGAGGTACAGCAATTGCAGCAGTATGGAGACGAATTGGCTGCTGGAGTGTCAGCGAAGTTGAATGGCGCCAACCTCCAGAAACAAGATAATTTGGCTGTGGCTCAAAATGGCGGATTGACGGGGTCGACGGCTGAAGATGCGGAGATGGCAGACGCGGAGGGTGACGACGGGATGGATGATGATATGATGGAAAAGATCTCAAGTTCCCCGTCAATCGACGATGGTGGGTATCCCCTTCCACAGCCGTGGCCCCAACGTTGCGATTCTCTCAGAGGCGCCTCGAAAAGATCCCCTTCGTTTTCACAAGCGTGTATCGAAAGCTCTTCGCCATTTGTGCAGACGCCAGATCATTTTCCGTTGCGACTGGCACCTGAACAACTCGACAAGGACGAGGTTCAAAGCTATGAGACACCAACACATCATCGTCATCTTCTGGGTGAGTATCCGGACCATACTGGAGAGACCGGGTCGAATCATAGCAAGGGTGAGCACGGCCTTTACTCAACAGACTCGCTCCAATCGTTCATCGAACACGATCAATATGACCAATATGACCAATACTACGACTTGAGTTACTTTTCCGATGAAGGTCTCTCCCGCCATTTGGAAGGTCTCTGTGGACACGATGAAACCTTTGTTGGACGTCTGGATCAGCTTAGCCGACTGATAAGCGACGATGAAACTGGAGACCGTTCACCAAAGCGATTTACTGATGGCTCAGAGGCTTGTGGATTAGCCCAGAGAGGCTCTAGGGACGAGCCAGAGGACGAGGAAGCCCGTAACGAACCAAATGGAACCACCGAGTCTGAGAGCAACGATGCCATGACTGTACCTTACGAAAGTTCGGTAGATGAAGATGACGATTATGAAATTCCTTACGCTACTGACTCTAGATTCATTGACTCAGGATGGGGTGGAGAATGCTTACAGGAAACAGAGGACATCGATTTCGAATTCGTGTACGCGTTACATACTTTCGTTGCAACTGTCGAAGGGCAAGCAAACGCTACGAAAGGTGACACAATGGTTCTCTTGGATGACAGTAACAGCTACTGGTGGCTTGTTAGAGTGGTCAAGGACAGCAGCATTGGTGGGCCATGAACCTGACACGCCGACTTTGACTTTGGGCTGATTTTCCGTGCTAGGGTATTTACCTGCAGAACATATCGAGACACCAACTGAGCGTCTAGCACGTCTTAACAAGCATAGGAACGTTGATGTATGTGTAGTCTCCAAGAAAGCCAAGAGCAAAACTGACCGATATAGCTCACTTCAACCATGCTCGGCGACCAAGCTGAAAAGTCCAAAAATCCTCTTAAAAAGGCCATTCGAAGAAGGAATGCCAAAACAGTCACCTTCACTGCTCCTACCTACGTTGAAGCCTCAGATATTGACTACTCAACCGATGAGGAGGGTGGCGAAGGGGATTACCATGGCCAGAACGGAGAACAAGAACAAAATGGGGACCACCAGGAGCCTGCAGCCGAAGAGGAAGAAGTTGCTACCGTTGAACCCCTGAAACCTCGTTCCGAAATACGTGAGGTCAAGTCAGACTTAGTGGAACCAGAAGCGAAAGTCAGCACCGACACTGCCAGGACAAGCGATGAAATTTTCGAAGGAAAGCTAGAAAGCAAGTCTCGCAACGGTACCGTCCGAAACACAGATTCATTCTTCAAAGATGATACTGTGGAGACCAGGAAGATCACGCTTACGCCAAATTTACTCCGTGATGATTCGAGTACCTCGACACGGACATCAAACGATTCGAAGGAACTTAAGCAAAGGCCTAGTCTCGACCGACTTGAGAAAGATTCCCCTGAGAAAGGCAAAGATAAGAGGGACCGGAAAGACAAAAAGGATAAGGATAAGAAGCCTGGAATGCTCAGTGGTCTTTTCAAACGAAAAGAAAAGAAGTCGAAGATCGTCGATGATGACATAGATGAGCTCGTAGCGAGTAAACGTTCACCTGAGAACCCGGGAGCCTCGCCAGTACCTAGCAAGGAATCGGATGAGCTGGTAGCTGTGGAGGAACAAGCTCCAGTCCAGACACAAGATATGCAGAGGCAGCCGAGCAAATTACAGAAGCAGCCACGGACCGAGATCTCACCGAATCGGAAGCAAGGGCAAAGTCGAGAGCCCAAGATTATAGATCCTCAACAAGCCCCCGCGCCGGAACGAACAACCCCCGCTGAATCGGTACAAGCACCTTCAATGCGTCTCGTTCAGCCCGAGGCCTCACTTGATGAGCCCGCCCGAGAGGCTCAGGGCCAAACACCCGAACTTACAAGAGGTCTGGCGCCTGTTCTGGCGGCTCCCAAGGAACCAAAGTCCGTTGGTGCCATTTCGAAGATGCTCCGATCTGCGAGTTCAAGTACTTCTGAACCCAAGCCTGTTAAGGCAAAAAAGGCTAAGTCCCGAGTTGAACTGGACGACTTTGATTCATCTGATGAAAACTCACCCGTCGAAGAACCCAGTCGGGCACCAGGCAAGCAGGTTCAGCGTCCAATACCAGGTATTTTCCCCGACAGCTATGCCTCGACAAGTGCGAATGAACGACCCAATCCTGCTGAGGAAAGATTGTCCGAATCTCCTGTTCAAATATCGCCAGTTACATCCTCTCAATCGTATCCGCCGCCCCTCATGGTGGATACGTCAAGTCAAGAAGAACCACCATCACCCGTATCCTCACCTTCGCCAGAACTGATTGATGCTGAAGACGCCCGAGAAAAGAAAGGTGCTGGGAGCTCTACTACATCGACGTCAACCCCAACATGGAGCGATGCTCACCTCAGAACCTTCTTTGACGATGACGCAGATATTAAAGATCTACTGGTTGTTGTTTATGACAAGTCAGGGGTAGTCCCTGCTGGTCCCGATCACCCAATAACGGGTAATCTGTTCAGGGAAGAGAACGCGAAACTCGAGGACATCACAAATGTGAGTTTCTCCAAACCTTAAGTCTGTATCCCTCAATTTGCTAATATGCTTCAGCGTCTGGACGGCATGCTTGGAGACTGGCTCGCACGCAAGATGAGAGCGCAGGCCTCGAGATGAAAACAACTTCCGGTGCAGTGTAAATGATTAACATGAAATGATAATGAAGAGTTGGAGAGGCGTATTGATTTGGACTTCGACTTGGAGTATTCGGGGACCAGGCTGGCGTCAAAATACTTGATATCATGTTGGGTGTTTAAACGGTCGTCCTGTAAACAATGAGCCCCTACATAGTTCTGCTCAAATGGACGTCTCATACTTGGTCGGGCCCCTGCTTGTCACAGAATCAATGGCCCCGGCGATCTGCGTGAACTTTATGAAAAAGGGGATACTGCCAGCACGGGACTTCACTGCTGATCATTAAGTGCCAAAGACGGCTCTTGTAATATAACTCATGCCTCCATAAATGGCAGGAATTGGGTTGCAGGGAAACTTTTCCCTATTGACATCCCCAGCCAATATTTGGTCGTCTATTAAAAGAAAGTCCCCTTGCCCATTCTCGGCCCTAGCGCGGATATGAGGTCGGTGCGCGTCTAATGGGGGTGCAACACTTCAACGTCTGCTGTGAACCACCATCTCCGTCCCATCATACACTTCACTTCACACTGGCCCTTCCTCCCAGCATGGCGTTCGAGTCGGGGACAGCGTATCCAGAATCCGATGCTGACGACGAGTACGAGAGAAGCGTAGCCGACAGTTCGCCCGTGCTAGCCAGCGATTCCGAAGCGACAGAGTCGGAAGGCCTCAGTTCCAACGAGCACACACCCACTACCTACGGCGGTCAGAGCTCTGGAGACCGGCTACCAGAAACAATCATAACAGAATGGACAGCGGAAGAGTGCGCTGATTTTGTGAGCACATTGGGGTTGCGACAATATGGGGACCAATTCCTAGGTAGCCTCCCTGGCCCCGAGAGACAATTTGAGTTGGCACTGACTCGAGCAGAGAATTATATCGTCGGCGAAGCACTGGTAGCATTGCAACATGACGATCTGAAGCAGATGGGGGTGACGAGTGTTGGCCATCGACTCACAATTCTGAAGAGCGTATACGATATCAAGATCAAGCAGGACATACCGATCGAGAGTGACCACTATGTTCCGTTATGTGAGTATCCGGCTTACCAATGATATGCACATATACTAACGCCTTATCAGCGGCAGATGCAGAAGCACAGTATGCAACAGCGACGCTGAAGGATATCAAGCAGCTGGTGGAACAACTGAGGTTACGGGACGAGCGATTGAGCATGGCAGAGATGGAACTGCGCAGAATAACTGCTGAATATTCTCGTCTGAGGGAAGACTTACTTCCAGTGTTTCGGATGGCAAAAGAAGGACAACCACTGCCAGCTCTTGATTCGACCCAGACTTCTTTTTACGATGCCTCGAATACCATCTCACCCCCCGCACCAACCCCTTCGTCAACACAGTCTGGCGGCGGACTATCGAGGAAATTCTCCACCAAAAAGCTCTTCTTCGACTCATCGGGGAAAACCTCGTCCCCTACATATATACAATCTGAAAGAGCGTTGATGGAACAGGCTCTTGACCCGGCGAATGCCGCAGAAAGGGCTGTTCTTTCATCATCGCACCTTGCGGCGATGAATGGAGGCTCTCAGCCGTCGACATCTCCAAGCCATCCGTCACCAAATCAACCCTCACCAACATCTCCGCCAACCCTCAGCGGCTCTACCCTGGCTTCACGTTCCTATCGCGAAGGGCAGCCAACACCAGGGCGCAGTAGCTTCCCACAGAACGATAACGACCAATACCAAGCATCAACATATTCCCGCGACAGCACAAAACCAGCTCCATCACGGCGAGGAGCACAAACCCCCGCACTCGACACCCCCTCCTCCGGTGGCTCCGTTGAGATATTCAAATCCTTCAGAGTCAGCATGGAGGATCCTTGTTATAAAGTTCTCCCTGCAGCGCTCAAAAAATATAATATCAATGCGCCCTGGGAACAATATGCATTGTATATTGTGTATGGCGATAAGGAACGCTGTTTGGGAATGGATGAGAAACCACTGATACTCTTTAAGCAATTGGATAAAGAGGGCAAAAAACCTATGTTCATGTTACGGAAGATAAATTCCGCCGACACACAACCAGGGGAGGGTCCTGGCAGCGCAGGGCTAGATAGGAGTAATGGGCGAGGAACCCAGGCGACATATGATCCTCCTGGAGGCATTATATGATCTCGCTCATCTACCAGGTCACTTCCACGTTTGGGCTGCTCTTCCATAGGTTCTGGGACGGAGTTCTGCTCTGCTTATATGTTTGCATAGCGAAAGGAAGCGAGGTCTCGATATCTAGACGGCATGCATGTGTTTGTGGTCTGTGGGTCGTTCGAATCATCTGTGATGTACTTATTACCTGTACGAAGCTGGGACTATCTTCTGGAGGAAGCATGTCGACAAGCAAGCGAGAGATCCGGGTTTTGTTGGAAAGCATATCGAGCAGCTTGATGCAGGCTCTGGCGGCCTTTTTTCCCGCTCTTGGCGCAAATTTACATGGTGCTATCGTAGTTCTAGTGTTTTTTCTTCTCTCGGAAGCACGGGACTGAACCTAGCTTTCTTGTCGTGTCTTTTGTAGCAAGCGAGCATGGAGGCATGAGATGATGAGGTCTACGAATGATTCGAATAAAGAGTTACTTTCCATCAACGCGTTCTTGCTCAAACATATATTGGCAATTTTCCGTTGATTTACATTTGACACAATCTCGATAGTGCCGGGCCCTTATCTATGAGTTTGAAGCCCGGCGGGTACTTACGGATATGAGTACTAGCTATTATTGACACTCGACAACGTTTGATACGATGAAGATCGGCTACTCACTATTTCGCAGCTTTAGAATTCTCGGCGAGATAGAATAGATGCACGTCTCCTTCGGTGATTAAAAACGATATAATTACATCTACGTGAGATTTCGTCGTCTCAGCTGTCGATTAGTGTGTGTTGTGCGGTTTAGTTCATTACTGCAGGTGTCAGAGCTTCAAACCTTCATTGGAGAAGGAGGGGTCGATGAGGCTACTGGAGAAGCTGGAAAGGATTCTTATCAGATGCTCGTCCTCTTTGACAAAGGATATTTTATTTTTATCGCACGAGTGAGTACGGGCGGTGTTGAAGTGTGGTCATACGTTTCAATTTGAGTTTTTTTGCCAGCCAGGAAAGCCGAGTTCAAGATTCGAAGGGGGCAATCCTTCCCAATTCATTTCAGAAGAACAATAAGACATTGGTTGTATCATGTGGCCGCAGTGAACACTCAGTGAATACTTGACGTGGACAAGCTTCACACTGAGGACATGTCATCAAGTGAGAACTCAATCAGAGTTATGTTTTTATATATTTCTTTGGCAGGTCTGTCATGATATTCATGTCTCATACTCCTATAATCCCAAATACCTCTCTATGCAATGCCCTTAAACGCCAGAACCTACATTGATATTATGAAATCAAAAGAACACTGATCTCTCTAAACAGCAAAGTCAGTGAGTGCATATCCAAACGGGTGTTGAGGTTACTTACTTTTCTGCACCTTTTTACCCCCGGTTCCAAACCCAGAGAAGAATCCAGAGGATGATGCCGCACCATTACCAGGCGTTTGTAAATACGGGCTATTTTGAGGCGGCCTTTGAGCTTGTGCCCCGCCCGGCCAGCTGATGCCTGGCTGAAATCCATACGGCCCTGAAGGGGTGCTCAAAGGCCTCGCAGGCGCGGAATAGAATTGCTGAGGTGGCTGCGGTCTAGTTTGCGGTTGATATTGCTGCTGAGGCTGTGGTCGAGGTGGCATAGGGGGTGCCACAACACCATATTCCTTCCGGAGCCTCTCGGTCTCTTTGGCTACTTCGGCATCCCGCTTCTTGCGGGTTTTCTCTTCATCATCCAGCATCTTCTTGATGCGTCGTTGCTCTTCACGTTCCGCTCTCTCGCGTTCTCTCTCTTCTCGTTCAACCATCTTCTTCAGTCTCTCGGTCTCGGCGTCAAGCTCCCACTGCGTTCGAGGATCTGCTGGTGGCGGTCTAGCATTCGTAACAGGGTTTTGCTGGGGTAGTAGTTGTGAAGCCGGGATTTTGTTCACTGCGACTGGTGATAATTGATTTGCTCCAGACATCATAGGGGGTGACGAGCTTGTCTTTCCCCCGATGACGGGTCCGCTATTCTTTCGCCTTGCATTTGCCGCTGTCAGAGTCGGGTTCCCAATATTGAACATCTCCCTGCTAGCGTTGAAGTATATATCCTTGATGACGGCTGGTCCCAACAAAAGCACGACCTCCATGCCCTTGACATCCTCCACGTCAACGCGGTGCAAGTTGGGTTCGTATATTGTGAGATTCTTGCCGCCCTTGAACATGGCTACCGTGATATCAGGCTCCTTGTTCTTCCTGCCATCGGTGGACTTGCCGGCCAGGACACAGGTGATATCTTTCGAAAGTTTGCCATCTCTCTTCCATTTGAAATTGATCTTCGGTGTGACATCTGAAACGGTGGGATCACTTTGACTTCTGTCAAGTGCTGAGACAGACGGTACTCGGAAGCTGTTCTGGGGCAACTCGAATTCCCAATGTGCGGAGCTGTTCCATGTCCCAGGGATCTGTCTGACTACGACCTGTTGATCAGGATTGTATAGTTGAATCGTGAAAGATTGGGGAACGATGGGGACTGGGGGTGGAGGGATGCCATTCTGTTGCCTAACTTCTGCCGCGGACAATGTAGGCTGCGTCCATTCTGGCTGAACCAGAACCTCTGCATATAAGACCTCGGGGTTGTAGGAGTCGTAAAGTGCTACTGCGTAGACGTTCTTCGACGCTGGTAGGTTAGGGTCTGGATGGCGTAGTGTGTATTCGGGTCGGAGCTCGGATCCGTTTTGACTAAGGTAGATCGTGCTTGATAGAGGATTGTCTGAGGAAGGCTTGATATAAAACGTGGGCAGGTTCTCGTCCAGCATCGTATCTCCAGCTGCAGATGCAGCAAGCTATCTTTTGGTTGTGTCAGGGAAGGCTGGTTGAGGTGGCGAGCTTGCTTCTTTTGTTTATGTTGGTGATGTGGTCGTGCAGTTAAGAATGCAGATGGCAGACATGATCAACAGGAGGGAGTGGGAGATCTCCCGTTGACTTTGCCGGGCGTGCGTGGGGCTGACGAGTCAAAAACGCTTGAGGAGGCTGAGCTCTTCTTCATGGGCTATTTTTGGGCCACTCTGTGCCACGATTCGGAATGGTCACGTGTAAGGTCAACTCACCATGTTCAAGGAGTCTGGAAGAATGAAGGGCATTGAAAGTTACGAAACTTAGATATAGATCCATTGCACATAGAACCGTGATATTGGTTGCTGACAACTGTGAATACCTTTAAAAGTGGTCCGATTATTGGGCCTCCATAAAACACCGTCTTGCACAAGTGAGTCTGGTTGAACTTGAAGATACCAAGACCTGAAGTGATTCATGCTTCGGAAGATTGGTAACATACATCTGAATCCTCCCCAAACCTTCCTTCGTTGTACATTAACTATTGATATCGTTTTCTCATGTCCCGACGACGCCGCGCTGATGCTAGTTTTACATCCACCGAGCACCAGGCCCTGCGAAAATTGATCAATTTATACACAGAAAGACTCCACCTATGCCTCGGCTCCTCATTATTTGAACCCTATAGTCTTATCCAGAATCTCACTAGGAACTCTTGAGCCTCCTGGAATTGGAATCTCGTCCCCAGGGTGAGCTCTGAATGCCGGATCTTCACTCGGTTTCCTGTGGTGATTGACTCCTGCTTGCAAGGGCAAAGGTATCGGAGGCATGGCTGGAACTTCGTCATTGCTTTGTCGCTGCCTTTCCACGCGACTTGACTGCTGAGCTACCCACGAGTTGACGGTGCGGAATCGTGGAGCAGATTCTATCGATGCCTGCGTATATACTGTGTCACGATCTCGGGCTGATGTGGCCCATGAAAATCTTGCTGCCCCTTGGCTCTGGGACTGACGATAGAACTGCTGTGAATTGACAGTTGAATCTGCAATTACGAGACCGTCACCAAAGCCCGAAGACAGTGATGAGAGGTAACTCAAGTGATTCACTTCTCTCTGGTTCGGGTCATAAGCATCCGCCGTCTGCATTGTAAGAAAAGTATTTTGAGTGCCGGTGTTAATGTAATTCGAATTGGCTTGTGAAAGAAGGGAGGCTTGTGTGCCAGGTTGGCGAGAAAGCGTTGTATTTTTCTGTGAGAGAGCAGAGACTTGCGAATTTTGAGAGGCTTGGGTGCCTGGTTGTCGAGAGAGGTTGGCATTTTGAGGAGAAATATTATAGAAATTATGTGTGGCGGAAAGGCCCCCTGCCTGTGCCTCTGGAGACACCCCAAGCGGCGCAGGATTGTCAAGCAGAGCTACCAGGTCCGTCTCTTGCCTTTGAGGGCCAGTGTTGGTGAGAGCGGCTGCCCCAGCAGGCGTTGCCAAGGGTGGTCTGGCCATAGGAGAGAAAAATGCGTCGAGTTGTCTTTGGGCTGGGATTGCCTTCTCATCTGCAGGGTAAAATTCTCCTGGATAAACTGGCGGCGGGTCGGAGGAGTAGTCCGTAGATTGCCTTCGCCATCCGTACCATCCGCGAGCTCCTCCACGACTGAATGTTCGGTTGCGGAACTTGGAGAGAATATCAACCTTCATCATTCGAGTAAAGAAAAAGATCCCGGTAGCAATTATGATAAATGCGCCTAAAACTGGTTAGCCAACCAATCAAATAGAATTACTTATTTGTACGTACCTATTGCTCCCGCAGCAATTAAGAGCTGTTCGGCGAGAGGAGAGAGACCCTGAGGTTTCTTATGGTGACCACCGCCACCGACTGAGTCCGGGATTGAAAGCGTTGTCGAAGCAGAATTCAGTGCAGTCTGTGGAATGACTGCCTGGGTTGCTGTTGCCGTTGGCTCACTCTTGGGAGTCTTGGTCGTGCTAGTGCTAGTGTTGCTAACGTTTGGATCTCCTTCCGTGTTCAATCCTTTCCTGGGTTGACTTGAAGTCGCTGCTGAAGTTGGTATCGTGAATCCTAGGACTGGCAAGAAAGAAGTTGTTGTTGGAAAGAATGAAGATCTAAAAGTCTGTTCAGAGTTAGTCAAGGCCGTGTTCCAGCGACTTCGGACAAGTTACCTCCGCAACTGAAGTCGACGTAGAGGGTGTAGTTAATCCAGCTGGCGCGGGAGCAGTGGTGGTTGAGATCAAGACAACGGTAGTAGCAGAAGGAGTCGACACCGCTTCCGTTGGTTTGGAGGGCGGATCTGCCTGCTGGCCTGGTGGGTTTTCGGAAGGGTTGTTTTGCTGCTTTTTGCTCCCACTTCCGTTGTTATTATCTTTTGAAGCATTGTCGCCCCCTCCACCCCCTCCTCCGCCTCCGCCTCCCTTCCCGCCAGAACCACCATTCCCACCGCCATCTCCGTTTCCATTTCCGTTTCCTCCATTTGAATTTGAATCGCTTCCAGAACTACCACCACTGGAACCACCGTCTCTTCTACTCCCACCGTCTGCCTTTTTATTCGAATCCGGGAGCTTCCGTGCTCGTAACCCTTGTGATGAATTTTGCCGCCGCTGCAGTTCTTCCTGTGAATTTTGTCTGACTTCATCCATTGGCGCCATTGTCGTATTCATCCTCTGCCACGCGCAGGATGGCCCCCGTCTTCGTCGTCCGCCACAATGTCTGAGTGATGGAGTACACACAAGTCTGTTAAAGGTTCTGCTGAGTGCAAGAAATAACGTAGATCTCGACCTCTCCAAAACAAAATCTAGCCCGAGAACGTATTCACGAGCCAGTCGTGTGAAGAGAAAGAAGTAGAAGAGATGAAAGAGAAGGGGAAAGGAAAGACTGTATCAGATCTGAAGATCCTCGACCCGCGTAAATGACTGGGGCCTTGTGGGTGGGGCCACCGCGTGAGCATGATTGGGATCAGGTACGTGTGACAGAGTTGAGGGCCAGCCTCAGAGTGAGGTCGGTGAGGAGAGGGTCTTGAGAAGGGGGCTGACGGTTCGCGCCATAGCGAGTTCCAGCATAACACACGCAGGACGGGCACTTGCAACCCTGGCTCAGGTATGGCCTGTGGACTCACTTTCTGCGTCAACAGTCTGGACTGTCAAGGGAAGTGTCTGATCTGAGACCACTCGATGGTCATGGAAATGCAGAGTGGATCTCCTTTGCGGGCTGATCAAGCCATTGTAAAGGTTGGTGCGGGCCTGGTGCTCGGCGCGCTGAGGAGGAGGCGTGAGTTGCATTGTCGAGAAGCTTGGTATGTTTCGACACCTGGCGCAAGGAGTTTCAGGCCTGTCCGTGCTCAACCTCTTGGGCCTGTGCTAGGCGAGATCTCGTGCATCATCGAAGCCCTTCGATAACCAAACCAATCCGACGTATGCTCTTCAATCCTTCATGCAAACAACTTATATACGATGCAATGCACAAATCCCGAGGGATGAATAGGCCATCAACCACGGCATATCACACGAAGTAAGTTTGTTGTCCCGCAAGAACTGTTTGCAGTGTGGCATATCGAGCGCGGCTGGCCGCTCGCCAATTGACTGGAGTTTTGTTTGAGGTGCCAGCAGGCCAGACCTCGCAAACAAATGCGACTTTATCCTCGAGGCAGTAAGGCGGAGACGTCAACTTGTAAAATATCTACAGCCTAATTCATGCCTGTTGCTCCATGGATGCTGCTGCATGTTATCAGCAGCGATGAATAATTTGTATGCAAGCCATTGCTGCGTGAGTTCCAGCTTATCGCAAGGAAATACGGATGCCCGTGACTAGTACAACGACTGAATCTTGGCAGCCATTGAAGATGGGTTTCATCCCGACTTCCCATTACCACTGATTCTCGAATCCTTCTCGGATACGCAGAGGGAATCTTATGATGCCGACGTCGACGATCTCAATCTCCCCTCTGCGTGAGGAAGACATCCCGGGAGCTGTTGATGCGATCCAGGTCAGTAGTGGGGGGAAGCCTCCTCGTATCATCCTTGACCACCTCAAGGTTTCCCTGTGAAACATTCTCTTAATTATCCGGAAACAATATTTTCCAAGCAATTGCTGATCATATGTCGTCAAAAGGAAGCATTCGCTGAGGACCCATACAATTTATGGGTCTACAATGATCGTTCGAAGGTGAGTGATCGTCTCATATACTCTTGGCGCTGCCTGTCATGCCCAATTATTCAAGACAGTCTACCTCGTTATGAGGAATAACAGCCTTGAATCTGCCTCGTTCAAGGCAGACTGAAATCGTTTAATATATCTGTTGCATGCTGTGGGTTTATGACTGACTTTAGCTTGTGTCCAAGCTTAATTTGAATCGAAATCGAGTATCTCTTGGAATCAGGTGTCGATGGGGTATCCGAAATGCTTTATTCTACGTAGCCAAAGACCTGGTCAGTGACGAGAAGGACAAAGTCCTCGGTATTGCTATGGTATGGATGCCCTTGAGTTTACTGCCCTCGATCTGATTGTCCCGAGAATTGTGGTGCATCAAACTTCTTCGAATCCGAAAGTATTGGAGGACGTGGAGATCGAAATCACCAAGAGAGTGACGCTGACTTCGTTGTCCTCCAGTGGATACCCCCTCGTCAGACTAAGCTAAAGAAAACCTGGGGAGAATGGTTAGAAGGATGGAAACTCTGGTGTCAGCAAGTTGGAATGAACGTATGGTATGGAAGGGGCGGTTTGAATGTGAAGGTAGGCGAGTTTCATTGCCGTGGAGCGAGTGGCGGAAGCATTGAGGCCATCGAAAAAGTTTTCGTACCTTCCTGAGAGCCGATTTCACATCAACAAGCGGCCCTCAGGGTGACGTTCGCACGGATCTTCTTGTCAAGGAGATCTTGAGAGCTTATACCCGAACGATTGCAAGCACTGGATCTGAGAGCGGCTGTAATATTTGACATCTTACATCGGATCATTCGATCCCGAGAGATTGCACTCCAACTGGGCGCATCTCCCTCCACGCAGAAAGATCAGTGGGATACTGCTTCCTTCTTAAAACAAAGTTTGACGGAAATTCCGCAAGCCAATGAATGGGCGTATCTTTACTGACCCAGCCATGTTCATAGCGTTATTACATCTGGAAGCAAAGACAAGCTGAGGCACAATCTGAAATATGTCCGTAGCCCCCAAGTGTTCTTCAGCACTCGAGTTGTAGCATCAGGGCACGACACGATCTTCTTCCTCCGGTGTCTGATATGAATCATAGGGACCGATCCGAAAGGTTATTACTTTTGCAATGTCATTGTTGTCCTTCCAGAGGCACAAGGAAAAGGAATCGGGCGGGCTCTGTTCCGAGAAGTCACCCAGAAGGCAGATGCGGAAGGCAGGAGATGCTATCTTGAGTCGAGTCGAGACGAGCCGAACACGAAGATTTATGAAGCCATGGGCTTTCATTTTGTCAAGCAGATGGATTGTGATGATGGTGGAGATGTTTGCCAGTTGTACTGCATGGTTCGAGAGCCCCAAAGTCCTCTTTGAGACACCTCTTGCTAGACTTCAACATCGCAAAGGTTGGAACGAATTCAAATCCTTCCGAAAGCTCTTCCGACCGGAATCTCTGTGACTGCGAAACTTTAATTTCGATTATGGCCACGAACTCGGACCTTGATATGTCAATATCGAGAACGGACGTGCAGTTCTCAAGAGCAAGTAACAAGTATGCAAGTCAGCAGTACACCGACACCCTTTCCAGTTCGCTCATTCGGAAAACACCTTGGTTTCTGCAATACTTCGGAAGTGATCCGTTACTTTCAATTCAATAACTCGCTTTGAAGAAGCCACTTGAAGGCATGAAGTAGACAAGAAGAGATATATGAACTTATCCGGGCTCATTGCCTCTCATTCTCCATTCTCAGGAAACCTGGTGCATTGAGCAATAGCACAGAGCTTGAATCTCGCACCAGCGGTTATGTGGTACACTCCCGGTTACATGGAAGTGAAGGTCCCAGAGCTCTTGGTGAGCTCAGTCCTTGAATGCACAAAAGAATTTTGGTACGCTGCCGGTAAGAAGTGGATGTCCCAGTAATTCTGGTCCCTTGAACCGTAGTGCAGCGCTGGTATGTCTCCGCTGGGATACTTGGGGCTTGACTGCGATGGACCAATGGTGTTGTAGAAGATGCGCTGACCAGCGTTGTCTACGCTGGCCGGCGTCTTGTCACAGGGCACTTTTTCGGCGGCGGATCCCATCCGACCGGTGACAGTCTGTCTCAACGTTGTCAACAGAGGCCGCAAAAGGAGATGGCCGACATGATTGACAGAATTTTCGACAGGTAAAGACACTTCGTGGAGGTTTTCGCAGCGAGGCTTGAGCGATTTTCAAGGACAAGGACCTCCCACGAAAAATTTCCATGAGGTTGGGTTGCTTTTTTTTAAAAGTCTCAATTCTTAAAAGACCCCGTTCCCGCTATCTACCAGAGGTTAAAAGTGGGGCTCTAGCTGGAAGCTCCAAGCCTCGTGAAAATTGATCAACAAAATCCTCAGCACTCCCCGACCACGACGGCTACCCATCCTCTCCCCTGACTCTGGAGCATGGCGTCAACGACCAGAGCAGCGATGAGGCTCCCTGCCTCATCAATTGCCTTCAGAGCAACTTCACGGAGACAAATTGCGACGTCATCTCAATCTTTTCTCACACCTGCGCGACCGAGCTCCCGCATCCTCCTCGATAAGAGCAAACTCCAGCAAAATTTCCATCGCAGCTATGCCGATATTGCTCCTGCGAAGAAGCCCAAAAGATTCCGGTTCTTCAGGTTTCTTTGGCGCCTCACGTATTTCTCTGCCATTGGAGGCACCGCTTATCTAGCCTACGGTGTTTATGACCAGAAGCATCCTGATGACCAATTTGAACCAGATCCAACCAAGAAGAATCTTGTTATCCTTGGTTTGTATATCCAATCTTTCTCTATATGTTGCTTCCGCTGATTCCTGCTTGAATAGGGACTGGGTGGGGTGCTGTGTCTCTTCTTAAGAAGCTCGACACCGAAAACTACAATGTCATTGTCATCTCTCCTCGAAACTACTTCCTCTTCACCCCTCTTCTTCCGTCATGTACCACCGGCACTGTCGAGCATCGATCGATCATGGAACCAATTCGAAGCATATTAAGACACAAGAAAGCTGCAGTTAAGTACTATGAAGCAGAGGCTACGAAGATCGACCCCGAGAGGAAGGTTATCGCAATTGATGACAACTCTGATATCAAGGGGGCTAGCAACAAGACTGAGGTCTCCTACGATATGCTCGTTGTAAGTGTTGGTGCTGAGAACGCTACATTCGGCATTCCGGGCGTGAAGGAGCACTCGTGCTTCCTGAAGGAAATCGGTGACGCCCAGCAAATCAGAAAGAAGATCATGGACTGCGTCGAGACTGCAACCTTCAAGGACCAATCTCCGGAAGAGGTGGCGCGTCTTCTTCATATGGTGGTTGTTGGTGGCGGCCCTACCGGTGTTGAATTCGCTGGTGAGCTCCAGGATTTCTTCGACGAAGACATCAAGAAGTGGGTCCCCGAAATCAGCGACAAATTCAAGGTGACACTCATCGAAGCGCTCCCCAACGTCCTCCCTATGTTCTCCAAGCAGCTTATCGATTATACTGAAGCGACTTTCAAGGAAGAGAAAATCACAATCATGACGAAGACCGCCGTGAAGAAGGTGACCGATAAGACCGTCGAAGCTGAAGCGACTGGCCCTGATGGAAAGAAGACCATTCAAATCATGCCCTACGGTCTCCTTGTCTGGGCGACTGGGAATGCAGTCCGCCCAATCGTCAGAGATCTGATGTCTCAAATTCCCGCCCAGAAAGATTCGAGGAGAGGTCTTGCTGTCAACGAGTATCTCGTTGTTCAAGGCACCAAGGACATATGGGCAACCGGCGACTGCGCCGTTGCTGGATATGCGCCAACTGCACAGGTAGCTTCCCAAGAAGGTGCCTTCCTGGCCCGTCTCTTCAACACCATGGCCAAGAGCGAGGCCATCGAACACCAAATTCACGACCTCAGCTCCTCCCTCAATTTGCAACCTGGCAACACCGCAGATATTGCAAAGGAAATCGAAGCACATGAGAAACAGTTGAGAAGAATAAAGGACATCAAGCCGTTCCACTACACTCACCAAGGCTCCTTGGCATATATTGGGAGTGAGAGAGCGGTTGCTGATGTGAGCTGGTTGAATGGCAACTTTGCTACTGGTGGTGGATTAACATATTTGTTCTGGAGGAGTGCGTACTTGAGCATGTGCTTCAGCAGTAAGTTGACTCGTTCTGCCCGTCTTTCTGTTTCATGCTGATAAGATACCTTTCTAGCTCGCAACCGTGTCCTCGTCGTTCTCGATTGGTTGAAGTCCAAAGCGTTTGGACGTGACGTCTCGAGAGAATAGGTGTCTGATGGGAAGTACGGGTATGAATATAGAATGGTTCGTGGGAATGGGAGCAAACGAGGATAAGAACTGTATACTGTTTTTCTTTCATAATGAACTAGGGATAGAAGGTCAGTGTATGTCTGTATATATTTTCCAGAAATGAAAACCAAAGTTGCAAAACACCACCTTTGGACGCCGGTGTCAGTAGCCATCGGCTGATTCTTTTCCCCTTCTGGATCGGATCAAGCATCCGGCAGATGCCCTGTCTTGTGCCCCGCCACATGACAAATTCAAGATCACGAGCCAAATTCCGACAGATTGGTAGAGTGGTTCAGTCTCACCAACCAGCAGCTTCCTGTGGAACAAGCAGCAAAGTTTTGTTGCAATTCGCGAAAAGAGAGGGCGCTGGCCGCTCTGCGCCCTTTTGCATTTTGCCTGCACAATGGGGCTTGCTATTGGACAGATCTTGAACACAGAACCACCCCACCATCATTTAAATCCAATGAGGTCGTTTTCGTGGTCGCCCTTTCGCCCTTTCGCCCTCTCGCCCCCTCGTAGCGCCCTTATGCCCGCCCTTTCTATGAGGGTAGGATGAGGGCGGAGAGCGTCGATCATCCTCTCTGATCGTCGACGATGAGCTGCAGCTTAAAAGCCTGGTATCTCGCCTTATTGGGGCAGCAAGGTCTAGTCAATAATTGGTCTTGATCTTCCACAGGTTTGTGGTGCATTGGCCTGCTGTGAAGCACCATGCTCGCACGTGCTTCTCTGTTACTTACTGAATCGATCAAGATCGAGTGTGAAAATTCAGGTCATCAGACATCCCGCTCGAATGGGCAGAATGTCAAAGCGAAAACCCCTTTCAGGGTATTTCTGTACTAATTGCAGAAATCAGGTTTCATCATACCTGATAGCACAGGCCAAAGCTACAAACCGCTTTACAGATAAGCATCTCCATTGACCCAAGAGCGCAAAAACTTAAAACATAACATGGCTTTTTCAAAATGGAATTTGACGAGTCATACTCCCGCGCTTTCACGAGCTCTCGCGACTGCCAGAAATACACACGGAGATTTGCGTAACGATTAACGACCAGTGAGGGATCTCGAGCTTAGGGTTAGAGCCTCGCTAAATGGCCTAGAGAAGGGAAAATCTAATCTGGAAGCTGATCTGGCATATCTGAGATAAGAGGAGCAGGTGCCGGAGTATATCTATCGCTCGGAGAAGCATTTGGGGCCTTTTCGATATTATATTATTATAAAAGACTATTTCGGGGGTTCGTATACGAATTGTCGGTATAATAACAAGCAAACGAGGTATTCCTTGAGAGGTATGTATTATAGAATCCGTAATATTGAAACTTTAGACTAATGGGATTTAGATCGATTAAAGAGGAAAGCACCGGCCACCCTTCGAGGGGAAATACGGCCTAGGCGTTAACCTAAAGTAGATAAAGCTTTTTCTTTAGCCCCCGGCACTTTTGAGAGATTAGTTAAGAGGACTTTGCGAATGACCCATTGGGAGAGACATAAGGAAGGGCAGAGATTGATATTGCGAATGGAGGCTTTGACGGAATTGGATACGTTAGCTTTCGGTATGATTGATAATAGAGTGTATTAAGTATATGATACGGATATTTAGATTCTGTATTAGGGAAGGGATTCAGCCTTATTAATAATACCCTTTCCAAGAACATTTCAATTCGATATCGTTTGGTTACTTGCCCAAATGATGGGATACTCGGTGCGTACCGGATTTGAATGGCTGAGAAAAGCCCAGGATGTGCAAAGTTTGGCTTCTACTGAGAACCATCCAGAAAACCTGGTAATAGTTGTCTGGCCTAAGCCAAATGTTGAGTTCATGCAAAACTCAGAGACAGCGACTGTGAATTGGTTGAGTACAGAGTTCTCGAGTGAAAATTTGCTTCTAGGCTGTGAGATAGCAAGAGAAAGGCTTAGAAGATTGCAGAGTTTTCACCAGAGCCTCGTTACAGGGAGAGTTCTCATGCGTGACAGGGACGTCTGGGTGCTGACTGCCTGTCTTCCAGGAGACTGAGGGGAAGGCAGTGAGCGGTGCTCCGCCATAGCCCTATCAGAAACATGTTGGTAAACGTCGAGATTAAAATGACTGGATGAGGGGGTATGGTGGGGCAGCAGGATTAGGGTGAAAGTGTCTGGAAACAAGTGGGTGTGGCAGTCCTGTGTGTTGACAGCTCCGGATGGGGGCCAAAGGGGAAGCGCAGCAGACTTTCCGGAGTCGTTAATACGAGGCCGGCTTAGCATGCGCCTCCTGGCCTCGGTGTTCCCCGACCTTATGCTTCTTTGCCATTGGAAAGGTACCCAGAATCTTCGAGAGAACGACTGGGATAATGGAGTTTGTTCTGGCGGGGGCCGTTCCTGCGACCTACAGCGGGTATCCGCTGTAACCTGCGTCGAGCCTGCAGAATGCAGGTGCTGAATTCCTATTTTGACTGCAAGTTACTTTCTAACTTTAGGCAATAGATGTACTAGATGAACTTTAGACAATGTATTAGTCGCTGTACCTTTGCAGCCGCTGCTCTGTTCACGGGGCGTTGTGCTCACTCTTTGCGCGAGTGCAGACGCCGGGCTGGAGAGCATTGGAATCTATCAAGGCTTGAACGACGCGTGAGGAGCTCACGGTTTGGGGGGAGAATGGGTGAGTTCTAGGCTGAGGTAAAGTAAATCTCTCGCAGCCTGCTGGCCTGTTGACAGCAACCAAAACACTCTCTTTAAGGCTAGATCTAGAATGCTCACAGAACAATCCTTGATCACTATCAAGAGTGAGCCTGTCCTTTTTTGGAAGCGGCACCCGAGAGCAGATGGGCGCTGCCCATTTCAGCCATAGAAGGTATTGCAATGTTTGACTTCCTCGTCCTGCCTTGCGATCAGTCCAAGACAAGTTGAAACCGTGAACTAAGGCAAGACGACGAAAGGCCTCAAACTATTCCGTTATTTTACCTTCGCCGTTTTCCTGGGAACATGAGTGGTGTATCGGGAGGTGAGGGGACGGGCAAAGCTGGGCACAATCGTCTCCACTGGGTACTGCACAAGCCTCACTGCGGCTGCTCCACACTTCGGCTGGCCCCTTCGCCAACGCGGGAGCTCGCTGAAGCTCCCGCCGCTACCCCAACTCTTCCCTCCAGCATCACCAGAATCATCGCTCTCCCACGGCTTTCTACGGCTTTCGGGAAATAAAAAATGCCATCATGCAACCACTTTGCTTGCGCCGCACGTCAAGAATAACTCTTACTGCAAGATAACGTCGTCAATCACACGTCGTCGCGCTTTGCCAGCCCCGTTGTCCACTCGCGTAGCGTGATGGGGTTGCATCCGCTCACCTGCAGACGGGCCTCGAGGGGCTGTGCAGCTGGACCAACTGCTCAAGCTTCAGCACGCTGAATGAGAGGCTGAGTTTTTTATTGACATCATCCACGAGCAATCGAGTGACGGTAGGCGGGCCATGGCTAAAATGTATAAAGGAAATGTTCACCTTCATTCTGTTTTGGAAATTCATCGGATTGACTCCCCTCACCCAGAGCTTTTCTCCGGCTTGTCGTCCCATTGAGATAGTCAATCTCATCGGCCCACTGAGCAACTTCAACACCCGAGTCTCAACTCGCATCCAAAAACACCTGCCAGAACTCAACGTGCCTCAGCAGCAAAGTCCTCTTCTCGAACCAACATCAAAAATGTCTTCCAGATTCTCAACACTTGCTAGAAATGGATCGAGCGTATCCTCTTCCTCTACAGGGTATGTGCAGCTTACTTTCTGCCCAGAGACCACTTGTCTAACCTTTGCTGTTAAGCTCCGCTGTCCCTTTCTCAAACAACCGCCCTCTCTCACGCTTCCGCGCCTATATGCTCCCAGCTTGGCTGTCGGAAATAAGCCTTTACGAGCGAATCGCCATGGGTATTTTCGATCCCGGGGTAGCAGTTTTGACAAGAGAGCAGATGGAGTTGCACATTCAGCATGCTCCAGATGTGCGAGGAATACTGGAGTGCTTGCCCGTGGCAAACAACGAGGGAGTGATGTTTGTTGGGTGGAGGAAGAAGTTGCGCACCTGGCCTGTGTCCAAGTGATGCCTGGACTTCAAGGTGGATTCAAGCTGGAGAGGAGTTGTGCATTGCACTCGTCATTCGCTTGGTTAGCTGAATATCGGACACGATCTGGGACACTCGACCATTCTTTTGGTCCTGAAGCATTGGTTGGGGACACGGAAAAGTTTGTTAAGTATTGAGGTCTGGCTTGGTCTGGTCTTTTTTTCGACTTGGTGGCGTTACGAATTTTGACGAAAGTTGAATCTGGGTAGGAACAAAAGTTTAGAAGGCGTTGGGAGCATTTGATATACTTGGGTTGCAGTTTTGGTTCAGTGGTGCTTTGGCGTTATGGTGTTTTGGGTAAATTTGTAAATATAATGTTTTGAGCCAAAACCATGACTCGTTCCTGCCAAATTTGCGATTCATCGCCCTCGCCGTCATTAGAAAATTAAAAATTTGGTCACCTGATACGCGGTGGAGATCAAGTACCTACCTACCTAGGTACAGTACTGTAGTTACGAACACGTGGATAATCTTCTACAATACCCGGGAACATTCTTTTCGTGACCTGCTGGTGCGGCCGGCGATCGACTAAATTTGTGCAATACGTGCACCTTGGTTGCCTACGTGGGTGAATAGTCAGAGGTCATCGAAGGCCCTGGAAAGATTATTTTAGAGCCGCGCTTGTTATTAAGCCCGTCCGCGCCTCGCCTTGTTCCTGGAGCTCGACCTCAACCTCATCACGACAAACCTCCGACTCCAACCCTACCTCCTCCATCCCACAGCAACAATCCTTCTTCCTTCCCGCACAACGCCTTTGGGTTCTACGATCCTTTGCAGAACCTTCTTCCAACACAAAGCGCCATCCTTTGGCCGTCTCAACAAACACCCACACCTTTACCTCCGTTCCCTTCACCCAGATCCACAGCAGCCTTCCAAGATGGCGGCAGAACCTGATCATGTCGAACACCACAAGAAGAAGGTGAACCTCAAGTAAGCTAAATTGGGTTGTAAGCTATTATTATCTTTGACCGAAATACTGACCATTTCTACAGCGATGCATCCGGCTCGGAGCACAAGGCAGTAAGTTGACACGACGCCACGTATCTTCGACTTTGGAACTTCGGAACTGACATTCATCTAGGCTGATGACACGGCGACTGCCATCCTGAAGAAGAAGAAGAAGCCCAACTCGTTGATGTAAGGAGTTCCCAGATATCTGGTTTCTAAGATCGTGCACTTACAAGGTGGCGACAGGGTTACCGATGCCGTCAACGATGACAACTCCGTTATTGCACTCTCCAACAACACTATGGAGACCCTACAACTCTTCCGTGGCGATACTGTACTTGTGAAGGGCAAGAAGCGCAAGGATACTGTTCTCATCGTCCTTGCTGATGATGAATTGGATGATGGTAGCGCACGTATGAACCGTGTGGTCAGACATAATCTCCGCGTCAAGCACGGCGATATCGTCACTGTCCACCCATGTCCGGACATCAAATATGTAAGTACAACAGCTGGGAGATCTATTTCCAAAAATATTGACTCCGGAGATAGGCCAAGCGTATTGCCGTCCTTCCCATTGCCGATACTGTCGAAGGCCTGACTGGCTCCCTCTTCGATGTTTTCCTTGCCCCATATTTCCGCGAAGCATACCGACCTGTTCGACAAGGCGATTTGTTCACAGTTCGAGGTGGTATGAGACAAGTAGAGTTTAAAGTCGTTGAGGTTGATCCTCCTGAGTATGGCATTGTGGCACAAGATACAGTTATCCACTGCGAAGGAGAGCCCATTCAACGCGAGGACGAGGAAGGAAACCTGAATGAGGTCGGATACGACGATATTGGAGGATGCAGAAAGCAGATGGCACAGATCCGAGAGATGGTGGAGCTTCCGTTACGACACCCCCAGCTCTTCAAGTCCATTGGTATCAAGCCTCCCCGTGGTGTTCTTATGTTTGGCCCTCCAGGTACCGGTAAGACACTCATGGCACGAGCTGTGGCAAACGAGACTGGTGCATTCTTCTTCTTGATCAACGGTCCCGAAATCATGTCGAAGATGGCCGGTGAGTCCGAATCGAATCTCCGAAAGGCTTTCGAGGAGGCTGAGAAGAACTCCCCTGCGATCATCTTCATTGATGAGATCGACTCTATTGCGCCAAAGCGTGACAAGACTAACGGAGAAGTCGAACGCCGTGTTGTTTCTCAACTTCTTACCCTCATGGACGGCATGAAGGCTCGATCCAACGTTGTTGTCATGGCCGCCACCAACCGACCCAACTCCATCGATCCTGCCCTCCGTCGTTTTGGTCGTTTCGATCGTGAAGTCGATATTGGCATTCCCGACCCGACTGGTCGTCTTGAGATTCTTCAAATCCACACAAAGAACATGAAGTTGGGTGAAGATGTTGATCTTGAGCAAATTGCTTCCGAGACTCACGGTTATGTCGGTTCTGATATTGCCTCGCTCTGCTCAGAAGCTGCCATGCAGCAGATTCGTGAGAAGATGGATCTCATTGACCTTGACGAGGATACTATTGATGCTGAGGTTTTGGATTCCTTGGGAGTTACTATGGAGAACTTCCGATTTGCCCTGGGCGTCAGCAACCCCTCTGCTCTTCGCGAGGTTGCAGTTGTCGAGGTGCCGAATGTTCGCTGGGACGACATTGGAGGATTAGAAGAAGTCAAGCGCGAACTCATCGAGAGTGTCCAATACCCGGTCGACCATCCGGAGAAGTTCCTCAAGTTTGGTCTCTCTCCATCTCGTGGTGTTCTCTTTTACGGTCCTCCTGGTACTGGTAAGACTTTGCTTGCCAAGGCAGTCGCCAACGAGTGTTCAGCCAACTTCATTTCCGTCAAGGGCCCTGAGTTGTTGAGCATGTGGTTTGGTGAGTCTGAGAGCAACATTAGAGATATCTTCGACAAGGCTAGAGCTGCTGCTCCTTGTGTGGTGTTCTTAGATGAGTTGGACTCCATTGCGAAATCACGTGGTGGATCAGTCGGAGATGCTGGTGGAGCTTCGGATCGTGTTGTCAACCAACTTTTAACTGGTAAGTTTGAATGCACTCCTTATTGAATTTAACAAGCTAATGTGTATCAGAAATGGATGGTATGACTTCAAAGAAGAACGTTTTCGTTATCGGTGCCACCAACAGACCTGAGCAACTCGACAATGCTCTTTGCAGACCTGGTCGTCTCGATACCCTCGTCTACGTCCCTCTGCCCAACGAATCGTCTCGTGCTGGTATACTCAAGGCACAACTCCGAAAGACACCCGTTGCCCCAGATGTCGACCTCGCATACATCGCATCTCGCACCCATGGATTCTCTGGTGCTGATTTGGGATTCATCACTCAACGTGCCGTCAAGCTTGCCATCAAGGAGGCCATCTCTCTGGATATTGACCGCCGCAAGGCTCGCGAGGCCGCTGGCGAGGACGTCGACATGGAGGATGACGAGGCAGAGGACCCTGTTCCTCAATTAACCAAGGCTCATTTCGAGGAGGCTATGGCTTCAGCTAGACGCTCAGTCAGCGATGTTGAGATCCGCCGATATGAGGCCTTCGCTCAGAGCATGAAGAGTGCCGGACCTGGTGCATTCTTCAAGTTCCCTGAGGCCGGTGAGGCAGCTGCCAATGCTGATGGAGGAGCTGGTGGGTTTGGGGACGCAGGAAACGACGACAGTCTCTACGACTAGATCTGTATTCTATTTTCCTTTGGCTTTACATGCATGCAGTGGAGACTCAATACGGTACGAGGGGAGGTGAATTGCCACGGTAGATTTTATTTGGGAGTCGGGAGAGTCTACATTGGTGGTAACAGATCTCTCATATCATCTCGCTCGGTCCAAGCCAGGTCTGGCGAGAGCGAGGACCTTTTCTCTGAGATTGCATTTGATCTTCATTGCCGGGATCCATAGACTGTCCACAATTTTAAAAACAAAACATCCCATTATTTAATGTGATCTGTGATTCGTGATTTACTCCTAATTCCTACGCTTCTGTCTTTTGCAATAGTTGATTGAGATTTACTTCTGGGTCGGCTAGCAAGGAATAACTCTTGAATTGTACGTCGTTATACAGGCAACAAAAACAAACAGTGTACTGGAGGACTGAGCTAGACGAATGTTCATAATTCCATTTATTTTTCTTTTTCTTGATTTCTATCTCCAACGGCTAGCTTATAGGAAGCCTACTCCGAGTAGTTTAAATGTGACAACGGAAGAGAAGAAGATTGAGGGTTTCATGTTGATTTTTGGTTCTTAGTAGCACACCGAACTTGATTTCGAACTCCAGGACACTTAGTTTAACGACCTAAACAAGTCTGAAGCAGTGTTGAAATGGTTCAGAGAAGGGTCAGAAGATTCAAACGCTGAGAGGAGAAAATCCATGGTACATCTGTTTCTCACTTTCGGAGGAAAGGGTTGTTCATAAACGCTTTTCTTTCAGCCTAATGGTATCTAAAAACATGATTCTTACACATGACTGCAGGCTTTCCAAAACCCATGGCATCTTTGCTGCCTCTGAGCTAGGCTTTTCGTGCAACCAACAAATGATAGTTCTCCCACACTGTTTGTAGTGTGGTCCCATCTCTCTTCAAACCCTCTAAACAAATTGATATAAAACATTACCGCGTTCGTAATCAAAGATTATCTCTCAATCCGCCCCGGGACACCTATTTGCTACCGTCCAATTACCACAACTGCGAAAATGGCAACCACAAGTGCCAACATTGACCGTCCTACATCACGTGGGGCGTCGTTACTCTGTACATCGAAAGGACTCCCACCCCCGCTCTTGTCTTGTGATTGTGACGAAGATGTTGTTTCGGCTGATGTTGTAGATGTTGTCTTCTTCGCAGTTGTAGTGTGTGATGTGATAGTTGGACTTCCTCCCCCCAAACCCCCGGCGGCAGATTGCACTGACTGAGATGTAGTGGTGGAGGTTTTTGTAGTTTTCGCCGCCTTGGTCGTACTTGTGCTGGTTTCTGACTGTGGTACAGGAATTGGAGACGAGGTCGAAGTTGTCTTAAAGCCTAGGCCCCCAGTTACACCAGCACCACCGGTCGGTATCGTCACAGACACAGCTGCAGGCGGGACAGCTAGCCCCGAGGTTTGAACTGTGACTGATGTCGTTGCCTGCGTAGCCTTTGCCAATGTCGGGCACAAAGCCGCCACTATCCCTCCATTCTTGACAATCCCCAATAATGTATTCGAGTTGACCTTCACATGCGAGCAGGAACTGGATACACTGCTCGCTATCGTATCCAGTCCGGCCAGACAAGCTGTCGAGCACCCATTGTTAAAATCCGAAACCGTACAAGATGGTATTTGACTGTCGTATGTCAACTGGCAGTCTAAAGGTATGAGGGCGGAAGTAATGCTCTGGAAGTTCGCGAGGGAGAGCGCATTCGCCGCAGGAACCGCCAGCAATATCGAAATGTTTTTCCGCCGCATAATTTAGTCCGCCGTCTTCAAGGCTCGCAGACAGATCTTGATGAAGAAGAAAGCTTGATTAGGATGTGGTGACCTTTGGGATTGGCAAGGTAGATAGGTGAGTGAGGCGATGGCGATAGATGGCAGGTTACTGGCAAGGGGGTCCTCGAATGTTCCTCGGCGGACAGAAGAACTGGAGGGTGTATGCTGAGAGAAGCGAAACACTGCGTGTGTGAGATGAATCGATCTGCTCGTCGACCTCTAGGTGTTTTGTGACAAAAGGCGTCGGGAATCAATGACCGAGCGCTGTATCTAGTGCTCAAAGATGGATGCGTTCGGATGCAAGATAATTGTAGCGTTTCTGGGAGGACGCAGAGTTTTGAAAGAGCCAATGCCCTTCTACTTCCGGTGAGGCTTAATATGCGATGTGGCGATGAACGAGTGGATTACGGTGCAGATTGTCTGTGAGGTATCGTTTGTGTGGGGGAAGGGCCGGAAGGGTTTGAATTCGACTATGCGGAGGGACGAAAGAACGGATGAAAGAGAGCCAGCTCACTGCGTAGAAGAGAAGAGGAAGGAAGGAAAGGCGCGAAGATCGGGGATAGCTTGTTTGTCCGACTTCAGCTTGGAAAAAGGAGATCTCACCTACATGTAGCCATCGTGGGCGGCGCTCAGCACTCAGGAGAAGGCTCCAGAGGAGGAAGGACCCCACTGCAACCAGCTGTCTAATATTGGGGTTTCGAACCGCCATGGTTGGCAGAAGATTGACGATAGCCCACGGGGAGGCCAATGGTGGTAGCATCGAGGCTGTCCTCGTCCATGTTTGAAACGATGTTCAAAGTCTCCTCGTCTCAGGAAAGGGAGGGGTCAGCCACAGGCGAGCCGTGATTCGCCGAGAGGCGTGCCATTACCAACACTCACTAAACTTATTCAGCCACCCAACCCACGGCTGGACTTCGCCTCCCTTCGCCTCCCTTCGTGTTTTAGCAAACAAACACCGCGAGTGCAGTGATCGCGTCCTGAGCGCGCCGACCTTCACGCATTCCGCCTTCCCCAGATTCTCTGACTTCTGCCCTCCATCTGAAGAGATCGTGATGCACACTGGATCTCCCTGCATGTACAGCCGGACCATCAATCCCAATCTACCGGCCATGAGTGCTACTCAGTCCTCCCCGAGTCACATTACTGGTCGGATCACAACTCGATGTGGCAAACGATTGGCAGAAGAGGACCCCTTCAGCACAGCTCGTCAAAGTTGTCCCTTTGGCCATGTCATGACTGTTTCAAGCTTCTGTATCCCGCTGTCAAGCCGACTTCAGCTCCGGGGGGTTTCTTGGCGTCCTGGGCACAGTTGAGGGACATTCCCTCGGCTCCCTGGCCACAGACTTTTGCGAGAAGGGTAGACCTGCTAAACCACAAAAGAAGGGAATGGCCAAGGCTCTTGAGCTACTTCCTTTCTTGCTACTGGCATAGAAGGAGTCTTGAAATGTGGACAAAAAACGCGGTACTATTTTCGATATCCCAAGTCAAGTTGGGCATTTACCTGAGAGAGAGGATTTCAATATTCCAGAACTTTGAGCGCACTTGGGCTTGACTGTGAAATACACCACAATCGAGGGAACATTATCGAAGCACTTGAAATATCCATCGTGACTTGGAGCATTGAACATGCAGGACCGCTTTCTTTTGGTCCATGAGAGCTGCACTTGATGATGCTCATAAAAGAACTATCAAAAAGAGAGTAGTGAAAGAAGAACAATGAGAACCACTGTGAAATATCACGCGAACAAAAGCAAATCAACTTTGATAAAACTTCAACAATTCGAATCCAACGGGAGCTAGATCTGGTTCATGAGGACCCTGGATATTCGTTCTCGTTTCTCATTGGCTGGCCGTCCTAAATTCCGTAACTTTTGATTCGGCAGGCTCCAAGTATTCAGCCTCGCCAACCTTGCTTCCAACAATAACTTGAAGACGCGACAATAGCATCACCAGGCCACCAACCGCAAGCCATTCTTCCACGAATTGCCGTACAGCACACGTGCATATTTCTTCAATAGGGTTCTCATAGTCTCATCATCGTTACCAACAGCAAACCTCGAGCACACGACTCTCAATTTCACGTTACCATCGACGAGTTTGAAGACATCACTCCGCACAAAGACTAGCATAATGGCTTCCGAGCCCACAACCCCAGTCAAAGTTCCTAAAGCTGCCTCGACATACACACCCGCAATCCAAGACCCAGATCTGCGCTCACAAATCAACACCGTGCTTTTACGAGATGGGCATATTTCAAAGTCAGTCTCCTCCCTCTTCCTTTCCCCACCCAACTCCTCCCTCTCAATTCCCGCTGCATAGCACATGGTATTTTAAGAGCAACAACTAATCCATCCCTTAGGATCCAAGAAACCCTCCTACACGCGCTCAACGCATCCCCACAGAACTGGCCTACCGTAATTCAAAACCACGCCCTCTCCCTCCTGCGCTCAGGGGACTGCACCACCTTCCCAGCCCTCATGTCGCGCGTGCTCTCCGACATAAAATCCGATACCGAACTACGGGACCGTACCTCCACCTCCTCCAATACTTTAGCACCAAACGGAACGAAGACTGGGAAGAAAAAGGAAGAGGAAGTGCGGAATGGGAAGGGAGAGAATGGACAGAGTTTGGCATTGCCAAAGAATGTAGTGGATGAGGGGGTCAGGATTACGAGGGAGTGTTTGGAGTTGGTTTGTGAGGTTGTGGAGTAGGGAAGGGGGGGACGCTGCAGTTTGATTGCAGTGGAGAGGGTTCCTGCAGCTTTGGGTCCAGGATAAGTTGATGTAACGGCCTCGCTGTATCAAAGATTGGAGTGCGTATTGGGTCATGGCAGCACGAAGTTATAGAAGAAACTGTGCTTTCGTTGGGCATATGGATCACAGAAGATCCAAGCATATTCGGCGCTGGGATTTGTATATTCGGTCTTGAGTTAGATCAAAAATCACAGCATGGGGAAATGGAACAATAAGCTCATGCCTCGTTTTAGAGTGTCTTTGATTATGGGCATCCATCTGCCTTCGTATTATGACATCAATTTGGTACAACACATACAAGAGAGTTTACTGTTAATTGTGGCAATATATCGTTCCAACAATCCCTCGATCTGGTTGAATTGCACGAAGCGAGCGATTTAGATTGTGAGGAGGGGTGCTCAATGTTTTGGAGTTCCTTCTCCTTCGGTCAAGCCTTGATAGTAAGAAGGCCCCTCAACTTCGTCTCACATGGTACATCCCCCCCTGAATGCGTTGCAAGCACCGTGCTTGCTGACTTGACTTCGCTTGAGATAGGAGGCCGGATTTCGGCACGAAGCTATTCACTTTAATAAACTAAAATAAGAGAAATTCCGTCACAATCGATTAAAGATTGTATGGCTCAGTTGCCAGTCCGCAAAGACGTTAAACTAACCCCCTTCCCCTTCCACCGCAAAGTGGTTAAACTACTCCGAAATGGCGTCGAGAATAAACTAGCCAAAAAGCGTTCAAGCTTCAGTCAATATGCTGTTTCACGGTCCAAAACTCAGTTCGTCTGGTTTCCTCTCCTGTCCCCCCTTCCCCGCGACTATAGCGGTGGTTGGCTGGACAGCAGAGTTTTGCTGTTTTGTCCCTCGCATCTTTTTTATATAGCTGAGTCTTACAAGGGGTTCAACCTTCCCCCCCACCCAAGGCACGTCTTTGACTCGGGCATGTCTTGGTTGTGAGGTGCAAAATTTTGGTTACTGAATTCCTAAATTGCCCCTTTTAAGCGAGCGGGGAAGCACTCCACATCGTAACCTTTACCTCCCAAGAACTCTGATAGGAGGCATATAAACCTCTTTTCGACTCTTTAGCATAGCTTCTTTATTACTTCCCTTTTCATCGGACTTTCTTGAAGGGTTCCTAATAGTCCCTGCAGACCGCAACTACCTCCATCTCCTAGGGGGTCATAGGGCGTCTGAGACCACTTATTGGCATGAGATTTAATCCGCCTTGCCAATACCGTGGTCATCGTATCTAAGTATCTACGAAAAGTGCTGTCTAAGCACTGCCGTTATTTCAATGCAGTAGGTGCATTGCTTTTGGTAGGATATGGTTACCTGGGAGTTTGTAAAAAGTGGAAAGAGCGCTGGGTAATACTCGCTTTCAAACAAATAATTTGAGATCGGTTGGTTAAACCAAGAGACGAATTAGAGAACAATTTCCATAAGTAAGTTGAACCAAGTGAGCTTAGATAAAAGTGGGTTCTTCCTTTGCAACCTTCTCGCAACAACCGTCTTCGACTAACTTTGAGACTTTCTTAGAAGACAGGAAGACAACAAACATCTCAGAGTAAGCTCTATACCCTCTATCGCACCCTTCAATCACTGACCAGATTCTCAGCAGCTAGCTCCTCGCGTTCTTCAAGCTCGACGTCTAAGAAATCCATCACTTCTCATCTTGATCTGTCAGTATGCTGGTTCCTCATTCCAAAGCACTTCACACAAGCCGGCCCCAAGTGGGCATGACTGGCCTCAGGCTGCTCACAAATGTTGGTTCAGAGAGACAACATGCGATTGGAGTCTGCGAAACATTGAGTGTGAGCAATGCTAGATTTTGAGTGAAAAAAGTATATTGCTGGCTCTTGTGCCTAGAAGTGATATGTGTATCCCACCCACCTCCACCCTGCAAACTGTGCCGACTTGCATAATAAAGAGCTGAAGAAACACAGCAGTCGCTATCTTGTTCCAAACCCTTCTCGCTCAAAAAATATAGCACAAAGCTAGCTCATCAGACCCAATGGATATTGCCCATTTCCAAATATGCTCCCGTTCCAAAAAAGCACCACCATATTGCGCCGCATACTTATTCTGATAAGATAATTCGTCTCGTCGTTAAAGCCATTATCCAAGCCAGCTCTTCAGTATCTCGAACTCGCATGTCTCGAAGGCCGTGGTCGCTCCTCATACTCATACTCGTAATCCCGCTCCCTTTCCTCTCTCCTGCTCCTATTCCTTCTTACACCATCACTGCTTGATCCAGCATTACTTGGGCCCCTCATCCTGGTGTCTTTCGATTTGGAGCGCGATCCATGCGCATTCCTCTTTCGATGCTCGATTTCCCATTCCTCAGCCTCACCATAAGTCACTCCCTTCGGCCACAAGTGATGCGCACAGACGAAAACCCCGAGGATTTCGATGATATGGATGATGAGATGTTTCTTAACCATATCTGCTGGCTTGATATGCGATGATGAGGGTGATTGCTTATGAGTATGCTTTGGTGAAGACGATGCTTCGTGCGATGAATGAGGCGAACTTCTGGATTGCTGCGGGGTCCAGATAGAGGATCTATGCGTCAGGTGCAAAAAGAAACGGCGTGAGATGATACAGTATGAGGCTCGCAGCCTTGTCTATATTTATCCTGATAGCTTTCGCAGCAAAAAGCTTGAAACAGGTTGGTGGGGCTGACGAGTCGGCAGGGCTGGCGGCGGGAGGAAAGGAGAGAGTCTTGGCAAGAACACAGGAACAAGAAGGTGCGACGGATTGCGATTATAAGGTATGTCAGGAACAGCGGCTAGCTATCGAGGATGTGAGAGATTACGAGGCCCACTGCGCCGTCAACCACCAGGACGTTGGGCATACTCGAGTAATACCCCTTGCAAAAGCGCCTAGATTGCGTCCCGAGACAGGGCCATTGCCACTTTTGAGGGAATACGCAGAGCCCTGGCTGCACGCGTTCGGTAATGTGCGCTTGACGGGACGTAAAGTCCAATTGAAAATAAAAAACGAGGAGGGGGAGGTGCTGGCAGGGTTGCGTCTCATTGGTGGCTAAGGGGTGTGAGGCTGGAGCTACACCGCCACCGACAGGAAAACGGGACTCTGAATCTCTCCGGAACAATGAGGAAATGAAGATTCCTGGGCATTCGACGTTGAAAACCCCTCAAATTTGACCGCTGAGCCGTGCGACTTGTGTCGGAGTGTGGAGGCGATGCGCTGGCTGGCATAATAGACAAGTAAGGATGTTGATTTCGGGAGTTGCGCCTGGATCCTTGACGAGGCCTTTCAAGCATCGAGATGCTCGGTTGATAGTCGACAACACAAACCATGCCCAACGACGTCAATATAAGACGATAAATCACTCTTTTGGCACCGTTCAGAAACCGACAGTCTGTACGCTCGGGGAACAAGATTCCGCTTGCCATTTAACACTGAACCCTGGATGCAACGAGCAAATTCGGGTCCGAAAAGTAGAAGTTCCTCACCACCGCTCTTGAGGCCGCTCCACCATCGATATCTCTGTTGATTATACCAACGAAATAGCAATGCATCATATCAGCAATGCGTTAAAGTCGGGCCATATCTTGGCAGGCACTACCTAACTCTGTGGGAAATCTTGGAGAAAGCTCACGAGGCTGCCGGTATCTAGGCCCAATTCATGAGGCCCCAACAAAGTTCTTCCTCTGCCTCGACTTGCTCTGAGATTCGAATAGCATTTCTGATCGAAGCAGCTCTCGAAGCACAAGTGATAGACTCTGAGCACTCCTCGCGGCAGCTTTGAAATTTCATCTGAGAGTCTTTCAATTTCTGGAATGTACCCAGCCTAGCCAGGACATTCTGAAAGGAACCTTGAGAACAAAAAGCAGGCAAACAAACAAACATAAAATCAAGATGCAGCAGTGTGGTAATCATAAGAAATGATGCCCGAAGCAGTTGTGATCAAGTAATAGGATTTTGAGACTTTGTCCTGGTGAGGCATTTTACCTGTCACTCAGGACCCACCAGAGGGACCTATTTGCTTCTGTAGAATCATGTGACATCACCAAGAGAATCTGTGAAGACCTCTCTCAATCTAACAGAGTAGCTTGACTTGTCTAATTTCACAGCAAACATGTCGATTTCTAAAGAAAACAAATGGTTTTCGTGGTTGGCATTTTTAGTAGACCTTGATTTGGGGCCAGCCGAAATTGGCGGCTTGGCGAAGGTCACTTCACCTCGGGGATTTGTTGATTTCCTCTCGTCAGCTTCCCAACGACACTTCTGTACCCAGCATCGAGCTCGCCGCCGCAACTTGGAAGCACAGTTGCACCAAACTCGAAGACGATGGACTCCAAAGAAGCTTCAGGCACTGTGCGAAAGCCAGGCCCGAAACCCTTGCAATCGAGCTCGGTCCGGACGCAATACCTTATCCTCTACAACTTCGTGTCTATGATCCTATGGCTCGCGGTTCTCGGACGGGTTGTTTTGCTCGTGCCGATGGTGGGGTTCGGGAGGGTGTACCAGGGTGCGGGCAACTTTACGAAGTGGACGCAGACAATGGCTCTATTGGAGGTTGTGCACTCCGCTGTTGGTATGTTCTCACCGGAATGCCTCTATCGTGCAAGTCAGCTCAGCTAACGTGAGCCAATTTCAGGTATTGTGAGAGCCCCAATCGGCACAACGTTGATGCAGGTTTCCAGTCGACTCCTTCTCGTCTGGGGAATTGTCAACAACTTCCCCTTCGTGGCGCGGAGCGCTGGATACTCGAGTATGCTGTTTGCATGGGGTTTGACAGAGGTTGTTCGATATGGGTTCTTTGTCTTCACCTTGAGCGGGTACTCTCCGGGAATTATTTCGTGGTTAAGATACAATACATTCTTGATTCTGTATCCTCTAGGTGCGAGCAGCGAGGCGTGGTTGGTGTACAAAGCTATTCCGGCTGCGAAGAAGATTCGACAAGAATATGCTTGGGCCCTGCAGTTGATATTGTTCATTTACATTCCTGGTAGGTGTTTTAACCTCGGTATTAAGAATGTGGCTAACATTGGCAGGCTTCTATATCCTCTTTACACACATGCTAAAGCAACGGCGCAAGATAATGAGGGGGAAGCAAATAGAAAAGATCCAATGAAAGAGATCACAGAGTAGACAGGAGATCTGAATAAAAAGATCCCGGAGCCCCTGTAGCACCCAATAACTGTGAATGCTCTGCTGTATAATAAGTTAAACATAAGACGGAGCCAGGTCTTGCCGTGGGGTAGATAAAAGGAAGCTAGTGCAGCTCATCTGTACATAAACCACCAATGTTTGATTCCTCCAAGAGCAAAATTGTGAACTCATACCACCAAGTTGCCTAAACTTTTAGCCTAGTGGCCTTCATTAGTCCAATCTTTTGGTAATTTGCAATGTTCAAACCCTTTCAAGTGTTATGAGCCGGCCAAGGAAATTCGAGTTGTATTGTGCTAGAAGTCCTGGGACAATGAGGTCCGACCAGGCTTCTTGCTTGGTCAGTTGTCACATTGTTCCAAATGATATGGGACATTCAGATCTAACATTTTAGACTTGAGCGATTCACCTTGTTCCAGATTCTCTAGAACAATCTCATAGTTTGCAAGCAAGAATTGAGGAATGATGTTTATTTGCTATGGGATCCATATTGTCCTATGCTAGGCGTGTGACAGGCATTAGCCAGTCTAGCATTGCTAATGGAAATAAACGCAAACGCCATGCTAATAAGCCTAAATAAAAGGGCATTGCGGATGCACATAAAAAGAAAATGTATTTTGTCCTTCCCCATTCTTCACCGTCGGATGAAAAACAGCTCAGGAAAATCATCGCTTAAAAGAAGCCTCCGTCGTCATGCAAAGAGGCGATGTCGGTACACAAACAGATGAAAAACGCATGTGCAGCTCTCCCCTGCTTTCATTCCTAGTCATATCCACCGCGATCTACCTGCTGCCAGTCAGTACAATGGGGAAAATCGGTGTTCTGGTGCGGATCTCACGTGTCATCTCCTGGGTAATTGGGAATCGATTTATTCTGCATCCAATCCTTTTGGAGTAGAAGGATTCTCTCCAACTCGCTCCTTAGTGGGTACAGAGACTTGAGGGGTGCGCTCATCTTGCTTGACGGGGGATGAAGGTTGAAGCTTAGAGCGCTTTCGGATTCGGTAGCCCGAGAGTGGGGGACAACTAGGTGTAGTAGGACGACTGAGTGTAGTAGGACGACTGGGTGTAGTAGGACGACTGGGGGCAGCAGGGCGCTGGGTGGTGATAGGGAATTCGGTGTTGCCGCTACGTGGCTCAGCAGAAGGGGAAAATCGGTATGATTGAACTTTTGATTGGCGGATGCGTTCATCATCATGATACAAGTCCTCCTCCATGACTCTTGAGTCTTGATAACGAGTTGGACCAAATCGGGATGTACGTCGACCGGCAAAATACCAATCATCATCATAACCCTCCTGTCCTGGGGCCAACATACGTGGGGCCATGTTTCCATGGAATCCAGAAGTTCGAGGGATGGTCGGAGCCTCGGACACTTCTCTATATGCACCAAATCGAGAAGACTCACGCTGCGGGGAACGAGGGTACCGAAAGCTCTGTGGCTCTTCTCGGTATGCACCAAAACCGGAAGACTTGTTACGCCGGGAGCGGAGGAAATCCTCAGGGAAGAAATCTTCGCTGTATCTGTATGCAGATCGAGAGGGTCCAACTCCAGGAGAACGGAGCTTTCGGGAAGTGCCACGAATACCTGGCTCTTCTTCGTTCAAATCTCTTGAAAGTTCACGCAGTGGAGATGGAACGGCTCGGAAACCATCATGAACCGGCTCGCTTCTGTCCGAAGCACGAGATGCTGGACGGGATCGTTCTTCCAAGAGAGCCTTAGCCACATTAAAGCCGACTCCCAAAGGGCGATTTGTGTCAGACACAGAGAACGGGGCTTTGAATGAAGGCGTTGGTGTATATGTCTTGTAGGCAATGGTCGAAGTGCCCGTGCTACGCGTATCCGAGTTGGGAGAATCGAAACGACGAGGGCCGCCAAAGGGGATTCGAGATTGTGCTTCAGACGACTTTGCCCATGGATCTTGCAATTTCGCGGATCTGGCTCTCTCTGGCTCGGAGGAGCGAACCCCGATCAGCTCCGAGAAGTCTCCAATACTGCTGCTGTATATGCTCTCTCCACTTCTATTTCCGGCCTCACTGCCACTTGCGCGGGATCCCAGAGTCTTCTTCTTTCGTGGAAGTTGCTCATCCTCCTCCAAAAACTCTTCCTTCAGAACGAACTCATATTTCTCAGCATCGTCATCGTAAGTATCTTCGACAGTTGCTTGATATTTTCTCTTGCCCGACAAAGCAGCAACCGGCTGGACCTCGAAGTGGGAGCCATGTTCGCTTGCAAGTGGACCCGCAAATTTGGGATACCGCTGAATGGCGCATTCGGATTCTGAACCAGCCTCGATAGAAATCTCCGTTTGGGTAGCCTTTGTTACATAGGTGATTTTCTTTGAGGGCTTCTTTGTTGCAGTTCGACGGCCAGCTTTGGGGAGTGGTGGAGGGCTCATGCCGCTAGAACTGGCATCGGTAACGGCTTCGGGGACCACCATTTTGTCTCCCTCGCCTCTCTTGTAAGATCGACTGCTGCACTTCTGGTAATAGTGCTGGAAGAGCATGTCGGATGTATACTTTCGTCGACTAACTCCCTTGCGGTCCAGCTCCTCTTGCATAATAGCAGCCAGCTCAGCCCAGCCTAAACCCTCTGGCTTCGAGTACGTGCCTCCGGCATACTTAGACAAGGGCAGAATAACCTTGACAAAGTAATCTCTCTCGTCGAGAGACCACATTGGAGCACCCATGGTGACTGGCCAGAAAGAAAATTGGACTTCAGAGAGGAAGGAACTAAGTCTTAGTCGAAGAATTTCCTTTCCTTTAAGATTGGAGCGAAACAGAACCAGGTCGCTGTTGTTGATCCAACGTACAGGCGAAAAAGATCAGAGCGAAGACGGCTGTATTCGTTGTTGAGTGTTCGCCCTTTGTTTAGAAAGATCAGAGCGAATAAGGACAGGCGCTGTTGAGAACTGATCGTACCTGCGAGAAATATTAGAACGAAGCTAAAGATGGGAACAGAACAAGCAAGCAGTGAAAGGCTAGAGCAAAAGAGATTGTGGTGTGAGGAGATAGGAGTGAACCTAATTAATTCTGCGTTGGAGGTAAGTAGAGTAGCCTGCGTGGGTTCTCGTAGCGGATGTTGACAAGTTATAGACTGTCAACTTGAGATCGGAGATTAGAGGAATGAGACCGGCACCAAGAAAAGATAGACAGGAACCTGGTGGAAGAGCAAGAAGAAGAAGAACGTGGGAGTTTGTGCAAACCTCGTGGGGTTTGCCCTAGTGAATCAGACTGCACCACTGATACCGTTGAAGGTGAGTTGCTTGAACCCCAGTGGCCAAGACCAAGTAGGATGTATCGGTGTTAGTTTGCTTTGGATAGGGCCTCTGGACAAAGCTGTCAGCCCTTAGTTTGCTTCTTTTGCAAGAGTCCTTAGACAGAGCCTCCAATTGATGCCAGCCCAAAAGCGAACCAGCGAAACTGAATCAGATCAGTCAAGATATTAGAGGGAGCAGAGCGCTGTCATGCTGTCGGAGTGTCCAGCTGCGGTGGAATTGTCTTATGTAGGCAGCTGCTAGGAGTAGATTTGTGTTGTGTTGTGGTCAGGTATGGCTCAGAGATGAGGTTCTGGTGGTTGTTGATGTTGTGTTGTTCATCGGTAATGGAGGCGAAATTTCACGTTTTTGTAAACATCAGGCCGGTGAAGCTACGCAAATTTTCCCAATTTCGATCTTGTCACAGTGAATCGGATCATATTTAGCACCATGCTAAACACTTGAAAATAAGCATTGCCACCTTCTGAATAAATGCATTAACAAGTAATGCTCAGTCAAATGAGGCAGCACAATGGCTCCTAAGAAGGAATATCTCACGTAAATAAACAATACTGTTAGTTTCTTTATGACAAGCAGGACGGATTCAAAAATCCAGCTTCAACCACGCTCTGTCCTATAAGATTCAGATTGTAACTTTCAAGTAATAGCTTTTGTTCTTGACTGGTTCAGTGCACCTAAGATTTGAATCGAACTGCTTTGCAGAGGAGACTAAAAAAAGCAGTCTGAACCTCTTTCTATCTGGATGAATTGAGGGGAAGGGCCCAGAAGACATATCTCTTTAGTTCTTCGTAGTTAACCTTTACTGTGATTGAAATCAGCGACACCAAAAGAATAAAAACAACTTAAGTGAATCCGATATCCATGACATAAAGCACCTTGAGAAATGCTACAGAATGATGTTTTATAATTTCTTCAATATGTCATTAACTGCTTTTGCAGCAAACCTCTTCCTTTCTGCTTCAGGCATATCTGCTCCCATATCTTTCACTATTAGCAGGTTCCTGCACAGGGATCAGTGATACTTACCTCTAACAGCCTGCATTCTCAACACCATCGCCTGCAGCTGTTCGACTTCCTCGTCTTGGCCCTCCTCATCGTCCATTTCTTCTCCATTATTACCGCCATAGATAGCCTGCTTCATCCCAAACATCTCCATTTCCATCTCAGCTGCCTCGATGCCGAATCCAATACTGCCTTCACCTTCCTCGTCCCCGTCCTCAAGATCTTCCAGAGATAACTCTTCACCGAGCTCGTTACTCTCCCAGTCGTTCGTCTCCAGTGCCTCCCTTAACCTTTCAATTCCCATTGGTTCTGATACAAATCAGCACAAGCTCACTCCATCAAAACAAAAGTTCATGCTTACCAGAATACTCATTCCGCCCCTTGCTCTCAAAGTCCACAAATTCAAATCCGAAATCCTGGCACAACTCCTCCCACTCATCGAAGCTCTTTTCCAGATAAGGCGTCACTCCCTGTGGCATCGCTACAGCCAAACAGACACCATCCCATGCCATGCCACAGCCCTCTTTGACCACCTCACCAACACTCTCAAGCATTTCCTTCACATTTTCCAGCTCCGCTTCATCGATGGGTTTCCGGAAGCAGACGATGAAGGCACCAAGGGCTGTGAGAACTTCTTTAGCTTCCGGGGCGAGGAACTCGCTGGACCACGTGGAGGGTGAGGTGATTTCATCGAGCCAGATCGGGACCGTTGCTGTGTAGTAGGCAGTTTTCAAAGGCCAGTGGTGTGTTGTGCCTGCTATTGTGCCTGAAGCCAACGAAGGCGATGAACCAGTGAGGCCTAGGTCATGTGGTCAGAATGGGCTGCAATGCTTGATCAGAGTAATGTTACCCTGTAAGAGTTCCGGTAAACCCGAGTCATGTCGGCTGACGGCTAAAATACGTCGAGGGTTTGAAATGTCCATTTCTGTGATCTTGGTTGCGGAATGGCGAAGAATTGAGGTTGAAGCATCAAGAATTGTCATCAAGCACGTGATCGACTTTGACAGACCTACTTTCAAAGTTTGGCCATTGCTTGGAGAGAGTTGTAGAGGAGTTCATGGGAGTGGGAAATATAGTGCTCTTGCGGAAGGTAGCCTCTGTCCCGAGATTCAAGGAGACTGCAGTGCGCTATCTGGACCGACTTGTTGTAAAAGCAAAACAAAGTCTCAGGAAATGGCAGCCATCTCCTCACAACTCAAATTGGCCGCAGACAGGATGTACATTCAAACGAAGAGAAGGGCGAATTTGAACGTGGGATCAAGACTTGTAGGGGCTTTTGATTTCCTTCCTCTATTTTGGCATGCGCTTTGGTAGTAGCCAACTGATGGCAAACGTGCATGGCTTTTTCGTCCAACGCCGTATCAATCTGACCCAATCGTATAGCATATTCTCACTCCAAACCCATACCTCATCAGCCTCTTGGCGCCCCTCTTCCGCTTGCTCTCGCTCTGCTGACTGTAGCTCGCCCTCTTGCCAATCCAACACCTCTGCCCTTCACGCCTCTGCTTCGGAACATGGGTGCATTTCTATAAGCCAAACTGTCAGCTTTATCCGGGAACACAGCAAAACACAAGCCAAGATTGTCCATAGTCTAGGGAAATAGGGATGCTACTACTAACCTAAGCATGTCCGGAACAATGAAGAATCGAACATGGGAGCCGCGAATGTAAACCTGATCCAGATGGCTCACACGACCATCGCGCGCAGTCACCGTAATATCCTTGAGTTGCACATTCATGTTGTCCTCCGCTGTAATTCCGATCTGTCAGCGCCCTTCCATGCAGTGGTCTGGAGCCTTGAAAGATTTGGGAGTGGGAGAGAGACGGACCTTCGAGGAGTTTACCGCGATAAACCTGACCGGAGGTAATCTCGAGAGTAACGACGTGACCCTGTTAAGAGAATTATTAGCAAATGTTCTCTAGCAGATCTCCCGGTCAGGAGCTGGGTTGCGAAAAGGCGGGGGTAGAAATTGGGACTTACTTGCGCCTCGTTCAGCAGCTTGATCGGGATGCCGATTGTGCTCGTCATGGTGTCTCAGATAACTGTCTGGTATCTTGGGTATCTCAGAGGCCTCGTGGATCGCTGGAATAAGGGTTTTGCGCAGAGGTGCAGTTGGTTGTGTGATCAGATGTGAATCACGAAAATATCGCGCTAGTATTCTCACTAGCGCCAATCAGACATCAAGTTTCGACTTCACTTCACCTTTCGCCCAACAACTTCACACTACACTCATCGAAATTGATCGACTAATGGATATGAACGCCTTCAATGTCTCTGCAACTCTGAATATCTTTCGGCTACTTTCTCGGCCAAGTCTGTGCCTGCCCCACGCCACTGTCTCTACATTCAATGAGCTACCTATTCCCCTAAACAAGGCATTCGAAAGGCACAAAAATGTCGATATCAAGGCTGTAGTTCTGGACAAGGACAACTGCTTTGCATATCCTCATTCAAATACAGTACATAAGCAATATGAGGTAATTTCCTTTTCTCTTCGGCCCAGCTCAGATCTTCGCCTAAAGCGATGATCCTCTTTTTACACTGTTCAGCCTTGTGTTCAGACTGCACTTCAGTTCTATGTTCGTTTATTATCACGCAAAGAAACGCACTAGTTTCTGACATCCGATAGGATCATTTCAAGCGACTAAAGGAGGCCTATCCCGGCCGTCGACTCCTGATCGTGTCCAATACGGCAGGCGCTAGGTCTATGGATCCAGCAGGAAGGCTTGTTTCCGAAGTCGAATTATCAACAAGAGTGCCTGTACTACCTCACAGGACGAAAAAACCAGGCTGTGGCCCCGAAATTATGGAGTATTTCCGCAAATACCCAGAAACTGGTGTCACGAGACCTGAGCAAATCGCCGTAGTCGGCGACCGGCTGACAACGGATGTTATGATGGCCAACCTTATGGGAAGTTATGCTGTGTGGGTTAAAGACGGTGTTGTACCTCCTGAAGAAAGCAACGTCGTGAGTAAAGACTGTAATTGGCAAGCTCTCCCAACTAAATCCTGTGTAGTTTGCACGAATGGAGCATAAGCTCGCGGCATATCTCATACGGCGAGGATATGAAGCACCTGAACCAGCAAGTCCGTTTGAGGGGTAGACGTTGTTGGTTATGGACAACATATATTAATGCTCACTTACCAATTATGCTCATTCGAATTTTGAATGGTAAGCAATTGCATGGGGTCTGAGGGCAGCAGCTCTTGGGGACGCAGCGGTTCGTCTGATCTTTCCGACCCGATCCGGATAAATGCTTGCATACCCGCCCCAGGCATCGGACAAGACCACCACCTTGCATCAAGTTCTATTTTGAGACCATGACAGATCCCATAAGCGGTTACAGATAAATCAAATCTTGGACTAAAGATTCGTGGGATCAGAAAAGGAGACTCGAGACTCGCGGTCAGCCGTAACAGACACGGCTGTACGTGCCACATCCAAGATTTGCCTTGTACCAAGTATATGAACATTCCTTACACTCCGGTCTCTGCTGCATGGTGGATAAATGCCGTCATCAATGATAGCTTTCGAGCACATCCTGATGGCATTCCCATATTTTCGTCCTCATCCTCCGCTCGGGATTCTTTCGACCCTTCTTCCAGATTGCACAAGACCATCCGAGGGTTATGTACAAGATCGTATATCCGAGTATCCGAATGTCACTCTGCAACTATACTGCTTTGCGACGCCTGAAAAGCCTGCGCAGAGGTCTCCGCACGCATCATGGGATTGCAATTTTTCAAAGCTCCTGGCATTATTGTTCATGGGGTTCGAGGAACAAGTATATTCCCGAACCCATCGAGTTCCATGCGATCATATAGTTGATGAGCATCTGATACAGTAAATTTATTAATTGTGGATGTCTCAAGCTTCACCATTTGGGCTCGAATTGAAGGCATGACCGTGTGGACGGCGTACTTCTTATTCTTCATGAATGCCGTTAATAATGGTGCTGCGAGAGCTTTTGGCCGCTTGGTTTGAGGTGGTCCTCAATGTGTCACTATTCGTAGATTATCATGCGGTTATTGATATCTTATAGCTTTCTGTCGTGGTACGATAGGCGTATTTGTGAGCAAGGAATGGATGAGGATCCGGGCCTTGAGATGCCGTGTTAGGAATAAGGTTCATTGCGGTGGGAAAGAGGAGCCGATGTCAGGCTTTTGGGTTTGAGGATGACTGGTGTATTAGGAGATCCCTTTGACGTTCTATATCGCGATAGTTATGAGATGCTCGCCGGAAGGGTTGGAGCTCGTGGAGAATAACACAGGGAGAATTATGTCTCCTTTCTGGTCACGGTTTAGCCCGCAGCTTTCCACACAACTTCCACTCGACTTGAGATCCTGAACATAATGCTGCTTATGGGAAACCGGCCTTGGGGTTTCGAAAACTCTGACAGGTTTCAAACATTGTGGAGAGGGATTCACCGGCATAAACGACATCCAAGCAAACCTTGTTTCGACACAACTGGAGCAAAACAGAGCCATCCACTCGCGTCGGAGAAATGTAGACTTGGTACAACTGGAAATCCCTGCGGTCTTATTAGCATGACATCGAAAAAAGGGGGATGACCCCACTGCGAAGCGAGACGCGCAAAAGTACATTGACGGAAGCACTCCGCCACGCTACAAGGTGCCACCGAAAGCGGGGAGCCTCATGCCTTTCCTTGGTGGATCGCGATAACCTTGGCTTTCGAAACTATTAATGTCCTCGCTTTTGAATACTTGACTCAGATTTACGCATCGAGAAATGTGAAAATGGCTGTTGGTGCCGATGATGTGTGCTCTTGGTGATGCAGGGTTATTCATGCGGTGCTGATCAAACACCTAAGTTGCTGGCATCTGGAATATGCATTACGTGCTCCCGGTTGGGAGAGCTTGGCGAGCGGTAAAAGACCGGATGAAGTGATGGCGAGTTTAGAGTTTTATTTTTAGTTGAGTTGGGATGAAGAATTAGTTTTCTTTCGACTTGCGGGAATTCTCGTGAGCAGAATGAGGTGTTCGAAAAGTGCACTTGGGGATTTCCAGGTGTGGGGGGAAAGAGGGAGATCTGACCTTGGAAAGGATCTGGGACACGCCGAACATAATTCTTGTGTGCTGATGAATGAATCGAAAGACCGTCGAAGGAGTACTTTCATGCATGAACAACATTGGGGGGCGGTGAGCACATCTGGCGAGGTGCTGGATCGCGGAGTATTTCCATCTAGTCGCGCGCCACTCACCTCAACGAGGCGGTGGAGGTCCAATGTGCACGGGGATCTCGAGCCTAAGCCATGGAACTTAGATCCGTGCGAGGGCTGGGAGACCTCGCAGAAGACATGCGGCTGCTTACTTCCACAGGGCAGACGGCTTTTCCCCGTTCTCAATCGAGGTGGGTGAACAGGGGCCGGCGGCGGGGGGCCTCGAGAACCTTTTAAAACGGCCTCTGAAGCAACTGACGAGCACCTGTTGGTCCTGCTTGCTGTTTTGCAAAATTCCTTGCAATTTTTCCGTGGGGATAGCTCTGTGTACGCTCTTGTTGTTGGAAGAGCTGCGTGTTCATCCATGCGGTCGACGACTGGGGAGTGTTTCTCCGAGAGCAAGAGAGGCAGGTCCGAAGAGGCAGCAAAATCGAGGTGTAACCCCTATTATGCAAAAGTCTTGCTCTGAGCCATCTGGTTTGTGCGCTGGAGTTCGCGGGTGTTCCTGACTAAACCCCTTCTGGCCGGCTTGCATCGAGGCGCACATTTCTAGCCAGACACAGAGTCCCTCGGTTGGCCGATGGCTGCGAGAAGGGAGCTTATGCAGGAACAGAGTCAAAAAGAGGTCGGTCTATGGACGGTCCATTCCTCGATTATTCCGTGGATGCAAACTTGAAGAACCACTCCAACCACACCGACACCAACACCGACACCCACCCACCTCGGCCCAGGGCAAAGAGCCATGTGCAGGAGTCGGTCCACACGACGATGCTGAAGCTACAGTGATGATTGATCATGACGATCTATTTTCGACCTTCGCCTCCAAGTTCCAACCCATTGGCGCCAGGCTATTGGCCTGAAAGGCGGTAGTCATGCTTCTGCTCCTTTGTCGGAGATCTGCACAATCGCGTTTCGATTGGCCCGCATTACGGCGTGAAACCTGAGAGCCCACGAGGTAGGCATCAGCAGATGCCTTTTGACTCGCACAACAATCGCGTTGTCGGCGACCCGTCCCCCGTTCTTGGAGGTCGTCAAGTCGTGAGGCGAGGGCACGCGAGGAGAGATGCAGCTGGCGCAACAGGCATGGTCTTGTGCAACGCCCACATGTGAACAATGGAATGGGCTGGCCGGTTGAGTGCAGGCAGTCTTCGGGGCGTCGGTATCTCGAAATATAGAGTAACGTGCGGCAAGTCCATCATCTCCTGAGTTCTGGCTGGGAGGACGCGACTTACAACTGAGGCACCCACGCGCTTTCGCCTGTCCAGGCGGTTGAACTTGTTGTCCAGCCGCCGCCAGTGATTCTGCGTCTCAGGGGCAGCCCATGTCTGCGCAGTCAGGAACTGGGCCAGGATCCCGAAGCCATTGGCGAGTGGTGCTGGCCTGCTTGTTGTCTGTCTGGCCATGGCCATGCAGATGCAGAATAGCGCGACAGCATGGATGGCGCTGGCTCAGCGCTCCCCCTTTTCTTTGGAGGGCGTCAGACGGCGGCTTGCGCTGGCAGATCGTTAGAGCAGACAATCGGGGCGCAAGAATTAGAAGAAGTCACAGAACACGTCCAACCCACTCATCTCATAGCGGGCGTCTCCTAGTCTCTCTCGCCCCCCCCCTCCCCTCCCCCCCATGGGCCATGCCCTCCTGCCGCACAGTCCCTGCCTGATCAGAGCTTCGTGAGGTGGTGCACTGGTGTTGGCAACTTGGGATCCCACCCGCTTGGCATTCGTGCCCGCTGCCCAATCAGGCCTAGCTCGGCTGCGACGCCTTAAACCTCTCGCTCCTTTCCCTCTCTCCTCTTTTCTATCTTCATCCACATTCGACTGCCCTCATCGTCCCCGACGTTGCCGCCTCCTTCTCGTCTCTCTTTTTTTTCATAATTTGGCCAATACGGATACCCTTCATTCCTTTGGGATCCATTACACTCCTTCGGCTGCACCTTGTTGACATTCAGATTCACGATTCGATTTCGACATTCGCTCTTTCGACAGATCCAATATTTTTCGAATCATCACTCAGCAGATTTCGATTGTCATACTCTTCTTTTCCTGCCAGATACAGCGAAGCATTTATACCACCACACTTTCACACCTTCGATTCATCCGAACTTTTATCAATACGCTACTTTTGTCGAATCTCGACTACACACTCGCATCTGCGAAACACATACTCAATCCATCACTCACTCGTTCTCTCAGCACAGAGAAAATACAACCTTACACGATCAGCTACAATCGGTCTGGGCACCTGCTGGAGCACTCATCGCGAAAACTCGTGACCTCGGTCGCAACAGCAAACATGTCAGACATGTCGCAAGAAGACGCGGCCATCAAGATGTCCTCGACACCAAGCCCTACCGCGTCAAACTCTGCAAGCAGCACTTCTGCATCCCGCCGACCACCCCGGAAAAGCACCCTGACACAGCAACAAAAAAATCAAAAGCGACAACGCGCTACTCAGGATCAATTAGTCACGCTGGAGATGGAATTTAACAAGAATCCCACACCAACCGCCACAGTTCGGGAGCGAATAGCGGAAGATATCAATATGACTGAGCGATCTGTGCAGATTTGGTTTCAGAACAGGTGAAGTCTCATGCGGGTCTGGTCGATGATACAAGCTAACAAAAACAACAGGCGAGCAAAAATAAAGTTGCTGGCAAAGAAGAGCATCGAAACGGGAGAGGATTGCGATGCAATTCCCGAGTCAATGCGCCAATACCTCGCAATCCAGGCTATGGAGTCGGGGAAATCTTTGGGAGGGAATTTTCTCGGCCGTTCTGGGCTCATGCCATATGGCAATGGGAGCCTGATGATGGGAGGGGATCAGGGACCTCAGGGGAAAGTCGGTGAGTAGATGCGTCCGGCGGATTTTTTTTTGGGGGGGGGGGATTTTTTTTTTTTTGGCTGGGACTGACGCAACTATAGTCATTCACCACCTGTCGTGCCGATCATTGAGCATCGGATCGTGGAGACGTGTGGGCCAAAATGCCATGGATTTGATCATCTTCTACTCGCCAGAAAAGGGATGCATGACATACTACATTAACAACGACCAAGCAGGCTACAAGATCGAGTACCCATTCGCTTTCATCAAAAATATCTTCCTGGAAAATGGTGATATTGAAACTGGGAAGCCGGGTGGCTTGGTTGTGGAACTCAACCGACCCCCGAATTTCTTTATGGACTCTTCTGGATCTGGTGGATTTTTCCAATGTGGCGACTTCACAGAAGACCAACAGGCGTCTCAGATTATGGTTCACCATCTCGGCGGCCACCCTAAAGTTCTAAGTGGTCAATTGGCCAAACTTGTGTCTCTTGAATCCTTCATGACCCGGCACAACCCGTTTGAACAACAGCAATTGTCCGTTTCGGCACCTGTCTCCCCAACGGGCCATCGCCCTGCCTCTCAACCAAACTACAATGCCCAAGCTCATGTTGGCATGTTCCAAGAAGGATGGGGCGTCAATATTCACCAAGGGCCTCGCGGTCCTGGCCACAAGAGACAAAGGAGTCGTTCCGTACCAATGGCAGTCGACTTCTCTATGTTCAACGCTCCTATGCCGTCCTTTCTCATTCAACATCCTGGAGAGACACAACAACAGCACAATCCGAATATCTTTGCCCCGGTCCCACAACAACCTAATAATTTAGGACCTCTGGGACCCAATCTTCGGATTGACACTTCGTCAGGATATGGGATGGATTTCAGACAATATCCCATGTCCGCCGCTACGACAACATCTCCTTCGGAGTTTGCAAGCCCTGGCTTCTTCTCTCAGGCCCCTGACTCAAGTGCTCTCCCCGCATCCTCGTATAACAATACGCCATACACCGTGCCATATCTATCACCAAACCCTATGGTCGATCAGGCTGGAGGGATGATTCAACCTTCCGTTTCGCCATTATCATTCATGAGCCACGGTGACCCAGCAATTGTTGATCAATCACCTCCTCTATCAATGATGCATCGAAGTGCTTCTGCAGATGTGTATAGCATGTCTCACGACCACTCAAACGTCTCCGATGACGGCAGTGGGCTGAATGAGATGTATTCAAAACACTCGCTTAATCTTCCGATGCATCCTCACTCTCCAGCATATGCGGAACAAACAGCAGCAGACATGGATATGAACCAACTTGTATCATTCGACGAGAACCCAGCCAGTCTTTCTCCCGAGAATATTCCTCAATAGGCCTGTTCTCGCTGAAGGCTGGCCCAAAACCTCTGATATAAGTTTGAATGTGCTCCGGAGCTTGCAGCATTCGGCGGCGCTAAGAAATGTGGTTCACCACTGTCTGGGGCTGAATTTTATGTGATCGAAGGGAAATATGGGAGGCGTTCCTGGATGGTGTTTTAGTCAATTGATGTATACACATGACGGCCTAGCAGGATTTTTTGTTCTTCAATTCTTGTTTGAACTTGGCCCAGCTTAATTTCTCGTGTCATTGGCACGAAGACTGTTTTCTTGACCTTTTCTATTTATTTTCATCTATCTTACGCCACGAACTACATGACGATTCATTTTGTTCGATCTTGCCTGTCTGGCAACCGGCGATCGTTTCTGTTGGTTCTGCTGGCGTTTCTCTGCGTGTTGTCTCTATAGCGAGACATCTCTTCTCGTTGTTTTTATGGTCTCCAGAGGAGATACTGGACTGAGAGCGAAGGGTATAAATGGGCAACTGGGGACGTGAGAGACATTATTTGTCAAAAAATAAAGGAAGGAAGGAAGGAAGGAAGACGGATTGGACTGAATTTGCTGGCTTGTGCGTGGCTGATGAAATCATGGCGGACTTAATAATGGACCCTCATTATCATAATTTTGCCCTATCATTGAGTGACATGGTGACTGCGCTATAATGACCATCTTATGTTGCGTAGGATACGTCGTAGGCAGGAGAATCCGAGACTATGAGCAGTCTGAACATACCAAAGTCTGTTAAGCTTTGGGCATCATTTGATTTTGTCCGTCTGGTGCGTCAAGGCCCTAAGACCAAGACCATTGCGAAAGGGGGATTGGGGGGAAAGGTTGAGGCTGGAATTCTAAAATTGGAAAGGCGATCTGCGCCACCCCCATGATGCAAATGATATGCACGATCACGCTAAAATCAAGATACAAACTGGTAGCCTTGGTCTTGTCTTCACAAAACACTGCTTGCTGCAACGCATCTCTCCAGTTCGCCATCTTGGGACTTAGTTCTCAATGTCGAATTCTCTCAGGCTCTCGTTTGAATCGGACATCTCCCAGTGACAATTAAACCCCTCGTTATTGGCGGGGTGGCCGGATCGCCTGGATGGCCCACAGACGCTCACAAGAACACGCGAGCACGAGCGGCCCTTCGGATGACGAGACTGCTGGCACCTTCGCGATGGCGGACAAAGTAAAGAGAGACCCGAGTCCATTGTCGGGTCCAAGAAGAGTTGCCACGGATCCTGCGCAATCTTCAGCGGCAATGGGTGATCGAAGGTCACAAGACAGAGAGACGCCAAAGGTACGATTCTCGGAGGACCTGGACAGGGCGACCGAATCTGCGACGACTGGCCAAAGATCTGGCACTCTCAGTCTGACAATTGACACCTCTTCGAGTCCTATGAAGTCCAGTGAAGCTCCGGTCCTCGCTGCGGGCATCGTCTCGAAAAAGACGACCACTTCTTTGTCTCCATCCTCCCCACGAACCCGAGACCGAGGGTATTCTTTGAGGAGGTCGTTATTCGCACGAAGTATAAACAATCAAACTGATAATAGCCCAATCGAGCTTGCGGAAGCTGGTTCATCTCGAGAACCTGAGCGGAACAGGCTTGCAGATGGAAAGGTGAAGCAACCACCCTCCGCTGTTAATGTATCCAGAGTCGTCGAGGATTATTTGGATATATCTACAGCTGGTGATGGGGGAAAGTTTCCGGATCGTCCCTCCGCCAAAGGAAATGATAAGAAGATCTTTGGTACTCGGAGTTTGCCAAATTATGCTGCGTGGGCCAAGGAGCGAAGTAAGAAGAATTCTATCACAGAAAAGGCTGTTGCGCTGTGGGATCGAATTTCCGAGAGAACTTTTGGCCAAGCACAAATTCCACCTTCTAGGGATGGGAGACATATCGAAGTCGACGCTTCACGCAAGCATCCGCTCATTGACGAAAGGACTGGAAACGAATACATTGGAAATACGATTCGGTCAAGTCGCTACACAGTTTGGAACTTTGTTCCCCGCCAATTATTCTTCCAGTTCTCCAAGCTCGCCAATGCCTACTTTCTGCTCATCTCTATTCTGCAAATGATTCCGGGTTTGAGTACTACTGGAAACTACACTACGATCATTCCCCTCCTGGTTTTTGTGTCCATAAGTATCGCTAAAGAAGGGTACGATGATTTACGCCGTTATAAGCTTGACCAAGTCGAAAATAATCGGGAGACCAAGGTACTTCATACCTATCAATCTGTCGGTCTGGAATCAAGGGCAGCCAGTGGAGGACGTCTGAGTGGAGAAGAGAACACTTCTCTTCACGCTGAGGGGCCGAAACACTGGGCATCTGTCAAGTGGAGAGACATTCAAGTTGGCGATGTTGTTAAGTTGAAACGAGACGACAATGTCCCAGCCGATATGGTTTTGTTGTATTCTGATGGCACGAACGGAATTGCTTATATCGAAACGATGGCCTTAGACGGAGAGACCAATTTGAAGAGCAAACAGGCACCACCAACGTTGGCAAAACGTTGTACCTCCGAGGACGACATAGCTTCGTGCTGCGCCTTGGTCGTTGTCGAGGACCCAAACATTGACCTATACAACTTCGATGGACGTGTTACTGTTGATGAAGAGACACTGCCATTAACCGCCAACGAGACAATCCTCCGTGGAAGCACTCTCAGAAACACGTCGACAGCAATTGGGATGGTCATCAACACAGGAGAGGAGTGCAAGATTCGGATGAATGCCAACAAGTCTCCACGCATAAAATCGCCAGCGATGCAGGTAATAAGCAACAAGATCGTTGTGTTGCTGGTAGTCTTCGTCGTTCTTCTTTCGTTGTTCTGCACCATTGCTTATCAGATCTGGTCCGAAAACGTGGAAGAGAAAAGTTGGTATTTGGCAAATGCCCACGTACCTTTCGCCCAAATCATTATAGGGTTCATAATTCTCTACAATACGCTGATCCCATTGTCACTTTATGTGTCACTGGAAATCATCAAAGTTGGGCAACTGATTCTCATGAGCGATGTGGAGATGTATGACCCTGTATCCGACAAACCTATGGTCTGCAACACGACAACAATCCTGGAAAACCTTGGCCAGGTAGACTACATCTTTTCCGACAAGACTGGTACCTTGACCGACAACGTAATGAAATTCCGTAAGCTCAGCGTTGCTGGCTATGCCTGGCTTCATGACGTTGACCTCCAGAAGGAAGTTGCTTTACTTGAGCAACACCATGAAGCTGCCGAAAAGGAGAAATCAAAACTTAAGGGCAAGGGAAAGGGCATTGCTAAGCGTCATTCAAAGAAGAATGCCTCTCGATCGGCCCCGGATAGAGGTACTGTGTCGGAGAGTTCTAGCTCTAGAATACTCCGGTCTGATTCAGTTCGAAGGTCCGCCTCTCTTTCTCTCTGGAAGTCATCGGCTCGGCCTTCTAAAGTGCAGCCGGAGATGCGAACTGAAGATCTCCTGAAATTCATGCAGCACAGACCTCACAGCATCTTCACGAAGAAAGCCAAGTTTTTCCTCCTTTCGCTTGCACTGTGCCATACCTGCCTGCCAGAAGTTCAAGAGAGTGGAGAGATCGACTTCCAAGCCGCTTCACCGGATGAATTGGCACTTGTCAAAGCAGCGCAAGAGCTAGGATTTATGGTTATTGATCGACCAGCACGCTCTATCACCTTGACCTACCCAGGTGGACCAGATTTCATGGAGCAGATTACGGAGTCCTACGAGATTTTGGATGTCATCGAGTTCTCGAGTAAGAGAAAGCGAATGTCCATAATTGTTAGATTTCCCAATGGCAAGATCTGCATCTTTTGTAAGGGAGCGGACTCTGCAATCATGCCCCGGTTGAAGTTGGCCCCTCTAGCGATGGAGAAGAAAAAGGAAGTTTTGAGGCGATCTAGTGTCAGGAAAAGCATGGAGGCAGACCAAGCCCTACGACGGCTGAGCGAAAACAGTCCAAGGACCAGCTTTAGTCGGCCGAGCGTGAGCGTTTCCCGTCGAAGCCGGAAAAGCATTGGTAACGGCCGGTCAAGTATGGCTAGTGCAAGACTGCAACCTATTCGGGATGAGCTGGATTCTTGGCTCAAGCAACGAGAGCATGACGTGGACGTGGAGGCGGGACCAGAAGATCTAATTGCGTATCAGTCGCCAAGAACATCTATGAATAGGATGTCTTTCGCGTCCGACCGGCGGTTCTCATCGTACGAAGATGATGTGCACGATCTTATAGACGAGGATCTCGTGCTGGATGAGGCTTCAGTATTCGAACGCTGCTTTCAGCATATCGATGACTTTGCATCTGAGGGCTTACGGACTCTTCTTTTCGGCTACAGATTTTTGGAAGAACATGAATTTTCCAGTAACTTAACTTTCCCGATGGACACTGACGTGACCTAACATGCTAACGATTATCTAGGCTGGAAGAAGTTATATCTTGATGCAACAACAAGTCTTGTAGACCGCCAGAAGTTGATTGAGAACGCTGGCGAAATGATTGAACAGAATTTCGATTTGGCAGGTGCAACCGCGATCGAGGATAAACTTCAAAAAGGCGTTCCAGAGACAGTCGATAAATTACGGAGAGCAAACATTAAGATATGGATGCTTACTGGTGACAAGAGAGAAACTGCCATTAATATCGCCCATTCTGCGAGGATTGCCAAGAACTATTCCGAAGTTGTCATGTATGTGCATCCCTTGTGCATTTCACCTTAATCCCCTTGAGTCATAATATATTTCTGCTCCGTCGATTGCCTCTTGGTTTGCTGAGCGTCAAATGCTAATCCGAAAATTGCTTAGACTGGACCATAAAACTGGTGAAGTTGAACAACGGATGGCCACAACACTGCTGGACATCACTAAGGGTGCCATTGCACACTCGGTCATTGTTGTCGATGGCCAAACCCTCAGCGAGATCGACGCCAATGAGACACTGGCCCTGCTTTTCTTCGATCTCGTCGTCCTTGCAGATTCCGTGATCTGCTGTCGGGCCAGTCCCAGCCAGAAAGCTTCTCTAGTCAAGAAGATCAGGACGAAAGTCAAGAAATCGATTACTTTGGCTATCGGCGACGGTGCCAATGATATTGCTATGATTCAAGAGGCACACGTTGGTATTGGTATCAGTGGCAAGGAAGGTCTCCAAGCTGCAAGAATATCCGATTATTCTATCGCCCAGTTTCGATTTTTGCAGAGGCTTCTGCTTGTCCACGGCCGATGGAATTATGTCAGGACGGGTAAATATATTCTCGCGACATTCTGGAAAGAACTCACGTTCTACTTGGTACAAGCTATCTACCAAAAGTGGGCAGGGTACACTGGTACCTCACTGTTCGAGTCCACGTCTTTGACCGTTTTCAATACGCTCTTCACATCACTTCCTGTTATATTCCTAGGCATTTTCGAACAAGATCTCAACGCATCAACTTTATTGGCTGTACCGGAATTGTACATCCAAGGCCAACGGAACGAGGGATTCAATATTAAAAAATATCTAGGCTGGATGTTCATGGCCGCTTCCGAATCTATGATCATTTTCTTCACCATGTATGGTCTATATGGCAGTGTGTTGTGGACAAGGGACAATGATATTAACTTGCTGTCCATGGGCACAATGTGCTTCACTGCCGCCGTGGTCTTCATCAACACGAAGACGTTGTAAGTTATCTGAAAATCCTGTTCCAGAATTTCAAGTTCTCCAGCAGTGCTGACAATCAAACAGGATCCTCGAAATGCACAATAAGACCTACATGTCGGCCCTTGGCTGGCTCATCTCGATCGGTGGATGGTTCCTCTGGACTCTTTTCTTGTCCGCTGTCTACAAACCGGGAAAGATGTACCCGCTCTACCCCATCAAAGACGGCTTCATCAAATTCTTCGGCCATGATCTCTTATGGTGGATGGTACTAGCCCTTTCTCTCGCTTGTCTCATACTTCTCGAAATCGGTGCCAGCAGCGTCAGAAAGGCATTCTGGCCTACAGACACTGATGTCTTCCAAGCACTGCAGAAGGATAAACTTATCAGGCAGAGGTTTGAAGAGACGATAAGAGCGGAACAGGAAGGCGGTGGCGAAGTAGAGATGGCCAGGGAGAAGACGAGTACGCAAGCTCGAAGGGAAATAGAGATCCAAGAGTTGTTGGATAGGCCTCGTGTCATGGATGGGGCTGTCACAGACGCAGAAGTAGTGAGAAGCCCTGTGGAGATGAACGAATCCAGCGTGATTCGCAGCGCGAGCGGCAGCCATCTTACGAGAAGGAAGTTCTCGACAGATGGTCATGGTAGAAGGGGAGGGGCCACGGAGGAGTACGAGCTTGTAGCCCGCAAATCTGTGCCTCCGAAGACAAGACATTCGGTTGATATTGCTGAAATACTTGAGAGGAGATAGCGGGAATTACTGATAATTGCATCCTTGGTTGTATTACTGGGGACCATTGGGTTTGGATTGCGGGGCAACAGGGCGGCTGGCTGGCTGTATGATACGGACATTACACATATACTGGATGCTGGGCTGGCTGGTTGGATAAAATATGGGTTTGGGTTTGCCACGGAGTGTACATACGGAATGGCGCTTGATATCATTTATGTGGCTTCTGCATCTTAATTCACTGTAGAAATTGAAAATCTTCTTCATGCACATCAAGGTGCTGACTGAAGTCAAAAGTGGTGTGAAAAGGCTTTCTATTGGTTGTTTCTGTCTACTCACTAGAAGCAATTCTGCCACCTTCGCCTTGCTTTATCTTCAGTTCGACGTTGCAAATCATACTTTCGTGCCTTGTCATGAAGCCCTCACGCTTCACAGAATTGTGCCAAAGCCAAACGTCTGCTTAATGCTCCGGACGTAGTACTCTCCCCAATTTCTCTTCGTGACCTCTTCTTGGCCAACGGGAACTCCACTCCAGCTAACTCTCATCACAGTGACATTATCGACATCATTTTGATCAAAGCTGATCTCGAGACGAGAATAATGTCCCTTTGGCCATTGATCCAGTCTCCAGCTTTGAACGATCTGGGTGGGCTCAACAAGCTCGAGGTATTCGCCGGAAACGTTGCCTCCGAATAACTCGAACTTGCCACCCTTCTTGGCACCTTCAAATACCTTTGGTGCCGCGCGGGTGAAGGCTGCGATGCGTTGTGGGTCCGTGAAGGTCTGATAGAGCTCTGAGGCTGGTGCGCGGAATTCTTCTGTATCGGTAACGGTTGTAGTATTGATGGAAGAGCTGCCGCTTTGGCTTGTTTGGGTTGTGCTGGTTGGCTGGGAGGTAGCTGAGCTTGACGGGACGTGCAGTTTTGGAGTGGAAAATCCGCTCGACGGGTTGGAGCCAGGAGCGTGTTGGATGTCCTTGCCGTGTTCAGCAATCAAGGCTGGACCGAGCTTTGCAAATTCCTTTCGGAGTTGTGGGACGATTTTGGCGCGGACTAAGTCTTTAACAGGTGCTTTGGAGCTGGCATCAGAGTAAATGTCTATGTCAAACTGCGAGATGTTAGTTGAGCCATTTCAGCCGTCCAAAGGGGACGGGGAGACATACAACGTACTCATTTTCTTCCGTATCATGGGCCACCTCCGGGACTGTAATCGTACCGCTAACCTCCTCATCGTCCTTAGTGGTGCCTTCAGCAGTTAGTCAAGGTTGAGCTTTTGTGACCGCATTGAACCTACCAGAATATTCAATGACCAGCTTGACATCAAAAATAGTGATGACTTTGCCCTTCCGCTGGTTGACATCGACATCTCCATCCATGCTAATGAGCTTGTCTAATTTGGCAATCACCCCACCTTCCTCAGCCTTCAGATCCTTAATATTCTCCTCCAAAAACTGCTTCGTCCAAGCCGAGGCATCCTTGTTCACCCAGTGCCAGTTATTTGGATTGTGGAGGACCATGGCAGGCAATTCTCGAGGCGGATCGACTTGAGGGCAGGTCTGAAGCCTTTGATCAGCGCGGGGTATCAAAAGTTGCATGAAAAAGAGGGTGACTATTTTGGAAAGTTCAGAAAGAGACCCGAAGGTCAGCGCATAGTAAATCAGCTGTTGGTACAAAGCAACATAATACTGGTGCCAGCAAGATATTTCATCATTAGAGAAAGGGAAATGGTGGGTTCTTGATTTCGGCGACTGGTAGCTTACCTTCAGATTAGCAGCCCTCTTCTGAAGTCAAATTGTACGGTCAATTCGTCGCAAGCTGAGTCGAGTGCGCCGCAGAGAGTGTATTGTGTATGGTCGAAGCGGTGCCAGTCTTCCTCCTGTCGCGTGTGGGTTGGGAAGGTTGGCATGAGGCTCACGCAGTGAGAAAGTTCGAGAAACTCTTCGAGGCTTGAAAATCTATGGTCCTTGCTTAGCGCCCACGACACGTGACCACAGCTTCTGTATCAGGAGTGTGTGCGCGTTGCGGGACATTGGTTAACAGAGCAAAGTACTCCCAAATACCCAAATGGCCAGTGTATGAACCGAGGACTACGATGAAAGCCGCCGAAGGGACACCGCTGATCGGCTCCTTGGACTTGGGGAAACTCCTAGCCAGCGCCCAGTGGCGCTCACTATGGCTGGCTCATCAGTCTGGCCATGACTCTGCCACGGGATATCCGGATCTCTTGCACCTCTCCTGGTGCACAGCCATGACAGCCACTCCTAGGAAGTATCACAAGAGAGATTGTTCAGCAGATCATTGGGAGATTTCAAATATATGTTTGGCATCTTTCGATTCGGTCACAAGACACGGATCAATCCGAATCGACGTCATTTTCTCCTCTCCTTGCTCTTGCTCTCAGCCTCTCACGCGACTCGAAACCAGAGCTGCGGAACAGATTGATAAGATCCGAGATATGCATGAGGGCCACCATCTCGATCCCAGCCGAAGAACGGCCTAGGACTGGCCGAGGAATCTGATACTAGTGAAATCAACAAGCCTTCCTCCTTGTGGCAATGCGAGCTCCGCAGCTCCCGTCCATAGCCAGTGATCACATGTTTTCTCCGACCAGAAGTGAGGTGGCCAAACCTCAAAATGACGTTGAGTTCGAAACGCTGCCCCGAGGGCCGGAATCCCTTCAAGCCTTTGGCTATCTTTTGTCGGTCTCGACTAAGCTTCTTCTCATCGCTTCCTTGACTGGCCGACTAAATTTACTAAGTCTGTTACCAATCTTTAGTTTTATGCATCGCCCATCCCTAGAAGGTACCGTATTTAACTCTGTTGTTCCATCCACCACTATGTCTCATTAGTCGTCCTTCGAATATCTTCTTTCCCCTTCCCAGCTTCATTGTTCCTACTAAGCCCGGACATTTAGCACACTTTGGGAAAGTTTCTTCTTAATATCTAACAATATCCTCACCGGATGTGTGTTGATCAGCATGGCGGTAATATGGGGACTCGACCTAAGGGAGATGCAATGGGGGAAGTTCAAAGGGTCTTATATGTTCAACCAGGATTACCACCTACGCAGAACGAAGATGATTGTCTACCAGATCGCCATGATTCTCTGCGTGTGTTCAGAATCTGTTGGAACGGCCGCGTTGTCAGGTTTGACACCTCATACTCCTAAAACATTGGCCGATGCTAACTCCGTCATCAGATTACGTGGACCAACAAGATGGCATAACAACGCGAACTAGTCCACTGGTCAAAGTCCATAATAACGATATTGTTGGAACCTTCAGTTACAACATTTTTGTTGGGATCGCCGTGGCGACCATCTTTGGATCGGGATTCTTCTTTGACCTTTTCTGGCCGGAGAGAAAAGAAAGCAAGTCTGTTCGACTTGCTTGGAAGATCTGCTCTCTTCTCGTGTCTTTTATGGCACTTGCAGATGCATTGGCGCTGACAGTGAGTGCAACTACCCTGAATAGAGACAAATATTGAATCATCGCACAGGTCGTTGTTGCAACACACCGTTCCACCATTACCGGAGTATCAGCAGGAGCTGCAGCTTTTCTCTTCCGCGAGAATGGTCCACCAAATCCTATTTACAGAAAGAACGCCTATTGTGTCGCATCAGTCGTTTTATTGTGGCCAGGGATGATAGCGTCGTTTGCCAGTACATATATTATGTTTAAGTCGATTCAGCACGATGACAAACTTGGGCCTAGGTCTTCGAAGTATAGCGGAGATAAGGGGGTGGAAGTGTTTATTGATATGGCACCTCAGGCCCCTAAGCCTACACTAGCTGCAAATGGTGCAACTCAACCGGAACCATACCAAGGCACTTAAGCATTTGTTCGGCGTTCAGGCAAAAGGAACAGAGATTCGGAAAGACTGGCAAATATTACGATACCCCTAAGTTGTTAAAACGAAGTCAATTGATAGTATCTTTTTTGCAACATAATATTTAGTGACCAAATCTTCCGTGTTACATTGTCACTATAAATGGCAGATGCTCCATATCCCAAGACATTGCAGATATGACATAAAGAGGTTCCAAAATGAAGTAAGCACCACCAAGAAATATGTCCAATAAAAGTGCAAGCACCGCCGGTCTGAGTCAACCGGCCAATGCACATTCGATGAAGCTGAAGATCCCTACCAACATCCGAGATCTCTCGTTGAAGACCATTTTATAGAGCTTTATAATTGCCCTTCACACTTCACACTTTACACTTTCATAACATTCACCAAAATACAAGCTGACCACACTAACTTACTCTCCAACACAATCCTCTCAAACCCACAATATCCTCCCCAACCATCACGCTGCACCCCGCAAACTCCCTCGATATCCCCGCCCTAGCTCAAATCTCCCGAGCCGCCTTCTCAACCGACACGCACACACGCCTCAAATCACTCATCAAAGGCACAAACCACGCTCAAGAAATGGCCCCTGCTCTCACTTCCTGGCTCGCACGCCCAGGATCAAAGTGCACAGTCATGAAAGCCGTGACTCCTGAAGGGTAGACGATTGGTTGGGCGTGCTGGGCGTTTGTTGGTTTCGAGGATGGTGGAGGAGGTGGAGGAGAGAATGTTCCACCCCCCTTGGAACAAGCTGTCAAAGTCGAAGAGCCACAGCAGGAAGAAGAGAAGAAGAAGAAGAAGAAACGCTGGGATTAGAGTGAGAGAAGGAGAAGATAAAGGAACTCAGCGCCATAACCGGCACCTCAATGCGAGAATGGGAAGCCAAACTCACGCCACCGGGCAGCAAATGTATAATCCTAGTCGCTATCCCCGTGCTGCCTGCTTACTAGGGAAGAGGAATAGGCTCCGTGTTGATTAGATGGGGGACGGGCATTGCTGATGCGGAAGGGGTGTGTTGCTGGGTTTATTCTTCCGATAAGGGATGGACTGCATTCCAGAAAGGGGGGTTTGGGGAGGTTGGACAGTTGGACGTGGAGTTAGACGATTTTGCTGGGGAGGTGAGGAATGAGGGAGGAGAGGATGAGAGGTGGAGGAAGTATGTGTTTCGTTATATGCGGCGAGAGGCAGTCACACAGGGGTGATAAGAGGGATGATGTGACTGCTGTGTATTGTAATCTAGAATACCAATATCAGCACCAATGATGTAAAAAACACATCGCTGATTCTTGCTGCCACATTGTAAGTGCGGAGCAGGTAGTAATGCAACGCAATGCAGTGATACTTAGCATCCTCCAACTCCATTCACATAATTTCGTGTTTACACAAACAATATCCCCATAAAAAAATCTTCGCTATGCATGCAACTACCGTTTAGGTAGCACCGAGACGCCAGTGCCAAATTACAATAAAGAGTTATGTATTCCACCATGCGCCTCTCGCAGATCCTTCATTAGTGTTACGTCATCGTTCATTGGTCTTCGTCTTCTTCTTCGGCAATAACTTGGTCTTCATCAAATCGTAGGAGGTTTCGAGTGCCACGTTGTGAGGCTGGAATGCCGTCTCTCGAAGCACCAAAGTCGAGAACCTAGGAGAATGTTAGTGGGTACTTTAACGATACTTGTATAACTAAACTTACCTCTACATATGTAAGATTGTTACGTTGCACAGCAGCAACACATCTCCGCTCGTCGAATTTAACTTGCCAAACTCCGCTGAGGTTAGTCAAGAGATCCTTCGTGCATTCGCCTGTCTTGATGTTCCATAACTTCAACGTCCTGTCTGATCCGGAGATAACCTTTTGGCCATCATGTTGAAAGCAGGTAATGGCACCGGTATGAGCACTAAGAGTGCTTTTGCACTGGCCGTTTTCTGGGTCCCAAATTCTGAGAGTAGAATCTGCAGCAGCTGAAACAAGGCGCTCATCACGTAAGTCAAGCAAGCCAACTAAAGAGGTATGTCCCTCAAGAGTGAATAGACAAGCACCTGTTTCAAGGGACCAGATCTTGACGAAGTTGTCCATCGATCCACTGATACACCGATTGCGCTTGTGGTCCAAAACGACGCTGTAAACCTTCATGGCATGTCCTTGGAGACGCCATATTGTCTCTCCTGTCGATATCTTCCAGACTCTAACGGTATTGTCGTAACTACCACTGACCAGTGTATCTTGATGCGCAGCAATCGCACGCACAGAGTGGAGATGGCCAGTCAGCACGCGTACAAAGTATGGGCAATCGGCGTCATTTGCTGGAGGTCCTGTCTGAATGTAACGCTTAGAGCCTTGTTCAGGCAGTCTCCAAACTCGGAGTTGAGAATCCCTGGACCCGGTAATGATCAATGGCTTCTCGGGAACCATGATCGGCTTGCCCTTCTCAGTGACTCCAGTCATCTCGGGCATAAGGATTTGCAGGCATCGGACGGTAGATGTATGCCCATGGAATACCTGGGTGCATAGACCCTTCTCAATGTCCCATACTCGGACAGAACGGTCGGTGGATCCAGAGACTAAGACATTTCCTTCATATTGTAAAGCCCAAACACCACCTTCATGTCCCTCAAGCTTCTTTCGTAGGACTCCTGTCTTGGTGTCATATACATGGATAAGAGTGTCGTCCGAACCAGTCAAGATCTTGTCATCATCGAACTGAAGACATGTAATGACATGTGAAGGGTGAGCCTGGAAGGCAAAGTGATGTGGTGCCACTTTCCCACTCATCCAGCTATGCTGGAGCATGTGATGGCGACGATAGAGAGACTTGAAGAGATGTAGTTTCCGCAGGCCAGGCAAACCCAATTCTGGATCAGGAACAGCGATGGCAGCAGCGTTGGCAGCACTAAGTGGACCCTCCGACTTGTGGAATCTGGCTGTGTGAGGGTATCTTGCAACCATGCCTTGGGCCTTGTCCGCAAATTCATGACCAGTAGCTCTCCGCTTTGATCTGTCTGACCCTAAACCTCCAGGAGCTCGCTTTCTCTTTGCGGCCGAGCGCCCCTTCCTGGAAGGTCCAACGTCGACTTTGGTATTTGCCATATCTCCCTCAGAGGATGAAAGGAATCCTCGTTGGACACTCAAGTCTTGCTCACATCCATCCGGGCCATAAGGATCCTGCCAGCCCCAGCCCTGTTGGATGGCTTTCTCCAATTCTCCGGTGGGGAGAACAAACCCATCGTTATCAAACAATTCCTTCCAGCCTGTCTCGTTCGAATCCACAATGTTCCTCCATTGCTTCGAGACTTGTGCAGCTTGGCAGAGATCAACATGGTTTAGAAAGCTGAGAATGTGGAGACTCAATTCCATGGGTAGCTGATCCAGAAAATCGCACTTCAAAGCAGGATTGACCACGTCTGCTATGACATGAAGAGTCTTTCTGGAACATCGCTTAAGGAAGTGACACATCATGAATGTCTTCATATCGTTGGGCATCGCAGCGAAGGTCTCGATCATAAAACGCGTGTCCACAATAGACGGAACACCGTTTCTGGGCTGTCCAACTTCTGTTTGGAATGCATGCAAAGCCTGCGAATCCAACTGTTCAATATCTTCACTGTCGATAGTTTCTTGACTGTCGCCTGACTGGGTCGCAGGGCTACCCGCGACAAGCTCGTCTTCTTCGGTGGCATGTGGGAACTCTCCTTGCCGAAGCTCTGCAGAGGCAAAAGTTGGCGATAGGCCTGGACTTGGTAAACTAGCATTTTGTGCAGCAGCCGTGTTGATACTTGGCCGTTGACCAGGAGCTTGTGCGAAAGTTGAGTTGGCTTCTTCGAAAGGCTCCAAATCGGACTCCGCGATAGGAGGTGTAGCGACAGCGTTAGCGAAAGACTCCGTACTCGAGGTATCTTGTGGGCTTGGTACATCTTCAAAGGAATCGTTTTGACTCAGTCCCGAGCGTGGCGTATATGTGCTTTCGAAGAACGAGGAAGCTGGTCGAGTCCGTCCAGTAGTGGATGAATCATGTTCGGACATATCAGGAGTCGCGGGGAATGTGGGATCTTCAGACATAAGCATACCCAATCCGAGGTTTCGGCGTCGTAATAAATCCTTCTGCATCTCTAGGTCTTCATCTTTGGTCTTCAGCGGGATGTGTTTCCTAGACTTGCGGAATATCGAATCTGTGGATTTGGGAGATCCTGGCCATGCTTCCGGCGCGCCTCTTGCTGACCGTCTTTGGTTGATTGCCGCTAATTTCTTGGAAACGCTTTCTGCGCGCTGGAAGTCTGCTTTCCCCCCTGCGGGTGCCTTGTAGGCCTTCCCGCTCTGTAGAGCCATTCGCCCGTTGTTAACATTATGGTGATTGTCGGTATGAGTTTGGGAGCTCGGCCGCGCACCCTATATAATTAAAGATCAGTTTAACTCAATTAAAAACATCCCGCCACTCCACAGGTATGAGAACAGACCTCTGAAAGCGGAACATGATCATTATCCTCATAGATGTCTTCTAGCTCGTCGTTGATATTGTAAGAGAAGTTGGTGACCCCGTCAGGAATGGCTTTCAAAGCTAATGGATATTCCTTCGTGTCTAATTTGTCCAGCAACTGCTCCTTGATCAGCAGAGGAGGATATGATCGTTTGGTTGTCGTGGTAGTCGTGACGGTTTTCGTTTCGATGCATTCCGCAAGCTCTATTTGTAGTCTCGAAGTGCGTCGAGGACTTGGGTCATCACCTTCGATCCACTCTATCGACACGGTTTGGTTCCTGGAGCGAGGTTGCATCTCGGTCTCCCCCTGCATTGACTTGGAGTTCGAGGTAAAAGGATTCGGTGAACCGTCAGGCGTGAAATTGTGAGCTGAACCAGAATTTGCACTTGGAATTACACCTGGTCTCCGCTTGATATTAGGTCGAGCCGGCGGGTCCATGGTGAAGATTGCGATGTTACGCCCCTCGGTGTTCGTTGAAAAGTAACCGGGACTTCAGCCCAGCCCCTCCGACGCGTCCTTGACACGAGACCACGGACGCGTTCTAAGCCCTTCGCTGCTCACTTCCACCAATATCTTATGAGTCTGCTAAGAGCACCATAGCAAAATGTCCCCAGGTTTTCGTGGATGTTCAGAGCGGGGTGGGGTGGGCAAGTTGACGAGTTGATCCGATAGATGCAGGTTGGAATGCCAGAACTCGAAGCAAGAAGAAATTTTCCTGGTCTCTCGAGGATCAAAAGATTCACGTGAGGAGAAGCGGCAGAATAGCAGGCGCAACAGAAAGGATGGTCGAGAAGTCGTTAGGCGTAAGGTCCAGCGCCCGTGTTGAAGGCGGAGTTGAAGTTGAGGTTGGGGGAAGTTCGCCAAGCCACAGTCTGACAGAGCGGCGAGCCGGACCCTGCCACTCACAGCCAAGCGGAAAGGATCTTACCTCGGAAAAGCTCCTTATTGCCACAATTCCTCGAGCTTCATGATTTCGAAATTTTGTATTGCTTCCCCAAATCCCTATGGCTTGTAGATCCATATCATCCCTAATGTCAAAGATTGTTCGTCCCTGCCAGAAAGAGATTTTTGATTCCCCCTCCGTGGATTTTCCACCCGAATAACCCCGCCATAAGCCATCACTCTGACAGAGTATTGCCGGGCTAGGCCGAACACACTTGCCTTTTTGACGAAGTACTTCTTTCCTTCGTAACTTTGGCAGGCCGGCGTTGCCATCTGTCTCTACTTCACTATTGTCACCAGTTCAAACCGCTTCTATTTGGTCAATCTTCTTCCCGCGCACGAAAATCTATTGCTCCACATCATTTCTGCACGTTACCCTTCTTGATACTTGAGGGTGGCACAACCCATCTTGAACAATCGCTAAGTTGCCTCCAGAGGACCTGAGATTGTATGGCAAGTTTTGAGACAATGTTGAGGGCCTTTCGCCTTTCCAGTAAGTGTTCCGTCTTTTGATTGGTATTAGCATGCACCGCCTGTCAACAATTAGATCATCAACATCTCCGTCCGTTGCTGATCGTATTGTTGGGGGATTAAACAGACATTCCTTGACATCCGCGGTCCCACGCAAACTCCGAGATGGTACACTCTACAACGGATACTGATCCCGAACCATATAATTTCCGAGTCCCACTGATTCCTGTTGACCGTCTTCCGCATCTAGCCTTGGCTTGTCAATGTGAAAATGCAGGAGAGACGTTTCTTCCAGGGGTGCTATTTCTTAAACACCCTCATTCCGAGCTGGAGAGAATTTGTATCCTCCCAAACTCTCACTTGTAGGCAATCGTTTTCATGTGCCGGTGTCCGTATAGCCTTCTTAAGGTTATGCCCATCCAGCCCATTCAAGTTGGCCATAAGATATACTCAAGTGTTCCCCTCTATGCTGAGCTATGTGCCATCAGCACTCCCCTGGCATGATCTAAAGCCTACGCTGTCTCTGAGTAGATAGCGGAAATCAAAAGTCATGACATTACCCTCAAAAAGCGTACTTGGAACGATTAAATTCAGCAGAAGAGCCCGCATTCACTCCCTTTAATGGATTTATTGTCAAAATCTCGAAATAAGAAAGGCTAGTTGGAGGCCAATATCCTGTCCTGCCTGACGGGAGGGAATTGTAGGAGAAGAAGTTTTAAGTTTTTTTCTTCCTGCATGTAGCCTCAATGTCCCTCGAGTTTCTGGGACATTGGAATTGTCCTCAAATGTGAGTGAACCTCCGAGTCAACCTCTTGATCCTGGAAGTTGGAGGTGAATACTGTGTTGAAATTGTTATTTTGTTGCTCGTCACTTCAATGTACGAAATGTTATGGTACATTGAAGTTTTCCTGGAGTTGGGGAGTGGATCTGCAAGGAAGGCGGAGGGTGAAGACCAGCGTTTCCCTCCAGCAGACTTCGTCGTTCGGTGCTATTTACCCAAACTTGCTTCACAAGCAGCAACATGTCGACAATGCAGTGCCAAAGATGCAATTCCCTCTATTCCCATGCTCGGTATTACAACAAGGACTCCGCTCACTGAACGCAATTTCATTACTGGTCACAGGACTGGAGTCGACAAGGTCACTCTTTCCAAGCCAGGGGGTGTGCCTCCGGAAAGGGAAAGCGCTAACAAGCGATGCAATTCCTTTCCTCCATCTCCAATCCCATCTCATCACCTCCCCTCTTCATCCCATCATTTCATCAATGTGCCTGGTGGTTCGAGTTTCCTGACGCCCTCAACGCAACACCCTTCTCTGCAGTCTAGCCCGCAGCAGGCCAACTCCACTGAGCCTCTCAACGCCTCACGATGGCTCAAAAGGGAAAAAAGGGAAAGGCAAAGAAGGCCAGTCGCCCAAAGCCCTCTCAACCTCCGACCCATCTAGTCCAGGCTCCTCCCAGGCATATTCACCCACCCAGTTCCGAGGTTGTACTCACTGATGAGCACAGTCTTGAGATAGTCAAGACTGTTATCACTGCAACTGTAAGGCGTTCCCTTTCGGAACAGGCTTAAAAAAGCTAACTTTCCACCTCCCAGATGCTTGAAATCATCTTCATTCGGTTTGGCTCCTTCTCCTGTCGAATCTGGGAGAAATTCTATGCTTACTTTGTGCCTTCAGACGCGTTTTCCCCGAACACGATTGGCAGAACTATGCCTGGGATCCTGCTGATCCAAGCATTACCTATGATTCGTTCGTTGAAGGCGTTGAAGGCAAGGACAGACCCAGTTATGAAGCGACGGACAACCTCATGATGTGGCACTTCCCAAAGCGTGGCAAAACCCCGGGTCTGGACAAATTTCTCGACTGTCTCGTATGTCTGCTCACATCCCCTCCGATACTTGCTAATTGTAACACTAGGAGTCTGGAGCTCAAGATGCGCTTGGGAAAGGCTACCTGCGCAAACTCAACCTCTCCATTGCTCGCATGGATGATGGTCCGATTACTGAGGCAAATCTCATCGAGTCTTACACTGTCAAATTCTCCTATGACAGCGGCAACGTTGTTTCACAGATCTATTCCGAGACAGGAGACATGAGATCAAGCACACCACAACCTGTTGTGCTTCTTAACGTCAAGAACGGGGCACGCAAGCTACTGAACAACGTAGCCAGTTACCTCTGGAATAGCTCGAAGCATGGTGAACTCCAGGACTACCCTCTGCCGAGTAAGTTCCCTGCATGGAATGTTGGCCGCTTTTCCCCACTAATCTATGTTGGTCCCAAAGCTTCCTTTCGAATGATCATGGCAATGGACTACAACGATGGCACCCCACCCGACTATCAGGCACCTCGTTTTCACCAAGGCGATGAACACGCTTCACGCCTCATCAATTTGGGCCATTTTAGTGAGAATCGTGTGATGAACACTGGATATCACAGGTACGCATGAAGATCTCCGTCCAAGACGAAACTGGTGGCTCACGATGCGAAGAGTTTCAGTTGGCTGGCATCTATCAGGAGCAGTCCAGCAGCCAACCCAGACCAGTCAGCCTGTTGACAACGGCGATTCGAGACCAACCCGGATCACTCGTTCTATATGCAATCCTCAGACGCCAGTTATGCGCGGCCGACAGCAGTCTGTATCTTCGGAGCTTGGAGGACAAACACAGCCAGATGCCATGAGACAGATTGGTGGAATGGTAAGATCCATTCCTCCCAAGAAGGACTGTCGCTAACAGCTAATTGTCGAAGGGTGCATTCAGGCAACCAAATACAGATACACAAGACACCCGACCTTTGTATAACCGGTCCTTCTCCGCTACCCGTAGCTCCGCGAAGAGACGTCGTACCGGGCATGCGCAGCCCAGACTCAGATATCCCCCTTATACCCAAAGCGTCATTGATCTCTTCGACAGCCAAGGCTGCACCAGTACATCGGGAGATGTTGATTGTGACTGCGGTGCAGAGGGCGATTCCGGTGACTTGGTAAGGCTATCTATTGAAACTTTGATTTGCTTGACTAATCGTCGCAGGTTCACTGCTTGAAGTGTGGAAGCTCCCATCATGCTCAGTGCTATGGATACCTTGATGGTAGTCACCCGGTAAACGTCGTGTGTTACCTGTGTCTTCTACATCCAGACAACGGCCCCAAGGAGCACGAATTGTACCAGGAAATGCAGCACTTATGCGTCAAGAGACGAGTTTTACATTATCTACTTGAACACGGACCTTCCGCCCATATTAAGCGCCTCAAAGAATATGCCAGTAAGCATCTAACTATGCTGGTGCTTTGTTGGAATACTGATTCTAACATTTGCAAGGTATCCCTGAAAATCTAGGAGTGATTGAAGCATTCTTGGAAGAGCTGGAGCATGGAGGTTACATTAAGATTGAACTGGGCCTCCTCAACGATAAAGCCTCAGTTGCATTCTATACTCTCGCGGCGGATGAAAAGACGATTCGCAGCAACTACTTCCGCCCACAACAGAAGATCAGCCACCATGTAGGTCGCTTTCCTATTGCTATACAATCAATTCGTTCTGACACAAGCCCCATAGTTTGCCGTGCCAGAAACACCACCTACTGCTCAATTCAACGGTACTTTGGGTGGTCAATCGGGCAGCCAGAATCCAACTTTGACAACTCCAAACCTTGCCGAATCCCAGGGACTTAGCCAGGCTACTCGACGACTTCTTCTTGCGGATGCTAGCAGTACCCAGGACACATCAAGTCCCCAGTCTAAGTCTTACAGCCGCTCACGAACCTTCAGCCCCGCAGGGTCTCCTCAGGCAGCCCAGACTATGACACCTGCCGTCAGTCGTGGCTCATTCAACAAGAAACGTGTTGCAGATTTAGATATCGGCGGGATTCCTCCTAAGCGTCGCAACCCTGCTGTCATCAGCCCATGGATTCGCCGAATTGACGGCACGGAAGAATGACCTGGGGGTGCTCCAATTCACTTAATATTTTATGGTGACTCGTGTTTCTGAAAAATGGAGGTATGAAATATGGCTGCGGTTTACTGAAGAGGTTAGTTACACTTGCCGCATTCGCCGCTTGAAACATACATTGCCAGATGCTCCAAAAAGTTGAAGCCAAAAACCACAGATAGCTGTAGCCTTGAACCTTGCCAAATACTTTAGCTCAACAAATCAATCTATACAAAACCCGCACTTCCTCGTGGCTGAGTATCTCTTGGCATTGATCTGGCATCGTCAAACGCCAGCCTGAATCGGCAACTCCCAAATTATGTGGGGGACATGACTCGAGCAGCAAGTATACAAGCCTCCAAAACAAGACAATGCCCACGAAGGTTGTGGGCTGTCCCCGCGTCTTTATGCTTTTCATCGATTGTGCTTTGACGACGTGGAAAAGGAATCAGAATCAAACTGGAAATTCAATATGATACCTCGCAGGAAGTTTCTAAAGACGGTTCACATGTCCTCTTTTTCAATAGCATAAATCAATTCTTCGGCAGTGGCTTTACAGGGAGCGGCTCGACCGTTCGAGGTTCGCACCAGTGGTGTCTGAACGTCTGGCATCCAATAATGGCGATCTGCTCTAATTTCCACACCACTGAAACCGATTGTTCACCATCCTTGCTAGTCAGGGACTGAGGGGACTGACAGGACGAGGGACACGAAGATGGAGAGCGTTCGTGCGATGCACCGGAGATTTTGATGGGGAAGCGATTCTTCAGTGGACGCCAGCCCGACTTGATTCGACTCCAAGAGTCCCATCGCTTCTGCGCATGGACAGACACAGATCTGGCCTAAGTACAAAGTAGTTGCTTTTTCAGGAGGCCGGCTAGCATGCAGTGGAAGCGGAGGTATCCCGAAAACGGCGAAAAGGAGGGGGTTTGAGAGGCGAAGTGTTCAAGTGTCGTCCCAAAAGTGCCACGCCCGCCGAGCAGCTGAGATCTGCTGCAACCTCACATCCCTGATGGGGCAGGCCGGAAGCAAACTTGAGTCGAGAAGGGAAATCCAGATACAGTGCAGTGGTGAAGATCAGATTGGCGGGAGATGGCAGGAGCCGGGGGGGATTTGAACAGGAGAGAACCTAGTGCACTATTGAAATTAGCCTGCTGCCGTGCCGGCAGTGCACTGAGCACTCGTATGAAGACATCATCAATTCAACATCATCATGATCATCGTCGAGGGAGTCGGGGGGGCGGGGGGGCATGCACGCAGGCGAGCAGGCGAGCAAGGGAAAGCGAGAGCGAGAGGCAGCACCGAGGAGGTGAGTTGTCCCGAAGGGCCGCAGGGGCTGCAAACTCGACCGCGACACCGCGCTCTCTCGGTCTCACACGGTGGAAGCTCCAGAATACTCGAGACGCCAGCTTACCACGCCACGGCGAGCCTGCCGAGCACCGCTGGGCTGCCCCGACCTGTTGTGTTCCGGATCGCAAACAGATTGCTGACTTCGCGCGGGCGGTGACTTGCAGGCACAACCCTGATCCGCTTCAAGATCCCTGAGCAGGCTGCGCTGCAATGGTTGACTCTAACGGGAAGCGGTAGGGCAACCTGTGCAGGGGGCTCGGGAGCTGGGCAGGTCAAGCAGATCCAGACAGGGGAGGCTCCAGTCAGTGGACGCTTGACGCTCCACGGATTGCCCACTCAGATTGCTCTTCAGCACGGCCATCCCTCTCGCTGCCAGTATATGAGAGATGCCCGAGCATCCGTCCATGCCAGTTTCTTTTTCTGATTCCCGCCTTCTGAGTGCGTCGTGTCTGCTGCTGTTGCTTCGTGAGAGAGCAGACTCGACAGCGAGCAACGGTGTCGTCTGCATGAAACCACCTCGTCTCCCACAGTCCACTCCCACTCCCCACTCCCACCCTCACCTGCCTGCTCGACCCCGCTGCAGATCCAGCTGCCCTTCCTGATCCGTCGCCTTTCCTCATAATGTCTCACTGACGGAGTTGAATACCATCGGTCTCTCCTCTGACCGAACAGGTCACATTTCCTCCAGCAGCGGCCAGGAATCGATTCTCGTCGATTCGCGCGAAGAGCTGCCAATTAGAGTTCCCGCCTCTTGCTCGGGGAAACAGCCGCCAACATGGGAAGAACCTCCAAGTTCCTTTTTCCCATACCGGGCCGAAAACACACATCAAGCAAAAACAACGTACCACCAGCAAGCTCGCCGGCGATTAGCACAAGCAGCAATCTATCGAAGGCCCAAAGATTCCTGGGAACGGAAAACGACCTCAATATTGATTCGCCAACTCGGGAAGATGGACATCCATGGCGGTATCCAGGGTCCAGGTCGAGTGGCATGAGCATTTCTATATCGGAGTCTACGCAGTCTACGCAGTCTACGAACGAAAGCGGGAGTGTTCACGGCTCGCAGTATGATCAATTGGACGACGAGTCAGGTGTCTTTCCCAGAGCTCTGCACGGGAAGGCATCCTCTACTTTACTCGGACAGCGGTATGCTGATGATGGAACAACGACAAATTCGAGTATAAGTGGTCGTTTAAGAAACGAGGGCTCCTCTTCTACTCTCCGGTCATATTACGATCGCCAGAAATCACCACTGTCGATTTCTCAGCAGACGTCAAATTCATCTGCCAGGGACTTGGCATTGAGAAAAGGCTTCCCTCCTGTTATCCAACGAAGTCCTCTGCTGCAGGTTGAATCTGTCGATCCCTTCGACCAGCATTTCGCGGGAGAACAACACCAACTCCGCGAGAATGATTTTCACGTGGGTGGATCGATCGAGAAGAATTCGCGAAAGAAGCCAGCCCGCTTAGACCTGTCGATGCTCTTCCCATCTCGGAGAAATGGCAAGAAATCAGACAGCGAGTCATTGACACAATCGCCATCGTCACTATCACCAAATCTTTCTCGTCAAACTCAAGAGAGTCGGCCGGCATCGAGTTCTAGGCGCCGAAAACTAACGAAAGTATCGTCGAAAGAGTCGTTGCAGTCACAAAAACACAGCATTCGTTCCACTCAGTCAGAGGATCGAAGGTCTCGCCAGACTTCTGGCACATTGGAACACCTGTATGACCATTATGAGAGTATACCACCCCGCTCTGCCCGTATGGACCGTATTCCAGAGTCGAGTGTTCCCGACCGCAACGATTCCAGAACATCCAGAGCTGATCAGCATTCCCACGTCACGCCAAATTCGAAATCGCCTAACAATCGAGAATCATATTTAAGCCCGTCCAATAGTGAATCGTTCTCCTGGAAAAATATTAGAGAGAGCATGATATCTCCACCATGGGACGGGTCAAGTGCGGCAAGCTTCTCCAGCCGAAACTCAAGAACATCACGGCGTACGAGTGCCAGTGTATTGTCTAATTCCGATCTCAAGCAGCGAAGTGTGCTATCCTTGTCATCAGACTCTGAAGACGATTCAGAACCCGAGCCAGTAAGATCTCCATGCGTGCCATCCCAGGACAACAAAGCCTTACGGGTGCTCAACGGGTCGTCTGAGATGCCCAAGGAAAGTAGGCGTCATCAAGTTCAACAGCCAGAGGGGTTGACAGCAAGACAACACGGGCACAAAAAGGGTTCTGCAAAAGGAACCCCTTTCCTCACTATCCCCGAGTCGTCAATTCCAGCAACTCGGATAAATGGAACCTGGTCATCCTCAAAGGGTGAAGAACCGCACACCTCGTCTGACCGTCACCGAAAGGATTCTCGAACCTCAGGTGAAAAGGGTAGACGCTCTTCAAAAAAGAGGTCGTCCAATGCATCTGGGAAACCGTCTCATCAACAACCAACACCTCCACACTCTCCTACGTCTGTTGAGTTTCGCCGGTCCTCGCAAAGCAGCAGCCGATTCATGGCTGTCACAAAGCAAGAAGAAGCCTTATTAGAAGCTTTGAGGCAAAAGAGAGCGAGGATGAGGGAGAAGATAATCGAAGAGCACGAAACGGCGAAATCGCCTCCACGAATCCCAGAAAGAGTCACCTCGCACTATTCGACAACGTCGAGCGTCAGCACGATTCGCGGCGATAGAGGTACCAATGAAAAGCAGAAAGTGCTTCTGTACCTCGATACGCCAATCTCCGAATCACAAGCGATTGACACGGCGGAGCCTTCGCCTGACTTGAGTGACTTTCTGAGCTTTGGTTCAGATGAGGACTCAACACCAAGGACCTCCTGGGCCGTTCCTCCAAAAGACCACGCGAGGCCAGACTCTGCTGTGTCTCCGCATTCCAGAGGGTCTAAATTCTCCCCTATGACGCCTCCTTCGGCAGCGAGACTCAGTGCCGTTGGTGCGGCAGTTGGCTTCAGAGACGAGAGGGCAATCGACCAAGAGTTGGAAGGGAAGAAGAGACTAACTGGGGTCCGGTTTGTGGATGATACAAAGGTTGTGAATGCACAAGACTTCTTACTGGACGAGAACGAGAGCGAGGTTATTTGGGGATTGTAAGGTAATGGGGTTGAGCGAGCATTCTACACACCAGTTTCCTTTGTCGATAATGATCTGCATTTATACCCATATTTTGGCATTTATAAGGAAGGGAAGATGGGAGTCTTGGGCGGGATTGGTGTGTCGGGAAACCGTGGCAGTCTGTCTATATCACATAATACAATACACACTGTGCCCTTGGAGAGCGTCCTCTACTCCCTCACGCACTGAGAACAGAAAATTTGGCCGCGCGTGATGGTGGCCACTCCTGAAGAAATCGTGGGAGAGCGGAGGCACAGTTGCCTGGGTCTGGGAAGGAATTCCACGTATTATTTTGGCAGACACAAAAAGACAGGTTGAGAGGATTTCCCGGTGCTCAACATTTCACAAAGCGTTCATATCCACGGTTACTGTTCAAGTCAATGAGAGAGAGCTGGGTGAGGACCATGCCCCAGATTCCCAGAACGAAGCTTTTAGGCACGCAATTACTTTGATCCATGTCTTGGCAAGCCTCTCCACAGATCTGCTCAAAGTGTGGCGTCCGGGAAGCCATCTCGATCCCACCCACAGCTGACCCGGCATGGCCCTCCCACCGTCCAAGTCGGAACAACAAGCTGTCTTGTGAGCATCATCACCATTATGCCATCTGATCTCTGCCATCCCGTCAGATTCGTCGTCATGATTTCGCATGCTGCTCCACGGGATTGGACCACGCAGGAAGAACCTTTCTCGAGACGTGGACAGGCCGTTATGCACACATGTGACCATCAAACTACGAGCTTGGGCACGAAAGCGGATCACGAGCGCGGTTTCGCATTGGAGAAGGCATCGAAACATCCGCTGTTCAGTGAGAAAAGAGTTTTCTCCTATCATTGTTCTACGGCCAGCCCGTTACTTGGGGGGAAAGTTTGCTGAACTAAATATTAATCTCCTCTCCTCTCCTCTCCTCTCCTTAACCTTAACTGCAGTGACGAGAGCCGAAACGAACGAACAATAACCTTAGTGTATTGAATTTCGATTTCGACTCCACAGCGCCCCCGTCCGGCCCGTTCTCCTTTTCTCGATGCGCGCGTTCCACCAGCCACACCCATAGCCAGGTTCCTGCAGCGATTGGACGTCCGACTTCCCCCTTGATGGTGCACCGACCCCAGACTGCCGCGGTCGCCGTGGTCGATTTGCTCTAAAACCAGACGGCCAGAATATCCAACTCATCATCCGCCAAACTTTTTCCTCCAGTCCTTTCCGCACACCGCACATCGCACACCGCACACCGCCGGCCTGCACAGAGGGCAAACCACAGTCAATTTTAAATTATCTTGCTTGTCAGAAGCTGTTGGGTCAATTGCTGCTGATTTGCGCGCGATTTGCACCTTCCAACTTGGCGGGAAGTGCCTCCGGAGGACACACAGTGGTCTGGCGATGGCCGCACTGCAGAAAGCACCCTCCGTGATGGGGGTGCCTATGAAGCATATTTCTCTGATCACGGTATGGCTGTTTCCAAATTTCTTATAGCTTGCCTTTAACTGACTTGGAATAGCTCACATTTCAAAATTCCGCCCTTATACTCGTAAGTATACCCAATGTTCCACACAGCTGGAAGAAGGACATGAATATGGGCACATCAATTGACAAACTGGCAGATCATGCACTACTCTCGAATAATGCCCCTAGCTGGTGGACACCGGTATTTCACCTCGACAGCTGTGTTTCTCAACGAAGTTCTCAAGTTAGCTGTCAGCTTGACGATTGCAATGTACGACATCTCACGGACGCTGCCCCCTTTGACCCCAGCGACAGTACTCTTCGAACAATTATACATGTCTGTTTTCTCGGGTGACGGGTGGAAGCTCGCTATACCGGCAACGCTGTATACTCTTCAGAATTCTCTGCAGTACATTGCCGTGAGCAATCTTGCAGCGGTGCATTTTCAAATTTTGTATCAGCTGAAGGTAGGTTTTTGTGTTCACGATGGCGACGGGTGTGCTGACAGTTCCCAGATCCTTACAACAGCTCTTTTCAGTGTTACAATGCTTGGTCGAGCACTGTCGTCAAGGAGGTGGATTGCGTTGTTGTTATTAACATTTGGAGTTGCTATCGTACAACTACCTTCAAACGACCCCTCATTATACTCAGCAGACGATCCTCAATCTCGATTTTACTTCCCCCGATCCTTACACGAGTTAGGACAATTGACGAATGGGGCTGCTGAGGTGGCGAGGGAGTTGACAAAAAGGGGTCTGGCAGACCTTACAGAGGGCCTGACGAAGCGTTCTGCTACATACGAGGGCATTGAAGAGGATTTGGGGATCAAGCAACCGGTTATGAACTACTCGATTGGGCTGGCAGCAGTCTTGGTTGCCGCAACCATCAGCGGCCTAACTGGTGTATACTTTGAGAAAGTTCTGAAGGAGCCACATACGCACGTCACTGTATGGACGAGAAACGTGCAATTATCGTTTTATTCGTTGTTCCCGGCTCTGATTTTTGGCGTCTTTCTGAAGGATGGAGAGGAAATCGCCAAGAACGGGTTCTTCGATGGATACAATGCAGTGGTTTGGACGGCCATCATTTTGCAGGCAGGAGGTGGAGTGTTGGTTGCAATGTGCATCAATTACGCCGACAATATTGCAAAGAATTTTGCTACGTCGATTAGCATCGTTCTGAGCTTCCTTTTCAGTGTTTGGTTCTTCGAATTCCAGGTTACCTTGAACGTATGTCTCCTCGTTTCTACCTCGAAACGTACTCTTTTGCTAACGGAATGTAGTTTGTGGTTGGCACTGCAGTTGTCATCTTTGCTACGTACCTGTACAGCGGACCAGACCGGAAATGGAATCGACCCCCTCCAATAAACATTGCAAGTTACGAGAAGACGACGATTGACAACGGTATGACGCCCAAATACGAGGAGGATCGATTCAGGATGACATTGGATCCGTTAGACGGTCTCAGGGATACTGGATTGTCGACCTCAAGGCCATCCTCGCCCATGAGACATCATTCACGGATGGGCTCATCAAGAGGAAAAATAAAGAGAGGCGACTGAAAACACTGATGATGGGTTAGGAATTGTACAAATACAAAACGAGCCAATAGGACGGGTGCTCAAGCACATGGTTTGGGAATGAAACGAGAAATGTCGTCAAAATATGGGAAGGTCCATGTTCCATGCTGGTAGCATATGAGGCGTTGATGGTTGAAGACTCTGGTATTCCGGAGATCCTTTGGTTAGCATTGGCTACTGGTAGACAGGGGATATTGCATGAGCTGAACGTGTTAACGGCCACGTGATGCATAGAGGAAAGTAGTACCCATTTCTACAGTATCGGCTATAGACTCTTCATTTTCTGTATATGAAGCCAATTTTTCGAAATTTTGAAGGTCATGCAAACCAAGAACTCGGCCCTGTCCGCTGTCTGCTTCCTAGATTCAACAGCTGAGACAGTCTCAGCTTCAAGCTGTCTCGAGTTTAAGAGGAATGGCCATCGCTAGATGATATCTTGATAAGGATGCAATTAAAGCAGGTGGTCGTTCCTTAGTCCAGGAGTTGACCTTTTCTACAACACCTCCTCTCCTGGAATTTTCGGAAAGCACCTCGCTTAATTGTTCCTACTTCTACATTCGCTTTCCCAAACCCATCTCCTATCCTCTACACTCGTGCTTTCATTCCATGGGCAGGTTCTGCCACCACTGAATTGCTCTTGGAGGGACCTACGGCATACCAGTGTCTTTCCTTCCTGCTTTTTCCATCCCTCCTCAACCTAATCTGCGCTGTCAGCCGTCGTCGTGCTCTGGACTTCAACATCCCAAAATGGATCGACGTCTTGATCCGCATCTCCAACGCATTGTTGACAATGCTGCTGGAATGAACAACAACAGGGCGCAAGAGGGAGAGTTCACCTACGTTTCCGAGGAGCGACAACCTGTGGATTGGAGCTACAGGGCTGGACCAGTGCGGCCACCACAAGAACATACTTCTTTCAATGAATTTGGTCAGTTACCCTCATCTTATTGTGCATTATCTCCTTACAAATTCTCTACTTCAGACCGAGTTCAGTTAGATGGCCCATATCACACCCACCCACCTCCTTTTACAGGCTCCAACAGGGTCTCGCTCGCCCCTCGAAATATATACAATCAGCCCGATCAAGAACCAAGAACGCTTAGCAATGCCGATAACCACTTTAGGTTTACACAGAACTTGCGTGAAGGAGCACCCATGAACCCAGCACTACCGAGGCCAAATATGATGCAGCAGTCAGAACCAACGGCACCTCAGAGAAGCACCTTGTTTTCGCAACGGCACCCCAATTCTCAGTCTCTGGATTCAATAGACCATCTGGCAAATGCTATGTTGATACAAAAGTCGGTGCCACCATTGCAGACAGAGCCAGCACCACCCAACTTCTTCCATCGCCGCCACCCAAGTGGGATCAACCGGCTTCAGCCTCAGAGACAACAGGTTACTCCACCATTTAACTTGAGTGAGTCTTTGGCTACTTTCCTCTGTTTATAACTTAAGCAACGCTAACGTTTTAGGTGGATTTGTGTATAGCCCATCCGCCCAGGTATCAGAAGTATCCTCGCCTCCAGCTGCTCATGGCTCTAGTCCTACCGAGAGAATCAGCCTTCGTCGTGCTTCGAACCGTAGGGCTGCTCCCTCCACATATACACAAGTTGAAGATCACTTTCTAAAACCATCATTCCCTGAGACTCCCCGACGAGGGAATCATGTTGCTGATAGAGGCACACCGCAAACTCTTGCACTTGGACATGCTCCCCCAATGGCACACGGGATCCAACTCATATCTCCACACGATCTCCCCGATCGATTCCGTCAAGTCTTTCCCTATGAGCTCTTCAACGCGGTCCAGTCAAAATGCTTTGCACCTATCTATAGAACCAACGAGAATGTTGTTGTTTCAGCTCCCACTGGCAGTGGAAAAACTGCCCTTCTTGAACTAGCGATTTGTAGAGTTGTGGAAGGACACGGCTCGGGAACATTCAAGATTGTTTACCAGGCCCCTACAAAGTCTCTATGTGCTGAGCGTATGAGAGACTGGCAAAAGAAGTTCAGCCACCTCAACCTTCAGTGTGCGGAGCTGACCGGAGACACGACTCAAGCTGAAATGGCTCGAGTGAAGGTTGCCTCGATCATTGTTACTACACCCGAAAAATGGGATAGCATCACACGCAGATGGGTAGATCATCACAAGCTGTGTCATCTGGTGAAGCTCTTTCTGATCGACGAGGTGCACGTCCTGAAGGACATTCGCGGTGCCACTCTGGAAGCAGTTGTCTCTCGTATGAAGACGATGGGAGCTGATGTCCGCTTTGTAGCTCTCAGTGCTACCGTACCAAATTCCCACGACATTGCCATCTGGCTCGGCAAGGACCACACCAACACACATCTTCCAGCTCATCGAGAGACATTTGGAGAAGATTTTAGACCTGTCAAATTGCAGAAACATGTTTACGGCTACGAAGGCATGATGAACGATTTCGCATTTGATAAACTTCTTGATGGCAAGCTTACGTCGTTGGTCCAGAAGCATACTCACAAGAAGCCAATCATGGTCTTCTGCTTTACACGAAAATCCGTTGAGGGGACTGCAGCTATGTTAGCAGAATGGTGGACACGACAACGGGTGGTAGATCGAGCTTGGCCAGCACCTGTGCAAACGATTCGGGTTGGCAGCAAGGAGTTACAACAGCTGGTTGGATGTGGTGTTGCCTTCCACCACGCTGGCCTTGACCCTCAAGACCGTCATGCAGTCGAGACCGCCTACCTCAAGGGTGACATCAGCCTTATCTGCTGTACTTCCACGCTCGCTATGGGGGTCAATCTCCCTTGTCACCTTGTGGTGTTGAAAGGCACTGTTGGATTTCAAGACGGGCACCTAGCTGAGTATTCCGATTTGGAGGTCATGCAGATGCTTGGAAGAGCAGGCCGTCCTCAATTCGATGACAGTGCAATTGCAGTAATCATGACGCGATCGGACAAATCAGAGAAGTACAAGAAAATGATTTCAGGCCAGGATGTCTTGGAGAGTACCCTGCATCTCAACTTGATCGAACACTTGAACTCTGAGATCAGTCTTGGCTCTATTAAGAATCTTTACGGAGCAAAACAATGGATTTCTGGGACGTTCCTAAACGTACGAATGAGACAGAATCCCAAATATTACAAGATTGACGGAACCAACCCCGACGGAGATGCTGACAAGAGACTGGAAGAGGTCTGCGAGCGAGATCTCAAACTTCTTCAAGAATCTAATCTGGTCACCGATGCGGAGCGCTTCAGCTGTTCAGAATATGGTGAGGCAATGTCTCGCTATATGATACAGTTTGATACGATGAAGTTACTCTTGAGTATACCACCACAGGCAAAAACTGAGCAGATTGTAAGTGACCTTGCTGAATCCAGGTGACTTCTTGCTGACCATCGAAGCTTCATATTATTTGCCAGGCAGCTGAATTCAAAGACCTTCGAATGAAGCCACAAGAGAGACCCTTTCTGCGAGAATTCAATAAGTCTCCTTTTATTAAATATCCAATCAAGGAGACAGTGTCCACTACCGCGCACAAGATATCGTTGATGATCCAAACCCAACTTGGGGGCATTGATCATGCAACGGACAAGGACTTTGCGGTGGTCCGCCGACAGTTCCTAACTGACAAAGGCATCATATTTGACCGTGTTCATCGTCTGATTCGATGCGTCATCGACTGCAAAGCATTTGACTGCGACGCCGTTTCTACCAGACACGCCCTCGATCTAGCTCGGAGTCTCGTTGCCGAGTTTTGGGAGAATTCAAATCTTCAATTGAGACAAATCCCACAAGTCGGTCCTGCGGCGGTCCGAAAGCTTGTAAACAATGATATCAACAGCGTCGAAAAGCTCATGCAGAAGGATACTTCAACTATCGAACGAATTCTGAGCAAGAATCCTCCATATGGAAGAAAGACGAAGGACATCCTGATGGGTTTTCCCAACTTGTCCGTAAGTTCTGAGATTGTGGGGAGAGCACCCTCAAAGCCAGGCCAAAACCCAAAATTGAGTGTGAAGGTTGTACTCTCCTACAAAAACGACAAGACTCCGGTCTGGAAGGGCAAGAAGCCTTCGTTGACTTTCATGGCTGAGACAACTGACGGCAAGCTTGTCCATTTTTGGCGGTGCAACATTATGAAGCTGGAAAAGGGCTGCGAAATCAAATTTCACGTCGAGCTATCAGGCCCCGATGAGGAGATCAAATGTTGGGTAGCCTGTGAGGAGATAGTAGGCACAATTCGATCCTGTGTGCTCAAGCACAACCTTCCTGCGTTCGCTTTCCCAGCACCAGCAACTCGTCTGAAGCCTAATAACCAACCGTCAACGACCGAAAAGAAGGCTCCTCTTGACGACGCAGACGAGTTTGGAGGAGACGATCTGAAGGATGATGATATGTTGGCTGTCATCGAAAGTATTGAGCCAGTTGAGCGTGGCTATGGTTCCGACGAGTTTGAAGACATTGATGACCTCGAAATCCCCAAATCTACAAAGTCAAAGAAAGGACAAAAGCAGGCGACCTTCGTTCCATCAGTCCAGATGGCGAACGGAAAATGGACCTGCAGCCACGACTGCGCGGATGGTAAAATTCTCAAGAATGGTAAGCAGTGCAAACATAGGTGTTGTCATGAAGGGCTCGACAAGCCGAGAAAGGAGAAGAAAACGGGAGGGAACGTCAGTGGCTTCGGTTCTGGTACAACTCAAAAACCCAAGGTCAGTGAATCCTCCTCGTTTATTTCAGCATTAACCCGAGAGCAGACAGAGAAAGTAGCCTCGAAATTCAAACTTAAGCTCAAGGATGAGACACTGTCCGACTCAGCAGATGTTGAGATAGTTGACTTGGCTCAAGATCTCGAACCGAACACTTACGCAAAGTTAGCCCCACGAGACTATCGGAAATTGCACAACCTTCATATGAGCGTTCAATCCGACAAGCCTATCAGACTTCCCAAAGAGAAGCCAACATTCTCCTACGCCAGTGGCAAGGATCCTGATCTCCCGTTTCTCCACAAAGGCGATAACATCGGGGACACCTTCGGATCCCCAGATTCTGATGACGACGAATTCCCGTCTCCGTCTGAGATGGCACATATCTCGCTGGATCGAAACCCAAGTCCGGATCTATTCGAGTCTTTCAATCTCCCGGGGGAGCATACAGCACCGTCCTCATTTCCAGACAACTCTCTCGCGAGCTCAGAAGCCGAAATGCTTGCGCTGGCCGATACCGCGATGATTGACGCGCCAAGCTCTAAAGTCGACTCGAGCTTCGCGAATGGCGTCTTCGACTTCGACGCTTTCTACAACGAAACTCCAAAGAAGCCGACTATCTCTTCCCCAACGAAGGACGCTCTCAAGAATGAACCGAAGTCAACCCCTATTGTGCAGGATTCGCTTAAGCGAGATCGCTCGACAACTCCTGAATTCCAGCAAGCGAAGCACCGTCGTGTCATGAAGGACGAACCTATCTCCCTAGGTACTCAGGCTGCTATTCCGGATTGGGTTAGCGATTTTGACTCGGATCTGATCAATGAATTGAAAGGCTTTGTTGATTTTGTTGATTGAAGGGATTTGTGGGTCATGGTTTGGCGTTGAGATGAGGTATGATGAGTCTTGCCTTGCAAAGAGAACGAATATTGAAATCCATTGGGGGTGGTATACTGTGCTTGATTTTTGGAATTGCATTGCCACGGTTTCGAGAACCGATCGGGCTTTTTGCCTCTGGAGAGCTTTTGGGAGCTGACGCAACTTCGCGTTAAATATGATACCACTTTGTATTGCTCAATCTACGGATATATGCTAGTGCTCATGGATCACGAAGAAAACAAAGCAATACAATCGAGCATCGCCTACAAGCCCTCATTTCTAGCAACCGTGTTCTGTACTGATGTTGTGATCTTGTTGGAGCCCGACACATTCCCAGTATTGCTCTAATCAGACGCTTGCAGTTTAGGTTCTTCGACAAAGGCGCTAAGCAGACCGGTGCTCTTTTTTCAGAAGGAAAATTAGCAATGGGAAATCATTTGGGATTCATCTTGAGGACTGCCGCTAATAGAATACTATTTCTATGAGAATAAGGATGTCCACGACGTGAGGTTTCACAAACCTCACCAGTTGAATGACGACGCCGCTTCATCAACCCGATGTCTCTCTTGCTCGAAGGAGAATTCTGAAGTGGGAGAAGGACAGAAGTAGCAAAAAGTCTTTCCACTCAGGTGATTTTGCCCTTCATCTAAAAAATTTCCTGGTTGCTGAGACAATCTGAAAGTTCGCGCTAAGGGAAATTTTGGAGTGTTTCCTGAACCAAGCAGTCGCCGACTGGTCATCTCAGACATCAAAGAAACCGCAAAATGCCGACAGGTGGGCCTGTACAATATATTAACTCAGATATAAAAGTTGATGCAGAGAAATTTCTCAAGGTTCCGAGGAATCGAAATCGTCTGGGACTAGCGTGTGCTCTTCGCAACGTCCTTCATACTCAGCATTCACTGCCACATCCTCTCAGACAATAACGAGTGATTGCCTGTATTAGATGATCTTTTCCCCTCCTCTCTCTAAGCATTATATTTTTTTCGCGTGGTTGCTTCCAATCGTGGCTCAGTAAGTTGCGCCGCTCGCGAGTTCCCTCCCCCAAATCCTTCGCATAGTCCAACAGATCTAGGCAGCATTGTTTGCCCTGCGAGTCTCGCTATGTCCCACTGAGATGCATATCTGTGGCCCCAGGAGTCTGCGAAGCCACTCCCGGGCAATGCTTAAGCCAGACGTCGTGCTGATCACGGGTGAGATCCAAGGCAGACGCGTTTGGGACCCCCCTTCATGTTTCGATTTTAGAATGGTAACATCCACAGTTCACAGTTGCTTTAAACCATCTTCAAGCGCAAGCAAAATACATTTTCTAAAGCTTAATCGCATCTCTCCTTGAAACTCCTATCTTCCAATCGAAAATTTCTTCAAATCGTTCTTAAAAATGTCTCCCCGTTATACTCCCCTCTCTCACGAAGACTCAGACGAAGAGTCCTCTCCCGAGGAGCATCTTCTCTCAATATCCAGCATCAATTCAAGACACACCGAACCACCCTCAACATGTTCCACAACATTCAAACCAGCTCTCGTTCTCCGTTTGGCGTCCTTGGTCATGGGGATCATCGCATTCATCATCTTCATCGTCGATGGCAATACTCCCTTCATCGCCACGGACATCGTTCTGGCCTTCATCATGATCCTGGATTTCTCCATGATCATCCATCACGCCATCTCTGACGTTTTCCAAGTCACTATCCACCTGCGCCACGGGTCTTGGAAGGGTGATATTCGAGGGCCCGAAAAGTCGAACGCAGCATGGTACATCGATATTGCGATCACTCTCGCTCTGACCATTTCTCTTATTGTTGGAACCGCTGTTAGTTGGGGTGGAATATGGATCGCGGCTGCCGTTTTTGGCTACATCATTATGTAAGTGTGACACTTGACCATCGTTACTGGTTAACTGACGTTTTGAACAGAATTCTGCATATTCTACTTGCAATTCCCTTTATCCGCAAGAACAATTTGACTGTCACAATCTCGGCCAAGCTCAACAAGGTGGCAGAAAAGATCGCAGCGCATTCAGGCATTTCGGCTCAGCCATCAGGTAGACCTACCGGCTCTGATGCTGGCTCTGCTAGAGGAAGGACAGTGGAGGTTGGTGAGCCGAGAGAACCAGTGGAAGATCTTGTTTAGGCTTCTCCCAGAACACAAATATCGACTTGGTGATTGAGGTCTTGAGGTAGCGTTCGAAGTCATGATATCCTAGGGTTGAGTGGATAGGAAGGAGATTCAAACCTGCCGTGATGTTTGAAGGCTAGTATCATCTTGGATAGGCTGCTATAGGACTGGTAGTCTCGTCTTGTTTCGTTGTATCTTGAGGGTGTTCACTCATACTGGAAGGTTATGGTCCATTATGCCTTATATCATATCTATTTCTGCAATCTATCCCATATATCTTTTGACGAAAGAATTGTGCTCACGGCACTAGCAAATCCAACAAATGCTTGAGTCGTCACTAACCACCCAGTCACAAAACCAGGAAGGAAGAGATCAAAGATATCTACCACCATCCTTCTCCTGATTCCACCGAGCTTTTCCTTCTGGGCTTGAACACCTTGACTCTTCCCTTTGCCCTTTTCAGCGCTCCCACCCTCAACCTCTCCACCCTCAGCATAAAGTTGCAACCCACCCAAAAGTATCGAACACACGAGCGAGTAAAACCAAAACTTGTTCCCTTCAACCAGACACGACTCCGCCCACGGCGAAGGCCAAACTCCCATCGTGTCCAACTATTCCTCCATCAGTACCCGGTCCCCAAAGGATCATCTCAGAACACTCACAATGGTCAAACTCTCTAAAAACAGATAAGCACCAAGACAACTCCATTTTCCTACCTCCAACACGCCCATCACTCCAACCGTAGTATAAAAGCTATCAAAAGCCTTCGGAAAGGCATCCAGGAATTTGAAGAACCTGAAATATCTTCTCCCTAACATCGAACGTCCATCAGCTTGCTGAAAAATGGAAATAATTTTGAGAAAAGGGACGAACCGAGAGCAAACTGTCTTCTTAGCAACAACCAGGTCTTGGCATCTTCGGCTGTAGTTGAATAGGCGGCGAGGATTTGGGAGAGCGATTGGGAGAGTCTGAGGATCTTCTCTAGGGCAGCTGAGGGGCTTGTCAATAAGAGATTTGGAGTAGTCACGTGAGGAGAAGGGAATGGAACGTACCGGCGTCGTTTGTGAAGCGTACGACTTGCTTGAAGCTCATGATGAGCTTGGGAGATTAGAGGACCGGGGTGAACAGATTGGGCGTCCGATTCTAGGGGCCAGGCCTTGCTGGCATCGAACTCGAGGAGGATGTCGAGCTTTGAGCCTGTGTTTGTCGGTGAGAGGCTCTTGAAAGTGTAAACGAATTAATGCCAACCACAAAACTAATCTCCCAAGTTTTGAGGGCAGAAGACTAAAGGCTCGTTGGGTTAAAATCGACGAGAGAGGAGACCCTTGAGGATTCCAAGTATTTGAAGATAAAGCCGACCTCGCTAACAGCAGTGGGGGGCTGCCAAAACAGGTGCAAGAATCCCAACGGAACCAGATCACAATAATAACAAGACTCCAAATGGCAAAAGAAATCCAAGAGGACCCAGAAACTAGCTCTCGCTCGTTATCTGTGGCGGAGTATCACTTCTAAACCGTTACCTCAGTAGTGGTTAGGGCCGGGCACATACAACTTTGACTCAAGTGTATATCCAAGAAACTTACTTGCGTAAGCTTACGACTGGATCAACTCTTAGCAAAGAAAATAATTGCCTCAATCTATTAAGGCCAAGTCAAAAGCGAAGTGAATCATGAAATCGAATTGAGTTCACACATTTTTGATCGCTTCACTTCACGACGAAGCGGGAGAAGGGCTGGTTAGGGATGTTCAGTCACATCATTTATTTATTTGTCTGCTACAAAGAAAATCATGCGTGCATAACGCCTCGACTCGGAAGGCCATCCATGCTTAATAGCGATAAATACACAGGAACGGTTCCCTATAAACAATCTACCATCCAAGATCTATTGCCCTGGAGCAATCAACTTTCCCTGTCTTAACGCATCGTGGTCCCATCCACCGGCCAACGCTGCTCCCCCGTTCTTCTCTGCATAATCTTTCATGCGAGCTTCTAATTCTGGTCTGAAATGTCTAATAAGACCCTGAATGGGCCAGGCAAAAGCCTCACCAAGAGCTATTAAAGTATATCAGTACATGCCTTGGAAGTTCCTTACGATTTACGTACCGCAGATGGTGTGGCCCTCAACTTGCTTTGTGAGCTCCTGCAACATATCAATCTCTCGCTCTCTTCCTTGACCCTTCTCAAATCTCTTCATAATCTGCTCCGTCCACTTGCTACCCTCCCTGCATGGCGTGCACTGCCCACAGGATTCGTGTCTGTAGAAGTGGCTCAATCTTGAGATAGCACGGACGACATCTGTGCTCTTGTCCATCACAATGACAGCCGCAGTACCAAGACCAGATTGGCTGTCCTTCAAGGCGTCGAAGTCCATCAACTGGTCATCGCAGACGTTCTTGGGCAAGATGGGCGTTGAGGAACCACCAGGAATGATAGCCTTTAAGTTATCCCACCCTCCTCGAACGCCACCACAGTGCTTCTCAATGAGCTCTTTCAGAGGAATGCTCATCTCTTCCTCAACAGTACATGGGTTGTTGACGTGACCAGAAATACAGAAGAGCTTTGTTCCCGAATTTCGCTCACGACCGAATGATGAGAACCAATTTGCTCCTCTTCTGCAAATCGTTGGTGCAACTGCAATTGTTTCGACGTTTGCCACTGTGGATGGACATCCGAAAAGACCGACGGAAGCAGGGAAGGGGGGCTTTAGACGAGGCTTGCCAGGCTTTCCCTCGAGAGATTCGATGAGTGATGTCTCCTCACCGCAAACATAGGCGCCCATTCCACGGTGGAGATAAACGTCGAAATCGTAGCCACTTCCACACGCATTCTTTCCAATCAGACCATCCTTATATGCTTCTTGAATTGCTCGTTGCAAGATCGTGGCTTCGTGGTAGAACTCGCCACGGATGTAGATATATGCAGCTGTGCAGTTCATGGCCCGGCCAGCAACCAGACATCCTTCGATGAGCTTGTGGGGATCCTTCCGCATAATCTCTCGGTCCTTGCAAGTTCCAGGCTCACCCTCATCAGCATTAACAACCAAGTACCTTGGCTTTGTATCCTTATCCCAATCCTTGAAATTCATGAATGACTATTATATGTTAGCTTACCACTCAATAGCTGGCTGGGTTCTCGATCTTATACCCATTTCATGCCGGACGGAAACCCAGCGCCACCACGACCTCGCAGACCTGAAGCTTTGATTTCGGAGATGATCTGAAACAATTGTCAACAACTGTTTCCCCCCCAATTCCTCTTGCAGGATCTAACTTACCCAGTCATGCCCTTTGAGCAAGATCTCCTTCGTTTTGTACCAGTCTCCATACTTCTTGGCGCTTTTTAAATCTGCTCCATGGTGTCCATACAGATTCTGAAAGATACGGTCCTGGTCCCTCAATCCACCAAAGTGGGTTCGTTTCGGCGGAGGGGGTGCATCTTGGACTGTGGCAAGTCCTCGACTCTGCTGTGATGGGGAAACGGAAGAAGGGAATCGAGAGGCGACGTGCGCTGTCGAAGGCAGCACCCGCGTAGAGAGAGTAGAGACGGCCTTAGGAGATGGCGCGTGTCGCGAAAGCATTTTGAGAGGTGGTTGTGCTCAATTGAGCGAGACTGGGGAAGGAGCAGCTGGATTGAAGTTGGAATTGAGATATTTGGGAGGAGGCTCTAAACTCCAAATCCAAGTCATCATAGATCAGATGAGCGCTGATTGGTTGATCGACGCTCTAGAGCTTTTACGGCAGGGGAGGAAGACCAACCATGCGAAATCTCCAACATCAAAGAGTCTCGAGATTCTCAGAGACCTTCACAAATCATGCTTTCTACAACTTGAACAAAACTTTTCGTCCGAAGCCGGCAGGCTACGGCATCAAAGCTTTACAGAAGTAAGCCGCGTGTGCTAAAAATTTATACCTGCAATCTAATTTCTAACTTCATTTCTGCAACACCAGATCTCCATACCTTCATTGACCTCGATCGGATTCCCACTCATAGTCGATACCTTGCTAAATCGGCACCATGTCTTCAAAACGTGCCTCGACCATGCCCGCGCCACCCAAGCCTCCAACATCTCTCGCATCCTCCCTAATCATCGCCGAACACGCCTCCCTCACTGGCACACATCTCATAACCCTTGGACCCAACACCGTTGTTCACCCACGAGCAAGGTTCAACTCGGCCCATGCACCCATAACCGTAGGCAGCAATTGTATCATTTGCGAGCGGAGCTTAATCGGCTTTCAAAGCGACGCAGCGGCGAACGAAAGAAAAGGAGCTGTGATTGAGAATGGCGTTGTCATAGAGGTTGGAGCTGTGGTGGAGGCCAGGACCGTGGGCGAAGGCACTGTTGTTGAAGTACAAGCCAAGATTGGAAAAGGTGCGGTGTTGGGAAAGGTGAGATTAAATTTCCTGAATTAGAATGTCGTTCTAACGTCTTTCAGCACTGTAAGATTGGTCCACTCTGTGAGATTGCAGAAGGAGAGGTCATCCCAGATTTCACTGTTGTCTATGGGAATGGGATGCGGAGATTAGACAGTAGTGGTGTTGAGGACTTGAAATTGAAAATGGTTGCTAGGCAAATCGAAGTGTTGAAGAAACTTATACCCAGCAATCTAGCAAAGTTTCAATGACAAGTCTTGACTCAAAAACCATTTTCAATTCTGAGATTGATCCTCTTCTTGGGAATCTTGCCACTGATGCTCAGGAAATAGCAGCGCAGCTACTAGATACAATGTTTCCACACAGCCCCCACAAACGCCCATTCTTTAGCTCCACAAATGAAAGCCCGTCCCAGGCTATGCAATAAACAGATATCATACAAACAAGACATGTTTTTTCCGCTCATTAGTTTGGTCCGCCTCCACGAGGTCTCTTCCCAGCATTGCCCTGCTGAGGACCTCCAATAGATCCTTCGTCCCGAGCTCGTTTGATGCCCGCCGTGCCAGTAGGACTGTAAGGGGTCGCTGAAGCATTCAGACCACCTCTCTGCGGAGGTCCACCTCTACCGCGTCCGCCTTGCCCTGTTTGACCACCGCCGCGTGCTTGATAAACCTGTGCTCCACCGCGTCCTCGCATGGTCGTGCTGCCTCGCATCGTTGGGAGTGAGGAAACCCGTTGAGCAGGATTACCAGGTTGAGAAGGCTAGGGACGGTCAGCGGAATTCTTGAGGGTAATATTGAAAGACTTACTACAGGAATGTTGCTGGCAGCCACAGCGGGTGTACCATTTGACAAAGCAGGAGTGGTAGATGATTGTGGTTGGGGTACCTGAGGTGGCCCATTGCTGGCTGCTTCGGTCTTGACCTCAAGTGGTTTCGAGACTGCTGCAGAAGTCCCATTCGACTGCGGGGCTGGCTCTATTTGAGATTATTAGACATTGCCGAGCTCAATGGGATTTGGGGTTCATACCAGGATTTGTAGTGGGGACAGGGGGAGGTTTGTAATTCTTGACCTCCTCCCAAACCTCGACCACTGGCTTCTGAGGTGTCTCTTGTGCCGCTTTCTCGACAATCTCGAGCTTGCCCGTGGCCAGCTTCGCCTTGTTCTCTGACATGTTGATCTTCAGGTGTGACTTCTTGCCCTCCATCATTACGGACTGAAGTCTTTGGGCTTCAGCCTTTTGCTGTGCTTCGGCCAGCACTTTCGTATGCTCGTCTTTGAGCTTCTGAGTTTCGACCGCGACCCTCTTGGTCAAGTTACCCTTAAAGATCTCTCGAGCTGTGGCATTGTTCTGAAGAATTTCGCGGACCTCCTTGTCAGATAAATGAGGGACTGAAGGACTTGCTTGAGGCGGGTTTTGGCTCGGAGTTCCGGGGGCAGGAGTTGCAGGAGTTGCAGGGACGTTTTCAGATGGCTTCGCTTGCGTTGTTGCTACCGTGGCAGCAGTCTTAGATTCTGCAAGCCATATCTGCTTCTCCTGGTCCAGTTTGAGCTTGTACTCAGCCTCCAATTCAGCCTTCTGAGTCTCTCTAGCCTGTACAAGCCTCTTATTCAATTGGTCCTTCATCTTTTCCGAACGGGTCTTCAGTGTGGCCTCCACCTGCCCCTCAATTTTTGTGGCCCTCTCCTCTTGTTCCTTAAACTTCGCCTCGGCTGCAGCAATGCGTTCCTCTAATACATTTCTCTCATTTTCCGAGAGACCGCTGTTTGGGGTCTCGTCGATCTGCCCGTCTTCAGTGCCATTCTGCATGGTTGTGTCGGAGGAATGGGTCGTCTGCCGTGACTGGGCTGCGGCGGCCTCAGCAACCGCAGAGGCGCGCTCTGAATTGGACTTCTCGAGCTGCTCTCGCAAGTCCTTCAGTTGAGCCTCTAGAGATTGTTTTTCTTGGGACACTTTCTCAAGCTCTTTACGCAAATCTGCAAGTTGCTGGTTGTCGACCGAAGTTGTTCGTTCTGCGACTGGTGTCGCTGGAGCTTGCTCAGGCGATTGAGAAGCAGCAGCTAGAGCACGTTCTCGTTCGGACTTGACTGTTTCGAGTTCCTGCTTTAGAGATGTGAGCTGCTGCTCTGCAGCTTCTTTCTCTCGAACAGCTATCTCAAGCTCCTGTCGCAGTCCAGACAGTTGTTGTTGAAGAGAATCTCTCTCCTGCAGAGCAACATCTCTCTCAGCTGTTCTGTCTTTGTTTTCCTTGGTTTGAACACGGCTCCTCTCCTTGGCTTGCTCGATCAATTTTGTCCGTGACTGTTGCCATGTCCCCTTTTCAGATTCCAAGCTCTGCAACTTTTCTTGAAGAGGTTGTTGTTCTTCAAGGAGGGAATCCCGCTCAGCTCGCAAAGATTCGAGGGACTCCTTGAGTTGTTCCATCTCAGCAGGGTCGATGCGGTCATACTTGGAAATGATGTCTTGGGTGCGTTTTTGCCAGCGATCGCGATCTTCTTGTAATAGACGCATTTCTCCATCCATCGTCTCCCTTCCATGCTCAAGTTCGCGAATCTTGGTTTCCAGAGGTTGCATCTGCTCCATGAGTTGTTCAACGCGCTTAGTCTTTTCTGCTAGCTGTGTCTGAGCTTGCCGAGTCTCATTCCGTAAGGTAACACTGCTTTCGCGCATCAGGTTCAATTCATTAAGCTTCTCCATGAGATCCTTGTGTGCAACAGAGCTGCGACCGCCATCTGCGTGTAAACGGCGCTCTTGATCGAGCTTCAGTCTGCTCTCATCCAATTGTGACTGTGCATAGTCAAGCTTCTGTTGCAGGCGTTTAGCTTCCTGGACCTTGAGTTCATATTGAACTTCAACAATTTCCTTCTCTCGCCTCAAGAAAGCGTTCAGTTCACGAAGCCCATCCGCGGCTCGATCGTTTGAAGACTCAGCAGCGAATGATCCAGAATCAACATTTTCGGCATGTGTAGCACGACTTTGCTGGAGGGCTGAGATCTGGGCTCCAACATCTTCAAGCTGTTGATGAAGAAGCTTGTTTTGGGCGTTCAAATCATCACGTCGTGTCCTCAACTCCTGCAGCTCTTGTTCGAAATGTTGACGACGTTCTTCCCAAGAGCTCTCGTTTTGGCTCAATGCAGCTCTCGCGGATTCAGCATCAGCCTTAAGGCTCGCAGACTCCGTCCTCAGTTGATTATGTTCGGCCCGTAGATTTTGCAGCAATTTTGCAGCTTCGGCATGCTTGACCAATTCATCTTCGTAGTCTTCTTGGGCTTTTGTAGCGATTACTGCTTGTGCTCGGAGATCTTGTTGATGAAATTGCGCCGCAGTGGCGTGTCTCTCATCTTCGTCCTTCAGTCGAGAAATCTCAGCTTCGAGTATCGCCTTTTCTTCCTCGGCTTGTCTGGCAACCTCCGACTGCTGGTTTCGTAATGTGGTCAACTCGTTGTTGGTGTTACTGAGCTCCGCCGAGATATCGTCCACTCTCTGCTGAAGTTCATGAATCTTGGCATCCTTCTCCTCGATGATGCGGTCCATCTCCTCTCGATATTGGTCTTGAGTTGCGTTTAGACTTTGCAATTCTTCTTCAGAGGACTGGCTAATAGACTTGTACTGCTCCATCTGGCTCCTAGTATTCTCAAGCTCCGATTTCGACAAGTCAAGATCTCGCTTCAACTCCGAGACTTCAATGGCTAGTTCTTGTTCCCTAGTGAGCTCGCCTTCAGGGAAAGCCTCACTTGGAGGAGCGACTGTTTGCCCATTGGTGCCTGGGCGAGGTGTTGGTCTTGGCTGGAGTAACTCAAAACGCTCTTCGGCACTCTTGAGTTCGATGGAAAGTTCGTCAACGCGTGCTTGAAGGTGGTCACGCGTAGTCTTTGCTGCCACCAACTCTTCCCGAGCTTGACTCAAGGTTGACGCAAGATCATCGATACGCTTCTGGTTTTGTTGAGAATCGTATTCTTTCCGCAGTTGGGCTTTCTTGCTATCCTCCACTTCATCGTTGAGTTTGCGTTTTGTGGTGCTTAACTCAGCCTCGAGAGACTCCACCTGTGCTTGCAAGCGTCGTCGCGCCTCGGAATCTGCGAGTTCGCGCTCATTTTGAAGAGTTTGTTGATTGGCGACCAGATTGTTCAGTCTGGTACGTTCATTCATTAAGCCCTCGTTATCCTGGCTCAGTCGATCTTGGATATCCTTCCAGAGTTTCTTCTCCGCCTTGAGATTGGCATTCTCGTTGCGCATACTCTCGAGGAGCCCCTTTGCCTCAACCAGATCCTCAGCGACCTGCTGAGTCCGAATATCTTGCTTCGCTGAGGCTTCGGAAAGAACTTGGGATCGCTTCTTCAGCTCGGTATTCTCTTTCTCCAGCATAGCGTAATTGGAAGTCAAAATTTCGTGGCGTTCATTGATGAGGGTGAGTTGACTGGTAACCTTCGCAACTTCAGTGTGAAGTGTACCTTTCTCAATGGACAGCTTCTCTACTTGCTCTTTCAAAGTTCGGCGATCAACGGTCTGCTCCTCCCTGTACTGGTCAAAGTGAGTTTGAAGTTCCCGAAGCAAAACGGCGTAGTTGGCATTATCCCTATTGCCACCTTGCTCAATAGTTTGCATGAGGCCATTTTGATTTCCATCAACAGATTGACCAAAAACAGAAGCAAGATCTGATGAAGGTGGAAGTTGGCCACGATGTTGAAGCATGCGACGGAACATGTCTCTCTCCTTAATGTAACTTTCAGATCGAGTGATCATTGACTGCAGCTCGTCCTTGTAATTCTCAATCTTCGACTGGAGCGTTTGGACCTCTTCGTGATCCTTCGCGGCTTGATGTTTGGCTGCCAAAGCTTCTTCACTCTCCATCTGGGCGCCCAACTGTCTTGTGATCTTGAGAAGCTCTTGGTTCTTCTCCTGGAGCTCGCTGATGCTTCGGAATACTGTTAATCGTTGACTGATGAATCGATCGGTATCAGTCATTCCTTCCAAGGCCTCTTCACTAACTTCGCCGCGAGCTAGGCGTTCGAGCTGGGTTCGTTCTGCAGGGTTCAATGCATCCAATCCACGCTCTCGCGCGTCCAGATCACACAATAGCATCTTAATCTGGGCGCTGAGATCTCGGAGCTGTTGACGAAGTATATTGGCCTCGGCCTTAGCCGTGGACAATTCGCTTTCCGCCTTTCTAGCATCCTTTTTGGCACGGTCTCTCTCCTTTCCAGTTTGGTCCACAAATTTCGACATCTCGATAACTTCCTGTTGGAGACGTTCATGTTCGGCTTGGAGCTCTTCAATTTCGGGCTGCTTAGCCTCTAAAGTATCCACCATCTCATGCAAGTTCGCACTAAGCTGTTCGCTTCTCCTCTTCTCTGTTGCCAACTGACCCTTGACTTTGTACAGTTCCTCGATAGCCTGGGTTGCTGTAATGGCGGATTTGCTTCTGACGGATCCAGGCGTGCCAAATTGTGCGGGCGAGCCTGACCTTCCTAGCAGGGATCCATTTACACCTTGTCGTGGTGTTCCCGGTACAGAGCCAGGACGTGGTGCGGCTACGAGGGCCTCAAGACGGTCGACATCCGCTTCTAACTCAGCAATGCGATGCTCAGCCTGTTCGCGGTCCTGTCTCTCAGCCTCGGCCTCCTGTCGGCATCTACCAACTTCCTCAGCGGCGTCATCCTTGGCCTTCTCAAGTGCGGCCTCCACCTCCTTGAGTCTATTGCGGTGAGTTTCTGTTTGTTGCGTCTGAAGTTCGGCAAGTCGGCGCACACTCTCTAGCTCTTGACGGAAACCCTCCTCGGCAGTTGCAGCTGCTTCTTGGAGTTGTTGAACTTTGCTGAGAGACTCTTCAGCCTTCTGCTGCAAGTCCTCAAGTCTGTTCCTCAACGCTTGCTCGGTCCTCTTTAAAGCTTCCAGGTTGGAGTTTGCTTCCTCGTTTTCACGCTGTAGCTCAGAAATCCTAGTACCCTTTTCCTTTCGGTATTTCAAGGCCTCCGCGCTCTTGGTCTTTAATTCGTTCTCAAACCATTCATTATTGCGCTTCGCCAACTCAACCTCTTGCTTGAGATTTTGCTCCCTAAATTTGGCGCTGGAAGCCGCAGAGTTGGCATTCTGCACAGCTTGCTGTAGAGAGGTGATTTGTTGGCTAAGTTCCAAGCCCTTTTGATGCTGCTTCTGCAGGTCCTTGGCAAGTTCGTCGTTCGCGGTGGTCTTTGATTCGAGAACAACGATCGTGTCACGATTAGCAGCCTCGAGGGACGTGACTCGTGCTCGGAGAGTTTCCACCTCGGAGGTCGATGTGCTGGAGGAGGACTTGAGTGTCTGGAGCTCAGTCTCGAGGGATGATCTCGCATTTTCTGTAAAACAACATAGTTAGTAGATGACGCGCCGTTTTAGAATGATGCATTTACCTTCTTCCTTCAGCTTTGTCCGTACAACTTCAACGGTCTTCTGCGACTTCTCTAAGCTTGCTCTGAGACCTTCGATACGCGTCTCTGAGCTCCTCACGGCATTCTCTAGCTCAATATCTGCCCGAAGTTTGTCTGCCGCCAACTCTTTGTGCTCGCGCGCCTTTGCTGTGATTGCCTCGAGAACGGATTGAACAAGGACGGTGGTTGGGGAATCGAGGACGGAGTTGAGAGTCTGTTGCGGTAGACTTAGATAGGCCGACAGGTAGTCGACATCTAGTACCGCAGCAGCCATGGCTAATAAAGGCTCCTCATCAATTGTGGGGGTGGTTCATCGAAGGGCAGGATATCTTGACGATGTATGACGGTAACCGCGTTTTCTGTTGTTTGGCGCGGAGGTGAAATCCACAATAATTCGACGACGAGAAATAGAGATCCCGGCACGTATGAGTCAGCGCATCATTCAGCTAAATTATAGATCAGCGGCTTGATCAGGGTGAATCTCTGCGTTGAAATGGCCGTGGTGTTGATTGGGAAAAGGCATTCTTTGAGCTCTTGGACGTTTGCGTCGAAGAGGTTAGCGCGGAGCGCGGGCCATGCTAAGATCACAGCCTTGTCATCCCGAGCTCGACTTCCATCTTTGATGCCTGCTCTCATTTCTTTGTCCTCAAACGTTGACTCCCCACATGCACTACCAAGAACAACGAGATTACATGAGTTCTCGGTACTTGGTGTCACCATCGGTCCGGAAGGTCTAGATCTTCAGTGGGATTTTCTCTACTGGCGGCCGCCTTGATCCCTTTCTTTCCTTCTCCCTCCCACGCATTGTCCCTTGACGGCATCATGTCTTCCTATTTGGATAAGCAGCAGGCCGCTTTCAAGAGCGAGGCTATGTCAGTGGCGCCAAAGATCTCTGCCAAACGAACTCTTGCACCACCAGTTGCCGAAAATGCTCCTTCCCCTGCACCTTCGAACGCTTCGAATACTTCCAGAAATGAGAACAAGGAGGCGAAGCGAAAGAGAGAGGCACAGAACGTTGTTTACTCGCAACCGGCTGCAACTGGTTACGGAACAGAGGCGTTTACGCAGGTCACATATGTCATCGAATTCTTGAAGAAGAAGGATGAGTCGAAGACGTTTCGAGAAATTCTCGAGTACTTGAGCCAGGTCAATGCAGAAGATCGAACAAAAATTTTGATTGCCAAAATCCTTCGTCAGCACGAACGTGTGAGATGGGTTCCGGATCCAGAGCTGAAGAGTCAAACTTGGGACTCGGGTACCTTCATGCACCGGCCGATCATCAACGTCCGTACCAAGAAGGATCTGATTGCCTACTTGCAGAACAAGGCGGACGCACAAGGAGTTTCTGTTAAGGATCTGAAGGACGGCTGGGCAGATTGCGAGGAGGCCATCGATGAACTAGAGGACGAGCATAAGATTCTTGTCACACGGACGAAGAAGGATAACCATGCCAGAATGGTTTGGAGCAATGATCCGTCATTATTTCACCAAGTCGACTTCGAGTTCCAGGACATGTGGCGTAAGACAGAGCTCCCAAGTGTTGATGAACTTGTCCGCAAGCTCCAGGAAGCAGGCCAGAAGCCGGCCAGTGAGGACCCGAGCAAGCGCATCAAGGCTGCCCCGAAGACAAAGGAGAAGAAGAGGAAGGCTCCGAGAAAGGGCGGCAAGACCACGAACACCCACATGCAACACCTCCTCAGGGACTTCTCCCACTTGAAGCGGTAAAGGCATAGTCCGACAACGAATTTGGAGACTAGGGAGGCGCAAGGGCATTGCAAGGCGTTTGAGAGGTTGCTGACTTCAGGTTTGTATTTAGCGATGGCGTTGGGGTGATCACAAAAGCTGCTATAGAGGACGTCCATGCCGTTATTGGCAAACTTCAATAACAATGGACTTTGACTTTCATCCTCTGCCTCCCAAGCAGGATGTTCCCGGTGATAGCGGACTTGTGAACCTCGGTCCTTTTCAGCTCTGTCCCTGCTCCGAGCGGACATGCAAAAGGAACTGAAAAAGTACTCGGCACTGTCCTTCCCTGCCTTCACAGACGCCGTATTGCCTTGGAAGAAGCAATTAACTCGCGATAGGTTCGATTTGTTTTGGTGCAGAGAGCCGCGCTCATGATGAACAAAAAAAGCGGCACTGTATTCAAGGTCCCGAGTCTGGCTGGACCATTACATCCAGCTCCACAACATACGTTCCCTCGATGTATGGTACATTCAGAGTCCACTCCTTCGAACATCTCAGGATTCTCAGCCCTTTACATCCCTACCATCTCGATATTTAGCTAAACGTACCCAACTTCGATTTGGGACGTTGAAAGGGAGTGCTGCTTTTCCTGCCTCCCAGCCGCGGCCGGAAGCACAGGTGCCGAGAGGCCGAGAGGCTGCTCAGTGCTGGACCCCGCACAACTCCACTCTCCATGGACGGTGGATCGAGATTCCTGATTTCTAATCTTCACCAACGTGATGGCCAGAGGCAAATCTGTACAAATATCCCAATGATAAGTAATCTATAATTCCTTCCCGTTCTTGTTCCTTTGTCACACCATTCTCATTGTACATAACACCGTCCATCGTCCATACTTTTACCAGTAAAGCTTGTCTTTTCTTTATTTTTCTTAATTGCATGTTCCGGCCCACGCTGTGCAGAATGACCAAGTTTGACATCGAGGTCGTCAGTGACACTGTCTGCCCATGGTGTTATGTGGGCAAGCAGAAGCTCCAGCAAGCTATCAATGCCTACAAGCAGCTTCATCCCGACTCCAACGATACCTTCTCGACGACATGGATGCCGTTCTACCTGAACCCGGGTGCGCCAAAGCATGGTATGGTTTCTTCAAATGAATAGCGGGGTATGCGCTAATGGTGGGAGTAGGTGTCGACAAAACAGCCTATTATAAGAGCAAGTTTGGCGAGGACCGCATGGCGATGGTATTCGAGCGTCTAGCGCAGACAGGGAAAGATGTCGGCATCAACTTCAAATTCGGTGGCAAGACAGGGAACACACGAGACAGCCATCGCCTGATACAACTTGGGAAGTCGAAGTCACCAGCTATGCAAACAAGAGTAGTAGAGGAGTTATTCTCCGCGTATTTTGAGAATGAGGGGGATATTACGAGCCATGCCGTGTTGACAAGCGCGGGGGTGAAGGCGGGGTTGGATGAGAAGGAGGTCAAGGAATGGTTGATGAGTGATAAAGGAGGTAGCGCAGTTGATGAGGAGGTTGAGCAAGCTCAGCAGAACCAGATCAGTGGGGTCCCTAATTTTACAATCCAGGGCAAATATGAGGTCGGAGGAGCGCAAGACCCGGGGGTGTTTCTGAGACTTTTTGAGAAGATTAAGGCTGAGCAGGGATTGAAGGCTTGATTGGAGTGTTTCCATAAAGTCTCTTCTTCCATTTGTTTCGTTGGAGTATAGGATCATCGCCGGCGATTTGCTTCTTGCATTTGTTCTTTTGAGAATCGAAGGAGGGTAGTAGCATTCCGCCATGCGTTTTCCTCATCCGCAACTCGAACAGAGTGCCTAGACTGCAATAAATCGAATAATTTTTTCTACTTAGTACAGTACACTGTGGGAAGGTTCCTTTCGTCCCCCCACTTCCCCAAAGCAGCATTCTTAAAAAAGAAGCGGGTGCAGCAGTGGTGCAGGCTGCACTCAGACGTGGAATAGTAATCCTCTGTCTCCCAGAATCAACTGTTAATGCCCAACACTCCTAACTTGGCCAATCGGAAGAGCTTCCTGCCACCAACCCACCACGCTTGACTGGCGCTCGCAGGTCCTGATTACTCTTAATACTGATGTATCCTGCTGCGGAACAGGTCTTCAGCGTGAGTAATTGCGATCCAGCTCACTTGGTAAAGAAGTTACGGCGACGCGTCTAGTCTGAAGACGAGAGGTGGGGAAGTGTGCTCCCATACTGCATGTAGGAGATAGAGGGGAAATGTTCCAAGGCGGCATTGTTAAAGAGGTGTAATGCATCCCCGATACCCTTTTGAAAGAGGAGGCATGCACACGGCATGGCTTGTAGAAGTGACCACTATTAACCGCTCCAGCTTTTGGATTCATTGCTGAGAGGCTGTGTTTACTTTGAAAGCAACGCTTAATGAATTTTCGAAATCTAGCAAGTTTGTTAAAGTACAGACTAGCAATTCCCAGCAAATCGACGCAAACTCAGGCTCGATAAGCCAAATCTCACACTTCTCCTCCCCCTTTCCATTCAACTTTTATGTCAGGCCGCCCCACCCACCATGAAGATGTTCCGAGGATAATTCAAGCCCGCCCACCTTCCCTCAGTAACCTTCGCCATACCACCCATATCTTAACCAACCTCAACAATCAATCTCAAACAAGCAAATATACTCCTGATTACCGGTGAACCAGCACTGATCCGCATTCCCACCCCACGACCCTCCATCATACTTCACAGTCACAGGATTCTTCCCATCCTTCAGGCCGACCGAAGCCACATCCCTCAGCTGCGAGTGGAAGTCATACATTTGCTCGTTGGGGATGCAGAAGCTGGGTGTATTGTCAGCAAGTAATCTCTAGGCTGATAGGCACCAAAGCTGGTCTTCAGGTTTAGTTGGCTGATAACTGGGAGTGACGGTGAGAGAGACACACACAACGGATTTCCTCGCTGTTGCATATCGCCGACTAGATTTAGTGAGGGTGGTTTGACGATTTGCATTTTGAGTGAGCGCCAGTAAGGATTTGCTCGACGCTTGGTCTTGAATGTCACCAGTGTAGGCTTAGGGGGATGGAAAGAGACAGAGCATTGTTAAACTTTGAGAGCTTGGAAAGTACGAGCCACTTAGCTGAGTCAACCGGGTGTGGTGAAATAGAACAGTTGAGGGGATGGTATTGCGAGTGATATCAAGAGCAAACCATCGAGAGGGAGTTTGTTGGAAATGGTAACAAAGATAAGGTCTTGATTGCGAGTTGAAGTGAAGCTTGTGGCTGATTGGACAAGAAAGTCTGCAAATCTAAAACTGTGATTAAGTTATCGCTCTTGTTATAATTCATTTGGTGACCCGAGTTTTGAAGGGGGAGAGAGGTGAAGGAGTGAATAGGTACGAGCGACAGTACAAGAGCTTTGGAGTATTTGAAAGAGATTGGGTGGTGTCCGGTTAAGTCATTGCTGAGCGATACTCAAAGGCGATGTCTCATCCCCGACTTTAGCTATTTGTATGACCCATAATAAAATGTTCGAGACTGTAAATTCGGTTTTCCTTCTTAACTCTGCCTCATTCTCTGCATATCGCAACTATATTCTTAATCTCCTGAAGCTTCTTGCACTTTGCTTGCAAAGAAAATATCGTTGCAATGAGAGGTCAAGTGAACGAGATGAATAAGAACTCGAATTAGAGATTCACTCTCGACTTCAGAGCAATTTCAATGAACTACAACTTTTCGAACATTGAAGCGACTTGCAACAAAGCCTCAAGGCAAAGATTCACTTTCTGTCAAGAAGGACCTGGAATTCAAATTTCCTAGAGCTTTCAGGAAATGAACCGATGTTGAGATGTCGGCCAAATCGCTCTGGTTGAGAGGCGACGACTGGGAGACGAACTCGCTCGCTCAGCTTGAGAAAGAGATTCGACCTAAACAGACCCAGAGCGGCTAAAAGGAAGCTCTCAGCGAGTTCGTAGAGTGCACAGGATGCGTTGCCATATGAGGCTGCGACACGCCTTTCATCTAAAGCCCCAGGCCGATTCCAAGTCCCGAAATGGCCATCCCCTATCTGCCACTGCCAGCGAGACTCCCTATATCTACCGTGACGCGAAATCTTCTCAGCCAAGGGGCCAGTAGTTTGGCCACCGTACACGAATGTGGTCGGCTTGGCCATGATCTTGAGGAGTCTAATCCAATATGTGTGTACGGAGCCGGATACTGATCCAAGACCGTCCATCGTCGTCGGGAGGCGCTCTTCTAGATTATCCCAGCCGACCCCGAACATCAGAAGCTTCTGGGAGCCGTCAAAGAACCCGAAAAACCCAAGTCTGTCGCCAACTTCCGTGTGGTGTGCTTTTGAGAAGAGCTCACGAAGACCAGCACTTTCTATTCAAGGGCGATTCTGGTGCTTTCGCGATCGCCAATCCACTCGCAAACTCCTCGGACGACATGCCATCTCTCAGTGGCTGCAATCTCGCGCATTTCTGCTGGAAAAAGCCCAGATCCACTCTCGTTATCCTGCAAGGTAGAAGAGAGCGGCGGGAGTGAATAGACCGAGAAGATTCCTGGGTCGACGACGAATGAGTTAAGCCAATTAATATCTGGCGAGAGAACAACATCGCCTTGAGTAACTGGAGGTATTTGAGGGACCGCTTTTCGTGGTGTTGAGGTGAGTCTGCTCCTTTTGCTGGCTCATGTAGATTGTAGCTGTGCGCATGTTGGTTCTTTGTAGAGGAATGACCAAGTGTTTGTCAAACAGAGCCCTCGAGCACAAGAGGCTAGGGCCGAAGACAAATCAACATCACCACAGGGAATATTCCAGGCAGTCAAGACGAATTCCGCGGAGCGGCCAGTTATGGGGATGCTCTTATCGCTTGTTACGAGTTTGCAGAGTCATTTATACCTGCGTCTCTGGGCCTGTGGGAGTCAAATCAGACCTCCCGTTGTCAGCTGTCGCTGCGATCGGGCCTTTGGTGTTGGTCTCAAGCTCTCTGTGGCTCGAGTCTCACACCTTGGTAAAGGACCACACTCTAGACACATTCTCGAGGCTAACGGTACTTTCCTTATAGCCACTAGTATTTAGGGGGCATTAGGTTTCCGTAGCATAGGGCAACTCAATTTATGGTTCTGATCTACCTTGTCTGCTTAATGCTCGAAATAGGAGGGTGGGCGATGCTACCATTCGTATCACTGCGGACAAGATCAAGGAGTAGCGAAGGTCCCAGTCTTGAAGTGGGAAACGTAGATTGTATTACTTGACTCTTCTATAAGCTGCCCAACACCCGTGGTGCTAACGATGAGACAGTTTGCCACGAGTAACAGACCGTGTCTGAGCTTCTCTGGATCTCCACGTTGAACCCGTTACCCGTTTGAAGATCTAACATGAATGGGCCAAGTCATGGCCTGAGCTAGAGTGAAATCGTAGCACGAGCTGAAATGTGAACATATAACGACCGCGAAAATTAGTAGTTGCACTCCTCCTCGAAGACTAGAAGTCCACTCAGTCCACTTGATAGAGAAGACATCACCGGCTTGGGAACTTTCTACCTCAGGGACTTGGATGAACCTGGTCAATTAATGTGAACTGTCACTAGAACACACTTTCGCGCTGCCAACTGGCAGCGGCAGCCAGAAGAAAACGTGTCCGGAAGAGCTCCCGTGAGAACTAATTTAGGTACTGATCAAGCTGTCCAACCGTCGATGAATATCCAACTCTTGGTCGAAACAGTGACGGAACTCGGATGACGAACACTGAAACTAGGGTAAGCAGGGCAACAGGGCACACCTATCTTGCCGACGGATCGAACTCTGCCTCCACAACCTCGACCCATGTTGTCTGTAATCCACACCGCCAAAGCGGTCAAACAGATGCGCGGCGACTAGCAAATTGACGATGGGTGGGGAGGGAAACCAACAGCTGCCAAGTAGTCAGCGGAATAGATCAAAATGTCGGCATCGAATTGGGAGATCGACGAGGGAGAGGAGGATTCGGGTCCTTACCTAACGAGGAACATCGTAGGGCCGGCCACGTGTATGCAAGACTCAGGAGAACAAAGTTAATACCGTCCCGACGTGCCAAACTTGCCGTCGGTGGACCCGGCGGGCGATCAAAATGTACAGCAGCACCGAAATTGGCGTGCATGCCGATGGCCACGCGTGAGAACGGGTGGACGAGTCTGGGGTTGAATGGCGGCGATCCAGAAGTGAAACATTTCACGCCTTCTTTCAGCCCTTCTAGAAAGCCGCGGGAACCTTCTAGCGCGCGCCACCCTCGTCTTCCTTCGGCTCCGCTCGGACACGGCCCAGTGGCCGAAGAAGAGCGGTGGGTGGTCTCCGTCGATCAGGCACGTCCTCCGCAACCTTACTCCACGACTGGGACGACCCGGACGAGCAGGAAGCCTTGACACGCGCTGACGGGCATTTCCCGACACGATGCGATGGCAACGCCGACGGGACCACCTCAGGCACGGCGCAGAAATGGGTATTTGAGTTGTGGAGTCAGTAGTGTGCCTCCACCACGACTCATGGACCAGGCCGGAGAGAAGCCTGTTTCCATGAAGTTAGTCCTCCGAGATTGAAGTCGGCTCGTGCACCTTATGAGTGGTCAGTGGGAGTGTTTCTTTGCCAAGAAGTGCGGAGAACAGCCTCACTAGTCGAGTTCAAACAAGTGCTAATGAGGATCTCGCATTGGCAAGAAGGAGGTGGCTGACCGTTCTTCATGCTGGGTCGGTTTCGAAACCATCTCTGCGGTGTTAGGAGCAGCGCCTTCTAAGCCGCGCGTGGGATCGCTATCATTCAAAAGGAATACTAGCCGACGCGCCTCTTGCGCGTCAAGATAGGCAAGTCCTCTGCAACGAGGCGGCTGGAGAAAAAGAAAGCATGAGAAAGAAGTCGGCAAAGCAGAGGGCGGAAGAGGTGGTGGACCGGCAACGTGAAGGAAGGGGTTTGTCCGTTGCCTCACTTCCTGTACCACCTTCCCCCAGCATTAGGGAACTTGGGACATTGGGACCCGAAGCCATGAATGAGAACGGACTCGGAATGAGATCTGACGAATGGAACAAGGACCCACGTTGTGGGTGAGGGCCTGAGAAGGGCCCAGGAGCAGGGAAAGGAGATGTGCGGGGCCCGAGCTTTGTCAGGGCCACGCTGAATACGGTACTGGTTTGGTACTGGTGACTGGTGACTGGTGACTGCTGCAGGACAGCTCAGAGCAGCTGCACTTGTGACTTGATGAAAGTTGATGGGATATTTTCGGATGCACAGGCCTCGGCTGGAGAGGCGGTTGATACGTCGAAGGGCATCACGGTGTTCTGCAGTTGATGTGCCGTGAATGCTCGCTCGCACAGACCTGGTGGTGGTTGGACCGGCGTCCGTCGCGTGGCATCCTCGCCGCACCGCGCCCACTTTACCAGCATCCCCAAAGCCCTGCATCATCTGCAGCTTCTGCAGCTTCTGCAGCACGTTGTGGGAGCGCCCCCCTGAGGTGATGATGTCCTTGACGAGGCCGGGGGCCCTGCACCGGGCCCTGCACCTGCACCTGACGGTGAGCGGTGTTTGAGAAACAGCTGCCCTATGGTTTGCCCTGCTCTACTTTGGTAGGTTCTCTTGCGTGCTGCAGCGCGAGTGCAGTGCAGTGCGGTGCAGTAGTCGGATCTCGATCCAAACATCTTTGTGACGCCCCGTTAGGCCTGAGCTGTGAGACATTGGCTCCAATACATTGTTGCTCCGAGCTCATATCGGCTGCCGCAGCGGTCAGAGAGGCCTCCCGAAAGCTATCTTCGAGGCATTGGTCCCATTAATGACCCAAGTGAGTTGGAAGATCGCTGCCACGGACAGGGTTGAGGCAGGTATTACTGTTGAAGGGCCTGTTTCATCCAGCGACCCCCCTGAGGCCGGAGTCGAGGCACCTGGTCCTGACTCTGAGCCGTGAAGTCTGACAGCCAGTTTGCAACTATATTCAGTTCGGACCGAAGGTGGCGGTGTGCAGTGTGAACCATGCAGTCAAAATGATTGTCCGGGTTGTGCGAGATGTGGTCCCGCGATCAAGGGCGGACGGTGTGCAGAGCTCTCTGTGTGTTGCGTGCATCTGTACGAGCCACGGGGAATTTCGCAGTTATGCACAGGACTGTCTGGTACCTGAGGAGGCATGCCGAATGCTGTGGCTTGCTCGCCGCCACCACCGGGCTCGTATATGTCGTCCCATCTTCCATGAAACAAAGCTCGAGGCAGCGCTTGTCGCCTGATTTGCAGGATATGGAAAGCAGCTCAGGGGGGGTAGACTGGGTAGACTGGGTAGACTGTTGCCCACCTCAGGCCGGCGAGATGGTGGCGTACCAAGCCTTTGTTGATCCGACGTTGTGTCTGTTGTGGGCGGGTTGAGGTAGTGAGTGAGGCGTCCCCGAAGAAGGGGGGGGAGGCTCGCGAGCAATTGGCACTGGGGACGACGGTTGACAGTTGACGGTTGACGGTTGACAACGGTGTTTGAAGTAATAACAGGTGAAGTGCATTAGTGTTGTGTTACGGGCGACTCGTGCAGGAGACCTGGGACAGTCGAGGACGATCGAGCTCTCGTACTGGGTGAGGAGACTCGAGGAGACTCGCAAGACGCCGCCTCACCCTGCCCAAATAGGGGGGGGAAGGGCGGAGGGTAGATTGGAACACCCGGGCCTCCATGCGCCTTTACGAGCTTCTGGAAAACGCCGTGGTGCCTTCTTTGCTTCTAGAAGCCTTCCATCCAGGAGAGCAGCAGCGGCGGCACACCAGGCAAGTCGGCATGAATCAATGCTTGCCCACGTAAAATAATGATTTACCAGGGTTTCTGGCTGTATTTTAAAATAAGAGTGAGGACCCCTACCTTATGACGAAGAGTGATCTGAAGACCGAAGAGCCGACCCCAGCGAGATCATAAAGGCAGTCATAAGGGCAGTCCTCGACACCAGCGTCCCAGCCTGTGGTTTTGCTCCTCGATCACTCGGCGCCCATTCCTACTTGCCCACTTGCTCACCCACTCGCTCGCTCGCCTCGAACTGTGAGCCCAGGACACCCACTGCGCAAGGACAACAAGCGACAACGAACGTGCGAGCAAGAGAAGCATCAGCACTGCAACAAGAGCAGCCAGCAAGAGCAGCAGCAGAGAGCCCGGTGCGCATACCTGCTGGATTCAACAACCCACGCAAAGCTTTTGCTTTTGGGCCGTACCCAATTTAGCGAGCACCCCCCACAGCTGTGCTTCACTTGCAGCAACCAAAAAGTTGTCACCTTTCTGCTGTATCGTGCCTCCCACGCCCACGCCCTGGCCCTCGCCAACCCACGCCCAAACCCTCAGCGTGCTCCCTACTGAGTGGGTGGCACTTCCAAAGCTCCGCGTGAAGTGCAGGATTCGAAATTTCGCTCCTGCCATTCCGCGCTTCCTTGAGACCTTTCGACTGCTTTCGCCTCGCCTGCATAGTCCCGAGGTCCCTTCGTGCTGCTACGAACATCAACTTCAACTTGTTTCGAGCCGTCACCTTGAATCAGAAATCCCCAAATCCACGAATTCACTGCAAGTCGCTATCCATTCGCTGTTGAAGCTACGTATCGAGGCCATCTGCTAACGGACAACAGCCCTTTCTCTCCTCGAAGACCTGCGCCCTGGTCCCCCCTTGTTCTGTTACTTCCGCTCGACTTCACCCAAGACTCGATTGCGCTTCGGACCTGCGTGAAGCTGTCCTCTACGCGACAGCATCTGACTGCATTCCAGATCGACATTCTGCCATTCAAGAGCCCGTCTGCGAGGCCTTCGAACGCTGAGCGGTGCATCTGCAGACTCCCTTCGAGGGCGTTAACAATCTGAAGGCATCCGGACGGCAGCTCCGGACTACAAGACATCGCAGCGCCTGTTAGTCTCAACTGGCACACTCACGGTCTGCCTTTAGGTTACGCCTTTGTCCTTCTCTGCCAGAAAGCAAAAGTGTCCGACCTGCTGTTCCGATAGATCACTTAATCGGACGAACCTTTGGCTCGTGCCTCAGACACTGTAGGATACCGAAAGGATTCAGACAAGGAATACTAAGACATAGACCGATTCAGAGAAATATTGAGGACACCATTTACAGTGTGGAATCTTCATATTGCAGCAGCATTCTGAGAGTTTCTGGGGGGCCTCTCTAGACATACCCCACCTCTGCGGATATTCAAAGCAGCTGCTACGCATTGGTCAATAACTGTTTAAGCGTTCCAGGGTTTCAGCGTGGTAAAAGAAAAGAGCAGCCAATTTTACCCGGCGGCTCATTTGGTTGCCCGTGCGTTCTGCCATTCCCGCGCCCCGCGCACCCAATACCTTGAAGCTGGGAAATTTAGGTACAAGGTCAGTCCTACGCCCCCATTTGGTCTTTTTTTCAGTCACCTTCGACATGGTCAGCATGCTCGGATTGATGCATGCCCCCTCTCCACTTCTCCCTCGCCTTATATTTCAAAAAGCGAATTGGCGGTGTGCATCCTCCTCCATGCTGCAGTTCAATAGGCGGACTCACCTGTACCTTTCAACCCGATCCGAAGCTGACTTATGGATCATAGAATTCGGCTTCGCGGACAACTATCCATTGTATCGGGTGTGTCAAACTCGAACACGAACACCAAAGACCCAGTCACGATATCTCAACCTTTCCTTAAGTGAACATTCAACTCTGTGCCGTGTTTGACCCCATCGATCCTGGCGAATAACTTTCAGCTCGACCACTGCGGATAGCCTCCCGAAGGCTAGTCCCCGAGACATCTGGGAGACAGTAGCAGACTTTTCAATCTGACTTGTACATTTGGGCGAACGCCTGATCCAAGCGCCGACAGTCTCTATAATCACCTTCTCGCTCGCCTCCGAGACGGTCAGCACATCTCGTTTCAGTATGGATATTAAGGAAATAGTCAACTCCAAGGGCCCAAAAGGCGCTGCTGCTGCTGCTGCCGCCGTAGCAAACGGAGCAGCACAAGATCTTCATCTACTTCACTCCATTTCGCAAGCCAGCAGCATTCCCATGTCAGACACCGGCTCAGAGCGAGGAAACTCTCCCCATGACTCTGAGCACTCTCGATATTCTGGCCCTAGATTTGCTCAGCTGAATGGGATGAATGGTGGACCTAATGGCATGCGCTACCCTTCCCCAACGGCCATGCAAAATCCCCTTCCAATGTTGCAGCAGCCTTTCCGACCCGAGAACGGTTTCGACAATTCCATGATACAGCAGGAGAACACTCGAGTGGGACGATCATCACTAGAGGGCAAAGCCTTCCCTTGTAGCACTTGTGGCAAGGGATTTGCTCGGAGAAGTGATCTAGCCCGCCATGGTAGGATATTCTTTCAACTTGACGTCTTTGATCGGGTTAACTGATCTTTACCTAGAACGAATCCACAGCGGTATTCGACCTCATGTCTGCGAGCACCCTGGCTGTGGAAAACAGTTCATTCAGCGCTCTGCCTTGACTGTCCACATGAGAGTACACACTGGCGAAAAGCCGCATATGTGTGAGAGATGTGGAAAGGTATGTTCAAATACGCTTCGAATTTTGTGACAGCGCTAATAAGTTATCAGCCTTTCAGTGACTCAAGCTCCCTGGCCAGGCATCGTAGGATACACTCTGGTAAGAGACCGTACAAGTGTCCCTATGCAGATTGCCAGAAAACTTTCACTCGACGAACTACTTTAACCCGCCACCAAAACCACCATACCGGTACTGTTGAAGAAGCTGCGGCTGCAACAGCAGCAGCTCTAGCCACTCGTGGTGGAGGAAGCACTCGGGGGGGACGACAACGCTCAGATGGAGAACAGTACTCGAACAACGGCTCACCCATGTCAACACCATCTCCCAGTCAAAGAAACTTATCGGCCTCTCCAAATTCGGAGCTTGCCCCTATGAACGGAATCCCTCGCCACCCAGGAGAGTATCAGTACATGAATAACAGCCCTTTGCCTGGCCATCTCCGAGGCGAATACCATGTTCCTAGCCAGTCTGCCCCAACTACAGCTTCATTCTCGAACGGCATGCGACCAACGTCTCATCCTACCAGTTACGGCCCTCCGTCGATACTTGAGCCTCCTGCAAACATGGAACAACGTCAATCAGGAAGTGCGAGTGGCAGTCCCCACATGAGCAGCGTTGGTTGGCAATCTCCTTCACAGAACATGCCCTCTCCATCACAGAGCAATGGCTATGTCTATCCCGATCCCGACCCTTATGGTTCAGCTGCAGCCATGAACCAACACCTCTACTACCAGAATTCGTCCAACGTTCGTCGACCCGGTAGCATAGAGCCCGATGCATACGACATCAAGCCACGAATGAACGAGGCATGGATGGCAGCTCAATAACCTCGATCCCTGGACTGGCAACTCCCTCACATACATTCACAAATTGTGTTTTATACCCTGTATACTTCAACCTCATCAGATCCTCGCACTGCTTCTTTCCCCAGTTTCCCAGGCGCATAGCATGCATACTACAGGTCTACAGAGTCCTCAAAATTGGCGTCTATTTCCTCTTGTCCTTTTCCTTCCGAATCATAAATGGCCTTCTGTTGTTGAGCGAGCGGGTTACATAACTTAGAACCAGTCTGGTGCACACGGCTTTAATTGAGAACGGTGCAGACGGTGCGCGAGCGCATGGCTACGATGCTTACGAAGTTTGGTTTTTTGCTTTTTGCTAGATGGTGGCTTGACCGTGTGTCAAACGGTCAACAGGTGAGAAGCTTGCACGGCGCTTGCTTGACTGGTGGCGTGTTATTAGAGAATGTGCAAAAGAACTATCTAGCTTTTGCGGTGTGCCAGATGTAGCTTTCGAGCAATGAAAACAAACATCAATCGAGTCTGCGACTTTGTCCGATTTATGATGTGTGCTAGTGACTGCGGAACAACAGAGTAAATCCTAGTCAAGTCTCGACTTCGTACTCGTTTCTATGTTTGTTTTACCTTTAGGCCACCTCAAAGTATAAAGAAGTCTTTGCTTTTCATATTTTCGTTTGGTTTATTCTTCTGCCTAGTGCATTGACCCTTGCAGAACAACCATAAAACCGTCTAGATGGTTGTAAAAGTATGGCCACCCTAAGCTTGTGACTCTCCCCGGGATTGAATCCTTGAGGTGCCAGCTTTGGGCGAGGTTACAGAGTTCAGGTTAACCGGTATTGCTTCAGCCATGATGGTTTAGTAGTCAGCATCGAGGAAGTCTTCACGGTCGGGAAGAGAAGCAAGATGGGCCAGGCTCGTGAAGAAAGGTGATGGAGCGAACCGTGCTCGAGTGGCTTGAGTGGCTGGTTTGTCTTGAACCGAGATCTGCTGTGATTGTCCGACGGCTGCCCCCTCCTTCATTTTCCTCCCGCTCGGCAGCAGAAGAGACACGCACGTCCTCCATCTTCCAACTCCGGGAACTTCCATTCGAGGCTGTCCTGCTCAATGAGACAAAAAGCCCGAAGCACCTTCTCATACAGTACATATGGACTCGGTGACCATCAATGCCGATCATGTGTGCCCGCTCCATCCGCATTCGACTAGAATAGTGCGAATCTCTCCAAAATAGGGAATCTGTTGACAAATGCTAGAGGTCGTACTAGTCCCGCTACTAGAGCTTGGGCTCCAAAGCCAAGAGAGCAGACAAGTTGGGCATCGAGAGGAGCGATCTCTTTCATAAAAGGCTCGAGATCGTGATCGCCGCTACCCGATTTCTAGACAGACACTAAGCTAGCACTGCATTAGTAGACAAGTTTGATGATTCGTTCCTCAAGGTATTTGGAAGGGAAATGAGGGGAGTGCCTCGCAGCTTGCAGAACATTCAGATAGGGGAGAAGGGTAACCCGAATGGGAGTAGAGGATTTGAGGAAGCCTTTGTAGCGCTTCCGAAATGTGAGGTAGACGTTTCGGGGCCTCCAAGGTGTATCCATAGATCTTGTTCTTGAGTTCGGTCGGGAGGGTGGTGAAGCAAGCAGGTGCTCGAGGCGACTCGGGATTTACAGGAGCAGGTGGCTCATGCTTGAGCTGTCCCATCCGGACGAGCTACAACACATTACCCATAGTTACAAAACGCTGGTGCAATTTGTGGCAGGTGTTGTTGGTTGGAGTTCGAAATGTTGGCGAAGTTTCGAGGTTTTCGAAAGATCATAACGATAGCGAGACGTCACTACCCGGAGAGTGGTGAATATCCAGCTCGCTTATATTCTGGAAAGGAGGTAAGGAAAGTATAGAGATATCCTAGTCTTGACTTCAATAGTTTGAACTTGTTTGCTTAACAATCTACAGAAACTGGCTAGAGACACAAAAGAAGTTGGCCAAGTATGTGCATAGACAGACTATTAGAGCTTTGAAAAACGATACATAAAAAAGTTGCAAAGAAGCCAAAATCAACGCCCAAAATGGTTTTGATTGTGCGAACAAAGGTATCTATGACTTCTAGATTTTGATGTATGATATCCATTTGATACAATCAAAGAAAGCCAATCAGTGGGTTCCATTAGTCTGCTTGACCAGCTTACCCTCAGTCTTCTCCATATATGCAACCAAGTCCTCAATGGTACAAACCTTCAGTCCCCATTTCTTCCCAAACGCCAAGCAACCATCTCTCCGCAGCATACCAGGCTCCCGTCGTACGGTGTGTCCAACCACCTCCTCTCCATCCTCAATCAATTCCGAGATCACACCTGCTAGAGGCTTTCCCGCCAGTCTGCAAAAATCAATTGTGGCTTCAGTGTGCCCTCGTCGCTCTCTAACACCACCCTCCCTGGCCTTTAAAGGGAAAACATGGCCAGGTCTTCTAAAGCTCTCTCTTGTTGCCGTCTTGCTTGCCAACGTTCTGCAAGTTAGCGCTCTGTTATGAGCGCTGATACCGGTAGTTGTCTCTGGCGAGTTGGCGTCAATTGATATGGTATAAGCTGTCCGAATGGGGTCCTCGCTGTTGGGGACCATTTGAGGCAGTTCAAAGTGGTTGCACAGAGCCGGCGTAATGGGAGCACATATGACGCCGGAAGTATAGCGGACCATGAACGCCATCTTCTCTGTGGTCATATCTGACGCTGCTATGATCAGGTCGCCTTCATTCTCGCGGGAGAGGTCGTCGAGGACTACTATGAATTCGCCATTTTCTGCAGACCATATGTTAGTGGGGTGCTGGTGCTGGTGCGGGGGCTGAATTGCAAAATTTTGACGCCGGACGTATTCGGCATGAGTGATTGACTTACTGAATGCTTGAATTGTGTCCTCTATGGAGTCGAACTGCTGCGCAATCTCAGCGGAAGGCATGGTTGTTTGTGTGACTCTGGTGATGAGGAGAAAATCTGCCCCGCTTATGCCGGTTCTTTAAGAAAGAGCGCGGCCCGGGAACTTGTTAGAATGACACTTCTCCTGTTTCGCGGGTGATTTGCGAAAGAGATGAGAACGTTGGAAAGGGAACAGAAAACCGGAATGGCCAAAAGTTCAAAGTGGGAAGATGATAAAGATCCCTAAAATATCGGAACCCGAACAATGGGATGGCTCCGCTCGTGCATGAGGATGACATGAGAAGATCCAGGTCCCTTCGAAGATCCCGGTCCATTCTTGCAGGGTCCTTTTCACCGTACTGCGGTGCCGAGGCAGGTCTGGTGGCCTGCATCGGCTTGCTTACGGGAGCCAAAATAATTTACTTGTCAGCACGGACAATCACCGAGACTGCGAGACCTCAATTCCTGTCCGAATCTCCTCCGCATCCGCATCCGCCACAGCACCTCTCCATTACCAAGACGAGCAGCCCTGCTTGCAAAGCAGCCGGTTGACTCTGTAATGGCTGCTCCTCTCCGCCCGACCTCCCTTCGCAACCTCAATCTCCTCCTCAGAACTGCGCCTCGATTTGTACAGAACCAATTCCGCGCCCAGAGCACTTCCTCCGTCAACCCAGAAGAGGTCTCGCACTTCAATGCTCTTGCGTCGACGTGGTGGGATCCCCATGGCTCCTCTCGGCTTCTGCATCTCATGAACCCGCTGCGGCATAACTTTATTCGAGGGTGCCATGCTTCTCAACCAAAGCCTGGGCCTACCTCCAACTTGAGATATCTTGATATTGGATGTGGAGGAGGGATATTTGCGGAGAGTGCTGCGCGATTACCAAGCACTGGAAGTGTCGTGGCTATCGATCCTTCTCCGGAAGTACTAGCTGTTGCGAAAGCTCATGCTCGACGGGATCCTGGGCTGCAGGGCAAATTGACCTACCTGAATACGTCGATCGAAGGGTTGCCACAGCCAGAGTCAGTGGAGGAGCAGTACGATGTTTTGTCTCTGTTTGAGGTGATTGAACATATTACACACCCTGCCGACTTTCTGGATACCTGTGCACCCTTTGTGAAGCCTGGGGGCTGGATCGTGATGAGTACGATTGCACGGTCGTGGACGAGCTGGTTGACGACGAAAGTGGTGGCAGAAGATATTGCTAGGATTGTGCCAAGAGGCACGCATGATTGGGAGAAGTACATAAATGAGGAGGAGCTGAGGGGATATTTCCTGAGGGAAAGGGGATGGAACAGCCCCAGGGTAATGGGTGTTGTCTACATTCCCGGTCTTGGCTGGAAGGAGGTTGCGGGGAGTGAGAAAGTGGGCAATTACTTCTTTGGTATCAGAAAGGACGAGGTATGACCGATTCGAGAAGCGACCAGAGAGATAAGGCAGTATTGCCATATGGATCGCAAGCTCGCCAGCTGTAAGATTAATGTGAAAACCACCCTTTGACTTGCAGAATAATCCAACGTATATTTGAGGGTTTATAAGAACAACCTTATACATCCTTCATTCTAACCAACTCACTACTCACTACTTACTTGATCTACTTATGTCCTCTCTCAAACTATGAGACTTATCGGGCAAAACTCCCTGATATACCGATCCCTATGGTGATCTCCTCTAAATCCGCAGTAATGGCCCCATGGTCATGAAGGTCCCCTGATGTGTACTCAATCAGAGAGGTAGGACTTAGCGGTTTTACGAGAATAAAAGGAAGCTGCGACCCCCGCCTTTCCCGCCGACATTGCCTGATTCGATGAGAACAACCTTTCAATAGAATTGGTGTACGCGTGGTATGATATGAACTGGAAAATGAGATGGAAAATTCAAAAGTGTCTCAAAATGCCACAAATTGAAAATTGTGAGGCTCAGATGGATAATCGTTGGGTTTGTAGAGGCTATATCATTTCTCTATATTCGTTGTCGATATACAACAGAGAAGACCCCTCGATACAACAGCTCAACATTCCCCAAACCCGCCACGTTGACTGATGACTCCGCTGGTTTCAAGAGCCATTTTTGACCGAACATGAAGTAACGAGGATTCAAATCCCAGCCTAACACTTCAGGAGAATTAGTCAATATCTTTTTCTTCAAGCAAGATTCAACCTGAGTAATTGAATAAAAGGAAAATCAGATCTACAGCCTTGTCAAAGGCAGTCTCATCAATACCAACGTGTGGCTATGTTGACCGTCGTGATAAAAATTGATCATCAGGTAAGGAAGTATGGGAATGAGAGAACGGAAAGAGAGCATACCCAAAGTCTCGGGGTAGTGATGATATGTTTTCACAAGTGAAGAGATTCATAAAGCTGACACCTAAATCTGAGGGCGTTAGCAAAGTTCAAGGTAACAACTAATGTGACAGTAGGCTGGAAGCATTTTCAGTTAAGACAGTCTCGTCAACGCCGTAAGGCTTGGACATATGCTTGTCATTTGTCGGTCGAGGTCATCATAATGCTTGGGGCTGACCATATGAAAATGTAATTCTCACCCGGCAGGTGGGGCCAGAAGCCTACCCACTCAACAACCTCGTCAGATTCATTGATGCCCGAGGATTTGATTTAGAACTGAGAACAAGATTAGAATTGGTCCCGGGAAAAAGAGTATCCGATGAGAAATGATTGCAGAAGAAGAGATCAGAAGGCATGAATGGTTTAATTTGATTTGCGTCAACATCGGTTGCCCGGATCAGACTCGTCATCTAAAATGCTCATCATAAAATGGGAAGCGGAGACAAAAGCAGCAAGAGTACACACCAAATCAAATCCTCGAGCCAAAGGGGAGGCGGGCGACCTCTAACGCCCAGGTGGGCAGGCCCTAGTATCAAAGCCAATGGCCATATATTCCAATGGCACATCGTCCCACGAAGAAACAAAGGGCTAGAGCATGCAATTAGCATCTCCTTCTAAAATAATCGAGTGAATTAATATTGTGACAGAAGGCTGAAATCAGTGGGCGAGGTTTTCTAGGCCTGCCGCAAAATGGCGTCTCCTTTCATAAACTAGCCCCGGTCTTGCCAAGTACTGTCGGAGCCCAGTGCCATATCATCCTTTGACAGTGGTATACATTGGGGGAAAGATGTGCGAAGGAATTAGATGTCGTACCTTTGTTTTCCGATCCCACGGGACTCGCAACTAGAAGGCTTCGGGTAGTTAGCGTCTGATGTGGACAGAGAGTACATTGTCGAAAATTTTCATTGAAGGTAGCTCAGAAATAGCCATTTGATTTCGTCAAAGACTTTTGGTCTCAGTCGGTAATTTCCAGCGTGCAAAGCACACAAATGTTCATCACAGCCAATGTTCGGGGATGGGGTTGGGGTTGGGAGGAGAACTTACTCGGAGGGTGTGAGTTGTCATTGACTAAGCTCGCAGCTGGCTACCGTGGCCTAGAGGAGTATCTTGAGGCAATGTCAGCGATCCCCTGGCACAAAGTATACTTGGGCTGAGGAAGAGAATGATGTGTATTTCAGACTGACGTGTTACAAAAGTTTCATTCCCCTTGAGGTCAAAGACTCTAGTTTGCGGTTGTATATTTGTCATCACGAAGGGGGAAGAGAAGGGAGAGAGATGCTGCTTACCATGGCAGAATATTAAATTGATTGAGAGCTGCACGAAGCAGCGGCGTGGTGGTGGTTCACATCTTTGAAGGATTTTCGTGTGAAATGCAGAGAAAGCTTGAAGCTCGAAATTTCGATGTGGGACCATTGGCGCTAAGACAAACTAAGCTCGCGCCCCGCTAGCCCGAAACGGAGACACACGTGACAGCGCCATCCCAGGAATCGTGGAGGCTCCGGGAAGAACATTCTTGCGGTCTAGACATTTTACCGACATCTCCCGCATACTCCGCAACTGCAGCTGTTCCGCACAGATAAATAAGCATGAGGGAGGCATCAATATACGGTGCACCTAGAACCTAGAACCTGAAATTGCCTCTGTCCTGCTCGCAACCCGGAAAATCATCGTCCTGGCGGTGCCGCAGCTCTCCCATTCCTCCGTCTGCTAGCGCGGGGCAGTTCCGAGGAGCAACGTGATTCTTCCCCTTATGCCGAGCAACGCGGGGCAAGTGTGCCGTGGATCGTGTGCTCAGTGAGAACCATGATTTCACGAATCACTGCGTGCTGCTCCATAAAACAATGGCAGCGGGCTCCTATCGTGTGATGCGACTCGAACCCTATTAGAGAAGTCTATTTCCTGCTCGTCTTCCCTCCATCTTTCCCTTGCAAATAGCATCGAAGCCCGGATTTCCACTCTTGTATTGTGTCACGCAGCTTCACACCAGAACTCCCGGAAGCTATCCGCATCGACCCGAAATAAATTGACGAGGACACACGATTTCAATTGAAATAGTCCCTGTTTCCTCCTTTTCTCATACGCTCCTACTTCCCACATACTATTTCCCAATCGTTCATCATGGCTTCCAACGGCAGCGGCGTTCCGGTCCAAAATGAAAAGGTTAACACAGACATTGTGACCCTCACTCGATTCCTCACAGAAGAGCAAGCAAAGCACAAGGAGGCCAGTGGAGATTTTACGTATGAATCCATAGCACTCTTGCCAAGTCCAAATCTAAAGCTGACAAGATTGCAGATTACTTTGTCATGCCCTCCAATTCTCCTTCAAGTCGATTGCATACTACATCCGACGGGCGACCCTGATCAACCTTACCGGCCTCGCAGGCTCAAGCAACACCACAGGCGACGACCAAAAGAAACTCGATGTCATTGGCAATGATCTGTTCATCGCAGCCATGCGTTCTTCCGGAAAGTGCGCGGTTCTGGTCTCCGAAGAAGAGGAGGAAGCCATTTTCTTCCCGGAACACCCGAATGCTCGGTACGCAGTGGCATGTGATCCTATCGACGGTTCCTCCAATTTGGATGCTGGTGTGTCTGTTGGTACGATTTTTGGCATTCATAAGCTGGCAGAAGGATCAAAGGGCACAAAAGAGGATCTGTTGAAGCCTGGAACGGAACTGATTGCTGCTGGATTTACGATGTACGGTGCTTCCGCTCAGCTGGTTATTACAATGAAAGGAGGCAACGTCAATGGCTTTACGATGGACAATGCCCTGGGAGAATTCATCCTCACCCACCCGGACATGCGGATGCCGAAGAAGAGAGCAATTTATTCCGTAAATGAGGGAAATTCCTTGTACTGGGAGGAACCAGTCAAGCAATATTTCAACTCGTTGAAGTACCCTACGGAGAAGGATGGCAAGCCGTACTCTGCGAGATACATCGGAAGTATGGTTGCCGATGCGTACCGAACCTTGCTCTATGGCGGAATCTTTGCGTACCCGGCGGATAAGAAGAGTCCGAAGGGAAAGCTGAGAATTCTCTACGAGTGTGCACCAATGGCTATGGTCTTTGAGAACGGTGAGTTCGGTTTTCCTGCAGATGAGGAAGAGCGAAGCTAATATGATTGCAGCTGGTGGTCAAGCACTTAACAGCAAGATGCAGCGAATGATGGAGATTGTCCCAGAGCATATCCACGACAGATCAGGTATTTTCATGGGTAGCTACGACGAAATGGAGAAGGTCAAAGCCTACCATAAGTAGGTATGATCGGAAATGATTGGCATGGACTGGAATGAGGATTGCGCAGATTGGATATGCATTACAAGGAGTACCTAGGTTGATTGCAACGTCCAGACATGATGCATGGTAAATCCTAGTTTGTGACGTGAATAGCAACTGATTGAGTAGAAGCATGTGCAACCCTGAGAACAGTGTATTCGTTCCAGAGGCTCTAAGTAGAGCCAATGAACTGTCGCTCGCCGCTGAGAAAAGAAAACTATACCTGAGCGAGTGGTCAAGTGGCCAAGGGACAGACACGTGCAAATGGGAGTGTATCATCATTCTCCCTCCATTGATGGTCCGCGACTCTTTCGTTGTCCAGGAGTATGCTTGTTGTCAAGTTATCTTCCATTTCAAAAAATAAAATAAAAATTGTGCTTGGCCATTCTACTTTTAATGCACTGACTATCACCATGACTGTGGCCATGATGGCCCCAACATTCTCCAAAGGAGGCCGACGCTACGTTCCCATACCCCACTCACGACGGGCAGGGGAATCCGCTCACTGAGTCTGCGGAAGAAACTCGATTCCTGTTGGTCTCGGTCTCGAATAAACCTCAAGCATCAATTTATAAAGCTTTCCACAAGCTCGTAGAAGCCGAAACATGAATCACCACGGCTTGCGGCAACTAGAACTTCTTCTTGGTTCGAGTAACGTTCTCTCATTACATGCCACAGTTCCTTTTCGACTTCTTTCCATACTTAAACACTTTAATGCCTGGAGACAGCCCTTCAATTCGGTCATTTAGTTTCCCTTCAATTTATAGCATTCGTATATCAGTGGGGACTTTGGGACCCTCTTACATTGGCACTATGTCAGCCGCGAACCTTTGATGTACAGTGGCGACTCCGAACAAGGGAGGATCTCGTCCAAGTCCCGAGTATACTTCTTATATAAAACTACAAGCATCTCGAACCTTGACTTCGACAAACGCCGAATTCATCCGAACGGATGTTTTCAACAGATAAGAGATGCCTTGGGCAATACATCTAAGGCAAGTAGGTGAACGACGCATGGCTGAGGGTAATGGAACAGCTCGAAGATTACATGTCAATCTTCCTTACAAAAGTCTATTGAGGCAAGGATGTATGTGGTGGGGCTTCGTTGTCAATAGTCCTTCACCGTCAAGAACATCCAGACTGTCAAAATGTCTTTCAAAAAGTATAAGTAGACTGCGGGAGTTGACGTAGTTGATTAAGTTCGAGCTTGTCTTGCCAATCGAAGATACGGACAGCAGGAGTTGGGAAGATTTTTGCCCACCCAATTGGTGATCTTGTCCATACCAATCTCGGTGAGTTTTCTGTCTTTAGACTCTTTACCAGAGAAACAGCCACCGGACAGGATCTTCTTATGCTCTCGGTTGGACGAGCGGCCAGTTCTTGTCCTCGTCAGCTGCTGTTGGCGCATTGCGAGGGACCCTTACTTAGCTTCAATGCGTACCGCTTCCAAGATGGACCTCGAGTCTGAAAATGAGTTTCGTGAGAGCACGGAAAGGGAATTTATACATGTGATGGTGTGAGGGTGGTGGTACCTGGTAAGGCTTGATATATGATTCTTTTTTTTTTTTTGGAAAGAAAAGGAGGGGAGAATACAGTTCCTTCCGAAGTGATAGCCATCTGTGGTGTATTTTTGTTTTCAGCAGTGGATGGCTGGTCGTGTCGGTGTACGTCGTTCAGCTTCTGAGAGGGGCCCGAAAGAACAAGATATGATGAACCTTGATATGGGCAGAGAAAATTGTTTGAAGATGGAGGCAGATAACTACTTCTTCTCCGCAGCATCGTGAACCTACTTCAAAGCTATACAAGAAACACACAGACATGATTGACTTGGATTCCAGACCGTGCAACACATTACATCACAAACAGTATTCAGAGCAGAAGTCAGGCAAGGCAAGCTGGCTCAATGTTTCTAACAGCAAAGTTGCAAGACACTCCACACTTGGCTCCAAGTTGTTGTCAACGCTCTTCCCGCAGTCAAAAGAGGGGTTTTAATCATCGCTCTGAGCCGTATTTACCTGGCTTCTGTTGTAAGCCTCTCTCGTTTTTCTACCTTCCAATTCTAAGGCTGGTTTCGCATTCATTGTCTCTTGGCAGAGATCGGTAACGCCAGGACTACGACCAAACCCTACTCAAGAGCTTTCAACACGTCGGTGACGCAAACGTAATTTCAAAGGCCTTTTAGAATGTGAGCTCGGTTTAATGAGGCGAGATTCATCTTTATATTTGGGAATCTGGGTGGTTGAGGTTACAGGGCAGCGGGTTGAGAGATTACCCGTCTTTCAAGGAAGAAAGGAAGTAACGGAGATGCAGCTTTTCATTCGGTGAGCGGTACTCTATAACAAGAGTAAGTAACAAAGAGCCGTCTGGCGTAACATTAAAGACTCGAGAAAAGGCGGAGGCCTCAAGCTCAGCCGAAAGAAGGAGGAAGGGCTGCGAATGCACAGTATAGGAATGTGGGACCGTGATGTCCAGAATCAACAAGCGCGCATGCGTGATTCAATATCGAGGCAGATTACCAAGACCGGAAAAGATTCAGGTTGAAGCTATTTGTTCCTTCCAATGGTGAGCATTGGATCGAATTGTTACTGAGAGGTTCGATGCATATCCTCCACTATAATACGCTTCAGAACTTGTATTTGAAATTGTTGTCTTTCCTCACCCTGTTGCCAAATGTAATCTTACCGTCAAGAGCAATCTGATGCAATACACTTGCCCACCAAAGGTTGGTGTCTTCAAACATGCGACTGTGTCTCACAGTCAACTACATTCCAATTGGATTGATAACACGGCAGGTGCAGAAGTACTAAAGTTTGAGAGTTCAAAGTTGCTTGCCATATGCCAGGATGGGAGATCTTGTGAGGGGCTTTGAAGCGCTACCGCATCCGCAATGCCCACCGTTCTGTAGTTACCTCTAAGTGCAATAATCCGTCCATCATCCTCGATTTTGCAGCTTCAAGAGTATGGTTCGATTTCTTCTTGCGGAATGGCACATATTCCGACTGGTACTTTCCCCAGTGACTGCTCGTGCTGGTTAATAAGTATACGCTCTTAGTAAACTTGGAAACTGGAAGGCTCCCTGGTTATTCTTATTTGGTGCAGAAGTTAGAACAATGACATAGAGCAGCGAGCACCTATAGGCGAGTAAGGAATATTTTCAAGAAGCGAAACGGTCATAGTATCAACTCTCCCATCTGGGAAGAGTACCGGGACTTAGGTTTACACCGACCCTACCAACTAGCATGGCGGGGCTCGGAAAGGGGAGCATTCCGCTAACAACGTGTGCGCAGCCTCGTTGAAAGATGGGCATTATATACTCCGGATTTTAGAACAACAAACTTTGAGAAGGGGGCTAAGTGTAGGCCGGCGTGGGCACTTGAGCTTTACAAACTCAAAGTGAGGATCGACAGGTCTGGAAGAGTGTTTACACGATAACCCACCATAGTGCACGACTCTAAGGTGGAGTGACTCGAAAAATCTGCTTGACGGGTTTTCTAAGGGGTCCCCCGAAGACCCTGGAGTTTTGCTGTTTTGCTCCTCTGCAAGGCCGTTTTATTTTGTAGTGTAATTTTTTTTGGCGGTTGTTGACAAGCGAGTTCGCTTAAAAAGTGAAGGAGCAGGTAAATAGGGGAAGTCTCACTAGTACAAAACGGAGTCGTTTTGATCCCCGGCCCCAGAAGCAGTACGTCCACATGTTTAGTCTCACCTCCAAACAAATCTGTTGTCCCTCCTACGTAGAAACGCTTTAGCAGTTTGGACAGCTGGCGGACAGAGGGACTGCTTGTACAGTACTATGTCACATCTCAATAGCTCAAGCGGAAGACAGCGAAGCGACGAAGCTGCGCTCCTGCGGACCAAATGACAATAAAGCAGTAGTGAAGTAAAAGTGTCTTTGACACACAACCGAAGCAAAATCTACTTGCTCACGTATTTGACACCAGCCGTCGCTTTGTTGTTGCTTGAACGTGCTCAGAATGGAAGGGTAAATTCAGCTTTGTACAAAGTTTGCATCCCTCAATCCGTAGGTAAACCAGTGAGAGAGAGAGAAAGGGAGCTCTTATACGAGAAAGTACTTCCCCAGCACTTGCTTCAAAGATCAACTAACCAATTCAGAGGATGGCGATAGTAAGGAATGGTTGATATGTCCCTTGTTGCATGTCTTTCGTGTATTTATATAAGATTACACACGTGTCAACGCATTAACATCCTAATTTCCGTCTCAGAGTGTACCTCCAACTTGACTCCAAGGCAGACATGAAGCCACATTATATTGCAAACAATGCAATATCTCACGCGAGCTGCAAAAGCCAATTCTCCCAGCAACACATATTTGCCATTTTAGGCAGGGTATAATGCAAGAAAGCAGGCCAAAAATCCATTACTGTCTGCAAGCCATCCATCTCGCGATCTTTTTTTGCTTACAAATGCCATTACGCCGCCATTATGATTTTGCAAGAATCTAAATGCTAGAAAATAATCAGGACAGGAAAGATGAAGAAGCCAATGCTCCAAGGATGGGTAGAACCAGAAGGTTGAGATTCATCCTGAAAGAGGAAGCGCCAAAGGACTTTTTGGAAGGCGTAGGTGTGCTGGTAGCTGTGAAGAATCCGGTGAGCACTTCTGTGGCAGTTACTGTGACGCTGGCACCTCCTGCTGCCGTTGGGGTTGCCGACGAGGCAATGGAGCTCCAGTCAGAAGACGCGCTGTACAGAACACCGTTGATTATGACTCCTTGATTATGGATTATCATGTTCTTCTGATCGCTGTTGCAAGTCTCGGGGATGTTCCTGAGCCAACAAGTTGCGGAAGGAGATGCTGGCAGACTGTTTGTATAGGTCGAGTTTACTGGACCAGTCGTACCGTACGCGGAGAGGTCAATTGTGGCTCCAGTTGAGAGAGAGGTGCCTGTCATTATTCGGGCAAAGACCTGGAAGGCCGTTTCCGGTTGATATGCTGGGACACTATGACCAGCATCATAGATTCTGCTAAACGAAAGATTTCCATATTGGCGAACAGCGCCTCCAATGTACGTAGTGTTGACGATGATGGGCGCATAGCCAGCTGCAGGGAAGAACGACGCATAAGCTGGCGATGTTTGAGCTGCGACCGCCAAAGAGATGGCTTCTCCACCTAGCCAATTGCAAATGTAGTCGCGATCGCCATAGATGAAGCCAACTCGGACACCAGCCCTCAGGAGAGCAGCGATGTCAGGAATTAGTGCCTGCCGTTCATAATCTCCGGTTGAAGTGAAAGCTGACACGACTTGCTGATTTGTCTGCGTGTAGTTAAGCTGGGAACCTATCGCTGACTGGACCGAGGGGGTGTTCAAATATTCCAGATAGGTACTTGGTGGGAAGGGATCAGGTAAGAAGTGTGCTATATCATACACATTTCTACCGGCATCATTGTATGGTTGGACGACATATTCGTTACAGAAAGTATAGGCGTTCGAGCAGATACTATTGACTACTGACACATCACCAGAGTTCCCGGGATCTTGGTTGGCTACGGCGGTCCGACACTGGTTGATTTGGGCTCGACAGCCTCCGGACGAGTAAAAACTACCGGTGGCCGCCTCCGCTCGAGTTGGATTGATAGCCGTTAAGCCATAGGTATTATTGACGGCCATGGCAGGGTAGAACGGTGCTTGTACAAGGTCATCTACACAGCCATTGACTATGCCCAGTGAGACGAGTTTGATCTCAACAGTTGCGTTTCTGGGAATCGACCCATTCAAGCGACGTAGGTTCTGCTCTTCCCAAATTGTTGCAAAAGCAGGACCATACTTCCCACCATAGCTTTCTGCGAACAAATGAACGCCCATTATTGACGAGTTTGTTGGTCCAAACTCTGGGAAAGCACCTAAAAATCCCTGGAGCATATGCCAGATAGCCATGCCAGCTGTTTCAGTTGTATTCGCGGTGTTACTCATATTCAATGAGCTGAAAGTGCCGTTCAAGAACGTGTCCGCAGGTTGTGAGCTTGGGTGCACTTGTTCGGGAGTATAAAGAGAGGATGTGAGGAGGTCCAGAGAGCAATTGGTCGGCGTGTCGTATGAAAATCCAACCTGGTTTGGCTAAAGACATATTAGCAAAAGAACATGGGACGAAAACAAGAACGAAAATATCTCGATCGGTCCAACTGGGATATGGCGGCCTCTGAAGGCTTGAAGTCTTTGCTGCAAACCGTTCCAATGTCATGAATTGGTGATGTAGATCCTTCAAGTCTTGGATATTCTCAAGTAACCGAGTTTCGTGTAACGAACAAATGTACCATACCTGATCAATGTACAGCAGATTCGACCCTCTGTCCCAGCCCCAATCTCTCACAATTGTCCCAAGTTTGCCTGCCGCAAGCTCAACGACCTGGCAGGGGCCATTCTCGGTGAAGAGGCCGATCATAGAGCTCGCCCCAGGCCCGCCATTCAACCATATCGTCAACTGCTCAGTCGGCTCTCGCGCCCCAAAAAACCAAAAGAACGTGTTGGTTGGGTATGTTCCGGGAATGTGAACCCATCCTGTATACTGTTGCTGTGTGTCAAAGGCAGTTTTGCAAGTGTCTGTCCGTGGGGACTTGAAAGAAATTGTGATGTTCGCATCGAACGGCGAGGTGATGGTAGTTAGGTTCGACACGGGAGGGTATTGGGCGAGTGTGACTGAGAGAAGGTAGGAAAGAAGGAAGAGAATATGATACATCGTTGTGCACTCATGGTTTGTTGTTGTCGTCGTTCAACATCGGGGAAGTGGAGGGGGTGGAGGTGCGAGAGAAAATTGATCGTCCTTCCTTCCCGCCAGTCCTGGTCCAAGGTTTACGAATCCTACACGAGAGACACGGCTCCAAGCGAATTTGCTGGGGCTCGAATGGACCGCCGGAGCTCGCACTCGTATTCATCCACCTCATTTCTGTGGACGATGGCGAGATCAGAGATGAGACCAGAAATCCAATTAGTTGCTTGATATCTTGATGTTTTTTCCTTTGCACAGATGGCTGCATTCCAAACAGACGGCGAACGCTTGTTCCCCCGCATTTCAGACGACAGCTTACAGAAGCCGTGCACGCGCGCATCCCCTGTTCCTGCATGTGTGCTTTTTCAGGGGTTGACCATCAATTTGCCTCTTCTGAACTGGCTCATTTCCTGAGATGCACTACTCTCCTCATTTCTTTCTTGCTTTCTCGTGGATAGTAAATGCCAAGTTGGCAGAGCCTCCCAGCAGGTTGAACGTGCAGAGTACTGTACAATGGCGTCTGGACCAGATATCATAACTTACATTGGCGTTCCACTTGCGGTCCTCGGGGTAGCGCCCATTATTTATAATACCATCTCAACGATCGCCACGGTTATGAAAGTCAAACGTATGCTTCGCCGCGGCCGTCTCGCAGGGATAACTAGGGGAGATGTTATTAACCATGTGATTGAGGTTGAACTTCCCCGTTACACAATTGCCCCCTTACACAGAGAAGAGCACTATAAAGAATACTGGGGATTGTGTGACTATCCAAGCAAGATTCCAGGAGGTAGTTGGACGATTTTCAACTGGAAGTGTCATAAGATTGGACTTAAGACCCAGAGAATCGATTATACAGACCAGCTTCGACAACCACAGGCCGAGATTGGATTCGAAGAGCTGATAAGCTTTCTCCTCGACCTGGGGGCTATTCCAAGCGCCAATGGGTTCCGTATGCTGCGAGGAAGTGGTCTCTGGGTACCCATAGGGACACCGCTTCTGCTTTCTCCCGATGGGCATGAAACGGTTCTAACAATTGCTCCCTTGGACGACTCCGATGGAAATCTGTCTTTAGCAGTCAAATGGTCAACAAATTGGGGAATGAGGGACCAATCTAGTCTCCCACCATACTGGGTATTGATCAAGGGCCTTCCAGCACAACCGAGCGCAGATGGAGACAACCCGGAGACGATTGTTCCAAAACCTGTCGAAGAAACGACAGAAGAATCAGCAAAGACTGATGGCAACGATACACTCGTAACCAAAACAGCCAAATATATACCTACCATCGAGGAGGCGATACCGGCTATACGATGCCAAATTGGAATCAATGGTCTGATTGCCGCAATCCCAGACGACTTTGATCCTCAGCTTTTTGACCAACTCAGTATTGGCCACCTGGAAATCGATGACATGAACACCAATACCACTGGTATCTGTAAGTGTTGAGAGAGAATATTTCATTTATTTCACTGTCCCAAGTCTGATGGGATAACTTGTTTCCATTTTTCCGAGTCTTCTAGAGGCATTTGCTAACTCCTTCGCTACCTAGGGTTTGCCAGCGCCATCACGGCGTTTGGAACAAGTTCTCAGACTATCCTCTGGAATTATAAAATTCCGTCCGATATCCTAGGTTTTGCAAAGAAAGATTCCATACCCTGTGGTATTCTCGTTCTACTTGGCGTCGTGGGAGAATCAGCTACCCCCGAATGGGCAACACAATACGACGATGATGGAGAGAAGCGTGAAGAGCAGAGGAAGAAGTTGAAAGAGCAGTCGAGAGCTATGATGAAGGAGAATCAGCTACCTCCAGACCAGAAAGCAGCAGCTATACGAGAAAGGCAGTTGAAATCACATGACGATTGGGTGGAAAGTCTGAACACAACGAGGAGAAGAGATGCTCAGAGAGTGGAAACGAGGATGGTGGAGGCGGTTCAAAGTCCAAAGTGGGATAATAAGCTAGTTGCTGAGCATAATCTGGCGTGGTTGAAGAAAGAGGGCCATGTGGAGGAGTCTCATGATTTGAAGCGTGCTGTTGAAGTGTTGCTTTGGAGGATGGTGAACGATCCAAAGATTACTGGAGACTTGGTTACGCTGTTGGATTCATGGAAAGCTTTTGTTGACAGCGGAGGTATTCGAAGGGTCGATTATCAGATCTTGAAGGAGAATCAGGTCGCGTTTGCTAATGCGAGTCTGCTCGTGACTATTATCGAGGATTCAGTGTCGGCGGCGCTTGGGAGTTTGGCTATGGACCTTCAGGAGTGTATCCGAGTTTGGAGAAAGGTCAGGCTTGGCTGAATATATACCCAGAGTATTTGGTTTCGAAGAATAGTTCAAAGTACCGAGCAAAGGTGAAGATTGAAATTACTTCCCGTCTGAATGCACCCTCGATTTCTCGAACAGTCAGCGTTTAATGCCTTCGGATGTGCTAATGGTTCTGGATCATTGAGCTTCTTCAGCATAGTTCCTGCGCTTAGAACTTGGGGATGAACATAGGAGTATTTTCCTTCCATGCTTTGTAGTCCTTCCGGTCCCCATACTTTTTGTCATACTTATTCTCACTCAAAGGGACCCCGGAAACCTTCAAAAGCAGGAATGTGACAAATGCTGGGCTAACGAAACACATCCCAAGTCCCAAGAATCTCCCGTAGCTCGTTCCTGCAAGTCCCATACCCACCTGACCAATATTGCTAGCCAAAACTCCCGCAGATGTAACAGCAATACCGGTCCACAGAGTTGACTCCCCGAAATAGTTCGGGTGTCTGCTCTTAGACCAGAGTCCGTGAGTCAAGAAATCCTCATCATGCTCCTAACCATAGAATTAGTATGGATCATTCCTGAATTTCAGAGGAAGCTTCCAGGCTCCGAGCTCCCAAACAAATGAATCACAAGTTGGCATGACAATAAGCTCACCTTTCTCTTCTTGGCTTGTACCCAAGCATCCTTCTGCCTATCAGCTGCAACTTCAAAGCCCAAACCACCAGCATAAAGCAAGAGACCGACGACATCTGTAATCCCAATAGCCGGGAGCGTGGACAGAACAGCGTGAGGTATGCTGTTCACCGCCAAGATTGGCATCAAGCAGAGAGAAATCCAGGTTGCTTGAGCCATAAATGCAGCAAGGAACTTAGGGGGGGACTTCTTGATCTCGTCAAATCGGGAATCCTTTCCATCTTGCATGACTCTTTGAAAAAGGTATGACCCCACTAATCTTTGATTAACACATGAGCTTCGGAAAGGGGTGAGGAGAAATACATCTTGTGGCCCATATTGACACAGCTGTGCTGAGAACAACTTGTCTCCAGTTCAGACCATTGGGCCCTCCTTTGCCTGTGAATGTATCCAAAAGGCTTGGGAAGGGTGGCTTGGCAGTCCCAGCGAGCGATGCAGCGGCTCTTACCCGGAGCGCTGGAAGGTACAAACTCAAAGCTGTAACTGAGAGATATGTGAGAGATCCCGAGAGATCATAAAATCGCTCGGATTTCGCAAGGATAGACGGAATGGCAACCGCTGTTTGAATGGCGAAGGCTGCACCCACAGATGGAATGAGAGTTCTATTTCATGTGAGTTTGTGAGACGACATCAGAGCAGAGATCACAAAATACCTAAGGAAGGGATTACGGAAGTTGGTAAGATGCAAGAGAGAACCAAGCAGACTCATCTTGCTTGATATCGTTCAAATATTGGAGTTTTCGTATTATTGGTGTGGGTTCACAGCTGCTATATTGAGAAGGAATTCCCGTGTGGTTCTACGTTTCACAAGGCTAAATACGACCTGCAGCCTCGGGGAGTGTACATGACGACATTACAGTTATATGCGAAAACTCCCTGTTTTAGCGAGTTTTTGACGAAAAGCGGTACACTTAAAAACGGGTGTACCAAAAGTTACCTAAATTATCTTCAACCACCAATTGCTCCACCAAACCACGTCCGAATTAGATGAGAAGTGGATCAATTTACTCTCCTAAAGTAGCTCTTGCTAATAATAAGAGCAGATTATGGCTCCTCACCTAAGCCCGCGCGAAATCGCGGCCATCGACGCTATCGTTGCATAACCTTATCACCCCGATTTACACGAGATCGCAACCCGATTCAATACTACTTACGAAACCATACGATATCGGAGGTATCAGATACGGGTTCGGAAAGCTCTTGGCTGGGATTCCCGGAAAAAACCAGGCCGTCGATCGATAATTATACCAGAAATGGAAGAAGCGGTAATGGAGCATATTCTGAGATATATCGACGTTTACTAGGAGGAAATTATCGACTTTCTTAATAAGGAATTCGGCATTAAACCTCACCAAACGACGATCTCGCGTCTTTTGAAGAGATTAGAGATTATATATAAGAAAATCAAGGCGGTAGCGGCGGAGCAAAACCAGGAGCTTCTTGAGCAGTAGTATAATGATTCTCGATTTTGGAGAGCAGATCAGATCATTACCGTAGACGAATCAGCTTTTAATAAGTATACGGGGTATAGGAAATATGGATAGGCATCTCAGGGCTTACCTGCGGAGATAAAGATACTCTTGAAGCGATCTCCTAAGTAGTCCCTTTTACCGGTATATATGATTAATAGGTATCTTGATCCTTTGGTTTATTAAGGCAATATTATAGCCGAGATTTTTGAAGATTAGATAGAAAATAGGGTGCTCCCGCAGTATAATCCATGGCCGGGCAAAAATTCGATTATTATAATAAATAACTATGGTATATACCGGAGTCAGAGGGTACTTGATATGTGCCGGGTACGGGGTATTTGGATATGCTAGTTATCTCCTTATTACCCAATTTTGAACCCAATCGAGGAAAGCTTTTATAATATTAAGTCTAATATGCGAAAGAACTATAGGAAAGTCTATAGGGAGTATCCAGACTTTAGAGATTATCTAATTAATACTATTCGGAGGCTTGGACGGGGGCCAGAGGCAGCTAGGAAGGCTAGGGGGCATTTCTATAATTCAGGATATCGGAATTTCCCTATAGAATTAGTATAAAATTAATAGAATCGCTATACTTAATATTATTTAAAGTTCTGGTAATTTTAATATTACAAAAGGTAATTCCAAAATTACTTATTACTTTACCAGAGAGCCGATATTAATACTAATTAAAAAATACTATGGTTCTTAATAACCACAACTACTATTAAAAAAACGAAAGCATATTTAGAATTATAGGAAATAGCTCTTTTAATTATTCTAATATATAAAAATCCTATAATATAGTTATAAAAATATTTAGTATAAGGGAAAAACTTCAAATATTAATAATCTCGACTAAAAATAATAACCATAATACTAGTAATAAATCTCTTTAAAAGAGCCTAAAATCCTGTAATCTAATTAGTTTATTTCTCGCCTCCCTAGTCCCGTAATATATGGAAATCAAGGCTTAATTCTAAATATTATCCTCTATCTAACCCCTAATCGATTCGTAATCGTTATTAAATATCCCAGGAATTATAAACTCTTCCTAATCCTGCTTCTGTGAGTTGCCTATACCCTAGTGGAAGCTAATTTCGTCTTCAGGATACGTACTAAAGACGATATCTGGTCGAATCGAGTCTCCTGCTTAGGTATCCGGAATAGTGCTTTGGGAGGGGGCTATTATATTAGTAATTAGTACCGGAGTACCCATATTTAATATAGAAGATTAATTAACTTCCGAATTTCATATAGTATACTAAGGGGAAACCTGATCCTTTATAATAAGGAGAAATCCCTATGGAATACCATACTCTTTAGCCTCCGATTTCTCTATTACCTTTAGCTATTTCGGGTCAATCTGCTCCTCTAATACTATAGCTATTAAATTACTAATATTAGTTTATTAATTTCGAAGTAAGTAAGTATCTAGCCATGCCCTAAATAATGCTAATTCCTCCCTAATATTAGTATCTTTACGAATTGGGCTAGACTCTTATAAAGTATGCAAATTAAAGATACTAGAGAAGTACTTAGCTTAATAATTGCGATCTTAATACCGGGAATATAGAAGAGTAGGAAGAAAAGGTCATCGACATTAAAAATAAGGCGAATTAGCTCGTGAACAGGGAAAAAGCTAGTTTTACTAGAGGAGTTTAGTTCAATAATATAAAGCTTGCTTAATAGCCACGAACTCAGGGAGGGGAATTGGATCATAATTAGCGGGATATACAGGTAAATAACGGGGTAGTAGTACCCGTAGAATACTATATAAGCTAGTAGAGGGCTCTTTTCCCTTGAATTTATCGCCATAGTAGTTATGGTTAATAATAGGTTAAGATAAGCCCTCTCTTGGTTTATCCTTTACTCTCTCCTTCTCCTTTACCTTTCCTTTGCTCTCATTTCGTTATCTACTAATCCTCTATTAATTTTCGCTATATAGTATCCATTTAATAATCAAATTAGTAGGAATAGTAGTAGTATTAGCCTTATTAGGAAGCTCATCTCTCTATTAATCTATCTATTTATGGAAGTCGTTTAATTTAATCCTGAAATAGTTCCCTTTATAGATAAAATACTATTAATTCCTATTTAGGTACCCTCCCCTTTCTCCCCTATTATATCTCTAATACCGCGAAAATAGGCTCAATCTCTCCTAATATCTCGATTATGTCTTCCTATCCTTAACTAAAGATACAATAGTAATAGTGGTAGCTATTTTCCTAGCCTTCTTAATAGGGGGAATACTCTTTTTAGTATTACTATCATTATCTGAATAGACTAGCTTGGGAGGATCTAGTATTTTTCTTCTCTTTCCTAATGCTTTCTCTGGTTCCGGTAACGATTCGGGATCTCCTTTAGTAACGAATCGAGCTTTAATAATACAATTAACGCCTTTTGAGTCCCTAGAAACTATTATTTTTTCGAACCTCTCAAAGCTCTCCCTATCTTGGATATAGAAGATCTATCGATTACTCAAAGCTCCATATATTCCCTTCCATTTTCTCCTAGCTTTAATCTCCTTATCCGTCTTCGCCGCTTCGTTAACCCTCATCTAAACCCAGCCCTGCCAAAATCGGTATCCATTATATAGAATCGATAAAAAATCCTCCTGAAAAGACTCCGAATAAACTAGCTTATGGTTCAGGTAAACCTGCCAGTTTACGGTAACTACGTGGGTCTTAGCTTCGGGCTCTGGAGACTCGCTGGACGACGACGACGATATTTCGATAGTACGCTCCCTTTGGGGATTAGCTCCGCTAGCACCAGTATCAGGAGAAGGCTCTTTTGGGGGCCTGCTAGCAGTCGTGAGCTTGATTTTAGGCTGTTTGGGAGCTACTAGAGCGGAGGAGGCCTTAGCCGTAGGTTTTCTCTGTCGTTTTTTGCCTACTAAAGGCGGTGGTTTCTCGATTTTTTTGCTCTTTGAACGTGCCATGGTAGGAGCTTGCGAATAAAGTCGAAATTGCCTAATTGGGATGGTGCTGGAGGTGGTAGTGCGATTGTTGGGTGAGTTTTGTCAATTATCATTAATTTTTGGTGGGGTGCGCACCAAAAGTGCATGATGCGGCTAAAATTCGCTAAAACAGGGAGTTTTCGCATATAACTGTATGCGGGTTACGGACTCGGAATTGCTATTTATCCGCAACTATCTCAGCCTTACGGAAGTACCTTGATTGACTTGAGTCCCTAATATTTCTCGCAGACAACAGCCTCGGGAGAGCAAAAGGTCCAGACAGAAATGATGTAGCTTCAGCACCCGCCGCTGATATCTGTCCAGGGTTGAAATAGGGTACTTTCCTTTGAGCCGGAATGTGCCCCATGAGCCAGTGGCTCTCCAGAAGTTTCTGAATTGGCCTCTCTAACCTTCTCGGAAAGGTGTTCGGAGAGCACCTCCGCATCAAACATCGGCAATTTTATGGCCAGCTGTAGCTACCTTCAATATCTCCTTTTCCATGCCTTCGACAAGAACAACCTTTATACCAGCATCTTCCAATTGTTTCCTTCCAGTATTCTCGCCCACGAACTTCTCCGGTTCTTTAACCCCAACATATACAGTTTCTATGGCGTTGCCCAACCGCAGTATCCTTTCCACACATGGTAAATTCCCACTTAATCTTTTGAAACAGGGCTCCACGGTAGTGTATAACACGGTCTCCCGAGGCAAGATATCCCCTAATAATTCCTCCGGAACGTTGTGAGCCTCGGCCAATTTTATAAAGCAGCATTGTTCCGCATGGGTATTGCCCTCGCATTCGAGTGTGTAACCGGATGCGAGGATGGAATTAGTCTTGGCATCGACCAGGAGCGCTCCGACCCGATAGTTCGTAGGTTTAGGAGGTGACTCCTGTGCAAGAGCCAGAGCCCGGCGCATATATTCCAAGTGTCTGTCTGGCTGCGACGCCATTGTTTGCTATTATTAGCTGTAGCCCAGGATCTTTGAAGTGTCTGTCAGGGTTGATCCTGCAAGGACCTGTGGTGAGGCGGCTGGATCCGATCGACTCGAGACCTCAGATGTTTTGGAAGACGGAATGGGATGTCGGTGTTGATGATCGTGGAGTCGGATGATTTTAGGTGCTGAATGTGATTTGGCAGAAAGAAGCTCACCGCCCTGGACGGGGAACGTCACTCCGTACAGTAACCCCATGTGACGTAGTAGCGAAGCTGCAAAGTCTCAATAACTGCAATGTGATGGCGACCGATGAACCAGATCTTGAAAACCTCTGCACGTGCTCGTATTTGAGTTCGAGCTACATATTTTCCTTGCACTCTAGACGGTACCCTTCCTCACAGTCTGCTCCAACGTATCCGGGCAAGAACCAGCTCCCAGGTCTCCGGAACTTACGGATCAGCAAAAGCCATAGAAACAGCCCACGCACACAAGCCCACTCGGCCTCGCCTCAGTCAACCTTTCAGATGAACACATGGAACGGCCTAGGACATGTCTGACCCTGCGCTCCCGAGAATCAGGGTGACCGATGCTCAGAAGGCCGAGGGGGGCACATCACCTGTTGACACCCCGTCAACCACCACGGAAGGCGGACAATCAGCTCGTCCGAGAAGCGCGACATCCTCAGAAGGTATGTCCCGTTAGATACCCAGGCAGTTCAGCACTCCAGATAGCTTCAACAGCTCTGTCAGACATATCAAATGATATGGCTTATCCTTCTGGTTGTGGTGCTTATGCTTACTAGAATCCTTACAACAGGCAACGCACAATCCAATGGCAAGAAATCACCAATCAACTTGATAAGGAATACTTCGAGCAAAGATGCCAGCGGTACAAAGACTACAGTGGGTCCCGGGCGGCCCTCAACTGCCATTGACCCTCTTTCCCATGTACGTTCTTGTTAGATGCAGGCCCCGTGTATTCGTCCCATGACACGGAATTTGCGCATCCCCCCCCCTCAACGGCAGAACCAACCAATTCCGATCGCTGACTTTGCCATAGCACATCCTTAAGAGGACCAACACCGAGAATACCATACCTCAAAAACTACGGAATAGCGGGGGCCCGGAAAGTCCAAATGCTGACATTGGAAGCCCAACAAGCCCTGATATTGCGCCCCCAGGGAGACAACTAACACCCGAAATCTCTCGAAGTGATAGTAATCTTGCGAAGGAGAAGAAGTAGGTGTCTCTAAATTTCACACGCTCGGAGCGTCGGCCTACTGAAGTCGGTGGCTTACTTATTTGCTTATGGGACAATACATGCTCGCTAATTACAAGCCTATAGGAAAGGTGTCTCGTTCCTTAGTAGGTTCTCCATCATCGGTGGGAAGAAGAAGGATCAATCGCCAGATATCGACGATGATGAATCGGAGGCGGGTGAAAGGAGAGACGAAGGCATGAACGCCGCTGTGTTCTCTTCTTCAATCGGTGCGAATGGGTTTATCCCGCAACACAAGGAACCGCCTCGATATATCAAAGTGCGGGCTCATAATAAGAAGGAACGGGAGTTCAATCGCATGTTCTTGGCGCAGGAGTTGAGCGGGACAAAACATAAAGCAAGTGATGAGAAAGTTCCGGGTTTGACTACCACGGAAATAAATGCAAGCAGCGCACACAAGTTATCGAAGTTGCCGAAGACGAGCGGAGCAGTGTGGTCAATAGAACTCAGCAAGGATGGCAGGTATCTTGCGGCAGCTGGCAGAGATCAGGTTGTCAGAGTGTGGGCCGTCATCTCGACACCGGAGGAAAGGCATACACACGAGCATGAAGAAGACATATCTTCGAATACTTCTGGAGTCGAACGATTGAGCGCACCCGTATTCAGATCTAAGCCCGTACGAGAGTTTGAAGGGCACACGGGCGATATATTAGACCTAAGTTGGAGCAAGAACAATTTCTTACTGTCATCCTCTATGGATAAAACAGTTCGTTTATGGCACATTTCAAGGCAAGAATGCCTGTGCACCTTTCGACATAAAGATTTGTAAGATTCTTTTTAAGTGCGCTCTACTCAGGTTGGGTAGTGCTCACTCCATCATAGTGTTACATCCATAGCCTTTCACCCCACCGACGATAGGTTCTTTCTCGCTGGGAGTCTGGATAGCATATTACGATTATGGTAAGAGATTTTTCGTTTTATCACATGAGGGCCCCCTCTACCTCCTATTACTGCTGACTCTTTGACAGGTCTATTCCTGACAAAAGTGTAGCGTTCTGGAATCAATTACCAGACCTCATTACAGCTGTTGCCTTCTCCCCGGATGGCAAGACCGCAATGGCCGGAGTCCTTAGCGGACTCTGTTTGTTTTATGAGACCGAGGGTTTGAAGTATCATACTCAGATCCATGTTCGATCCTCACGAGGGAAGAATGCCAAGGGCAGCAAAATCACCGGAATCCGGACGACAACCTTTCCCCCAGATGACCCGGAAGGAGAAGTCAAGTTACTCATTACGAGCAATGATTCGCGGGTCAGGTTATACAACCTGAGGGACAAATCACTGGAAATGAAATTTAGGGGACATGAAAATACCTGCAGTCAGATCAATGCTAGCTTCAGTGACGACGCTCGATATGTCATTTGCGGCAGTGAAGATCGCAAAGCATACATCTGGGATACGAGTAGCTTGACCGATGCTGAGAATAAAGACAAAGTGGGCGTCGAGGTTTTTCAGGCCCATTCAGATATGGTTACAGCTGCCGTTATTGCCCCCTTGAAGACCCGTCAACTACTAAGCGGTTCCCTTGATCCAATCTACGATCTCTGCAATCCCCCTCCTGTAACGTTGTTATCAAGGGAAGAGTCCACTGCGTCTTCGATGCCTGCTATCGGTTCGGAAAAGCGGCACTCAGATCCCGTCAGCGAGCCTCATATCAAAAAGCCTGAAGAGTCGCCTGCGTATCTCGCAAGATCGTCACATAACGATGGCTTGATTCTTGTCACTGCGGATTACCTAGGAAACATCAAGGTCTTCAGATGTGACTGCGCTTCAAAGCGCCGATTGGAGTCTTGGGAGACAGGTTCGACTTTCTCCAAGAAGATGCTTGGAAGGTCAAATAGTATCATGACTCGCACTTCAGGAGGGTCCCATTCTCGAAGAAACTCGCTCTCGCAAAATTCTCTAGCTGGACCACCTACTGCTTCGGATCATATCCTGTCCTGGCGGAATAATGTCACGACGAAGGATGACGGCAGCATCAGAAGTCTAACGAATAAAGCACCTCGAAGCGATCGAAGCATATCTCCAGGGAAATTCAGCAGGACTTCCTTCCAATCGCCATCTTCCTCATCACAAAATAATCTTGCTAGCGCAGCTCGACAACAACCATACTCGTCTACACCATTGATATACGGAGCATCGAGTGTGTCAACGACCAGTCCACCACCAAGCATTCACAAAGTAACGAGTGCAGAGAGAAGTCAACCACCAACTCCAAGCTTCAGTATTCGTCGGAATAGCGGCAGCGACGACAACCCCTTGCGGATTGATGCTTCAGGAAAGAGCTACCAGTTCTGGAATGTAGCAGCTTGGAAGAAGGAAGTCAATCCAGCGCGTGACCCTGGCAAACTCGATCCAGCAGATAGACCACCGATGGACCGGCTAGGCAGCGTCGTCAGTAAACTGAGTTCAGATGAAGGGTCTCCTGAGCTAGAGGAAGAGGATAGCGATGGAGAAGCATTGTCTTGCAAGCGGTGTGGAGGGAAAGATTTCAGGGCGCGGAGGGTAGCTGGGAAGGGCCGGAAACTTGTGTGTAAAGCTTGCGGGACAACGGTCGATTAAATTAGATGAGTTACGAAACTTGGATGGGGAATGGAATTTTGTATATATAACAGTGACGTTGAAGGACGTTGGTTAAAGACGCTTGATGAGCGCCTGATATCCCGAGAAACGATGAATTCAGAGTTAAGAGAAACCGAATTCAAGCAGATCCCTCTCTCTTTCCCTATCTCTCTGAGCAAACACACAATTTGCACGCATCTCCACATACCCTCTGTATCACACACTGAACCTTGCATTCTATGGCGGCATTTGCAATCTGCAGAGAAAGTGTAATAGAGATTCTGGCACCACATTGTCGGGGCATCTCGGACGGTTTACCTAACACCGACTCCGGGTTCTCATTTCGTTACAAATCGACGTACCGATTGCCATTCCAAGTTCACTGTAGGAGGAAGGCACGGGAGGGACCGGCGTGACTTCGCTAGCAGGCGATAATGCTCGTGAGTGGGATTGCAGATCATTGCCAGCTGATTGGGACAATGGGACGGGTGGAAGCGCAATACCCGGCAAAAGCAGCAGGGGGAGCGAACCCTCGCCTTTCTCCGTGAGATCTCCTAGGAGGTGTTGAGGAAGGGAACATACGATTGCAATGGGAGAGGATATAAACACCGGTTGATAGACTTTCAAAAACAAAAAAATCACTTCTGGTAATTAATGTACTATCCTCTATCTACACAATATATATCTGAATTTGAGCAGCTTCATTGGTTTGATTAGAATTTGCGTTCTACAGAGAGAGATAAGTACAACATGGCAACAACAATGCAACACATACCCGCCTCGTCCCTCGAAGACCTCCCCTCTCGCATCGCATACCTCTCCTCCTTCCTCTCACTCACAGCCGAAGATGGAGAGGCGCTGCTAGCTTCCAAACCGCTCGTTGCTCCCCTCGTGCCCGCGATTTTAGATGCGGTGTACACGAAGCTATTGAGTTTCGACATCACGGCCCAGGCGTTTGTTCCCAGGAATACTGAATATGAGGGCGAGACGGTGAAGAGTGTGCAGGAGCTTACGATGAGCCATCCGCAGATTGCGATGAGGAAGGACTTCTTGAAGGTTGGTGGTCTTACTTGCCCCCTTCCTCCCCTTTGATATATTCATATGAAATGGGGCTGGAGCTGACAATTACTAGAATTATCTTGTGAAATTGGTATCGACGAGTGATCTCTCGCCGCAAAGCCCGTTCTGGGCTTATCTCAACAATGTTGGGATTATGCACACCGGCAAACCGGGCTTCAAGCATAGAGAAAAGAGGCCAGACTTGAGAGTCGAGTATATTCATATGGGTGCTCTGCTTGGATATGTTGTTGACATTGTCGTGGGAGCGGTGATGGAGATGGGTGAGATTGACAATGTGATGAAGTCGAGGGTTATTCGAGCACTGAATAAGGTGGTTTGGATCCAGAATGACTTGTTTGCTAGGCATTATATTGGCAAGGTGGAGGTGGAGACTTTGACGCCACCACCTGAGGAAGTAGCTGAGGGGTTGACTGAGGCGCGGAAAGGGGGATGTCCATTTTCTGGGTAACTTTTGAACGGGCTGAATGGCGTTTGGGGATTATTCTGAAGGAATGGAGTTAGATTGTAGAACATGAATCTAGGCAGACCCAGACACGTCTCTTTAATTCCATACCCAAATCAGATTGCATCCAAAGTCTATATTCGGCTGCAACTGCATTTGATGGGTGAAGATGCTGAGATGATGTTTCAACGGCCCCAGGCTAAGCATAAATCTCAAGACGACTTGGTACCGGGGAAAGGATTGCATTGATGAGTGCTTCAAGCGGAGAATAAAATGACGAGCATACATCAAACGCATGGGGAGAAACAAAATGTGGGCAGCAAATCAAATGCGATGTTGCAGGGTCATCCTTCTAGGATATAATATAACCCGGTACGAACGCATGCGGCGACGTCAGACTGTGCACTCTGCAACCACTGAATTGCAATTTTAGATGAATCTTGAAGCAGCGATTAAATGAAGGCAATGATACCCGTCTACCACACTGACGGTGCCTTGAATCGTTGACTTGCACTGGCATCTTCCCGGCAACAGTCTAGTTTGGTGATCGAGAATTGAGAAGTTGATCGAGTCTGTATGGATGAAAATAACCTCCCGAGGTTATTGATGAGAAACGGCACACAAGTTCCCAAACTCTTAGAGACTTGACTCGTCTGACGTCTACAATTTTTTCACCATTAGAGGGCTGGCTTGGACTGGATCTGGATTCATCTTGGCGCAAGGGGATGCCCCCATCTCGCCCGCATGTAATGGCGCGACATGAGATCATCGGTTTGGGGGAAATCTCAATGGGCCAACGGCGGGTCGCGTGGGAAACGGAAAGTTTGTGCATCATACAGTAGGAAAAACCGAAGAAGAGGTATAATGCGACGGATTGCCGTGAGAGTGATGAGGGTGTTGATCAGATGCTTGTTTCAGCAAAATGTGAGATCTACAGCTTCAGGGGTTCAGATGGCACAAACTTGTGCATTTCGTGCATAACTCCCTTGCTGTTTGCACAACCCGTTTCACATGAGGCCCTATCGCGCAGGCAGGCTGACTGTGCGAAAGCCCGAGAGCCCCGAGCTCCGTGCGGACAGAAAAGCGGCACTCATTTGCAATGTCCCAACTGAAGGTGCACCAGGTGGGACATTGCAAACACGTCCTCTCGAAATGTACACGTGTGTATGATAATTTACATTCAAAGTCTGCTCCCTCGGATATCTAGGAGATTCTAGACAATAGTCATTTTCTGCCCCTCTCGAGTTCAAATGTGATATGATATATTCAAAGTCCGCTCCCCTCGGACATCTAGGATATTCCGGGCGATCAGTATCTGCTCTCTCGAGTAATAAAGGTGGTCCAATTCCGACTTGGGATTGGAAATGAGTGCCGCTTTTTCTGCCCGCCGGGAACCAGGCGAGGCCTGGCCTGTCCTGGCCTGCTGAGCAAGGAGCTTCCGTAGAAGCCGTCCGTGTGAAGCGAGGGCTAGCGAGCACTAGCGAGCCAACCAGCATGCGTCTCTCGCCTCTAAGCCCCATGAGGAGCGCAATTTGCGAGAGAATTTGATGACCGTGCCCAGCGACCCCGTCAGCGGTGAAAGGAGTGAAGGAGGGAGAGTGAGAGCGAGAGCGAGAGAGCGAGGGAACGGAAGCTTCGGCGATTCACATATCGACCCTGGCCTGCCATCTCTTTTCTTCCCTCCTCTTCTCCACCAGAGCTTCCTTTTTCCTCACCTCCTCCTCCCCTCCTCTCTACCTCCACCGCTTTCTTCTGCCCTCAGTCCGCCGTTGTGTCATCGTTAGGAGGTACATCAACAGCTGGTTGTAGCTGCCTCAATATCGGTGGCGCCACCAACCGCACTCCAGAACGCGAGGAAGTCGCGAACATCTGACGCTCAACCCACTGGGCCAGAAGATCCGTTTCAACTGTATCTGCCGGTATGCAACATCTTCTCCTTCCTCCTATGGGCCCTATAATAAGGGTCAATTCGCTCATTTACCCCCGAGACTCTGTCTCGCCGAGCCTGTGCCTTTTGCAGTTACCAGTGAACTGGACTTCTTACTCCCTCTAATCACTGCACGCCTCTCTATTCCTCCCTCAAACATCTCCATTGGGCTCAATCAGGCGGCAGAGTAGTTCCAACAACTGACTGACGGGGATTTGCAGACTCAGCCCAGTCTTAATTACGCTTCACCGCTGCAATCGGGTCAGACGAGTCCGCGCCTCATTAATTTTCGACATCACCTTGAATCGATACTCCTCCGCACGCTCACGACAACGGATCTACGAGTCTCTATTTGCTGAGAGTACGAAGAAGTCCCAATTGCATACCCGCCAGCATACAATCCCATACACATCTGCTTCCAGCAGCAATTCTCAGCCTATGACCACAATGCCTCAAAGATTCCCACGAAATCCGTTTGCCAGCTCCCCAGACACAGCGGTTGTTATACCGCCATCCGACAAGCCTACGAGTCGGAGGCCCTCGACATCGAAGGCCAACAGATTGACTCAATTCTTCTCTTCCTCGCCGAAGAGCAAGGAACAGCAATCTGCGCACCAGGCTCTCCTCTCTGCGGTGGCGGCGCAACAGCAGCATCTCCTGAATAACCCATCCCCACACATCAGCGCTCCGTCTCTGTCATTACCGACCATCTCTCTCTCCACAGCGAAGGCAGGCGAGGCTAATATGGACGAGCCCCCAACTACACTCTTCCAGCCACCTTCAATTGCAGAGGCAAAGCGACAAGCACGAGTGGATGCACAGTTCGGGCCCCTAGGAAGCCAAAACCATCGATATGTGAGCAAGCACATGGGAGCGGAGCTCGAGGAGCCCATTATCGACGAACCACCCTACTACTACCTCTTGACTACCTACATCAGCTACCTCGTTCTCATAATTTTCGGCCACGTTAGAGATTTTTTCGGCAAGCGATTCAGACCAGATCATTACAGACACTTAAAATCCGCCAATGGCTACGCTGCCCTGAATAGCGACTTCGACAATTTCTACGTGCGAAGACTGAAATTGCGAATTGATGATTGCTTTGCGCGACCAATCACGGGAGTTCCAGGCCGATACATCACATTGATGGACCGCAAAACAGACGATTTTAATGAGCATTTCCAATTCACCGGCACATACACGGAAACCCTTAATATGAGTTCGTACAACTATCTCGGATTCGCTCAATCAGAAGGACCTTGCGCAGATGCTGTGGAAGAGACCATCAAGAAATATGGCATTAGCGCTGCAAGCCCCCGTGCAGACGCAGGTACATCGGACTTGGCCCTGGAAGTGGAAGACAGAATTGCCAAATTCGTCGGCAAACCATCAGCTATGGTTTTCTCAATGGGATTCGCAACAAATGCGACTTCGTTCCCAGCCTTGGTTGGCAAGGGATGTCTCATTATCTCTGATGAGCTGAACCACGCCTCTATCCGCATTGGAGCCCGTCTTTCCGGAGCCATGATCAGCTCCTTCAAGCACAACGATATGGGAGATCTCGAGAAGAAACTGCGAGAATCAATTTCCCAAGGCCAGCCCAGAACGCACCGTCCATGGAAGAAGATTCTGGTCGTTGTCGAGGGTCTCTATTCCATGGAAGGAACTATGTGCAACCTTCCCGGTCTTCTCAAATTGAAGAAAAGATACAAGTTCCATCTTTTCGTTGATGAAGCTCACTCCATTGGTGCTCTTGGTCCTCGCGGCCGTGGCGTTTGCGACTATTTCGGCATTGACCCAGCTGAGGTTGATATTCTGATGGGCACTCTGACAAAGTCATTCGGCGCAAACGGAGGTTATGTTGCCGCAGAGAAGCACATCATCGACAAGCTCCGCGCCACCAATGCAGGAACCATCTACGGCGAATCACCTACCCCTCCGGTTCTCATGCAAATTCTCAGCGCTCTCAAGATTATTGCCGGCGAGCTCAACCCTGGACAAGGTGAAGAACGTCTCCAACGTATTGCCTTCAATTCCCGCTACTTGCGTCTTGGATTGAAGCGTCTTGGATACATTGTCTATGGCCATGACGACTCTCCCATCATTCCTATTGTTCTCTACAACCCTGCCAAGATGCCCGCGTTCTCCCACGAAATGCTCCGCCGAAAGATCTCCGTCGTTATCGTCGGATACCCAGCCACTCCGCTCATTTCCTCCCGGGCCCGCTTCTGCGTCTCCGCTGCTCACAATAAGGATGACATGGACCGCCTCCTCGCGGCTTGTGACGAAATAGGCAACGTCCTCCAGCTCAAATTCTCCACCGGTATCGCCGGCGGCGCGGAGCATCTCCCAGATGGCGTGACTCCTGAGATGGAGAAGGAGTGGCAGAAGGCGAATGGCTTGCAGGGTGTCGTCAAGCCACCTCGATGGTCATTACGAGAGATCATCGCGAACGGTGTCCAGGATGTCAAGCAGCCACTTCGGTGATCTGATCTCGTCCCTGCTGCGGAAGCCTCACCGAGGCTGCTGGGACCAGGATCCGGATTGCTGGTGGTGTGGTCAGCCTTGCACTCCCAGCTACCGGTATCGACTGCAAGCCATCGTGTCTCAGATGCCGTGCGGAGCTGCAATACCCATGCTTCGAACCGAGCCGCCCCCCTAGCCCTTGTACATTACCTGTTCTATTACAATCGTTCTTATTCAATTCGATTCGAAGCGGCACACGCCGAAGATACCCTTTGCCCGTTGTTGCCCGTTTAGGAGGTAGCTTCAGAGGACGATAACGTCTTGGGTTTGAAGAAATTTGCATTGCCCTGGCGTTTTTAAAACACCACGGTACCTCACTCGCTTGTTTTCCCTTTCTGTGCCTAGGGTGAAAGAGCTTGCTGGAATTGGGGTAATTATTAATATTTAATACTCAGATGAGTGATGGGTGGTGGGGCGCGCAAGGACGGCCATGGTTATGGACCGCATTGGTATTGTAAATAGGAGGCTGATGGCTGGTGTTCTTGAGTGGATGGATGGATGGAGTGATGAGTAGAGTGAATAGATGAATATAGAATGAGAAACCGGATTTCTCTTACCTTTGTGTCTAGCTTGCTCGTGACGTGCAGGCTGTCTGTAGATTGACAGGCCATCGAAGCCATCTTATATGAAGAGACAGGCTTTCAATATCCAAGATGTTTAGGTTCTGACCTAGCCTCATCTCTGTCGGAGCGATCTTCTCACCGAGTCGTGCTTTAACTCAATGTCCTGGAATTTTCAAGATGTGATAGGATCTCGTGGATTCGCTTCCAAGGCTACCGTAATTTCAACCCATGCCGCTGAGGATGTTCGACGAGGATCAATGCTTTGCTTGATCCCCTGTGCCCATCGTCTTAATTACCACAAGCTCAAACCAAGAAGTGCAAATTGATTTTTGGGATAAGAAATCACGGAAACGGGTGGTTCGAGTCGAGATATGTTCCAAGATTGCTTTAAGTTGGGTTGAAGTGAAGTGACAACGTACGATTGCTTGTTTGGGTGTGATGAGTAGAAAAGTGAAAACATCCTTGCCCCTGAAGATGCTACTCTAGCAACAAAATTGAGAGATACTTACCTTTGAACTTACCATCCTTGCAATTGCACTTCTATTCATTTCAAGAGTGAGTAACTCAAAGGAGTGAGCTTATTGAGACCAGAAACGCCCAGTCTGGGAGAGATCTCATGTGCAACAAGGCCCGTTCGTGCTTTAGCCTGGTTCCTCAATAGAATACATCGCAACTGGGATCTTCGAACTGTATATCCGAACGGCTAAGCGCATGACACGCAACTCTCTGCACGAGGGCCGGGCCTGCTCCCTCGAGCTAGTGAACGACATCCGCGTGGCAAAAAGGTTGATCGTCGTGAGTGGTTCACGGACACAGCACCCACGTGGCGGTAAATACTTCTCGGAGGATATCTGTCGGTGCGAGTTTTGCCATTGATCTTCGTGATAGGGAACAGCGAAGCACCTGAAGGGGAAGCCCCGTTGTTGAGCCTCAACTACTTTGGGAGACTGAATACGAGAGGTTGAGGCTCTGAAACGTCCGAGAGGAGGGCGAATGCTTCTGATACTGACCAATAATAGGCAGTTGGCAGTCTGATATGCGGAACTTCAGAAGAGCACATCGACATGAGCTGATCGTCGCTGCCCAACTCGGACTCTTCCTGCTTCGCCACCGTCTCGATTGAGATGATCAGTCGAGGTTCCCAGTATCTGATGTGCTGTTTAAGCAAACTTGAGGCTCTGCTCGAGCATGAAGGGTAATCAAACTGCCCACGACGCAAAAGTGGGTTGATGCTCGCAGATGTATTGAATTGCATTGCTGCCCAACTGTCTTGATCGAAACATATTTGCATACAGTTTTATGAAACATTAACCAACCGTTCAATCAACATTCTCTTACTTGTCACTTGTGCTCAGTGAGGTTGATGACCTCTGTTGTCCAGGAGAAACAATATGAAGGCGGCCAACTAGCCGGCCTGCCGTGAGAGACTCTGCTGCCGTGCACCCAATACCATGGAAACTATCTAAGCTTCATCACAACGCGGATGCGCTGCAGAAAATCCCCTTCCGCATGTACCCCGTAGCACATACCTTCAGATCCTATTCCCGACGTAGCATTCGCACCGTAAGCAAAACACAAATCGATCCCCCGCATCGGCGCATCATCTGCGTACAACCTTTCCCCTCAATAACCTGTTTGGCTGATCTCGGGATGATCGCTTCTGCAGTGCAACGTTCGTTCGCCTTACATTTTCTGTGGCTCACAGGGCCTGGAATATCCAATATTGGTGTGGTAGACTAGTTCCTGATTGTGATTTGTGAGGACCAGTTCTCAGTTTCATGTGAATAGGTTGAGCTCAGCCAGTAAGATGGATGTGGAAAGCAACGTCGGGTGCGAACTGGTCACCTGCATCAAGACAGCACCGAAGGACCGGTGGTTGGCTCCTGTGCATCGCTCAGTGGCGAGGAACTTCGGGGAGGGAGCGAAAGTCAATCAGCATGAGCATCGCTTCGCTGAGGAAGGTTTGGAGGGGGTATGTGCGGGGTTTGCTCTCTCGTTTCCTCCCGTATCACTGCGGTTCTGTCCTTCGTGTCGTTTATCCTTTCTTGGCGATTGGCGACCTCCCAATTCTTCATAATCGAAGAGCTTGCTAAGTTATGTTTCATTCTTCGCCCAGCCCTGGGTGTCGTATCATGCAAAGGATCCAAGATCGAGGTTTTACAATCGGGGGCTTGACTGCTCTGCCGTCCATGCATGTGGCTGTTGATGGCTGCATACCATGGGGCGTAAGTCCTGGGCGTCGGAGGCCCCCAATTTTTGAGGATGATAGAATGGATGACAGAAGCACTGAACAATGGAAGCCACCATGGCATCTGCAAAGTGGATCGGTCTTGCACAAGGTTGTGGACTGTCTCTGGCGTTCTCGGGGCTGTGCTTTGCATCAAAGCGGTAAGGCCTAACGTGGGGAAAGACGCTGTCATCTAACGACTACGGCGCTTTTGACAGGTCCTTTTTTACTTTTCCTAAGTTCTGCGGCATACAATATCTCCCGATACGGAATGTTCAAGAGAAAGTCTCGATCTGGGGCCAGCCTGCATATGCACTGCACAGACATGACTCTTCAAAGTCAACTGGAGCGTCAACGCGTTTGCTGAGCTGACGCATCGATCGCAGCTTGACAAAACCCCAAAGTGAACACCCGTTTGGTGGTCGCTTTCGAGACCGTAGACGTGTCCATGCTGTTGTCGAAGTTGCTAGCTAGCCGGGCGATCTTCGGTGACCGACATCAAAACCCATTCTTGCTTCATGCTGTGAACGGTCGAAGATGAAGTAGCCGTTATCTGTTCCCAGAGCTTCTGATTTGCAGGAAGACGTGCGTAGAAGGCCGGCGGTCCGGTTTCTCGAAGCTCGGTGAGGCAGAAGGGAAGGAGAGACATCTTGTGCTCTCTCTGGCCGGGCACCGTGAAGGTGGTGTGCAATCATGGTTCGCAATTTTGCCTCGCAGAATATTGATCCTTTGGAGGCAGCACGCACACTGGCGGAAGAACTCAAGTCGGTTCTCGGGCAAGCTAGCAAGCTGACAACCTGGCAACCTGGGCGAGGAATTCATTTTGGGGCGCTCGGACTGGGGATGCTTCGAGCTGAAGGAAGGAGAGAGATCGTTTTGGATATGCGGTAACGGTATTCGTCTCATTAGAATACTGTACATTGTCACCTGAAGCAGTTGAAACGCGGGCTCGCCAATTGGCGTCGCGCTGACATCGACGACGTCGTCTCGAACCTCTGCAAAGTGATCACTCACACCTACCCCTTTTCCATATTATTCGAGTGCATCGGTCACCCACCAATGGCAACGGCTGAATTGAAGCGTATCAGGGAAGTGAGGGCCGAGAAAGCAGAATACTTTGCCATATATCGCCAAGGGGTGCAGGCAGTCGCCCTGTGAAGCCCACCAGCCGGCTCCGTCAGAGCTGAGAATCAAATCCGTCCCTATACGAAGCACCAGCCAGCAGAACTGTGATACTGTAGTCGCCCCGGCGAAGTGATAATCCCGTGTGCTCGCAAGGTTCGCTCGCGCGCCCGTCGCAGGGCGAGACAAGAAGCCAGAGGCTCGATCCTTTGGATCTTGAGTGGTTGCCTGGCCATCCTGCACAGCCTTAGGGTCATTCGCAGCAAGCCTGCATGAGCCACGAGAGGGGGCCCCTGCTCCACCAATATCGGGCGAGGGGCGTGGGAAGACACACACGAGAGTGCGATCGAAGAGAACGAAGTCTTGCTGTTCTGTAGCTGGCTCGAATTTTGTGCAATCCGGATGCAGAGAGCAGGAGGCGCGCCAGAGCAGGGCAGAGCAGGGCAGAGCAGGGCAGAGCAGAGCAGAGGACAGCTCCATCGTTCCGTCGTTTTGGCGGTGATGCGCTGTAGCTCCTACCTGGTGCACTGTACTCGGTGTCCTGAATTGCTTCCTGTACGTAGTTTTATGTTGGCGAGTCGGAGCCGGACTTGTTGCGCGAGGGCGCCCGCAGTGCGTAACCGAGCATTGCTCTTCTCTGCATTGGTGTGGGCCAACGAATTGGATCGGGACGACACGACCCCGCCGAGCCCGTGGGCGATCCTCCTCCACTCCCACTCCTCAGATACTGTTCAAATAATCGGTGCCTTTGGGAATGGGAAAAAGCCACCGCTCCTGCAGCTCTAGGGTTACGCATTCTTATGTACTTAACTCTGATTGCCCACCTTGGCTCCCACACACCTCTCTCCTCCCACCTCTCACCTCTCACACCCTCCCGAAGCTACCGCCTACCGCCGACCGTCGACCGCTTTTCGCCCGCCTCACTTTGGAAAAAGACAACCGCTGTGCTGTGCTGTGCAGTGCGGCTCTGGTGCTCGCCCCTCCCGAGAGCTTAATAGCCTCGCCCCTCGCCCGTCGCCTTGGAAATTCCCCTTCTTCCCCAACTTCACTTTCGTCGCCCGGCCTCATCATTGCAAAGCTTCACTTACTCATCCACACTACCTACCAACGACAATCTTCGCCGCTATGTCACGCCCCCCACCTCCTCCACCCCCTCCAGATGTTCGGGGAAACCCCGCAATGGGCCAACGCCCTCCTCAACCCCCCCCTGGACCACAGGTTCCCAGGCCTCCTCCTCCCGGCATGCCCATGCAGCAATTGCCAATTCGACAGCAATCCATTCGCATCCAGGACATCACGCCTCCAAAGATGATGGACGAGTCCGCTTGTCTCAAAAAGCTGACGACATACTCCGCCCACACTATTCGGAAATGTCTTCCTCGCGATCCGAAGAAAGAAGGAAGAGGGACCTGGGCGAGATCCGAAATTATCGAGGAGAGATGGGCGCAAGAGGATATCATTAAGCAAATCAAGAAGCTTAGTGAAAGAGGGCGAAGCGTAGCCGACAAGAAGAAAGCACTGATGCCGAACCAGCAAGGTCAAGTCACAACTCTTGTCGACAACCTTGCGTCCACAGAAGTAGACCGCGCCTTCGAGTGGTCACTTGTTCAGCTCGATAGCGTCACGAAGCCAATCAGCGTCTTCAGAGGAGGGAAAAAGCGTGAAGCGTATGAAACCGTCTCCATGATCGCTTTCGTCAAGCGGTCACCACGCAAAGACCTTAACCCTGTCATACTATTTCAAAACATCGAAAAGATGAAAGCTGATAGTATGCGGCCTCCTCAACAACCCCAGGGACAACCAGCCGGTCCCGAACCCATCGAGATAATCCAGGTTAATGGCGGTGACAAGGACAAGGCGCCCAAAGGGAGATCCAAGAGTCGGGAGAAGAAGTACCACGGGCGTGACGACTCGAGTAGCGGGGACTCTTTTGACTCCGACACTGGCAGTGATTCATCGTTCACCGGCTCGGATTCCATGGACACCTCGATTTCTTCGAACTCCCATAGCCGCAGAAAACAGAACCACGGCAAACCGCCCTTCCGGAGTCACAGCAGGCCTCGGGAGCAACCTCGGGAGCATCGAAAAACATATTTCCTGGAGCATCGAGCTCACTCTCCAGAGCTGCATTACGACCCCCATGGCGGGTCGCCTCGACCTTACGTGGTGCCCGATGTCCCACCACGTCCCATCCCCACTGCTCTTCCTACGTCGGATCCGGTCGCGGCTGCATATCACGCTGGAAGAGTCGATGCCGAAGCAGAAAGATTCGGTTCTGCTGACCGAGTCATGCCGAGACCTGTCGAGCGGGTTATCGAGCGTGTGAGACCTGTTCCTGTCATCTCATACGGACCTACTACTATGGAACATCGCTATTCGGTTCCGAATAACTATGCTGATGATCGATACCTCGATGACCTTCGACGGGATGACATGCTCAGGCGGCGAGATGACATGTTCAGGCGGCGAGAACGAGACGTCGAAGAATACATTGTCGAAGGCCGACTTGACGGCCAACCCGATGGACGTCGACCGTCCGATTTCGACATAAGAGACTCTTTCTATGAGCGAAGACCGGAGCCGGTGGTATGGAACAATCGCTATCCGTTCGCTCCAACACAACTTCGGCGTCGGTATCCTCATGATGTTGACAGCAACAGGGGCTGGTAAATTCAAGTAGCTTGATTTTCAACCCTTTCCTTTCCGTCTCCTATAGATTGGGACCGCAAGGAGGAGCTCGGGTCTTCTGGTGCAATTTCAGTTCCCAAGAATGTATTTTCAATGGCCCTATTTATGCGTCAGCGCAGTTCAATGTATTTGGAGTGGAATTACTCTGTATCTATCGAATTATTTATATCCGTCTGTTACCTTGGTTGGTTTGGGCAGGATTTCGTCGGGAAGGGCAACGATTAATGATTCCACATATCCCTCAGATATTATAGCTGGTGTACAAATAAAACAGCACAAGGAAAATCTTTTACACAAGTATGACTTACCTCTTCAACGCGTGCCTTGGAAAAAGCCTTGAGAACGCCGTCTCCGTTGAGCGGACCTCTCTTTATATGCGTGACTTTTGAGGATGGGGGCGTGGGATGGTCCACGACGATTTGAGCAGATTCCTCTGCATGACTGCCCGAAATCTTTTGTTTCTGCAAATCATATACCTGGCCACGCTGTCAATCATGCACCTCGATCCAATTGAAGCCTAACAGAACAGCTCGCTGGCAAACCGGCAGGGGCTCCCCGCAGCGGGAGAACTTAAACTTCGAGTCCAATGACCAATTGAGAGATCCTGAGATATGAGACGGCGAACCCATTGGTTCCAGGAAATTTGATTTCGAGATGCAACGAGCCGATTTGCCTCTGTTGTTGAGGGAGATGTCCAGAGAAAGGTTTGCAACACGCACGTGAAGCCATCCCTGAGCTCTTCGGGCCCAATGACGAGAACTCGGTAGCGGGGTTTTTTCCACCCCTCCCTCACCGGGTTCTACCGACAGAGATGCAGGTTGCAAACTTTTTGATAGCAACCTCGACCATAAATCTCCTGAAATTCTCTCAAAAAAATCACCAAACCTGTTCCCAGGCTCTCCAAAACACCAATTGCAACCATGGCCCGCCAATTCTTTGTTGGTGGTAACTTCAAGATGTCGGTTTCTCTTGGTGGTGTGCGGGATGTTGAATTGCATGATCTGAATGAAAGCTGATTGTTGAGGATAGGAATGGCTCTGTTGAGGCCATTAAGAAGATCATCGGATATCTCAACGATGCAAAGTTGGATCCTAATACCGGTTCGTTAAGTCTGGTGCTTCGATCTGCCCCTTAGTGGAGACACAATTCGCCTCACCTCTGAGCTACCCCTCTCGCCAGAGCTGCAAAGATTCTTTGAAAAGTTGCTAATAGAGATGATTGATAACAGAAGTCGTTATTGCTCCACCGGCTCTCTACCTCCTCCTTGCCCGCGAGCACCTCAAGCCTGGCCTAGAGGTCGCAGCCCAGAACGTCTTCGACAAGCCCAACGGTGCCTTCACGGGCGAGATATCCGTCGATCAACTGAAGGACAGCAACATCACCTGGACTCTGCTCGGCCACTCGGAGCGCCGTGTGATTCTGCAAGAGGATGACCAATTCGTCGCGTCCAAGACAAAGGCTGCTCTTGATGGAGGCATCGGTGTTATTTTCTGCTGTGGAGAGTCATTGGAACAACGAGAGAGTGGCAAGACAATTGATGTCGTTACAATGCAGCTGAAGGCTGTTAAGGATAAGGTTTCAGACTGGTCCAAGATTGTCATTGCATATGAGCCGATCTGGGCTATTGGAACTGGAAAAGTTGCGAGCACTGAGCAGGCACAGGAGGTCCATGCTGCTATCCGATCGTGGCTGAAGAAGGAAATTAGCGAGAAGGTCGCAGAGGAGACAAGGATCATCTATGGTGGTAGCGTCAGTGAGAAGAATTGCAAGGACTTGAGCAAGCAGCCTGATATTGACGGATTTTTGGTTGGTGGAGCTTCGCTCAAGCCTGCTTGTGAGCTGCCTCTTTCTCTTGCCTTATTTTATTCAGTACTGACGTTTTGCAGTTGTCGATATTATCAACAGCCATTTGTGACTACATGGACTTGAGAAAGGAGATTCACGGCTGTGAAGTGGCGTTACGAATCATGACATGAGCGAGTGAGGTGCCCAGGGCAGTTGTAAATAGCTCTACTCAACTACCTCCTACTTCCAAACCTCTTAGTTCTGTGTCTGCTTTCTTCATAGATATAGCCTCCACCAACCCACACATTGTTCTTCATCCCCCCCTCCAAGTATCCAGAAAGTCTTCTTCGACCCGGAAAATAAGCCAAGACAGTGGCTTTTTATGCCTCCACAAAATACTTGTTTTTTGAGGCTCCTCAACCTTCTCCGAGTCATACTGCGCCTGGTCATGAGTCCCGTATTGAGGCGTCTCTCCGAACATCACACACTCTCCTGGGCTATTGGGCAGACTTTCATTCTGCCTGCAGCAGTAGCGGTCCTCGAAGAGGTTGTCTTTGGAATACTAAGGCTCATCATAGCCTGCCTTCGGTGGATTTTCTGGAGTATTAGGTGGGTTCTTGTCTGCACACTCGTCTACTTTGGCAAACGACTGTTGCTCGTGAGCATTGTTCCGCAAGGAGATCGAGTATCGCAATGGTAATCAACTCGGAGGCCGGGTTGTTCGGTAACAATTCTGGCCCAAGTCCATAGTTTCTCGCAAGGGAATGGCAACTTGATGAAATGATGTTTAAATACAAACGCTGGCCAGGTGCTTTCGCCTCTCTCTTCTACGAACAGCAACTCTGCTCTCTCTAGGCCAATCCTTTTATCTAGACATGGTAAACGCGCATGTATGCCTTTGAGATGAGCTGTGACCTTACAAATCGTGGTCAGCCTAGAAACAGTTGAAATTGTTCAGATGCCCAACTCCTCTGTACCCAACGGATTACGAGTGAACCAAGAAGCGGTGGAGATTCAGAATATGTAAGATACTGAAATTAAACGGGATTCAAGAAGACTTCAAGAACGAGGAACATAAATTGCAATTGGGGCGTTGAGCAGAGAAACTGCCCGCTAACAGTCAGAGAGGAGATATTTCCACTGATACGGGGTTTTGCCGAGCACTGTAGATATCTCCTGCAATGCTGGGACTGGTCTCAACATCTTTTACATTGTATTGCCGAGAAAGACGCAGAGACTCCTGCTTCAAAGAGGCTGCAATTCCCTGACTTATTCTCAAGCAAGAGAGCTCAGGAGTATAAACTTCTGTCAGTCTCCAAAACGCCGTCGCCAATGCACACACATATGATACACGTATCTATTTCATCTAGTCCTCCCTCATACGGTAATGCCGCCGCCATAATAAGGACTCCATACGCCTCTTACACTCTCGTTGATACTCTTCACTGGCTTTGTCACTCTCTTCAACTTCTCTCCGCTAGCATCCCGTAGCAGTTCCGCTTTCTGCATTATCTGTTCCTTCTGTAGATTCCGCACACATATAGCCTTTTGTCGTCCACCAATGTAATGTCCGATGATGACTGGGTGTCTTCGTGGGCGTGGGGAGACTTCGATTTCGATTTGAGGGTTTGCAACGGCGAACCTCTGGAGAGAATTGCGAAGGAAAGAGCTGTGAATGTTAGCAACCGAATTGAACAGATGAGAGACGGGTAAGCATACTTCATTCCCCTTGAGCTGCCGGCCCAGTCACAGTAATGAAACGAGAGTTTGTGACATTGGAGGATGAAAGCTCCCACCCCATTCTGCGGATTCATTAGCACATGCACGGGTATTCATCTTATCTCCATTCATACCTGGGAGACAGTCACCTTCTTTAAACCTCTCACAGTCATCGTGGGCGCTGTTATTCAACAGGATGATCGATTGCGAGGTTAAAGCCATTTCATTTTGCGAAGCACGTGATCGAGCTTCGAGAAATTCCCCTGCCTTGTTTGCGACGCGACACCTTTCTCCCTTTTCATCAACCACAGCTTCGAGAGCCGCACCGCCGCCACGCGCTCATCGACTTGCATCACTGAGATGACGGACAAGCTCCCCCCGAATCTCCTGGCGCTGTTCGCGCCTCGCCCCGGTCTTCGATTCCTTCCTCCAGCGGACCACGCGCCTGAAGACCGAAAGACAGCAGCCATCTCTGGCGTTGCGGCCTTTCTCCCGCAACTCGAGGAGTACAAGCAAACTGATGAATACAAGCCTACAGAGAGTTGGCTGGAGCGAAAATTTCGTGTCAAGCAGGAGAAGAAGGAGCGTCAAGCGAAGTTGTTGAAGGAAGCACCAGCACTCTGTGAGGGCGACCCTATCTGTGATATTTCTCTTTTCACTTGTCCGACTTCTGGGCATCTGTGTCTTGTCTACTCTCAGATTTGCTAATATGTTGTGTCTCTAGATAAGCCTCAAGATGATCCGAATATTCGCGGAGATGCATTCAAGACCCTGATTGTTGCGCGACTCAGCTACGATGCCACGGAGCAAGATCTAGAGAGCGAGTTTGGTCGATTCGGTCCCATTGAGAGAGTACGTTCCCCGTTCCCTCCAGTACATTGATGAAAATCTATCTGCATGCTCCTCACCGCTCGCTTCCCTTGCTAACCTTGGTGTCAGATCCGGATTGTTGTTGACACGCATCAAGATGAGAAACCGAACAAGAAGAAGAAGAAGCACCGTGGTTACGCATTTGTGGTTTATGAACGAGAGAAGGACATGAGAGGTAAACCTGACCACAACCCCCTTCCCCCACAGCCTTGCTCGCCGGTCCAGAGATATATGGTATCATTTGTAAAGATATGGCCCTCAAGCTGCCTGTCTTCTCTCCTTTTCCAGCTTTCTGCCCAGCTAAAGGTATAACAAGTATGGGCATCATAACTGACAACTGCGCCTTGCTCACGCTTGGTAAATAGCTGCTCTAGACAACTGTGATGGTATTCGAATCAAGGACCGCCGCATCAAAGTCGATGTTGAACGTGGACGGACAGTCAAAGGTTGGGTCCCTCGCCGTCTTGGAGGAGGCAAAGGTGGCCGTGGCTATACAAAAGCTGCTCCTCCACCGCGGCCCATGGGTTTTGGAGGTCCTCCCGCAGGAGGTCAGGGCTTCAGAGGTGGTTTTGGTGGCAGAGGTGGCGGCTTTAGAGGCGGTTTCGAGCCACGAGGCGGCTATGGAGGCCGGGGTCGTGGGGGCATTGGCTTCCAGGGGGGTGGTGGCTTCAGAGGACAAAACGGGTATGGAGCTCCTCCTCCAAATGCTCCAGCAGGCCCGGGTGGCGCTCGCGGCGGTGGATTTTCTGGGGGTAGGGGAGGCTACGGTGGACCATCCGGTTCACCAGATCGTAACGGCTCTGGCGGTGGGTATGATTCGCGTGGAGGTCGCTCATATGATGACAGAAGCGGTGGAGGTGGAGGTGGATATCGTGGCTACCAACGCGATGGACCTCCGCGGGGTGGTTCTGGAAGCAACATGGAGCCGGTAAGACCTAGAGATGGGGGATACCGTGATCGAGACCGAGACGGAGGATATGGTGGACGGCCACGAGAAGATGACTCACGAAAAAGACAGTACGAGGGCAGCGGCTACGAAGAGGATCCTCGCAAGCTGCGGAGATATTAGGTGCAGCAGGACACTATTCGGTTTGTCTTGTGGTGGGTTTCTCGAGTATTCAATCTTTCTTCCCTTCATCACCAGGGGTAAGCCGTTCTTCGATGCTATTTCCACCCAAGGTAGTATGCGGTCGCCTCATCTGTTTCTTCGACGTCAGTACTTTCACCGGACACAAACAGCTTTTCCGATTTCATCATGGTAATATCGACTCTTCGACGCTCTGGTTTCCATCTTCTGGCCTGGGATTGCATCGGAACCTGGAAGGCCATTTTCCACGCCTTGACCTACTTGCATTGGGTGAGCACACACTGACGCTGATCTTGGAGGTAAAAGTCAGAGGTAAGGCAGTTGTGCCATCTGACTATCTGACTTCAGTGCTCAAGAATTCTTGCTTGTATTATCAGAACTGCAGGAGGACAGCGGGTGGTAAGAAGAGGTCGCTCAGGCAGCAAAATTGTTCTTTTGGTTTCCCATAATAAAAAGGTAGCGCCGCTTAACGCCAGCAAACCCCCCTGATTGTATGATACTGTAGAAAACAGGACGCGAGCATTCATGCTTTATTCCTCCATTGCTTCCATTTCCGTGACCTCATTCGTCGCCGAACTCCAGTAACTTCACATAGTCAGCTCCCAATTCATTATAAAGATGAAAAACTACTTACGCAAGTAATTTAACAGAGAACTCCGCAGTTGCAACTCCGAACAACTTCAGCAACCTCGTCTGCCTGCTATCCAAAATACCACCTTCTTTGCAAACAGTGTATGGATTCTCCAGCGTAATCTTTCCTTTGGTCAAAGATGTCGGCATGTTCAATTTTCTCAATTCCGGCTCCAGACTATGCGCCATGGGTACATCCTGCTCTGGATCAATCTCCCCTCCCATCGAGTAGACAATGCCTGCAGGAACTGTGAACGATCTCGTAGCAGGAGTGCCGGCGCGCGCGAAATCCGTTTTGGCGAGATTGGAAAAGTATTCTTCGATGGCAGTAGGCTCGCGGTTGGTGAAGAGAAGTCCTACATCGCCCACGAGGAACTTGGAGAGTCGGTGTGTCGAAGGCTGGTATTCGTCTTCTGGGGTCGTTCCAAGGGCTTTTGCCATCACTTTTGTCTTGCCAAAGAAGAGTCTGTCAAAACAAATCAGAACTATTCCCATATGTTACTCACTAAGGCTCGAATACGCACCTGCTATCACTCAACTCGTTGCGCACATCCTTCAGATAAGTATTCCTCATGTTGTCTACGGAGAAGACGAAGCAGTGTTGGTATTGATCCAGACATTCTCGGACATTGGCGAAGACTTTAATGGTTAACTCCTTTCCCTTCTTATCGACTTTCGTCAGGTGGACAACCCTCGCACGCTTTGATTTCGGCATTACTGGAAAACTTCGAATGTGGGGTATTTGGCTCGAGTTGAAGATGCAGCTGGGAGTAATTTTTTCGATAGCGATAAAGTTTTGGCACTAGCGGCCGCTTCAACTCTCCTGGCAGGCGCGAAGCTCAAGCTTTCTGCAAAGCGAGTGTGCGAACTCTCAAATCTTAAGAGATACGATTGACGAATCCCCTTAAAACATGTTGGAGTTTATGGACTATATTCAGCATGCATTCTATAACGTCTCGGGCTGGAACTATGAGAACTCGTACTCTCAATTAACTGCTACTGCTAGAGGCAATATGTCCCCTTCAAGGTCGAGAATTAGGTACTGACCATATCTGTAGCACTGCTGGACTTCGAAACTCCTCGTGGCCTAAGACTTAACCTGTCGTCCCTCTCTTCTCCCAATTTCGCAACTTCATACGCCATTGGTAGTGTAGGGCTCGTTGACGGCTCTCTCTCATACCTCTATACCTCTCTTCCGCTACAGACAACCTCCCAAAGTGGAAAGATAGATCTTCATGATGTTATACATGGCTACAGACAGATCCAAGAGCTGCGCAGGCCAGAAGAATCGTGGATGTGGGAAGAATGGCAGACAGGGAAGCGGACAGACAAGCGGGATTCCTTATTATATGGACGACTCTACTTACCCCAGAGTACGCTGGAAGCATTGTATCTACGCCGAATTAGTCCAACACAGCAATTGAAGCTGTCAGCTGTCAGTGATGGTCGATTACGAAATGGCGGGACGATTCTCGCGCTCCACCAGTACGATACTGGGAAATACAGCGCAGAAACCCTCTATTCTACGGACGGAGGACTGCTTGGACTTCGAGGGCTCTACAACTTTGGTCCAGATCCTCGGAAAGAGATTACTGAGCCTCCGCGCACCGAAGATCGATTTTATGGACGCTTCAGTGCTGGAGCAGAGATGTATTATGGGTCATTGAACAAGTCCGGAGGCGTGAGCTTTGGTGGAAGATTCGCTACGTTGCCTGCTCATAAGGGGGTACCTTTGACTGCAACATTGACGTTAAATCCGCTGATGGGAAATCTGAGCACCACCTACACGGTGAAGGCTGGGAAGAATCTGGCTTTGTGCTCCAAGTTCGACTTCAATGTTTACAGCTATGAGAGTGAAGTCAAGCTTGGATGTGAGTTGTGGAGAATGAAGACCCGAATTCCGAAAGAGAGAGAACGGAGCATTGCCGCTAAGCTGGAATGGAGGCTTGACCCCATTGAACAGAATCTTGCCCCAGAGCCAGAGGAGGTTGTAGGGGTCCTGAAAGCGCGGGTGGACCAGAATTGGAAAATTGGGCTATTGTGGGAAGGCAGGGTCAAGGAATTGCTGTTCACCCTCGGATCTTCCATTGATATGAAGAGAAAGGACCAGCCTTTCAGGGCAATTGGGTTGGAAATACAGTACTCGTCATGAACCATGGACTCAACGGGCTGGATGAAGTCACAACATGCACCGCCTGCGATGACTGGACGAAGACATATTTGCGGGAGGCCAGGATCTTGATCTAAACATCTGATTACTGTTGGCAGGGACCCATAGTCGTACCTTTGTCCGTTGGAGCCTTGGCGGTAGAGCCTTCCAGGTATTCATCCCCCAGCCTCAGGGCTGATTTCATCCTAGGATCGATAAGATACCGTTGTGGTTATTTCTGCTACATTCGGATCCGAATCTGACTGCCGAGACGGCCAGACATATTTGTTCGGGTGGAGCGGGCCGTTGAAGGCATTTGATGGGAGCCCAGCTACGGCTTGATGTACCCCACTGACTGCGAACCTTCGAGCCTGTAATGGAAAGCACTGTCTGTGCCGAATACTGATAGTGTCCCAAGAAACTCTTTTGGACATTTATACCAAGTGTCAGATTTCAGGAGGCCAACAACATCGGACCCTTACTCCAAGCAATGCTAAGTCGAGGGCTTACGCAAGAGTGTCCCCCTTGAGTCCGAAATATACTTGCTGGTCAGCTCCAGTCCAGTCTTATCTTGTGATTTCCACCGTCTGTGGGGAACATCCTTATATATCAGACACCGTCCTCTTGTAGTTCACAGAGAGATACGAATACAAAATGTTTTCTCGAATATTAATCTTTGGCAAGAGACGGTCTGGAAGCGCGCGGTCTTGTCGATTCGCTAGTCTGCTCATCGTTCCCGTAATGACATGCATGGTCACTTAGTCTTCAATAGTTCCACGGTCGTGTAAATCGGATCTTTTAAACTTTGACTACCCCGAACACAGCCCTGGCTACAAACGGTAGCCAGCCCACTATCCGCTACGATCTGCAGTCAAAGTAGACCTCAGAGACGACCATCACTAGGAACCCTAAGTGGACCAGACCACAATAACTCAAGCAAGTGTCTCGAGCTGTGAAACAAGGAGATTGCATCGATGCTCCCGGACTTGGCATGCCGAGCACATACAAAACCCATTGTTTCGGAGGGATCGAACGGGATTGTGGCACGCGTGGCCTTGGAAAGGGGAAAGCAACTTCGACCGGTTGACTCTCCTTGAGCCCTTAAAACTCTCCGTCCCATTGGTATAGGCAAAAGCCAAAGTCCAATGAGCGCTAGCGAATGGGTTATCTGATCAAGGTCGAACGATTTACCCTTTCCAACGATCCGAGGAGCTTCTCAACCCCTCTTGGCGCATGCCACATAGGCAGTTCTTGACTTCTTTGGGTTCATGGCATGCCTTTTTTACATTTCGTTTTCATGGGGGGAGTATGTTTTCTATAAATAAACAGCATTTTCAACTCGTCGATATCGAATTCACGAACAGTCGAAAGCCTGCGGAATTTCGAACCACTCACCAAATACCCGAATCTAAAAGGCTTCCCGCAATCCGTTTTTGGGCACCGCACATGCCAAGGCGTCAAAATTGTTGAGTAAGAACTCTTCCTCGTCATGGGTGGTCTGGCCTGGGCTTTCGACACCAGGGAGAAGAGGAGCAGGTGGGGGATATGAGGTGCCTGTGCCGATCTACAAGTACACTAGCTTGTTGATCGCTAAGCCTGAGAAGATGGTGTTTGAGATGAAGCCTGTTGGCGAAGATAGGATTTAGATGATTGAGAAGGAGTGGAAATATATTAACGGTGGAGAGGCGGCGGATGTGGCACTGAACGTGAAGGCTGCTGGTGCAGACACGTGATGTGGCTGGTCTGTGGGCTGATGAGTTCGTTTGGTTTGAATTTCTCCACTAACAGCACCTCCTTCGTTCTTTCAAACCCTTGAATGTCACTAAGACTGCTCCTGAGCGCTAATCTAGATATTGTTCCTGGGATCTACTGTGGCATGGAACTTCTCGTTCACTATGGAGGCCCTTGTCGCGAGTAAATGATATCCCCCCCGCGAACATCAGCCTTCTAAACCTTCAACCTATCAGCATCCACCAGATTTCAGTCAGTGTCAGTATCTAGCCCTCAAGGTACAAAGCGTTATTTATTGTGATGTTTTCGGAAGGGTGAGCGGTACTTGGACACGTGATATCCGGCACGGAGCTTTGGCTCCCGTCGCCTGAACGGCTGGCTTGCATGCAAACAAGGTACAACAACATGACCTTCACCAGTTCCCCTGTGGAAGACTGGCAGACTTGAGCATCGGACTGGACTCGACTTGTCGCGACAAAGCGTGGCCGCCTCGCAGCCGGTCTGCCAAAAGCAAAAGCCCTGCAGACAGACGACCTGAAGGCGCGGCGGTGAAGAGGGAATTGCTGTCGCAAGCTGCGTCCGAAACAATCGCAGGCCCTGCGGCGGACATCCGCCTCCTCGCGCAAACGTCGACTGGCGCACGGCGGCAGGAGGAGCAGCACAAGCAGAAGAGAGAATTCTCCAGCTGACTGCTGGCATTCTTTTCTAAGCCGCCAATCATCGAAGCATTATTGTGACGCGAGCAAGTATTCTGCAGCGAGTGCAGCGAGCGCAAGAATGCTGCTGCAAATTTGGTCGTTGCGTCGTTATCTTTGGCCAGCTTGGCCAGCTTGGCCAGCTCCCTACCCATCAAGGTGTTTTTCTGCAAGTGCCGCCCTCATCTCGCACCTACCTCACCACCTCACCACCTCACCACCTCACCACCTCACCCTCTCACCTCACAATGCTGCCCCTCCCACCTCAGCTCTTTGTGTCCTTGTCTGCCGTCCTCTTTCCTGCCTAGACCTTCCTTGCTGCGTAGAATGCATTGGCATCCTGCGCCATTCAATTGGCGATAAATCAGCGCATCACATTATTATTCACGGGCTGCTGGTCTATGATTGATTGTGCTGGGAGTGCGTCACGGCCAGCAATATCATCCTACCTCACAAGGTACCCCATTTTGCACTTCAATCCGCACTACTGTCCCCTCATGGCCCCGAAGTCGCACTAACAGCACGGCCTACCTCTAGTAATTACGTACCGTTGACGGCTCCCGCAAGAAAAAGCATACAAATACCTCGAGCTCTCCGGGCGCTCTACCAGAAGCCGTTTCATTGCAGCCCTCAGCCTTCAACAATCCCCATTGTCTCAAGTCGACATCTGTGATAGATAAGCCCAGCGACGCCTCTAGACTTGAGCACAACCGGCAGAATCAAAAAGCGAAAACAAAGCTCGCACGTGTAAGTGGTAGAGTGAAGAGTACAGCGGGCTGGACATCATCGAAGACTTCATACCATGTCTTCCGTCACGGTCGAGTGCGACAGCGGAAATGGCTATGATGGCCGATTAGGGCTCCGGATCTCCTCGGTCTTTGTCATTGGCTTCGGGTCTATGTTAGGTATGTTTCCAACATGCGATGCTGGCTATTTCCAGCTCCCAAGCGCAACAGCTGATGTCCCTACGCAGGTGTTCTCCTCCCCATTGCCGCTGCTCGAACGAAACGCATGCGTGTTCCACCGCTAGCCTTCTTCATTACGAAGTATTTTGGGTCAGGTGTTATCATAGCAACAGCTTTCATACATGTAAGCCTCCAAAGCACCCCTATTTTTCTATCACAATGCTCCTGCTTACATACTCCAGCTGCTTGCGCCGGCTGTCGGGGCTCTTAGCTCGCCATGTCTAACTGGACCTATCACAGATTACAGCTGGGCAGAAGGGATTGCCCTTATGACAGTCTTCACGATGTTCTTTGTCGAGCTGATGGCGGCTCGGTTTGATATATTTGGGTCAAAGGCACACGATATCGAGGCCAGCGACCCTTCTTTGGGTGTGATGCGGCAAAATGAGAAATCCCATGATGCACCACTTATAATACGAAAAGGTTTGTCCATCACCCTCCCGTTCCAGAGTCCGGGCTAATTTAGGAGCAGATTCGGGAAAACATAGCCATGGGCATGGTTATGGTCCTCAGCCAATATCATCAGCAGGCGACGTGACTGTTCGAGCTTCAGACTCGAATTCTAGTTCTTTGGAAGGTCCATCCAAAGACCCCTCCCACGGAGCAATTCCTGGGAGAACAGACGACTTCACGTACCCACCAGGAGGCGATGATCACCTGGGCCATCAGCGTGACCACATGACAGACGATGACCATTTTGCGGCTCAGATGACTGCCCTCTTCATTCTCGAATTCGGAGTCATCTTTCATTCCATTTTCATTGGTCTCACACTCGCCGTTGCTGGTCATGAGTTCAATATACTTTACATTGTGCTTGTCTTCCACCAGACATTCGAGGGCCTTGGTCTGGGCTCTCGACTCGCCACCGCCGAATGGCCAAAAAAGAAGGCTTGGATGCCATGGGTACTGGGTGCCGCATATGGAGTTTCCACACCTATTGCCATCGCCATCGGGTTGGGCGTGCGCACGACTTTCACACCCGGCAGTCAAAGGACTCTGATTGTGAATGGCGTCTTCGATTCGATCAGCGCCGGTATTCTGATCTACACGGGACTCGTGGAACTCATGGCTCACGAATTCATGTTCAACCCGGAGATGCGCAAGAGCTCGATCAAGATGATGCTATTCGCTTATCTCTGCATGTGTCTTGGCGCAGGACTTATGGCCTTGCTTGGCAAATGGGCCTGAAAAAACGATCTAACGCTTTGATGAACGACCTTTCCATAGACTCGGTGATAGTCTGGATTGTAAAACTGGAGAGAGGCTACGAAAGCCGCTTCAAGGACTGTGGAGAGATTAGATGGAAGGGAGAATAGGGGTTAAGCGAGAAATTGTTGAAACCTGAGGCGATGAAGTTTATACTGTCGAGGTGCGCTCTGAAGAAATTGATAAGCACCAACCTAGGGGTGATAATGGATTTCATCTTCTGTTCAGATGTTGATCTACATGTCATCTTGTGATTATCGTTTCGGAAAGGTTGTAACGGGTGCTGCTCTAATATCTGACGGCAAGAGCGGCCAGCGACCAGAGTCGTATCTGATTTAAGTTCAACCTTCACGCAACTCCTACCGCCTTCCTCCTTCATTCTTTCCACCTCACAGCCGCTCCTTCCTTCCTCGTTACTTTGCATCTTCTTAAATCCGCACCCTTCGCGCCACCCTTCCTCCATCTTTCATCAATTCATCACACAACATCGCTATATTTCATCGTTCGTTACGCCACCACGGCTTTGCATCATTACAGAGCATTCCACATCACTTTATCGTTCTGATTATACCCTCACAGTGTTCCTTGCCTGTTCATTGTGAGTTGATATCGCCCGCCTCTGGAGAGGAACGGTGGGATTGAACAACCACCATGTCTCGCCACGAAACCTCTAACTCTAAGGTGAACGGCAACTTCGAAAGAGTGACCAAAGATACGGAGAAAGAATGGGAAGGAAAGTACCTCGAATTTCACGATTTCATTTCTTGGCAAAGGAACAGGGACGAGACTCGGCTTCAGAAACGACAAGAGGCAGAACTTGCTCAGATCATGCTTCGACATGAGGCAGAGATGGGACAACTTTCTGCTCGATGGGATAGCTGTCTTGAGAAATTGAGCAAGGTCGAAAAGCACAGCTTAGATGCGGTGCCTCGGTGGACGGAAATATTGAGGTCCTCTTTTCCGCATGAAAACACTGTGGGCACGTCCGACAACCCTCGTGTAGAAGGCAACCAACTGGTTTCGAGGCAGAATATATCGACCCCAGAGCGGCCACCCCTGGACTCTCCACCAGCAGCCGGGGCCAGCGGCCTTCCGACGCCCCCCAGTTCCTCTGCCACGAGTCCCGGGGGCCCTTCGAACGCTAACCCTCTGAACACGAATAAGCTTCCTGCACCGGCAGCACCGGCAGACAAAGAAGAGAGCGTTAGCGTTGAGCCATTGCTGCTAAAAGACAATGATAGTGACTTGAGTTCTCTACGTAGCGTCACACCGGAAGAGCCGCTGGATTTGAGGTCAGTGAGGATCCAGGATCTTGCTGCGAACGAAGCTGTGTTTCAATCCAAATTGCTTAAACCTAGCGGTACATTCTACGTCTTGAGATGTCACGAATGCAGAGGGGAGCTCTTCAGTTTGTCTGGCAAGACGAGTATACTTACATTCAAGAATCATTTGAGGAAGTGTCGGCCGGCACTCGGCAGGTTCCGAAGTGATCAGAAAGTACTACTTGTTTTTGGTACAAAGATCGCCGATGCCGACGTAGACTGGTACGAACGGAGAGAACGAACACTCTACCCCGGCAGTTCTCCGCACGGGAACGCTTCTAAGGCAACGGTCGATGCCGCCATCACAGGCGGAGGTTCTGGAAACAGAAATCATGTCGGAGCTGGGACATGTAAAGACGCCAGACAGACTGGATTGTCCCAGACAGTTGGGAATGATAAAGATTCATCGAGCAGCAGCGAAACTGAGGAAAGCGATGAAAGCGATGAAAGCGATACTTCCGACGTGAGCAATGAAGATTCAATGTCCCAGGAAGATGGGGAGGATTGGGAGGATTGCGAGGATTGCGAGGATTGCGAGGATGAGGAGCATCCCAAAGACGATGATCCAGAAGATGCGACCTATGAGGATGAGGCTGTGGATGAGGTTGAGGATGAGGCTGAGGATGAGGATGAATATGAGGCTGAGGATGAGGATGAGGATGAGGATGAGGAGCAAGAAACATGCGACGATTCCGACGGAGCTGAAGAGCCTGGACCCAACCCGAACATTCTCTTCAAGAGCTATGCCAAGGGTCCGTGTGTTTGATTCAATTGATATGCCAAAGGCTAATTTCACTTAGCACGACAATCTACGAACAATTCCGATACATTTAAACCGCGGCCTTCGACCCAATCTCGCCGAGCAAGATCGCCGATTAGCAACCAAAAGCGCCGTACTGACACATCACCAGAGAAAACGGCCAGCAGTGAATCCAAGCGGCTTCGCAAAAGCTACACGGCTGCTTCGACTCCAGGCTCCTCTAGAAGTGGCGTGACTCAAAAGCAAAAGCAGACGCTCTCTGTCCAACATAAAAAGCGCCCTTATTGGCATACTACCCGGAGCAATGGAAACAACGGACTCTTCGAGGGGTTACCAAACTACTAAACGACCAAGTAAGGTCAGAAGATACCGTGGGTGATGTTAAGCCACGAGCTTTGTATTATTAAGGCATCACTGCAGCGAATAAAGCGTATTGAACCACTCCTTAAATTCCTCTTATTGAGCGATGTGGGAGACTCCGGACTCCTTTGCGAAGAGAAAACCTGTAATTCAGTTCCTGTCAATCCACAGGAACGTAGTGGAACAGCTGGAGGGGAAGCCACCAAACTTGTAATTTTTCATCTTCAGCACTCCCAGGATTACCTCGGTCGTCAGGCCTCTGAAACTTTTACATTTGCAGACATTATTTGAAAAGGGCTTTGATTGGAGGTAGCGCCAATGCCCATATCAGTACGAAATGGCCATCCTCGTAAATTCTTCGGAGCCAAGATCCAGGGAACCAATTTCGTACAATAATCATTAAAGATATTCAGGGGGCTCATACGTACAGAGACTACATGGCACATTGGAAGCAAATGAAAACGACGATGCAGTTATGGAGGCCTTGGATGAATAAAACACTGGGTCAGGCATGCCGCGATAGGACCTTGCCAGAAGGACTCCTTGAACGTATCGGCCTTGCTTACGACCTTGCCAAGACTACGGCTTGGTATCATCGAGCAGAGATTCTCTTGAGGTCAGTCTCTGATGATACCATTATCCCCAAGAAGATATCTTCAGGCAATATGGTGCCGTTCTTGACCAGATTAAAGAACGCGAGACATGTAAGACGTGATTTTCTTTGGTTTTGTAGTACCGTGACTCAATCAAAACCAGATCCTGGAACAAACAACTAGCATTGTATACGATACTCGTTACGAGGCTCCGCAGTTCGGGAAGTTGCACGAGCACTCGCGATTCACCGACGTCTGGAGGCATTCAAGCTCCAGCCATCTCGCTAGACGATAAACGGGATGAAGATTCAGAAATTGTTGTGGGTAATAGTAAAAGTCGTAGAGAGAAAAACTCTGAACGAGCTGCAAGATGCAAGGAAGGAAGCTTTGCATGCGATCAGACTGGCAAGAAAACTTAATGAGAAATTCCCCATATTCAAGCAATATATATGATCTAACGCTCTCGCAAGTGAAATTTCGCGTTTTGGAGGAAGGAGACGACTGTCAACCCATGGATGCTTGTTGGAGCAGTGATCCTGTGGAATCTGTCCGACAGTAAGAACGAAAAACCTGCGCCGGCATCAGTGATGGTGACAGAAGAGGGTAGGTTCCCAGACTTCACGAAACTTCTGTTGTTGCATTTGGTTGACTGGAAATTAGGGACAAGAGCGAAACTAGAGTTGTCATATATCGAAGCTGCTTTGCAGACTGCCTACGAGGAGACATATCTGGAGATGTTCAAAACTCACGCGGCCCTTGCAAGAGAGTTCAAGGCTCGTTCCGCGAGGACGCCGGAATTTGACTACGTTACTAGCGATGCCTGAGAGAAGGAGAAGTCGTCCTGTGGCTCGCACATAGGGTACATTCGAATTTCTTTACAGTCTGTCATCGCACATGACTGTTTTCCTATTCTTTAGAAATATTATTGCTTCGTATACTTGATCTTTTCGGTTGAGAATACTTCTGGCCTAAAGCCTCGCCGCAGTACACATTACAACCCTGCATCTCTAAGCAATTCTGGCGTATATTATTACCCGACTCCTCAACACAGTAGAGCTGGTCTGAAATATCAACAAAAAAATTGGTAAGAACGAATACTGTCAAGCACTGGCTTGATTTTTCCCTTCCAACTAAATTTGCACATGCCCACTCATCAAGTATCACAAGCACAATGACGAAAGGGGCTGAATGATCAAGCGTATTTTCACATTGAGATATAGACCTTCCCCAGCCCAAAACGCCACAATGCATACGTGCCCTTCAATACAAATGGGAACGGCATTCCCTTCTTACACGCTGGCCTGCGTCTCGGTTCAGCACGCCCCAAACCTAGCACAGCGAGGCCGGCTCAGTATATCCCACGGTTCCTCATCTATCAAATCCGTTCTCAACATATAGCAAGGAATTTTAAGGGCTTGCCCAGCCTCCGGCAACATCCACCCACTCTGCAAGACAAGAGCCTTGTTTTCCTTCAACATCCACAATGTCGGTATCACATCTACATCTGCACCCAACGCCATTCTCCTTCACGGGATCCCACGAATCCCAGTATTCGTCTTCTTCTTTCCGTTTTTTTTCATCTAATGTAGTCTTTTCTAGAAAGGGAGATCGTGGCATTTGGCGAGCCGGTGCGTTCGCGGGACAATGTTGGATCGTGGTGTGTCGGTAGCCAAAGTCGCGGAAATAATGGATGTCTCTTGGAGCGAGAAGGGCTCCGGCTGCAAGGGAGTGGATTGGAGCGTCTCCCCACTAATGTGAATTAGCACAATTCAAATGTTCTGAAGGCAATATCAACTTACACGTTCCATCCAAAACCCCCCGCTGCGATCCATCATTTGGAAGAAGTCTTCGTACTCCTTACTCCTGAACCAACTGAGTCTGGCGATTTCAAAATTCGACCAGAAATGGCACATGTTGTACTTCTCTCCCTCCATAGCTTCTGGATCGATGGTTGGTAGAGAAGCTCGAGATGGATCACCTCGAAGGATTTCTTCCGGCAGAGGGTGTTTGTAATTCGGATCGTCTTCTGGTAGCTCCTCTGTCTTCTCTGGTTGAGGCTCGACGAACATTTCCCACAGCCCCTGAGAAGTCAAGTTGTTGACCCTCTTGTATGCGGATGCGTATCTGAAGATATTCGGCACGGTCTCCTTCAATTCCTTGACTGCGATGGTGAAGCCGTATGTTTTGTTCGATTCGATCATCCTCAAAAATGGGTCGCTGCGGATGTTAGCTCAGTTGGACTCAGATTGGACACCACAACATACTATGTAATGTCACAGAAATATTTGATTTCTGGTTCCAAGCGCCAGTACCATTCGTACTTGGCCAAGAGTTCATGCTTGTAGAAGAATCTGGATCAAGTAAGCAGTGATTTCAATCTTAGGAGAAGCGCTTCATACCCCGAGTAGAATCTGCACATGGCATGATAACTTTCCATGCCACCGTACATGATAGCTTGATCTCCCTGCTTCTCAATACCCTCCTTGGCGACCTTGGGATCTATCCAGTCTGGGAATCCCCACATCTTGGGGTCGATCTTCCCAAACTCCACAGGAGAACTTGTGTAATTCTGGATCGTCTCCTTGAAGGTTGAATTGAAGTCGGCATCGTTCAAGAACACGTAGGGGTAATGGTACCACCTGTTGAAGTGTCTCTCGATGGACTTGACGGACTGGATGACACCATCTAACTCCTTGTTCCTCGCCAAGACCACAAATGCCGCGTTCGCTCTAGGTTGCGAAGTATCTGGCTCTAAGCAGCCTGTGACAAAGACCTTGTCATGCTCTTCGCTGATTTTCCTGGTGAAGAATAAGGGTTAGCCCAACAGGTCAACGTAACACCTCGGAAGTAAGCGTACCTAATAGCTGGTGGTGCCCCAGCAGGCATTAATATGCCGACTCCTGATTTAGGATGTCGGACGAATAGCACCAAGATCAATACAACGACAATGCAAGGAAATAATAGAACAACGCCGAGGGGTATTGAAATGCTGGAGTTGCCCTTCAATCTGAGCGGCCGCCGGAAGAACGCCAATCTAGAAGAAGCCTTCGTCTTTTCCTTGACTTCGTCCATCGAAGGCAGACTCCGCGCAGACGGTATTCGCTTCATCACTCTCTGTACGAACCCCATTGCAGCGGTGGCGTTGTGGATCGTGGGGGGAAAAGTTCGATCAAGGGGCTGGGTCCTGGCCCCGGGTCGTCAATCGGATATGGTGAGGCCGTAGATATTACAATAGGTACTTAGAAACGCAGGATTGAATCGAAGTATGTGCGGAAGGTATGCGCCGAGCTCTATCGGCAGGCTGGGTGATGCTTCTAACGAGCGGATAGAGGAGATGTCCTCGAGAAAGACGCAGATGAGCGTGCGATGACGCGTAGGCGGGAGGGCTCCCGTCTACGGCACTGAGATGCAGGAGGCGAGTCGAAGAAGTCTATGACATTCAATGGGACGTCGGGACAATAGGGTCGCGATTATAGCGCTGGTTGAGTCGAGGTTGAAGAAAGCGAGAGGCTCGTCGTTTGCGTGATAGGAGTTGACCAGTTGCTCGTAGCATTCCGCTAAAGCTCTTGGCAGCGGACAGGGGCTGCAGCCCGGGAAGGCAAACAAGAACAAGCTGAGAGTGCGCGCCGTGATTGGGTGAGGGCAGGATTATGCATAGGAAGAACACCTACCGGCGATAAAATTCAGATTCGGTTGGATTTACAGTGTGTTCTAGAGCTACAGTATTGCCTAGTCAGCTGTGGCTGAAGCTGTTAAATTCTGCAGCAGGAGAAAGTGGCCAGTTCGGGTGTCCGTAGTATCTATTTCCATCGTCATGCTCTCGTGTTCTCTTGATCACGTGATCACTATTACTTTGCCCCTGTTGGAATTCGCCCGTTTTTCGTTACAGTATTGATTGAGGCTGAACCTCGCATTCGAGCTCTGGATCTGTGGCAAGAGCTCAACGAATTTCTGCGTAACCCTAAGCTCCTGCTTGCCACTCTTCACCCACGCGTGAACATTACTTTTCAATCCTGGGCTACCGGTTCGGCTGCGTAGCGCAGAGCGTTGACAAAAAGTGCTACCATGACATCCCAGCACGGGGAATGCAAGAGCCTGAATCCCTGATCCGGCAGCTTTGGCTTTCAAAAATCCCCAGGAAGTAATCTACATCTGCATCAAAGCAACCTTATCGATATCAGGTAGCTCAAGCCAATCAGGCTGCCCAAGAGGCAACCCACTCAAAAATGTCGAAAATAACCCCCAAGAACCTCCACTACGACGACACTCTCCCACCTTTCCTAGCCCGCCTGCGAGCAAACAATGCCTCTTCGGACGGTCGACACGAATACCACGTCGCACGACCCAAGAAAGCGCGGAATGCCGAGGAGGAGGCCGAGGATGAGCCAGTGTACTTCGACGAGGGAACTGGGGAGACGTTGACGAAGACTGAATGGGAAGCTAAGGATACTGCTCTTGAAGCTGAGGCCGGGAAGGGGGATGCTAGGGGTGAGAAGGAGGGAGCCGAGATAGAGGAGGGAAAGGAGACGAAGGAGAGCAAAGAGAAGCTGGCTGCGATTGGGTCGACTAAGAAGAGGAAGGCGGGGAAGGTTGTTGGTGGGGATGATGAGGAAGTAACGGCGGAGTCTGAAAAGAAGCCAATATCTAAACCTGAAGGCAAGAAAGTGGAGAAGGGGAAATCTGCAAAAAAGGGAAAGAAGATCAAACTGAGCTTTGGTGATGATGAATGACGGTCTTCTCAAATTACTGGGGTTGGGCTCCCCAAAGAAGATATTGGGCGTACAGGTTGTGGGCTTCAGCATTCTAGATACCCTTGCTGCGAAAAACGAAATGAAGTTCTAGTGAAACCATTGTAGATTTGCTATTCGTTTTCCGAGCAGCATATCGTATCCTTGGATATGATGAGCTATACCTCCCAGCCACCCCCCTAGATACAATTGTCAAATGAAATGGCATTCACTACCAGACGCTACGCTATGCCACCAAAGCGCACGAATGATCAGAAAAGATTGCTAGAACCATACCCACGACCCAGTCCCACCGCAGTAGAACGCCAGAGATAGAACAAAGAAAGTGATGTGAAAACGACCCATCCAGGTTACCATGCCCAAATGCAACTTCCAGAGAGTACTGCAATATGCGGTAGATTTGGAATAAGACACTTTCGCTCTGCTTGGTTCATGCCCGGCTATTTTGTTGAACGAAGTCCCAAAGCATCTTGACCAGCGTATCTGGTAAGGTGTACAGATCGACATGGAACTCGCCCTCTGCAGCACAGTCAGAAGAGAGACAATTGAACACGATTGGGAGTACTCACGCTCGATATCGTTCTTTGTGTACGTATCCTCAGACTTGTTGTCATGTATCATTTGAACAACCTGCAGCAGGTCATCCTCTCCAAGTTTGACCAAGCCGTCTGCCAACTTCTCCATGTCCACAGAGTTTATAGTCTTCTTCCGTGGTACCTTCTCTCCACCCTTCCTCTTCGCACCGTTCTCATCACCTGGAACTGGACCGCTTTCACGTAGAATGTTGATGAGGGCGGCGCTTGGGTTCTTGAAGTTGACAACATGCTTTGCCTCGTAACGGTTCTTGGCAAAGTTCAAGTCATGGGTGAGAGTGTTCTTGCCGCCCTTCTCGGTAGTATAGAGGTCAATTGTCATGTCAAACTCTCCCCATCCCTCGTTCTCGCATCGAAAGGGTGGTTCATGGAAGGCTAAGGGTAAAAGGCGTCAGCAATCTTCTTCACATCCAGAGGTAGCACACTCACTTTGGACAGGATTGGCAAAGGAGGGATGCAAGTTGTACACAGCTTTTGTGAAACAGTTGGCCGGCTTCTCATGGCCTGCTTCATCGAGGAGATAAATCTCAATGTTCCAGGTCTTCATTGGAAAACCTTCCATTTCGGAAGGCTTGTCACTGAAAGAGGCTATCAGCACACCCGCTATCGCTTTTGTCAATTGCGGGGAAATTTTCGACGTACATGTTGCGCTGCTCCGTGACGAGCTTCACGGTCCGCTTGATCTGTAAGATGTTAGCTTGTGTGGCATGGATTTCTGGCTCTCAAAGGTGAGCGCGCAGTAGATTTGGTTGAATATACGCACATCCGCGACCATCTTGACAGCTTTTCTTTGCTCGAGCACGGCACTAAAGTAGTTCGAGAGTGCTGACCGTCTTGAGGAGGAGTTGGAGCGCGTCGCGAAGGTGGTTGGTGGGGAAGGAGCTTTGGGTTTAGCGGGTCGGCGTTTTTAGCTTCCGTGTGAAAGTGAGCGTGACAGGCCAGGAAGTGAAAAATAGAGGATCTTAAGTAAAGATTTCTAAAGATTTCTTCACAACTGAAGGTGAAGTTCCAAGTTCCAAATGTGTTTGTTGGTGGGCAAGTAATGTTGTTATTTTCCACGGCGTTTTATCACCTTGATTCAAGGTGAATGCCTAAGAAGTGACCATTGGCAACGACATCACTTTTATGCACCAACTCAAAAGCACATGGGGGACAAAGAGGGACTGCTATTTTAGTCTAACTACAATCTCATGTGTCACAGTCTTGAGACAGATGACCATGGTTGACCTTCCAAATCGTCCAGCATCATCAAATCTACGACCCACTTCTCAAGAAGAGACCAAGACCGCTCAATTGTCAAGATCTATCTCGAGGAGTGTTACAAAGGTTGCTTTTCAAGAAGCATGACGCACAAGGGGTTCATGGTGTATTGGAAAGGAATTCATGCAAAGGGGTTGTTCGTGACGTTCGTAGTTGTATGTTGCCGTCTTGAATCCTGCAAAGTCGAGATCAAGGCGAGTTCTATGCGGTCGGCTTAGGAGGATTGAGCGAAGAGAAGCTCATTCTCCTGTTGGGCCTTGATGAATGCCTCCTTGAACAGATTGGCGTCTGGCAGTAGTGTTAGCTAATGTCTGCTTGACAAGGCAGTAGACTTACTCTCGGAGTTGGCAAATCGAATAGCAAGAGTCTGGGCCTCGGGCTCACCCTCACTGACATCCGCAGCAGCGTTCCAAACCCAACTTCGGTCACTGCCAACGTTGGGAGAAAGCTTCATTTCGGGAACGACTACTTGAGGGTCAGCGTTTGCCTAAAAAGTCTCAAGCAGTCTCAACATACCATAGTGGTTGGCGCAGACCTTCAAAGTCTTATCTCTTCGCATGACCAATCTCGTCTTGCCGTTCTCCTTGTGCTTCAAGAGTCTAACATCACCAGTCCCGCGCTCCTTCCACTCATTGGCCTCCTTGTTGAACTTGAAGAGCTTTGCGCGCATCTTGAAAACCTGCTCCTCGAGCTCCTCGTTGGTCTTGACCTCAACTTTCTCGGTGAGACGGATGACGGGTTCGAAATGGACATCTTCTGACTCTGGGGCTTCATCCTACCCACAAATATGTCAGCTTTTGTCTGGCAAACTCGAATGTGGAGCCATATACCTCTGGGTTTTCCTCAGCAGCGGCGGCCTTCTGAGCCTTTGCGGATCCAGATACATCACCACGGTCCTCATCCTCTCCTTTCTTCTCCTTCTTTGCTCCTCCACCGAACATAGAGAAAACATTGTCGGCGACGCCAGAAGCAGCGGAGGTGACGGTCGAGGCAGCAGCTGAAGCAGCATTTGTCAAGGTCTGTTACAGTCAGTTTCAAAGATCATTCGGTCTTTAGATCGCAAGGGGCAGGGCTTAAAAAAAAGTTAACTTACGGATGCCGGGGTATCAGGGGTCGCCTTTGGAGCTTCTGCCGCCTTCTCGTCGCCATGGAGGGGCTTCTCAATCTCGGTCTGAGCGAGCTTGGGCTCGTTGCTGGCGTCTGCCATCTTGGTTTCTGTAAATGCTAAAATGCAATACTCTCGGTCGTAGATTTCGTAAGGAGTGCAGGCTGACCTCGAAATATTGTATGACGGTATCGTGGTCAAGTAATATGAGTTGTCAAGTGTAAACGATCTTTCCTATTTGTTGTGGTACTAAGAGCCCAGTAGCCGAGAAATTAGCGCCCCGCGCCTATCTTGCCCCTGACTCTTATCAATTCACCTTAAAAAGGCCGGGAGTTGTCCTTGACTTCCTATTGCGTGAATCACCGCCTCATAGCAGCCAGTTTAGTTCCTTTTTGCAAGTCCTTCACAGCTCCAGCTTTGCCAGCACGGAGCACACATTGCAAAATCAATTCGAATCACAATTACAATATGGGGTTCTTGAAATCACCTCCGAGGGTATGTTGCATAACTAAGAAAACCTATGTATTCCCTGACACCATATTCTCGTTGCCGCAGCCAATGGCTATCTCTGAATGGAGGCCTCGAGACCGTAGTGCCTTCACCAGCCCATACCTAACCCCATACCTCGCTCAATCAAAGCAACTCCAAAATCAAAGTACGAAAATACTCCCAGCGGAACCAGTCAAATCAAAAAGGATGCATGCCATTACTCCCAACATCCCAATCAAATGCTTAATTCCGTGCGTTCTTCGCAGTCTTTCTGGTTGCACGAGCTTCCTTCTTTGCGGCCTTCTTCGCTGCCCGACTGGCCTTCTTCTTCTCGTTGGCGCAAGTCTTACGATTCTTTCGAGATTCTTCCGCCCGACTTCGAGTTGCCTCGGCCGCACGTCGTTGATATTCGCGGTACTCCTGCTCCTTGCCCTGAAGCTTTAACCAAAGAAGCTTCGATCGAACCTGAGCCTTCGTCAACTCCTCATCCAGCGGCTCTCGCAGATGCTGGAGGGAGTTCATGCGCTTGGAGATCTGTGCTTCAGCTTCAGAAAGCTGAATCCCTAGTTCCTTCGAGATGATGGCACTGCGTTTGGCAGCCTCAAGTGACACGGACTTGGCCAGTTCAGTGAGGCTGGTACCGGCTGATGCTGCTTGCTCCATAGCCGCTCGCCAAATTTCTTCTATTCGGGACAAGGTGGACTGTGAATGAAGGCGTGCTTCTTCGGCCATGTTTTCGGCAGCTCCAAGCATTTGACCAAATACTTGAGGGTCGAGAAGGTTGGCGTCTTCCGGTAGGAATGAGGACAGCTTGTTAACAAGACTTTGCCATGTCTGAGAGGCAGTGGTTCCAAAGTCAACTTGGAAAGTCTCGTTGACTCTGGGTTTCTTCGTTGTGACGATTGAGATATTGAGGACGCCATAGGCCTCCTTTTTGGGTAAAAGTAACACGATACCATCGTCAGAGCTGTAAGCTCGCTCGGTCTCAACAGTGATATTGTCTCTGGTGATGTTGACAGACATTGCTTCCTTCGTGAGCCAGCTGAGCTTTGTGGCGGATGGAATGCGGATCAAGATTTCTCTATCCCCGAGCACCTCAGCAGCACAAACAGAGGATTTATTGACCGATTTTGCAAGATTCTGAACAGCTTGTGAAAGCTTTCCAATTTCCATTGATGGTAGCACTGACAAGCTATTCGGCCCTGGAGCCTGGGATTCGGTGATAGTGATCGTGCGAGTTGACGTCTGAACTGCGATCGAAGTGGGGGTCGAGGTAATGCTTGGAATTGGAGGTGCTAGAATGAGAGAGGCAGTCGAAGATATCGAAACGGCAGACATAATCTTGCTGTTGACGGAAATTGCAGGTCCAGATGAGACACGGTAAAAGCGATAGCTTGGAATACCTGTCAAGACTGCGGCAAAAACGCTCAAAAGAAGGACCCCAACGGGTAGAACAGCTCTCCACACTGCTCCACCATTTCTGCTACGGATGAAATTGACACTATCACTGATGCTATATGATGTCTTTTCGAGATCTTGAGGGTTGGTGAGAGTAGCTTCTGCCTTCTTGGCCGCGATTGGAGGAGTTGGGGAATCTAATGGCTCGTGGAGTCCGGTGAGGTATGCGAGGTTCCTGTTCATCTGTCGTGCATCGATGTTCAAAAATGACGCCAGATCGATAGGCAGTCGTTGGTGGATGATGTTTCCTCTTCCGTTAGGATCCCTCGACTCCAAGCACATATGAATCGAGTGTTGATCCAAGGACATACAGTTGCCTCGGTCAAAGAGTTGCTTGTGTGAAATGACAATAGAAGGAATGCTATGTCTGCCCATAAACTTTCTGGCAATCGTTCTTGTTCGTCGAGCCCCGATATCGTCGCTATCCGAGCAGTAGAAAATTGCTACGTGCGGCAACTCCCAGTGAGGTTCCACAATGAAGCCCTCTGCTTCAGGTACCGAATGATATGCAAAGTTGCCATCCAGGGTCAACTTGATGACGTCTGGTTTCTCGGGAGAGTCCTCGAACTTCAAGTTCTCAGCAGAAATGCAATCCTCAACCTTGATCTGATATCCAGAAGAGTGCATCAGCTCAATCTCGGGAGTTCTCTCGGAGCCAAACGCTGACACGGGAACAACATTATAGAGCTGAGATGTAGAATGACGAAGATGGTGGGCACGCTTGCCACTTTCGACAGATGCTGTAACGGAGCTCGCAATCTTGTGAATGATGTCCTGCTTCGCCGAGTGACTTCCGATATACAAGATCCGGAGGGGGTCCCGGGTTGATAGGCCTTGTTTTGTCATAGTCTGGCGGATGGTGGCAACCAGACGCTTTGGAGGGCTCTGTAGCATCATTCCCTTAACGGTATTGGCGGTCTGCTCTTCGTTGAAGTCTGCCACTGTGTGTTTGACGGAGACTGTCTCAGCACCAAGGCTGAAAGGCTCCTCGAATTCGATGGACTGGGTAAGGGGCTTATCGATGTCGTCGAGTAAGATAGCAGAGCTACGGCCTATCGTAGGCGTGTTGAAAGCTTGCTCGACAGCATGATCGAGGTGGGGCAAGGCCGGAATCGATTCTGTCCCTTGGTTGTCTTCATCTCCGCTCTCCTCCTCACTTTGTTCGGTATCTGCGAGGCTTGCAATATCATCGGGACGTCCAAAATCGGTCGAGGCCACGGATTCCGTAGTATTATCGTCACGGCTCTCCTCATCGGTATCGATGAACTCGTAGGTAGACTCGCCGAGGATGCTCTCGTCGGATGGAGCCTCGCTGCGGGTGGACATGTTTGCGACAGATACGCTCTCAACCCAGCTGCTTATTCTCTCGTCTGCGGCAGATGTTGGAAATCGTAGCAAGGTCGAAGAGGTTTCGAGGGTTGGTGGTGCTGGGTTCGGCTGAAGCTCACTGGATGTCTCCATGTCGTTAGCCTTGCTGGGTCATGTCATATCATGTCTCAAAGAAGACGAGGGCCAAAACAGTATGAGAAACAATAGTGGATGAAGTGAATGAAGCTTTGAAGGAAATGAGAAGCCGTACGCTTGTATTCGATTATTTTTGTGGTTCGGGGTTCCGGTTTCTCATGAACTGGACCAAGGGTTCGACGTTGGCTCGCAACTGCCTAGAGCTCGGGCGCTCACCAGGACAGGCTCGGAAACGGAGAGCAAAGGGCGAGTCCAAAGACTGCGATGCTCAGGTAAGCAGGAAGAGGAGCTTGCATGCAATGCTCCAAAGAACAAGAAGGTATGTAACACAGAATGGAGGATGATTCTCATCGTCAGCTTGGAGTTGACCTGGGGGAGGGGGGCACCAGGCGGGAACACGAGTGGGGCGTGCGTCAGCAAAAGCAGCACTCCTGGTGCTCCTTTTAAATACGCCGAAGCAAGCTCGACATCTATCTGCATTCGCAGCAATTCACAACTCACCAGGAGAGCACCTTAGTTGCCCAGATCCCCAAGATGTTTCGAGGAGTGAGTAAAATTTTAAAGGGCGATAAAATAATCGAAGGGGAAAGCAGGTGACCTCTTCATCCAGCCTGACTTGGGACATTGAAGTCGAGTGCCGCCGTATCTGGCTTTAGTGGGGGGCGGATAAGCGATAGCGATAACCATCACGAGGATGGCTTTAGGCGTCACGCCGTCATGTTTGGCTGGAGATCGGGCACTTATCGAGATTGGCTTATTATGCCTGCCCAGAACGAGTGAGAGTGGCAGAGCGCAGAAATATGCGAACATCGTTTTTCACAAATATTTTAGAGTACAGACCATACATTTCTTCTATTAAGCAAGCCAACACCCCTTTCTGGCCCCCTGCATTTATGAATTATGAATTATGTTTCTTGCATAAACCCTTCATAGAGCATAAATAGTCGAGTCCCGATTTAAGACTAAACAAACCCCTTTACTTCAGAACAAGCTGAGGATAAGTGCGCCTAGAGTTCAATTCGAACAGCCGAACTTCAGGGACATGGAGCAGAGCAACCAGATGGGTCTTTTAAGAACTTCCAGGCCGAATGAATTGTGGTGCCAGAGTTCAATATCATCCATCTCAAATCAACGGTCGATAGGAAAAAGGGGGAGAACCGTCACAGGATCAAGAGCGTCTCATGAAGTCTATGCATGATTGAGTTATCCAACGTATCCTCCCAGTCTATCTGGTTCTATTCGTACAGCCTTTTTCCGGTCCCCCTCCTTATTCAGCCACCCAGACGGCAGCCATACCCATTCCCGTTCCAACGCACATACTAGTGACTCCCACCTTCTCTCCTCTTCTCCTCAGCTCATAGAGCAGGGTGCTTACTTGCCTAGCGCCCGTGCATCCCAAAGGATGTCCAAAAGCAATAGCACCACCCTTAGGGTTGATCTTTTTCTGATCAAGTCCCAACTCATTCGCACACCAGACGCACTGACTGGCAAACGCCTCATTGATCTCAAAGATATCCACATCATCCTTGTTGATTCCAGCCTTCGCGAAGACCTTAGGAATTGCAGCCCATGGGCCAATTCCCATAAGCAAAGGAGCAACACCAACAACTGACGCCGCGACATACTTGCCCAGAATGGTCTGGCCAAGTCGCTCAGCAGTAGAACGCTTCATGAGCAGTACAGCGGCAGCACCGTCGGAGATCTGGCTTGCGTTTCCGGCATGGATAGAGCCATCTTTCGCAAATGCTGGCCTGATCTTGCCCAAGCTTTCAGCAGTAATGCCAGGTCGAACTCCGTCATCTTTCGAAACGGTGATCTCCTTCATATCTCCAGTCTTTGGGTCTTCCCATTTGACGGTCAGAGGTGCAATTTCCTCATCGAAGAGACCAGCTTCTTGTGCTTTGATAGCTTTTTGGTATGAGGAGGCCGCGAATTCGTCTTGTAATTTTCGGGAAACGCCTCGGTCCTTGGCCATCTTCTCCGAGAGAACGCCCATGGGTACTTTACAGTTTCGGGATTCTGGGTGTGATTCGAGGAGTTCTGAGAATTCAGTGACGGCACCCGGGCTGCAAAATATTAGCACAATGTACACATATTTTGGGGACAATCATCCTACCCATATTGCAAACTCATGCTCTCCACACCGGCTCCGACGCCCACCTCGATCATACCTGTGCTAATCGCATTCGCAATATCCACGCAAGCTTGTAGACCAGAAGAGCATTGCCTGTTCAGACTCTTGACCGCAGCAGAGACAGGGAAGCCAGCAACAAGAGCCGCAGCACGGAATTCAGTGGCTCCTCCTCCGGGAGGCAAAACTGAGCCAACTGCAATATCCTCGACGAGCGCCGGGTCGATCTTCGAGCGCTCGATGAGAGACTTGAAGGCGCCAGCTAGGAGATCAGCTGCAGCTGTATCTTTGAATCCGCCTTTGCCGCCCTTTGTAAATGCCGTGCGAAGACATGCAGTAACGACGACCTGGCTTTGTTAGGCATTCTCCGCGCCTGGGACATTTGAGGCTACTTACATCGTCTGGGTTCTTTTGCAGAAGCTTAGCTCGCGCAGACGAGCTGTCGCCTTCTGTGGGAGCAATAGTGCTCTTGGAACCAGCAAGGTGGCCAGAGACCTGGGTGAGGCGCTTTTGTGCTGGAAATCCCCGTCAGCCTTGTTTACCTGCCGCACTCCCTTTGGATTGACATACCTGCAGACATGATTGATGAAACGGACAGAGATGAGGCAATGGAGGAAAGTGATCTGTAAGGAAAGGTTTCGGAGGGGGTTTAAGGATTTTGAATAGAAGGGGAGGATTCAGAACGGAGATGGCCATCCTCTCTGTCCTGGTAGTCAGGATGCCTCGGCATTCTCAAGGCCGCTTTGATTGCTAGCCCCCGAAGCGAAACTGTTATCACATGCATGAAAATGGAAATCTTGGGAGCGTCACGCGCCTAGAGAAAAGTAAAAGCAAAGTAATCAGAGCGGTGAGATTTGCATGTGCAAACAAGTAATTGGCAATTGGGTTCGGACGAAACACTGGCCACATGAGCGCTCTTGAATCCTGGCTTGTAGATGTGAGCTTTCCTGGTAGAACTGATGTAAAATTAAATCAAGGCAGATTTCATCAACAGGGAAACAATATTCTATAAGCATACCGTCACAGGGTATAATACAATAAGACTATGGACATCAATCCTTCTCTCATACTTCATAAAACGTCGCTGATTTTCAAAATGCTCACTGCGTAGTTTCCCCCTTACTCGTCGTCGCTGTTTTGAAGAACCCACCCTTTGCTCATCTCCACGGCTTGCTCCCACTTCTTGAACATCTTATCACTCTTCGCCTTGTCAATCTGGGGTTTGAAGATGGTTCTGTCCTCCTTGTTGATCTCCTTCAGCTCATCAAACTCTCTCCAGATATCAACAGCAAATCCTGCCGCGATAGCAGCTCCGAGAGCTGTCGTCTCCCTCATTACTGGTCTGTCAACAGGAATTCCAATGATGTCTGCTTGGGTCTGCATGCAAAGGTTGGAGTTTGACATGCCGCCATCAACCGCAAGGCCTTCTAGCTTGTGACCCGAGTCTTTCTCCATGGCATCCAAGATAGCTTTGGTTTGATAGCACGTTGCCTCCAATGTCGCACGGGCAATGTGCCCTCGTTGAGTGTGTGCTGTAATACCAACTGATCTCGGTCAGTTTGCAACTTGCAACAGGATATTGAAAACAGACTTACACAATGTTCCCTTCGCGTCATCAATCCAGTACGGAGCAAACAGACCACTGAAAGCTGTGACGAAGACAACACCACCGTTGTCCTTCACTGTCTCAGCAAGTTCGGTGATCTTGCTCGAGTGCTTAATGAAACCCATATTGTTCATCAAGAACTTCACGCCAGACCCAGCAACAGCAATACTACCCTCCAGAGCATAGATTGGTTTCCGCCCCTGGCCAAAGTCATATGCAACCGTGGCCAGAAGTCCATATTTGGAGATAACAGGCTTTTCGCCGACGTTATACAGAAGGAAACAGCCTGTTCCGTATGTGTTCTTGGCTTGTCCAGGAGAAAAGCCACACTGGCCAACTAAAGCCGCTGACTGATCTCCAAGACAACCTGTGATTTTGACGCCCTTGAGTGCACCATTTGTCAGAGCTCCAAATGCTTTTTTGTCAGAAGATGGCACAATCTTTGGTAGAGTGATGTTTTTCCGGTCCAGCCTGAAGAAATCCAGGAGCTTGTCGTCGTACTGTAGAGTGTGTATATTCATGAACATCGTGCGGGAGGCGTTGGTGGTATCTGTGACATGGATGCCGGCCTCCTTTCCACCATTGAGCTTGTAAATCAACCATGTATCAACAGTTCCAAAAGATAGCCTGCCCTCATCATATGCCTTCTTGACAACTTCCACATTACTGTAGAGCCAGAGAAGCTTGACACTAGATGGATATGTTGACAAAGGCAATCCACACAGTTCCAGTAGTTCGTTCGCGCCTTTCCGATTCTTGAGCTCACGGACAAGAGAGGTGGTTCGAGTATCGGGCCAAACGATGGCATTATAGAGGGGTTCGCCAGTGTTGGTATCCCAGCAGATTGTCGTTTCTCGCTGGTTTGTGATCCCGATTGCCTTGATAGTGTCCTTCTTGTAGCCCTTTTCCAGGAACCGTGCAGTTGCTTCCTCAATACATTCCTCGACAGAGTTGACTAGCTCCTGTGGGTCGTGTTCGTGCCATCTAGTAATACAAGATTAACTCCTAATCCTCGAATGAGCAAGTGACTCAAGACATACCCAGATTCGGGGTAGATGTTCTCAAACTCAATCTGATGGCTGGCAATTGGGGTTCCTTCGCCATCAAAAATGAGAAATCTGGAAGAGGTTGTTCCACAGTCTATACTGCCAATAAACCAGCGGGTTTTCTTCTCCTCGACTGTCTCGGAGATGCCCTTCGGGAGGTGCTCATGGTGCTCGACGTTGGCAGGCGCATTGACATGCTCGACGTGCTGTATTTTGGTGTCTGGCTCTGCAGTCTTCAGGGCGTCCGCAGTGGGAACCGGGACTGTTCGAATTGGCATAGAATCCATGGTGTAGCTCTGAGTTGGTGTGCACAAAAGGCAAGAAGATGACCCCTCGGGAGCTCTGGCACTACCGGACCACGTCGCAACTGTCTTTCTCCTCGAGGGCGAGTGAGTTACGTCGGTAGAACTAGTGGAAGGAAGGAGGGAAAGGGGGGAGAGGGGAAAGACAAGAGCGAGGGTGGTGCGATGACATCGCGCAAGCATTAAGAGGGGGAGGATCAGCAACAACCAAATACTGGCAACCCCACCACTCGAATGGATCCCGATCCCGATGCAGCCGGAGCCGGTGCCGCATGTGACTGGGAAGCCATACGGAGTATTCCGTAGAGGCGCGGAGGCGTGGCGCTGGTCTCTGGGGCAGGCGTGAGTGCTGCTGGGTCGCCTGGGATTTGTGGGAAAACCCTCGCCGGGCATTCTTGTGGCGTTCTCGGCTGCGAACACCCAACCCCCTGAGCTGAGGCTGAGCCCTCGCTCAACCTTCTCTTTTCAACCTCAAACTAGTGAAAGATATCAATACTGTAGAGTTTATTTAAACACCACTCTCCCACTCTCCCACTCTCTACGTCCCAGCTTGTATATCCTCGGTGCGAAGCATATCTACGCCGCTCCTCGATTAGTTGCTGTCTAGACTTCTCTTACTGTGCTTCCACGGGTCCACAATTGCGAAATTCCGTCTGTCTAAGTACTCACGATCTTTGAAGCTCACGAGCGCAATCTTCTTCAAGAGCTTGTATTGGTTGGAAACTTAGTGTCCCTTGGAAGTCTGGACCAAATTTAGAGGCCGCCTTGTGATCAATCTTATCCGTGCCCCCCGGAAGGTCTCCACCTCTGACCCCCATTAAACGCCATACTCCACAACACTATCAAGAATTTGTGGGAAAATCTGTAATTGGACATCTGTACAAAAGACCCCATTCTTGCTGGATATCGCCCCGAAACACCAGCGCTATGCAACTCAATCCTCCTCAACTCCAGGTGCAAAAGTCAACACAATGATCCCAAATTATTCTCCTTAACATTTCTCTTCTAAGCGTTCAAATTATCCCCTCCTTCCAATTTTACGTGACTTCTTAGGGTCGACGGTGTAAGAGGTGGATCCTTGATGTTGGCAAGTCTCAACGACGAGAAAGCTTTCTCTTCTTGGTGGTCCTCTTGGTTCTCTTCTCTTTAGCCTCTTCCCATTCGCTGAAGTCCAGATCGCTATCACCGCTTTCGTATCCGACTATTGTGCCTCGTTCCTTTTTATCCATCGACATAAGGATTCTCCATCGGCTTCTATACTTTGTTCTCACACAGTCGGGAAAATCGTCCGTCGATATTCGTTTTCTTTCTCTTCCAGTGATGAGATCGCGAACGAGGACTGACTCCGAGAATGAGCATGATTTACGGCGCTTGGGCTTGCCCGGAATTACGGCCACCGGACCCTCAATTAAGGGCAACTCAACTCTGCCGACCATTAAGCTTGGTTGGGTGTCTTGAGTAGCCGTTGTCGCAGCGATAGGGACTCTTAGGATGTCATTTGAGACACCATCCCAAGAGGGCTGGGGGGTCATGTAACTTGCTGCAGCAACTATATTGGAATCAGTCGCTGCGTTATTCGTCAGGAGTGCTGTAGAATCGATTTCCGAGTAACGGTCTAAGTCGTTCATGTCATTGTCCCCTGAAAGTGCTGTAGAATGGTTGGCAGGGTTGCGAATAGAGTCGTTCGTACCACTGTTCACAGGCAGACCTGCAGAGTCATTTCCCAGATCGCTGACTAGATCATAAGGAAGCTGGTTGGAGATAGTGGGAAGCTGGTTATTATTGTTGGCAACTGCGTATCGATAAGCAGGACGCAAACGTGGAACTGGGCGGAGTACGAGCTTGGCAGATGAGCTATTGAGTACATGAATAACTCGTCTTGTTTCGCCGTCTCGATAGTCGAAAGGGCCGAAGTTCTCCATTGCAGCTTGGCCATTGGCGTGCTGCGAAGCTCCTATTGCCACCGGCACTCTGACTCCTTTGTCATTGATTCTCGACCACGGGTCTCTTATAGGATCTTGGAGAGCGATGATTGGCTGCTGCGGTTGGTATTGGCCATAATTGGTGAAATTGGTGTTCGGTTGTACCAAGGAGGATATTAGTAAAGATTGAGTTAGAACGGTTGCAAGAAAGCCTACTGAATCGTTCATTTTCTGTCCAGCTATGTTTCTTTCACTTGGGGTTGACGTATTGTAATGAATCTGTAACCTTCGTATTAAAAGTATTCCAGGTATATTGCAACGTCTTTAGCGATGATGTCGTCGCCGAAAAAGCGTAGTGAGTGAGACTTACTTGGACAGGTGTGAATGATCTTGCGACTATTTGGGTGCTTTGTCGACTAAATCAAGATCAGACGAATCGAAAAGCGAAGTGTGTGACTGCTCGTCTCTTTGGTATTGAGGTAAAATGACTTAAAAAGCGAAATTGTCTTGTTTGGGTCGATGGGGTCAAGACTAGTCGAATTGAAAGGCGAAATGTAATTATTGGTATTGAGATAAGATGACTGATATTGGGAGGTATCCTATTTGGGGGACCAAGAGCTGGCACACCGGAAGTCGAAGTGCGTTAATGTAGTAGTGAGAACCGTCTCCTGAGTCTTGGAGCAACTTGTAAGAAATAACAAGCAGCAGTTGAAAATGGTTCTCGATATCTGTAGTGGTTATGGTAAAGTGTCAACGTGTTGTGTCGAAGTGCTGTGTCGAAGTGTTGTATTTGTAGTCTGTGAGAGTGCGGAAGAGTGAAACAAGTTTCTCTCTACTGAAATGAACAAAATTAAGGAGAAATTGCTGTAGGGCTTTAGTCCAGATCAAAAGCGTGCTAACTTGTCGTGAACAGGTTTCTTGTGTGCCGAGTCAAGACCGATATGTAGTCGATATCAAAATTGATATTATCAAAATCGAGTATCCGGCCCCCACCCCGTTTTTATACGCCGAGGACTTTTGGTTGCTCAGTTGATTTCTGGCAGCTTCCCACAGAGTGTGGCCCGAGCTATCCGTCCTATGTTAGTTTGATATCTTTCTTAGGTCGCATACATAGTAAAGTTGCAGGAGAATCCCTCTGAGTTATTGGCTGCGACGTTGACTTTCGTTCTGACTGAGGAACTAAAGTGGAGGCAATGTCTCAGCCAGGTGCATAGCTTCGTTTCATAAAGGCTGCTCAGTTTGGAGCAAACCCCTAATATTAATTCTTTCAACATATCGGAGGAAAGAAAGTCTGTCGCGATGGCATGAGAACATAAGGCAGGTCTCGGCCATTGGGGAGCAGTCATTGCATATTATATATCTTGTTACAGTTTCAAATACCTGTTGTTCTATCTGTCTATTATCTCATGACTGTTTGGAGCATTTTGAAGCCTTTCTTGCAGAGTCAAGCCCAGGCCTTTGGAGCTCTCTTCACGTCTACTTACAGTGACTTTTGGAATATCCGACATGTAAGACTTACCTCCACACCAGAATCATTTCATCTTTACCCAGGCAGAGTTCCAGCGTGGATATTCATATATGTTCCTGGACTTAATTTCATAGACCGTATCTTCTTCAGTGGCGTCATAAGTAAAACACTAGCCCAAGCCATTTTGGTACTGCCAGTGACCAGCATTCATGGTTCCAGAGAGTTAGGGTTCGGACCTGGGCTCGGAAACTCGATAAAATGAGTCAGGAAGTGCTCGGACACGTTTCTTCCCAAGAATGTACACGGAGAAAGAAGCTAAAGGATCAAAGTAATCCAAATGGTGGTATCAGCGAAGTTTTAAGAATCCAAAGCCCAGTCGAAGCTTGCCCTCCTTCCCCCCAAGAATGGAAATCCACTGAGCTGTACAAGAGAATTGAACCAAACTTCATAAGTGAGCTACAAGATAACTTGTTGAAAGCTAAAGACGTCGAGTTAAAATAAAGTAGTTTATTCTTCGGCAAAATTTTGTCTTCTCTACCAATGAATCCAGCGAGGTTCCCAGGATTCACGTGATACACCCCCCTGATCAAGATCTTGGTCAAAGCCGCACTTTCTCGAGACATCGAAATGGAACCTTCAGGTACTTTAATCCCATTGCATAGGCGTATGTTTCTTTATTCATGTATTCTAGTTGCCCTAAGGCTATCACATATCTTCATCTCGTTATGCTCGTCATTTAAAATCGTCTCAACCACGCCGACCGAATTCCCATTTCAAGCGCCTTCACCTTTTCCCAAAAGCACCAAGTTGGCAACGTTCATAATCGTGATGACGAGCCAAATAACCACAGCCAGTGCTGCCACCACCCAATGGTTCCTCATTTTAACGCCTCCTTGCTGTGGTCTATCCACGACACCGTCTACATTACCGTCCATTGTTTCCTCGTCCCCTCCATCATGATCTCCAGACTCGGAGGTCCGGACTGTCATGTACTTATTTCTGCATGTGAAGTATATCAAAGGCGCTGATACGAACGGCAGAACGACACTAAGCGCGACCTGAGAGCCGTTCAGTGCAGCAGAAAGTCCGTCTCGTCCGACGGCTCCAGCGATGATGATGCTAGGGGTAATGCTGATGCTTCTCGTAACCAATCTTCTCAACCAGGGGGCCAAGCTCCAGTTTAGAGCACCTTCGGACACCATTTGGCCAGCAATGGTGCAGACGATGCCAGCACTGACTCCAGATAAGAGAAGCGCCAAGGCAAAAACGGTCCCTGCAACGGGAGCTATACTCGTGGAGAGCAGATGATAGATGCCGAAGAGATCTGCTGAGGTTGCCGAACTGTCCGATGAGAGAGAAGCACCTGCGACAATGAGAATTGCGCTGTTGACAAATAGAGCAAAAGTGAAGAGAGAAATTGCCAGCTCTGCGATCGAATATTTGAGGCAGAAGTTGATAGCCCCAAGGGAGGGATAGTATGGTAGCTTTTCGGAATCGGTTGACCGGACTGAAGCTGCTACATTACCAGCATTGATATCATACTCCTGTAGACGCGACTGCACAATGCCGGACCCAAGATAGAGGCTGTGAGGCATGACCGTAGCCCCTAAAATCCCGCACGCTTGATATAGGCTATGCTGGTCAGCAAATGCAGGAAATTGCCCGGCAAGGCAACAACATACCCTTCAGATTGCACAATAGCAGAAGACGGAAGGTAGCCTCGGAATACCTCGCCCACGGATGTATCTTTGATCAGACTTAGTTGGATGCAAAAGCAAATCACAACTCCCAGCACAAGAGCCACAACGAACATCTCGAATGCTCGAAGTCCTTTCATGGATCCATTTGGGTGGTAGAAAAGCAAAATTAGGAGTACGTCAACAATCGATATAGCACAACCAGCTATCAACGGGATCTTGGGGATCAACAGGTTGATTGCAATGGCCGTCCCGATGACTTCGGCGATGTCGGTAGCGATAATCTACAAATGGTCAGAGCAATCAAAAACTAGGTCAAGAGGACTCACGGCTACTTCAGCCATGATGTAAAGCATAATGTTTAACCATTTCGGGAGGAACTCCTTGCAGGCCTCGGCGAGATTGAGTCCACTCACACTTCCAAGTTTGATGCACAAACTTTGCAGGAAGATGGCGAAGAGGTTCGACATCAAAACAATGAAGAGCAACCTGAAGCGGAAACTTGCACCAGCTGCCACGTCTGTAGAGTAGTTTCCTGGATCAATGTATGCCACCGAGATCATAAATCCAGGTCCGACGAATTTCCCGAACTTCAGCACCACTTTTCGTAGCTGCTTGAACAATTCCGTCGACGTTCGATTGCTCCCCCCTTCCCCGCCAGCCCCTCTTCCGTCCTCGTTCAAATCCACGGCCTCGAAACTCGAGAGGTCACCTCCCACGTGACTGTCACTCGTCAAAGCCTTTTTCGGCATCGCCGCCGCTTCATTCTTCTTCACGTCGTCATCAGGAACGTGCTCAACCACGCTTTCGATGTCCCCAGTGGCTATCCTCCTCAGGACCCTCATGTTCGCAATACCATTCAAATCCTGTCTCGTGGTGAGGTCCGCGGCCAGCGAGCTGGGATTTTGGTTGTACCCAGTGCCTTCTGGCTCCTCGGTGCGCGAGGGGCAATTCATGATGAGAATCGGCGCAAAGAATTTCTCGAGTAAATAAAGAAAAGCACAGAGGAAGTGGGTGAGGGAGGGAGAAAGTAGTGACGAGAAGAAGTGCTAAGAGGAGACGCAAGGGAGGGAAAGAATTTGGCGAATCTGGGGAAGTTATAGTTCCCGGTTGTGGTCCAGATGTTCCTCGTTGCCGTGCCTCGCCTTTACCGCCCCTTCTTTTCCCGAGCAAGTTGTGGGCGACCAATCGGGACGGCGCCGATCCCTACCGACCCTTTCACGATGACATGCACTGCTTGACCAGACGAGAACGTGAAGTTGGAAACATCCGAGTGTGATTCACTAGATTCGTGGCAAACCTCATTCTTCGAATTGGCGCTTGTCATGATCCAACGGTCAGCGGTGGCTGGGTTTGCTGCTCGTCTTAGTCGAAGCGTGATGCATATGACTGCGCCAAATCCAGAATTAAACTGTCTTATGAGAGCCGGATGACAGGTTGGCGTAATCCCATGTCTCAAATCATTCAACCGTCCCTCGACTCTGGACACATTCATAGGGATGTTTTAGAAGGTATTGAGACAGGGAAGCTCCGGGACACCTCTATTCGAACTGATTCCAGCGAAGTATCACAAAGGGACATAGAATCTCGGAAGCCATTGTGCCAGGAGATCCTGAACTTGTGGCTTTAGGATTTTCGGCACGAGACTTTCAAGAAAATAGGTCTGCCTCTAACTTGTGGACTGACATGCATCAGCAGGGTTGGAATATACCCTGGCGAGAACAGCTTTTGATTGAGGACCCTGATGGACTCCAAGCAACTCCTTGCGCTGGCCACTTCTGCAACTAGAAAGCAGACCTCTCCGAAATTGAAAGGTAATTTTGCCATATTGAAATGTGTTCTACCTGACCAGCTTCTCTAAAATTTCTAGATGGTGGGTGACCTGCAATGGTAAAGGGCTCGGCTCCTTTAACCTGGGCCTCGAGTCGAATTATTTCAAAGTCAAGATTCGGTCGAGGACGTTACACACCGCAAAGGGGAATCTGATGGGTTGATGTTCCCTGTCGCGCGTGGCGCTCGTTTGGTTTGACTAGGGCACATCAAGGGGTGGTAGTTCACTGTAGACAAAGACCCTGAAATTTAATGGCTCCATTGATGTAACCCCATCCATCCATATGCCATGTATCATCTCCGTGTGCCTCGAAATATGAGGAAGGTACAAGCCGTCCTTCCCGGAGGCCAGAAAACGCCGCATCCCAATGCAACGCCTCGCAAAGTATAAGTATCAAAATACAGTGTTGGGATTTTTATACCAGTCGCCTCAAATCTATGCTGGCTCACTTGGGATCTGACTGATCGAGCCACATATAAGCCTTCTGCAACGCCTTCTTCTCGTTTCCATCATCCTCAAGGACGGTAACCCAATCTCGAAGCTGAATACCCACGCCCTTTTCGCGATCTTCTCTCCATGTTCCTAGTCTTCTCGCCGCCTCACCAGTCAACTTCTCTGGTACAGCATTCCCCACTGCACCTCCAGGAGTGCCTGGCAAGCCCTGCGTCATGATCCGACCAGGAGTGCTTGTGCCACTTGCAGAACCGCCAGCGCCTCCAGTCATCCAACTGTATTTCTTTTTCTTGCCAAATAAACCGCCTCCGCCTCCGCCTCCCAAGAACTGGGAGGTCGTTTGATTGGCTGCAGCATGACTTGCGGCTTCGTTAACCTTTGCCTCGGCTTTCTTCTTTTGCTCCTTCTTGGTCGGTGGCTTCTCTGGGGGTTCGGGAGCAGAAGAGCCTGGTGTACCAGGTACGGTTGAAGGTTGCCGGGGTGTTCCTTGGCCAGAGGTTCTGTTCTGCCGCTTACGCAAGCGTGCCTCTTCAATGTCTCTCTCCTTCTGGGCCTCTGCGCGTAGAGCAATAACGACGTCGTTCGTGATTTTGTTGTTATTGACAGGGGCCTTGCCACCGCCAGAAACGGGTGTGGGAATTTCGTTCCCAGAAGAGAACGAACCTTTGACATGTTAGCAGAGACAAAGAGTCTGGTGGAGAGACGAACGCTTTAGTGGGTTGGAGTGGGGGCTGACAGCACTCTCCCAACCACTCCTGGGCGCACCCTCAGTGACGACGCTTGAGGTATCAGGATTACACGGTGCTGCAGCGTCAGCCCACTCCTCAGGAATAATCCCATGAGAGCCAGTTCGTCGGCCTCTGGCAAGCTTCGCGGCGTCCTCGACCAGTCCTCGTAGTCGATGCTTAGTGGCAATGGATAGAAGAGCAAGCTGGTCAACCAGCATAGAATCGGCAGGAAGAAAGTTGCCATTAGTAGCAGTGAGAGCAAGGCCCGGAGCGACTGCCGTCTGAACCCTCACATCCCTTTGCTGGAAATTTTCTGGCAACTTCATGGTTCCCATCATTCCCTTCTGGTCGGTGTTCAGTAGGAGCCCGTTGTCACGAGCGATCTTCTGCACCCTCGTATGTACGAGGCCGACTTGCAAGAAGGGATTGTCCAACTCTCTTTGCCGCGACAACGCCAAATTTCGAGCAGCATCGTGCCAAGCCTTGTCTGCTGCCTTCTTATGGTATTCGTCCTGTGACTGGATAGTTGTCTTCTCGGGGGCTGCATTTGCTGGTCCCGCTCCAAAGAAAGAGCGTTCGTCTGCTGGCGGGAACTGGGTGAAGCTATTGCCGGAGGAGATCGTGCCTGACTGGGAGCCAGAGAGCTGGGAGTTGAAGGATGTGTTGTACATCTGGAATGTGTATTGTTCTTCTTCTCGTAAATCGACGCCAGTTCCACCTAACACATCCATCACGTCCATGCCATCTTCCTTGGGCTTCTCAACGGGTTTCGAAGGAGGGCCCATAGCACCGGGACCCTGCGGCGCCATGCTGTAGTTATTGAAGTTCGGTGGCTGGCTGGGTTGGTTTTGGCCAGGGAAATTGAGTGGACTCTGAAGAGGGGGGTTTTGTTGAATGGGTTGAGATTGAGGAAGGCTTAAGGTCGGAGTTGTGTGCCCGTTCGAGTATGGAGTATTGTACACATTTGGAAGTTGAACATTTTGAAAGTGAGGGGATGCGCCAGCCGATGGAGGTGCGGTGTTGGGGTTCATTCCTCCGTAAGGTGACTGAACGTAGGGAGAGCCGGGCTGCGAGGGTGGATTTGGTGAGAGCCGTTGCCGTTTATTTGGAGGGAGCGTAAATTGCTGTGGTGCCCCCGGGGAAGGCGAGGTCTGTGGAGGCATCGGATACTGCTGCTGTGGTTGCGCCATGATGCCCAAACCGACGACTCCTGCGATGCTTTAGGTCTCCTTCACACGAGGCAGGCGCAAAGCCCGCTGTCCAAGGTTAGAGCTTCACCCATGCGCAGAACCAGGTCTCTTAGAAGCTCCTGGATAGGCGCGTCGCTATTCCCTCATATGTCTGTCTTTTACACGCGTGCGGTGGTGGGTGTGGTCGATAACTTCGAAAATGAGGTGTTCTTTGAAATCGAAAGGCAAAGATTCAGGGTTGAGTCACGTGCAGTCCAGTCGCGCTTCCGCAAGATCGCGCCAAACGGAATTTAGACTCGCAAATCACTACTGTGACCTAGCCTGCACGAAGTCCTCGTCATTCATCCAACGCTACAGTCTCCACTCTAAGACGAGAAAGGCCTCGATTTGGAGTTCGCCTTTGTCACGATGTTATCCTGATGATTACGAACTAATCTTGACTGGGCGAAGACAAAACGGACATTCAATCAAGGAATCAAAGGAGATTCCACTACGAGCTAGGCACGATGGCTTCCAAACGCAAGGCATCTGCAATGGCGCCTGCAGTGGAAGAGCCAGTAGATCCGGCCGATGAGCTATTATTCCTGTGTCTTGGTGGCGGCAATGAAGTCGGCAGGTCATGTCACATCCTTCAATACAAGGGCAAGACTGTGATGGTTAGTTTGTCCCTCCGGATTCATTTGAGTTCACCGACTAACCTAAATGAATGACAGCTGGATGCAGGACAGCATGCTGGATACGAAGGCCTCGCTTCACTTCCATTCTACGATGACTTCGACCTAAGTACTGTGGACCTCCTCCTGATCAGCCAGTAAGCGTCTCTCAATTTATATCTTTCAGCTTGGGAAGTTGGGACTTGGAGGCCCTTTTTGGCATGTCTTTCTCGGCATTTCCTGCCTATCGTTGTGGACTTGAGGTGGATTCTTTAGATTCTGTTCTCCATCTCAACCACCTATTCATGTATACGAGAATCAATACAAAACGTTATTGCGCAGCAGGTGCTTGTCCTTGATTCCGTGAGATGAACCACCCTCAAGCACACTCTACTGTACATAGTACCATCTGCACTTTACCACAAGAGCCTATTGAGTTTAGACACTGCTAACATGCTCGTAGTTTCCACGTCGACCACGCAGCTTCACTGCCCTACGTCCTGGCAAAGACCAATTTCAAAGGTCGAGTTTTCATGACGCATCCTACCAAGGCCATTTACAAATGGCTTATCCAGGACAGCGTTCGAGTTGGTGGCGCATCTTCTACCTCCCAACCAGTGTATACCGAGGCTGATCATTTGTCAACTTTTCCAATGATTGAGGCCATCGATTACCACACCACCCATACAATTTCTTCCATCCGAATCACGCCTTACCCAGCAGGTCACGTTCTTGGAGCTGCTATGTTTCTCATTGAGATTGCGGGCCTCAAGATCTTCTTCACTGGAGACTACTCTCGAGAGGATGATCGACATCTCGTCTCTGCTGAAGTGCCAAAAGGCATCAAGATAGACGTCCTAATCACAGAATCTACGTATGGTATAGCCTCACACGTTCCCAGATTAGAGCGAGAGCAAGCACTCATGAAATCTATTACCGGTATCTTGAACAGAGGAGGCCGTGTCCTGATGCCTGTCTTTGCCTTGGGACGGGCACAAGAACTTCTTCTGATCCTGGACGAGTATTGGGGTCGCCACCCCGAGTTTCAAAAGATCCCCATCTACTATGCTAGCAATCTAGCCCGAAAGTGCATGCTTGTCTATCAGACCTACGTCGGAGCTATGAACGATAATATCAAGAAACTCTTCAAAGAGCGAATGGCTGAAGCAGAGGCTTCGTCTGACACGGCAGGCAGAGGCGGTCCCTGGGACTTCAAGTATATCCGGTCGTTGAAGAATCTCGATCGATTCGATGATGTTGGGGGTTGTGTTATGCTTGCAAGCCCAGGTATGCTGCAAAATGGTGTCAGCAGAGAGTTGCTTGAGAGATGGGCCCCCAGTGACAAGAATGGAGTCATCATCACTGGTTACAGTGTTGAGGGAACAATGGCGAAACAAATCATGCAGGAACCAGACCAGATCCCGGCCATCATGTCACGAACAAGCGGTGGAGCAAGACGGGGACCCGGTGCTGCAGATGGAGAGAAGGTCATGGTTCCACGAAGGTGTAGTATCCAGGAATTTTCATTCGCAGCACATGTTGATGGTGTTGAGAATAGAGAGTTCATTGAGGAAGTTGGCGCTCCAGTGGTGGTAAGTTCCCCTCTTGGCCAACCAGATGAAAGTGCTAAGGAAGGGTAGATCCTGGTTCACGGAGAGCAACATAATATGATGCGGCTGAAGTCCAAGCTTCTCTCTCTTAACGCTGATAAGACAACGAAAGTAAAAGTGTACAGTCCACGAAACTGTGAGGAACTTCGGATACCATTCAAAGCCGACAAGACAGCAAAGGTTGTCGGCAAGCTTGCTTCCATACCTCCCCCGAGCTCCGAGGGGAACCAGTCACAATTTGTCACCGGAGTTCTTGTGCAGAATGACTTCAAGATGTCATTGATGGCCCCCGAAGACTTGAGAGAATATGCCGGCTTGACTACTACAACTATCACCTGCAAGCAGAGGATGACACTCAGTGCTGCTGGCATTGATCTGATCAAGTGGGCCTTGGAAGGTACATTTGGAAGTATTGAAGAATTGCCAGAGAGCAAAGGGAAGAAAATGAACGGTGATACTCATATGAATGGGTCATTTGAAGAAGCGGACGAAGAAATTTCGAAGCATACTTCAGCTTACTTGGTCATGGGCTGCGTTACAGTTCGTCACAGTAAAAGCGGAAAGGTCGAGTTGGAATGGGAGGGTAATGTACTCAATGACGGTATTGCTGATGCAGTCATGGCTGTTCTGTTCTCCGTTGAAAGCAGCCCTGCCGCCGTGAAGCGTACGTATGCTCCCACACTTGAATCTTTAATTGCTAACATGGTCTAGAATCCGCAAGCAAACATTCCCACTCCCATGAACTTCCGGAACGAAATCCTCATGCAAATATTTCACCGGACGAAAGATTGAATCGACTATTCATGTTCCTGGAAGCACAGTTTGGAGCGGAAAACCTTAGTCCTATCAAAGTCCCGAGGATTAGTGCTCAGAAGACACTCACTGGATCGTCACCGACGATTAAGGATGAGGGCAATGAGGATGGAGCTTCTGGGGACTCGGAAGACGAGGAGAGAGAACTCGACACACTCCGAGAGCGAGAAATTGAGAGGCTGCTCAAGATGGGCATCCCTGTCCCTGGTGTAGAGATCAGGGTCGATAACAACGTTGCTAAGGTCTGGCTTGAGGATCTGGAGATCGAGTGTTCGTATCGAATGCTTGCGGAGAGAGTTCGCGTGGTGCTTGAAAGAGCAGTCGAGGTTACGGCTCCTTTGTGGGCATGATGAACTTGTTGAGCGAGGCCTGAAATGGGTCTTTCGGTTCAGCTGGAGTGAAGCTCCTAAGTCCCCGCTGCAGGAGGGAATGATTGCATTTGGTACTTAGAATGCGCCTTGTCATCTTGCCAGGCGTCACAAATGAACAGATAGATGCTTCTCTGGCGGTTTGACTTAGTTAATTGACTCGTGCCCCACATGTTTGACCACTCTCGTGAGCTGAACTGTGGAACTGTATTGAGATTTGAGTTTATGCGTTGGCAGCGCTCTCTTGCTATCCTACCTGCTTCCTTGAGTTTGTTGTGGTGATGTAATTGAACAACATTGATATGCAATGCCACAGTAGAATATCAACATACTAAATTGATAATTGCCTGTTCTCTTCAAGGACACTCTTTCTGTGTCGTCCTCACCGATACTTGTGTCGGTGGCTAGCCGGGATGATCCGATGATGCGGGGTATGGGGTTGACAGCTGGGATCCAGACCTCATCTCAGACCTCTTCTAAAACGATCAACCTTCCCCCGACCCTTCCAGTTTTTTGCGAGTCCCAGAGAGATATCCTTGACAAAATCGAGAATACTACCATTCATCCTCGCAATATCCATAGTCTCCAGTCCTAAAATGCCCTTTCGCAACTGGCACGAGAAGCGTGCGTCCATCTTCATCCTGGCCGCAGCGTCAATCACCATCATGCTCTTTACAGTCGTCCACCTTCGGCATCTCCTACCTCGGCGACACCACGTTCATATCCATGACTGCAATTTGTTCTACACATTGGACTTGGTGGGGTGTTTGGGACCGACGGAGGGAACTGGGGAGATAATCGAGGGGAAGGAGTGGCTCTGAAGCGTCCTGGGATTTTGGAGAATCTTCAATATAGGGGAACACGAGATACAGATTGATGCCGGCATATGAAATGGCCGGGGCCAGAATTGAGGCAGAATCTGCTGGTTTTTAGCATATCGGAATGCTGCTCGTTGGAACAACTGCTCCTGCTACTGCTGGATGGTACTTGGTGGCCATGGCTGGCCAGGCACAGCTTCTGTTTGCCGCTCCTTCATGGACATCGAAGATATTGTAATTCTAGGTCCATGTCTTGTCCGAGGCAGATATTGGCCTTTCCCAGTGGGTTCTCAGCGATGAGCACTCGTCTAGAGTATGTCTTCCCTGCTCAGGGTTCCTCCCCTTCCTCAGTTCTCCATTTCACGAATTTCGTGAACTGTTGCACATTCCTTCACGTCTGATTTGTTTGGTAACCAGCTAATTAGTTACCAGTTGGGATGTTGATTCGGTTCATTGCGAGATCAAAATACGGCAGACCTCTCTGTGTTAACTAAGATGCCATATCAAATGCAAATGCAGTCAAGCACCTTTCACAGATCTCTGACTCGTCACGTTTGCTTGCATCAAATTCTTTGCACAAGCAATGAAGAAACCTTTTTTATTCATGGCCAGAATGACCCAACACAAGCATGTAAGGACGATCTCAGGACAAAACTTTCTGTTCGGCAGAAAGCCACTCAGCGCAGCACAACCTCGATCACACCAAGCTTGTCTTCATATCCCTTATTTATGACGCACAACTTGAAAAGAAAAGTGTAAAGAAAGCCACCAAGGAATTCGCCTCCCAATGCATGCTTACTCCATCCTAACGAGGTAACTCTCAACCAAAGCCGTGAACAAATATCTCCTGAAAGAAGCGAACGTCATTGTAGAGCAGCAACTTTTGTGTGGACAGATGTAAAGCTTGTCGATTTGAGAAGCACGATATCCGGTGCTAAATTTCGTCAGCATCGGTATAGAGGTAACATCTAAATCCAGAGAATATGAGGCTTACAATAAAGCTTAGAGCCTTCAGGCAATCTTCGTCCTAAGTATGGCAAGCCGGGAAACGGTAGCGAGCTCTAATCTTCTCCTTGAAGCCGGAGCCGAATGAGAAGGCACTCCGAAGCCCAGCTAAAATTGGCTTGAACAGTTTGTTCTCACCAAGTGGGATCGCAGCACTCTTCTGTGTTGCGCTGGCAATACCATTACGAGATGTTTGCTCCGCGAAGGAGGGGCATGCCACCAGATTTCTATTTCCCTCGAGGCATACCCCCGGGACCCGAGCTAATATCTTCTTGCCATAGACCACGCCAAGTGAGAAAATAGACTTGAAACCAGTAACAATCGGCTTGAACAGGTTGCTTGCGCCAAGTGGGGTCGCGGCACTCTTCTGCGTGATTGCAACGACGCTGCCGTTGATCAATGTGGTAATTGTTGAGGGAGCGAGAACGGTTTCGTCGGAGGTTTGGGCGCACGCAAGAGGAACTCCGCCTGGTTGCATGCAGCGCTCCGGTAGCAGCGTTGTAATTGGGTGAGCGGAAGCAGGGACGGAAGTGGTAACAGAAGGAGAGATAGAAGTGGAAGCCGAGGTGGAAACAGCAGATACTGTAATGGTTACAGTTGAGACGGTAATCGTGGTCGTGAAAGGACCCGTGAAGCTTGCATCCGTGGCCCAAAGAGTCTCGATGAGCAGATCGCCAAGAGCGGAGGTTGCGGTATGGGTAGGGCTGGCAGCGAGGATGGTGTAGGTTTGGGTGACAGAGGGAGAACCTGAAGCAACCGAATTGCTCGAGATATCCATAACAGTAGTAGTAACATCAGAGCTTGTGTACTCAGCAGTGGCTGCAGATTCGTCAATAGGAAAATTCCTTGATAATTGCTAGTCCTTCAACTTGCCTTGGAGGGAGAAGAATGAGAGCACCAGGAGCGCGAGTAACCAGTGGAGATTCATCTTGTCGGCTGGCATCAGTCAAAGTTAGCGGATCTAATCCCAGATGAAACGACATCCTCGCTGAGCAAAAGCTGAATGCTCATCGTAACACATATGAGCACACCCGGCAAGGCATTTATCAAGCCCTTGCCTTCCTAGCATTGTCATACCCGCAAAGTAGGTATGTGCATGCGAATGACTCGCACTTGGGAGCTCAAGGGGCTAGAAGCAGTTCGGAGGAGGATATGCTGGTATAAAGCAACGAGGAGATCCGTACCTTGTCTATTTACTCGTCTGGAGTAGATTCGAAGCAACGAGTCGGTGGTGCGAAGGCAGAAATCGAGGACAGTACGAGGGTGGCAACAGCGATGTGGTCGTGGAGGAGCGTTTGTGTCGAGATCGAGTATATTGGCTCTCTATGAGGGGAAGAGGATCGAAATATGAAGTATTATTGTGTGGGGCTCTTCGCTTCACTCTGAGCCGGAGTCGTCGCCGCTCCAACACACACTGCACAATATACAAAGGACAGAGATCCTAAACTACTTGCCTCCACTCGCCGCTTTGAACATTCAGGGACTGACTAAACCACTTGCTTCACTCCGAGCCAAGATCGACGCCGTTCCAATGCAAACATCACAATCTTCCAAGTGCAAAGTTCAAAGGACAGAGGATTTCAACAAATCCCTGTCTTCAACCTTCAAGAATTAGTTACAGGCTTCACTCCGAGCCAGTGCTGTCCCCTCTTTGCTGCTATCACTCACACGTCAAGAACCATCTACAAGGACAGAGGCTACTTGCCTCTTGGACCTTTTGAGAAGAAGCCACTCGCTACACTCCGAGCCGGTGTCGTCCCCGCTTCGCCGCTATAACGCATACTTCACCAGTAAGTACAAAGGACAACGGCTACCTGCCTCCCTTGGAGCTACCAAACCCCGCTTTCCTTTGAGCTACAAAGTCTCCGATCAACGAACGTCTCTCACCGTCAAAGCTCCCCGGTAGTCAAAGCCCCCCGAGTCTCGAGACCCTCGAAGTCTTTCGCAATCACTTGGAAAGCAATACTAGAAAGAACATCTCGGAAGGGAAGCAGATTCAGAACCTTGAAAAGGATCATCACACACCTGAGCAGCGTAAGTGCATCACCACCCTTGTTGGAGTGCTCAAGCTAATGCTGTGGATACAGACCAGCATAATCGCAAAAGGGGCAGCATGTCAGGCATGACTGTTTACAATAGAGTAAGTAAAGACTCCCCTGCCGTTTTCATCACCACAGTCGCGTCCACCAACACCGCACCCACATTACCGTGGTGCTCCCGGTCATGGTTTGAGAGGAACCCGCGTTAATTTAAGGCTTCTGCAGATTGACCGGCACGGCCGTGAACACCCATATCAGCCGACCAAACAGGTTAGCGGGAGGTTCTTGAACACAAGAGGGAACACACCAGCTGGTGTTTCGGAAAAAGAGTACATACGAGCATATAATCGCGCGCACTCACGCGTGTATAAGGCCGAGGGATACGATGCTGCCAACGATGCAATGGACAACGGCAGCGTGCGGGATGATGCGGTAGAGGAACTCATCAAGGCTGGCTTGTTGAGCGCCAATTTTGTCGATAATGATGTTTAAGGTTCTTGATATGTGCCAGAACAAGAACTAGGAAAGATGAGTTGCCAGGGCATCAAAGAAGATTCGTTGGCTGTGTATAGTTTTGCGAACAAACTCCTGGGTAAACCTCTCATGGATCTAATCGGCCAGTGGTCCACTGCCTGCAAACATCTCAAGGCTAGACAGTTTCTATTATCGTAAGCTTCAAGTGAGAGCTAGGGTACTTCCACACCTCGTAAGCTAGTATAAAGTTATTACGCTTGCGGGCATCTCTCGAGTGGCAGTGCTCAATAGAGCGCTGGTGGTGCAGACTTCTGCCAATATCTGGCGTAATAAATCAAAGAATGTTGTCTGAAACCAACAATTGAAATATCAGAAGTTTGGCAAGGCATCTAAGTCTTCAACTAAAAAGTGCTCGCAATAACTATCAGCCGCCCGATGATGCTTTGTTGCACTTGTCAAACACGAAACCTTCAAACCCATGTCTGCAATTCAATACTCCACGCACAGCACAAAAGTGTTCTCCTCCGCATAAATGTCTTGCAACTAGCAATTGCTTTCAGTCCTAGTCTGGAAAGCATGTTGGCCCAGACACGCAATAGTAAACTTGGGATTCTTCGATGCCCATCAATATTATGACGTGTCAAGATGCGCATTCCTTCTGTTCCAAACTTCTAAATAGCTACTTCAAGCTGCTCAATCAAATTTACATGAAGCACTGCAACGAAACTCGATGTGGCCTCAAGATGGACAACAGGTATCGAGCTGTTTGCAGGTGTTTCTTGTATTGAGTCGAGCACTAGTCAGACCCATGGGAAAGTTGGAAACAATCATAGACAAGGCATTTTATTACGCTCTCTGGGGACACTTCCGAGAGGCGAATAAAAAGACAAAATCATGATCTCATTTGCTACAGTGAGCCGCATTCTGCCTTTGTCAATACTGTAAGGCAATGCGAGAGCGTGGGTGGTGCCACATTTTGCTTGCGAGACATTAAATGAAGGTGACTCTGTGTGACTTGAGGCAGGGAAGGAGCTGGCGATGTGGCCGCAGGGGGAGCGAGTGAAAGACCAGAAGAAGGGAGACTTCTACCCCCAGAGACAGGGACAGAAACAGAGAATAAGGAGGAGGGAATGTGTTTAAGATCGGAGGGCATGTCTGTGTGATGGTAGTTGCGAATGACAGAAGGCCAGCAGGAGCAGTCATGCGAGTGGCGTCGCTGACTAACTGGGGCCTTGGCACTGACAAGGGCACTGGTGCCCCGCGACGTTCAATAGCTGTGCATCAAGCTCGCATCGTGCACAAGCAGTTCTACTACCAGTCGTTAGACGTCTTGCTATCCTAATTCCAGAAAGTCGACAATGGCGTGGCCATATCCGTGAGAAGTCTAGTACTCTGCTTACAAAAATTCCAGTACCCAGAAGCCGGAGGATGTCCAATAGTCCTCCCAGAGCGAACGTTAAGGCAACTACACCGCAGTCGAGCATAGCTGCAAGTCGTCCTGAAGTCTCAAAGTTAGGGCTACAAAGTCTAGATTCGAAGCACGCTTCAAACTTACTAACAACGCTGCGCATCTCTATCTGCCACAATGTCCGACCCCAAAAGCCCAGGGCCTCGTCTGTCGAAGGCAATAACCGCGATACGAGTTGGAGAGCAGGAATATCCTCTTCTCGACATACGTTCAACTGGAGACCTCATACTAGATGTTTCGTTCAAGAACACAACTGAATGTACCAAGTCGATCCCCAAAGACGCCCTCCGAGAGCTGCGAAGCAAAAAGTTGCCTATTCCGTCACCAAGGATCTTTTACAGAGTTCGACTGGAGACGTTGAAGAAGCATTCTGAATATTTTCGTACTCTCCTTACGCCCCCATTTGCAGAGGGAGTATTGGTAAAAGAATCGCTCTTGCGTCTCTCAAAGTTAAATCAAAACCCTACGGAGGTCGAAGCAGAACAGCTTCCAAGAGTCAGGATCGTGGATGACGACACCGCCACCAAAACAATAGGCAGGGAAATGATCTTCGGAGATCTTCTTCAAGTGCTCCATGGAGCCGTGAGTTGTAACCGTTGAACGTGGTTTGGCCAAGCTAATTCTCTCAGAGCCCACTGACAACCCCATTTACGACTCACTGTCTGACCGTGCTGGTAATCATGGCTGATCGATTCAGCTTACTCCCATTCCTTACCCGCCACTTCCAGAAGAATCTTCTTAGCCACAAATATCAGATCTCTCAGGACAAAAATGGGGAGGAAACTTTACGACAAAAGGTCTTGATCCAATTCCACACTGATCATGGCGTCAGATTTGCCGCAGCCACGAAGGAGTTGATACTAAGGGGGTCGTTTCGATGGGGCGGGAATTATGATATGAGTGGCGAATGTCAGACAATTTGGTGGGATTTACCACATAATTTAGAAGGGAAGAATACTCTCTCAAATTGGGTTTTCAAATTCTAACTACCTGTAGCCGAATGTGCTTACCGCCGAACATGCGTCCTTCGCACAATAGCCTCGATTCAGAGTCAATTTCTCGCAATATATTCTTCCTCCTGGGACCGCCAGTGCAAGCTGGGCTACGACAGCAGCGCTGCATGTGACTCGTTCCAGTTGGGTGAAATGGTGAAGTTCCTCACCAAGAAAGGTCTCCTCTCCTTGATCCCTTTTCAAAGTGTTTCGCCAGAGGACTCTGAGTATATTTGGCCTGAAGCTTACAGTGGGGATGTCGATTACCTTATCAATATGCTTCGTCAATGCCCCTCATACCAGATTGATCACAACCACGGCAGATGGTAAGCATAATGGGATTTCCTAGATTCCTTGCTCTTGTTTCTTAAATGACTCCCCCTCCATCTCCTACATCCCAAAAGAGCATACGTTACTTCCCCAAGACACTCTGAATTGGGAATTCGCTAACCATTCTGTTATCCAGTGGGCTTCGCACAAAGCTTTTGCCAGCACTTGATTTTAGTATGCTCGTTTCCTATTCTTTCGCCCCTCCTATCTAAACACCCCTCCTATCATGCCACTTTCATACCGCACTCTCCCCTGAAAGTCAAAACTATTCACGTGTAATTTTTACTGAAAGTAATACTGACACAGATTGTGTTCAGTAAAGAGCTGCATAGACAGTGGTCTAGGCATTCGACTTACCGCCTCAAAGAATGGACCGGTCTTCGACTCCTGGATTCCTCCGCCAGCCCCTAAACAGCCCTTCTATGTAGCTGATGAAAAAGGCGAAGATGTCGACATCGCTGGCGGAACTCACAAGGAGTTCCAATTTGCACTGGTGAGACCGAAGATGGTCTGGGGTACTGGCAACAATTCAAATGTGGAGAGATCTGCCAAAGGCTTGTTCACTGCAGAGCGGTGGGATTGGATTACTGAGCCCGAGAGCAGTGGTAAAAGCGGTCAGTCTGAGTATGTCCATTCGTCCCTAAAGGCCGTATTGATGATGTGCAGTAGGTATTGGTGTCCGACCCTTATGAGCACCATGATTTGCCGGCTATTATGAGGAAACGTTTAACGACGGGAGACGAACATGAGACCGGCAAGAAAGAGGATCTTAGAGCAGTCCCGTGATGAATGTATATTACGTCTTTTCCCATCGAGGTGCTACTGGCCACTACATTAAGGCAACTCGACAAGGTTCCATAAATTAAACTCACCAAGAACAAAACACTCCGCATAGAAGTCCATGTAAATAGTTCAATTCAACGCGTTCATATGTACCATTGTCATCCTTGGCCTGGTGATCAACTAGCTCTCAATCCATTTCCGGTCGCCGTCCACGATTGCCAAGAACACCAACACATCACAAAATCCTTTAAAGCAAATGCCCTAGTAACCATACCCTCCTCCAGGCTGCCCAGGCGGGTATTGATAGCCTGGTCCATAAGGTGGCTGACCATAAGGCGGTTGAGGGGGTGGCGGACCACCTGGAAAGCCACCAGGAGGAGGACCTTGGGACCAGCCTTGTCCATACGGTGGTTGGCCATAGGGAGGTTGTGGTGGTGGCGCACCATGGGGTGGCTGTTCCACGGGATAAGGAGCGTGCTGGTAACCTCCCTGAGGGCCACCGTAACCCTGCCGATAATCCGAGGGAGGAGGACCGCTTTGGTACTGGCCGTGTGCTGGTTCGGGACTCAGATATCCACCATGAGGCATGTCATTAGAGCTTCCTGGGCGCTGAGGAACATTCTGGTATCCGAAATTGGGGGAGTGCGGTGGCTTATGTGGAGAACCGGGCTGCGGAGAAGATGTCATGTAAGAAGAAGAGGGATTTCCATCGGTGCCTTCCAGTGCTCCGAGATCACGGCTTTGAATCTCGGTCCAGATTGATCCGGAAGTCTTGCCATGACCACCAAGCGCTCCGTGAGAGTGACCAATATCTCTTTCGCCAGATGTCTTGTGATTGTGTCCTGCTCGAACAGAAGAAGAGCTGAGGATACTGTTCAGATTGTGAGCGTCAGGTTGCTCCTCAACCCATTTCCGGACTGTGTTGAACATGTTCCTATGGAGTTCAAGGCTCTCATCTCGTAAAGCTGGGTGATGGAAGGCGCGAAGAATATCATTCATGACCTCGTCGACTGGCACGCCAGGGTGTTCCCATGCATAGAGGACACGCCTAAGATAAGTCAACTGTTAGATAGCACTTAACATCCGAATGAATGGATTGCTTACGGTGCGGCATATTGCAAAATGGTTGTTGCAACCCTTCCAGCAAGCCCATTCAGCTTGTTCGAGAAGTGATCCTTTGAGAGCATAGAATGAGTTGGATTGGTGCAGTGAGGATCCTCCCAAGGCTCGAACTGCTGTTTGGCACTTGGGCAAGGTCAGCAAGTCCAAGATTGAGGATTAGGTGGGCAAAATTACCTAGCTTCCACGACGGTCGAAGAGCCTTCCTTCAGGCTCTTAGACACTGCATCAATGATAGGCCGAACGAAGGGGGCCAGCAATGATAAGATGAACAGTGTGAGCGTCTCACTAATCTTCTCAATCAGCGACTCCAGTCCCGGGATTTTGGCAATGGTTGCATTGATCGCTTTAACAACGCGATCTCTAAACTCCAGGATTGGATAGATCTGCTTAGCAGTCTTCACCGGGTCGAAGTGAGAACTCATACCTGGAACTCCAGGGCCAGCGGGACCACCAGTGCTACCGGGAGGACCCATGAATTGAGTATTGACACTAGCCCGTGATGTGGAATTCTCATACTCCTGTGCAGCGGATCGGCTTTGGAGGTCTCTAGCTTGATCTGCCAGCCCGCCCCCCATTCCAGGCACTTGGGAAATGAGGTTGACAAAGTCCTGACCACCCCCAAATAGACCACGTTGACCGCCGGATTGAGCCTGTTCGGCGTTTTTAAGAGCAATATCCATTTCCTCGACCTCTGATTGTTGGAAGTGGTCCGTAGCCTCTCCCAAAACCGAATGCAAGAAATCGACAGCGCCAAATGTGCCTGTGACAAGCGGGTAGATGTGGCGGCCTTATTTTTGATCAATCTCTTGCTGTCAACAAAACGGAGAGGGGGAAGACTGACCCCGGACATTGATCTCAGTAGCAACGCCACAATGAGGGAAGACATCCCGGTATCCAAGCTCACGAAGTGCAAGTTCACAATAGTTTGTATGAGCCCCAAAATCTTCCATGGTGTGCAAGCCTTGGCCAAGGCAACTTCTAGTGTCAGCAGAGAATGAGAGGAGCCGTGATATTTCACTTACCGTAAAGCCTCGCATAAATCGACTTCCTTGCCCCTTGAACTACCAGAACCATTTGTGTAGACTCTACCTATTCGTCGAGGTAGTATCAGTGACCACTTCGTAGTGTTGTTAATCGAAAAGTGGGTTTGCGGCCCAGAAAGGACGTACCAAAATGAATGCTTCGAGTAAAACTAAATTTGACATAACCTGCACTCGTAGCCCAGCCGCCTTCTCTAGCAATGTAATTCTTCTACACAGCAAGTTAGTGCTATAAAATCGAGAAATTCGAAGGAACTGAGAGCATTGAAGTTGTCTTTGCTCCAATAAGCAAGCAGAAGCAAGTCACAACATCGCGGGTGAGATCTGCCAAACTCTTGGCTGGCATAGATCAACGTACAGAACAAACTTACCATGCCTGTTTGAGGATCAATCTCAAGCTCGATGGGCTGAATCAGGCCTCGAAGGCGAGGATCATACTGCCTTGCATCCTTATTGTCTGCATAATCCTTTGGGTTGTCGATGTGTTCCTCGGGTCTATAGGCCCCAAGGCGTTCGTCAGTTACTGTTCAATCTCGAAGTCAGCATAAACTTGCTACGAAACGCGAATAGGCCATATCTCTTGGAGCGTTTGAGAAGAGCTAAGCAAGACGTTCTAAATAGGGGAGAAGCTTGAGAACATATTACCCTCAAATTCCTCAGTCGCATAACCAAAAGACAAGAAGCTTAGCACCCAGACCTAAGAAGTGTAAGCAAAACCTCATGCTGAAGTTGACGAAGGACAGACCAGAATGCGAATGGTTGGGGCTGAGACGCCTTTCAGGCTACCAACATCAACAGCCTGACTGTAGCTGTACGATCATAAAGTCAGCATTGCTTTAATCATTGTGCCACAAATGCAATAAACTTAAAGAGGAGAAAATTAGAGGTGAGAAGATGCATACTCTCTCAACCAGTTGCCAAAATAGACTCTTTTTACCATCATCGAAGTCCACTTGTGGCCCTTGATGAAAGCGATGGTTTTGAGCATATCCTCAATGTCCGTAACGATGTCAGCTACGAACGATGATAAGTTTGCGGCACCGCTCACCTCCATGTCTGAAGTTGAGCCCTTCAATCTGAGCTATGCTGGGTATATTGCCTGCCCCAAACGCCGCAACGGGCGACGGTAGGAACGCAAGCAGTAAGAGAGACACTAGGACCAAGGATCCGACGTTGAATGGAGGGTTTGCCATCTTGTAACGGAAGCTGTGGGGGAGAGGTTGCTCTGAATTACTTATGGAGCAAAGGGAGAAGAGAGCTCGAGGTCAAACCAAATCACAGGCAGCGATATCCTCAGTGGCGTCGAGCTCGACGAAGAGGTGTTGGTGGATATGAAGGGGAGCAATTGCCAGATCCGTGACCGAGGGGCATTTATTCACCAAAGCAACAACAAGTGTGAGTTGAGTGTGAGTGTGAAGTCTCAGCCACAATCACTTGGCTGAAAATGCCAACCAACCAGCACCGCCCCGATCAGTCGCAGCTGCGGGGCTTAAAATCTGATATACAGTACCCTGCTGTGTTATCAGTAAATCTGATATGCTCGCTCCACCCGCCGCATTAAGTTGGCCAATTAGTCGATGGGAATCACACAGCCTATTGACGTCGCTATTTACGCTGCTATCGCTATCGCCGTCGCTCCCTAAAGTACCCTGAATACCCTTAACGCTGCCACCTTTTAGCGAGGGTATCGCGATCTATGCTATAAACTTATATACTTCCATGCATTACTCATATGTTTTATTTTCACAGTTTAAATATACTTTTAGTAAGGTTTTTATTAAAGTTCTATAGATTTTGAGAAACAGGAATAGCTATGGAGGTCAAGGCCATAAGTCTTGTGACTAACCAGGGCCGTTGCCCGGCAGCAAGGGAAGCACTATAACTATAGGGCCTTGTTACAATAAAACGTTATTGTTGTATTGTAATAATAATATATAGATAGATTAAGAGGAAAGAAGGGGTGGCACAGGTGGCCAAAGCTTAAATACAGTGAGTGTGGTTACGTGAGCCCGCACGTGACCACTGACACGCAATTGCCATGCAACAGGCCTCATAGGCTTTCCCTGGCCAAAATATAGCGCACAGGCCCTATAACTATCGCTAAACCTACTCTTCCTGCAGGCTATGGAGCCTGTAAGGTTCATCGCATTAATTAATTGGCTAGCTTAATGCGGCGGGTGGAGAAGGCATGTCAGATTTACTGAGAACACAGCGGGGTCTATCAGATTTTAGGCTAGCTGGGGTGAGGTGATGATCCGCATTGCACGTGATTCTTGCCAAGCCTCAAAATCTGTCGTCCGTGCTCTGCGACATCCCTGTCGATTGTGGCGTTGGAACCACGGCTCGGCCGGAGCAGATTCGTGAAATCTCCTGAGCCTGAGCCCTTCCTCACGCGTTAAGTTGCGCTGACCGCAAGACAAGACTTACCAACGAGTCGCCTTGGCCCTGATAAATCCGTCTTCCTCTGCAAATAGCCCCTTCCTGTCCATCCTGTCCCGCGCTTTGTTTTGCTGGAGTCGTACCAATTGCACTCTCCTCACTGGATCTCCTCCGAAGCAGTTCGATCCCCTCCTTCAGAAACACAACCTTCTGAGACGTCGTTTCTTACCCAAGAACCACCACCATGTCGCCCTCGCGGACTCTGCCAACATTCCTGCAGGCCGAGGTTGCAGCTCACAACTCCGCCAAAAGCTGCTATGTTACCATGGGGAATCGGGTCTTCGACGTGACAGGCTTCATCGACAGCCACCCAGGCGGTGGGGAGCTGGTGCTGGAATATGGAGGGAAGGATATCACCGAGATATTGAAGGACGAGGCTTCGCACACGCACTCGGAAGCCGCATATGAAGTGCTCGACGATTCCCTCGTAGGCTTTATGGCCACCCGGAAAGTGATCGATACAGCCGTGAAAAACACGCACGCGGACCCGATTGTACCTCTACCACCAACGCAGGAGAGGCTGGACGAGTTGAAGGAGAACGGCGCTACCAGCAAAATTCCTGTGTACGCAACTACAGGACTGTCGTCTGCCGAGGACCTATCCAAGGAGACGGATCTCATTGACGATTACAAAACTTACAAGTTCCTCGACCTAAACAAGCCTCTCCTCATGCAAGTATGGTTTGGCGGGTTCAGCAAAGATTTCTATCTGGAGCAAGTTCACCGACCCCGCCATTACAAGGGAGGAGAATCGGCCCCATTATTTGGCAACTTCCTCGAGCCTCTCTCTAAGACCCCGTGGTGGGTTATACCTGTGGTCTGGTTGCCACCTGTGTCGTATGGAACATATATTGCCAGGGCAGGCTGTTCAAGTTTAGGAGAAGAAGTGGCTTACTGGTTTCTCGGACTTTTCCTTTGGACATTGGTGGAATACATTCTACACAGATTTTTATTTCATCTTGACGGGCAAGTTCAAAAGTTCTCTCTCGCTGGACGCTATTGACTCCGTGCAGTTTCCTTCCCAACAACCGTGTTGCCATTACCCTTCACTTCCTTCTTCACGGCATTCATCACTACCTGCCAATGGACAAGTTAAGGCTGGTTATGCCGCCAACTCTTTTCCTTGCCCTCGCCACCCCGTTCTGGAAACTCGCACACTTTGTTTTCTACTGGAATTGGTCGGTTGCCACAGCGGTGTTTTGCGGAGGGATATTCGGCTACATTTGCTACGACTTGACGCATTACTTCCTCCACCACCGAACCTTGCCTTCGTACTGGAGGGAATTGAAGAAATATCATCTTCAACACCACTTCATGGATTACGAGAATGGTTTTGGTGTAACGTCGAGGTTCTGGGATGTCATCTTCGGCACACAGCTTGCGCCACCTCCAACCAAGACCCTGTAGAGCCGGCTCGTACACAATAACGAGGGGGCCGTTTCAGTAGATAGGCAAGATGTGACAAGGTATAAGGAGATTCGCATTTGGTGGCGTTGCTGGATGGTTTTGGAACTGATTTGGAAAATACACGACCCTGTACTTAGTAGGCTGGCCCGTCGAGCGGGGCTATAATAGTTAATCACATTCAATTCAATTCCTTCTATGTCAAAATGCTTGCCTGCCTACTCCTTAAGATTTTCCCAATGTGGCAATTTGGGCTTTTAGGTCACTTTGGAACATTGACCAAGCAGACTACATCATGTGACTACCGCTAGTCTTGAATCTTTGGCTTCTCGAAATCTCTTTTGCAATAACAACAATAACAACGTCGACACCCATCCGCCACCAAACACACCGCCTCGTATCGAATGAGAGGCCAGGTTGTGACATCAGATCTTCTTTGAATTCTACTTACTTCCGACAGCCGGCAGCTATTCAACGAACATCGTCGAGCCTTTGTCGCTCTAGCAAGCAAACTCTACGCCATGTCATCACTTGACGTTGAAGCCCTCTTGGACTCGACTGCGAATGCGACTCCAACCGAGCAGAACGGATCAGCCAAGCCTAAGGATGTAGATGACCGACACAAAAATGAGCGCAATGACCGCCGCGATCGAGAACGAAATCGTGATGCAAGCAGAGACCGCGATCGGGATCGAAAGCGTAGAGACCGCAGCAGGGACAAGGTGCGCAGAGAGAACGGGGATAAAGAGTTGATTGGAACGCCCACAAGCGATCATGGCAGCGCTCATGGGAGTGTCAAGAGTAGGCGCAGAAGCAGAAGTCGAGAAGATGACCGACGACACTCACGCCGCCACAGAGATAGCCCTGACGAGGTCGGTCGCAGAGATGGCGATTTTTATAGAGGAGGCGGCCGTACACGCTCACGCTCTAGGAGCCCGAACAGATATTACCGTCCCCGAGGCGATCGCCGTGATCGAGATGATCTAGAGGGAGCCAAGCCTCGAGAAGACCGACGCAACGGACGGCGAGCAAGTAAAAGCCCAAAGCGGGAAACTACACCACCTCTAACTGAAGATGAACGTGATCGTCGCACGGTCTTCGTTCAACAGCTTGCTGCTCGACTTCGGACTAAAGAACTCATAGCATTTTTTGAAAAAGTCGGCCCCGTTAAGGAAGCTCAAATTGTGAAGGACCGAGTCAGCGGAAGGTCCAAAGGGTACGTCTCCATTTCCAAATCTCCAACTGCCTGACTAAGAAATTCACAGTGTTGGCTACGTTGAGTTCAAGAACGAAGAGTCGGTCCCTGCTGCTATTCAACTCACTGGTCAAAAACTCCTAGGCATTCCAATCATCGCCCAACTCACTGAGGCTGAGAAAAATCGCCAAGTCCGCAACCCCGAAGCCGTGGGAAGTAATCCAAACCAGATTCCGTTCCATCGACTCTATGTGGGTAATATCCATTTCAGCATCACTGAAAGCGATTTACAGAATGTATTTGAACCTTTTGGCGAGCTCGAGTTTGTTCAGCTGCAGAAGGAAGAGCAAGGTCGCAGCCGAGGATATGGCTTTGTCCAGTATGTTATTCCCATACCCCTTTAGTCTATTCGAGCTAACACGGTTTAGATTTCGTGACCCTAACCAGGCTCGTGAAGCTTTAGAAAAGATGAACGGGTTTGATCTTGCTGGTCGCCCAATTCGTGTTGGTCTTGGCAACGATAAGTTTACTCCTGAGTCTACCGCCAGTCTTCTGCAGAGATTCCAAGGGCAGAGCCACCAACAACAATTCCAGGGTTCCGCATTCTCCGGTGCTGGTGGACGTGGTCCTCAAGCAAGCAGCGGAAGCAATTTCGATCGCGGTGGTGGTCGGGACAACGACAAAGGTTCGGGCGGTGCCAGTGCTCTTGATGATACTGACGTCGGCGGCGTGAACTTCAACAACTATAGTCGAGATGCATTGATGAGGAAACTCGCCAGAACGGACGAACCGGCACCTGCTGCTAAGGGCCGTGATGAGAGGCGTGAGATCTTGAAGCCAAAGACCGAGACGAAACCTCTCCCTGTTAACGTCAACATGGCCAGTAGATGTGTAGTCCTGAAGAACATGTTTGACCCTGCAGAGTAAGTTGCCCACTCCGTACTCTTTTCCAAGACCGATACTGACAACTGTCTCCAGGGAAGAAGGTGAAAATTGGGAAAAGGAATTGGAGGATGATGTCCGCGCAGAAGCGGAAGAGAAATATGGCCATGTTGTTCACATTGCTCTAGATCCCAATTCGCAGGGCGACATCTATTTGAAATTCGACCGGGTCCAAGGAGGGGAGAACGCCATCAAGGGTCTTAACGGCAGATACTTTGGTGGTCGGATGATTAGTGCTACTCCTGTTGTGGATGCCGTCTACAGCAGTTTGTTCTCACGCACAAAGGCTATCTAAGATGCTAATCATGGCCTCGTTTACTGGACTCTAGGGTCGTCTCGGGTATGGAATGCATATATTCATTCCAACTATATCTAACAGTGTTTCAGATCTCACCTGGAAGAGCTTTTTGAATTCCGCTTTACCCCTTTTCCTCTGAAACCTGGATCACGTATAGTTCGGGCTCCAGTAAAGCTCTCGATTTCGACCACTTCGCGCACCCTCCGACACCGAGACTCGATACCTCGACCTATTTTCGAGAAGTTCCTGCTGATTCTTTTGATGAGCAGGAGTCCTTCGTCAACAGCGGTCCTCCTTAGGAATTTCGAGCTTGCGTTTTGATTCAGCTGATTGCACATAGGGCTGTTCCCTCGTATAGGGATGACTTCGAATTTCTTGGCTTTCCTCGTTCGTAGCGATTGTTTTTAGGTAGAGAATACAGTGTCGTATTGCCAAAATATTTGATAAAAGAGACCAACAATGCGTTTATGCTTACTTGCAACTTTTGAAATCATTCCGACCCCTTTGCCCTGCCTCTGCTTTTACCGAGGGCTGAAATGTTGCTTTACACTGTGACAGAAGTTTCCTTAATTTCATTTGCGGTATAAAATCCCGCTACACAGCTCTTCCACTTAAGCGGAGATCTGAATGAATGGATTTCCAACATCCGATGAAATCCGGAAGAGCAAGCTATCAGAAAGGGGAGTAATTAATAGAATGGTAAAAGGCCAAAGATTTCCGGACTGGAAAGAGGTAGAATGACCCAGCTGTATTTTGTTCCAAATGCAGTGTCCCATTTTACTTGTAGATCAACTTAAATGCAACTATGCTTCACGTCAGAGTCCAGAAGTTGCATATCGGATGTCGGAGAAACTTTGCTTCCGAAATGAGTCAAGAACACCAACTCTTAACCCCATCCGTGTGTTATGGGCCTCCAGATCACAACAGCATCAACAACAGCAATAGAAAGTGCTTGTATTATAGTCCCAAGACAAAAACGAATACTCTTACATTTCAAAACTGTACGCATTGGAAGAAGTCGATCCAACTGCAGCTTGTTGTCCAGTGTTTTGTCCGATGTGATACCCCCTTGCTTGGTCACTTTCATCAAAGCTAGAGCCCTTGAGATCCAGAATATTGATCCATCTGATTTGAACAACGCTTTGGCAGTTGCTTGAGCTGTAAGGAAGCACTGGAGAGCCTGCCCGGCATCCCATCCGGGTGCAGTGCAAAGACTTGAGACAATGACTCGACGCTTCCTGCCTCTTTCTTGCATATTGGCAATGTTTTGATTTATGGTTGTGCTTCTTGTCGGCTTTGATTTTCTCTTCCTTGCTAGTAATGGGAAAAGAATGAGGTGTTGTGACTCGCTGATGGGCATAGACCGTGCCGGTTCTCCAGACTCTATGAACTGTCAGTAAGTGCTCTTGGAGGTTCACTTCATTGTAATTCTTACCTGTCTTTGATAAGGACTGCGTTATCATTACAAATAGTGTAAATCCGGAGTTTCTGCATGTGGCAGAGAAGAAAGGTCGATCTAGTAACCTTTTTGGACCCAGCAAGGGGGCAACAAAATCTGAACAGATTCCCAACAGCGCTGTTTCCTCGACACTCTTCAGTGTCAATGAATATTTGTTTCCAACTCTTTTTGAAGTTCTGTAGCGCGTGTGGTATCTTTTTTCTGCCTCCATCTGACTGTGGCATAATATCAAGCGTCAGTCAAGCACCGCGGACTGACCAAGATCTGACTTAAGGTAGGTCTAATCATGTCAATGATACTCTCTGCGCTCTTTGTACATCGCACTGACCTGGCTCTGCTCGTGTCTGGATCTTATCCATGCTTACCAACATACTGAAATTGTTCGTCTAGCCGACAACCCTCATAAGGTTGATTGGAATTCTGAGGCATAATTAAAGCGGTAGTGAAATGTTCCTTGCTCCTCGATTGTAAATATCAGCAGTATACTCTTTATCATGTTTGTTTGTCTCCGCAGCTTCATCCCTCCCATGTCAGTGACCGCCTTTGTAGTAGGAAGTCAACGTTGGAACTACGTCCTCACAGCTTGTGGAGGATTTGGGACATCTACGTTTTGTCAGCCTTCTATCAAAGGTAGCCAAGTGTGGCCGCACTCCTTACTTAGTATTCAAACTATTCACGAGGTCGTCCTTCTGCTTGGGCTTGCCTCAGCTCTATAGGCGACACTGGTGAGCAACGAAGAATTGCAAGCGTAAAGAGGAATTATGTAAGCGTACTCACCTCGCCACTGTCAGTACCTGTTCTTCCCAGCTTACTAGAAGTTTGGAATTGCCACTGAGTCTGTCCTTTTCGAAAGAGGCACCTCCCCGACTGAGCCCGTATCGCTTCCGGCATAAAACAGAATAACCTGACAACGTTTGGGTCCGCATTTCGCCTTTAGAGGCTTAATCCAAGAGTTCGAATCAACAACTAGACCCTCCTCGTGTTTGGCCCGTTTGCTCGACCAAGCTAGTTCGTTGTTGTGTCCTCGCGGCCTTACAATTTTTCCAGATCTTTTTTCCCCCACACTTTCGACCTCCTTCCCAACAACACCTTTTTCCCACGCAAACCCTGGTCCTCCTCACGTCTAGGTATACCACTAGGGCGGTAATTACGCCTTATTCTTCGAAATCTCGAGAATTTGATCCAAGCAGATCGGTCAATTCTTTCAAGTGTTTCCTCAAGGTGCGTTCCTCGCCCCGCCATTAAATATCCTCACCTGCCAACCACATTCCAGCTATCAATCCACACCAGTTCCCAGCAGTTCGCCGAGGGTAATACCTGTTCTTTCTTCTCTAAGCTCACGAAGGTCAATGCTGGCTGAAAGGGTCCATTGGATCTACCATATTAGTGGCTTGCTCGAAGGAAACCCTTGAATACTTCCATCGCGTCTCCTGATTATCTAACCATTTGACCATCGATCTATGAACCGCTGCTAATATCTTCGCGTTGCAGCAGATAAAAGATTCTGCGGCCTAGATATCTATCGTAAAGGTACGCACTCCCCGATTTCTTACTCCAATACCACCAAGATCGCATTCCGGTCATCACTTGCTGCGCGAACCGCTGAGCACCACGCTGCTCGAATAATTGATCCCAATGCTCCATATACTAATAGCTTCACTCTGAACAGGTACACTTCCTCTGATAGCCACGACAAACCACCACTACGTTGTCACTAACTACTCGTGCGATATACGCGTCCCTCAACACTCACATTCCCCCTGATAATCTGTCATCTCAGACATAGCACTACCACTACCCCACAACAAAACAGAATCCCTACTTGATTCGTTTTGATCGCGGCGTTTGCTGACCTAGTCCTGTTCATAGGTTCGTACCTAGTCGTCCGCGATACCTCGGAATTGTTTCTCTTGCTAGAGGGTCTGTTTACTACATCAAGCGGCCATATCTCAGCAATTCTACTCACACCTACCTTCGAGCCCACACAGAAGTACACCTACACGCACTCACTGAACACAGGCTCTCCATTGAGCAACGAGTTCAACTAAGAAAGAAAAACAAAGGTACGTCTTACCCGATACCGAGATTCTACTTAGGAATTCTGCGCACTTCTCCGAGTGCTGGGAACTGTCCAGCAGCTTCGATCTATGAAATTGGCAAAGCTAATGCTCAGATAGGGAGGTCTTCTCGGAAATCTAAATTCCAACGGACTCCAGTATGTTTCCACTTTAATATATGCTATATTCTTTCAGTCAAGCTACTCCTTCCGAGAACCTCCACTTCTCTTACTATAAATCCCATTCCTCATGGTAATCTGAAACTCTTTCCGCATCTCGGAAGTATCTCGAATGCGGTGCTCCAGACCTCCTGCCACAGATTTGAGCCAAAATTTTGCCTCGCAGCTATTCAGCTTTGCTCTCAAGCATGAGAGATACAGGAGGCAGGAATCCAGTACTCGGGGTGCAGCTTGCCCTTGACTTACGTGCGTTTATTTTACTTCCTTTATACTTGCTAACAATCTCAAGTACACAGTAAAGGCTGTACACCAAGCGAACTGCCGGTTGTTTTCTCTTTGAAATCCGGTAACGGGTAAGCAACTTCCAGTTCCCTATGGCTATTGGGGGGAAACAGTCATTTCGTTGCAGTCTGCATGGCTCCAGGAGAGCCAATTGCTCTTGAGCTTCAGAATACGCAAAGGCACAAGCTCAACTGTTGGCCACTTGCCTTCTTATCTTCATGCCCCTCCGGCTGGATGGCAAGATCTATGGCTCAATTGTCTTTTATTGACTCTGTGCACGTATAGTCTTGTTTCCAATGCTAATATTCAAAGGCTTAGGGTACTGTCCACCAGGTGCATTGGCAAGATTAAAAAGATTGTTGAGGCGCCAGATCAGGGGTGGTAAGCAAGGTAAGCTCTGCCTCCCCTCGCTCTTCACAACCCTTCACAACTCTTCACACCCCTGCACCTTTTACCATTTCCTGCCTCGTTATAGCGCCGCGTTGTTCTCGCCGACAAGTGCCTTTCCTCTTTGGTCTCTATAGCCCCGAAGCGAATTCTGGGGCACACCCCAGAAAATTTCTCCTCCTTGTTCTCATTCACCTTTACCGCTCGAAGAGTCTTTCTTTATTTCCTTCCTTTCGAAACCTCTCATCCTCCCTCCTGGCACCTTTAAGTCTCGACATCTTCTGCACTTCCATTTTGCCCTTCGGCCTTGCCGACCGTTTTCGGTTTTGGTCAACATATTCTAACTCGTCTTTGAACTATCTGCAGGAAGAGCTTCAAGGCTCTCTTTGGATCCTCTTGGAAATAGAACGACACCCTTTGCAACAATCTTCTAAATCTTACCATCAGCTTCAATCTACTTATGATGTCCTTCAACCTCCCGAAGAGGCAAGCCACGGGCAAGCCACCAAGCACCCAATCAGATCCTCGTCCTGCATCAGGTTTGCTGAAGGCTCTGATGGAAACTGGCCGAACCAAGGGCAGTTCTGCAACACCAGCGCCCCCAGTCATCTCCCCGAATCCAAACAGAGACTTCCAGGCGCAACTTGACAAGATGAACAGCGCCAGTCATGCTCAGCAAAATCAGATTCAAGATATGGGCCCAGCTGATGCTCGTTATGGTCCGTCTTCCCAACGCCCAGGAGCCACTCACAACCGCAATATGAGCTCGGTCACACAGCAATCGTTCCAGACCGGGGGTTATACGAGTCGAAACCCAACTCCTGGAGCAGGCCCGTCTCATTTTAGACCTGATGAGGACCGTGGGTCAGGACAAGGAAATTACCAGGTAAAATTTGCAATTCCTATACGATTTTTACTTGCTAACTTTCTCAAAGCCAATGACGGTGGCCAGGCTTGGTCAAAATATTTACGATGGGCTGAATGCTCTCACCGCAAAAATCCAAAATTGCAATGGCATGAGCCCTGCTGTCCAAACCCACTTGATTAACGAGACCCGCCGACTCGATCACGAGTTGTCTGATGCTCAGCGACTCCTTCAGCTCGAGGTCGATAACGATTCCAACGCTCGAAATGCCCTCTACCAACAAATCGACCATGCTGAAAAGCAGCTTCAAACTGCACAGGGCGACCGAGATCGCTATTGCATGGAGAGAGACCAGCTCCAACGGACTCTCGACGCTGTCCGAATGAAGGAGAAGAAGAATGCTGAGAAATGGGAGAGATCCGAGCAAAAGTATAAGCAACAGATTGAGGATTTGCTCAAGCAGGTCACGGTTCAAGAGGAACAACTGAAGGGAAAGCGGGCGTTATGGCTCGAGTCTAACCCTGGCTCAAGTGCTCGCCGGGAGGCTATGAACGCAGCCATGCGTGATCCGTTCAGCTCACCATCCGTAAGCCAACGCACAGGTTTCGATAGTGGTTATATGGGCGGCGTTGGTGGATCCGTCGCATCGTCTGCAATTCGAAGCCCTCCACAAAGCTCATTTGGCCAACCTACCCCGAGCCTGGCTCCTATCGGCGCTCCGCGTGGCCCTCGCCGCCGAGGTAACCTGCCAACAGGCAGTGCCTTGCCAGCAAAGGTACTTCCCGCTTCCACCTGGACTGAGCCTTCCTCCTTCCGTAACTTCAAGACCGAGCCATCCACTCCGCCTCTTCCATCCATGGCATTGGTCCCGTTCTCCAACGAAACTGATCCGGCTCCTCGATACAAGGCCGAGTTCACAAAGGTCTACGAACTGGTTGAGGGTTGGGTCAAATCATATGCCAATCTCCCGAACCTGGGTAATGATCAGAAGATCGCCCGATCCAACAATGTTCTGTGGGACTTCATGATGAACTGCACCTATCCCGGCCAACGCCAAGATGCGCACACTCATGTCATGACCCTGCTCAATGATCCGAACACTCGTTGCTGGTTTGTCATGAGAATGGCTATCACGTACCTCACCAAGGACATTATGACTCTCGGTGTTTTCGATAAGTTCAACCCCGCCACGGACGCCGAGTTTGACGAGGTCAAGAAGAAGCTTCAGGAGCTCCGAGGTAAGCGAGCCTAAAGATTCCATCCGTAATACCGCATGAATGCTAATATCCTCATCAGGCCTGGCCACCGAATCTCGTCAGAAGCTCATCGATCAACAAGCTAGAGCGGTCCAATCTATCATTGCGTCTCCAACCTACCAAGACTTCCGGTCAACCCAAATCAGCTTTCACTCGAAGAAGCTTCGCGATATGCTTGGTCCACTCTTAAATCCTGGCTGCGTTCGTGCGGAGGCGGGGCGAGACCTCGGCGCCATTGTCATCAAGGCCTGGGAGCTGTCCGTCAAGATGTACACCTCTCACCTGACCTTCCAGGTTTACTTCCCTGAGACCGCTGCAAAGTTCATGGCTGCTACGATGATCGCCAAGGACCGTCCCGGAGTCGACGCCATGCATCTGCAAATCAAGCAGACTCGTCTCAAGCTCGTCATCACCCCCGTCATTACTTTGCGTGATGATCGCGGCACTACCATCAAGGCCAAGAATTTGCACTTGTCAACCGTCCTTACCATGGGATAGGTTGTCAAAACTGTTTGCAATCCCGGTTCTTTTGCCTGTATCTGGAGATGGGATGGTCATCATTCAACATTAGACCGTCAGCTCTTCTTGATATTCGTTCTAGATCCCAGGGATCCTGTCCTTCTAACGGTCTTTGATTGGCATCAAGTCTCACCAATGCGCCTGTTGCTCGGAGGAGGATATTCGTCTTCAACTTCGATTTTTACTTTCGGCCACTGGCCATGCCTATCACGGTTTCGATGAATGATCAAATATACTTATGAGAAGCTCGCTCGTCATATCAACTCGACTCTTCATTCTCGGCATCACTTGCTTCGGAGTGAATTCTTGCTCGGTCAACTTGGCATACGCGGCATCTCTCTCATTTGGCACTTTGCTGAATGGGTCGTGCGGACTTTGTTTTTCCTTTCATGACGAAAACATCTTTTGCAGCCGCCTCGATACAGCCTCGTTGGAGCAGTTGTCTCTGACGACTTGTTCCCTCCTGCGATGGATCACAGAGAGTACTGGCGTTGCATGTATTGAACCCGCGGTGATTTCGTTGGGGGCCGAGCATAGCATATGGCATATTCGATGGGTTTCAGATCATTTATGGGATTATGGCATGTCTCCGCTCTACTGGCTATTCTAACTTCGGATGGGCACACCGGCTGCTCGTCTCTTGATGAGCCGAGACGTTGTCTTCTCAAGAGAATGGATTTAATGCTGGGGAGCACTTGAATGAGACATTCGTTGGCAGGCGACTAATTTTCCTTTCTTCTCAAAAAAAATTGACTTCTGCGGCATAGACAATAAAACCCCCCACACCGTTCTCTTTGCAAGATTTGTGACCGTGGCCATGACGGAGGGACAGAAACAGAGAGCACAGCTTCTTCGCGTGGTGACTGCTGGAGTGCCTCTTCTGACTTGAGAATTTTCCTTGAACCTTCACCCGAAGCCCGTTGTTTCCCTATTTTATTGTTGATCTTTCCTGCCTGCCATCGGTCTCACTCCTTTAACTACAGTAGTTGCCATTGGTACGATTGAGACGAGAAGGATAGTTCTCGCGGCTATATCAGAATATTTTAATCAATCTGCGGGTATTTCAAGGGTGAATTGCGTCAATCTGTCCCACACGAACACATCAACAGATTACCAGGACTAATCCAGTCCGTTCGTGAGAGGATCCCTCTCGGCTGGCCAATACATTACTCTCACCGAGATTTCTGTAGCTTTTGCAATAATCTTGCTAGGTACAAGCGTACGGAGCCGGCAATCCCAACTGTCTCTGAACTGAACCGCAATGAGCAAATTATTATACTTGAATGCAACAGTTGCAGACACTTCGTTACGCCTTCAGCAGTCTGGGAATGATCATTATTGCACCCGGCTCTATCAATATCGAGCACAGCGCCATCCTAGATATACGTATGGATAAGATAACTGATATCTGACGACAAACATTCAAGGCTTTCCTCGTCCCGCCTCTGAAGCAACACGTCTTCCAATGGACACACTCGAAGACGCTTCCATGTTTGAGATCGCACAGGAGCACGTCAAGCCTCACTCCCGAGATGGCCTCGATTTTGTCATTGGTCTGATTCAGGATTCTGTATGTCCTTGCTACCACGCCCCCTCACAACACACCGTGATGCTAACTTACTATGCTTCTAGCTTCACACGCAACAGAATCTCAGTGCTCTGCCATCGGCGGAGACTCGTACTGATGAAGCTCGTTCCAGTCCTCTCCAGTCCTCTCCAGTCCATCTCACAGGCATGTCTCCAGGCTCCTTTCAGTACGCAACCCTTCAACTCCTCTTCCCGTTTTGGGTTGCCCTTTACACCAGCTTGTACATTGGCAGGTTCAGAGCTGGACCAGGTGGACACCTTTCTGTCTGTGCTGGACTCCATGAATACTCGTCTGTCCCCGGCAGCCCGGGAAGCAACAACTATTCAAGACCAAGCCTTTCGGGGCAGACAGAATTGAAAGGCTGCCTGCCCCGTAATATTATCGGTGAGATCGATTCTGCCGCCCCACAAAGCCGCCTATCTTAATTAGTATAGTCAACCCCGCAGTCTCAAGCTAAGCCCAAATGACCTGCGACGAGAGATCAAAACATAATTCGCGACCGAGAAGACATATGCTTTCCCAAGTTACAAATACAATACTGTACTCTGTAATAAACTGTGATTAACATGGGATTTGAAGGGGAGGCCGGCGGAGTTGCAGAAAGGGCTGTGATGGAAGAGCGAGTGGCATTACCCTGCGTGCACCTTCGCGAAACCTACGTTTCCCAAATAAGTTAGCAAATCGAATTAGAGGAATCAATTAGGCATCCTATCTTATACTTTTATATGGTTTCTAGGATTATTGTAAGCTCATTGTGAGATATAGTTGAGGTGGAAGGCTAGCTTAACTCCGCAGAATAATGTCACATTATCTTACAAATGTTCACGACAAATCAAGGGCAATGAAAGCGAGATAGGCAGAATTACGAAATCTGGTTCGATATCTATTTCCTAGGTGTCCCTGGGTATCAAGACCATGCTCTAAAAACGCCAAAGTCCAAAATCCAAAATCTAATGTTTTTGTAATACACTGTTGAATGAAACGAACAAGCAGAGTAGGAGTAAGATCTGCTCCTAACTTCAGCACTTGCCCGTCTGCGATCAAGTCTCTTAATACGCGCGCCGAGCAAGGCCAGATATCAATGTCTGCTTCTCCTGTCCAAACGCCGAACTACACTTCCTAAACAAACCTTAAGAATTCCATCCCCCGTCAAGCCAATACCTCCCTCGCTGGAGCTGCTTCCACCAGTCCAGGTGACAGTGTCAACCATATCTCTGACACCACCTTCAACCAGCTCACTGAGTCCGTCGTCTAGCTCCTCGAGTGCTTCCTTGGCACCCTCTTCATTGCCCACTTGGAAGAATTGAACACCGACTTGGAATGGTGGGGCATCGAGCTTGTCCAGCTTCTTCGCTGCAGACAAGAGAACCGACTCGACGTCATCCGAGGGAACACCGTCTGTGAGAACGATAAGGTTCAAAGGCTTCGTTTCTCTGCCTTGAGCCATTTCACTCTCCAACTTTGCCAAATATGGCTTCAGGATATTGTGGACTCTGATACCCGTTGGAGTTCCCCCCTGAGGTCGGACTCTCTCGAATATTTCGGTTATCGTAGCGGCTCGCTTAATGCCCCTATATCCACCAGCGGCAATACCCTCTGACACTGCGCCCGGGTGATTGGACTTGTGATTCAGGAAGTAGATGTCGATTCCGTCACTATCGTGCTGAGTCACGATAGGGGCGATGGTAGCCAGAGCTTGAGAAACCTCGCGCCATGATCTTCCCGCCATGGAACCAGAGTCATCGATCAGAAGGGTGGTATCGAAGGTGGCGAGAAATGAGTATGGATCTTCGCCGCCACGTGTGGCTGAGGAAGGTCTTGATGATGTGGCTGGTGTTGCTGCTTCTGGGACAGGAAGCTCAGAAATCTGGGTGGCGAGAGTTGGGCCTGACGCGGCTGTAGGTGATGGGGTGTACGCTGGCGGCGGCTCGTTCGAGGGAACTGTAAAGGCGTTCATACCTGGTCGATCCGGGCGCCGTGTCGCGGGCGATGGGTTTGTGAGGGGACTGGGGCTTCTCCGTCCCACGTCACTCGGCGAGAATGGGTTCAAATCAGCTGGGCCACGGAAGGTCGGGGTCGTTGGAGTTTGAAGTTCTGACTGCGTTGCTGAGTGATCGGATCTCTGAGAAACGTTGCTGCCTTTGCGACTAAGTTTGCGTATGGAGCCACTGAGGGAACCAAGGAGGGATGATTTGGCTGGTTGGGGTTGAGGGGTAGGCGTAGGATGAACATTCCATGGTGATGAAGGCATGATGAGAGTTGGGTGGTAGCTTGACAGGCGCGACATCAAGATTAATAAGGAGGAGGCGTTGACTTGTTTTTCTTTGTCACAAGGAGATGGTGAATGTTCGAGGAGTTGTTTGTTGGAAGCTGACCCGTGTGAGCAATCGCTTCTTTATACTCACTCACTCCTTGATCAATGTCGAATATGCCAAGATTTTTGCCTAGCCATCACTCGCTCGAGCAGTGCTCTGGGCTATGGAGCCATGTCACTTCGCCTTGCATGGCAAAACAGCAGTGATGCAGGCCACAGGTTTGAGACGTGAAAGCGTGAGTTTTGTGCTCTCCTGACGTGGGGGATGATCATTTGCTGAGCATGCGCGGAGCTCGGCAGCGGCTTGATTGGCTGGCACTGCCACAGCCACCTTGCCGCAGCATCTTCGATGGAACGACCTAGGCGGACGAGGCCGCCATTTCCTCACGCACCATCTTGAACATTGGATCAGGCTGTGCAATCGCGCCAACTGGTTTGGTGGCTCGGGCGGTTTGCCTTGCCCAGAGCCTTGGGTCAGTCTCAACAGCCGCCCACATTTCTTGAGGCACAAGGGCCTCAGCCATCCCGCCACCGGATCATCTCTGACCAGATCACCTTCCCCACACTGCCCTGGGTCCAGTCCAACGCCAGAAAGATGACTTGCAGCACTTGGCTTTGATCTTCCGGATTCCCCTGATGCAGGAACTTGTCCTCAAGATAAGAGTTTCACGATCGAGTGGGGGTTACAGACCAGCACGGCCAGCACGGCCAGCACCTTGCCAGCCTGGCGTTTTGGAAGGCAGAATTACAGCCTCGCTCCAAGAGAGGAGTTCTCTGAATAGGGGAAGGTGGTAGTGAGGCTACTTGGAGGGCTTCCTCAACCAATACGATTTTGAGGATCGATGTCTTCCAGGAGGGCGCAAGACAGAACGAGTATGCCACCAGTGGCGTTCTACACAATTCCCAATATCTAAGAATGCGGCTCTTCTGGGCAACTCTTCTTGGAAGGCATTCTTCCAGCCCGGCGTTCCCGGTATAAGTTGAGGGGTTTGTCGCCCCACAGGTCCAATTATACGAGGCTCTTGGCTTGAGCGCATATAACCGGCAGAAGAAAAGCCGGAGCTTTCAACACGTCAGCAGATGGGACTGCCCACCAGTGATCTCCTCACGAGGGCGTGTGTTTCTGCGGTGCTCGGCTGAAAAGTTTCCATTTCACTGTTATTGTCGTCTGGGAAGAACATGTGAAGAGTAGTGAAAGTTCAAGAATCCTCTTCGATCCAATATTTACATGAAGACTCAAACAAATTTTTCCAAATCATTCTCCCTTTGCTTCCTCAATCGAGATTTCTGAGCCCCGCTTTCAGTTGACCACACAACTGTAAGCAGAGGTTTTGAACACCGCACCAGACCCGGTGAAAGGTTCAGTGCCAGCGCCAATGTTCAAGAGATACTGGCTGGAAGGGAAGCTGAAGCTGGAGCTGCTTTCCAGATATGTGTAGAAGGCCTTCAGATCGCCAGAGAAGCTGGTTGTCTCGCTCGCAGCAACGAAAGAGTATACAGTTGTGGCACCATTTGGTCCACTGTAGAGCTTGAAGTTCACGCCACCAATAGTAGGTGTTGCCACAGCGGATCCATTGCTTGAAATTGGTCCCGCACCTCCGATAGCAGCAAGCCAAATCATAATTTCGTACTCGTTGGAACCTGATGCGGTTGATGAGGTAAACATATCGTAGGACACATCTGCAACGATGCTGCTTCCTGTGTAGCTGCGGAGGAACCTTGGTCAGTACTTAATATTAAGAAATAAGGAGCTCAATCCTTACCTCCATTTCCAAGTGGTAGGTATACTGGTGATTGCAGATATCTTCTTAATGCTTGACATAGCTAAAGATCAGAAAGTCAGTAGCTGTCTCCTTGATCATGGCTTGGAGATTTTATCAGCTCCTCAGATGACTTACTAACTGCAGCATTTGCGTAGGATTTAACTTGGTTCGATGCGCCTTCCCACGACCAAGATGTCGACCACGCTAGAGTGTTGCCAGAGTCCGATGTGACCGTGGTGCATTGAGAGCCATTTGCTGCTTGGCCTTCATTCCACAGATCCTGGTAGCTGAGCATCATGGAATCAGTAATTTGTTTCTTGACCAAGGGCTGAAACTTCCTACACTGTGTAAGTTCCTGTGACTACTGAGTCCCATTGGCCACATATCGTCGCCGACCGCTCTTGCAGAGTACCCGTTGGAACGGCAAGGGCAGTTGTGGAAATGACGAGAGGGAAAAATAATTGGATGAATTTCATGATTGTAGATTTAAGAAATCGTTGATTATGACCGTGTGGCGGAGAACGAATGAGTATGGCTACTAAGAAAAGGACTCACACACAAGAGGAAAGCATATTTGTATAGACTTCGCATCAAAGGGTATTGGTGGAGCAATTATGAGATGAAGGAGAAACACGCTGCTGTTGACCCTGCAATGTTTGATCAAACATGGCCTCACATGATCTTCCGGGAAGAAACCAAGCCAAATTCAGCACCAATCTTCGGAACAGTTCCTTCTCGAAGACCCTTGCAAGAAAGGTGGAGTTCAAGGGTTACTGTGGAGTTCCGTGTTTCAAGCGAATTCCGCCAATCCCGCTCTTCGAAGCGTAATCAAGAAGAAACGGAGATCTCGACTCAAGGCCCTGTTTCGCACGGACGCACGTCTTTTGATTGCTGGCGTTCGCTAACAACGAAATACTAGCGTTCAATACTCGATATTAGAAGCTAGCTACTAATAATTTAGAAGAGTTTCGCAAAATGCAAAAACTCAATAACCATTGCAATTACGGAAGTTTCAGAGTATTCTCCAGTGATCTTAAATCTCAAGGCTTACTTTTCTTTAGTGATTACTCCCTATAATTATAAAGTATTATAGCCTAATAACTATTCCTCTCATAAGGCAAAAGTAATTAATTAATTAATTGCTTTACTATAGCTTTTCTATTAAGAAGAATTCACAATAAAAATTATACAAGAATCGCAATATTTATATAATAATTAAAATATTGTGCCTTAAGAAGTGGCATTTACATTACATATGGTTGCGTAAGGCCGAGCTTCGAACGCTCAGTTTTTTCAGAACCACCTACCATAGGTGGTTCTGAAAAAACTGCGATTTGTATGGGAGCAAATACTGGTAATCGAATACCAGTATTTGGTTGCTAGCATAGAAAAATTTACGAAACACTAAAATTCCTAATAATCGAAGGCTAGCTGGTGCTAGTGTTCGATTGCTGACCAAATGCAAGCATTCAAAAGTTGCGAAACAGGGCCTAGTATAAGTGGCCGACAGGTGGAATTACTGTGCATTGCGCAATAGGAGAAGTTTGAGATGATTTGCAGTTCATTTTTCCTACAAGGGAACGTCAGAGTTCTGGATTGGCAGTGCAGACTGCAGAGCTAATCAGTTCCTTCAGCAAGTTCGGTACACTGTACACTGTCATTGGATCAGGAAGTTCATCGAGGTTTTTGAGGCGTTCAAGAAGGGTGGGGGAATGGAGTGGGTCTGCAAAAGAGCGAAGTCAGGGGAGTCCGCTGATTTGTCAGGTCTCGTCACTGGATTTTGCTCCTCAATCGTCCTCCACTGTCGTCGAGAATAGATTAAGTTTCTATGCCAGTAGACGAGTAGACGTCTTCCCCGTATCTGTTGAGCTAACGAGTTCATTGGCTAGCCCTTCTGCTATGCTAATAGGCTCGAAAGCTTGAATATTTGCTAGACAGAGGGTGGTCAGTTCTGATGAGCAGGACCAGCAGCCAAACCAAACTGCAACTCATCCGTGAGATGCGAGCTATATTCGGCTCTGTGCATCGTTCTGCAAGGCACTCCAAGATTCCCGTTACTGGTGACATGTCAATGATAATCATGATTCCAAGAGTCCAGAAAGGTCGCCGAAACTCTGCGCCGCAGGCCATGCGGAAGACTGCCCAGAATAACAAGGATACAGGAATGGTGCCAGGATGAGAGGATTTCTTATTCTCTTGTATGCGCATGTACTGAGTACACAGCTGGGCCCGTCAATTCGAGACTAGCACCAAAAGCGCAATACGGTCCTAAGCCCCTTGGCTGTTTTGAGTTAGCGGACGCTTCTGCACGTGATATCAATTGTCCTGGAATGCGAGGGGAAAGGTAAAAAGGACATAATGTTCCGACCACCAGGACCACCACCGAGCTTAGTGATTACTAATCGTGATATTGAAATCACAGGAACATCTCCATCCACATGCGGCTCTGCTCCCCCACATCATTGATCGCGCAGAACGTCCGGCTTCGATTTCATCAAAAGACTTCGCATCTACCCTATCGCATCACTGCATCACTTCCAATCCTTAATACTCACCTGCGCGTCGACTTATCGCTCCGCGCATTCCTCAACGTCACCCTCCAAGCAGCTTGAATTCCATTAGATGGACAGAGCAAGAACAAAACACTGATAACGACGGAGGGTTGCGAGCGAGCGCGTTGCGGAGGGCGAAGCCTCAGGATTTGGCTTACGCCGAGCAGAAATAAGATGGCTCCATCCGCGACCACGACCCAGCCAGTGTCTTCGAAGATAAAGCGCCCAGTACCGCCTGGTATCCAGACAAATGGAATCAACTCATCGGCTTCCTCCCCATCACCGTCTATGTCTGCGAGCAGACTTCCCTCCGGTTCCAAAATGGGCCCGAACTCAGCTACAAGCAATGGGGTTGGAAACAATTCAGCGGTGCGGCCTCCGAATCGCACCAGACGCGAAGCCCCACCTCAGTTACTTGGAAGAGGTCAGAGGAATGGCAGCGTAGGGTTGGGGCTGCGGTCTGGAAGCATCGTTGGAGACTCTGTGGTGGCTCAAACACTTACCCCGCAACCATATGGTACGTTGAGAATCCATTCTCATACGTACGGCACTAAATTTGGCAGTGAAATCCAACGAATATATCCTAAAAAAGTACCACGGCCAACCGCCGTCTCTCATGATCCATCTTCACCCAACACATTTTCGGTTTGACCAGCAAGAGGGCAGTTTCTCGTATAAATCTCCAATGAAGATGGTGCTCGAACATATTAGGAGTGGAACCATTCCCCATGACCTCATCGAATATTTTACGGATGTTCCCTTCTATGAGGGTTGCATGATTGTTCAAATATACGACCATAAATCCGCTGCTCCCGCACAAGGATCGACTCGAACAAACACAAGCGCCACGAAAACCGTTCCATTTTCTGTCCACAATTACAATGCTTACTTAACCCCCTCATCCTATGTTCCATATCCTGCGCAGAACACGATCTCTGGGAAAGGGAAGCTTCTTGCGGATGAAGTTGATGATAAGCCAAAAAGCGCTGAACAAACGGACAAGGAAAATATGCCAGCGCCTTCGATACCTAACGACGGTCAACGGAATAAGGGAGCTGGACCAAGAAAACCCAAAATACATACTACCGTTCTGCACCCCACTCCTCTCAGCAGCCACGTTGATCTGGCGACTAAAGCAGCTGAGGCTCGTTTCGGCATAGATGGGCGAAGGGATTCTCGACAAGACGGAGGCCCATTATCTGCAACTGTGCCACCTACTCCTACCACGGCGATACCTTCTACCCCGCAGATTAGTATGGCTCCACCTGCGAAACGAGTGAAAAGGACCAAGGTGGATCTGGATAGCGCCAACATCCATGCGGCAGAGGGACAGATCATTCACCTCACAACGGCTCCGCTGAATCTTGATCCTGTAGGCAATGCAAGGGAGATGGCGGCTCTTTTAGACTCCTTAGCTCATCCGATGCACTCAGAGAAGCCGCCGTTGCCAAAGAGCCGGAAGAGGACTGTCGCTGAGATGGCTGCGGATGAGGCATTTGCTGCCGAGCAAGAGCGCTACATGCTCATCCTAGACGAGAGGCTATCATCGAATACAGTAAATGCCCAAGGGGGTGCCAATCCCACCGACGGCGATGGTCAAGCTGGTGGGGCTTCCTTTGAGCCACGGTTCGAGAAGTTCAAGGCTCTTGAAAATATCAAAAATCAACACGAGGAGAATAAGAAGATCGAGAAACAAAGACGGGACGAAGCTGAGAGGAAACTTCAACAAGAGCGAGAGAGGAACAAGCTCAGAGATGAGGCTAAGGAGCGGGATCAAGAGAAGCTGCGGAATATGGCTGCTCAGCAGCAACAAGCTGCGAGACATCAGCAACAGCAACAGCAAGCCCAACAAGAAGCTCACCGACGTTCTCAAATGCAAGCCCAGCAGTTACAACAAGGGATGCAGGCTCAGGTTCAAGCTCAACATGCCCATCCTCAGGCGAATGGAACTATGGCAAATGGACTCCCCCCGCAATCTCAACGTTTCCATCAACAACAGGTCTCGCAGGCACAGGCTTCTTCTCCTATTGTTCGCAACGAGACACCGCAGAGCCATTCTTCTCCCACCGTGAATACAATGGGCAATGTGCCTATGCAACAATCTACATCAAGCATGGGTGGAAGCCCTCCACGTCCTGGATCTGTTGTTCAGCAAGGTCATCCTCAGATGGGAGCTCCTCCCGGCATGAGTGCTCAGAGAAGCCAGCAAAGTCATGCTGGGACTCCCAGGATGCCAAATTCCACTCCCAACGTGCAATCTACGCCTCTTAGTCGTCAAATGAGCCAGACTCCAAGGATGAGCCAAGGAAGCCCGATGCAGGGACCCATGGCACAAGCTCCGCAAATGCAGCAGATGATGCAAATGAATCCGGCTCTTCAACAACAGAGGTTGCAAATGATGCAAAACCAACAGGCCGCTCAGAGAATGGGTGGGATGATGGGAGGAGGTCAACAAATGCAACAAATGAGCCCACAACAAATTATGCAGGCACAGATGAGTATGTAGTGTTCTCTGACCCCAAATCTCTTCTTTCAGGTGTTTTGCGGAGTTTCCTGCTCTCTAGATATGTCTCGAGGGCGAAGAATTTGTGAAACACAGTCTTGGACCCTACATCTCTTTCTATACTGACTCTGAAATTTATAGTGCGCGCTCAGCAGCAGCAAGCTCAGCAACAGGGCATACCAGCACAATTAGCTCAAAATTATGCAGCCACAATGGCGGCCATGGCTCAGCGGTCTGGAGGCATCCCACCGAATATGAACATGAACTTCGGCAACAATCAAAGCATGGCAAACATGCAAGGTATGAACATGCAACAGGTGCAGCAAATACAACAAATGCAACATATGCAACAGGCACGAGCTCAAGGTAAGCTTCTTTCCATGCCGATCTGATATTTTCTGTTTGAGACCTCAAGCCCGGAGCTTCTTGGGAGCTGACTCTTGAGCTCCTGGGCCCCAGGCTCCTGAGCCCCCTCTTCTAAAACAATCAGGACGTTACCATACTAATTCGATGATTAGCACAAGCACAGGCACAGGCACAAGCCCACGCACATGCCCAAGCTCAGGCTCAGGCCCAAGCCCAAGCTCAAGCTCAAGCACAAGTCCAAACGCCTCAACATCAAATGATCCAGCAACAGATCCTGGCAGCCGCCAACACGATTTGTATGTAACTTTTTCTGGCCTCAAACCTCCCCTTTTCAGATGTCTAGCTAGGGGTTTACTCTCTCGAAACTCGCGAAACATTGTTTCAGCGCTCAAAATTCTTCCTGTCGGAGTAATGCTAACCCCGAGATCATCTAGATAATCAACAGAGACCAATTCTAATGCAACAATATCCTAATGGGATTCTTCCAGAAGAAGCTGACAAAAATTTGAGGGGGAGGTGCCAACATCTCGCTCAGCAACAGGTCACCGCAGGATTTAGAGCAAGGAGACAGCAGATGATGGCGGCTCAAGGAGGCATGCAACAGATGAACGGCATGCAGAACGGAATTGGTATGTAGGGTCAAAGTTTAGGGGTTAGGGGCATTTTAACCGGCGTTCTTGTGTCAAGAGTCTTGGGGGCAATTGGGCAACAGGTTTCGGCGCATTCATGAACCACGGATTTGGTTTGGAGTTGGGATACTGTATAGGATCCGATGGAAGAGATGGCGGCGTTTTACACGGTCTGCGTATCGAAGCAGGCTACTGGTATAATTTGACCTGAACATAGAGAAGGATACTTTTGAACGGAGATTCCTCACCTCGTCCAGGACGCGAATATCATTCTTCGCGACCACCTATCCTTAGGTGGCTAAGCCAAATGTGTTGATACATATTATTGTGCTCTCATCCTGCCCTTCCATCAGCATTGCCCTTTCTCCACTCTGCCTGCTGGCGATTCCACTCCTCGTCACTCCCATCAAAGTCTGGAAATGGAACATTGAATGCATCCCCCCACTCTAACTTCTTCTCTCTGCTTTTCCATACATCTTCACTACTCTCTTTGCCCAGAGTCTTTGCATACTTCATCGTCTCTTTTCTCCTGTAGTGCTCCTTGATAGCAGCCTCTTTCTCCCTCTCCGAATATCCCCTTGTGCGCATGCAAAACCAGAAATTATTCCAATTCTCTGAACAGGATCTCAGTGTCCCATAGCGATATAGGTCATTGAAGCGTCCACCGAATGAATTGCAATAAAATGCCTCGTCGAAGGCGACACGGCAGCTCATCGTTCTTGGAAGCAATTGCTCCGCCAAGGGTTCATTGCCATCATGGGTGCGGGTGTTGGGGCTCGAAGAAGCTGGTGGAGGCTGTCTTGGGACGCGGTTGTATTTCGAGCTGATTGGTTTGACATCGGCCTCTAGTTCTTTAAGGAGTGATTGAAGTTCTTGCTCCGCAATCTCGTCGCGGGATAACGGCTTCGAGGATGAGTTTGTGCCGTGGGATGAAGTTGGCGGTTCTGGTGCCGATTGAGGTGGATTCGACTGGTTTTGATCTTGAGCTGGAGACGGCGCAGGTGTAGGCACCGTATCAGACCAAAGCCAGCCCATCCTGTATCATGAAGTCGGACTGAGCTGATCGAGTAGCCTTTAGCCATACTGTGAAGCAGGAAGGCTGAGGCTGAGTTTTTACGCGAGCTCATTTGCGCGACAGCCTCATGACCTCATCAGAAAGATGGCAGCTCCAATTTCCTGAATTGCTTCACAAGGACAGTCTCCACGCGAAATTTTGGCACAGCCTCCGCGTGCCTACCTTGACAACATGTTGTAAACATCTCCCGTCACCAGTGAGCGACAATGCAGACTTCACGCCGCATCTACTTCAACCCAACCAGCATTCCCAGTCTGAGGACACCGAGATGTTCGAGACGAGACTTCTACAATGCGGGGGAGGTAACGAGAAGCGGCCGGAGAAACAATGCTAGAAGGGGAATTCGAATGGAGAGTACCGAAACAGGAGAAAATCAAACGGGACATATCAGCGCAACCTCAAATGAGGCCATCCTGTTCTTTGACAGTGAGGTGTACGCCAACTTCACGATTCTCAGAAGCTTATGCCTCCTAGACATTTTCCCCTTAAAGCTCACCTGGCTTCTGCGGCTGCCATGGCAAGCCGAGCGAGACCTACCGGACCTCCTCCGAAGATTCAACAACCAGACACTCAGTACTTTCGAACCCTTGACTCTTGTCAAACGTGCAATTCCTAACTCTGTACCTATGAAAATTACCGAGATCCTTCCACGGCTTAAAGATGGGTAAAAATAATTCTGGCTTCTGGGTGGACCTGGACTTATGGTTTTAGGGGCGCTTTTGTCAAGTTCTCGCATCCGGACGGTATCACAGCTAAGGAGATAGAAGGTAAGAGATCGTGGGGATCTGGGGGAATTGGCTGACGCTTCTGGAGGACTTGTCTCAAGATATTTGAAAGAAAATCCAATAAAGCCATGGTTCAGCCCCTTTAGGCGAATAAGATCAAATCTTGTGGTGGGAAAACCATGGCTAGAGGATCTCTATCGATTTCCAAGCTGTCGGATTAAAGTCGAATTTGTGCCTATAAGTCCAGGTGGACCGGCAGCTGAGCTATCCCAAGAGACGTTGTATAGCCTCTTTCGAAAGTATGGAAAACTTGCTGAAATATCATCACAACCGTCTGATTCGAAAGTCTTGCCTAAGTTCGCCTATCTGGATTTTGCGAGGATGCGTCACGCAATAATGGCAAGGAATTGTATGCATGGAATTAAAGTTTTAGAGGCAGAAGGTGGTGGGGCAGCTGGCACAGAGTAAGCATTGTCTCATTTGCTTTTTCTATCCTCATTTGGCTCTATCTGCATTCGAACATCCTAAACAAGCAAGGCTAATTCGGATATCACTAGGCTCCGTCTTTCCTTTGAGCAGAAGATGAAGTCACACTGGATCTGGGATTGGTTAGCATCACATCCTCGAGTGGTTATCCCCGCCGTTGCTGCCTTGCTTGCAACCGCTGCAACATTGGTTTTCGATCCTATCAGAACCTTCTTCATCAAGGCCCATGTTGACCATGCTTTTCACATCAGAGATAACAGGATATATAAATGGTTCAAGAGCCAGGCGACTGATATCTTCACTTTCCGTCTCCATAGATCGGAAGAAGCTGGTTTGGGCGCAATCTGGGACGATAGAAAGCAGGTCATTGATCAACTGCAAACCTGGCTGATGGAGACGGCCGACACGTTTATTGTGGTTCAAGGACCAAGAGGTTCTGGGAAGAGGGAGCTTATTCTGGATCAAGCACTCAAGGGGCGGCAGAACACATTACTTATTGATTGCAAACCAATTCAAGAGGCGCGGGGCGACAGCGCGACAATATCAGCAGCTGCAGCCTCTGTGGGATATCGGCCGGTCTTCTCTTGGATGAACAGTATCAGCAGTTTGATAGATTTGGCCGCGCAGGGAACTATAGGTGTAAAGTCGGGATTTAGCGAAACTCTCGATGCACAGCTAGGGAAAATCTGGCAGAATACGGCAACAGCTCTAAAGCAGGTTGCCCTCCACAGTCGGAAGAAAGATGACAAGGACGCTGCTCTCGGCGATGATGACTGGCTAGAGGCTCATCCTGAATGCAGGCCAGTTGTAGTTATTGACAACTTTCTCCACAAAAACGAAGAAAGTAGTGTTGTTTACGACAAGATCGCAGAGTGGTCAGCTGGATTAACGATGGGCAACATTGCTCACGTTATTTTCCTTACCAACGACATCTCCTACTCGAAGTCGCTAAGCAGAGCATTGCCAGATCGAGTATTTAGGCAAATTGCGCTTGGTGATATTACACCAGAGGTTGCCAAGAAGTTTGTCCTCACTCACCTGGATTCCGACCAGGATGATACTCCCGGCAATGACGTTAAGTTGACTGCTGGCCAACGGCAATATGATATTAGTGAGCTTGATGACTGCATCGAAGTCCTCGGTAAGTCAACCTATACCTCCTTCACCTAATGCTGATCGGGTATATATCTCATTGTCCTCTTATTTGACACAGGAAGAGAAATGCTGATTTGCAACAGGCGGTCGACTAACCGACTTGGAGTTTCTTGCGCGAAGATTGAAGACCGGACAAACCCCAAAACGTGCAATCGCCGAGATCATTGAACAGAGCGCTTCCGAGATAATGAAGATGTATCTTCTTACTGTCGACAAAGGGGATCGGAAATGGTCTCCTGAGCAAGCCTGGTACTTGGTCAAATCACTCGCCACCAATGAGATCCTCCGCTATAACGAAGTTCTGCTATCTAATACCTTCGCTTCATCCCTCACACCTTCTGCATCCAATGGAGAGGCTGTCCTGGAGGCTCTGTCTGCTGTTGAGCTGATCGGCATCAAGACTCACAATGGCCGTCCACAAACCATCAAAGCTGGGAAGCCTGTATATCAAGCGGCTTTTAGGCAACTCACCGAGGATAGAGTCTTGAAAAGCAGACTTGATCTCGCCATTCTTACAGAATTGTCCAAGATCGAAACGAAGAGTATCGATAAATACGAAGCTGAGCTAAATATGCTCGGCAGTCTGCCAAGGCAGCCCAGAGAGGTTGGACCAAGGATCAATTTCCTCTTAGGCAAGTTAGCAGCAAGCCAGCAAAAAGTTGAGGCATGGGAGAAAGAGATGGGAGTCTTGAAGAAGGTTCTGATGGACGAATACTAATGCGCCGAGTGATTCTGATGAATGTCATTACCCTACTCGCTTAATCTTGTAATGTACTCAAAGGAATACCGAACTTATTCCAGCACAAGAGCTCCCCTTGCTTCGAAGGTTTCCTTTCCTCGCTCGATGCAATGATGCAGCAGCAAATTCTCGATGTACCTCTATGGACAATTCTAGATGCAATTCTAATCTGTAAAATATCTATAAAGCCTCCAGAGACCCAGCAGTCTCCTTATTTGTGGAAGCCATTTTTTGTTTGAACGCCCCGCCAATGCTATCTTCTGTTCACGCACTGAATGATACACAATTGGACGAGCATGTTGTTGAAGAGCCTGTGGTTGAAGCTGAACCACTAGAGATCTGATACGTAAATCCACCACTGGGAGTATATCTGCTTTCCGACCAGAATGTTGCCAAACACAAGGAGTGAGGTATTTACTTATTTGAATGCAAGGACGAAGTAGTCTTGGCCTGGACAGCAATACTGCCCCATTGTACTTTGCCGAAATTCCATGATGCACCATTCTGCAATTCGATAGCAATAAGTGCCTGCAACTATTAGATGTCGAATTTCCAAAAGCGGGAGGGTCTCGAAGGTATTTACTTTGCTAATAACGTCCATCCCCGCGTGCCGGAAAACCCTACGTGCCGGAAAAAATGGTAGATACTTTGACTTCAAACATGTCAAACTTTGTGTACACGTCAATGACTCTAATATTTTTGCATAAGTCGTGTTCCATCGCCACCGCTGACCACTCTGAATCTATTCCACCAAAAAATTACGTTCGCATCGTCGTCCTTGCACTTGATTTGTAGGTAGTCTCCGTTCATGGTGCAATAGAGTTCCTTTACCGCAGCATTACCATTGAGCTTTTATTACTTCTAATACTTGTGAAATCTTATTCGCGAGCCTTAGGGTCTCACTACTTTGCTAGGAATTGTTATCAGCCTTGTGGCTGCTGTAGCGCTAATCTTTATACAATGTCGGGATGCTGGTCGGTACCTCCAATCAAAGGAGATCAAATGCCGAAACAACTCCGTGCATCCCGCAGGATTATTACGGCGTATTATATTTTAGCGCGCTGTCCAGATCCAAGCTTGTGGCGCTGAGACTGTGGCTGTGCAGTTAACTAGGCTCAACTGAACCACCTCGACCCAGTTTTCCACATCCTACAGACACCCCCTATTGTTTTCGCCTTGATCGCAACGTAGACACATGACTTCCTTCCTTAGTCTCTAGCCCTTCTATTCCGAGCTGTGGGCTGCTTCCCTTCCATTGCGCCGAGAATACGACGAAGACTAACTCTAACATACAGTAGCTAGTCGCGAGGCCTGCACGAGCCTGCCTCGAGAAATCCATTCGACCCGGAGAACAGAGCAATGATTTTCTACAGTCGCTTATAAAATCGACTTCGCCCTCTAAGCCCAGATCCTTCATCTTTAGAATAAGTCAATAGCTGACCCTATAGGCTAGTACAAGATCCAAGTATCATAAGTTGTTTTAATTTCTATTAAACTAGAACCATCGATATTGTCTTAGCAGCGTTGAAAGTTGGCGGTCCACCCCATATTCTTGCCATCCCTATGCGCTTATATTTAACGGTGCTATGTATCTCAACTGGTTCTAGAATGAGAAAAATTTCAGAAGTATAGTTGGACTCGGAGCTCTTTGTCTCAGAAAACAAGAGAAGGCACAAGTATATCGTCGCTTCACTTGCATCACCGGTATCAAACTGCCCAGCGCATCGCCAAGGAAACTTCGTCTTCACGGTAGGTTTTAGGTCCTCCCCGAAGACCTGAAAATATGGCGGTTTGTGAGAACTACCTTCGGTAAATGGCCTTATTTCGATCTCTCGCACGGGACCTTCGACCTTCACTTGCGCCAATTCGACCGGCGACGCGTAGGGCGTGCCCTGCCATTGCACATCCCAGTTTAGAAGCTTCAGATGCTCTACCACTTGCACTTCATAATCTGCGTACTTGGAGCCGATCGTATATAAAACGCAACCCTGGCACGCAAGCCAGGTCCAAGAAGGAAGCCCTGAGGTGTTAGACATTTGCTGACGACCACCACCGCGCAACCAGGCTAAGTCTCTTGCAAAAGACCTTACCCATAGTCCCAATATTGGCACATCCTCCAAAGTAGACGCAAAGTATCTAGTCATACCCGCGATAGCAGGAACTCTGTCTTGCGAGAAGGTGAACTCGCGCAGTGAATAGCCTTCAATGATGCGTCGCCAGCTGCTGCGGTACCACAGATCATCAAGCCGATGATTGAGATCAAGGAACAAGCCACCGCGATCAGGTGCCATTCTTGGCTCGAAGGAGAGACCGCTTTGAGTTTGGTAGTTGCATTGACATTTCCAGTGCATGTCGGGTTGCATACAAAAGACGAGCCTCGGGGAGAGCAACTGCTCTTGTAAAGTCCACCCCCGGGTGCTAATAACACTGTCTTCCACGACGGAGTCTCTGATATCATTGCGGTAGATACGGACAAGGCTGCTACGGTCATCCAACCCATTAGGTCGAGTGCGGAAGAATAACCCAGCACTGTGGAGACCAGGCTTCTCGGGAGGGAAACAGCCCTGCAGAGAATCTACGGATTCGGTTGCTGTAATGGTTAACTGGCTCCCTCGGTAGATCTCAGACATATGTGTTGCTTCGCTTTGCCACTCCTGTTCATCATCTTGAACAATGCATAGGGCATCGATCCAAATATATGGAATTCTCAGAGCTCGAGCTATATGTATAGCATCGGCAAATGTCCTTGGAATAAGCTTGGAGGGGACTTCCTTGCTAAATATAGTAAGCGTCCCTTTTGTGGTGCGCAGCTGTAAGGAGTTACCCCAGCAATAGCTTAGAGCTGCATAGTCCGTTCGAATCGTTGTAGTATCCCGTTCAACTAGTCTAAGCGGCTTGCCGTCGAGGCCAACAGTGAGGAGCCGCAGAGGTGCAAACGGCACGGGCCTACATTTACTGTGGCCGTTTTGAGACTCGCAATCAAACATCCACGATTGGATGGCTAAGAGCTTGGAGTCAAAAGTCGTTGTTGGGCTCCTCCAAAAAGCGGAAGATGATATTGGATCTGTACCCAAGGGGTGTAAGGCTCTTGGGCACATATTCTGCGTAGACCATCTCTTACCTCCCAATAGACAAGACACAAGTGTAAAATAGGATATGGACGTAAGGCCAGTATGTGTACTGCCTAAGCTGGCTTCCAGAAGCGTCCAAGAGGCACCAGAAGGCATTCGGCGAGCGACTTTGGTCGTTATTTTGACAGAAAATTCATCACGACAACCCCGGATGGGTTTTTTTGATATTTCATGTCTGTTTAGAATCGAATCGATATGGCCCCATAGAGAAGTTATTGTCCGGCAAATAGTGCATTTCTCGCTAGAGGATAAAATTAAACCATAAGTTGGATAGTGGGGGCATTGTGAAGAGGGGATTAGAGAGTCTGTTGTTGATTTCACCAGGTCCGAGCAGAAGGGACAAAGATCAATTTCCTCCACGTTCATTTTGCTATCCTTCGCATTGACGACGATTGTAGTAAAGCAAGCAGCGTATGCAGTAGTCGACGTGATGCGGAAATTCCTAGGACTAAAAGGAGGATACTAGGCCTTACATAGAGATAGGATGGGGATTGGAACGACTGAGTGGCAGCTCCGCCGTGCAGAAGCGGACACGTGGCTGCTTGTGGAAACTTCTAGAATAACGCCACACTTCACGTGAGTCTCGTATAATATGAAATATAAAACGATTAATTTACTATAACTGTAAATATGATTTTATATAAGCACCGCCTTCGCTTATTAAGATGCTTGGCGTATTGTGTACCTCCCCCTACTTTATCCGGATAAATCCGGTAAGTAGGTTTCCTTGTACTCTACGTCTTCAAAGCTTAAAGTTATATTCTCTCTTGGTAGAAGTTTTATCCTATGGTCCCGGAATTTGGAGACAGGCCAATAATTATAATAGAGCGGGGGAGAACAGCCGAAAGGGTTTTAAATGCCTTCGACGAGACAATCGATAACATGACCACAACCGTCAGTATTTTCTTACTGCAAACCGAATCCTTATAGAGAAATAGCTAAAGAACAATAGCAACCTGAATATAACTTTATATATTTATATGGTAGAGGTTTGAGACCCCCAAACCACGAAGTCGTTCCGGCACGTAGGGTTTTCCGCCACGCAGGGATGGACGTTAGTTCCAGCTACCAGTCCAACAATGTCAGTGACTTATCGACGCCATTATTGAGAATGATCCGCTTACCGAAAGTGTTGGAAGATTATCCACTCTGGGAGGACTGACCAGCAGAACTACCTGCTGAGCCGGGTGAGAGTGACCAGCTATCAGTCCAGCCTCCAGATCCCAGGATGAAGGTGCTCGTTATTGAATCTCCAGGGTACGCTATTCGTTCGTTAATATTTTAGATCACAAGAAACGTTGCTCCCATCTTTGATTGGCGAGGCTTCATAATTGGGGCTTATTTTGGAGAATCAGCTATGCACTTGAGCAGGCTCAGGATTTATCCTACTTGCAACGATATTCGACCCAGAACATCCAAGCACCAGGGCTCTTTGAGTCACTGATGACACCTGGAAAACGAAGCCTGCCCCATTGTTCTCACCGCCTGGCCAAACTCCATGTGCACCGCTTCCAGAAGGTAGTGATGGTACTGTCACTGTAACTTGAAACTAGTGTTTTAGTGAGAACATGCGAGAAACTGGTCGAGACGATATATACCCTTGTTACTGCTACCCCAGGCGCAAACCATGAAGATTTCACAATCTGAGCACTTGAAAAGGTTCTGAACTGGGTGAACAATGCTAGGACTGTCAGGATTGCAAATACGCTCATTCTATGTAGTGACGGCAAAGGAGCTACCTTAGTAGTACAACCGAGCTAGTTATGATATGCAAGAACAAGAATGCCTATCAGACGGCATGGTAACTGAAAGGAGGCAGGGCAGTGTTCGAATCTGGAAAGTATAGGTTGAAAAGTATAGTTGGGACAGCTTGGGGTGAAGTAGTTTTGTATTTATGTTGCCGTCAAGGGAATTAGGTTTGGCCAAGAAGGCATCGACCAACGCCGATATCTATATCAGATTCGTACGAACCTCGTACATTGGTTTTCGCTACTGGCAACTCTACCCCTCCGGATGATGCCGGGCCGTTTCCTCCGCCTCTAGCATCGGTTCGGTACATGACGGTGGTGGACGGAGAGCTTGTGCCGGTGGTTAAGTGTGCGTGTGTCTCTAAGTTATTCGTGCTTCAGCCGGCCCCATCGACACTTGACCGACAAACGCCCCGTATCAGGGACGCTTCTCTGACGCTTCCAGAGCTCTGCGGGCTTGGAGTCTTCGCCTGCAGTCCACCCACGAGAACGTGATAATACAACCGATTGGGCAACATAGGATTAAACACACCAGCATGGCCCGGGCATAGGCATGCAGAGTTAAACATCCGGGACGGATAGGTAGCATCTGTCCAATTCGAGAGTATGGAGGAAGAAGGGGGCCAGGGTGGGGAAACATGAAAGTGGGTTGGTTGAACGTGGCAGATCCCGGCTGGCAACAGACAAGACGAGGGAGTTGTAAAAATTAGAAATATATCACGTGGCCCGCCCCCCTTTTCCCTTCTCTCGGGGCGACACGGGCGAAATAAACAAGACCAGATCGCACTTAATATAATCGCGACTGCGGCAATGCAAGACTGGGAGCCGTGGCTGTCGCCTTCTTAGCTGACGGCCCAATTGAATACCTCTGCCAAGATTGGGTCCTACTTGTTAATTTTGCTCGAGGGTATGCCTGATGGAGACCGTGCTTGCGACGTACCATCGTACATCTTTGAAAGACCATGGTAGCCCTGGCTAAGACGTACTCTTCACGTCACCATAAGTCACACTCGCAGGTGGGCACAGGGATGCCCTTCACCATCATTTGCGGGTAGTGTCGAAACAGATACGGAGAAGGTGACGTCGGGTCTCTGTCACCTAGGCCATACCACTCTGGGACATGCTGATTTATACTGCGTCCAAGCAGAGCCCCGTGGTGATGCCTGTACGACCTCTTCATTTATCTGTTTTATCAGCAGGATTGAATGTTTGGCTCCTCCCCCGAGGCAGCATCGTTGACCAGCAGTCGGTACACCATACTCCCCGCATTCTCGCAAATGGTATTGTGGCCGGTAGAAATCGTCAGAACTTCCTCTTTCCTTATACCTGGAATGGCGAAATATCTGGTTGTCAATTTCAGCCGAGCCAAGCTGGCGGTCATTTTCTTTCTTTCTGCCTCGGCCGGCTTCTTCTGCTCCAGAGTAACACCAAGACTTCTCACTTTCACTTTCAATCCTAAACAAACCCCGCATGGACCATATGAGACTAGAAGATGGTTGCAAACTTGAACGGAGCCGTAGACCAGAATGAGCTATGGAGCAAGGGTCAGCATGGATAAATGACTGGCGATAGCGCACGAGATCTAGAAAGCGAGGACTCAATATTGCTAGACCAGGAACTACTCACACAGGAGATCTTTCTAAGTGTTCCGGATCTTCTGATCCATATTAGTGGACATCGAGGTCTTTTCAATGTGATCTGATAAAAGATCCTTCATTCGCTTACGAAGATTGCGGCATAAAGTGACGGGATTACAGGGCATTTGTATCGCAAGTCCACTTTCAGGCCACTTTCTACTACACTCACCCACTAAAGTCCCCTATATTTCCAGGCTACCCTCCTGTAAGCACGCTATAAACTATAAACAAGGGGTACCACACCTTTAGAAGGTATATCCCCTGTACTTACAAGGGCAATGTCGCTAAATAGTCCTAAAATAGCTCTCTCACAGCGCCCGAGCGCTACAGTTGCTCTGCCAGCAACACCATAACCCTTGAAGATCTTCCACCACCTTGGAAATGTCTCACAGCCCTTGTTTTAGGGGTTCAGGCCTAGAGTTACAAGGCTTATAGCGGGCGCAGTACCTTAAGCCACACCCTGGAGTCCGCTAAGACCCCTACGCGAGCGTAAATGCCCTGTAATCCCGTCACTTTATGCCGCAATCTTCGTACCTACTCCCTTTCCAAGCAAGTAATCAGTCATTGTACCAAAAACTTGTAGATCATTTTCGATTCATTGTGTCAATTCCCCCGGAACAATCGAGCTTGAGTCGACGAAAATTCGAACGTGCCAAGACTCTCTTGACATCAAGCAAATGGAACCCCAAATTTCCTGTACTTCACCTGATATCGAGGCGGCAGATACATCCGTATTTCATAACCCTAAGTTCAGTTAGCCACGATTGAAGGTTCCGATGGAGATACGGAGTGGTCTCATGGAAGATCTGACTTCTTTTGAAAGCGAAGGAGGTAGGTTTGAGCTTTGAGTGATGATGGCACCAGCAAAGAAACCAAGATGAAATACCGAAGGAACACAAAGTAAGGCGAATCTCTCTACGTCCATGTCAATATTAAGATACGAGGCCATGAAATCTGATTCACCGTACGTCCTCCAAAATCGACGGAAACGGATGAAAAAGTGAACATGGGCAAGGGGTCTGAATATTCCAAAACAACCAAGATTTCTGAAGGGAGTGTGAACTTATAATGTATAGAAATATCGAAGAGAATTAGGAAATGAAAAGATTCCAACGTCCAGCCTGGCCTTGGACGATAGAGGTATTTAAAAAAGAATTTCGTTTTCTGTGTCCACTGCGAGACCTGCCAATATCGCTTGTGCCAACTATTGTATCATTTTCAATGAGGGCAATACGGACAAAAACGTTCTCGAAAGGTAGAACAGGGACGTGTAAATAAATTCCCTGCCGAAGTAGCCAACAAGCCACTACAGCCCGCAGCCTCCTGGCTGCATGGCAACCAACAAGACCTTCATTTAACTTCCTATTCCAATTGTAAATATTTCCGTTATCGCAGTGGGCACGGTTGTGTCGCCATCACAATCCCCGTCACCATCCAAGGGCAGACCTCCTGTTACTGGGAAGCTATAGTTCCAAACACCGAAACTGTTGTCTGTGACGGAGAGGCCCTCAAGAGTGATGGGGGTATTTCCGCACTTCGGCGCGTTGTACGATAGATTTGTGTATGTTTCTTGGATACCCGATTAGCAGGGTGCGCTCAGCACGGAGCGAAAAGTACCAACATATTTTAGAAATGACCTGCGAGTGCACGACGCCGTCGAAGTAGCCGTGCTTGTTATCTTTCCACACCCTGGGAATGGAACGAACACAACACCAGCATCGGAGAAAGGAGAAAGGACCAGTAGGTGTGCCGGTGTCATCTCTTGTGTGGATCAAGGCGTCTTCGAGCGCGACACCAGCGGTACCAGTGTTGTTCACCAACAAATTAGGCTGCCCTACTTGAACGGCGTGGGCATTGTTTGCCAGAGTAACGACTATGCCCTGTTGTATCGGGAGAATAGTGTTAAAGCTGTTGTTTGAAAGTAATTAGTAGGATTTTGTAAAAGTAAGGTGCAGTGCTCACGGAAAGAAGCAAGCATATAGCCAGTGTTCCCGGGCTGTGAACCGTCACCGGAAGGACCTTGAGGTTGGCAGTCGCTGCAAAGTCAGCCAGGGCATCCGCGATTTGAGGGGATGGCGGGTACCATTAGCATTGAAGGCTAATTGATGTCGTGTTCTTTGATCGTCAATGGGATAAGCTGGGCTAGGCTTTTCGGAAGACCATCTGGTGTAGGATTGCAGAAATAGGAGGATATCAGAGAGCCATTGGTGAATGCTTGTGTGGGAAGGACTGTCGCCGGCGCCGGTAAAGAATGAATAATAGACACATTTTGAAAGTATTAATCGCAAAAATCGAAGTTGGGAATTCCAGATCCGTTAAAGCGCGAACGGACGAAGAAATGAAGCAACCAAAGAGTGAACGATAAGACTCGAAGAGAAATGACAGAGGCCTTGATGTGAAGGAAACTTGAACAGCTTGGGGACTGGCCTGATTTTACTTACTGAGCTGGCGGCACGGCCCAAGACGCCATAGATTTTTGGATGAAGGAGGGGAGCGCGAACATGGAGGAGGTGACATCCACCTTGATGCCCGGAAATGCAGACAGTGACATCTCGAAGAAAGAAGTTGCTGGACGGCGCTCGAGGGGGCCAGTCAAAGCAACGGCTGAGGATGAAGGAGGATGACTTTCCGTCTCAACTCATCCCAACTTGGGGAGGCGAGAGTTAGTTTCACAGCGGGCTGGCCCTTCCCTGCAGACGAATCGAAAAAAACAAAGCTTGTCTATTCTCGTCTGCCATTGAAGCTTAATACCATCCTGTCCAATGTGTGTATGGTGGCGGCGGGGGCTGACATGCACTGGGCGTCATCCGACTTCGAGACTTCGAAACCGAGCATGGTATCAGGCTGGCCCATATTCGTCGGTGCACTGGGTCACTCTCAAACGAGACATCACACTTACGATGTTTGATGTTGCGACGATGCATCCCCACCACGAATTGAGGCATTGTGGCGATTGGTGAGTGTTCCGCTTCGGGGCTACGAAAAGGATGGGGCCTGGAAATGAAAGAGGAAGTGCCGTTGAGCGAACACCCTGCTAGCACGTGATGCACCCGTGACCCGATAGGAATTCAAGAAATAAGAACGTGAACCCTGGAATCTGTTCCCCATATCTTGCTCGTTTTCGAAGCACTCGCTCTTGGGGCAGTTCGAGATATTCCACTGCAGCTCCCTGCCAGCTAACGCACAAGGCTCCGTACCTGCCTTGAGAATGGCAGCAGTACCAGGGTAATGAACGACAGCTCATATATCTTTTGAACTGTGTGAAGGTACTGGCTGCCTGCTTGAAAGTAGATCCTTCTCCTATCCGGGTATACACCATTTCCCTATTCAACGCACCCGACTCCTAAGCTCCAACTCCCACAACACACTCTGTCAAGCAATTCTTTCCTCGTACGCCTCCCAAGCCTTCTTCCTGTATCGCTCTGCCTCCTTTACGGGATCCCCGGCCTTAATGATGCCCCTCCCAACAATAACAATATCGCTTCCCATCAAGCCAACTATCTTTCCTGGCGTATTGTATTGCTGACCCTTTCCGTCACCCTGGACATCCGCATCTTCGTCCTCTGCGTCAGGGGGCAATTGACATCCGGGTGTCATACTCATGAATTGGTCCTCGGGCGCCGTGTTCAGCGTTTCCTGTGAGATGAAGCCCATGACAAAGTCCTTGTGCTCTCTAGCACTCTCCACGCAGGCTTGCGTGTATTCCTTTGTCATGAAGTTTCCCTTACTCGACATCTGGGCAAGAATCAAAAGTCCTCTATCCATCGGCGCCTCCTCAATTCCCGGCAGAACCTCATCTCCGAAGTCTTCGTAGGATCTAGGCGAGTTTGCAGGCTCGAAGTGCTGTGAGACAGTTGTTATGGAGACAATGCTCGCTTTCCTTCCAATACTGGCAGCCTTGTACGCTTCCAAGCAATGATCCTCTGGCATTGGTGTTTTTGTTTCATCATCATCGTCCGAATCTAAGCTTTCAGGTCTTGGGGTGCCTACGGTGATGTCTGTCTTGACTTCGTAGCGTTTCCTTTCCCTCCAACGCACCGCAGCTTCCGCCAAGGCATTGACTGCCGCTTTTCCTGGAATCATATTCACATTGGTGATGTGTGACCAATCAATGATCTTCGCCGTCCCCTCTGTGTATTGCAACTGCACCGTGTTTCCAATGTCCCCAAACTTGCGATCTTCGAAAATCAGGAAGCCATGGCGACGTGCTATGCGTCCCAGCCTTGCCCCCGTACCTGTTGTCGGATTATAGTCCCAATTGGCAATCAAGTCGTAGTGAGTCTTAAGAACGACAATTGAAGGCCCTACAGCATCTGCAAGCTGGAGGAGCTGGTTGGTAGTTGAGACATCAGCACTGAGACAGAGGTTCGATTTTTTAAGGGCCATGAGGCGCAGAAGATAGGACGCGAGAGGATGGGGGGCATTCTTTGCTCGTTCTGAGTAAGAAGCTTTCGTGACATGGTGAGAAGATTTCGGAGGCATCTTCTGGCAATTATGAGCGAGTGTGATGAAGTTGTCGAGATCTCAGGATTTTTTTTTCGACAGTGGTTTGACCGGGATGGTGTTTATTAGTGCAAGGCGGCTCGAGAATTGGCGATCAGACGGCCTGACCACAGTCCCAAATAGAGCAACCATGTTAGATTCCAGGGGTGGCGATGCCCCTTGGGCTGGTGCATCATGAGTTTAAAATGAAAATTGTTACACTCCGTCACACCATGTCACAAGCAAGGGGAAGCGAACTTTTTGAATTTTACGACTTTAGTTTTGGTGCGACCTTTGAAGGCGCAATCTGTAATACACCGTCGCGGCGAGAAACACCAGCTTTTCCTAGTGCATCGTCCTGAAAAGGAAACGCAAACCGCAAAAAGTCTAGCCACAATTATGAGAAAAAGCCCCGCTCGACACCTCTGTCACTGCTTGATTATGCGTTGACACGATGTTGCAAATGCAAGAGAACCAACTAAAGAAATTCGTGAGGAACAGCTTAGTCGACCTCCTCGACAGTTGGGCCGTCATCATGAGTAGCACCAGCACCACCAGCACCTGGGAATCCTCCTGGGCCACCACCAGGCATTCCGCCTGGCATGCCGCCAGCCTCGCCGCCAGCTCCATAGAATTTCCTGCCATCGAGTTAGTAAATTAATTTAAAACGGCAAAATGGTAAGAGGGCTTACATCATGATGGGGTTAGCAACGGCCTCCAGCTCCTTCTGGTGCTCCTCATACTCCTCCTTGGTAGCCTGTTGGCTCTCATCCAACCAGGCAACAGTCTTGTCGATCTCGGCCTTCAACTTCTCCTTGTCCGCCGCATCCAGCTTCTCATCGACCTTGGAGTCGGAGAGGGTGTTTCGGAGCGAGTATGCGTAAGATTCAAGACCGTTCTTGGCACCGATACGTCCAGCCTCGGCCTCATCCTCAGCCTTATACTTCTCAGCCTCAGCCAACATGCGCTCAATCTCCTCCTTTGACAAACGGCCCTTATCATTAGTGATGACAATCTTGTTGATCTTGCCGGTACCTTTCTCGAGAGCAGAAACGTTCATGATTCCGTTGGCATCAAGATCGAAGGTAACCTCGATTTGGGGGACACCACGAGGCGCAGGTGGGATTCCGGTAAGCTCGAACTTGCCCAACAGGTTGTTATCCTTGGTTCGTTGACGCTCACCCTCGAAAACTTGAATGAGCACACCAGGTTGGTTATCGGAGAAAGTGGAGAAGACTTCCGACTTCTTTGTGGGGATGGTGGTGTTGCGGGGAATGAGCTTGGTCATCTGGCCACCAGCGGTCTCGATGCCGAGGGACAATGGCGCAACATCGAGAAGGAGGATCTCGTTGGTTGACTTGGAGGAGGTATCGCCGGAAAGAATGGCAGCTTGGACGGCAGCACCGTAGGCAACAGCCTCATCGGGGTTGATCGACTTGTTGGGCTCCTTGCCGTTGAAGTAGTCGGTGATGAGCTTTTGGATTCTGGGAATACGAGTGGAACCTCCGACGAGGACGATCTCATGGACCTTGGACTTGTCAATCTTCGCATCAGCAAGGACACGGTCGACAGGGGTGGTGGTGGATCGGAAGAGGTCCTGGCAAAGCTCTTCAAATCGAGCACGGGTGATGGAGGTGTAGAAATCAATACCCTCGAAGAGAGAGTCGATTTCGATGGAGGTTTGTGCCGATGAGGACAGGGTTCGCTTGGCACGCTCGCAAGCAGTGCGGAGACGACGGAGAGCACGAGCATTTGAAGAGAGGTCTGGTGACGAAGTTAGTAAATGATATTCCCAATAAGACCAAAAAGATCAAAATGTTAAAAAAAAAATCAAATGGCTCATACCCTTCTTGTGTTTTCGTTTGAACTCGTTAACAAAGTGGTTAACGAGGCGATTGTCGAAATCCTCACCACCCAAGTGAGTGTCACCAGCAGTTGACTTGACCTCGAAGATACCTTCCTCAATGGTCAAGAGGGAAACATCGAAAGTTCCACCACCCAGATCGAAGATGAGGACATTCCGCTCACCCTCAACCTTCTTGTCAAGACCGTAGGCGATGGCAGCAGCGGTTGGCTCGTTGATGATTCGAAGAACGTTGAGACCGGCAATCAAACCGGCATCCTTTGTAGCTTGACGTTGTGAATCGGTGAAGTAGGCGGGGACGGTAACGACGGCGTTGTTGACAGTTCCACCGAGATATGCCTCAGCGGTTTCTCGCATCTTGACCAAGATCATTGACGAGATTTCCTCGGGTGTGAATTGCTTCTTCTCGCCCTTGAACTCAACCTCGACGACTGGCTTTCCAGCACGGTCGAGGACGGTGAAAGGGAAGTGCTTCATGTCAGCCTGAACCTCTGCATCTGCGAACTTGCGACCGATGAGACGCTTTGCATCGAAGACCGTGTTCGCCGGGTTCATGGCGACCTGGTTCTTTGCGGCATCTCCGATCAGGCGCTCGGTATCTGTGAAGGCGACGAATGAGGGAGTGGTTCGGTTGCCCTGATCGTTGGCAATGATTTCGATCCTGTCATCACGGAAGATGCCCACACAGGAGTAGGTGGTTCCGAGATCAATTCCTATTGCGCGAGTGTCAGCCAGAGCCTCCTCGTTGGGAGCTCGGCGAGAAGAGTACTTACCAATGGCGGGGGCCATGATGGATGATGTTTAAAGTGTACGATGAAAGGTATGTGGTTATGTGCGGTTGATATCTTCAGGGGTGGATGAAGACTCGTGGAGGGGGGGTTCTTGGAGTTTGTTCGTGGTATGAAGAAGAAGGAAAAAGTTGTTGCTGGAAAAGCGTGGACTTTATCTGTTTGTGGGCGAAATCCAGCCGAGCTGGAAAAGAAGCTTCCAGAACAGCGACAGTGCGAGAAGGCAGAAGAAGCAGCCAGAAAATGCGGTCACCTTTTACATTCACCCTGAAAGCACTGGGACATCCGATTATGGCGATGCAGTTCGTTTTTTGTATTTACCGGTTGCAAAGGGTGCCCTACCTCTGGCAAGCACTTCGGGCGTTCCTAGGATCCTTTCACCTTCGTCTTGTCCAAAATCTTTTTTATGACGTTCGTCGCTTATTCTTCGAAGCCCCGCCATTTGTCTGCCCCACCCCGCCAGCAAATGTCAATAACGATACAGTAGCATGATCACCTCCTCTCATCGACTGATGTTTATGCAAACTGCTATATTCATCGTACCACTCGAGATTTAACTGGGTGAATGAAGGCAGCCAGCTCTCCTCTTGCTGCGGCGCAATAGTGTGGTACAAATCGTGAGTCAAAACCAGGCTGCTGTGCCCGAAGCTGCCGTGGTAACAGAGCAAGGGCAGAATGGAAAATGCAAGAGGCGGTGTGTCATGTGATTGGGCTCACCATATTTGGTCGCCTCACCTTTAAAGAAAGGGTGAAGTTGACTTGTTCCTAACTTTGGTCATAGGGATTGTAACTTATACAGCTGCAGAATTGGAATTAGAGATGACCCTCGGGATGTGTCTGTAGCTCAAGCCCAAGATGGCTGCCATAACATCCATCACCTCTAGCAACATCCACTACAGTAGTCAATTCTCCTTGTAACGCAGCTCAATACTGTACAACGGCACTGGTGGTGTTTATCAGCAGCGTAGGGCCATTTCGAAGAACAATGGCCTGCCTTCGAAAGAGTGAAAAGTCTCATTTGCCCCTTGCCCCCTTTCCCCCGTGTCACGTGCCACTTTCAACTTTTTCGGCCCCTTCCTGATTCGTTGAATGAATCCCTAGCGCATGCAGACGTGAGGCTGCAGCCAAAATCCAGAAGGCGCACGCGACTGCTCGTCTTCTCGTCTTCAACCACTTCACATACGTGACAGAACATGCATTGAATTGCTGCATTAACGGGCGCATTGGTATTTTCTTGGCTTTGCATTTTAATACATTCCTTATCATGAACCTCTTCCAAAGCAAAACGTGGAAGAATCTAAAGGCTACTCCGACAATACGGACTGAGAGAGTCCCCATCGCGAAGAAGCCTGCACCCCTCCCCTCGAAAGCTGCATCTACCAAAGCAACACAAGACCAGCGATCAACAGCTTCTTCCTCACGAGCGGCGTCCGCCACAGCAAGATCAAGGCCTGCAACACCATCTTCAGACGACCACGGTTCTTCGCAGCCCCGGCCGAACAAGCGCAAGGCTTCCCGCCAGAGATCGCCAGCCCAACCACACTTTGACGACGACAACGACGACGAGGACGAGGACGTGTCAGCGCAGGGGCCAGCGGCGACTTTATACAAGCGGCAAAAGACTGGCAGAAAAGTTGATTCGAAGCGAAGAATCCGATCCGATGAAGCCTTTTCAGAAGCTGATGCTGGGGTCTTTGAGATGATCCATGCAGCCGATATTGCTTCTGTGAACAAGAAGTCGAAGCTTGCCGTTTCGGGAACTACCGAAAAGGTCACGGTCGAGTTGCAGTATCCAAGTAACTCCCAACGGGAAAGGTTCGTCCTGGACATGAATCTTACTTTATATTAAAGCTAACCAACGTAGGTACGATCTGGCATGTGGGAACGATACAATAAATTCTTTCGAAGAGATCCTTGAGATTGCGAAAATCGTAGCCGATGTCTATCTCACAGAAGAACAAAAGCACGCCTTCTGTGATCCAGATTCAGGTCTTATCCGGCAGTTGCAGAAGGCAAATAATTTCCTGTCGAGCATTAAGTACACCATGAACAAAGTATTACTCGACGGTTTTAAAAAGGCAGTAGAAAATTACAATTCGGCTATCGAGGGTCTCTTAGAGGAGGGAGCTCTTGCGACAAATCTGGATGCTATGCATCATTTGCCTCTCCGGATGGTCCATTTTATTCTGCAACAAGTATATGACCGCGCCGTCTCGCCGAAAGTTGAGCTTCTGAAGCACTACGAGAATGGATCAGACAACATCTATGGCGAGCTTAAACCCCGATTCATCTCCGAGGCGCTGGCTGAGGCGGGACTCAAATCAGATCAGATTTTCGTCGATTTGGGATCAGGCGTGGGTAATGTTGTCTTACAAGCCGCACTGGAGTTCGGATGCGAAAGCTGGGGCTGTGAGATGATGGAAAACGCATCCAAGCTTGCCGATGCACAAGAGAAAGAATTTGCTGCTCGGTGTCGACTTTGGGGCATCGAACGTGGTCCGGTTCGGCTCGAAAGAGGGAATTTTTTGCAAAATGCAGCCATCATTGAAGCCATCACGAAGGCCGACGTTATTCTTGTCAACAACGAGGTCTTCAGTCAAGAGCTGAATCAAAACCTCATCCAACTCTTCCTGGACTTGAAAGACGGCTGCAAGATTATCTCATTGAAGAAGTTTGGGGCTGGTGGGGATGAAGTCTCTTTTCGACATGCCAATGACCCAGAGAATGTGCTGGTTTACACTGAACTGCCATACTACAGTGGTAGTGTCAGTTGGACTGGCGTTGGTGGTCGTTATTACATTGCTAAAAAGGATGGCAAACGCCTCGAGGGTCTTTGAATGATCTGTTGTGCTCGGCCAGTCGACTGTTGGCCCGTGGATGTTGGGTAAACTGCATAAATAAATGAGAAATGAACAAATTGCATGACAGCATACTCACAATTCGAGTGACCTGGCATGAAATATGTGGAACGTCGACGATCTTATTCCTCATTCAACTCCTGTAGTGTTTTGTTCATTTCTTCTGCCTCCTGGCCCTTATAGGCCATCCATCGATCGATCAATTCTTTATTCTCCGCTCTCAGGTCCTTGACTCTTTGCTCGGACATGTTAAGCTGCAGGTTCAAGGAGATGACTTCGTCATGAACATCCTTGGATATGTGAGCACTGCGTTCATTTGCAGAAGTGGAATTTCCGTACATCCAATAGTTTCGTTTTCCCCCTCAGTTCCTCGTCCCGGTCTTTGAGCTTCTGGTTGAGAAAGGCGCGTTCCTTGGAGAGATCCTCAATAAGCTTCCTATCTGATTTACTTTTTGCCTTCAGTTTGACTAATTCAGCTTCGGCAGCCTTTGTTCGGGCTTGGAGTTGTCCGTTGGACCGCAAAGCTTCAGCCAATTCACCCCGAATCTGAGCCGCCCCGTTGCTTGCTGTGTTTGTTATTGTCGTTTCCTTGGCCTTGGGGTCGGAAGAGGAGGGATTCGCAGCTTTCTCGGCCTCGAGAGCGGCCGTACGGTCTAGAAGGTTTGTGACTGTGGTGTGTCAGTGAGGGCAAGATTAACTTGGGTCGTTGATACGTACTAGCAGCTATCAAGTCGTCGTCAACCTTTTGATAACTGGACCTCTCGCGTTGGTCTCTGTCCTGAAGAGCTTGGATATAGTCATCCCGCCATGAAGTCATTTTCTGTCATGCAGGCAATGAGTACTGACTGAAATCCGCATTTCTCGAAAGGCTGAGTTGTGAAATGTGACGAGTTCAAGGCTGCAGTTTGTGGTCTATTGTGATAGGCTGAAGCTTGATTAGCGCGGGATGTCCGAAGCTCCCAGCAGCAAGGTCCAAGCGACCTCGCGACTTCTGAGAGACCTCAACATCACATTGATATTACATCCAGACCTTCCCAGAAACGCAAAGAGGAAAGCGGTCCTTTTCAGAAATTCTACATTTTGGTCCTTCACTTTTGCAGATCTTTCCAAAGTCCGACTCGAACTTCCTCCATCTCCCAGGAATCGTTATCTCGCACCTCCAGCCTCCTCGCTCTCTACGATGGCGTCCAGGAAGAAGGTCTTGCTCAAGGTTCGACACCTCCGTCCCGAATTTTGTCAACCTCATGTTAGACTGTGAGCTAACCATGTGCCATTTAGGTCATCATCTTGGGCGATAGCGGTGTCGGTAAAACGAGCTTGATGAACCAATATGTACGTTCAACGTCTGCCTCCTCTCCGACCTCTTCGCAAACTTCAGCATTCCACGGCCATAGGCTAACGAATGGTTAGGTCAACAAAAAATTCAGTGCGAGCTACAAAGCTACAATAGGTGCGGATTTCTTGACGAAGGAGGTACTGGTCGATGATCGTTTAGTGACAATGCAGGTAAGTGGTCATGCGACACAAGACAACACACGATCAACTTGCTGATGGGCTGTAGCTTTGGGACACCGCGGGGCAGGAAAGATTTCAATCGTTAGGAGTTGCATTTTACAGAGGGGCTGACTGCTGCGTACTTGTCTACGACGTCAACAATTCTAAGAGCTTCGATACACTCGATAGCTGGAGGGACGAGTTTCTGATTCAAGCCTCACCCAGAGATCCGGACAGCTTTCCATTCGTGAGATTCAATGCTGCGCTTTCGAGGCATGGAGTTCTGACCTGGCAATAGGTCGTGCTAGGCAACAAGATTGATGTCGAGGAGAACAAGAGAGTGGTAAGTCCAGAGCCTGGACTTAGGAAAGAAGGCTAGCTTACTTACGTGCGACATAGATCTCCTCGAAACGCGCCATGACTTTTTGCCAATCAAAGGGCGGGATCCCGTATTTCGAGACCAGCGCCAAGGAAGCTATCAATGTCGAGCAAGCATTCGAAGGTGGAATTTCTTCTCCCCATCCACTTAGTGTTAGATTTTACTGACGATGACCATTTAGTCATTGCAAGAAACGCTTTAGCCCAGGAAGAATCAGAAGAGTTCAGTGGTGACTTCTCGGATCCCATCAATATCCATATCGAGAACGATAGAGATGGGTGCGCATGTTAGACCTTGCAGACTTGCGGTTACTGCACTGCATTGGGAAATCCTCGTTCGACCATTTTCATGATAGTCCTTTTCTTTACCCCAGATCAGCTTGCATACAGCTAGCGTGATGGGAGGGGTAGTCGGTGTACATAAAGATCATTCACGGCGCTTTGGTGTCTGTGTTTCCTCGTCCAAGCAGAATGCATAATATTCGAACATAAAGACCTGACTTCCTTAGCTCTTCCGGGCAGAATAAGCTCATTACTAACGCAGATTAGTCTGATTCCCCATTCATTCATATTGTGCCACGAAATCGACCTGCATGAGCACGACTTGTGAGATAGAGTGTTGCGACTTGCCGCTCTTTATCGTGGCGGGTTTGAAAGGGGCCGAAGCCGGCTCCTGCAGGGGACGCGCCTAATCGGTCGCAAGGGTCAACCACCAGAACGTTGTTTCAAATCAGCCGCTTGTGAAGAACATCGGAAAACAACCATCACTTTCTTCTCAAGTGCACTTTAACGCTTCCGAAGCCTCCGATACTCTCTAACTCAGAAAAAAGCTAGAAAGCCTCCGTTGGTATCAATATATAGACACCTGGCTTGCTCACCTTGGCTGGTTCCATGAATCGGCCAATTTCCCTCTTTCGACCTCCATGACTGGACGCCGCTCATTTACGATAGGAACATAATACAGCATCATGAGTGCACAAGAGCCCCCTGTGCCACCAGCACGATCGGAGGAGTTCGTCGTGCCTCGCCGAAGATCATCGGAACATCACGATAGACCATCCATGTCCTCATCCAGGTCTGCGTTGAAGCCTCGAGGATTCAGGGCTGGTGTTGGCTTGCAGAACGTAGCCCGACGAACATTAGGGATACTCCTCCTTCTGGTGACCGTCTTCCTATGGACGAGTTCGAATTTCCTCGCCAGCGTAGGTTATTATGTTCCGCAGTGCAGGCCTAAACTGACTAAACCAGTACATCTTCGCAGACAACACATATTCGAAGCCATACTTTGTAACATATATTAACACATCTTTCTTCGCTGTATCACTCATCCCGGTACTTTTGCGGTTGGGACATCGACACGGCTTTGCTCATATTAAAACATCAATACTGGAGTACTGGCGAGGGCAGATGGACGGTTACAGTGCAGTTGGGGCGAAGTCAACGACGGAGGGCGAAGAGGAAGCTGAAGACCCACTGTCTGCCTCGCAAACTCGACTCCTAGTTGATGATGAAGCAGGGCCAGCGATTAGCTTGTCGGGAGATCCACAAGGTCCCGAAGAAGTACTGAGTGTCCGTGAGACAGCTAAGCTCAGCCTGGAGTTCTGCCTCCTGTGGTTCGGGGCCAACTACCTCGTTGCAGGATGTCTTGAATATACAAGCGTAGCCAGTTCCACCATCTTGACCTCGACAAGCAGCATATGGACTTTGATCTTCGGCGCGCTGGTGCGAGTGGAGCACTTCTCGTACAAGAAACTAATTGGGGTGCTGGCTTCTCTGGCTGGGATAGCCTTGATATCCACAGTGGACCTCTCAGGCAAGGACAACGACGAGAATCGGGGGAACTTCCCACACAAATCACAGGGAGAAATCGCAGTTGGGGATGCCATGGCCTTTGGAAGCGCCATAATGTACGGCCTCTACACTGTCGTCATGAAGAAACGCATTGGCAATGAGGACCGTGTCAACATGCCACTGTTCTTTGGCTTGGTTGGGCTTTTCAACGTGGCCTTCTTGTGGCCGGGATTTTTCATACTTCATTTCACCGGCGTCGAGCCATTCGAGTTTCCTCCCACCGGCAAGATTTGGACGATTGTCCTGGTAAGATACACATCTTTATTTCAGAGCCCACTCTAATCTGTGTTCCAGTTGAATTCGGCGTCGTCGTTCATCAGTGACTACTGTTGGGCATATGCAATGCTCCTCACGACGCCGTTAGTGGTTACTGTTGGTTTATCCATGACTATTCCACTGTCACTTATCGGACAGATAATATTGAGCTCTCAATATTCGAGTGTTCTGTACTGGGTTGGGGCTTTCATCGTCCTTCTCTCCTTCCTGTTCATCAACCACGAGTCTCGTGAGGAGGATGAACCGCGACTTCGAAGGGGAGGGACTGAGCCTGTTTCTTGAATAGTCGTAGATGTTGATAGATGGCAAGATAGATCACGATAAGCTTTCATTTTGTTCAACATCTATTCTTGGGCGTCCCGGGCTGGGCCGAGCCAAGCTCAGAGAAGCAAATCGTGATTCTCACGTGGATTAGCATACTGGGGATTTCGCACAAGACCAGTAGCCAGTACGAAGGATGTTGACGTTCCAGCATTCACTCTACCCACAGCATGGCTTAAGAGCTGACGGATGTCTGGCGAACATCGAAACCCCTAGGGTGAACACAGCGAGGTGCCAGTAAACGACTGCCTAGGACGCACTTGGGCTCGGGCAGCATCGACAGACTTGAGCGGACTAGTCAGCCGTTTCGTTGTCACTCGCTCTAGGGAGCATGCTTTAGAATTCACGCAATACTGCACTACTGCTTCTTTGTTCATTCCAAAAGTCACCGATCGTTGAGCATGGCCCAGATTGGAAGAGACTTGTGTGGTTGTCCAAGATGGGAAGCTGGTCTCGCCTCCTTTCGCAAGCGATCAAGTTTAATGTTAGCCCGCGGGGCCTGCTTTCCTCGCCAAAACAAAGCCATCCATTCTCTCCCAAACAATAACTTTCCATTTTCTGCATCCCTCATTTGAGTCTTCCACTACGGTTGATCTCTTCCACTCCTTCACCACACTTCACCTCCAGTCGTCACGCCCTTGCCGAAGTCTTTTATCGATTCCCTCGGGCAGCAGTATTTACAGGTGACTGGCTTCGAATATTCTTTCTCGATCCCACTCCACCACATGCTCGGATGCTTCCGGCCTTGCACATCCGGCTTCTTTCGATCTTCAACTCAATTCTGTCTCCTGCTTCGCCATGGCGAGCTACTTCGATCCTTCGGCCCTGACCATCTACGATCTCAGCCAGCATGACACCGTCACGCAAGGCGTCGTGTTTAATAATCTTGTGTGCATGGCTGTAGTGGTATCAGTGATCACACTACGAATATATGTCCGACATTCCATAAAGCATGCTGCCGGTTCAGACGATTGTAAGTGCTGCTTTCCACTCCCTCGACCCCGCTCGCCCTGTTAGGATCAAGCTGCCCTCTGAACCTTTACCCGAGAGCAGAGCAAGCCTGGTCCTAACTAGTTTCCTAGATTTTGCTGCCGCCGCTGCCGCATCTGCGATAGTCCTGTCAACTTGCTGCCTCTTCGCTGCGGCTCAGGGCCTGGGAAAGCATATCTGGGACCTTGGTATCGACAGCTCGACCTCTTCTCACAATGCTTCGCTGCGTATCAGCATTCCACTCTACATCTGCTATCTCAGCTACCTCGCTGCCAACACTTTCATCAAATGCTCCATCCTTGCGTCCTACTATAGGCTCTTTCCCGGCCAGATGTTTCGCAGATTCTTATTGGTTCTTGGTGGCTTGGTGGCGGCGACCTGCGTTTCCTCCATTCTCGTTGGTATCTTTGAGTGCTACCCGGTAAAGAGTTCGTGGGATTGGTTCAGCCCAAGGGAGAATTGTATCGACATTCTTCGATTCTTCGTCGTCAGCTCCTGGATCAGCACTATTACGGATATCATTATATGGTGTTGCCCTTTCCCACAGTTCTTCAGATTACAGATGAAGCCAAGACGCAAACTCCAGCTCATTCTCCTTTTTGGTGCAGGTGCTTTGTAGGTCTAACAAATTCTCAACGTTCGATACGGGGGCATGCTGACTCTATTCTAGTGCCTTCGTTGCTGGTATACTCCGTCTTGCCCGGCTTGATGGGCTCCGCTCGGTAGACATTACATGTAGGGAATTTGTGCCGTATCAAACGTGGTAGCTAACGCAAATTTCAGATACTGGTGTGTCTCCGATCAACTGGTCGGTGGCGGAAGTCAGCACCGCAATCGTTTGTGCGAGTGTTCCGAGCTTGCGGCCCCTGGCAGTACGCTTCTTCCCGTCGTCCTGGCAGAGTGGCCCCGTCTCTTCTCCCGAATCGGCAGGACCGCGTGTGATGGACAAGGCATCCGGAAGCTCGCGGGGTGGAAGTCCATATTGCGGGCGAAACATCTATTTGGACGATCTGGAATCACAACAATCAACGTCACTGTACTCAACCACCCCTGACAGAGCATTACGAGGGTATCGGATGTAGGGAAATACCGATATAAGGAGCCCGACATCGCACAAGCTATGGCAAGATAATGGGGCGAGGTGAGAGAATGGCTTTGATATGAATATCGAACAAGCAGCAGCTATGGCTAGCTGTGTGGTTTTTGCACACAAGCCTTGCTTCATCCTTTGCAAAATAACAGATATCAGATCAGCATAGACACTAGTAATGGTAATAATGGTCATCGAGACCGAGCAACATCGACCAACCTAGGTCCAAGATTACTAATCATTTGCCGATTTGTATGACTCCGACCTTGCCTATCCATCTGCCGCGGAAGTTCTTGTCGATTCATTCCGATAAGCTGTGAGAAATCATCGTTGCTATTCTCTCGACCCAGATCCGATCAAGTTGGAGGACTGCTATTAGAATAATCAATTCAAAGTATTGCATTGTAGGAGTACTCAAGCAACCACAAACATAACTAGGAAATGTCCACACTTCATCCAATTCCCCACATGATCTGATCGTTAGACTCAGCCCACTTCCGACTTTCATGATCCCAGACTAGCGTCACACTCTACCCTTGACATGACCCAAGTTGGCATGCTTCTTCCACAAATGCTCCTTGACTTTATCCCAACGACAATATCCTATGCCCATGCCCTGGCTCTTGGCACATCCAGCAATGGGACAAAAATGACGTCCCTGGTTGACACCGTGAACCGAGGTGTTGTGGCGGATGCGGTCCGAGTCCCGTTTGAAAAATGCGAAGCATCCTAGATGAGTGCAGAAAGCCCTAGCTATTGCGGACGGCTGTATCAGATAATTCATACCAATATTGATAAGACTGCCACTGGCTATGGGAGGAGTAGGCGCCTCTTGATTGGACTCCCCACTGGGTTGAGCTAATGTGTGAGTTGCAGAACCATCAACCATGTTCGTGAAAATGTCATCAATGTCATTAAAATTGACTTGAAGTGGCATTTGGGTTCCAAATTCCCTGTTAATGTTAGTGCTCACGGGTCAGATACGATCGACGGATCATAAAGTCTCACCCATCTTGGAACACGTTTTCATCAAACACAAAGTTACCAATATCTGGACTGATGGCCAAACTCCTCGGAGCGATCGGAGCGGGGGTACGGTGAGGTTGCGACGACCCGAGATTGAGCATAGGAGACGACAACTGAGTCGGATGATCATGAAAAGTCGTCGGATTACCGGTCAAGCTGGTTGCGAAAGGAGAAATCTCAGCTTGCAAACTAGCGAAAGCAGGGGCAGAGCCCAGCGATCCGTTTGTGGAAACGAGTCCATTGTAGATAGGCGTGTAGTACACATGATTGAATGCCGTTGATGTGTTAGACTGATTACCCCAAGGGTTGAGGCTACCAGCGGACGAAGGTTGGACCAAAGGGTTACGGTCCGTACGCACAATTCCAGTGGCGAATCCATCAGCGCCAGGGAGATTGGATGGTAAGAGGATAATTCCTTGGTGCAAGTCTCCAAGCGCAGCAACAGTGCTGATTGGAAATACGGGAGACCACAAGTATAGCCATTGGTACTCGACGGAGTCGTCGAAAGCGAACTTAAAGCTTCTAGCAAGAGGTCAGTTAAAAAAAATTTAAAAAAACTCACTCCATCTTTGGCCTTTTGTTATGGGAATGCGAGAGCTTAATATACGCCTTCCACCGAAAGATGACTACTCGAACAAAAACATTCTGTCCTCTTCTTTCAGTTGAGCCTCCAGAACTGGCGCCCTGAAAGCTCGTCATTCCCGACCTGGGGCTGCAAAGTCTGGTCAGTCGCCCTTAGCGTGCTCGCCCCGTATCAATTCTAGGACTCTGATACGTACGGATAGGGTTACCGAAATTTATTTGATTTATATAAATAATATTGGTCTAGCCATATATATTGCATAATTATATACTCAAATTCATGGGTTTTATGTAATATTAGTGCAAAAAAAAAGAGGAAAACCACAGATTGGAAGAGAAAATAAAAAACTAAAGGTATATTAAGTCCTTCATTCCAATATTAATTCATATATCAGTCTCATCCACCTCCCTATTAATAGGTATTGCGAGGTCCAGTTTGCACGTGACTTTTTTCTAGTGATTCTATTGGCTATAAGGGGGCGCTAGTTTGATTTGTCATTTGCCTTTAAAAATACTTCATTTATTAAGTATTATTGGTCTAAACCTCCATTTATTACATAAATAATATTGGTCTTCCAAAATCCTTACATATTGCATCCCTACTATGGGCACCCTTTGGCTTGATACTTAGACCTACTTTTTGCCCTGTGCGAGATGGATTTTTAGCCAGGTCCCCGAGCCACTCAGAACTCAGAAATCGTACTTGACTAAAAATTGGGGCGGTGGCGGGCACCACCCCTTTATGATGGATGGGTGGGGGGCATGTAACGCTGGTAGGTGTAGGCTTAGGCTAACAAAATGTTTTGGGGGCTGTGGGGGCTGTAGTCTTCAGCAACAGACTTGTGGTGGTGGCTGGAGTTGCTTAGCTCGCTTGACTGAACTTTCGCATGGAGGATGCCTGACGTACAGTAGGACTTCGGATGCAAATGCCCACACTCCCCACTCACTGATAATTTTGATTGTATCTTATAAGTTGCATTCAGTTCGGCACATACCAAATCCTGGTAATATAGATAGCCGTCCGTGATGTCGCACAAGGATATAGCCGCAGTTTGGTCAACACTTCAATGTCGCGCGGACATCGACAACATTCTCCTAGAATTGATCGGTCGCTATGCCCTGGATGCTTCGCCAGATCGGGCCCTATCTCGTGCAACCGCTTTCAGCCATGTCGTAGCGTTACGAACAATCTTCGATTTACAGCGAACATACCTGCAATCACCAGATTTGAGTTTCGAGTCAAGAACTTCACTTCTGAACCCCGACATTCTCTTCTCAGCGATCAAACATCTCCTGGAAGTCAAGGTCTTGGCTTTCTGCGCTCACGATGGCCTGCCTGATCACGATGCACACTGCAGCTTCGTCGGTCAGGCTCTTGTTTCAGGAATTCGTGCCCTTCATCTGCAGAATAGACGGCTCTCACTTTCCGAGTATGAAGCAGTCATCCGTAAATTCGAACTAGCTTGGAGCATTGAGACGCTTCGTGCCGTTGACCACTTTTCGGTCAACCACTTCTGCCGTAGAATGTTGGCAGAGCTGTCGAACAACGAGCAAAATCATCGCTTGTCAAGCCCTGCTTGTGGAATCGTCCGATTGCAAGATTTCTTCCATGGACTTGTAAGTTCATCATATATTACCAAATATACCAATTCTGATGGTTTCAGTATCCTTTGGATGGCAGCCTTGATGCCCTCGCCCATGCAGCCAAGACAGCCTTAACAACATTGAGAAGCTCAGCAGACTGGTTTTACTGTGCTTTAGTACTGTATGATATGTCGTGGGGCACGGCCGGAGCCATAATTCAAATTTGCATGGGTAATCAATATTACAAAGGCTCTGATAATAACAACTTTGCTAGAGACGCCGCGCTCTTGACTTTGTCCTCTCAGTTCAAGATGTTAGATCTATTGTTTGGAGACTCCACTCCTTCCTCGCCACCAGGAGAGCTCGAATGGGTCTATGAGCAAATGCAGACGATGCTATTTATGAACATTAAACCTGCTTGTTGTGGGCGGGAATGTATTTGTCTTGGCGCCCACTCAGAATACGTACAGCAACTGGTAACATTTTCTATCCGGCCTTGATTCCGAGAGTTACTAATTCTTGATGTACCAGTGGGCACAATGTATCTCGAAAGAAGCCTCCGAGAGCATTCACAGGCATTTTGAGAAGATATTGCATCTAGAAATTGAACCAACGCTCAAGTCGTTACAATTAACTTTAGAAGCCCGTCATGCTATTCTTCCCGATGCCGGCGAAGAACTCATTGCCTTCTCGCGAAAGATGGTCGACTTCACAAATGAATGGTGTCCTGGAGTCCTGAAGGGCCTGGAGCATGACAGCAGAACAGTCATCACACCTGATGATACATTCATCATGAATTGTCCCGAACTACATCCAGTGCCAGGCAAGATTCTCCTTCCAAGTCTTGAGGAGAATTCGCTTATGAGGCGTCGACGGGCGAGTCTGTCTTCTGTATGTTCGGAGCAAAGACCCATCCTTCTCATCTGTGTTGACGCTGACCTCTGTAGGAGGATTTTCAAGTTTTAAAAGACATTCCTTCGAGGACGGGCTGTAAGCAATGCCCACACCAATCAAATTTCATCTCTGTACGGAAAATAGAACCGCTATCAAAATTGTCTGCGTATGTTCAGGAGAAACTGAATGATCGACATAAGTTGTTGCGAACCAAAGCCGACACGACAACGAAATTACCCAACAAAACGCTGTCACCGCCACTATCCGGAAGGGCCACATTATCCCGCCGACATGAATCCTCAGTGTTACCACGCTACAATAGACCTCAAGATCATTCGATAGCCGAATTACCAAGCATCGTCCACACCCTCCAGCCGAGAAGGGGAAGTAACCTTTCACTCGCCTTTTCGGAAACTGCGACGCGACTGTACCGTGCTACTACAAGCAATGTCGACATTCCTGGGTCAGGCATGTCAAGTCCACCCAAGTCCTCATCTCCAGCTACGACTTATCTCACATCTTCAAGTGCGCATTCTCATCACTCAGACTCTTTATCACGACCGTCATCCAGGACTTTTAGTGCATCCCCATTTCCGACACAGGAGGAAACCACAGCTCTGCCTGAAGTTTTTGAACCTTCCAAATCAAAGCTTTCTAGTCTCACTTCGCCTCGATCAATACAATCGGATGCAGGCTCTGGCATTTTTCAGTCACCGTCTCGGAAGTGGCCTTTCAAATCACGTCGCGGACCCAAAGGAGCCTTTAGCATTCCTTCTGCAACATTTTTCACATCTGGCAGGGCTTTACTGCTGTGGAATGACAAAGGGGTATGCTTATACGATTTTCAGAATATCCTTTCCATCTCACATTGCATCATAACTCCTGGTGATATTCTGCTCGCAGCGGGTGGTACAAGGAAAACCGGAATAGTAAGCAGAAACGGCCCAGTATGGCATCAAACTCATTAATGATTACGACGCTAATATGCAATAGATAATTCTGCTCCGCATATTTCAATGTGCAAATCAGACTCCGATACAGGAGATAGAGATAGAAGAAGTGCCTTTCGCAATGGCTCTATCAAGCAACGATCACTATCTAGCCTTGAAATTCGGAAATTACGTTCGTGTCGTCGATACTACCAATAGGTCGTTCTTTCAACACAAACTACCAATTCAAAACGGCCGAAGCGGTCCTAATGATCATCTCGTCACCTTCTCGACTGATTGTCTCTCGTTCGCTGCAACTACCAGATTCGAGCCAGAGAAGGTGTTGACATATTTCTGCGAATGCCAGAATCCGTCGAATGGAGACTTTGTCGAGAGCAGCGCTCCATTTGTAAGCCCATTTTCAGTATTTACTTATGCCCTCGGCGTACATGCCACCAATTGCAGTTATTTATCTATATAAAGTTCCCTTCCCCCATACTAACATATTATAGGGTTTGGTCGGTGATGATGGCCTTTCGTCTATTGTCTACTCTGATAAATCTGCATTTCTCACTACATTCACAGAGAAAGGCAACCCAGTTTATCTCAATCTCCTACCGACTAGATCCTCTAGCCGTGTCATGCGTGACAAAAATCAGCAAGTGGGATCCAGAATACACGGCGCTGCTCTGTGCGCCACCGGCCAGAATCTGGTCCTTCTGAATGATCGCAATGAGATCTTCTGGGTAGAAACTCCTTTTGGGAAAGAACGTGCTCCAACACGTGTTGGAAGCATTAAGCGAGAGAAATCTGTGAAACGTGAAGTCGAGCTAGGTATGCCTAGCAGTAGCGAGGCTCATGTATTTTGGATCTACAAAGGGAAAGGTGTCCTTGTTACTATGGGTAGATTTGGAGGCAAGAGTAAGCCTCTGGAGCTGGATATCGATCTGGACCATCTGTTAGAAGCAGAGTAGTTGAGTCTGGCATGGAACATCTCATTAGTTTTCGGTCTGTTGCAGATTCTACGTATGACTCAGAAGGTATCTGAGGGACGGTGCCGGGATGGATCCTATAGGATCCCGATATGTCTCCCGACAGTCGGATCGACAGTCGGACTGTCCTCGATAACCACTGATAGGCTCGATTCTGCCGCGTTTTCTAGCGATAAGGCTACTTGGTGGGGTTTTGTATAGTCGGGCCAGGCTTGGCAACAATTGGCGTTTTTAGTAATTAATTACAATCAATGCCATAATTATAAGGTATCGATTAAATTAATTAATAATCGATTATAAGCGAGCAAATCCCTGCCCACCCACGCACCCCCTTTTCTAATTCTGGACAGTTAAGGAATTTAGTAAAGTATTATACTTAATAAAGGTAAAGCTTTCTTTTATTTATATATTTAAAGAAAATATTTAAAATTCTATTTTTCTTTTAATATTTAAGGTCTTCTTTTCTTTAAAGTTATATAATTTGTATTATATATAAATAAATATAAATAATAGCCTAAAAATAGTACTTCTTTTCTTATAATAAATATATATAAATAATATATAAATAAATATTAGATATTATAGATCTAATTTCTTATTTTAAATAAAGCTTATAATTAGAATTATATAAATTATATAAAATTATATTTCCTAATTAAATAAAGAGCTTTATATACTTAGCTAAATATTAAAAAATATATAAGAAAATGCTTTTAGCTTTAGAAAAGAATATTAATTAGTTTTTTATTAAAATAAATTCTTAGAATTAATTATATTTATAAGTATTATTCTATAACTTATTTATTTTAATTATTTATATATTATTCTAGCTAATAATTTTATATTAAAAAAGACTTATTAATAATTAATTATAATTATTTTAGTAATAATTAATAATTTCTATTTATTTATTTATTCTAGTTATTTTAGTAATATGAAGTATTTATTAGTATATAATAAGATAATAGAATGAATTAGTGAGTTATGAAACCATAATATTAAATTTAGTATAGAACTAATCCCTGTTTCTCCTATAAGGTCCAGAGAAGCCCCCTCTAAATAGGAGGCCCTAATAATATATATATAATTAGTGATTTATAAGCCTAATACTTATAATATAAATAGTAATTAGTTATAAAGTCAAAGGGCCTCTAATTTCCCTAATTAATACTTGTAATATCCAAGATTCATTATATACCCTTAAGTTATATATGACTCTATATATATTATAACTATATCCCCCTTCTAGGATCTTGTCCCCAAGATCTATTAATCTATTCTAGTAAATATTTAATTAATTATTTATTTAATTAAGGTAAACTTCTAGTATCTTGAGAGGTAGTTTTACTAATATAATCTGGATAATAGATATAAAAATCATCTAATTAGATTAGAGCTAAGTAAGCGAGAAGAAAGGATAATTATACTCTAGATATAGGGACTAGCCGGTAATTGCGATTTTATTTAGGATCTGAGTATTCTAATTAGCTTAATCTAAAATACCAAGATATTATCCTACGAAATTAATACTACTTATTAGATCTTGTATTAGAATAATCTAAATAGCTATATAAAAGGAATTTAATAAATATTCATATAAGAAACTTATATAAATATTTCTGAGATCCTAGAGATTATTTATAGGCTCCTGGAAATATATATTAATTAGTTATACTAGTTTCTAATTAGGACTAGTATAAAAACTAGTAGTTAATTCAGGTAGTTCTCTATTTCTATAAAAGAACCTCTTTATATTACTATATGCTTTTTTTCTTTCTAATAATTATATATATAATAACTTTTTCTATTATTATTTTCTAGCCTTTTCTTCTACTTTTCTTTAAACCTTTTTTAATTATTTTTAATTAATTCTATAATATTTTCTTCTGGCTTTATTATTTGCCTATATAATAATAAGTATAAAAGTAATCTTATAGTCTTCTTTCCTATTACTAGTAAATACTTGAAATATTTCAAGTATTTACTTATTAATTTCTTTATCTTATATATTATAATACCTAATAAGAAGAATTATAACTATTATAATAAGGGTTTTAAGTCTTATATATTAGTAAGTTCTTTAGCTTTAATATTTATTAAAGCTAATATAATTTCAGATTCCTTATTACTTATTAGAGGCTTACTAGTTCTAGGAAAATACTATTATAATTTTTAAGAAATTTCTTAAAATATATCCTAAATAATATTATACTAATAAGAATAATACTATTAATTAGGTTTTTAAAGACTAAAAAAATACTAATAAGCTTCGGAATTCTTCTTTCTATTTTAATAAGGCAGATAATAATACTATTTAGATTAGTATTCTAAAAATAAGTTTTTTCTAATATACTTAGGTACTTACTAATTCCTTAAAAAAATACTATAATATTTACTTTTAAGGTATTAATTTTATTACTAAGCTTATTACCGAGATTACTAAATAATTTATTACTAGTACTTTAAGTACTAATAATATAATACTTATAGTTATTTGGGATCTGACTTTAGAAGTTCGGGTTTTTTATAAGATATATATAGCTATTATAAGTTTCTTATTTATTTCTTTTAATATCCTTAATACTAATATTATTATAGTATAACTATATTCTATTAAGAAATAAGCGGATTCCAGAAAGTATTAGCTAATTCTTTACTAAGTTCTAAATAGAGCCAATATTTAGTATTCTTGCTTTAAGAATTAGGAATTTATAGGAATTAGAGTTTATTTATTTAAGATATCTATAACTAGTTTACTTATAATAAATCTTTCTTAATCCTAAATCTTTTTCTAATAATTTAAATATAATTCTTATAAGCCTTAATAAAACCCTAGAAAACCTTTATAAATAAAAAAACCCTAAGGAAAAGTATTTCTATTATTATTCCGGGCCTTTTCTTAGCTATCTAGATTATTTCTTTCTTTTAAGTAGCCTTTTTCTTAGTAGTCCAGAATTCTTTTTAATTTTAAAAGATTATTAAAAGATAATTTCGGATTCTAAGCTATAGTTTTAGTTATATAATTTTAGAAGTTCCTTAGAATTTTTAAGATTAGAGAAAGCAGATAACTAGGTATTATAATTTTTAGGCTAGGATTTTTATTTAATTAAATACTATTATTTCTTATTTCTATTATTTTATTAGTAATTAATAATAGCTTCTATTTCTTATTCTTATTCTTTATTATTATTTATTAATTCCGGAAGTTCTCTAGAGAAATATAAATATAGCTCCTAATTCTTTTTTATTATATATTCTTTAAGAAAAGAAATATAAAAAGTTAAATATAAATAATTATATATATTTAGTAGTTTTAACTTATATACTAAATTACTAATATATTTAAAAATCCTAAATAAACTTATAAATTTTAGCTTAAGCTTTCTTATCTTAAGTTTAATATTTCTTATTAATAGTATTATCTAGACTTCTTTAAAATAGTATTTAGCTAACTAGTATCTATTATAATAGATTTCCTAATTATTTTATATATAATATTATAAATCCTTAAGCTTTTTTTATTTTACTTTAAGAATTTCTAGCCTCTTATATATAGCTAGTACTTCTTTTATAATCCTGTTCTTAGGATTCTATAAAAGTTAAGAATAATATTCGTAATATATATAGAAAGATATATCTTATAAAACCTAATATTTTAAGTTATTATATATAAATTCCGTAAAAAATAACTTCTTAAACTAGTTATTTTTTTAAATATTATAATAATATCTCAGATAATATTCCAGGGCCTAGTTCTATCTTTTTATTTAATTATTTATCTAAGGATAATAAGCTATATTTAAATACTATTTATATATTAAATAGAAGTAAAAAGCAAACTAGAACTAGCTAGTAAATACTATTTCTCGATTAGAAATAATTCTATTAGGGAAGCTAAAAATTAAGAAAACATATTCCTATATAATCTTAGTAAACTTTAGAGAATTAATAGTCTTATAATATATAATATATCTTACTATTTTAGAGTATTAGTTAATAATTATAAGAATTATATTAAAATCGGGACCTCTTATTAGGTTCTTATATAATAGTAGACTTATAATAAAATCTATAGAAATCTCATTCTAGGGTCTTTTAGGCTATAATAAATTACTAAGCAAATTATATAGTAAATGCCTCTTTACCTTAATTCTTTAGTAAATATTATATTTTTAATAATAATTATAAATATCTTCTTTTATATTCTCTTAATATTAGGACTTTCTAAAAAGCTCGAGAATCTTCTCTATTTTATAATATCTGGCTATTAGATTATTATAATAAAGCTTTATAACTTCTTAATATAAAGCGGAATTATTAGATATAATAATTCTTAAATAGTACCTAAATAGGCTCGAATTATTTTTCCAGATTTCTTTTCTCTTAGTATCTTTCTTATTAAGCTTCTATTTTATAATATTCTAATATTAAGAATTATTTCTCTAAGCTACCTAAATAATATCTAAAAGAGATTTAGATAAAGGAGCTAGTACTATAGCTCTTTTAGTAGCCATATATATTTATATATAGGAAATTAGGTATTTATAATTATCTAATTTAAAAACTCGAGAAACTAAGAAGTTTTTAATTCTATTAAGTAATACGGTTATAAATATTCTTATTATCTTAGCTATAATAATAAAGCCTTTAAAATATCTTTTTATATCTTATTTCTTAACTGATTCTATAATTAAAGAATTTATAAGATAATTTATTTATTTATCTTATAAT